CCCCTCTCGCCCTGCTGCTGCTCGATGCAGCAAGCCGATTGTCCGCTCTGACCCACCCGATCCATTCCCGATCCACTTCTCCCAAGCGTCCTCGTTCAACGTCTCCAGCCTAAAAGCGTGCATCACTTCATTTCCTCCTCATCTCCCTTCTTCCTTACTTGCGTCTCAGCAACCCCGCCAATCCCTTCGCCACGCGCGGCACATCGCGCACCGTGATGCTGACTCTCTTCTCCCTCTTCACCTCGCCTTCTTTTGCCTCTCCTCCTCGCGCCTCCTCCTCAGCAATGCTGCCTACCCCTGCCGCTCCAGGCGCAGCCTGCGTCGCCACGCCCGCCTCGACGAGGGCGCCACGCAGCGCCGGCGCCTCGACGAGGGCGGCATTGATGACGCGCGCAAAGTGTGGCGTAGCATCGGCGTCGCGCTCGGCTATGCCGTGCATGTATGACCTGGTTGCCACACCCGTGCCTCGCTAGTCAGTAACGGACGGAACACATGGTGGGTGGGGCGGAGGGAGAGAGAGAGAGAGAGAGAGAAAGAGGAAACACGCACGTATAAGCATCGCCCCTCGTCAGCAGCAAGCTTCGCGGCTCTTGCAGAATCGAAAAGGCCGGGCTTTGTTCGCGTGCACGGAAGCGGGAGCCACTACTTGCACGTTGTTGCTGCTCTTGCTGCTGCGTGGTGGCAGACGCTGCTGCTTGCGCTTCCGTCGGCGCCGCGTCGGCATGCGCGGCAGAGGTTGACGTGGAGAGAGTCGCGTCTGCGTCGTCGACGTAGCGATAGATGTCCAGCAAGGTGTGCGAACCTAGAGAGATGGTCGCCTACGTATCGCGCGCGCGTCGCCGCAAAGAAACGGCAAATCCCGTCGTCAGCCCGACGGCTGGAGCCGGAGAGAGGGGGGGGGGGGGGGGGGGGGGGGGGGGGGGAAACAGGCGTCAGTCCAACTCAGAGGAAGGGGAAGTACAGGAGTGTGAAGAGAGAGAGACGCACCATGATGCCTTGACCGGGCAGATACTCATTGACAAGCTACACAATCCGCCGCCCGCACGCACGTCATCGTCAGTCTTTACCACTCCGCCTTTGCATGTCCCTCAGCCGTGCTCTCTCTCGAGGAGAAAGAGAGAGATGGGGGGGGGGCAAGGACGCAAAACCAAACGCACCACGCTGTTGCCCTCGCGATGCGGACTCGCCTCAAACGCGCCAATGTCGACGAGGCGCTGCTTGATGTACGGATGGCCAGTGTACCATTGGGGCATGGGCGCGGGAATAAGCGTCGGCAGCGCCGCCGCCGCCGCCGACTTCTTTGTGCTGCCTGTCCCCGCCGCAGCCGAGGCTTGTGCTGAGGAGGAGGAGGAGGAAGAGGAGGAGCCGGAGGAGAGTTGACCGCCCCAGTGCTGCAGTCTGTGAAGCTCACGCCCGCTGGTTTGAGCCATGAGCGACGCAAAAAGCTGCAAGGAGAGGTGTTTTACGGAAAAGGAACGCACCTGCGTGCATGAAGAGACTTCCACTTTGGCAGAGGCGCAGCGTAGATCTGTGGCCTCGCAAGAACGGGAGTGAGCGGAGGTGTGCGTGTGTTTGCTAAGGACGATGCTTCGGCACACACACACGGGAGCGGATCATCCGACAGCCCAGTGGGAGCACGCATGGCAGGCATACTGGGCCACTCCACCAACATGCTCTGCCCATCCCCCCCCCCCCCCCCCCCCCCCCCCCCGGCAAGGCTGCGCCTCCCCCGCGCGCTGGGCCCACTCCCCTTGTCCTCTCGCCAGCTCCGGCGTGCGTCCGCCTGTCTGTCCATCTCTCTCGCACCACTTCTTCGCCACGCTCCTCTCGCCAGCCGCCTCGCTGCGCTGCAGCATAGGCGGGGCTCAAGAACTGACCTTGTCCAGCAGATATCTCTCCTCCTCCTCGCTGATGAAGTTGGCGCAGTACCAAAAGCCATCTGCGCCTTTCTCCTTCTCCTGCGCCTCTGCGCCTCTCTCGTCGCCCTGCTGTGCATCTCGCCGCGCTGCCTGCTCCGTCTTGCTCGCCTGCTCGCAGCTGCCGACGGCGGCGCCGGGGCGAGGCGCGCGGGCGGCGTGCGGAATGTGCAGGCGCTGCAGCGTCGGCGTGCGCGTGTGCGGCGCCCAGGGCGTGGGAGGCTCAATGACGATGGACGTCATGGCGCGCGCGCTGCAAGATGTAGCAAGATGGGCGCAGAGGATGGGCAGAGAGCAGATGCAGAGACGGGGCTGGTGGTGGCAAAGCAAAGACGAGACGGCTCGAGCCACGCAAAGATGGCACAGCACGCTTGAGCAGCGCGCGCGCAGCAACAGCACGGCGTGTGGAGGCGGCGACGCGCGCGCATCGGCGTCCAGCTCTTCCGTGCCTACCACCACGCGCCCCCCTCCTCTCTGCCCACGCATGTCCTCCTTCTCCTCGCGCCCACTCTTCGGCGGCGCCCTCTCCGCCTCGCTGCCCGCGGCGTATCTCGACGTGAGCGACGTGCGCCAGGTGCCCGACACGCAGGAGGTGCACGTGTCGCGCGCGGCCGACGATGTCAGCTGCATCGTCGAGCTGCTGCAGTGCGTGCCGGGCGAGGGCGACGAGTGCGTCAAGTGAGTTAAATGAGCAAGGGCGAGAAGGCTGGGAGAGAGAGAGGGGCCGCAGAGGTGGGATTGCGGGGCAAGCGTGGGCCAGGGCGTCAGAGGGGCAGGTGTGCAATGCGGGCGAACTGCATCGAAGCACCCCTTTGCCATGTGCCCCGTGCGTGAGCAGCAACACAGGCCATGGGGCGGCGCGTTTGCCTGCCCACCTTCGACTTGAGCACCCAAGGCCAGCGGTCTGCTTGCTAGGCTGAGGGAGGCGCAAACCTCGATTGGCTGCTTGAAGCGGGTGTACGAGGTAGCAAGGGGGCGGGTGGACATTGAAGCGGGCGGAGAGAACGCCTTGCAGAAGAGCGGCTTCCCCCACGACAAGAATCTCAGAGAGTAGAACGGGCAGTGATAGGCGAGATGCCTACCTGCGACCTAGTCTTGCCGGCCTCATGGCGGCGACGAAGAGGAAGAGGAAGATGCGTCCTCGCCTTCGAGAGAGGCAGCATTTCGAGGCCTGACGATGTTCGCGCCGGCTACAAGGTCTCATCTGCAACAGAGGGGGAGCCTGGCACACCTCGGCGGCCGTGCAACTTCTGCCTACGTCCGTCGTCTTTTGCCTCTTTAAGCTGACCCTGGGCTCCTCTCTGATCAGATTCCACTTCGACTCGCTCGCACACGACAATTCCGCCTCTTCATCCTCCATCCTCTCCATCTTCGCCCTGCCCTCCACCACGCCCTTTTCGCCCGCGCCCACGCGTGGCGGATCGCTGCCCGCGCCCCTCTGTCTCGTCGGCGAGCAGGCGCTCGTCAAGTATGGCCGCGCGCACGGCACGCCCGAGTGCGTGCGCGTCTGGCTGGCCGTGTATCGCCTGGCGCCCGCGGCCAACATCGACGTGGTGCTGAGCGTGAATGAGCCGCTGGGCGAGACGGCGCTGCGCGGCACGCAGGGAATGGAGGCGAGCAAGGCAAAGGAGGTGTTTGAGGAGGCGGCTAGAAGTCTGAAGATCCATGATTGGGCAGTGTTCGCTGAATGAAATGGGAGCCTTCGAACCGACTGACGAGCGACGCGCGACGCCAAGGATCATCGAGAGGAGGTGGTGTGCAAAGTGGGTGACTGTTCTATTCATTTCCTCGCTGCTCCCTCCCCCTCATGCCCAGCCAACCGCAGCCACATAGTCCCACATGCACCCGGCCCACAAGAGGGCTCCGAGATCGCGATTGCTCTCAAACTTGGCCCAGCAGTCCTCTCTGCTCTGCAGATCCACGCTCCGGATCTGCCACGCCAGATGCATCGCCGCCGCCGCCAGCGCCGCACAGCTCGCCGGCTGCGCGGCCAGATTCGCAAGCAGCGTGCCCGTCGCGCCGATGCTCCCCATCGACACGGCCGTGCCGCTGAGGAAGAGCACGGCAAAGCCGCTCAGCACCGGCTTGGTGTGCGCGCCGAACAGCAGGGCGGTCGACTTGATGCCCACCGCCACGTCGTCAGACGCATCTTGATGCGCATAGATCGTGTCGTACACGAGCGTCCAGGCGATTGTGCCCGCGTAAAGGGGCAGGACGAGCGGGAGATGCAGCGTGGAGGAGAGCGCGGCATAGCCGAGGAGAGCACCCCAGTTGAATGTCAGACCTGTGCGAGAGGGAGATCAGAGGGGAAAGAGGGAGGGAGAAGAGCGTGGGGCGCACCGAGAACGGCTTGAGGCCAGTAGGTGATGCGCTTCATGAGCGGATAGATGGTCACGGGAATGAGCGATGCTGCACCGAGCACAATGCTGCTCGTACAGCGGCGTCAGCCTCTACACCCCGATCTCTCCTTCTTTTCCTGCTTGCCAGCGACGAAAGAAAGCTGTGGGGCCAGCGAGAGAGAGATACGCACGAATACCAGTTGAGCTGCAGCAAGACTGCCAGACCCACGCCGAGCTGAGCGCCGAGAAAGACCAAGGCTTGCCGAGGCGTGACGGTGCCAGCTGCGAGTGGCCGCGTTGCTGTGCGAGCTGGCATGCAATGTGCGTCAGTTCCAGGCCTTTCGTTGGCCAGACCTGCGCCGCACGCGCCCGGCAAGTTGCATCCCAGATGGCTAAGAAGCAGGCGACCAGAAAAGCCTACGGAGCCGCAGCTCAAAACGGACATCAACACTCACCGACCTTCTTGTCCAGCTCCCGATCCCAGAGATCATTCACGGTGCACCCGGCGCCGCGCATCACCACGGCACCGACGCCGAAGAGCGCGGTATAGCCGAGCGCGACGCTGGGAGGCAGACCAAGATGGTGCCCGCCCAGTGCGAGGGAGAAGGCAGAGGGCCAGAAGAGCAGCCAGGTGCCGATGGGGCGCGAGAGACGCGCGAGGGCGGCGTAGGGCGCGAGGCGGGAGAGGAGCGAGGGAGAGGAGGGCTCAGGGCGAGGAGGAGCGTTGCGCGGAGAGGAGGCGCGCAAGAGGAATGCAGGCGAGCGGCTGAAGCTGCGGCGCGACGACGCCGGCGAGGAGAGCGGCGAGAGCGGCAGCCGCCGGCGGGAGCGCGACGCGAGCGCAGCGGCGCCGAGGCAGCCGTGCCGCAGCGACGCGCTGCTGCGTGCCAGCGTGCGAGAGGCAGCAGTGTGTGGCGCGAGCGCGGCGCCAAAGAGACGCAGTGCATGCGCCATTGCCTGCGCTGCGAGAGAGAAGAGAGAGAGGAGAGGGAAGGAGAAGACGAGGAGCGTGGGAGGTGGGAGGAAGTGGAGGAGGCGCGCGCGCCGCGCGCGCCGCGGCGTGCGTGAGAAAGCCACAAGCTCGCCGCGCCGCTGCAGAAGCGCGGAGTCGCGTCCTCGGCGTCGTCTCCACCACGGCGCGCGGCTCGCTGCACGGCCACACCGGCCGCTGCCTTCCCACGACGACCCTCGCGACGCCTGCCGCTCCTCCTCTCTCTCTCTCTCTCTCTGCTCGGCACATCCGCTCCCGCCGCCTCTCAGCGCACCCGCTCCGCACTCGGCGCAACTCGGCGCAGCGCGCTTCTGGCCGGCCATGCCCGCCTCTGTCTCGTCGCGCGGCGCCTCGCCCAGCGGCGGCTCGGCAGCTGGCGCAGCGCGCAGCAAGCGCAAGCGGTGCGTGTGCCTCTCGCCTCGCTCTGTCACAGCACTTCACAGCTGATACCCATGCTCTCTCACACAGCTCGCCGCCGTCGTCGCGCTCCAGCAGCGCAGGCAGCAGCAGCAGTGGCAGCGGCAGCGAGAGCGAGGCCCCTCGCCGGCCCCGCTCGCCCGCGGCCGTGCGGCGGCGCTCTCCGGCGCCCGTCGGCGCCGCTGCCTCCACTGCACTTGTGCCGGCAGCTGCTGCCGCCGATGGCGCCTCCACGGCGCGCACCGAGGAAAAGGGCGCCGAGCTGCGCAGCCAGCTCGCCAAGCTCACCGCGACGCGTGCCGGCGGCGCCTACATCCCGCCGGCGCGCCTGCGCGCCCTCATGGCCGAGGCCGCCGCGGCAGATGCGGGCAGTGCAGAGTACCAGCGCATGTCGTGGGACGCGCTCAAGAAGAGCATCACCGGCCTCGTCAACAAGGTGGCGATGGACAACATCAAGTTCATCGTGCCCGAGCTCTTCGCCGGCGCCAACTTGATCCGCGGACGTGGGCTGTTGTGAGTCTGCTGCGCCAGGCGCAAGTGCGACGCACAGTGGCGCTGACACCCCGGCGCAGCTGTCGCTCCATCATGAAGGCGCAGATGCTCTCGCTCGTCTTCACGCCCACCTTTGCCGCGCTCGCCTCGGTCGTCAACACCAAGCTGCCCATGGTGGGCGAGCTGCTGGTGACGCGGCTCGTCTCGCAGTTCCGGCGCTCCTTCAAGCGCAACGACAAGCCCGTCTGCCATGCCACGGCCATGTTTCTCGCCCACCTCGTCAACCAGCGCGTCGTGCATGAGGTGTTGGCGCTCGAGGTGCTCGTGCTTCTCCTCGAGAAGCCGACGGATGATGCGGTCGAGGTGGCAGTGAGCTTCATGCGTGAGGTCGGCGCGTTCTTGGCGGAAGAGAGCCCCAAGGCGAGCAACAGCATCTTCGATCGCTTCCGTGCCGTGCTGTACGAAGGCGACATCAGCAAGCGCGTGCAGTACATGATCGAGGTGCTCTCGCAGGTGCGCCAGCAGAAGTTCAAGGACAACCCGAGGATCCCGGAGGCGCTGGACTTGGTCGAGGAGGAGGACCAGATTACGCACCGCATTGGCCTCGACGATGAGCTCAACGTGCAGGAGGGCCTGAGTGGGTTGCGCGAGTGCGAGATGAGGTGTAAAGCACTGACCTCCACCCTCTTGCAGACCTCTTCAAGCCCGACGCAGACTTCCAGGCCAACGAGCGCAAGTACGCCGAGATCAAGGCCGAGATTCTGGGCGAGAACTCGGACTCTTCGTCGGGCGGCAGCGCCTCGGGCTCGGGCTCGGGCAGCGAGAGTGACGATGAGAGCGAGGGGGAGGCACAGCAAAAGGCCGAGGTGGCGCAGCTGGAAATCAAGGACAAGACCGAGACAAACATGGTCAACCTGCGCCGCACGATCTACTTGACGATTATGAGCAGCGCGGCGTTTGAAGAGGCGGTGCACAAGCTGCTGAAGCTGCAGATTCCGGAAGGCCAGGAGGTGAGTTGCCTGCGCCGCCTTGCCACGTTGCTTCTCGCAGCAGCTGACTTGTGCGCGCCACGCTTTGCTAGATCGAGCTGTGCAACATGATCATCGAGTGCTGTTCGCAGGAGCGCACCTACTCCAAGTTCTACGGCCACATTGGCGTGCGTCTCTGCAAGCTCGACCGTCTGTGGTCTGGCTGTTTCGAGCAGTGCTTCCGCAACTACTACGACTCGATCCACCGCTACGAGACGAATCGGCTGCGCAACATTGCGCGCTTCTTTGGCGCCGTCATTGCGGCCGACGGCATCAGCTGGTCCTGCTTCGAAATCGTCCACATGACCGAGGACGACACGACGTCGAGCAGCCGCATCTTCATCAAGATTCTCTTCCAGGAGATGCTCGAGAAGATTGGCCAGAAGATCCTCGTCGAGCGCTTCAAGGAGCCCTCGATGCAGCCGGCGTTTGCCAACATCTTCCCGCGCGCGAACCCAAAGGACACGCGATTCAGCATCAACTACTTTACCTCCATCGGCCTCGGGCCGCTCACCGAGGAGATGCGCGCGTATCTCAAGGACGTGCCGCGCATACTCGCGCAGCAGGCCGCCCTGGCGAAGGCGCAGCGCGCGCAGGAGTCGTCGGATGACTCGAGCGAGCTGAGCAGCAGCGACGAGTCTTCGAGCCTGAGCAGCAGCTCGGGCGACAGTCGCTCGCCGCCGCCCAGACGCAGAAGACGCTACTCGAGCGACAGCGACAGTCGCAGTCCTGCGCCTCGTCGACGCGCGCGCTCAGACTCGCGCTCTCCGCCGCCGCCGCCACGACGGCGTGCAGACTCGCGCGCGGACTCGCGCAGCCCTCCGCCGCGGCGTCGCTACGATGACTCGCGCAGTCGCAGCCGCAGTCCGCCGCCGCGCCGTCGTGACGACTCGCGCTCGCCTCCGCCCAGCAGGCGTCGCTACGACTCTCGCTCGCCTCCGCCGAAGCGCAGACACGCTGACTCGCGCTCGCGCTCGCCGCCGCCGCAGCGGCGCCGCTACGACTCGCGCAGTCCTCCGCCGCCGGTCAGGCGCGCTGCAGCTCGCGAAGACTCGCGCAGCCCGGTGCCGCGCCGGCGCGTAGAGTCGAGGAGCCCGGTGCCGCGTCGCCGCGACGATAGCCCGCCGCGACGGCGGGACGACAGCCCACCGCGTCGCGGCGGCGGCTACGACGAGCGCGGTGCGCCCCCGCACATGCGCAGTGGAGCAGGAGGCGGATACGGCAATGGCAGGGACGCGGGAGGACTGGGCGGATACGGAGGAGCCGGTGGCTACGGTGCCCCGCGCGGCGACGATCGCCCACCACGTGGACTGCCGCCGCGCGACAACGGCTATGCGCGGCGCGCTTGAGCAGGGAGAAGCCTGGGCATCAAAAGGGAGCATTGGGATGGGGCGAGAAGGAAGGTGAAGTAATGCGCAACACACTACTACTGCACGAGCGCGAGATGAAGAGGCGAGGACGATGAGAGGCAAAGAGGGCGCGAGAAGCATGGGCAATTAAGACGGACTGATGTGGAGGAGCTTGGCTGCGCGAGCGGGACGAAGACAGATTGGTCAGATGGGCTGAGGATGAGGGGGGAAGGGGAGAGACGAGGTGGCTCGGCGGAGGAGGTAAAGGGCGATGGCGGTAGAAAGGGCAGTAGAACGGCAGCGGCGCGGCGGCGGGCAGCGAGCGAGAGGGACGAAGCATCGACGCTTTGTGGCGGGCAGGTGAGAAGGCAGAGGCGGTGGTGACGAAAGTGAAGAGCCGCAGCGGCCGAACGTCGAAGCAAGCAGGCGTGCAGCGCAGTGCACCTGTGGACTTGACGCCAGTAGGTCGAAGGCGGGGACGGCAAAGTAGCGAGCCCACGGCATAGGTCGGGGGTCGAGAGGCAGACAGAGACATGGCGCTCATGCGCGTCCTGTGGCCGTCTCACGTCTCAGCGGCGAGCTCTTTGCCGCACTGACGCTGTTCGCCGCCGCCGTCGAAGTCGAGGCGTTGGCTGCGCCGGCAGCCGTTGGCTCGTCGTCGGTGCTGCTGGCGACAGTGAACAGACTGTGGCTCGTGTTCGGGCGTGTCGCAGGCGTCGCTGCGGGTGCATCGTCGCCGCAGAGACTGGCGATGCTGACGCGCCGCGTGTTGAGCTGTTCGGGCGGCGGAGGCTCCATGTCTTCCTCCTCTTCCTCGCTGCGAGAGCTGGTGCGTGCTCGACTGGCACTGTTGCCCTCCTCGCCGAAACGCGGCGGCGCAGGCAAGTCACCTGCGGTGAAGGGGCGATGACGCTTGGCGTACGAGGATGACGAGAGGGACGCGAGCGACTTGCGCTTGCCCAGCAGACTCTCACGCTCCAACGGCGGCAGCACGTCGAATGCCACGCGCTCGCGCAGCACTAGACCGCTCGAGCTGCCCGGACGACTGCGCGCCGCAGCAGCGGCTGCGCCCGAGGAGCTGAGCGGACGCTCGAGGTGCGCCAGACCCGAACTGCTGCCGGGGCGCTCTCGCACTCCCAGCCTGTCGCTCGTGGTCTCGCGCGGCAGCGGTGGCGGCTGGAAGAGGAAGGGCGATGAGCCTGAAGGCTGAATCGAGGTCGACGTCGACGACGACAGAGGCGGCGGCAGACCGGAGCGCGAAGGACGACGCTGCTCGGCGCCGGAGTTGGTGCCGGGCCGACCGTCGAGGGTGGTCGGTAGAGACATGCTCGGCGGATCGAGGAGACCGCCACGCGAAGTCGGGCGCGAAAGCCCACGCAGTGTGGCCGAGAGTCCGGAAGGCTTGCCATCTGCGCCGTTTGCTGGACTCGTGAGCGGCCGTCGCTCAGCCGCCGCAGCCGAGAGCGAGTCTCCGAGGCGAGGCAGCGTGTGTCCCGCATCAATGCTGCCGCGCGGCGTCGCGAAGGGCGGCGGAATACCGAGCCCGCCAGAACTGCGGGGCACACCGAGAGGCGAAGGACCCGAGGCGGTGTTGGGACGACTGAGCGAGGAGAGAGGCGGCAGCACGGGCCGATCGGTGGGCGTCTCGGGACGTCCGAAGGCCGAGGCTCCACCGCTCGACGAGATGAGACCACGGCCGTGCGACGAAGTGGGCGGCGGCAGACCGTGCGAGCTGCTGGGCAGTGGTGGCAGCCCGTGCGAGCTGCCGGGCAGCGGCGGCAGGCCATGCGAGCTGCTGGGCAGCGGAGGCAGACCATGCGAGCTGCTCGGCAACGACGGCAAGCCATGCGAGCTGCCCGGCAACGGCGGGCTCATGCGTTGCTGCTGCGTGAGTGGTGCTCGCATCTGCAGATGTGCCGCCAATGTGCTTCCGAAGCTGCTCGACGTGGTTGCGGGCGGCAGTGAGTGTGACTGCTGAGCAGGAGGAGGAGCGTGATGTGCTGCCATAGGCGGCGGCGGAGGCGGGGCATCGTGCTTGAACGGCGCTGCGTAAGGTTGAGTCTCGGGCGCAAAGCGCCAATCGGTCTCTGAGCCATTGCCGAAAGCCGCGTATGCCGTCGGCGAATCGTGCGTCTGCGTCGGTGCGCCGTTGCTCGTCCATGCCGCGCCATGCGACGCCGCACTCGGCGCCGCAGCAGCGGGCGGCGCAGCATCGTACCCGTAGAAGCCAGGCGCCGGTGCGCCGTATGCGCCAGACGCTGCAGCTTCGTACTCCGGTCGACTCTGATCGAGGAAGCCGTATGCAAAGCCGTGCTGTGGTGCTGCGGCCTGCGGCGATGCCGACGTCGGAGCAGCGTAAGGCGGGAACGCATTGGGCGCGGGAACTTCCGGCGACGAAGCATAGCCTGGTGCGCCGCCTGCGTACGAGGTAGGAGCGCCAGGCGAGTAGACGCTCGGATGAGCAGGCATCATCTGTCCATAGACGCTCGGCTGTGCTGGAACGCCATAGTGCGCAGCTGCAGAGCTGGGCTCCATCATGGAAGCACGACGCGGCTCGTGTGCGCGAGCATCGATGCTCATGCGACTCGACCTTGCGTTCTTGGGCACGCTCTTGCGGCGCCCATTCTCCTCCATGTGCGCATGCGTCTGTGCGGCAGGGTGTTGCTGCATCATGCCTCCGGGTCCAACGACGCCGACAGGCTTGCCGAGCACTTGAGCGCGCGCATGCTGCGTCTGTGCGGCGTTTGCAGCGAGCGTCGTGTGCAGCGAGACGAGCTCCGTCATCATCGTCTCGTTGCGCTCTGCTTCGTCGGCGTGCACGGTGTGCGCGTGTTGGCGGAGGTTGTCGAGTCGGGAGAAGGCCTTGCCGCAATGGCAGCGGAAGGGACGCTCGCCGGTGTGTTTGCTGGACGCGACGGGACTCAGCGACTTTTTCTCGCGATTAGTACTGCTTCGCGCCGGCGCTACTCACCGAACATGGCGCGCCAGATGCTCACTGCGCGTAAAGACCATCTTGCAGTCGCCAAAGCCACGGCACTGAAACATCGTCACTGCGCTGCCTCCCTCGCCCTTGTCGTCCTCCACTCCGTGCCCATTGCTCTGCGACGGCGGCGCGACGCGCGCTTCGGAAGAGCGCTTGCGGTCGCGCGTCAGCGTCTCGCTGGGCCGTCGAGCTTGCTGCTGTTGCTCCGGAGAGTGCACGTCGTCGGGCACTGCGAAGCTTGCGGACGGAGGAGCTCGCATGTGCTGAAAGTGTGCCGAGGGAGGCGGCTGCATGTGCATCATGCCTGCTGGAGCTGCCTTCATGTCGCCGACGTGCTGCTGCTGCTGCTGCTGCAGCATCAGAGGCGAAGGCTTGACGTCGGCCTGCTCCATGTACTGCATCTGCGCCTGCTGTTGCTGCTGCTGCTGCACGCTGCCGCCGAGGGCGGGCGAGGCGTAGGGCGAATGCTGCACGTACTGCTGCGGCGGGTATGCTGGCGAGGGCACGGCGTACTGCTGCCCGGGTGCAGGCGCGTAGTGCATCTGCTGCGGCGGCGCCGGCACGCCGTACTCGGCGGGATGATGCGGGTTGTGCGGGTGGTGGTGCGGGTGGGCATACGCCATCGGATGCTGTTGCGAGGGTGCTGCACCGTTGCTGCTGCCCGGCGGCGGCGGCGGAGGAGGAGGAGCATACGGCGCGCCCTGCGCCGCAGCGCCGCCGGCCATGTACGGCGAGGTGTTGGCGCCGGGCATGGCCATGCTGCTGGGTATGCGCTGCGAAGAGGGTGCAGCGATGGCGGAGCGGTGAGGGAGAGAGAAGGAGGGCGGCGCTCAACGACGACACGTCCGTGCGAGGGACGGGAGCCGAGTAGGGCAGCAGTAGCGGTGCCTGTCAGGAACGGTGCGCGCGAATGCCGCGCCCTGACGCCCTCGAGGGGCCGTCTGCGTGGGCAGGCTTGCAGGCGCGCAAGATGCGCTGCGGATGCGACGGTGCCAGGACCCGGCGCAGCGAGATGGAGCAGCGACGAGCGAAGGCGAAGGAGAAGTAGTGGATGGTGAGGAAGAGGCGAGCTCGGCGGCGGCGGCGACGACGACGACGAAGCGGCAAGCGGCGTCCTGGCCGAGAGGGCCAACGATGGCGGCAGCGGGCGGGCGGGCGCAGGCGCAACGCAGCGCAGCAGGCACCTCAAGCTCGCGCGCCGCCGCGCCCTCTCCAGCGCCTCGGCCTGCTGCGCTGAGGGGCACACGCCGCGTCTGCCGCTGTCTGCTGCAGGCAGGCCGGCCTTAGCGTCCTTTTTTAGCGTCCTCTCTGCAGCGTGCAGCGAGCGTGCAGCGCTCCAGCCTCTCTCTCACAGGCGGCCGGCCGGGTGGGTGCCGCAGTGCCTCAGCTCTGACTCTGCTCGGACAGCCGCTCAGCGCCAGCTTGACAGCACGCCGACAGCCTGCAACGGAAGCAGCCCTCTCGCTCTCTCTCTCTGCGCAGGGCAGCACTTCCAGGACAGGCTCGGTGCCTGCGCAGGCACCGCCGGCTCTTGATGAACGCCCCTCTCCAACGCCGCTCTGCCGCTTCTGTGCCGCGTGCCGCGCATCGCGCTGTTCATCTGTACCTCGCTCCTGAGAGGCCGCTGGCGGTACGTCCATCCGCAACCCTCCGCGAGCGGCACCAAGGGCTGCTCTGCGTAGCTGTGCTGCTGCGTTCTGGGTGCTGCACCCCTGGTGCTGCGTGCTGCGTGATGCGCTGCTGCCGAGTGAGCGGCAGCAAGACCATCTTGATGAAGCCGCCGTGCTTTCCTGCCCGAGATGCCCGCAGCTGCACCCTGCCTCTTGGGCCGCCGGCCTGCGGAGCGTGTGCGGAGAAGGGGCGAGAGCGGCAGCACGAGCACGCCGCATCCGACAGAAGAGGCCGCACAGGCGCGCCGGCCACCGACGTCTCCGCCAGCGGCAGCTTGCGCCCATCCCATCTCGATTCCGCAGGCACGGCAGCGCAGGCTGACCTCCTCAGAACGCTCCGGGCGCAGAGACATACAAGCGACACCTGCGAATAGTGCCACTGTGCAGCGCCCACGTTGAGCGCCACAGGAGGAGAGTGAGGGGGCAGCTAGGGCCACGCAGATCGTGCGCTGCATTTCCGGGGCCTCTTCAGCTTGCTCAGCGTCAGCACGAGGAAATGAAGCGTGGCGAGGCCCACTGCTGCAGGAGAGAGAGACACGAGAGCGTGGATGTCGAGGCCCGCAGCTCGTCCAGAAGCGAGAGCCAGAGCCAGAGGCAAGGCGGCAGCGGTGGTGGGCGGAGAGATGGCGTGCGCGCGGCGCGCGCCAAGCCCTCCTCGCCCCGCCGGCGCTGCCGGAGCTTGCGCTTCTAGCCGGCCGATCTCAGACCGCACCATGTGCGAGCTCGTCCAACTCCACCCTCTCGCTGCACCTGCACCCAGCACGCAGCGGCGGGTGAGAGATGAGGAGGGACGAGAGGTTACGCCGCGCTTCCAGGCCCTCTGCCTCTTAGCGTGCTCTCGCCATCCCAGCGCGTTGGAGCGGCGCTAAGGCCGCGCATCTTGCAGCTGTGCGACATCAAGGCCACCACAGCCCCAGCCGAGCGCAGGCAGCCACGGCCCATGACCGCAGTGCCGCATGCCGCGAGCTGCAGCGTGGAGAGTGCGGCTCCGCCATCTCAACGTGAGTTGCAGGCTGCGGTGCCGGGGAGCATGGGTACAGGGCAACAGCGTGAAGACGCCATGCCGACGGCTGCCGGCGCCCGGCGCGCGGGCTCCTTCTCCTCCCCTCCTGGTAGGCCGAGCGCCGAGCCCGCACGCCGCCGCCCGATGCCGAAGCTGCTGCAGCCGGCAAGTCCAAGACACCACCAGCATCAGCACGGCGTGCAGACGGAGCCGCCTTTGCCATCATGCGCGAGGCGTGTCATGCTTACGACTGCGGCACTGCGGAGCGGAGCATTCTTGCTTCGGCTTCGGGCAGCGCGAGAGACGAGTGCAGAGGGATGATCTGCTTCCGCACTCGTACTACCGCGCCTCGCCGAAGCCGAGAGCTGCCGTCGACCAGGCGACTGAGAGCAGGTGTTCAGCGCCGGCATCTCGTCGACAAGACGGCGCGACATGCACATGACTGGAAGGCGATCTGCTTCCTTCGAGGAGAAGTAGAGATGGCCAGCCGCTCACCTAGCCTGGATGGAGCTTTGAGCCTCCTCGAGGATCAATCTATGCGCCCGTGCCCTCTTTCCAGGTACCCGCAGGCACGGCAGGATTGCAGTGGGCAGGCACAAATGACTTTTGCCGACCGTGAAGGCGCAATCGGGCGCAGCACACTGAAGAGCAGATGGACTCCCTGTGTCGAGAGGGGGAAAAGCCCTGCCTGATGCTGCCGCCTGTGGCTGCTTTTCTCCTCTCATGGCTGCTCCTTGCGCTGCCATCTCACCTCAACATGCTCGCTGCGCGAGCCGACCGCCGGCGTGGGGCGCAGCGATCCGCGTGATCCTCCCTCCAGACCAGTTACGCTATATCGACACCGACACCCGAGTGTCTCACCTGCCTTTCAGAGGGGCAGGACCGCATTCGGTCTCTCTCACCTAGTCCAGGGTGCGCCTTGCGGCGTCCAGCAGGCCCGCCGCGGGCGCTTGACTGGCTCGAATGTTCCGGCACGCAGCTGCGTCCACGAAGATGAGGAGCGCCACGCAAAAGATGAGCTGGAGAGACGAGCTCCTGCGCCACGCTTGGAGTCCAAGCCTCCCGTGACCAGCGCATGCCGCAGAGGGTAGCACGTGTCTCCGCGCGACCGGCGGGGTAAAGGTCGCGAGAAGAGGCACAGCTCGAAGTGGACGGGCGAGGACAGGTCCGAAGGGCGTCCAGCGTCGTCTCTTCGACATTTCCAAGCTGCCTCACGCCGCTCGCGAATCGTAAGAGCATGAGACCTCTTGTCGCTCATAGCGCAAGGTCAGGCATGACTTCTCGGCTGCTTGCATGGCGTGGCCACGTCGCCCAACTCGCACAGACGGCGTACGCGCGCAAAGCACCCTCGTCGTGAGGCAGCAGCCAAACGTCACGCACGGCGTGGCGTCTTGCCCGAGTCCGTCTTCGCTGGCGCCCGCTTCAAGCGCGACGCACTCTACTCCGAAACGCCGCGCAACACATCCTCACTCCTCCTCCCTGCAAAGCACATCGGCCTCTCGCGTCCTTGACCTACCGCTCATCCTTGCCTCGACTCCCGCAGCTTCTCCCAGACGCAGGGATTGTGACTCTAGCTTCGTTGCTTGTGCATGCATCTCTCTTCACCCCTTCTCCTCTCCCAGCCGACGAGCAGCGTCTCACTTTTTGCCCTTCTTCTTCTTCTTCTTCCCCGCCGCCGCTCCTGGTGCTTGTTGTCCCGCTGCCCCTGCTCCCTCCTCTGCCTTCGGCGCAGCCGCAGCAGCCGCGGCGGGAGCGTCCTCGGCCGCTACAGCCGCGGGCGCAGGCGGCGGAGCGCCCGCCATGGCTGCTGTCAGTTCGGCGTTGAGCGCCTGGAAGCGATTGAGGATGATGGCTGAGCGCGTGCGGTACTTGATCGTCTGAGGGCGCCGTAGAGTAAGCGACGACACAAGGGAGAGGGAGAAGGAGAGGCAAGAGGTAAAGGGGCAGGGACATACCTGAACATCGTCAGTGAGCTTGAGCACTAGGCTTTGTGTGCTCGGATGCGCTTTGATCAGGTACCGAGTCTAGAGGGAGCATGCGTGAGCGCTGAGACGGAGGTGGGAAGGGAAACGGAGGATGTGCATGTGAAGCCAGTCGCACGCTTAGTTCCTGCGCACAGCAAGCGCACACGCCCGCTGCGGCCACAGCGGTGCCCTCTCTGGGCCGCGAGTCTCGCAGCGACTCATCCATCTTGCAGTCCTGCCTCGCTGATCGAAGCTGCCCCCCCATCCCCCGCATCACGTCTGTCTGGTCATACCGGTGACCTTGCGCAGCGCTGCCCGGCTTATGCCACGCGCCACGACTCACCCGCTCCGGCTGTGCAGCGTACAGCGCCGTTGCTGCGCTGTGAAACTCTGCCCAGGACTTGTAGTACACCATGGCTGCGGCTCTGCGGCAGCGGCGGAGGCTGCGACTGCGTCCGGGAGAGCAGGCACGCTGGTGCCGCGGCGCTTCGCTGGCCCTCGTGCGCCAGGGAGAAGAGCAGGAAGCGCTGAAGAGCAGCTGTGCGTGCGTAGAGATCGGTGATGACGCAGACGCTGAACGAGCGGAGAGACGTGATGGACGAGGAGCGAGGTGGGATGCCGGCGTCTGTGCGGGGCACGCGACCGGGCCAGCCATGGCTGCTGCTGGCGGCGCGCGTCACGTGCGCGCCGTCGCCGCATCTTTCCGCGGCCGCGGCCGCCGCCTCGCTCGCTCGCGTCTTCCTCCCCACCACACCACCCATGTCGCTCTCCTCCGCCCGGCGCGGGCTCACCGCCGCTCTGGCGCCTGCAGTACGCAGCGGTGCCAGCGTCGCACGGCACGCCTCGACGTCTGCCGCTCTGCCCGCCTCCGCGCCTCGTCTGCCTCCCAGCGGCGCAGCCGCCAGCGGCGGCTCCTCGCTGCCTCCTTCTCGCCTCAAGCCCCTCTCACCGGCGCACTACACTGCGCGTCCCACATACATCGACGCACTCCTCACGCTCGAAGACCTCACACGGCGTTCCAAGCGTGCTCTCGAGGGTGCACACGCACTCGCCGCCAACGCACCTCCTCCGCCCGCGCCTCGTCGTGCTCGAGGTTCCAACCTCTGGGGATCTCCAGCTGCGCTGTCCCAATCTCTGGGACTGCCGCTCAAGACGGCACAGTATCGTCAACTCATCACTCGTCTTTCATTGCTCGATCGTTACTCCTCTCTCGTTCGCTCGCATCTCGCATCCGGAGCGGCAGGCGCGGCGAATGCAGAGTTGGCAGTCAGCGTCGAAGAGACGCTGTCGAAGTTTGCGCGCGACGAACGCAAGGGAGAAGCGGTGGAGGAGGAGAGAGAGTCGAAGGTCGACGAGCAAGGCCGGGCGTACTCGCGTGGTCGGAGAAAAGATGCGAGTGCACGAGTCTGGGTCATCCCTACCAAGATCGAATCTACTGCCATCGACGCCACTTCGGACGTCATCTCCAGCGCAGGAGAAGTGCTCATCAACGCACAGCCGCTCTCCTCCTACTTTTCGCGCGTCGATCTGCGCGAGCAGGTGCTTTGGCCGCTGCGCCTTACGGGGACCTTGGGCGCATTCAACGTCTTTGGCTTGACGCGCGGCGGCGGCAACTCGGGCCAGGCTGGCGCGATCGCCCATGGTCTGGCAAATGCCTTGATTGGCTGGTTCGAGAACCAGGCGCGCGAGACGGGAGATGAGGAGCGATTGATGGCGGTGCGGGCGGTGCTGTACAAGGGTGAGTTGCGCGAGCGAGGAGGCGAGGGAGACGAAGCTGATGGAGAGGCCTTTGCGACAGACGGCGTGGCGAAGCGCGACCCGCGCATGGTCGAGCGCAAGAAGCCAGGCATGGCGAAGGCGCGCAAGGCATACACCTGGGTCAAGCGTTGATGCGGTCGCGGCCTCTGCATGAGAAAGCAAAAGGGGGGGGGGGGGGGGGAGGGGGGGTGGTGGCAAGGAAGGCGAGATCGAGAGGCGGAGAGGAGAATGGGAAGTGAACGCAGCGAGATGGAGAGCGACCTCGAGAGGAGGCAGCAATCAATGCGCTCGCGCGCTTCATCATGATGTCGTACAGCCTGCAGCTCGCAGCTCTCGTCCGTGCTCGTCTCGATGGTCTAGCGAGGCATCGTCGCTACTGTCACTTTGAGCCTCTTGCCGCCAATGCAATGCGGAGGGCGTGCCGGTGCGTGGCTAGCGACAGTAAAGGGAGAGAGCAAGACGGAGAGGACACGAGAGCAGCGCTTGCCACAGGCGCTGTGCTCTCTCAAATCTGCCCCAAAGGGCTCGCCAGACGTTGTTGTAGGGAGAGCGGCAGTGGGCGCTCAATTGTGAGGAGCCGTGGGTAGACAGGGATGTCCGCGGCGCTTCCTGAGAAAGCTTCGCGCGAGCCTCAGATCAAGTGGGTCGGACGACAGAAAGCTCTCGATGGGCCGTGCTGCTTTCCAAGCACGATCAATCCATGGCCGCACTACTCGAGTGCCTCTGCGACTGTCGCTTGAGTGCCTTTGCCTCTGCGAGCCCACTCTGCTCCTCTGCCTCGCTGCTCTTTCCGGCCAGCGGCCGTTCTCTTTGCACGCTACATGCGGCTAGCAAGCTCTTCTGCTACTCACTCGTAGATGTTCTAGTGCTACCGCCCGCCCTAGGGAATGACTAGGTCTGAAGCAACGGCTGCGTCAAGACGTCGACTGGGCGCGATGATCGACGACCATCGATGGCGATCGAAGCCGTCTAGTTAGTAGTGTGGTGTAAGAGGGCACGACTGGATCTGGAGACAAGACGGGTCGTCCAGACGAGCAACTGCTTAAGCTCACAAAGAAGCAGAGCATGCAGCGTCGCGCTGCTTGGGAGCAGTACGTCCGCCAGACGCTCTTCGCGCGTGCGCAGGTACATTCTCGGCGCAGAGTCTGAGAGCACTGCGTTCTTCTAGTCAATTCGAAGATATTGACGCCAAAAGCACCGCGACCCGAGGCATGCACTGCTCATCATGGGAGGCAGGGCTTCGCGAAGGGTGAGGCGCCTTGTGACGCGCGTCGCGCCGCGCTGTGCGATGCTGTGGCATGATCGAAGCTTCGCACGCCGGGGCGCCTCTGTTTCTTTCGCTCTCGTGCGAAAAAGGTTCTCTGGGTCTGAATAGCACCTGGAGTAGTGTGCAAGCCATCAGTGGTCCGCATTCTACCCTAGGCATGAAGCGCACCTCCGAGATGTCCCACGCGGCTGAACAGGCGCGTCGGCTTTGGCGAGGAAACCGAAGATCGACGGTGCGTAGCCTGACTCTGAGACTGCTCTAGAGCTTTGAGTACTGGCCACATCCTAGCCGTCTGAACGGCCTCGGTCCGACAGCTGTGCCAACGAGGTACCCTGGCCATGCGAGTGCAGAACGAAAGCGCGCGTCTGGAGGCTGGCACGGATTTGGGCGCGCGAGGCGCAGCGGCACATGCTGCCCACTGCGGGGAGAGAAGGCACTGTGCCGCATCGAGCCTACTGTCTGCGCTCTACATTGCCGATCCGCAGCGATACACCTCGACGGCCGATTGAATGCTGTGCGAGCGCGAGGCATGCTGCAGCCGCCGCGCGGGACGGGCGCGGGAGGCGCAGCGCTCAAGGGGCCTCCTGACGCGGCGCCTCCACGCGCGCCGCATTCCGCGCGCGCCGCTAGCCTTGCGCGTAGGGCGCGCGAGAAGCGCGCTTGCGGGGACTCTCCAGCTCTATGCGTGGGCAAGGCTCAGCATCGCAGGCGGTAGCATTGAGCCTATGCTCAGACAGAGCTCTTCTCGTCCAAGGTAGCATGTCCGTGCTCAACGCGTGGGCGACGCGCATGACGCGCGGGCCTAGAGTCGACACTCAACATTGCCCCGTCCGCAGTTAGGCTTGGGCGTGACGTCTGCAGCGCTCCCGATGCTCTCTCTGACGGCACGCCACGTTCTGCATCGTGGGCGCCGATCGCCGTTGCCAACTGTCTGCCCGGCCGTTGCTGCGCCCAAACTCGCGCAGGAGCGCGCTGCACCGTTCATGCCCCATGAGCATCTAGCCCACGCTCCTCGCCGCACGTCACAAGTCAGACTCTACATTGCGTCCCTGTCGACCACACCACTGCACGCTCTGCAATGTCTCGACTTGCACCAGACGCATCCCTCGTTCTTCCAGCAATGCAGCCAGCGCCCTCGATGCCCACGCATCCGGATGACATGGCGCTGTCGACTGCGGTCATGGCGTTGCACCGCGCGTCGAACGCCAGTGCGGAGCGTCGGTGGAGCGCATTCGGAGACGCAAGCACGCTGCCCCATGCGCATCGCTGCCTGAAGCACCCGTTCGTCAGTGACGAGCACACATGTGCCATACGCCGCATGGCACATCATGCCATAGTCACTCCCGCTTGCGCAAAGGTACAAGAAGCAGGTCGTCGACGTGCTCTCTCCTCCTTTTTCCTCATCCCACTCCAGCCTCTCGCCTCTTACCTTACTCTTCTCTCTAATCTTCCCCCACCCACCCCACCCTCTCACAACTCCATCATCATGCAGTTCACTCTCGCCGCCGCTGTCCTCGCCCTCGCTGGCTTCGCCGCTGCCAGCCCCACCTACAAGTCGGTCGGCGCCTGCGCCGTCGGCGAGCCCCAGTGCTGCGCCAAGCGCGTGAGTGGGCCTACTTCTCCTCTTCTTCCCTCGCCAGTTCGCTGACAGCGCGCTTCATTTCCCACAGCACTCGGGCGACGACGCCTCGAAGCTGGCGTCGCTCCTCGGCCTCGAGGACGTCGTCGGCGACATCGCTGTCTCGTGCGACCAGATCCCCATCAACATCATCGGTGTGGCGGCGGCCGTGCAGAACCAGTGCAAGAGCGCTCCCGTCTGCTGCGACCAGACCAGCCAGGAGTGAGTCGTCCTGGCCCGTCGCACACTCAATACAGGCCAGCGCACTGACCACTGCTTTTGCGACCCTTCAGCGGCCTCGTGCAGCTCGGCTGCACCAACGCTCCCCTCCAGTAAATCGCCTCTAGCGATCTCTGGGCGATGTTCGACGCAAGCAGCTGCACCTCTTCCTCCCCTCTAACACGACAGGCGAGGGTCCTGACATCCGCTGGACCCTGATCACTCACCTACAACTACTCTGCACTGGCTCGTCGATACCCTCATCTCTTACCTGTCTCGATGTCCTCTTACCTACCATCCTCATCCGCACCTCCTAATCTCACAATCCTTCACGATAACCTCTCGGCTCTGCCTGCCCGAGCTGCTTGCATGGCTAGGATCGTGACATTGCAGCTCCTCCTCTCCGCCTCACGAGGCATTCCGACTCTGATCTGCCGCGCTGCTGGCCCACGGCATATCCTCGTCCAGCGGCGTCTCCTGTCCTCTCGTCTGCGCTGCGCTCGCTGTTGATGGCGCATTGCGCTCCGTCGAGGGGCGTCGTGCATCGGCGGCAGCGTCAGGCGAACGGTGTCTCGCCGCTCTCCTCGCAGCTGCATCAACACTGGGAGTCGCCTCTCCTTCCTGTGCCGCATCGTCTGCGCGCAGGTTCATCCGACTGCGTCGTCGAGTCGGCGTGTTTGGCTGACTCGAGCTACGGCCTCTGAAGGGGCGTGATGTGCTTGCAGAGCCACTCAGGCCACCTGACGGCTGTGTCATGCCGGGTTTAGCAGGCGAAGTAGCAGCGAGAAGAAGATAGGTGCCCTGCGAAAGACCGCCGGACGCAGGCGCCAGTCCAACGATGTTGCGGCGCGGAGTCTTGGACGTAGACCATGGTGCGCTTGCTTGTGAAGTCGCACTGGTGCCTAGCGCTCCGACGTCGCCGGCTTGCGTGCTGCTCGAGACTGTGCCGCTCAGACCTGGTCTCGCCAGACGTGCCCGTCGATCCGCAGATGAAGGCGCTGCAATCTGCAGGCGTGCAGCAGGAGTGGACTCTTCGTGCCGCTCGTCGACGGAAGGCAGCGTCATGCTGACAGGAATGCGCTCTGGACTGTTGCCGTGCGACTCGGACTGAGACTCTTCATCGCCGTCGCCTGACGTCGACTCGTGCTGGCGTGTCAGGACGAAGACTCCGCCGAAGAGCGCGGCGACGCCGAAGAAGAAGTTGATCAGGCGGTGAGGATCTACCCCAGAGAGCCGAATCAGTCAGGTACATAGGCGAGCAGCACGCAGGCACGCACCGACGTCCTCAAAGTCGCGGAACAGGATCGCGGCGCCGATGATGGCCGAGAGGGTGAAGAGCACATACTGCGTCGGCTGGGATGCGTTTGCATCAGCATTGGTGCTCCGCCTCGCCCAGCCGCTTCTCAACTCACGATGACTTCTCTTGAGTCGAAGCGCTGCAGTGCGCGATTCAGGTAGGTGAGCTGCAGCACGGCCGTGCCGGCCAGCACGACAATGAGAGCGTAGGTAATGGGAAAGCTCAGCAGCTCGAGCGGGCGACCGCCAGAAAGAAGCGAGGAGATGCCTTTGGTGCTCAGCACCGTGAAGCCGCCTGGGCGGAAGCGCCATGTCAGCGGCAAGCGAGCCTCGGCAATGCTTGAGACTCACCAAAGATGGCGCACACTCCAATGTCGATCAGCACGAAGCGCTCGCCCCACTTTGTGCGACTCATGCTTGCCAGCACCGCACCCAGCGCGCAAGCGGTGATCGAGTACGCGACGAACTCCTTGCGCATGATGGCGTGGAGCAGGCCATCGGGGCCCAGGCGCACATCGCTGTCGCGCGATGCAAACACGACCGTGACGGCGCCGACGATGCACAGGAAGATGCCGAAGAGGTCAGAGACTTGGAAGCGCTCTTTGAGCAGAAAAGGAGAGATGATGACGTTGGAAAGCAAGGCTACGGCGCCCAGCGGCGCGACGAGCGAGGCAGGTGCGAAGCCGTATGCTGAACAGATCGTCAGCAGAGTCGGCAGTCCCTCATACACAGTCCTACTCACAGAGGAAATTGCCGCTCTCGCCCAGCACCATCAGTCCAAAGCCCAGCCACCACAGCTTGCTTCTCAGGAACTGCGTCGTCGGACCCTGATGCTCCTCCTCCGCCTCATCGTCCGACCCCGACGCCGGCGTCTTTCCTCCGCCGTCACCGCGCAGCGTGCCCGAGGCTGAAGTGCTGCCCGATGCCTGTTCTGCATCGCTGCTGCGCCCGGTAGCGCCGTACTTGCTGCCGTCGCGCGCCTGCGTCGGCGAGAGGAGCGGCAGATTCTCGGTGCGCGCTCGCTGCTCGGCTGCATCCTTGTCCACGACGACGACAATGCCGAGCACATTGTCGCCCTTGGGCGCGTGCTGTGCCGCAGTCGGCGAGAGGGCCAGTCTCGGCTCGCCCGCTTCGGTCGAGGCATGCGCTGCGCCCTCCTCATCGCTGCTCTCTCCCGCCTCCTCGCCGCTGCTCTCGCGCTGCTGCTGCTGCAGCCGCGTGTGCGCCAGTTTCTGGCAGTTGAGCGCCAGCGAGATGATGACGTTGGCACAGAGACAGATGATGACGCCCACGATGGTCGCTTGCGCCGGCGACTCGGTGAGCAGCAGCATGGCTGCCTCGAGGCGTGCGGCCATCGCGCGTGGAGGTGCGGAGGTGGAGTGAGACCCGACTTCGCGGCTCGCGCAAGGAGATGACAGAGAGCGCAGTGGGCGCACTGAGTGTGCGAGAGCAGCACTGAGGAACAGTGAGCGGGCTTGCTGGGCGGATGCGACGTGCTGGGGCAGGAGTGGTGGCCGGAAAGGAAGCGGGCCGGCGGCAGCTGTCAGCCGAGATGCAGGAACGGCGAGAAGATGTGGCGCCGCTGCCGGATGACGGGCCGGCGAAAGGCGGAATAGAACTCGGCCCGCAGCGCGATCAGCATCCCCGATGTGCGCTAATGCGCGACTACAAAATCTGAGCCCGCCGTGCGCACGCGCCCACGGCTCGAAGTGGAGTCGCCGCGCCGCGACCGCGACTGAGAGCGACAGGCGGCCTGTGCGGGGAGAGGAGGACAAGGGAGCTCGGCAGCTGGCTCCCTTCCTCACCACCACCGCTCGCACCTCGCGCCCGTCGCCTGCGGCTCCCGCACCAACATCCACCGGCACCGCACCCACACCGCACGGTGACGGCGCGCCGGCATCGCAGGCACGCACGCCGTCAGCGCGTCGCGTAGAGTGCCTCGAGGTGCACTTTGTGTCGGCTCGATTGCAGCGTGGGAAGGGCAGAGCTCGAGCGCTTCTTGCCCGTCGAGTTCGAGTCGCGCAAGCGTCGCACGCCACCTCATACTGCACGACCACTTCGTCACTCGCTGATCGTCTGCGCTCGTCATCCCCACCACCTCGCACGGTGCAGCCTCCGTGAAGCAAGCCTGGGCTCGCGCCTCGCTCCGCACACAGCGTCGCCCGTTCACCAGCCTCTCCGCCACGCGCGCCGCCGCCGCTCGTCGCGATGCCCTCTCGTGCGCCGAAGGTCAAGCAGGTGTGGCTGCGGCACGAGCCGTCGCACGTGCAGGCAATCATCGAGCCACGCGTCGACGACACGACGCCGTTCCACATCGTGCCTCGCGTCTCGGAAGCAGCAGCGAATCTGGAGCGCTCAGCGATGCTCGGCGCCGAGTTGTTCGCGCCCCGCGACGCCGAGTTCAACGTGCGCGTCTGCTTTCTCCCGTCGGCGGCGAGCGCCCTCGATAACACATACTACGGCCCCGAGCCGGAGAGCAGCTACGTGCTCACGGTGCGCATCTACAACGAGGACGGCGCCCTGGAAGCCAAGAGCTTCTGCAGCTTCATCGTGAGTGTGCCGCCGCCAGCCTCGTGCGTGCGACGCTGTGCTCACCGCTGCTCTCCCGGCAGCACAACACACTGTGGCGCACGTACAGCATCAACTGCGATCTTCTCGACACAGAGCACCACTGGCCGCTGCTGAAGCATCACGAGAGCGACGCAGAGCAGGCGCCGCTCTGCATGGGCGCGCGCGTCGAGTGCGAGGTGCGACGCACCGTCATCTATGGCTTCGACGACGAGGAGGGAGAGCGCCGAGAGAGGGAGATGGAGGAGGTAGACCATGACTCAGATGATGGACCGCCCGTGGTGAGTCTGCTCCCGCTTCGCGCTGCGCATCGACTGCATTTGCTGAAGGAGCGCCCGCGTGCAGGCGACGTTCTGCTGGCTGCGCAAGGACCCCTCGACGCGCACGACGGCCGTGTCCGAGTCGCCCGGCGCGCTCTCCGTGCTGTCTTCCGTCTCCGACCAGCTTTCGCAGTCCAGCCCGACCCGCAAGAAAGCTGCGCCCTCGCCTGCGCATCCCAAGCACATCCTCGTCCCCGACTCTGCCGAGTCCTCGACGAGCAACTCGCGCTCCGTCCTTTCGTCCGAGGAGGAGGACTCTGAGCCGTCAGGATCGCCTGAGGCGCCGTCTCGCCGCCGCTCGCCTTCGCCCTTCGTCCCACCCGAGGCGGCGCGCGCAGGCAGCTCGCGCAAGCGCAAGCCAGCTGCGAACGCGCGTGTTGAGAAGGCCGTTCCTGCTCCTTCGAGCAGCACCCCGGCGAGTCAGCGACCCAAAGCACGGCCGTCGGCGCTGCGTACGCAGCGCGGGTCCTCTGGTCAGCGAGAGGCTCCTCGCCCGCAGGAACCTCGGCCGGAGGTCTCACGCCACGTCGTTTCCCCTAGTGTCTCGAGCCTAGGAGCAAGCCCGGCCAAGAGCGTCAGCCAAGAGGCTTCTGCTTCCACGAGCGCAGCCGCTGCCGTCGCTCCGCATCTCAGCGACGACATCGTCTCCGCCGGCATCGCAGCGGCGCACGAGCAGACGCAACGGTACGCGCCGCAGGAGGCAGAGCCCGTCGAGGCGGAGTCGCACGCAGCGCCGCACGAAGAGGGCGAGTGGCAGGACTTCGGCGACGACATGAACGACTGGCCCGGGCCTTCCGCGACGAACGGAGGAGGCGGCGCGCAGGACAACAGCGGCGACTCGGTGATGCTCTCGTCGGCGCCACTGGAGCGCACAGCCTCGAGGCTGCCGATGGTCCCAGAGCCGCAGCCGGCTCAGCAGCAAGAGCAGCCATCGCACTCGACGAGATCTGCGTCGAACTCGTCGGCGCTGGAAGTTGCCGCCCAAGTGCTGTCTGCGCCTCTCGCAGCCCGGCCGAGCGGCTCGTCGCACACTCTGCATTCGGAGTCGCCCTTCGGCCAGGGCCTGCCGAATCTGTCGCCGCGCGCACGCACGGCCACTCGCACCGCCTCAACGGAAGTGTACTCGCCCCAGCCTCGGCCGGCGTCGATGCTTTCCGACGCACGAGTCCCACTCAATGGCGCGGTCGACAATCGCTTCGCGTCGACGTCCTTCCGCGACCACTCGGTGCTGAGCGACGCACGCGCGCCATCGATGTCGGCGCCGGCTCAACGCGCCGACTCCGTCGTGGCGCATGCCGCCGCCGCTGCCTACTCAAACGGCATCAAGCGCGGCGAGTCGTTCGACGAGCTGCAGTGGCAGGAGCTCGCGGCGCTCGGCATCAAGCGCGGCGAGTCGTTCGACGAGCTGCAGTGGCAGGAGCTCGCGGCGCTCGACAAGCACGAGCTCGTCTCGCAGCTGCTGCAGCTCAAGAAGGAGTACGACGGCGAGCAGCGGCTCGGCGACGGCTTCTATCAGACAACGATGGTAGGTGGCCTCCGCAGCTATCTCAGCCCTCTCTCATTCTGACGCTTTTGTCTTTGCTGCGCAGAAACAACGCGAGGAGCTCATCCGTCTGAAAGAGTCGCATGCGCGCGAGCAGAGCCGCGTCAAGGAGGAGCACGCCTCGGAGATGCGACGGCAGGCCTCTGCTCTCTCACGTGCCGAAGCCGAGCTCGCAGCACTGCAGCTCTCCACCAAGGAGACGATCAGCAAGCTGGAGGGCGAGCTCGACGGCACGCAGCACGAGCTGGGCAACGCGCGTGCGGAGCTGCGCTCGCTGCGCAGCAAGGTCGAGCGGCTCGAGACGCCGGATCGCGATGCGGTGCGCCGCAAGCGCGCCGAGGAGCTCGAGCGCCTCGTGGCGGAGGAGAGGATGGAAGGAAGCTCGAAGCGCCTCCGCACCGGCTAGCGGGCGCGCGCCATGAACCGCCGAGATACCAGCCCTATCACACCCTGTTTCCCCCTCCTCCGCTTTCGCTCCTCTTCTTCAATCGTTACGCCTCATCATGTCACCTCATTCACCTCTACGACCATGCATTGACACCCCATTCACCGTGCTTGCGCGAACGAGAGGCGAGGGAGAGCGAGAGAACCAGTCTACTGCTTTGCTGCTGCGTGCGTCATCGAGCCCCTCACCTGCGCTCCATCGTCCTCTGCTCCCACTTGCCCACCGCCGCCTTGACGAAGCTGTCGCTCGCGAACGACGCGCCTGGTCCTCCGACGCCCAGGCCTCTCGCTCCACTGCCGCCGACGCTTGGCGAGGCGAGCTCCCAGCTAAAGTCGAGGCGTGGCGTGCCGTTCTGTCCGGATGCTTGAAAGGCCCGAGGAGAGGTGACAAGCGGAGCATCGAGGTTCGGACTTGCGTCTGGCGAGGCATAGGGATTATGCATCGGCGCGCCTGGCGGCGAGAAGAGGTCCGGCTTCGGCACGACTGGCGCGGCGGCGGCAGCGGGCGCAGCAGGTGTCGACGTCGAAGCGAAGACTGCGGATGGTCCGCCGCCGAAGCCAGGGATCGGAGAGGCGCTCGGCTGCAATGGCACTGGCTTGCGCTGTGGCGACTTCGGGATCCCCGGGCCGAATGACTGCAGAGAGGGCAGACCTTCTTTGCGCGTCTCGGTGCTGTCCGTGTCCGCAGAGACGGCGGTAGCAGTGGTCGCGACGCTGTCTTTCCTCAGCAGTGCCTCGGAGCTGTACAGCTGCCATGCGCTCTTCCCGACTGCTCCTGCGCCTGAAAGAGGAGGAGAGGGAAGCGTGCAGCCGATGCCCATTTGCTCTGAGAGCGAGGCCGCCGGCGCTGGCAAGGCGCGCCAGACTTCGAGGTTGGCGGGCAGTCGGAGTACTGCTGCGTCGGCGAGCGCGACATAGCGCGCCAGCTCGAGATGCAGCGGCGCATAGTAGCTCTGCGACGCTTTCCGCAGAGTCTGTTGCATGCCAGACGTGATGAGCTAGAGTCTGGCTACGCCTGGCAGGCGCAACTCACAGCGAGAACACGCTCAAGTCCGCTGGCGAAGAGCAAGTCGTGGAACATGGTCGCTGCGCTCTGGCCATGCAGCACGCCGCCCATCGTCTGCAGATCCGAGCCGACGCGGTTCAAGAGACGCAGTTGCATCGTCTGTTCGAGATCCCGGCGCGTCAGCTCGCCCGCGCCTGGTCAAAGCCGCATGACTCACCAGATAGCCCATCGCCTCAAACTCCACGCCACCCGTCATTCCTCCCGGCACCTTCGGGGCCTCTGCATCCGCCTGATCCACGTCCGGCAAGTGCCAGAAGCGGTTCTGGCCGTGGCAGAAGACCCAGAAGTAGTCTCTGCACACGCCGGCCAGCTCGTTCATCCAGCACTTGAATGGCCGACTGACGTGTCCTGCCTTGACAAAGTCGACGAGCGCTGCGCGAGACGCATCTTGCGGATTGTGGAGGAGCGACAGGAGCGCTTGAGAGGGATGCAGATGATGAGGCGGCGGCATGGCTGCGTGCAACGCCGAGCTCTCGCGGGGCGACAGGCCGCTGGTGGCGTTGCTGATCGGCAGCGAAGGCAAAAGAAGAAGAACCTCGACGAGATGCCGTCGTGTCGTCAGGTCACCCGGCTTCTTTTCGGAGAAGAGAAGATCTGTGAGCTGGGCGAAAGGCTTCAGAGCTCTCGAGGCGAGCGCTGCTTTTCCTCGCTGCACATCGGGAGGCTGCGTCAGCTGCGCTACTGGAGAAGAGGAGCGCGGCACAACTCACGTCTGTGGTGTTCAGCGCTACGAAGCAGCGTAGCAGCTCGTGTAGCAGCAAGTCATCGTGCTGTTCCTCGCGCCACTCCATCGCCAGCAGCTCATCCAACCGCTCGATGAGCGCCGTGTAGCCGCCCGCCGCGCAGAACTCGTGGATCCAGCTGGGCGACTCTGCCGCAAGCACGACTCTGAAGTTCTTGACGCGCGCATTGTCGAGAGACTGAGCGGGCGAGGAGCGGAGGAATGTGCTGAAGGAAGCTGGAGTCGAGGAAGATGGCTCCTTGGAGAAGGCACGCGAGCCCAATGGCGGAGAGAAAGGCGAGGCTGAAGAGCCGCCGATGAAGACGTCTGGCGCGTCGAGCGGCGAGTGCACTGCTGGCCGCCCGCTCTGGAAGCCAGAGGCGCTGCGTGGCACCTCGGGCTGAGCAAACGCAGCAGCAGCAGAGGTGCGGCGCGAGTCAAGCCCAAAGGAGCCGAGATTGAGTGTGGCGTTGCCCCGCAGCATCGAGGCCTTCACCGCCGGCTCGAGCGAGTTGAGCTTGATGCGCAGCGCTGCGGGAACCTCTAGTGTCTCCTGCTCGCCGAGCAACTTTCAGCGCTGCGCCTCCAGCCCCTCCTCCTGTCCACTCACCAGCAGTGCTTCGAACTCCTTCTCCACACCCAGGCCCTTCGGTGCATCACCTAGTCTTGGCCTTGCCTCGTCCCGCGATGCAGGCTGACGTTTGGGGCTGGGGCTGCGTCGCAGTGCCTGCATGATGCTCTTCCCCGGACTGACTCTCCGCTGCTGCTCCTGCTGCGGCCGCACCTGTTGCTGCGAAGCCGGCGCGCGCGGTCGACTTTGTGCGTCGAGCTTGTCGAGCGTGAGAAGCGGCGGCGGGAGGGGCATGCTGCGTCCGCGCGAAGGCTGCAGCAGGGGAGAAGTAGGTGCAGAGCTGCGAAGCTCATTCTCCTGATCCGTACTGGGCGCCGTAGGCTGCCTGGCACGCAACATCTCCCGACGGGTGGGCGAGGGTGAGCCTTCGAGGCCTGCAGCGCCCGGCGCTCGTGTCCGCTTGGTGGGCGAGGAGCGCGTGAGTGTCGTGCCGCTGCCGACGTGCTGCGGCGACATTGGCGGCGGCCGTGGGGCCGGATCAGAGGAGGCCTGCATGGCTGCGCCAGGGTGGTGGTGGTGGTGTAGACCGAAGGAGGCTGGCGCGCGGCAAGGCGGGCGAGAGCTGCGCGGCGCCGCGCCCCGCTCCCGCGCCGCGGCAGCAGCGGCCTCACCCGTCGAGCGACTCTCCAAGCCCCCTCTTCGCCAGGTCGCGTCGCGCCTTTCAGCTCTCGTACGTCTCACTCGGTCTCACAAAAGCTCTCAATCTACCTTGCTGCTGTTCTCTCGCCTCAATCGCTCGCTCCCGGGCAGAGCAGCTAGCAGGTCGGAGCGGCAGAGCTCGAGAGGCACGCGTGGGAGCAAGCCAACCCGCTGAGGCGCGTCTCCACATCCAAGCAACACCAGGGACGCGAGGCATCACGTGCAGAGTTCGCTCCGTGTGCCGCGGCTCAACTCGTTCCTGCTGCACACAGGCGGGCCGCCCATCGTCGCTTGAGGCCTGCCTTCCATCCACAAGCCGCGGCCCATCCCTCATCAGTGAGTCTGCCCCGATGCCGGCCAGCCAGGCGGAGTTATGTGGCTGTTTCCCACACTTGTGAGCAGCCAGAGGGCTCGCCGAGCTCCCTGCTGCCCCGGACAGAGAGCTGCCAGCATTGCTTCAGAGCGGATGGCATCAGGATGCTCGGCGGGCGGTGCTGCGGCTGCGGCGCTTGGAAGGTCGCGGCGCGGCTGCACGGTCCGCCGCGCTGTGCTCGCGCGCGCCAGCGATCTTCCCGACCCTCTCCACCTCCTCCGCTCCGCACCGTCACTGAGCCTCGCCTCGCGCAGCCATGTCCTCCTACATCTACTCTCTGCTCGGCAAGAGCGATCCCAACAGCTCGCTCGTCGTGCCGGGTGTCGTCGACGGCACACAACAGGCGCTGTGGATCGCTGCCGCCAGCATGTGAGCGCAGCAGCTACAAGTCATCTTCTCTAGACCCCATGACTGATGCCCAAGGCTCTCGACCCCTCTCACAGCTGCTTCAACCCGCTCTACTGGAATATCGTGGCGCAGAACGAGTACCGCAACCGCACCATCACGAAAGTGCTGCAGGGCAACCGCTACCTCGGCTGCTACCTGCTCGGCGCCAGCATCTTCCTGCTCGGACTGCTGCGCGATCATCTGTGAGCCTTGCGAGGACTTCGGACTGTCATCCATAGCTAAACAGGCTGCTGTGTCGGTCCACAGCTACAACACTGCCCTCTCCACGCAGCCCACCTCGCCGTACCTCGACACTCCGCTGGTCAAGCTCGGCGGCGGCGCGCTCTTTGCCGCCGGCAACGTGCTCGTGCTCTCTTCCATGTGGGCCCTCGGCGTCACGGGCACGTACCTCGGCGACTACTTTGGCATCCTGATGCCGAGCATGGTCACGGGCTTCCCCTTCAGCGTCGTGCCTGACCCCATGTACGTGGGCAGCAGCATGTGCTTCGTTGGCGTGGCGCTCTGGTGAGTCTGGTATCGCATCGACATCTCACGGCACAGCCTCTGATGCATGTGCCATAGGTTCGCCAAGCCCGCTGGTCTGATCCTCTCGGGACTCGTCATGGTCGTCTACCTCACTGCTATGCGGTTCGAAGGGTACGTCGCTGCCCTTCTATTCTTCCTGCCCGCTTGTTCTCACTGACACTCGTGCGGCAGGCCCTTCACCTCGAACATCTACGCCGAAGCGGCGCGCGCCAAGAAGCGTGGTGGCTCTAGCAAGAGCAGCACTGCTGCCGCAGAGATCGAAGGACCGGCTGCTGGCACGCGCTCGCACACTGACAGCCCGGCGGCCAGCACGCGGAGTCGTGCCAAGAAAAACTCGAACTGAGCAGCCTCTGAAAAGGGAAGGCGGAAGCGCGGAGAGGGGAAAGCGCGCGGCAAGGGAGGGTGAAGAGTGTCGGTCCGATGAGAGCGAAGGCGGGCCACACCGATGCACGAAATAAAGAGATTCGTTGGCGCAAGACGGGAGCAGGAGGGCATGGAGGTCGCGCGCTTCGGCGCGGAGGTGAGGGGCGGAAGGAGCAGGTGTGGCGAGCAGCCCGCTGACGAGGCAGATGGGCTCAAGCCGGGTAGTTGCCTGCGTCGCAAGATCAGCGCTTGTTCCCTCTCGCTCGTCGCAGCACTCACACTGTCCATCGCGCAGCGCACACCACAGCGGCTGGATCGGCGTAGCCTGAATGCCGCGGCCGACGATGCGGTAGCGCCAGTCGTGAAGGCGGGGCAGTGCCTCTGTCATGCTGCGCTCCTCCATCTGGCCGTTCGTAGTGGCACTAGCGCCCGTCCAGTACACTTCAGCGGCCGAGGCTGCACGAGGCCAGAGAAGACCATCCAGCACGTTCTCGTCGGACTGCTCGCCCCACAGCGCCATTTCGCCGCCGAGGATGCGAGGGTCGCCGACTGTGGTGCCGTTGTAGGGGCTGAGAGAGGTCAGGGTCTGCGCGGCCAATGGAGAAGTGGAGCCTTACTCGAAGACGTATTGACTGAGGACAGAGAGTCAGAGAGAGCTGAAAGATGCGGCCGAGGGCGACTCACTTCTGCCACGACACGTAGGGGGCGTACGAAGGAGCCGTCGTGTTGCCCAGCCACGAGCCGCGTCCGACGTCCAGGCTGCAGGGCATTCTCCATCAGCGCTCTACGGCCCGCTCTTGCAGCTGCAGACTCACTACGCCGCCTGGTAGGGCGCATGAATGAGGCGCACATCTGGGTTTGAGGCGAGAATCTTGGGCACGTAGTCCTCTGCGCCCGTCCACGCTTCGACGATGGTGCCCTTTGCGAGGATCTTGCCCGTCTCTGGGAAATCGATCGCCGCTTCTGCAAGTCGAGTCGCTGTCAGCGCTGAGCCTGCGCATCACCATTCGAGCAGACGCACCTTCCCAGACCATCGGCGTCTTGCCCGCCTTCTGGATGTTGGCGTGCACCTTCTCCACGAACGGCTTGAGGTAGGGCGCATCAAGCTCCTCCTTGCTCGTGGCGTTGTAGCAGTTGAGGTTGACCTCGTCGTTGCCGTGCGCAAAGTACGGGCCCGCAATGAGCTTGCTCGTCTCCTCGATCAGCTCTGCCACGTATGAGTCGACGGCGGAGCTGCCGAGCGCTAGCTGGCCCGACGGCGGCTCGTTCGCCCAGCTGCAGAGTGGCCGTCAACAGCGGAGGACGCTCACTTCTCGCTGCTGACGACTCACTTGCCCCAGTCAGGCTGGTTCGGGCACACCACCAGGCTAGGGTCGAGGTCGACAACGCCCATGTACGTGTGGCCCGGCATGTCAATCTGTTCGAGCCAGCGTGAGCAAGCCAGCAGTAGCAAGAAGCAATGCACTGACCTCGATGTTGACGTTGATACCGCGCTTGCCGGCGCTAGCAACATTGCGGTCGCGGAGACGAGTCAATGAGCGAAGCAGGTGTGCATGACGCACGATAGTCGGCGGCGAGAGCTCACAAGTCCATGATGTCCTTGACGTCATCAGCCGTGTACACCTGGTCTGCGCCGTACGCGCCCTTCTCAGAGAGCACCGAGAGGCGGCCGGGCAGGACGAGCGGGAAGGCCTGCGCGTCCGTGATGTGCCTGTGTCGTCGTGTCAGCACACATCATCGTGTCAGGCAGCAGGGCAAATTGCTTTCGGGCCTTCCAGCGCTTCCGGGGGGCGCCTGCGACCCCTCGTCCGCTCCAAGGTGACCTTACCAGTGAAATTGATTCAGCTTGGCGAAGGACATCACTGTCAGGACACGCTTGATGGCGTACGTCGGGTAAAAGTTCCGTGAGGTATCGAGCAGAAGACCGCGGTAGGGGAACGCCGGCTTGTCGTTGATCTCGATGGGTGCGTTCCAGATGTAGCGGGTCGCGAGGTAGTGAGCCGTCGTGAGCTCGCCCGGCAGCGCGTAGATGAGCTGCGTGATCGTCTCGAGGCCCCGGAAGATGCCCAGGCTCGAGTTGGCGCTCAGCGTGCCCGGCGAGCCGTCGGCGGGAATGACGAGCTTGTAGGCCTCGTCGAGCTGCGAGACGTCCTGCTGGATCTCGCTCGTGATACTGCGGGGCACAGCGCTCGCAGCTCGCTTCTTCGCAAGGAGCTTCTGAGCGCCTTTGTGGGCGGCAGCGCCAGGCGGTGAGCGATGCGAGTGCAAGTGCTGCGCCACTGCTTCGGGCGACTTGCCTCCTAGCTCGATGCGAATCTCCCGCAGCAGCGGCGCGGCGTCCACGGCGGAGCGCCGGGCCGCTCCCCGGCCAACTTCGAGTGGCTTGAGGGTGTCGCCGCCGATGTAGTACGTCGTTGACTTGATGGCGTCGTAGACGTCGTCGGGCAGCGGACTGACGGCCGTGAAGCCAAAGTCGGACGTGTTGACGCGCAGCGGCTGGTTGCCCGAGCGGAAGTCCGCCGGACGAGGCCAGATCGCAGCGACGTGCGTCGCGAGGAGGAGCAGCGCAAGAGGGAGGCGGAGCATGGCGGATGATGGTGGGAGAGCGACCGCTGCGGCTCGGACTAGAGCGCTTTATGCGCGTCCACTCATGCGGCTTCGACTGCTGTGGGGGACAGGCCAGTCTTGACCGCTGCCTTTTAGGAGCCGTCGCCGCCGCGGGCCGTCCTCCTCGCACGAGATGACGCTGTAGCTCGCGGAGATCCGGGCTCCGGGGCGCCTGATGAAGCCTTATGTACCTGCCACTCGTGCTGGGCCTCTGTGCCCTCTCTTGAAGCTCGACGTGCGGGTGATGGAGGGACAAGGCAGCGTGTGCTCATGCGCTGCGGGCGCCAGCGCACCTCAAGGCGCGCTCGGGCCGCCGAGGCCGCTTCGCGTGTGCGCGGCGGCGCGCGGCGCCGCCGCTGCGCCGTGCCCAAATTAGCCTCTCATCAGCGAAGTGGCGCGCCTGCCCCTCTTGTCTCCCGGCCACCACCATCGCAGCTCCCTCAGCCTGCCAGCACTCTGTGTGCACGAGCCATCGCTGCGCCGCCTAGCGTCACACTGCCTGCTTCGTCCGCTCCGCTCGATAGCCAGTCGACGTCCTGCGTGCACGAGCCCGAGCGCATAGGTCGCTCTGCCTTCTGGGCCTGTCCGCCGCTGCTCGCGCCCAGTATCCTGTGCTTCGCGCCCTCGTCGCCTCGTCTGACCAGCGCTCGCCAATGCACACGTCTGCGCAGATTTAGCCTCGCCCCGCTCCTTCTCCAGCCATGTCTTCGAGCGATGTGAAGCGCCTCGTGCAGATGGTGAGCCTTGCTGCGCCGACGTGGCGGGCGGCAGAGCTGCACCTGCGCTTTGTGTTGGAGTGGAGGCGCACGCTATCACGCGAAGCCGCAGACGCGCGGCGCGAGGCGCGCTCAAACTCGAGCTCACATGCTCTTGCCCTCGACAGGGCATCAACCGCGCCGTTGCCGTCGCTGCACTCGCCAAGTGCAAGGACGTCGAGGATGCAGCCGAGGCCATCTTCGCAGGCAAGTTTGCGCACATCGCCGAGGAGTCAGACGGCGAGGGATCGTCCCAACTTGCAGAGTCGTACGAGGAGGACGAGGGTGAGTGGCATGCTGCCAGAGACGTAAAGATCTGCTGACTGATGCCTGCGCTCCCCCTCTGCAGACGTGGACGACTCAATCAGCCTGGCAGACGACGACGAGGAGCTCGTCGACCCGGACCCGTACCGTGACGTGGGCCTTGTCGGTGAGCAGTCTCTGCCTCCGCTGCTGCTGCCCGTCTGAGACCTTGCGCAACGCAGAGAAAGGCGCAACGGAGACAATCATCGAGAACGAGGACGACGACACGACGCCTGTGACGCTGGCGAGCGGCGCCGTGGCACACAAGCTCTCGCTGGCCAACTTCATGAAGGGCCCGAGCGTCGGCGCGGAGCAGCAGCATCTCTTCGGCCTCTACCAGCGTCTGCAGGAGGACATTGCGTGCCCAAAGTGCCGCAAGAAGCGCACACGCACCGACGCTGAGAGCCTACTGGTGCTCTGTCCGACGATCGACGAGTTCGTCGCCCACCTCGGCAAGAACGCGGTGTGCCAGTGCAAGTGCGGCACAGTGATCTGCACCGCGTGCGGCGGCACCAGCACGCAGAGCGCTCCTGCCAACGAGATCGAGGAGATCGGCAAGAGTGAGTTCGAGGCGAAGGGCAAGGCAAAGGGCAAAGACAAGGGCAAGAGGCCGGAGAGCGCTGTGCGGCATCCGCGTCCGACAGGCCAAGCTACGTCGACGGCCGAGCTCGCCGAGCTCTCGCTGCTCGCGGATCCAGCACTGCTGCACTGCGGCGAGATGCAGGCGGTGCTGCTCGGCGCCGGACTGGCGCACATCGAGCGAGCACTCGAGACGCAGGACGGGAGCGACACGCCGAGCTCCAACGGCGGGCAGAAGCGTCCGCGTTCCGACTCTGCTCCGCAAGCGGGCGGCTCGACGAAGAAGAAGGCCAAGGCGGGGAACAACTTTCTCGACGGCTCGACCGACGGCTCATACGGCTCGGACGACTCGAGCGACGAATATGACTATAACTACATGCACCCAGCCGCTCACAAGGGCAACAGCAAGGGCACGGGCTACGCCGGCAGCTCGGGCGCAAAAGAGCACGGATGGATCGAGGCGCAGAAGAAGAAGGAGCAGGAGGCAGACTCTGCGCTGCACCTTGCGCTGATGCAGCTGCGTCCATACGTGAGTGCCTCAGAAGTGGTGGCACGTCGTTCCCGAGCTGATACTGCTCGCAGCTGCCGATGACCTTCCGCGAGCCGAACCCGGCAAGCAGCGACTACATGCCCGACGCCTGCAGCATCGCCGCGATCCGCCGCCGGCTGCTGCCCATCGCCTCGCGCCTGCTGCGCTCAGACAGCCTGTCGGACATGGTCGAGCGCTACGACCTCTATTTTGAGATGCTGCAGTGGTTCCGCACGCTCTCGCTGCACGAGTCACTGTCGGCGCTGCTTGCGCAGGTGAGTCACCGGCCTGTTGCGCGGGCGTCATCAGCCTACTCACCCGCATCGCAGCCGGTCATGCTTCGGCGTGACGTAAAGATCATCGAGAAGAAGAAGAAGCGCGAGCGTCACGTCACGTACGAGTGCTCCGAGGGCCCTCGCCAGCGCGCCGAAAGCATCCTGGTGCAGACCGAGGCTTTCCTCGAGTCTATGAAGCGCAACGAGGCCCAGATCGAGCGCGAGCGCCTCGCCCGCCGCCGCGCAAAGGGCGGCGATGAAGAGGAGCGGCCGCGTTCGCCGAGTCCCATCGAGTATGACCCGCTCTCGCAGAAGCTGGTGGCCTTCTGCGAGTCGTTCAAGCGCAACGTCGCGACCATTGACGCCAACCTGGCCAAGACGAAGGGCGATGCCTTCCTGGCTGCTCTGCTCGGCAACGTGACCAGCAGCAGCAGCAACGCTCCGCCGCCGGCGCACGTCGGGTCGCAGACGCGCTCGAAGACGGCTCGCAAGGCCGTGCCAACGCCCGAGGAGGCGGCGAAGGAGGCGGCAAAGGCGTACGAGGCGTGGGCCGAAGGTCAGCGCATGGAGCACGTCGACATGAGCGTGCCGGCTGCGGCGGTGAAGGAGGGCGAGGCCGAGGCCAAGCCGACGTGGCGCCACGTATTCAGCAACGAGGTCAACGTGCGTGCTGATGCTGAGCGCCGCCTTTCATTGCTGACGCGCCCCGCAGAACGTCAACGCCAGCGACAATCCGAAGCGCGGCCTCATCATCGCCAAGGAGCTGTCGGCGATGCGCAACTCGCTGCCGAGCGGCACCATCTTCCTGCGCGTCGACGAGAGCCGCATCGACCTCATCAAGGCGTGCCTCGTCGGGCCTGAGGGCTCACCGTACCACCTCGGCCTCTTCTTCCTCGACATCTTCCTGCCGTCGGAGTACAATCACCTGCCGCCCAAGGCGAAGATCGTCACGACGTCGGGCGGACAGATTCGCATGGGCGTGAGTGTGACGTGCCGCGAGCGTCTGCAGCGCGCTTACCAGTCTGTCACTCGCATAGCCCAATCTTTACGTGAGTCTCGCGCTCCTCAACGCCTTTGCAGCACTAACGCATTCTATCCACCGCACGTGCAGGCCGAAGGCAAGGTGAGCAGCTCGTGCAGCCCGCCACTCGCAAGTGCTGACGGCCATCTTGCAGATCTGCCTGTCTCTGCTCGGCACATGGTCCGGCCCCGGCTGGGCCAGCGGCCGCTCGACGCTACTGCAGATTCTGCTCAGCGTGCAGTCGATGATCCTGGGCGTCACCGACCCCATGACGCTCGAGCCCGGTGAGCTCGTTCCGCGCCTCTCATGCAAGCTCCCTGCTGACGCCCTCGGCCTGCAGGCTACGAGAATCTCGAGGGCAGCCCCGGCTCGGTTGCGTACAGCCGCAACACGCGCCGCCAGACGGTGCGTGTGGCGATGCTGGAGCAGCTGCAGAATCCGCCTGCGTGCTGGGAGGACTTCGTGCCGGCCTTCTACAAGCTGCGCGCCGACGAGGTCATCAAGCAGCTCGACGCCTGGAGCGCCGATGACGACGGTGGCCAGTGAGTGCTCCTCTTTTGTCAGACTCGGTGACGAGCAACGCTGACCCCAACTCCTCATCTCTCAGGCTGCATAAAGATGGCATGTCGGCAGGAGGCCACGCGTACCATCCGCATGCAGGAGCCGGCGCCGCTGGCGCAAAGCCCGCAGCCAAGGCGCCAGTCAAGCCGGGCGTCGAGACGCCGCTGCGCACCGACATTGCTCGTCTCAAGGAGGCCCTCGCCAAGCTGCGCGAGTAGCGAGCGCGCGTGAGGGCCGCGCAAGTTTCCCCTCTTGTTCCGTCACGAAGAGTCACCCCACCATCAACACCATGCCAGCGTCACCCACACCATCATCCCTCATCATTCGTCTCGGTCGCGGGCACACACACAGACTTGGGCTTTGCGCACAAAATCACATCTCACTGAGAACTCCGCGGCGGGTTGATGGTGCCGCCCGACGGCACGGCCGACTCCAGGAGGCCGTACGAGCCAGCCAGCTCGGCCTTGGGTGTGATCTCGTCGAGCTTCTCGCCCAGCTTGAGCGCCGTGTACTTGATCACGCGCGGGTCGGCTCGTAGCCGTGCCGTGAGAGTAGCGAGGACGCGTGGGTTGGTGTCGAAGTGCAGCAGGAAGTGGCTGGGGCAAGAAGGAGCGTCAACGCTGAGCCGGGCGATACGCAGGTGCAACGCCAGCCGCAAGCCCATCGCTTCCGACTCCCTCCCTCCGCGTCTGTGATCAGTAGTGTTTCTGATTTGTTTGATGTCAAGTGCCATGAAGGGCATCCGAGTCTAATTAAGAGAAATCATCTCACAGCGCGAGCTTCGCGCACCTTCGCCAGCGCGCGTGCTCTCCGACCATCTCTCTCCTGCACGTATCCCTATCGAGCTCGTTCTCGCCCTCGCCCAGGTACTCACTCGCCCTCGGTGTGCCACAGCTGATGCCGCCGCGCGCGCTGCGGCAGTGCTCGCCGCCCCCAGTTCTGCATGCCCCGCACTGCGCCGCCGTTCTGCAGGATGAGCGACGAGGTGCCGCGCACCAGATCTTGTAATGGCGCCTGCAGGTGAAGTATGGTCAGCACAGGCCAGAGATGCAGAAAGCGGAGCGTGACGCACAGACTTGGGAGCACAGGCAGCGACGCAGAAGAGCTCGTAGAGCCTGCGAAGCGAGTCAGGACGGCGCGAGAAGATGTTCGGGCAGCGGCGGTGCTTACGGCATGGTGACGGGCGCGAACGGAGGGGCGAGAATACAGAGGCGAGAAGTCGAGGAGTCAAGAGGCGAGGAGCAGCGAGCGAGTGAGAAGAAGGCGTGAGACGGTGCGAGGGTATGTGGTGGGAGGCAGAGATCGGCGCGCGATGAGCTCACGCCGAGGCCGCGCGCAGAAGAGCAGGCCGCGCTGCTCCCACGCGCCTCGGCCGAGCAAGCCGGCGGCAGCGCCAGCGGCGCGGCGCAGTGGGCGCTGCGTCTGAGGCTGCTGGCGGCGTGCCTGCAGCGCGCCGCCTGGGCTGCAGGCTGCCGTGTTGGCCTCGCTCGCCGGCGGCCGTGCACGACGACGCGCTCGGGGCGCAGCTGCAACACCGTCTGACCTCGCCATCTCCACCCCTTCGCGCCCTCCATCCGTCCAGCGCAAGAGCCGTCTCTGCTCCGTCTCTGCTTGCCGCTTCTGCTCTTGGCCTGCGCTCTTCACAGCGCTCGACGTCCCTGCCTGTCGAGGCAGCCCTTCCCTCGGCGCCGCTGCAGCCATGTCGTCCTTCTTCGCGAAGCAGCAGCAGGTCGCCGCGCTGGACCCGCGCCTCGGCGGGCTCATGGCGTCGGCGGGCCTGTACAATCTCAAGTCGCTCATCAAGGTGAGCCGTGCTGCGAGCTGCCAGCTGCGCGCCACGACTCACATCTTCTCAGGCCATCCGCGCATGCAAGACGCACGCCGATGAGCGAGCCCTCATCCAGAAGGAGTCGGCGCAGATCCGCTCCGGCTTCAAGCAGGCCGACCCGTTTGCGCTGCACAACAACATTGCCAAGCTGCTCTACATCCACATGCTCGGCTATCCGGCGCATTTTGGGCAGATCGAGTGTCTCAAGCTCGTTGCGACGCCGCGCTTCACCGACAAGCGCCTCGGCTATCTGGGCATCATGCTGCTGCTCGATGAGAACACTGAGGTGCTGACGTTGGTCACCAACGGCCTGAAGAAGTGAGCGGCACATGCTAGAGCGCCGAGACATGCCTCGACTGACACCTGCGGGCCAGCGACATGGAGCACTCCAACATGTACGTCGTGGGCCTGGCGCTGTGCACGTTTGCGAACATCGCCAGCGAGGAGATGTCGCGCGACCTGTCCGACGAGGTGCTGCGGCTGATGGGCAGCAGCAACACGTACATCCGGCGGAAAGTGAGTGGACGCGCACGCAGCGTCGGAGAGAGCTTGTGGGCGCGGCTGATGAGCCCACGAACCAGGCTGCGATCTGTGCGATGCGCATTGTGCGCAAGGTGCCGGACCTGCTGGAGAACTTCACCGAGCGGGCGCGCCAGCTGCTTTCCGACAAGAACCACGGCGTGCTGCTGTGCGGCGTGACGCTGGCGATTGAGATCTGCCGGCAGGACGAGGCGGCACTGGCAGAGTTCAGAGATGTGAGTGTTGAGGAGAGAAGGAGGCCGACCGGTTGAGCGCGCCTGACAGCTTGTGCAGCTGGTGCCGCTCATGGCGCGCCACCTCAAGGCACTCGTCACGACGGGCTACTCGCCCGAGCACGACGTGTCGGGCATCACAGATCCGTTCCTGCAGTGCAAGATCCTGCGTCTGCTGCGCCTGCTCGGCAAGGGCGACGCGGCGGCGTCCGAGGCGATGAACGACGTGCTGGCGCAGGTGGCCACCAACACCGAGGCGAGCAAGAACGTCGGCAACGCCATCCTCTACGAGACGGTGCTCACGGTGCTCGAGATTGAGGCTGACAATGGCCTGCGCGTCATGGCCATCAACATCCTGGGCAAGTTCCTGGGCAACCGCGACAACAACATCCGGTGAGTGGCCGTGGGCGAGTAGCGCGCCTGCTGCTTCTGCTGATGCGGCTCGGGCAGCTATGTTGCGCTCAACACGCTCAACAAGGTCGTCACGATGGACACCAACGCCGTGCAGCGGCATCGCAACATCATCCTCGACTGTCTGCGCGACGGCGACATTTCGATCCGGCGCCGTGCCCTCGAGCTGTCGTATGCCCTCATCAACGAGTCCAACGTGCGCGTCCTCACGCGCGAGCTGCTCAGCTTCCTCGAGGTGGCGGACAATGAGTTCAAGCTCGGCCTCACGACGCAGATCTGCCTCGCGGCGGAGAAGTTTGCGCCGAATCGCCGGTGGCACATTGACACGGTGCTGCGCGTGCTCAAGCTGGTGCGTTGCATGTCCGATCTGCAGTGCTGCGCGCACGAGAGCTGACCCTCCGCTTGCAGGCCGGCAACTACGTGCGCGAGGAGGTGCTCTCTGCCTTTATCCGCCTCACTTGCCACACGCCCGAGCTGCAGGCGTACACGGCCCAGAAGCTCTTCTCTGCGCTGCACGCCGACTTCTCGCAGGAGTCCCTCACGCTGGCCGCCGTGTGGGTGATTGGCGAGTTCGGCGAGACGCTGCTGCAGGGCGGCAGCTACGACGAGGAGGAGGCGGCGCGCGAGGTGCAGGCCAAGGACATGGTCGACCTGCTCGCCTCGGTGCTCGACTCGCCCTATGCCAACTCGCACATCCGGCAGTGGGTGCTGACGGCGCTGGCGAAGATGACGACGCGCATCTCCGACTCGGCACAGCAGGCACGCATCGAGCGCCTGCTGCACGGCTACGACGCCAGCGTCGAGGTGGAGATCCAGCAGCGCGCCGTCGAGTTTGGCGCGCTGCTGGCGCGCAAGGACATTCGCGCAGGCGTGCTGGAGCCGATGCCGCCGCCGGAGATCCGGCAGACGGTCGTGGGCACGGTCAGCGAGAAGCGCGCCGTCGGCTCTACGCGGACAGACAAGGATGCCCTGCTCGACCTCATGGGCGACGAGATGCCATCAGGCGGCGCACAGGCTGCAGCCGGCGGCGCAGCACCGGCTGCCTCGGCACAGAGCACGCAGGACCTGCTGGCCGACATCTTCGGCGGCATGGGCAACGATGCGCCGGCCTCTGCCGCCATCTCTCCGAGCAGCGCGCAGCCAAAGTCGTCCATGAGCGACATCATGGGCCTGTTTGGCAATGATGCGCCTGCTGCGTCGGCGCCGGCGCCGTCATCGTCGTCGTCAGGCCTGGATGGCCTGATGGGCATGAGCAGTGCGCCCAGCGCCTCTACAGGCCTTGGCGGTCTGGACATCTTTGGCGGCGCCGGGCCCTCGTCACAAGCCACCTCACCGCCCATTGCCGCTGCTTCGCCGCCACCTGCTGCCGCACCAGCCGCCGCTGCTGCGCCGCGGCAGTACACGGCGTACGACCAGAAGGGCCTGCGCGTCACGCTGGCGCCATCGATCAGCGCCGCACGGCCCGACGTCGTCAATCTGACGGCGCGCTTCATGAGCACGGCGGGCGAGGTCAGCGGCGTCAACTTCCAGGCCGCTGTGCCGAAGGTGCGTGACCTGCGCAGGATGCGCGAGTCTGTCTGCCTGCCCTTTGCTGACGCCTCCTCGCGACCCTCGCAGAGCCAAAAGCTGCAGATGCTCGCGATCTCCAACCCGACCGTCTCGCCGGGCAAGACGGAGACGCAGCAGCTGCGCGTCATGATCCCCGCCGGCGTGAGTTGCGGCGCACGCGGAGCAGCTTGGCGAGCTTGGCGCTGACTCTTTGCATGCCAGGCACAAGTGCGGCTGCGTCTGCGCATTGGCTTCACGGCCGACGGCACGGCGAACCAGGAGCAGGTGGATTGGACGCTGCCGGCTGACTTTGCCTCTGCATGATGCGGCGGCCGGCGCGCGAGGCTGTTGATCAGCGCATCGGTGACCCCGGCAGCGCACGGCGCAGCAATCTCTATATCATCCCATGCTCTGCCGCAGGGGTTGAGTGAGATGTATTGAGGGCGACAGCGAGATCGGCGATGAGAGAGAGAATGGCGGACGATGCAGAGAAGAGGGAGATGATACACGATGGGACGCAGCATGATGCAGAGGGATGGACGAGGCGGAGGAGCAATGTGTCGGGATGAGTGGAGGATATGAGCGTAAGGCGAGGAGAGCAGCGGTGCTCTCGCCAGCAGGGTCGTCAGAGGAGGAGGGAAAGGAGTGCGACGTGCTGGGATAGTCGTCTATCGCTCGGCGAGGAACGTGTGCAGGTCCCACGGCGGCAGAATCTGCGCGAGGAGGGCAAGGACTTGGAGTCAGAAAGGGCCGGCTTCGTGGCGTCGGACGGGTCGCATAAGACTCACTCTGCCTCTGAGTTTGCGCGGATCCTCGCTACTACTCGCGGCGGCGTACTGCGAGCTAGAAGTCGTCTCCGTCGATTCCAGCCAATGCGAGCGAGCCGGCGCGCTGGCCAGCAGTGGATGATTCGCCGGCACTGCAATCCTCTCTTCGGCAAGGCGCGCCCATACGAAGGTCGTCTGTCTCACGGCCGCCTCTAGCAATGGCTGCGATGAGCGTCCCGTCGAGACGAGGATGGCGCAGTTGATCTGCTCTGCTAATGCGACGCGACGATGCTGGTCGAGATACTTGCGCACTGGACAATGCTTCAGATCGCCGTAGGCCAGAAGCGCAGTGACGCCCTCGAGTTCCTTGAGGTACATGCTGCGCCAGTACTCGGGCAGCCGTTGGACGCGCGCATTGATCGACTGCACCAGATGCAACGCGCCATACACTCCTTCGCCTCGCCCGCCTGCCTCATCCTCCGCCTTTGCGCCGCCCTCGCGCTCGGCCGGAGGTGTAGAGCCCGCATCTGACGGACTTGAAGCTCCGGAGCGTGAGGAAGTAGGCGTGGAATCGTCCGATGCATCTCCCGGATGCGAACTGTTGCGCACACTCTCGATGAAGGCCTGTATTTGCAGGTTGAGCGCCAAATGTGCCGGATCGAGCGAGGAGGCGTAGGCCGGCACGGCCATGCGTGGCGACACGGACGTCTCGCCGGGCGGGTCGTAGTAGTGGAACGAGGGATCGAGGACGGAAGGGAAATGAGCGTCGAGAAGTGCTAGAGAGGCGTAGATGTCGCCGTGCAGAATGAGAGAGCGGATCTCTGAGGCGGGAGGGGGGGCGTAAGCGCTGCTCATCAGGCGTGGTATGGAGACAAGCGACTGTAGACAAGCATGGAGAGGCGGCACGCTGCAAGATCGGCAGCCGATGCCGCCCACATGCTGCTCCATCTAGCCTTCGGCAGGTCTCAAGAGCGGCTCGCACCGCGCAGGAGGCCCGTGTATGCGGCCTCGTACAGGCGTACCAGACGCTTCGGCGGCGCTCACGCAGCGGCACCCTCTCGCCTCCACCCCGCGCAGCGTCATGCCGAGCCTCCCGAGCGCTCCCCGCCGCCATGCGATAATAAACGAGACTCACCGCTGCGCCAGCCCATCTGTTCGATCTCCCTTGCGCTCAGCTCTCCCACGCTCACTCCCTCCGTCGCTGAGATGGCCTTGCCGTTTCCATTGCCCTTGCTCTCCGCCGCTGCACCAGCGCCGTCCATCTCCTCATCCTCGTCCTTATCTGCCGCGCCCTGCGACAGCGGCGGCGCCATGGCGCTGTCGCCGCTCTTGGCCGCCATGCCCATCTGCAATGCCTGCACCTCGTCGTCTCCGCGTGCGCCGTCGCGCGCGAGTGCTAGTGCGGTGCCCTTGTAGCCCGCATGTGTGAGGTAGTCGAGCACGAGATGCCGCAGTGCGGCGGGCGAGGAGTGCGAGGAAGAGGGAGATGAAGGCCCTGCTGTCGCTGCTGCCTGCGAATGGCTGGTGGAGGCCTGAGGAGGCATGGCTGGCGCAGAGAGATGTGTGAGACTGGGACTTGCTTGAGATGGAGGGTGAGGGGCGGAGAACGTGGAGCGGAGGCAAGGCTCGACATCGCGCGTGGACCCCTTTGGCCTGCTGCGCCTCGCCCGCTCTTGCTGCCGGCCGGCCCACGGCACGCGAGCCGCGGCCGCTGCATGGCCCTCCCCGCAGCCGCGCGCGCCCTCGTCTGCGCAGGCGTGCTTGACTCGGCAGCCGCTGAAAGCGCTCGGTTTCTGCTCATGCGAGTGATCAGTGCGATCTGATCTGCCAATCGCCTTTCTGGCCAGGCCGCATTTGGATCTCATGAGAGGCAGCCTGAGCCCGACGATGCTGCGCTCACGAGCGGTGCCATGCTGGCGCGGGGCAGGGGGCGCGCCGCGGCCGGCGCGCGGCGGCGTCGCTGGCGCACCGCGCGCGGCCGGACGCCGGCGCCGGCGTGCGGCGCGGCCGCATCGAGCTGGCAGCAGCTGGCAGTGCGCCTCTCGCGTGACACGCTCCACCTCCCCACTACCACCACATCGGGCCGCTTCCGTCTCGCGTCTGCGCTGCGCCGCCTCCTTCATCGCGGCCAGCCCTCCGCTCGGTGCGCACCGGCTGCGCAGAGCGGGACAGAGCAGGAACTCAAGCAGCGCTGGCATCGGCGCTGCGAACCTGCGGCGCCGGCGCCCTCTCGCCTCTCTCGCACCGCTCTCTCTCTCTTCCTTCTCGCCGCCCGCCGTCCCGGACTTTCCGCATGTCCTCCTCGCTCACCGTCGACGACTTGCGTTCGGCGCTCGACGATCTCGGTCTTTCCACGCGCGGCCATCGTTCCGAGCTGCGGCAGCGCCTCAAGAAGGGCCGTGCGAGGCTCGCCAGTCCTTCGTCGGGCGACGATGAGGCTGCTGCGGCTGCAGTGACTCCGCCGGATGCACCTGCAGCAGCGCGATGGAGTCCGCAGATCGACTCGTTCTTGGTGCTGGACGTCGAGGCGACGTGTGAGAGAGGACCGCGCGAGAGGCCGCGCGCGATGAGCTTTGAATGGCCGAACGAGAGTGAGTGGCTAGACAATACAGCTTCATCTGCAAGCGTGTTGCGATGAGGGAGCCAATCTGGCGCTCTGCTCGCTTGACTGACGTTTGCACCGCCCCCGCAGTCATCGAGCTGCCAGTGGTGCTACTGCAATGGCGGCGCATTTCCAGCTCCTCTTCCTCCTCTTCGAGCGTCACGCCAGCTACGACGCCTCGTTCACCACCCACAGCACCTCGTTCTCTCTCTCATCTCCATTCTCCCTCTCCTCAGCAGCGACACGCGCCGCGCATTCCCCTTGGCCCGCGCGCGACGTCCGGTTCGGGCGGCAGTCCGGCCGGCTTGGCGAGCAGCAGTGCGGCGGTGGACACGAGAGATGCAGAGGCAGAGCAGGCGGGGTGGGAACTCTATGTCGTCGATACGTTTCACACGCACGTCAAACCCAGCTGGAGACCGCGCTTGACGCGCTTCTGTAGGGAGTTGACGGGCGTGGATCAGGTGAGTGCGAGCTGCTGGCCTCGGCGGGCTAAGCGAGAAGTGCAGGGTGCGGCTGAGCGAGGAGTGCGGGATGCGGCTGAGCTGGGAACGACGAGGATGGAGGGCGGTCGGCTGGACTAGGAAGTTGTCATAGCCGGCCTGTCGCTCACGCCTACCCCTCAGGCGACGATCGATGCGGCGCCTCCCTTTCCGCAGGCGGTGAACACGCTGCGTGCCTTTCTCTCACGGCACTCGCTGCTACAGGCCCCCACTGGGCCTCGAGGCGCCAGCACTCGCACGCCCGCTTCTTCACCCGCCAAGCCCAAGGCCCGCACCGCATTCGGCACGCCCATCGCGCCCAGCAGCAGCACCTCGGTGCCGAGCAGTCCGGCGTCGAGCAGTGCGCATGCGGCGCCGGCGCTGCGCCCCGGCGTGGCATGGGTGACGCATGGGTGAGTGCCGCATGCTTCTCGCCTAACGCACGGCGCTGAACCCTGTTGAAGGATGTACGATTTGGGCTCGTTCGTAGTGAAGCAGACGTGGATCTCGGGCATGGAGGCGGTGCCTGCCTTTCTGCGCGGGCCCCTCATCGACATTCGCAAAGGCGTCACGGCATTGATCGACATCGATCGCACGCCCGATCCTAGCCCGCGTAAGGCTCTTCCTGCTGCTCCACCGCGTGCGACGGCAGGCTCGACACCACCGACGGGACCAGCTGCGCGCCGTCCGCCATATCGGGACACGACGATTGATGGCCTCCTGGCGCTGCTCGGCCTCGGCGCCTTCGAGGGCCGCCAGCATTCGGGCCTCGCAGACACGCAAAACATCGCGCGGCTGGTCATCGAGTGTGCTCGCCGCGTAGGTCTCGCGGCCACGGGCGCAGCTGAGACTGCGTCTTCCTCGAGCTCCTCAAGCGCTAGTAGCGGCAAGGAAGGCGAGACTGCTTCTAGCAGAGAGCGCCCGACGCCCTCGCGTGCGGCGCAGGTTGCAGCAGCAAGACGAGCGTGGAAGCTGGAGCGCGCCGCACTCGTGCCGAACACAAATCTGGATCGTGCGGCGGCGAAGCGCTGGCATTGGATGGGCGCGAGGGCGGGCGTCGTGAACTGGACAGAGGCGGAGGAGCGGCTGACGGATGTGGAGGATGAGGAGGCGGTGGTGGGGGCGATTGCAGCGAAGGTGGAAGGAGGACAGGTTGGGTTAGATGGAGACTCGACGGCGCAAGGAGAAGGCGTGGACATCATTGGCGCCCTCTTCGCAAAGGCGCGCATGGCGTCGGCTGCGGGGATGAACGGTCAGGGCGGACAGGGACAGGGCGGAGATCAGAGGGCAGCGGTAGACGGCGGACAGGGCGGTGCGCCGCAATTCAAATCGTAAACTACGAGCATGACGAAGCGATGATGAGGACGGTGATATTGCAACTGGCCAGCGCACAGGCGAGATGGGCAAGGTCGTTCTGTCGTACAGCGCCGAGGCCGGGGCGCTCAGGACGTGATGGGTGCAGCAGAGCTGGGCAGAGCTGGCGAGGTGCCCGCAGAGGCCGACGAGGCGGCATCACTGCTGCTCCCACTGCCGCTGCCGACGCCGGTGCCATCGACGCTCGAGCGAGCGGAGGCACTGGCGGCCGAGGCGGCGGCAGCCGCGGTGGCACGCTCGGCCTCCTTGAGATGCACCTTGCGATGCCGCGAGACCTGATCAGGCCTCGAAAAGCCTAATGAAGTGAAGTCAGAGCAGGGCTTTGTGCGGCAGCAGCTTGCGTCTTTCTGTTTGGCGTCATGCAGCTCACCTCTGTTGCATACCTCGCACCTGAACGGCCGCTCGCCGCTATGAACCCGCAGCTGAATCGGGGCAGTCAGCACAGCTGCCGGGCGACGCTACAGACGAGCAGTGACTCAACGTGTTTGGTCAAGTTGGATGACTCGCTCGACGCGAACGAGCATAAGGTACACCTGAACGGCTTTTCGCCTGAATGCGTGCGTTTGTGGATCGTTAAGCTACCTGCCACGGCGAAGGTTTTCAAACAGCCTGGGAAGTCGCAGGCGTACGGCCGGGCGCCGGTATGCGTCCTCATGTGTTGCGCCTGCTCAACAAGGTGGTGAGCAAGGGCGGCTAGAGCGCACACTTTCATTCTCACGAGAGTTGTGGGCTCTGAGAACCTTTTTGAGCATGTAGCGCACTGATATGGACGATCGCCTACGGTCGCAGAGTCAGCGCGAGCCTAGCGACACTTTCCCGCCTCGCTCACCCGTGTGCGTCTGCAGATGGCGCATCACCTTCTGTCGCTGCGAGAAAGTCTGTCCCGTCCTAGCACGTTCGCATCCCTCCCAACCACACGCATACTCCGTATGTCCACTGCCAACATGTGCTGCGCCCAGATGCTCCGTCAGCGCCGCATGGCTCTCAAACAGTTGCCCACAGCCGACCCAGCCACAGCGATGTGCGCCGCCATTGTCCGGCGCCGGCGTTGCATGCGTCGAAGAGCCCGGCGTCGTCGTTGCGTGCGGAGACGTCGTGTTGCTGAAGCCAGCGGCGGCACGGTCGAGATGACTCGGAGCACTCTTGTGCACGATGGACTCGGCAGCCTGCGTCAGACGACGGCGCTTGCCCGTCGGGATGCCGGCGGCAGTATACGCCGGGCCGCGTGCAGCAGGTGTCGCAGACGACGGCATCTGCTCGCCGCCGAAGAAGGCAGCCAGGAGCGCCGACGGATCGCTGTCCTCACGGCCCAGATGCGCCGTGAGGAGATGCTGCAGCACACCGGCGCCGCTGGTATCGTGAGGCATGTTGGGCGCCGCGACGGAACACGAGTCCCATTGGCAGACTTGTTGTGGCGGCTGCATCTGCTGCGCAATTGGCGCCGCTTGGGCATGCCCAAAGTGATTTAGGTGCGACTGCTGCTGCTGAGCTGGCGCCTGCGGACCGGCAAGGTGTGCAAAGTGCACGTGCGCCACCAGCTCTGCCACGCTGCTGGCGTGGTGGCCACAGCCGGCCCATTGACAGATGTGCGTCTCGGCAGGCGATGCTGGAGGCATGGCGACGGGCGCGTTGCGCTGCTGAAAGTCCAGCGCGTTCCATCCGCTGCGCCCCGACGGCGGCGGCGGCACAAAGGCAAAGGGATGGTGATGAGTCTGATGTGTATGCGGCTGGTGCGGCAGCGTGCGAGTACTCTGTTGGCCATGGGCGTGCCACTCTTCGCCGCAGTGACTGCTGTTGCAGAGCGTCATGGCGGGCGGCAGACAGAAGCCAGCGTCGCTATGCTGGTGCGGCGGCTGCTGCGCGCAGTTCAGCTCCGTGTGCTGGCGGTGGCCATTGCCGTGGTGCGCTACAGCGCCCGGCAGCACGAAGTAGGAGTGAGCCGACGCATGTTCGCCGTACTGTTCTCGCTGCTTGCCATGCCGCGCCGGCGAGACGGACCAGTCGACGTCGAGTGTGCGTGGAGTATTGCCAGCAGAGAAGCACGAAGAGGTGGTAGTGCTCGCACCCCCACTACTCAAGTCGGCGAAGCTGATGCTGCGTGCGCGACTGCTCGAGGCGAGCATGGACGAGGCAGAGTCGGAGAGCTGCATCGGTGTGCTCATGCCGCTGCTGCGCGACTGCTGCTCGACGGAGACGGGACTCAGCACGGATGCCGACGTCGAGGCGCCCGGCGTCGTGCCGCAGGAAGTGACGCAGCCGGCGCCACAAGGGGCACCTCGAGGCGCGCTGCTGTCGCTTGTTGTCGAAGCGCCGGCGCGAGCGGGCGCAGGATAGACGTCGGTGCAGCAGCAGCAGTCCAGCTAAAGGCACGAATTCAGTCATTTGCCGGTGCTGGCACACTTCCCGGCACAACTTACCAGCTCCTGGAACGAGTCGAAGCCGCCGTACATGCCCGCCGTGACGTCCGCTGCATGCGCTGCTGCTGCCGGCGCATGCGCAGGGGCCAGCAGCGATGCGGCCACGTGTGCAGTGGGCTTGCTGCCGCAGACTACGGCCGGCGGCACCTCGGGACAGCTGTCCGGCGGCACGAAGCCGTCGCAGACGCTGGGGCATCCATCGGCCGCAACGACGCAGCCGTCGATGCATGGCTCGGGGCACGGCTCGATCTCGCACTCGTCGCCGGCGCATGGCACCGCCTCGGTGCACGGCGAGCCGGGACAGACAACGTCGGCGCCGGCGCACGGCGACGCAGTGGGCTCCTCGCAGCCAGGCGGACAGGCGTCGGAGCAGCAGCCGCTGCTCGGCGATGGCGCCACGGGACAGCACACTGCCGCAGCCGGCGAGGCGGCCGGTGCAAGGCACGCCGATGCGCTCGGCTTCTTGCTGGCCCTCGACGACGGTGCCGCTGCAACGCATCCCGTCGTGCAGACGTCGTTCAGCAGTGATGGATTGGCGCACGTCGCGCACGCCACATCGGCCGACTCGTGACTTGCGCCGCCGACGGCTTCGCAGCACCAAGCGGCTGCCGCGTCTGTGCTCAGTGGCAGCGTGCGCTCTGGAGCAGACGCAGCGGCGACGTCGGGCTTGAGCAACGAGGCGCTACTTGCCTGCGCGAAAAGCTCCTCCCACGACGCCTGCCGCTCCGAGCGCACAGCTGCCTCAGAAGAGCCAGCGGCGCCATGGCCCGCCGCCATGTCGCGCCGAACCGCGGACTGCTAGAGCGCTGCTGCCTGCACGCGCGCGGGGCAGGCGACGTACGCGACGGCGAAGAGGAGGAGTCGTTGAACGTCGTGTATGGATGGCGCAGAGATGCGGTAGGCGGATGTGAGGTGCAGCAGAGGAGCGTGCAGTGTGCAGCGGCAAGGCCCTGCGGATGCCCTTGTCCGTGGCAGCCAATGGCCGAGGTGGCTGTGAGAGCAAGGTCGCACGGAGCCGAAGAAAAGCAGGGGCTAGTTGGTGGCCGCGAGACGAAGTGCTGCTCTTTGTGCGAGCGAGGCAATGAGGCGCGCGTGCGGCCAAGCGGAGGAAGGAAGGAGCACGCGAGAGGAGGGCGAGAGAGAGAGAGAGGAGGCCCGAGCGGCGGCCGAGAGAGGAGCAGACGGATGGGCGAGGCCGAGGCCGGCCGACTGCGGCTTTCTTCTCGCAGCTGCGGGATGCGGCAGCCGCGGAAGGAGGGAGGCTTGAATTGAGGGCGAGAATAGAACGTGCAGATCGCAGGTGTTGTCGTGCGAGGGCTTGGCAGGCTGTGCTGCTGCGGCAGACCTGCCGATGACGCCAGCGGCAGGGACAGAAGGGGTGGGTGAGAGGAGTCGGAGCAGAGCGAAGCCGCGCCGCGATTAGCCATCACCGCGAGGGTCGCTGCTCCGCGGGCGCGCCAAGGCAGCGTGCGCGCGCCTGTCACGTCTGCTCCCACGCTTTCCGCGCCCACGACGACAACAAGGACAAGAAGGGCGTCTATTCAGAGAGTCAAGAGTTCGCCGGCCGGCTATGGCGGCCAGGCGCATGAGAGTGACCGAGCGAGGAGCGAGAGCGCTGCGTGCTGGTGGTGGAGGGAACGTGATGCGGGCCGTGCGTATGTTACAGATGTGCGGAGCGGGGACAGAGAGGGGCGAGCTGAGGTCGAGGCCGAGGCCAAGCGCGAAGGGCTCGAGCGGACGAGGGCCATCGCAGCTGCGCATGGTGACGAGGTCGAAGCTCGCGAAGCTGCTGAGGGCCGAAGCTGGCTCTACGCAAGTGCGAAGCCGAGCAGTGCAAGCAAGAGCGCAGCGAACGTCGGCCAGCCCGGCGCTCCAACGAGGCCTGCCGCACCGTCCGAGCCGCCCGAGCCACGCGCTGGGTCCACCAGAAACGTGCTGGTCGACGCCGGCTCCACAACGACTTGGTGCACCACCACTGCGGTGACTGGTGCGCCGTTGGACTGTTCGAAACATCAAGTGAGCTGAGGCAGGTACTGCGGCTACAGGCAACTCACGTCGGTGCCGACGCTCGAGGACGTCAGGAAGTCGGTGTAGGTCTCGACGACGCCGACACTGCAGTGAGGCAGGGATCAGCAACACGGCTCCATGGCAGCATGCTTTGAGCACTCACACTTGTACAGTCGCAGCAGGAGCCTCAGCATCGATTGTCACCACAGCCACTCCGCCCGAGTCGTCGACCACAATCGTCTGCACCGCCGTGGCGACCGCGCCCTGGCCTGTCGCAGCAGGTGCGGGCGCGGCGGAGTACGTCGAGCGTGCTGCTCCGGCACCGCTCTCGGGCGGGAAGGAGAGAAAGCTCTCGGACGACGAACTTGGAAGGCTGGTGGTTGATCCGGCTGGGTTGATCGTCGACGAAGCGCCGCCCGTCGTGCTGCCGTCATCGCCGGCACCGTCGGTGGTGGAAGAGCCACTGCCATCGCCAGCAGGTGCAGGCAGATATGAGAGGGAAGAAGCCGGATCGGAAGCGACAGGCGGAGCAGAGGACGTCGATGAGGGAACAGACGAGTCAGGAGGCGTTGAGGTCGCCGATGGTGAGGAAGCAGGCGTGACCGAGGTCGAAGAGATGGGTGGACTGAGGGTGAGCTCAGTGTGTGAAGAGCAATCGGGGCCTCGTCGTGCTGTGCGAGTCTCTCAGCAGACTCACGGAGGCGACGCAGGCGTTTGCGACGTTGAGGAGACGCTTGACGAGCTTGCAGTCGAAGTCGGCGATGCCTCACTGGTTTGAGAGCTGCTCAGCGAGACGCTCGGTTCGCTACGAGTGGACGTCGCGCTAGGAGCGTCCGGACCGTCGTCAGATATGCTGATCTCTGACGCGGGAGGCACAGAGGAAGTCTGCGGCGCGCTTTCGACCAGCGAGCTCGAGCTCGCGCTCGAACTGAACGACGACGAGCTCTCGACAGGAGTGCTCGTCACAGCCGCGCTCTCGGACGGAGTCGAGCTCTCAGGAAGAAGAGTGACTGTGGACGCTGAGCTCGTCTCGAGCGAAGAGGAGCTCTCGCTCGACGACGACGACGACATCGTGTCTGCACTCGATGACGCAGTGGCGCTATTCGAGGCACTGCTCGCGACGACTCTTGGAGTCAACAAGACCCGGCTGTGGCGTGCACGAGGAATTTTGAGGCGCCATGATGCATCACTCACGTGCTGGTGGAGGTCTGCTCGCTGGACTCGGCGCTTGAAGAGCTTGAAGAGCTTGAGGTCGCGCTGGAGGAGCTCGTACTTTCCTCTACGCTACTCGACGTGGCTGAGGGGGTGACTGTCGTGCTTGCGTCTGTGATGCGTCACTGAGCAACAAGCTGCGCATCGCCGAAGGGCCTGACTGACCACCCGGAGTCAGTGTAGCGCCGTCTCCCTGTCGACGAGCAAGCTGCGTCTCTGCCGGCGCCGCGTGGCCGGCTACGACGCTGATGGCCAGCAGCGCGAGGAGTACGAGGGGCAGCAGACGGACGCTGTGGCTGCTGTGTGCGCCGCGGAAGGAGCGCATCATGAGTGTGTTTGGGAGGGAAGGGGGAAAGAAGAGCAGGAAGGGGCTCTCAGCGGACTGCTTATGAGGGCCAGAGCGCAGCCGCTACGCACGCGCGCACGCTCCACACGCGGCGCCGCAAGACCAACACCTGCCGCCTGCACCGCCTCCGGATGAACTGCTGCGCCGACGCCGGGCAGCCGAGGCTCAAGTCGCAAAGTCACCCCATCGAGCGGCATGTGTGCGTGTGCCCGATGGAGCGATTCGGGACTGGGAGTGGAGGCGCGGCAGGAGAGCAAGACGGCACCTCGGGTCGCCTGAACGCCGACGCCCTCGTGCTCAGGCACGGCGCGGGCTCTTGAGCAGCATGCAGCAGCGCAGGCACGAGGGTCCGGCGCTTTTCTGGGGCGCAACGCTCCGTGGTCGAGCTGTTGCTGCGCCCTGCCGAGACAAGCTCGTGGCATCTTGCGTGTGGCACAGCGTGCAGCGAGTGCTCCAGACAGCGTCAGCGAACGAAGCATCAGGCGGATGCGGCCGCGGCGCTCGGTGGGCGGTGCAAGAGCTCGCCATGCGTGCAACGCCGAGGCTGGCGCACACGCCTTGTCGCTGCGTTGAGCCCGCGGCCGGGAAGCCGCAGCACGTTGCACCTCGGCTCAGCAGCAACACTGCGGTGAGCGTGAGTGCACCCTCGTTCTGGCCAAAAGGGGCATCTCGGTTCTTCGATCGCTGCCGGTGATCAGCGAGGTGGTGCGTCACGCCGGTGCCGCGAAGCGAAGTGATGCGTGACGGTGGGAAAGGTAGCACCGCGGCGGCCGCGGGTGATCATGCCGTGCGACGCTCGAGGTCCAGCGCGGCCGGCTTGCGGGTCACGATGCTACGCGCTGCAGTCGAGTCGGCCATCCTGAGCGCCGTGCTGTACTCGACTGATGTGAGCGTCAGGCAGAAGAGCGGCAAGAGAGCGTGGGGCTGGTGCTATTAGGGTATGCTACATGCGAGAGATGCTGAGGATTGTCTGGGGCGACCGAGGATGGGAGGTGGCAGTGGATAGGAGGAGGGGGAGAGAGAGGAGCGCAGGGTCGTGAGGGGTCGAAAGGAAGCAAGGAGAGCGAGGCCAGGCTCAATGCTCGTCGGCCTCGCTGCTGGCGTGTCCGACCCGTGCGTGGCAGGCGGGCAGTGTATGTTGCTGGTCGCGCAAGCAGGACTTGCTTGCGCAACCCGCAGCATGCTCTGCCAGACTGCCACGCAACGAGCTAGAGCGCGCACTCAGCAAGAATGTCGAAGCACCACGCCGCCGAGCAGAAGCAGAGCCGGCTCGATGCCTCGCGGGTCTCTCTTCTTCCGTCTCCGACACGTGCACACCGTCCACGACGTGCCCGCCGCGCGCCGACCCAGCAGAGGTTCTGATGGGGCGCCCGGCGGCAAATCGTGCGTGAACGATGCGCAAGTGAAGGACGCGTACGATAGAGACCAAGCGAGTGCATCTGCTTTGCGCCACGACGGCCCGCTGTTGCGCGCCTAGTTGACCGGCTTGACGATGCCGCGCGCCAGCGTGTAGTACACGACGGTGCCGTCGGGCGAGAGCATGGCGAGGAGCAGATGAGCGCGCTCCGTCGGCGCCAGCGCTTCGCCGTCGCTGCTTGGCCCGTCGCTGAGCCGATCGAGTGCGTCAAAGAGCATCGTGAAGCTGGCGCACCGCTCGTCAGTGCGCTGCTTTTTGGCAGGGCCAAGCAGGGCGGACTCACTGTGCGCTGCTCAGCGTGTTCTCGATGCGGCACGGCACGACGACCTCGCGCTTGGTGCGCTCGGGACGCAGGCCGCGCACAACTGCGAAGCCTGAATTGGCGCCCGTGTCGACTGCGCCGCTGCTACCGGCCGGCGCAAAGTCGAGCACGTCGAGCTGCGTCCATGCGGCGGCGTGCGCCAGGTCGGCATAGGTGCGCAGCAGCGGCGCGGCGTGTGCGGCGTGCGCCTCGGCCAGCGCCAGCACTGCTGGTGGCTGTTGTGGAGTCAGTGAATGTGAGAGTGTGGTGAGAGGGAGACACGAACCAGCGAGCGGATGGCGGGCGAGGTGGAGGAGAGGGAGGACATGGTGGAGGAGAAGCAAAGCGGCGCGGCCTTGAGCGCCCGAACATCGCCGCATCTGTGCATGGGCTGCACCCTGTGCCGCGGCCCATCCTCTCTGCGCTGCGCCGGCGCGTGGCACGCCCATGCTGCCGCTGCGGCCCGGGACGGTCCGGCGGGTCGGAGCGCCAGGCGGATGATAAGCTGCGATAGCGCACCCGAGGATGAGGCGTCAGATCAGCGAGTGCGGGGTGCACAGACCACGGCGTCAGACGGCGGAGAGCGCGGTGCAGGAGAGCTGCTGCGGCAGCGGGCAGCTGGCTGGAAGAAAGAAAAAGTGCGAGCAGCGAGCGAGACCAACACTCGACTGACGCCGTCCTCGTCCGAGCCTGGCTCCCAACACAAGCCTGACGCCCTGCCGCTCGCACCCGAGAGGCAAGAGAGCGTGCCAGCGAGGCAGACACAAGCCAGCGCGTCGCCGCCGCCGTTCCCTTCCCTCCTCACCACCACCACCACTGCCCACTCCACCATGTCCGCGCCTGCCTTCTCCACCGTCGAGCTGGCCGACTTCGCCGCCGCGTTCGGCGCCGCAACCGAGGTGTCGTCCGTCGCGCTGGGCGGCCGAGCGCTCAGCTGTTCCGACGAGTGGTTTGCGCCTGCCTCTGACCTGCTCAAAGTGCGTCATCTGCACCGCACCTTGCCGCACTGGGCCCTGAACTCTGCACACACAGGTCCACCCCGCGCCGTCGATGAAGGGCCAGTTCGGCCCCGCCGGCGCCCTCTTTGACGGCTGGGAGACGCGCCGCCACAACCCGGCGGCGTACGACTGGGCCATTGTGCGCCTGGGTCCGCGCGCCGGCGCCGAGCTCAGCGGCTTCGACATCGACACGGCCAACTTCAACGGCAACGAGGGCCCCGAGGCCGAGGTGTGGGGCCTCTGTCTCGACGCCGACGAGGAGCGCACGGGCGCGGCCATCGCCGAGGATGATGAGCGTGTGCGTTGTCTGCCAGCAAGCGCAAGCGACGCCCTTGCCCGCTGCTGACTCCCTCGACACACGCAGTGGTTCCCGCTGCTGCCTCGAGTTCCGCTGGGCCCCTCCTCGCGACACCTCTTTGCCCTCAAGTCCGCCTCGGCACGCACCACGCACGTCAAGCTGCACATGGTGCCCGACGGCGGCATTGCGCGGTTCCGCTGCTACGGGCGCATCTCTGCGCCTTCGGCCGGCTCGGGAGAGGGGGAGCGTGTGTGTGGCGAGGCACCGCAGGATGCGGCGCTCAACAGCCTGGATCTGGCTCATGTGCTCAACGGCGGTCAGGTGGTGCAGTGAGTCGTAGCGCCCCCCTCCTGTGATGAGACAGCTGTCTGACAGGCTTGCAGCACCTCGGATCAACACTTTGGCGTAGGCTCCAACCTCATCCTGCCCGGCCGCGGCAAGGACATGGGCGACGGCTGGGAGACGAAGCGCAGCCGTGCGCCGGGCCACACTGACCATGTCATCATCCGTCTGTGAGTGTCATGCTTTTTTGCCCTCAAGCACTGACTGCAAGCGCCGACACTGACGTTGACTGCGGCGAAACCAGCGGCGAGGCCGGCTACCTGAGCACCCTCGAGATCGACACGGCCCACTTCCTCGGCAACTTCCCCGAGTCCGTCGCCGTGCACGCTACGTTCAGCGAGGATGTCCTTCCCTCCTCGTCTGCCGAGTGGACGACGCTTCTCCCGCGTGCTCGCATGGGCCCGGGCAAGCAGCACTTCTTCAGCGTCGCGTCCGAGGCTACGGCACAAGTGTTCAGCCACGTGCGCGTCACCATGTTTCCCGACGGCGGCATCAAGCGTGTGCGCGTTGTTGGTCGGCGAGCTGCGCCTCTGGCAGGCCGCGACGCGGCGTCGCTGCCGGTGGTGCCGCTGCCCAACTTCTTCGAAAAGGCCCTGCCGGCCGTGCAGCCCGCTGCCGCAGCAGCCGCCGCACAAGCCGCCGCAGCACATGCTGCCACGCTTGGTTCGGGCCTCGTTGGCTCCGCCACTTCGGCATTCAACTCGCTCCTCTCCTCTGTCAACGGCACAACTGCGCCCGGCGTGCCTTCAAAGGCCCAACCTCAGAAGCCCCTGGCGCCCAACGCACCCACACTGACGCTGCCGCCTATCTCTGCCTCTGCGTTTGCGCGCTACGGCAAGCTCATCGCCGCGCCTGCAGTGGGCGCCGAGAACTCGCGGCCGCACAAGATTGTCAACCAAGGCTCGGCGCGCAAGTACGTCGCTCTTGCAGACGTGGCGTCCTCCTACCCCGAGGCGACGCCGGGCAAGGCCAGCATCCACGTGTACCGCTGCGAGGCGACGGCGCTGCCGTGGCACGTCGACGTGCTGGAGCGCCACGCGCACACCAGCCAGGCGTTCCTGCCCATGACGCCCGCGCAGGAGCATGACGGCTACTTTGTCGTCGTGGCGCTGAATGGCAAGGACGACAAGCCGGACCTCAGCACGCTCGCCGCCTTCCGCTGCTCGACGACTCAGGGCATTTCGTGAGTGCCCCCTCTTCCTCCGCTCCCTCCGTCCTCGTCGCCTCAAGTCGCTGACTGCCCCCCCCCCTTCCCAGCTACAACGCAGGCACCTGGCACGCGCCCATGAAAGCCCTCGGCGGCTCTTTGCCGACCGACTTTGCAGTCGTGGTGCACGAGAGCGGCGTGCCGGAGCTGGACTGCGAGGAGGAGTACTGGGAGCAGGCCGTCGCTGTCGTTGCCTAAGAAAGACGCACGCAATGGCCGGCACGAAGCCAACCTTGCCCTCCGCGCTCAAAACTCGTCACACTACCGCTAGACTTCTAGACTTCGCACTCGTGCGCTGAGAAGCAAATAGATGACGTTCAGAGTTGCGGAGGATGGCCGAGTGCGAAAGTAGCGGCCGCGTTAAGCACCATCTTGACGCTCTCCACCTCTTCCCTCGAGCGCGGGGCATAGACGAGGCAGTAAGTCGGCGGCAAGATCTTCGCCTTCTCTCCCTTGCGTGCCTTGTCGTGCAGGTATGCCCATCTCGCCGCCGCCGAGATGGGCATCGGCAGCCAGACGGGAGGCCACCAGCTGCCGCGATAAGCGACGCCTGCGAGGCGATGCAGCTCGCCCCAGCGCCGCTCGAGGAGCAGCGCCGCATCTTGTGGCGCGAGCACGACGTGCAGCGAGCCGTCGTGTGCGTGTAGGTGCGCAAACTCGCGCGAGAAAGAAGAGGCGTTGGAGCGCGGAGCGTGCAGGCCGGAGAGGAAGAGCTGCGAGAGCGACGTGGCGCGGCTTGCTGCAGGGGCGTGTGTGACTTGGAGAGAGGGCGCGGTGTGTGCTTCGAGCACGGAGAGGGACCGAGTGAGGGAGGTGTTGTGTGCTGCGAGGTGATTGAGATGCGCTAGGATCGCCTGCGTGTGCCCCCTTTCGTCAGCCACCTCTCGAGCCTGGTGCGGGGGCTGGCGACAGCCCCACGCTCGCCCTCGCGGACGCCTTACCTGATACTCCTCCGTGCCCTCCTTGCGACCCTCCTCCAACTGACGATGCGGCATCAACCCAAAAGTCCTCGGCCTTGTGCCCCTCTCTTGCAGGCCTTCAAGCGTCATTCTCCCGCCCATCAACTCGCCGTCTGCCAGCGGCAGTGCTTTGGCGTCAATCTCCCGGCCGCGCGCCATGGCCAGCGGCCTGAGGCAGAATGTATGGACTAGCCAGCCAAGCACGCCGCCGGGCGCGAGCCCGCCGGTGCCGAGAGAGCGGTAGAGCGTATAGTCGAGCCATGCGGCGTTGAGGAGGTAGGAGAGGAGGAGGGAGAGGAGCGTGGCGCTCGTGGCGGGTGCGCGCGTGTGCAGCGTGCGCAGCAGCGCGGGGAGCGCGCGTGGGTGGTGCAGCGCATGGGTGAGCTGCGGGAGCAGAGGCTGGGACATGATGGGCGAGCGGGGAACGCAGGGTGGTGGAAGAGAGGCAAGGCGTCCGTGCACCTCCTCGCCGCTTTTGCTTCCGCCGCGCCGCGCCTCCACCCGACTTCGCCGCCCTCTCGCTCGCTCGCCTTCGCGGCGCGCGCCTCCCCGCGCCTCACGAGCTGTGCACCACTTCATTCCCTACGAACACAAGTGCAACGTGAATACCTCTGGGCTTTCGCTCGTGTTCTTGCTGCGCAGATGGATGTAGCGCGTTGCATTGCGCACGCTGACAGACTCCCGTTTGCCCGCTCCCTTGCTGCAGCGGTGCCCGCCTGAAGCAAGAAGAAGGGCCCTCGCCCTCTGCCTCTCCCCCCTTGCTCACCCTCTGCCAAGCTGAGGCCACGGCCCCTTCTCCAGCTTTCCTCCTGCGTCTCGCTTCCCACATGTGCCGCTGCCCCATCGATGTCCGCACATCCTGTCCCCCGTCCGCTGTCGCGCATCCTCCACATGCTGTGGCCGCCCTCAGGCCGGCTGCACGTCCAGCTTGCCCCTTGTCGGCGCACTCGGCAGTTTCTTCTGTTCCTCGCCGAGGTATAGCCGTCTAAAGAGCACGTCTAGCAGTCATACATGCATCAGCTGTCGTTGTGCCGACCGTGCTTCGGGCGAGGCGCGCGAGAGCAGGGGAAAGGCACTTACAGGACGAAGCGACGAGGAACGGGAAGGAGATGACCATGACCTGTCGGCACGACGCCGTCAGCAGTGGCGGCTCGGCGGCATGCGACGGCAGCAGCAGACACGCACGCGGATGCGCTGCTGGTTCGGCGTGAGGGGCGTGCGTGGCGGCATGGCGGGCGGGCGCACTGCGAGGGCGGGCGTGGAGGGCGGTGAGGGGGCCAAGGCAAGATGGACATGCGCCGCGCTCTCTTTTCTTGGCGGCGCCTGGCGCAGATCATCCAGACGCGCGTCTTCCCCCCCCCTCTCTCTTTCCGACCTTCACATCCCCCCCCCCCCCCCTCCTCTTTATGCCATTCGGGCAACTCATCATCGGCTCGCCCGGCGCCGGCAAGACGACGTACTGCGCGGGTGCCCAGGCATTCCTGCACGCCCTCGACCGCCCCGCGGCAGTCGTGAACCTCGATCCAGCAAACGAGAGGAGGCTGCTGCCGTATGCGCCCGCCGTCGACATCAACGAGCTCATCTCGGTGGCGGATGTCATGAGGGAGTTTGGGCTGGGGCCGAACGTGAGTTGAGGGGCGAGGAGGAGGGAGAGTGAGGGGATGCAGAGGTAGCACGGGGCAGACGTGATGAATGTGCGCAGTGAGGAGACCGGGAGGTGGGGCAGCCAGCAGCTGCGCAGGAGGAGGAGAGAACGTGAGGAAGATGGAGAGGTAGCGAGGGGCCAGCTGTGATGAGTGTGCGCAGTGAGGGTAGACGGGCAGTGTAGCAGGGGCAGCCAGGGCAGCAGCTGCCGCATCGACCCGCAACTGACGCCCTGTCTTTGCTTGCTTGCTTGCAACAGGGCGCCCTGCTCTACTGCATGGAATACCTCGAGGCCAATCTCGACTGGCTCCTCGCCTCTTTACGTGCGCTCGGCGAGGATGCATACGTCCTCTTCGACATTCCGGGACAAGTCGAGCTTTCTACAAATCATCCCTCATTGCGCCGGATCCTCGAGGCGCTGGGCAAGGATGGCTGGCGCGTGAGTCCTCCTGCTGGTTGCAGGGGAGAGGAACGTGCGCTTGAGGAGAGAGAGAGAGAGGCTGATGGAGGAATGCAACGCAGTTGGTAGCGGTGCACATGGCCGATGCCTCGCACATCACCGATGCCTCGCGCTACGTCGCGCTGTTGCTGCTCAGTCTTCGCGCCATGCTCTCGCTTGAACTGCCGCATATCAACGTGCTCAGCAAGGTGGATCTGCTGGGCGAGGCGGTGGGGAAGGGCGGGGGCGGCAGTGCGGAGGATGGAGAGAGCGAGGAGAGCGATGGGTGGAGCAGTGCGGAGGAGGAGGAGGATGGGGAGCGAAAAGCGGGTGGGAGAAGGGAGGGCCTCGGTGAGACGTTGCCTGCGCCGCATCTACCGCTTGTTGCTCTCGGCTAATCCCCGAGGTCTGTTGCCCCAGCCTTCAATCTCTCCTACTACACGCGCGCCCAAGATCTCTCGCGCCTCACTGACTCTCTCGAGGCTCTCGCCGCGCCTCGTCGCGCCTCGCGCTTCGCCGAGCTCAATGCGCGCATCTGCGAGCTCGTCGAGGACTTTGGCCTCGTGGGCTTTGAGACGCTGGCGGTGGATGACAAGCGCAGCATGCTGCGCCTCACGCGCGTCATTGACAAGGCCGGAGGCTACGTCTACGCGCCACGAGCAGCAGGGCAGGCCAGTGCGCGTGAGCACAGAGGAGGGCCGAGCAATCCGAAGGACGTGCAGCTGCCGGCACAAGACGATCCGGAGCTTGCGAGGTACGAGGCAGGCAGTCTGGTGCGTCTCTCTCGTTTGCGACTGCCATCTCACTTGCTGACCCCCCGCTGCAACAATCAGGCAGCGACCGCAGGAGGTCTCCTCCGCCGCGATGGCGCAGCCACAGCCGCCGCGCTCTTTGGCACGGCCGACGGCGACATCGCAGGCTGGGGCGAGGCGGGCGATGTGCAAGAGCGCTGGGTCGACGATCGCGCGCGCTGGGATGCGTGGGAGGCGATGCAGGCGCAACAGGAGCGCGAGAAGCGCTTGGAGAGAGACGTGTATCGCGAGGCAGGCAAGGTGTTGCAGGCGGAGAAGGAGAGGAAGGAGCAGGGAGGGTGAGGGCCAATGCACCAGCATGAAGAAACAAGGCGCGAGGGAAGCATTTCTTTCATTGGCGAGGGGAGCTGCGAGGAGCAGCTAAGGCACGCCGTGTACACGTAGACGAAAGGGTGAAGCGAGGACATCAGACACGGGGGAAGCAGACGGCGGCAGAGAGATGGACAAGTAGGGAGGGGGTGGCTAGGGGGGGACGGTGACGTAGACAGAAGCGATGGCACGGCGAGCTAGCGCGCCTTACTCGTTCTGGAAGGACATGCCCTCCTCGACGGCGAGGATGAGCTTCTGCTCGAGCTGCTGCTCGCTCGTGTAGGGCGGCAGGTCGATGCGGTTGAAGCACGTGTGGCTCTTTGGCAGCTGCGTAATCTCGCCCGACTTTTCAATCGTAAAGCGCCGCGGGCCGTCGCTGCCCTGCAGGTCCTTGAAGCCGTTGACGGGAATGCGCGACGTGCCCGTGGCAAACTGCAGCAGGCGCGACTTGCGCTCCGTCGGCCACGCCTTGACGCACTTCCAGAACCACTGCACCACCTCGTCCTTCTCCGTAAAGCCGCGGTAGTCGGTGAAGCGCTTCCAGTCGTCGATGTCGATCTCGCTCATGCCGCCAATGAGCAGCTCGAGCTCGCGCTCGTCGAACACGTTGATCAGGTCTTGCGGGATCAGCTCGGTGAAGCCGCTCATGAAGGCCTTGAACTGCTCCTCGACGCGCTTGTTGATGCGCCACTCCGTCATCAGGTCGACGTACTCCTGCTTGTTCTCGTCCGTCACGTCGACGGCCTCGCCGCCGGGACGCAGCTCGACGGTGACCATCTCGCCGAACTTGTCCTCGACGGCCGTGAATGTCTCCTCGACGACATCCTCGATCGGATTGTCGAGCATCCACTGCAGCGAGCGGTAGTAGTCGGCATCGACGCTCTCGAGGTCGGCGAGCGTAATCTTCTTCTTGAGAATCATCTTGTAGAAGCTCACGATGAAGTAGGCGTCGAGGAAGCGGCGGTGGAAGATGGCGAGGCCGAGGCAGCGGCCGATGAACTTGAAGTAGTTGAGGTGCTCCGGGTTGATGCCCGAGTGCGGGTTGATCTGCAGCGTGTAGTTGTCGTGCGCCGAGTACTCGAAGAGACAGTAGAACGGGTTGAACATCTCGTGCGAGAGCAGGAAGAAGAACTCGCGCGAGAGGCCGCCGTAGTCGAGGCCCTCCTCGCCGTCAAACTTGATCATCAGGCGCTTCTTGAGGTCGTTGGGCTGCTGCCGCATAATCTCGGCGTACGAGTCCTCAAAGATGTGCGTGCGGCGCACCTTGACGTGGCACTGGCCCGGAATCGGGCGCAGCGCCGGCTGGGAGCGGAAGTAGATGAGCTTGCGCCGGAAGTCGCGCTTGTACTGCGGCACGTTCTGGTCCAGACTCGACGGCAGCCGCGGGTCGTCCCACGTCGTCGTCTTGGTGTTGTGGTCGACAAAGTACACGCGCGCCGTCGACGTGAGGCGCATCTCCCAGCCGCTCGGCAAGGGCCCAAGCTGCGTCACCGACTGCGGCTGCACCGTCATGTTGTTGCCGTTGGGGCCCATGATGCGCAAAATCTGCTGGCGCCGCGGGTCCACCCACGTCGTCGTGCGCGTGTTGTGGTCGACAAAATACGGACGGCCCTCGGGCGTGTTGCGCTGCTCCCAGCCCGACGGCAGCGGGCCCGTGCCGGCCGTCGTCGACGAGCTGGCCGGCAGGCTGGCGTTGGCCGCAGCGGCGCCAGGCGCGGCCGCGGCGGCGCCGGCAGTGCTGCTCGACGCAGCACCAGGCGCCACGCTGCCCGGGCGGCTGATCGGCGTCGTGGCGCCTGGCTGGTCGCCCTCGGAGCCGACGCCGAGCATCTCGTCGGCCAGCGCGCGGTTCGAGTGGCGCATGCGGTCGCCCGCCGCCGTGCTGGCCGCCGCCGCCTGATTCACGTTGGAGCTGGCGCTCGGCCGCGTCCACGTCGTGGAGCGCGTGTTGTGGTCGACGTAGTACGTGCGGCCCAGGTGGTCTGTCCGGCGCTCCCAGCCCTGCGGCAGCGCCGCGCCAGACTCGTCTGACCGTGCCTCGGCGCCTGTGGCACGCGGCGGCGCAGCCGACGCACTGCCCTGCGGCGCGCCCGACGAGGACGGGCTACGCGAGCTAGCAGCGCTGGCACCCGCTGCGGCGGTCGCTGCAGGGCCCGCGTCGGCCACGACGGGGCGCGCCGCAGCGGCATCGCCCGTGCTCGGCGCTGCCGAGGGCGCGGTGCTGGGCGCAGCAGACGCGCCCGACTGCTGCGCCGACGAGGCCAGCGAGGTGGAGGATGCATTCGTGCCGGGCACGAGCAGGTTCGGTGCGGCGCCTGCGTTCGAGTTGTTGGCAATCGGCGAGGCGACGTTGGTGTTGATGTCGATGATGAGCTTGCCGTGCACGACGAGGTTGTCGTTCGACTTCTTCAGGTCGCGCGTGAGCAGAACTGCGCGCAGCGTGTCAGCATTGCGCCATGCAGCATGCGCTCCTTGACTGCGCACCCTTGCCGCCGAGCTCGAGGTCGATGACCTGCGCAACCGGCACATTGATCACGCCGAGGAAGCCCTGGTCGCGCTTCTTGAACTTCTTCTGGTCGAAGATCTGCACGGCGAGCACCGAGCCGTCCTTGACGGTGCTGTGGGATGGCGTCAGGGCACGGCGGCCGCTGGGCGTCGTGCGGCGCACTCACACGTCAAACGAGTCGTTCCAGTACGGGTTGAGCGTCTTCTTGATCACTCTGCGGGCGGGCGTGTGTCAGGTGTGCATGCGTCGGCCGGCTGCGGCATACGCACGAGGTGGTGTGCGTCTGCTCGCCGTCGACGGTGACGATGGCAAAGGGGTCGGGCAGGCGGAACACATCGCGCTGCAGGGTGCGGTCAGCCGCGGGCCCGGCTGCTGGCGAGTGCTGCGGCGGCGGCGGCTCACCTTGCTGAGGCCGTCGGCGGCGACGACGGTGATGCGCACCTTGCGCGAGCTGTGCGTGCATGTGTCAGTCTGAGGCTCGGGGCTGCCGCACGCTGCGCCGCTGCCGCACGCACAGCTGGCCGGGGGCACGCGAGTTGACCATGGCCCTGGCGGGTGCGGCAGCTCAGGAGCGGCCGCGCGGAGAGACGTCGAGGCGAGTCGCGGCGTGCGCTGATGCGCAGGATGCAGGCGCTGAGAGAGCGCGCGGTGGGTGAGAAGAGACGGCGAGGCGAGGGTTGTGCGGAGGGATCAGCGTGGAGGGCGAGGAGGTGAGTCAGGATGCGCAGCGCAGGCGGAGCGGCAGAGGCAGGGCGCAGCAGCCAGCCGCCGCCGGCGTGCCGTGTGCGATGCTGCTGCGATGCGAGCGATCCGCCGTGCGGCGCCACACCGCGGCAGCACATCAGCGCACGCCGCGGCGAGGTCAGCCCTCTGATGCCAGGCGTGCGTGCGGAGCGCGGCCTCTGCTTGCAGCAGAAGGGGAGGCACGCCGCCAGCGCGCCGCCCACGCGTGCTCGGCGCCGGCGTCCGACGAGTCGGAGGCGTCGTGAGACAGGCGGCGTGCCTGGACGCTGCTACGCCTGGCGCTGCACGTCACACAGCCTCACCGCCGCGCTGCATGGCAGCGGTGGGGACAGCCTCTCGTCGCTGCTCAAGGGCGGCTCGGGGTGCCAGGATGGAGGAGCAGGATGCGCTCAATATTCTCGTGGGGCTGCGTCGAGCTTGTAGCGGGGCAAGTGGGAGCACAGGACCTGTCAGAGGCGGCAGAACTCGAAGACGAAGAGAGCTCCAGAGCGCCCGATGCCGGACCGTGCCTCCGCATCGCTCGTCCTCCACCTCATGTCGTTCGACGACCGACAACTACGTCCTGCCCGGTGCAGCTCGGTGTGGGTGTCGAGCGTCGAGTCGCTGACGCTGTGTGTGTGCTAGCAGAGCACCTGACTGGATCAGCGTAGGAGCCAGTGCACGAAACGGACGGACCCTCCGCGGACACAAGCTCGTGTGGCTCTCCTCGCCGTCGCACCTCTGCGACAGTGGAGAGCTTCGGACGGCTCAAGCGCAAGGACATGCGTCTACAGAGAAGCGGTAAAGCCAGACGCTCTTCCTCTGCCATGGGAGCGTCTGCGACGGGTGCACAGGCCTCTGGTGTGCTCCCCACGGCATATGCGCAGAGAGAGCAGCGCTGCGATCGAGGGCCATGCTGCATCTGTCGCACCTGGCGTGCCTCTGCTGCATTTCCTGAACAGCGCTCCATCTACTCTTCTGAGCGGCCGATGGCGGCCTCACAGGTTGTAAAAGACGCTGGCCTCCACGCTGCGTGTCGCTCGGACCGAGCCGATGATCGACACGTTGCGTCAGGGACCGAGCTGCGCCTCAGCACGCAGGCTGAGCGTCAGAGGCGCACGAGTTGCAGCATCGCTGGAGTTTCCCTTGACCTCGCGGAGGCCTCGGTCGCTCCTCCGAGCTCGCAGCGTCGCAGAGAAGCAGCGAAGCCACGGCACGTCTTCTTGCGTTGCGCGGCGAAGACGCCGCACAGCCGGCGTGCTCGCCGCCAAGCGCGGCAGCCGCGGCCCGCCGGCGGGTGCCTGATCAGCCGGCCCGCACCCGCCCGCCGCGCCGCGTGCCCTCCACCGCGAAAATCTTCACGCCGTCCCGTCCACGCTCGCTCAGCGCCAGCCGCCTGCAGCGCGAGGAGAGAAGCAGAGCAGAGAGGAGGGGCTCCTCCATCACAGCCGAGCCGAACAGGACGGACGATGCGCGACTGAACAAGCTCGTGTCCTGCGAGCACCGCCGCATGCGCCGCGGGTCCGACGATGTGGCGCAGCGTGCAGGCGCACCCGCACCGCGCGAGCGGCGGAGGCGTGAAGGCGGCGGCGGCGGCGCTGTCTCGCGGCGGTCTCGCGGTGCGGTGGGTGCGCCTGTGGCACAGCCCTCCGACGGCGCGGGCGGGCGCCGCGCACGTGGATGGCGCTCTGAGGCGGGCTCAGCAGCTCGCAGCTCGCAGCTCGCCGCTCGCAGCCGGCCGGCTCGCAGCTCGCCGGCCCCTCTCTGCCTGCTGCTTCCCTCCCTCCTCCCACTCCGGCTCAGCACGCATCCTCAGCGCCGCTTCTGCGCGCACCTCTCTGCGTGCTCCCTTCCGCCTCGCTGCGGGCACCCGCTGCCTGCTCTGCGATCCAGCGTCCCAGCAGCAGCTCGCACGCCGCGGCTCAGAAAAGTCGCCGCCGCTGCCGCTGCAGCCCTGCGCGCCGCCGCGCAGCCTGGACCCCTCTTCGCGCCACGTCCTTCGCATCGCTCCCTCCTCGCGCAGCTCGACTTGCGCCCACATCGCGCTTGCCTGCGCCGCTAGAGTCGCACTCCTCTTGCTCCGTCTGCCGATCACGCCGCCGCTGCCTCTAGATCGGGCCGCTGCTTCGACCGACTGACAGATCGGAAGATCTGATTACGCGGCACGCGGGTCCAGGGACCAAGAGCGCGTGCTGCAATCGCCGGTTGCGACTGTAGGTGAGTGGGAACCGCCCGAAGTCCGCCTGTGGGAGGAATGTCGCTCTCTCTCTCTCTCTCTACGTGCTGGATGCCTCGACGACAAGGTCTGCTGCGCGCTGAGCAGCTGTGACGCGGCGGGCTGGATGATGCGCTCGCGAGCGGGGCATCCCGATGCTGCCCGACCGATGGCAGGTCCCTACCTCGGCGTCGGCACAGCGGATGTGCCGGCGAATGCCCTCAACAAGATCACACACTGAGTGGCTGCGCCCTCTCGCTGAGAGCGTTTGGGGCGGAGACACTCAGGGGTCTTCCGCGCTGCGCCTCATTGGCAGGCCGGATGAACACACGGCACTTCCGTGCACGGACTCTCACGAGGCGCAGTGCTTTGCGCCTCGAGTGCTCAATGATGCGCAGAGCTGCCCTCGTCTCCCTTGACAACGCTCATCACCGCTCTGCAGATCGTCGCTGCGCCCTTTCTTCTGCAAGGGCAGCGCTCGGCCGCATCCACGTGCTGCCCGAGCTGCCCGACTCCACTCTGCGATCGTCGCCTGATCGTCCAGCCTAGCATCTCCCGCGCTCGGCCCGTGCCGAGCTCGACGAGGCCACGACGTCGGCCTCGGGGCAGCAGTCGTCGGCCCTCGCGGCCGACGCGCGGCACTTTGCCGGCGTGCCACAGCCTGCTCCGAGCAGCAGCAGCACTGGCGTCGAAGGCACCTTCTCGCCCGAACAGCTGCAGCAGCAGCTCAACGACGCTCAGTTCCAGTTCTCGCCGCAGCAGCAGCACGAGCAGCAGCAGGCTCAGCTGCATCAACAGCTGCAGCTGCAGCAGCAGCATCAGCGACAGCAGAGCCAGCAGCTGCAGCAGCTCGCCGCCCAGCAGCAGTCGCAGCAGCTCGCCGCCCAGCAGCAGTCGCAGCAGCTCGCCGCCCAGCAGCAATCACAGCAGCAGCACTTCCAGCCCGCGCCGGATGCACTGCCGCCGCCGGGCCAGCACGAGCCGCAGCACGCCGCCGCCCAGGCCGCAGCGCCAATGAACGGCACGGCGCAGGCCCACGCGCCCATGAACGGCACCCTCAATGGCATCGCCGAGCACGAGGGCGCGGCACGTCCCTTTGCGGGCCTGCCGCGCAATCGCAGCACGTCGACGTCCTTCAAGCTGCAGCATCGACGCGAGGCCTCCAGTGCCGACTCGATGTCCTCTGTCCCGTCGTCGTACTCGCTCAACGACTCGGGCTATGCGCTCAACCAGTCGTCGCTTGATGGCCTCTGGGGCCAGCACAGCGCGCCACGCTCGCCCGAGACGTCGCGCGACGGCTCCGACGGCTTCTTCGCCGAGTCTTCGCTGCAGCAGCACCAGCAGGCGCTGCTGCAGACGCAGAAGCTCATGCAGCAGACGCACCAGCTGCAGCAGAACATGCAGCAGGCAGCCAGCGCACAGGCACCCGCCGCGGCGCCCTCCACGCTCGGCCAGCAGAGCAGCTTCTTCGGCGCCGCGCAGCCGCCCACCGAGTCGCCGTGCGTGGAGATGCACAACCCGCTCGACCACGCCTCCTTTCAGGCGGCGCTCGCAGACGCCCGTCCGCTCGACCAGGGCATGCAGCTGGGCCAGGGACTGCCGCCGCAGTCTGTCGCACAGCAGGCGCCGCCACCTTCACTGCAGCCGCTGGTGCCGACTCCGCAGCCGCCCGCCCAGCAGCAGCAGCCTGTGCTTCCGCAGCTGCAAGGCAGTTCTCACCTCGATGCGCCGTGGTCCGGCGCAACTGGTGGCGCATTCGACGTTGGCGCGCAGCAGGGAGAGCTCGCGCCCGTCCTGACGCCACGCGCTGCGGATCACGCCGGCGCCGCGATGCAGGCGCAGCCTGCTGGCACGCCGCAGACGAACAACATCTCTGCTTTCCCATCGGCTTCGGAGCCGCTCGACCTGCGTGGCCCACCAAATTCTGCAGCTCTGCCGCCAAGCACACCGTCAACGTCGCACGGCTTCGCGTCGCAGCCAGACAGCCGGCGCGTCTCTGGCCCCTCGGCGAGCGCAGCCGAGCAGAACAGCGTCGCGGCCATCGGGCAGATCGGCACGCTGCTCGAGCAAGTCGCCGCCCTCGCCATCAACGCCCGCGATCTGTTCCGGCAGGGCGAGCACGGGAGCAGCAGCATGTGCCTGGGCGACCTGCAGCGCAGCCTGATGCAGATTGGCGACCTCGGCTCGCGCAGCCTGGCGATGGTGCAGTCCGAGGCGGCCACACCTGCACCGCCGTCCATGCCGGCTACGCCCGCTTCCGCTCCGGGCGTCAATGGCCATCGCCGCACCCTGACGATGGAGAGCGAAGGCGCAGCTGCCCGCAAGCGCGCCCCGCCGACGCTGGAAGACCTCGACACGATGCCGTTCAAGACGCTGCGTGCGCAGGACGGCACGCCCATCGAGCATACGACTCCGGCGCCGCCATCAGCTCCTCCATCGGCCCCGCCCGGCATGATGAGCGCGGCGCACCTGCACGCTCAGGCGCCCGGGCCGCCGCTCTCTGCGCCGCCGCTGTACCACACTGCCTCGGCGCCGCTCGTGCCGCAGCTGCACACTCTGCAGACGCACAACCTGGCACAGCAGCACGTGCCGTCGCTTCCGCAGCAGCACGACCATTCGCCAGTGACGCCGCACACGCCTTTCAGCCACTTCGTCGCGAGCCAGCTGCCGCCGACATCACACCCGCAGCAGCAGATGTCAGCCGGCGGCGTGCGCGGGCTCGACGGCCACGTCCGCACGCAGTCCACCGCCGCCAGCGAGGCGATGGGCGGGCTGCGGCTCTCCGAGGCGCAACAGCAGTCGAACGCCCTGCAGATGGCCGTTTCTGACGCACATCCGCAGCAGCTGCACATGCAGCAGCAACTGCACCACCAGGCGCTTCACGCTCAGGCGCATGAGCAGGCACAGGCGCAGGCGCAGGCTCAAGCCCAAGCCCAGGCGCATGCGCACGCACATGCTCAAACCCAGCAGGCGCAGGCTGCGCAGGCTCAGGCGCAAGCACAAGCGCAGGCGCAGATGCAGGCACAGGCCAGCGCTCAAGCGCACGCTCAGATGCAAGCACACGCCAGCGCTCCACCGATGCTCGAGAATCCGGCCGTCTCGGCCGTCAAGAGGTCTGAGTCGGTCAGCCAGAGCCGGCCGAGCCTCGATGACGGGGCCGAGTCGGCCGACGAGTGGGCCGTCGACGACAGCAACGACGAGCTCGGCCCGTCGGGCTCCTCCTCCCGGACGACGCGCCGTCGCGTCAGCGGTCCCGGCGGCGAGGACGCAGCGGACGGCGCCGACAGTGCGCCGGCGCGCGGCGGCAGCGTTCTGGTCTCTCCCGAGCTGCGAGCACGCCTCGATGTCATGTTCGTCGAGTTTCTGCGCTCGATCTGCTCCAACCTCGAGGCCACCGACAGCCGTGGCGAGCTGATCCACCAGACGCTGATGCCCAAGCGCAGTGAGTAGCGCCGCCGCGTCTGACTCCTTCGCCCCGACTCACACCCCTGCTGCAGTGGCGCGCCTTGAGCAGTCCGAGGACTTCCGCCCGTTCAAGCTGCGCATCCAGGCCTTCACCAACGCCTTCCAGGACATGGTGAACGCCCGCCTGCCCGAGCCCGTCTCTGTGCGCGCCATCAAGATGTTCCTCTGGTCCTCGCCGCTCATCTCGCGCTTCAACGAGGACGGCAAGAAGGCCAAGTCGAAGGGCAACCACATCTGGGTCATCGAGGCCAAGAAGATCGCCGCTGCGGCCAACCAGGACGGCTCGGGCACGCACTCGTGGGAGTTCAAGCGCCACGAGCCGCGCATCATCAGTCCGCCGTCGAAGATTGCCTACATCGGCGACGACGTGGGCTGGTCGTGGACGCCGCGCGTGTGGCATCCGCAGGTCTCGGCTCTGCGCGCCGTGTTCACAGCGCTGGCGCACCCGCCCTGGGTCGGCTGGAAGGACGGCAACGCCCTCAGCGGCATCCTTTGCGGCACGCCGCCGCCGGGCGCGCAAGGCGGCGAGATGCGTCTCCAGGCGCACTACGTGCACGAGGACCAGCTGCATCGCCTTGAGCACGCCTTCTTCCTGCAGACGGCGCCTCTCACCTCGGACGGCACCGTCGTGCAGAACCTCGAGGTGGCGCAGGAGGCTGCCGACGCTGCGGCTGCACAGGAGGCCGAGGCGGTCAGCGGCGGCGACGTCGCCATGCCGCAGGCGCCCGGCGAGGCGACACAGTACAGTATCGTTGATCCGCAGCAAGCGCCCAAGGTGCTGTCGCAGATCGCGTACCCCTATACGCCGCCGATCTTCGCCAACGGGCCCTTCTTCGAGCAGTCGACGCCGGCGCACCAGCAGGTGCCGCTGCCGCCTGCGAGCGAGCCGCGCACGGGCGCCATGTCCGACATGCAGCTCGCCAGCGCACTGCCCCCGCACATGCAGCCGCAGATGCAGGCGCAGCCGAGCCAGGCGCTGCCGCTCAGCCCGGCGTCGCAAGTGCAAGTCCAACAAGTCCGCGCCATGCTCGAGCGGCAGCAAGAGCAGGCATCGACGATCCAGCTGGCCATGCCGCCGACACGTCGTCCATCGGGCCCGCAGTCGGCACCGCCGGCGCCGCAGCAGTCTGCGGCGCAGGGCCTGCCGTACGGCGGCGCTGCGCAGAGCGGACACGGCACGATGACGCCCATGTCCTCCATGCCCGCCGACATGGGCGCCACGCTGCCGGCCTTCTCGCCGCCGCCGCCCGGCGCCCATACCGCTGGCGTCCCGCCATCCGCCATGCCCGGCTCCAACGACCCAATGCTCTCGCCTGCGCTGCGCATGGACGACTTCGACCCGCTCGGCACGCACGGCGCGCAGATGCAGCAGCTGCACGACGCCGTCAACGGACGGCAATAGCACCTCCTCGCCCTGCAGTGCAGTGCGCTGCGCCGCTTTCCTTTTCCCCTTCCCTCCTCCGGTCTCGCTACGGCTGCTGGTTCCCCTCGACTGCGTCACCACGTCACATCTGCACTCTGTTCCTCTCCCTCCTCGGACGGCACCGGCCACGCTTGCAGCGCCGTCGTGCGGCCCTCCACAGAGCCCCCTGTATTCTTCGCCAACGCTGCGCCACCGAGGACGAGGCAGTCGTGCCCGCATTCATCAGCCCTCCTCCACATGCCCTCACCTAGCGCTCTTTCTCTCTCCGCGTTGTCGCTGCGGCTCCAGATGGCAGCTGCATCGTCTCTGCTGCCGAGCGCATAGAAATCACATGACGACCCATTCTGCACGCGCGTGACATTCGATCTAAGTAGATTACTGCTGGAGTGAGGCGCTCTGTCAGCGTCGAGACCAGTAGGCCGAGGTTGCAGCCCTTCAAGGCTCACAAGCTCGTCTCTTGGCCGCGGCCCTTGCGGCTCGACGTCGATGGCGGCACCGGCCCGGATCTGCTCTTCGCGCTGCGCCTCCTGAGCTCGCCGCGCCTGTTCGGCAGCGTCGCGCACCGAGGGCTGTGCTGTGGCTGCCAGGTCCGGGCCCAAGCCGAGATACTCCGCGACGAAGAGACGCATGATCATTGCCCAGCCGTAGTCGGTGCCGTAGTCCAGCGCGCTGGCGTCGTCCTGCAGAGAGAGAGGCTCAGTCTTCGTCTGTGCCGAGTTCGCAGAGCAACTCACGCCCATGGTGTGCCACACGCGTGGAAAGGGACTCGGGATGAGATGCAGCACGGGCACGCCGCCAGCCAGGAACGGCAGATGGTCATCCTCGATGCCGCCCCAGCTGTGGCCGTTGAACCAGTCCTCGCCGCTGCGGCTCGATTCATTCGGCGGCCAGAACGCCTTGGCATCCAGCAGCCGGCGCTGCGCCGACCTCACCTTGTCGTGCAGCCAGGCGGTCGGGTGGAAGTACGAGGGGATCTGCGGACTCTTGGCACCGAGCAGGTCGAGCAGCACCAGGTGCTCGATCGTGTCGATGTGCCGCGCGGGCCGCAGCATTGAGAAGCGGCTGGTCGACAGCGTGGCAGCGCCCACGAGAGGAGCATGCGGCGGCGAGTGGGCAGAGCGAGTCCAGTTCTGGGCCAAGTCTCTGCGCGCGCCACAGGTGTCAGCCTCATCACGCAGTCGCATGCCAATGCCACTCACTTGCTGCCGTAGATGCTGTCTGTGTGCGTCCACTGCTCGTACGCCTCTTCGCCGTCGAAGAAGACAATCTGCAGCGTCACGTCGCCGCCGCTGCCCTCCTTTGCCCATCTGCGCTCCGCTGCGTCCAGCGCCCTGTCGAGCGCCATGGCTGTGTCGACGAGGATGGCGCACGGCGCGGCGCTGTCCGTGGCGCCGATGAAGCCCTTGGGCATGATCTTCGAGTCGTAGTGCGCCGCCAGCGTGAGGCGCCGCGGCGACGCCGGGTTCTTCGTCACGACGAGGTTCGTCATGCTCTGCTTGCCATGCGGCGTCTGCGCCACAAAGGGCAGCCGCTCGATGTGCCAGCCGAGGCCGCCGGACTTGCTGCTGGCCTCGAAAGGCGCCAGCAGCGCATCTGCCACGCGCTGCGAGGCCGCCGTGCCGGGCACGCGCGGCACGAGGATGCGCGAGAGCAGCGACGCCGAGTCGCGGTGGTCGAGCAGTGGGGCGGCGTCGAGGAGGCGCGGGATGAGCGCGACGTCGCCCAGCGGCGCGAAGCGTGCCCGCAGCGGCGGCCGCCGCTGCGCTGCGACGCCCGCCGCAAGGGCCGCGAGGGCGAGCGCGAGGAGCAGCAGCGCCCGCACGAGCGCCGGCGTCCTCCGTGCGGCCGGCGCCGCACACATGGCTGCACCTGCCCCGGGCGCCGTCCGTGCGCGGCGCAGCGATGACGAACGGCGGCGCGTGCGGCCTCTTTGTGCCTCGGAGCGACAGCGGGTGCGGGTGGCTGCAGCAAGACGCCGGCAGCGGCGCTCAGGGTGCAAAGAGGCCGAGGGGCGTTGCAACGGTCGATGGGGTGAGGAGGGAGAGGAGCTGCCAGCACCCAGAGGCAGCGCGGGAAGTGCTCCCAGCGACGCACGCTGCACGCCAGCCCCGCCGGCCGGCACCCGCGCTTGGCGTGCCCGCCGGCGCACTTTAGCCGCCGCGCCGCGCCGCCGCCTCGTGACTTCGCGCGCAGACGCGTCCACGACGCGCCGAGCAACACCTCGCCGCGCGCGGCGCCGGAAGATGCTGCCGCCGCCGCCGCTGCCTCTCGCGCGCACCAGAGCGTCGGAACCGCGCCCGCCGCACCCAACGGCGCTGCACTCGGCACGCTCTTGAACGCCGCACGGGTGCAGCAGATGTCATCGTGTGTGCACGGCGGAAGCGAGCGAACAGGCGGCAGCGCATGCACTTCCCGCAGAGGCGCGGCGCGGTGAGACCCCTTGCCGCACGCACAGGCAGCGCGCCGCGCAGCAGCAGCGAGCCGCAGGCGGCCAGCCGTGCCGCGCCGCGCCGCGCCGCTGCGTCACGAGGCGCGCCAGGCCGCGCGAGGCCTCGCAGCAGCCGCAGGTACATCACACCCAGCCGCCCGCACCTGCCGTCCCGACGACCACCTCGCTGCCCACACGCAGCGTCGCCCCGTCCTCGCTGCCGCGTCCGGCTCGCCACGTTCTACCCTCGCGCTCGCATCTTACCCACATCGCTACCCCATACCACGGCTCCGGCTCTCGCCCTCGCACGCGTCGCGCTCAGTCGCACCACCACCCGCCAAGCACCCTCGACGACGACGCGCCCTCCACCATGGCACACTCTCGGCCATCTGCCACGTCCGGCATGACCGGCACGCACTCGTCCGTCTTCACGGCGCTGAACGCGGCCACGTCGCGTCGGGCGCCACCTTCGCCGGCGCGCTTCGCCGACGCCGGCACGAGCCAGCCGCAGCTGCAGCCGCAGCCGCAGCATCAGCACGGCGAGAGCCAGGGCGAGACGCAGCGCTCCGACGAGAGCTTCAGCGCATACCTCTACACCGACTCGTCGACGCCGCCGTCGGGCTCGTCGCCCAACTCGCAGTCCGCGCCGCTGCCGCCGGGCGACGCGTCGCGCGGCGGCCCGCCCGGCACGCCTCGCAGCGCCGCCGCCCATGCGACGACGGAGCGCGATGTCGTGGTGCATGCTTCGCAGCAGGCGGTCGGCTCACACGACGCCGTGGCATCGCGTCGTGGCGCGGCAAGGGCCGAGGGCCGCCGGACGAAGATCATCGCGGCGCCGCGCCAAGAGTCGCCCGAGCCGCAGTTGGCCGCCATCCGTCGTGGCGTGTCGGGCGACCTTCCGGCGCTCTACGACGGGCCTGCCGACTCGCAGTCTGCCTCGCAGCCGCTGTTGCCCGTGAGCAGCATGGCCTCGACGCGTGCCGACGCGTCTCGCGGCGGCGAGTACAGCAGCGACTCTTCGACGCGCCCCTACACCAGTCCGTCGCCGACGCCCATCGTCATGTCGCAGCCGTTCCTGCTGCAGAGCCAGAGCCAAACGCAGGACATGTCGCGCGAAGTCGGCCACGCTTGGACGTCCAGCGCCGAGGCGGAGGAGTCGGCCGACGAGGACGTGCTGCTCGACTCGGACGCCGAGGCTCCGAGCTCGCAGCCGCCGGCAGCTCGCGCTGACGCGCCTCGCCGCCACGCATCGCCTACTTCGCCGTCGCGACGGTTGATGAAGGGCGCTGTCGCTGCTGCCTCTCTCGGTTCCGAGGGCACAGACGAGTCGCACGCGCCGGCCAAGCGCCCCTCGCTGGACGCCGTCATTGAGCGCCAGCAACAGCCGTCGTCCGAGGCACAGGCGCCAGCACGTGCGCTCAAGGCGGAGCCGTCGTCTGCAGGCGCCGAGGTCGATGCCGACAGCGCAGACGAGACGAAGCCTGGTGATGGCAACACTGGCCGTCGCCGCCGCCGCACCCGCAAGGAGGAGGTTGAGCGGCTCACTGCCGTGTGAGTGTCCTGGCCGGGAGACGGCAGCATACCATCGACGCCATGACTGACGCGCTCCGCTGCAGCTTCACCGAGACGCCATTTCCGGACAACCTCCGGCGGCAGGAGCTCGCCGTCGAGCTCAACATGACCTTCCGGTGAGAGCAGCGTCCGATCTTCCTGCTTCTCTGGCAAAGCGTCTGACCTCAGTACGTCAGCGCCGTGTCCATCTGGTTCCAGAACCGCCGGCAGACGATGAAGAAGCGTGCCGCTCGCTACGGCGCATCATCCGACGCCCTTGACCAGCTCTCTTCCGCATCTGCACCGCAGACGTCCGACGGTGCCGCAGAGAAGCCGTCGTATCAACGTGCTGTCCTGCAGCCCCGGCCCAGCCTCGAGGCGGCTGTCGCAGCTACGGCATTGCAAGCACCAGTCTCCTCGAGCAGATCACCGAGCACCGAGACGCCCGATGTCCGGACCGCACGGCACGTGTCTCTTCTGCAGGCCATCGGAGCTCCTCCGGCGGCGATCCTCGTCGACGAGGACAAGGAGAATCAGATCCCTGCCTTCGCAGCGGACCGTCGGCCATCAGTACCCTCAAGCTCTGCCACTCGGTCGCTGCTCCGTGTCGCGTCCGCTCCGGCGCTGCCGCGTGCGCCGCTCAAGGATCTCAACGAGCTCGTCTCTGGCCGGCATCAGCTCCCTGCAAGGACGGACGCGGACTGCGTGAACGAAGAGCAGTTCGATGCTGCGGCGCCGCGTCGCACCCTCTCGCGCAAGCCGAGCATGAGCGACGTGCTTGACCCGCCACAGAAGCGTGCCGGTCTCGGCTCGCGGTCCGTGTCCTTGCAGACCTCGATTGGCGGCCGAGCCACCAATGAAGATACCGCAATGGAGTCGCTCGACGCCAAGCTCCCGCCAGCGCTCGCCGCGACTCTCCGCGCACAGGGCATTCTGCCGCCGCTTGTGCAGAAGACGGCCGAGAGCGACATCTGGCGTAGGATGCAGAGCTCGAGCGCCAGCTCCGAAGACACTCGCGAGGCCGAGCGCAACGCTCTGGAAGAGGAAGGCGTCGAGGAGGACGAGGAGCGCACGCTGCGTCTCGTCGCCAACCGTCGCGCCGCCAAGCAGCAGGCACGCTCGGGCGGCCAGCCCAACGCCAGGGCTGCCTTCCCTCACGGACGCACGCTGGCACCGGTCCGCGCCGATCGAGTCACGGCTGCACCTCGCCTGTCGCAGGACGCACCGGCAGCGTCTTTCGCACGTCCGAGCAAGCATGCTGCGCAAGCACAGCTTGGCCGTGGGCCTGCTCCGCAAAGAGCAGCCGGCGCGCGCCACGCGCACTACCGCGTGCCCAGCCTCGACATGGCTGCTGGCTTTGACCGGGCAGACAAGCCGGTGTGGCCGACGCTCGCTGCGCAAGCCGATGCCGGCGCCAGAATGCGCCCGGCTCCTCGAGGCTCGAAGCGCTCGGCAAACGCAGCGCTTGGGCCTGTGCCAACTGTCGACGAGAACGCTCCGCCGACGTACTACGTGCCACGCAAGCGCAGCCGCTTTGCGATGGACTACGCCTGGGAGGACATTGAGCCGCAGATCAACGACCACGAGGCCAGCGTGGGCCGCGAGCTGAACGGCAGCGCGACGCCATTATCTCAGCAGGAGATCCCAGCCAAGGCCAAGACGGCGGGCGTCGGGCGCAAGTGGCCTTCCGCAGCAGAGGCAGCCGATGCGAACGGTGCACTGGGCGACATCAGCAACGCTGATGCTGCCACGCGCACGCCGCTCGGAGGTTCACGCGCCAACGGCTCGCCGCACTTTGGCTCGCTCTTCTCACGCGTCGACCTCTCGCTGCCGCGGCTGCCTGGCCTCACTCGCGTGCACACGGGACCGTCGCCCACGTCGCAGCTGGCGCCGCTGCAGGGCTCGCATGCGCTGCTCGACGGCCGTGCAGCACTCGCTGCCGCAGCGCCGCCGCTGCCCTCTCGGCGAGCCGGCAGCATGGCGCACCCGAGCTACTCGGCAGACTACGCGTCCAGCGCGCCTCGTCTGGGCATGCGCCGCGTGCCGCATCGCTTCGAGGCCTCCTCGACGCGCGACCCGCTCGGCACCGCCTCGCCTCTCACGTCGCCCGAGCGGCCCGACGAGGTGCGGCGACCGAGCCTCGGCCGCATCCATGCGTGGAGCGAGCAGGGCGAGCTGCCGGCGCTCGCGCCGCGCTCATACCCCAAGGCTGCCCCAGGCGCCTTCGAGAGCGCTGCAGCGCGCAGCGCCAACGCCGCTGCCAACAGCAAGCTTGACCAGCACGACGACAGCGGCTTCTTCGGCAGCGACGACGAGAACTCGCGCGCCTCGACGCGCTTCAACTCCGTGTCGCCGCGCAAGGGCGGCCGCGAGCAGGACCAGCAGGCCGCACGCCTGCTGCTCGGCCTTGCGGGCCACGAGTGAAGGGAAGCAGCAGTTGCCACCAGCATGGCTCTCGTCCTGCTACCCTTGCCCTCACTCTAATCGCGCACACGCTGCATGCGCACTCGGCACCACACCTCGCCTGCACGCAGCTGAGCTGGGACCTGAATTGATTGTTCTTAACACAGATGCTGAGACGGCGACAGTGGCGTGACAGAGTTGGCGCGCAGCCAGACCTGAAGATGCAGAGGGACGAGGAACGGAGAAGCGCGTCGATCACTGGAGCAGCGGGTCGCGGAAGTGCTTCTGGCTGTTGGCCTGCGCGTGGAGAGAAGGGTGAGCAGGTGTGCAAGCGACAGCTAGCAGTGCCAGGCCTCACCTTGTACGCGACCTTGGTGCGATACATCTCGCGCTGCTTGACGTCACTGGGGCGAGAGGAGTTAGACGCAGACCACCCTCACGCCAGCGACAAGGCAACTCACCGGAACTCCGTGATGTGCCGCTTCGCGTCGCGCGCCTCGCCGCGGTTGCGAGCCTTGACGACCTGTCCGCCACGCTCGTGCAGCAAGTCTCCATTCTCGCCATCGCGCTCGCGACGGGCTGCGTGATGGGCCAGGCGATGTGCCAGGGCCGAGCCATTGCCAGCGGACGCCGGCGCGTCGTTCGAGGGCCGCAGGTTCTGGTTGTAGTAGCGGCGCATCGAGCGGTGGCCCAGACTCTTGCCCGACGGCAGCACCAGCTCCATCTCCGAGTCGCCGTAGCGGATGCCGTTGGACTTGGGCAGGTCCGACTCCTCCTCGTCGGCATCGCCGTCGACCATCTCATCATCGCTGCCAACCTCGCTGCCGCTCGCATCCTCCCACTCGGCGTCCGGGTAGCTGCTGGTGAAGTCGTAGAAGTCGCTCAGCTCCATCACATCGTCGTCCTGCTCGTACGCGATCTTGCAGTGGCTCTTGTCGAGCATGTGCTTGCGCGCCGCCTCGGCCGTCGCAAATCCGCGGCCGCGGCCATTGCACATGAGACAGAGGTGGCCAACGGCGACCTTGTCGGCGAGGTAAAGCATGAGGCCAGGCAAGTCCGTCAGGTACTCGCGCTCGGGCACGTAGAGGCCGTGGGCGCGCTGCATGTGCTCGAGCGACTCGTCGAGCGAGGCGAACGGGTGCTGCAGGCAGAAGATGCAGGTGGTGCGCGGGTCGATGCGCTTCGCCGAGGCGATGCGCATGTCGATGGCAGCCTCGATCTCCTGCTCTGTCGCGTCCTCAGACACCTCCAGGCTGCCGTTGCGCACAGCCGCGCTGGCCGCTGCGTTGGTGCTGGAAGCACTCAGCGCGTTTGACAGGTCCTTGATGTCGTCGAGCGCCGCATCGCCCTCGCCGCTCACGACGCCTGCCTTGACTGTGCTCGGGCCTGCAGCGCCCTTGGCCTGGAAGGCGGCCTCGGTCTCCTTGTGCTTCCGCGAAGCGACATGCGAGCGGTATGCGTTGGCGGACGAGAAGCTCTTGCTGTGAGGCGGCGGGAGGTGTCAGTCGTGATGCGGCGCACAGACCACGCGCGCAGATGTGAAATGGGCTGCGTTGCTTTGCAGCGCACAGGAGCGAGCAGGAGATTGCAGCAGAATGCGTCCCGGCGTCGAGCACAACGGACACTCTTGTTGCTCGTGCAGAAGCGTCGTGCTAGCTCCACATGTGCGCGCATGCCGCAGAGACCCGGCAACCTAGCAGCAGGCACCGAGCGCTGCTACACGTGGACTCCAGAAGCAGCAGCCACCGTGTCCCAAGCCGCAGTCGCCGCCTCCTGTCCAGGCCGTGCCGTGCCCCTCCCCTTGCTTGCGTTCTCAGTACTCACGCGCATGCCTCGCAGCGATCCGACTCCTCCTTCTTGCCGCCCTCTGCGGCGCCCTGCATCTCTGAGACCTTGCTGGCGAACACGTCCTGGCGCACGGCGGGCAGGCCGGCGACGCGGCGCTTCATGTTGTAGCGGTGCAGGTCGGAGCGGTAGTGCTCGCGCTGCGCGTCGGGGCTGGGGAAGCCGATGGAGCAGGAGAGACACGTCCACATGGGCGCCGAGGGCCCGGCGGACGAGGTGGCGGCGGACATGGCGTGCGGTGCTGGAGTGGGTGGTGGTGTGAGGTGTGGCGAGTCGGTGCCGCAGGGTGTGGTGGTGAGGAGAAGTGGAGTGGGCGCCCAGGGTGCAAGAGTCATGCTGAGGTGGCGCAGCCTCCGCCTCGGCTCGGCTCGAGATTTTGAGCGGGCGCGGGTTTCGGGACCATGACGCACCGGTGGGCGCGCCCGAATGTTCGCGCGTGGGGACCTGGCCGTGGGAACGGCTCGTCGACGCGGCGCCGCAGTCGGAGTCGCACCCGCCGCGCCGCGTGCCGCAGACGAGAGCAGCGCCGCCGCCTGCGCCGGCCGGCTGCGGCGCTGCGCCTGTGTCGGCGCCGGCGCGCGCCGCTCCTCTTTCCCTCTCTACCCACCCACCCTTCACCAAGTTAGTATACCGCTCCGCACGCGACGCCGCCGCACTCGTCCTCTACGCCGTACCTGCCGTGCACGTGCCACGGCACGCCTGCTGCTCGAGCATGCAGAGCTGGCGCAAAGGCGTCGCAGCAGCGAAGATCTGCCGCGCGCTGGCGCTGTGGCGCGGGACGCCTCCGCGAACGACTCAGGAAGGGGCAGGGAGAAACAGGCGTCGTGGCGTTGTCATCTACCTCGTCGACGGGAGAGCACGTTGGATCGAGGAGGAAAGGCATGAGGAGAGAAGAGGGACGAGCTGAGCTGGCTGCGAGAGAGCGACCTCTCGAGGGAGCTTGGAGCGGACGGACAGGGTTAGGGAGGGAGAGGGAGGAGAGAACACCATCGCTGCGTATGACCACATTTCGAGGCGCGTCCGCTGACACGCTTCGCGGTCGCGCAGGATGCAGATCTTCGTCAAGACTCTGACGGGCAAGACGATCACGCTCGAGGTCGAGTCCTCGGACACGATCGACAACGTCAAGGCCAAGATCCAGGACAAGGAGGGCATTCCTCCGGACCAGCAGCGCCTCATCTTCGCCGGCAAGCAGCTCGAGGACGGCCGCACGCTCAGCGACTACAACATCCAGGTGCGTGCCCGCGACCGCGACGCGCGCGTGTCAGAAGAGCACGAGCTGACCATGACGTGCTTCGCCGTTTGCAGAAGGAGTCCACGCTCCACCTGGTGCTCCGGTGAGTCCCGACGATCGAGAGGAGACACGGAGAGGCGGCGAGACAGAGGAGAAGTGCTCGGGCAGAGGATAGCGGCGCTGGCATATGGAGGAGCGGCGGTTCTGGTGCTTCGAGTAGCGGCAGCGATGGTGGAAGGCACAGCAGCGCAAGCAGGACGCAGCGGACATGGGCGGAGCGGAGCGTTGCTGTCCGCCGTCGCGTCGCCCACTGCTGGCGGCATCAGGTCTCGACATGCTACGCCGCGAACGCCGTCGCACAGCAGGCGCGAGGCCGAGGAAGAGGAACCTGCATGCTCGCACATCGCACTGTGCGCTCCGCAGCCCGGCAGGTGGCCCTCGCAGGCGCCGCGATCAGCATGGTGGTGTCGCGCACGCATGTTCGCTGCGCTGCATAGCTCATGGCCCGTCCATGCGCTCGGGTGGTGCGGACACTTTGGAGACGACACTGTGCTCGCGGTGTGGCGACACGATTTCCTCGCACATGGAGAGCGAAAGGCACGCGGCTGCCTCGACGTGACCGTCTCGCACATGCGCCGCTCCGAACGCTGCGACTGACGCGACTCCGCCCCTCAGCCTGCGCGGTGGTCTCATTGAGCCGTCGCTCAAGGTGCTCGCGTCGAAGTACAACTGCGACAAGCAGATCTGCCGCAAGTGCTACGCGCGCCTGCCGCCGCGTGCCACCAACTGCCGCAAGAAGAAGTGCGGCCACACCTCGCAGCTCCGGTGAGTCGGCGTGCCTACGCACCTCGATGCTTCAAGTCGTGCTCACCATTCTCGCGCCCCTCAGCCCGAAGAAGAAGCTGAAGTAGTGGTCTCGCACTCATCGTGCGGCGCTCGGAGCGTCGCTGTCCTGCGCTGGGTGGTCTAGACGTCCGCTCGCGTGGTCCGGCGATCCGAGCGCTTGCGCACTACGCATGCAGCTCGCGTTCTCCGGCCTCGTCATTCTCACATCGCTGTACACTCCACCCCACCTCGCCATGACATGCGCACGCTTCCTTTGACTGTTCGTGCGATGCGTGTCGGCGTGTGCTCGCTGAGAGTGTGTGAAGCGGCGAAGAGCTACTACGCACGGTCATCGGGTGTCGCACGATCTTCCTGGCACGTGATCAGGCTCGGTCCCACATCTGTCACCGTCCGCGCCATCGCTTCCGATGTGTCACTGCTGCAGAGGCGATGCAGATGCACATCAGGCTGACAGCTGCCAGCGAAGAGCGTGCTTGATGTTGCCTTGCTGGCAGAGAGAGAGTCAGGAACGCCTGGGGCAGCACGCGGCGGCACCGGCGTCCAGCAGCTGCAGCATGAGCTGCGGGCTGCTACTGCGCCCTGTCTCTGCTGCACGCTGCTGATTGGCACCATTGAGCGCTGCAGTGCACGCTGCCGCTACACCCTTCGGCTTGTCAGAATGCCAGCGAGGCTGCGAAGGGTGCCGCTCGGCTGCCGAGGCGAGCCAAGCCCGCACGCTTACTGGCGCAGCAGCGCCACGCGTGCGTGCAGCTGCAGCGAGTGTGGGGTCGCCTCTGGCGCCATCCACGGGACGCGCCGCATGGCGCCGACGCAGCCGACATGCGACTTTGCCGCCGCTCAGCCTCGGCAGAGGAAGCTGCATGCACATGTCCGGCAGACGAGGGTGGCAACAACAGCTGCAGCATGCAGATACGACGTGCAGTGGGGTGCAGGTGGCAAGCGATCGGCAAGCCAGGCGGCGAGCCAGTCGGACGACGAAGATGGCGGCTCAACGCGGGGGAAGGCCGCCGCCAGCCAGCAGCAGCGCCGGACGCGGAGGGCGGAGCTCAAGCACCTCCCCTGCGCATGCCAGCTCCCAAGGCGGCTTTCTATGGCCAAGCTGCGGCGGCCATACGGGGCCCGTCTGCGTCCGTCGGCACATTAGCATCCTGATTAGCCCTGCCGGAGCGGAACCGGCTTCGCTGCTGTAACAGCGCAGGGTTCTCTGCCCCTCTGGCGGACCACGCTGCACGCCGCGCTCGGCACGCAGCCGCATGTCAGATGCAGCGCCGCCGAGCCAGGGTCGCGAAGGGTGTGCGGATGACGAATGTCCATTGCTCGCGTCGTGCTCAGCTATCGGAAGGGTCTTTCGAGAGAAGAGGTGGGTGACAGGAAAGCGGGGCCAGCAGGAGCCGGCCCCACGCGACGCGCAACGCAGCCAACGGCCGCTGTGGTGTGGCCGTTGAAAGCGCGCCGCTCGCGATGGACGGACGACAGGGCTCGGGAGAGGTGGGAGTGGGGGCAGCGCGGCGCATGTTGGAGCAGCTCGACGCCGGTGCTAGGAGAGATGTGGGGCAGAAGGCGGCAGGGTCGTTGTGTGGGGGTGGTGTTACATTTGTGTGAGATTTGATTGGTGGGGGCGAGGACGAGGCCGAGTTTCTGACGTTGCTTGGAGTTGCGAACGGAGCGGCCAGTTGGAGTGCGTGCGGCGCCGGTTGTGCTGTGACGGGCCGCGCGCGACGACGAGACAGAGGTGGGGACCCAGCCAGGGGTCGCGCGCGGACAGCTGTTGCGTCGGAAGGAGGCGCTCGGGCAGAAAGGTGCCGTTGCGAGAGAAGATGGAGACGAGGCTTCTTTGACGTTGTGCTCTGGACTTGTTGGAAATTACCGAAGCTTTTGAGAATGAAGTGGTGGGTTGGTGCTGATTGATTCGGAGAGATTGTGGGACGATCCGGCGCTTAGTCGTCGAGCTCGAGGTCGACCTCGTCGTAGCCGGGCGCCTCGTCGATGACGGCCGGCAGCGGCGTGCGCGCGGCAGACTTGTTGAGCACGACCGAGGCGCTCGGGCTCGTGTCGTGGCCGTAGCCAGGGAAGGCGATCTCGCAAGACGACGTCCAGAGCTTGAGGTCCTTGTCGACGGGCGCTGCACGCTCGGCAGGGCGCTCCGCCGAGCGAGTGTCCTCGACGGCCGGGGCGCGGCTGCGGCCACGGCTGCGACCGCGCTCCGTAGGGCTGCGACCGCGGCGCGAGCGCTCCTCGCGCTCCTGCTCCTGCTCGGTGCGAAGGGCCATCGGCGACGGGCCCTCGTCCGCACGGCGGACGTTGCGGCGCAGAGAGGCGGCAGCCGCGACCTTGGCGGCCTTGGCGCTCTCGTCCTCCGACTCGTCGCTCGAGTCAGGAGATGCGATGGCAATGGGCGCCGGGCGCGACGACGAGCGGCCGCGCTGCAGCGAAGCGGTGGACGACGCTGTGCTCAGGCCCTCGGACGTGCCACGGCGAGCGGCAGCGCGCGGCGGGCTCGGGCTTCGCCGCGAGGTGCTGCTGCGTCCACGCGCCTTGGACCGGCCGCGAGGCGGCGACTGGGCGCGACGCGAGCGCACAGGCGCCACGTCGCCATCCGGCGAGCTCGTCGGCTCGGCGTGGTCGTCGACGCTGTTCTTCATCGGCGGCGGCGGGGCGGCGAGCGAGCGGCGCGACTTGCGGTCTGCCGGAGCAATGGCCGGCGTCATGATGAGGCCCTTGGCCACCACGGTCGCGGCCGCTGCGGCTGCGCCCACGGGCTGCGGCTGCTGAGCCGCCTCGAAGTGCGAGTGCATGCTCAGTCCGCCACGGGCACTGTGCGAGTGCTGGTGGCCGCGACCGCGCGAGGTGGGCCGCGATGCGTCAGGCGACGTGGACGGCCGGCGTGCGGAACGGCCGCGGGCAGGCGAGACGGGCACCGCTGCGCCGGGGTAGCCTGCACCCCAGCTCGAGCTGCCGGCCGGAGAGGCGAGGGCCTCACGGCTGGTGGAGGGACCGAGGCATCTAAGAAAAGGGTCAGACGCGTGGCGGGCAAAAGTGGAAGCGAATTCACTCACCCTGGGCGTCCGCAGTACGAGTCGACGACGGTCGTCACTGGACTGGCCAGCGAGGCCGGGCTGAATGCGCGGAGCGTCTTGCCGGCCGAGCTGGCCGCCGAGGCGATCTGCTCAGGGCTGTTCGAGCCGCGGGAGGCGCGCTCGCGGCCCGCCATCGGCACTGCACCGGCGGCCTTCTGAGACGAGCCGCCCTCGGTGAGCACGGCGGGCGACGAGAAGGTGTTGGTCGACACGGAGGGGCGCTTGGCGCCGAGCGCCGTCTTGCGCGTCAGCTTTGCCTGCTGGCGCGGCGAGGCAGTGGCCGCGCCGCGTGCATTGATGCGGTGCGTCGCCGTCAGGGCCGGCGAGGTGAAGAGCACGGGCGGCGGCAGGTTGGTGCTGCTTGGCCGGCGCGCGTAGCGCATGGTGGCCGTCGACGACGCCGAGCCCGACGTGGGCGGCGAGATGGGCTTGGCCGCCGGGCTACGGCGCAGCGACGACGAGACGAGCGGCGGCGCGGCCGAGGGCGTCGATGAGGAGCTGCTGTTGTTGCTCGACTCGCCGCTGACGGCGCGGTTGCCGTCGCGCGACGCCGACTTGAGCAGCACCGTCGAGGCCGGCTTGACGCTGGGCGGCAGCGCCAGCGCCGACGGCTCGAGCTCCTCAAAGTCGTCGTGCACCGCGGCCGACGCGGGCGACGGCGTGCTGGGCACAGTGGAGAAGTTGTCCGTGTCCGCCGAGGAGAAGGTGCTGCGCGACGAGCTGCGGCGCTTGGTGCCCGAGCCCGAGCGGCGCGGCTCGATGCTGCTGCTCTCGTCGCTGAACGACGAGGCCGAGATGCCGTCGGCGGCGGCGTGCTCGTGGCGCGACGGCAGCGAGCGCTCGAGGGCGGTGAGTGCGGGCGAGGTGAGCGCGGCGGCCTTGTACTTGGCCAGCAGGTGCGGCGACGGCGGGCACGGGTAGCGGAACTTGCCCTCGGCGTCGGTGTACGGCTGCCGCGGCGAGAAGGCGGGCGCCGACGACGAGGTGCGCTCGGCGCCGAGCTCCTCGTCGAGGTACTGCGCCCGCGCAAAGGCGCTCACGCTGGCCGGCGCTGCGGGCGCGTCGTGGGCGTCGGCGGCGCGGCAGGCGTCGGAGCAGTAGAGCTGCGTGCCCTGCACGGCCGAGCCGCAGTTGGCGCACATGTCGTCACCCAGCCAGCTGGTGAGCTCGTTGGCGGGCGTGAGCGGCGTGTCGACGCTCTCGGTGCGCCGCCGCATGTGCGCGAAGGAGCGCGTCAGGACGTCGGCCATCGCGGCGGCGGTGGTGGTGGTGCGGAGCACGCGGCAGGCGCGCGGCCGAGCACAGAGGGCCAGCCGGCGCGAAAAGGCAGGCCAGACGGAGCCAGAGGGGCGTCGGGCGGCTCAGAGGCGGAGCAGAGCGCGAAGGCGTCGGCGTGGCGCGGTGGGAAGAGTGCGGAAGGGTGCAGAGGGCGCGTGAGGTGCGAGAGAGCAGGCGCGTGAGGAGATGCGAGAGGTGAAGAGTGGAGTAGAGTGCGGTGAGGCGAGGTGAGGAGAGGTGTGCTGGGTGGAGAGAAGGAAGATCGGAGCGGGCTGCTGCTGATGCTGATGCGGAGGGCCGGGCGAGGAGGGCGGAAGGAGCCTGGCGGGTCGAGTCAGCGCTGCTGAGGCAGCGTGCAGCGGCGGCGGCAGCGAGGCGCATCTGATGTTGCGCGCGCTTGCGGCCGGCGGCGCCGCTCCCGCCGCGGCACGCACGCATCAGCGCAGCACGCAAGCACGGCGCGAAGGGGCGCCGGGCGCCGGGCAGAGCGGCCCTCGCCCTTTGCTGCTGCTGCTGATGCTGCAGCCAAGCCTGCCACGCGCCGCACCGCTGCCGCCGCTGCTGCGCCTTGCTCCCGCTGCGCACGCGGCGCGGTGACACCGCCAGCCGGCAAGCGGCGTGCCTGGCGTGACGCTGCTGTGCTGCGCCCCATGCCAGAGGCGGCGCTGCAGCACGCAGATCCGCGGTGCAGCAGCACGCACCGCGGACGCCCCTGGCCCGCCTGCTGCTGCTGCGCTCCACCGCGCCAAAAAAGTGACCCGCCGCCCTCGCCGCGCCTCGCTGACATCCCGGCACCCGCGCCGTCACGCACGCCATACGCGCTACAGAATCGCAGATCGCGCGCAGCCGTCGCGACAAAGAGGAGTGCAAGGAGGTCCCCGCGGGCGACCCGAGCGGCTGCGGTCACCGAGGCGCCCCAACAGCTCCCTTCACAACAAGAGGAGGTGGTGCGCAGAGCTGCCTGGACCGTGCTTTGCGGTGCGAACCACTCTACACGGCGCTGGCCGCCGAGCAGTTTTATTGTCCAGGTACAGCGAGATCTCGAAGCGGCAGCTGGGCGTGTGTGATGCGTGATGTGTATGAGCGGCCGAGCCGGCGTCCGGTCGCCGCGTGCGCTCCTTGGCAGAGCACACCCCCACTCCGGCGGAGCACGCGCGGCGCCTGCGAGGCATCGCGGCAGGCGGCACACGCGACGGCAGCCACAACAAGGCGAAGGGGACGTCCATCAGCGCCGCCCAGCACGCGGCTGCGGCTCCCCGTGGCGCACGTCGCCCTGCCCACGACGTCACGGAGCACGCCCAACGGCCGGCGCCGGCATGCGGCGCCGGCGCGAGCGTGCACGCTCCCCACTCGCGAGCAGGCGCCGACGTGGGTGATGCTGATGCGTGCGGCACGTTGAGTGAGAGGTGCGCCGTGGACAAGGACCAGCCCCACTCGCAGCCCCTGCGGCCTCGCTTGAAGCTCAGCACGCGGCGCGCGATGGAGCGCATCGCAGCGCAGCGCAGCGCAGCACAGCACAAGCCGCAGCGCAGCGTGCAGCGGCAGCAGGTGCACCGCTCGAGCTCGCTGCATGCTGCGGCTGTGCGGCCGGCACGCTGTGCCTGTCTCGCATTGCAACTGGCGGAGGAGACGTAGCGCACAAAGTGTATGTAGCAATCGCGGCGAAGGACAATCAGATGCAGGCGCCAGACGGCGATGACTCGCGCGCGCTCGCGCTGCGGCCGCGTGCTCGACGATGAACCCACAGCGGCCACCTGGCATGCCATCGCCGCCGGCTGCCAGCATCTCACGGCAGGGGCCTGCGCTGGATGCTGCCAGCGCCCGCTGTCGCAGGGTGTTCGGCGAGAAACAGCCGCCGCCGACGTGGCGCCTGATGCGGCGCGAGATGATGGCATCATGATGGCGCTGCCACGGCCCAGCGCGGACGTCGTCGGCGCTTGTCGGGCTCCGGCTACCGCAGCGCCTGCGTGTGCCGAAGCGCCGGCCGACGACGACGAGGTGGCTGCTTGCTGCCGAGCCTCGAGTGGCTGGCGCCGCATCGCATCCGGCGGCGCAACGCCGTCGCGCTGCCTTCCTTTTGCACCCCGATCTGCGTCGTCTGCTGCAGATCGGCGCCGCCGCAGGGATCTCTGCGCGCGCGCGTGGGCGGCTCGTCAGTCGTCAGCATCTGCGACCTTCTTTGCACCTCCACTCGGCTTCCATCGCACAGCGCTCCTACCGCCAGGGCCCGCCCCCTTTCACAAAATGGCCCGAGAGGCGCTCTGCCGACGCTGCAACTTTTTTCGCTCGCTCTCTGCGCTCCGGCGGCGTCGTCTGCGGCACGCTGGCGCACCTGCTCCACCTCGCGCTCGATGTCGGGCACGTTGTCGCGCGTCGTCGTCGGAGCGAGCACCGCCTCCGGAGCGGAGCAGCAGCGGCACAGCAGAGCGCAGCTGCAACCGGCAGGGTCCAAGTTGGCGCCCCCCGAAGCCTCTTCCTCTCTGCGTGTGGGTCCTCCGCGCCTCCCAGCCGCCCAGCCCGGCATCGCTTTGCAATTGAGCGCACGGCATGAAGTGATGCACCGATGCATCCGAGGCTGGGCACCCGAATGCCGGGACACGGCTGCACACGTGGCACCCTGGCGGTCGCTCCCGGCTCCGGAGTGGAGGAGCGAGGCGACGCAAGGGCAGGCAGCCTTGCCTTGATTTTGCCTTTCTGCTCGCTTGATCACGAGAAACACCTTCTCGCGCAGGCCCTCGTGCTGTGAGCTTGGTCCTTCGTGCAGAGCGCCTCTCTGCCGCTGCGGGCCTAGCCACGCTGGCGTTGCAGCGCGCCGCCGCGGGGAGCGAGGCGCCGCTTTCTTCTGGCCTCGGACCTCCGTGCAGCGGCCAAGCGCAGCCTCGACGGCTGTGTGTGTGTGACTTCTTCTCAGCGAGGAGCTCGCGACGTGCGAACTTGATGGACAAGCAGATCCTCCGTGCGCTAGAGAGAAAACTCTCCGGCTCGGGCGAGGACAAGGAGAGGCACGTGCTGGCTGCGCAGAAAAGTCGCACGCAGCGCGGGAGCATGCTATGCTGCGCACTCCACCGCGCGCCAGCCGCACGTTCTCTCGCCGCAAGGCGGGCGCCGCCCCGGTGCAGCCGCTGCAGCGTCCCGACGCAGCCGCTGCAGGCTCAGCGGCAGCATGCAGGTGTGGTCGGGGAGCTGGGCACGCTCATGGCTGTGCTGCGGCTGTGCAACAAGGGAGGCGCACACGTGGCGGACAACGAGGTTCGCGGGAGCACGCTCTCAGGGGTCGGTCCAATCCATCACTCTTCATGCCGCGTCCTAGCGCAATCACTTCGTGCAAGCATCAAGAGGCGCCGAGCGCGCATGACATGGGTCAAGAAGGTGTGCCTATGGTACAGCAAAAGGTCCAGAGAGAGCCGTGACGCAGTCGTGAAGGAAGCTGGAGGTGTTCGTGAGAATCATGACGCGCGGCCACTGGGCCGGCCAGGGCCGCAAGACGGTCATCGTGCCGACTTGGGCAGCGGCGGCGCAGCGGATGTCCGGCGCACCCGCTCGCGCTGCGCTACCCAGGCAGCGGCGCCGGCAGCAGGGCTGCTCGGTGTGCTGCCTTCCGGCCGGCTCGAGCGTCGGGAGCGAGTGCTGGAAGCCGAGCGGGGCTGCGCCTGCAAGTGGGGATGGACGGAGGCGTCCTCGCGGCGCAGAAAGAGCGGGATCATCTGCTCTGGACTGCCCTCGCTGACGACGCGAGGCGAGGGAAAGATGATGCTGCCGGATGCCACGGGGCCCTGCGGCGTGCTCGGCAGCATCGGCGAGCGGTACGGGAAGGGATGCGCGGCCTTGCTAGGTGTGCGCTTGACGGAGGCGGTGGCGCTGGCTGCTGTGCCCACAGCTGAGCCTGTACGACGGCGCTCGGGTTGCTCAGAGGCCGGCATGTTGGGCGTGATGCTGCGTCGAAGGCTCGGCGTCGTGCTACGCGGAGCGCTTGGCGTCACGCTGCGACGTCCTCTGACCAGCGTAGGCGTGCCGCTGCGACTCGGTCCGCTCGACGCTGAGCTGCGTCGGGCCGCGAGCGGCCGGAGAAAGGCGCTCTTTGCTGCCTCGGGCGAGAGACTCGCGTCCGATACTGCACTTGCACGACGTACGGGTGCGCTGCGCTGGGCCGGCACGGAGGCCGAATGCGCCAGCGACGCGCTGCTTAGCCAAGGCAGCGCACTGAGATCGGCCTGGCGTGGCGGGCTGAGCTCGCCTTGCGGCGAGAGCTCCGAGTAGTGGTGCTGGATGTAGCTGGGAAGCATGTCAGCCTCGCGCAAGAGAGACGCAGGTCCGCTGATGCTCACCTCGAGAGCTCCTGCCAGCCGCCGCCGATGCGGACCATGACGATGCGCGAGCGCAGGAAGCGGCAGAAGCAGAGACGCGGATCGCGATGGCCGACCCAGTACCGCCCGCTCTCGTCGTTCCACGTCTCGTTGGCACGCGTCTCGGCGCCTGGTGCCGCGTGCGAGATCTGCACCGGCACCGGCAGCTGGTTGACGATGCGAGAGACGGCGACGTCCAGCCGGCTTTTCGGGTTGGGCTTGTAGGCGTTCGGCCGCTTGACGGGTGCCTTGCGCGGCGTGGTTCGTGAGGCGGTCCGCGAGGCAGTGCGTGAGTCTGACCGCGAATCCGAGCGTGAGTTGGAGCGGGACACGTCGGCAGAGGCGGTTTGCGATGCAGTCGAAGGGGCTCGCACGGGCAGCTTGCTGCCTCGGGGCGTTGACAGGACGCTCGGCAGCCGTCGCTGCCCGAGATCGAGGCTGGCCTTCAACGGTGATGAGGTGGCAGTTCGTGAGCTCGGACGCTGCATTGTTGACGAGGAGCCTCGAGATTCGAGCGCTGTCGCCGCCATCACGCGAGGGGTCATCGGCGCGCGAAGCTTTGAGGCGCGAGGCGTGGCCTGGGTGGCGGCACCGGGCTTGCTGTCGGACACGACTCTACGAGCGGAGCGTTGGAGCTTCGTAGGCGCAGGCGACAGCAGCGACACGGTGCTGCTGGTCGACATGTGCGACTTGAAGCGGTCCGGCACCGTGACCAGCTCCGGGTCTGTGTCCTTCGTCTGGTCGCCACTCTCTCCAAGCTCGCATGCAGAATCGGCCGCGTCTCGATCCGACAACGAGGAGCCGGCGGTCGACGGAAGAGAGCTGGTGGCCGATGCAGGCGAGTAGCAGACCTCCGGCTCCTCGTCCTGCCGGGCGAGCGGGTCGGGCGAAAGGAAGTCATGCGCCATCGCGCGTGTCTCATTGAAGAGCCGGTTGAGGTCCGACATCTTGTTGACGACGCGAATGTCGCTGGACACTGGATCAAGCGCAGCCGAGACGCACTCCATCAGCGGCTGCAGGAGTGCAAGTCGATCAACTACGGCCGACGTCGCATCATGGCCGTTGCTTGAGCCGTCATCTGGAGTAGACGATGTCGCACCGTCGCGACTGGCATTTGCCGACTCGCTCGCGTCTAAAAGATCGACGAAGGTACCCAGCTCGAGCTCGAGACGTGCAGCTTGCGAGGCGAAGACTGACAAGTGGCTGAACCGGCGCACCTTCGTGGCTCGCTGCGCAGAGGCCTGGCGCAGCTGCTCGACTTCCGGCCAGTCTTGCTGCACGGCTGGATACGCGAGCAGTGTCTCAACTGCGCGTTTCTGCGCCACCCACTTGGCCATGACTCCGTCTGCCTCGTCCGCAAAGGGCAGGAGAAGCATGCGCCGCTTCTGTGCAAGGCCGTCTGGAACAGTCTGCTCGTCGACGGCGTCAGGCTCAAATGACTGCAGCAGCAGCGTGACTTGCTGACGGACGTCGTCCTGTGCCAGAGCCTCGTTCTGACGTGCAGCATTCTTCGCGGAGCTGGTTGGTCCAAAGACATCCGACGAGCGCGTTGACAGCGCCGCCTCGGAGTCGGAGGATGCGAGAAGGAGTGAGCCACTGGGTGGCGGCACCGGCGAGCTCGAGAGCGGTGACGACGGGAGTTGCTCTGGTGTGTCGATGACCTCGGCGGTCTCTGCGGCCTGTGCGATCTCCATCGCGGCCGCTGCAGCCGCAGCTGCTGCCGCGCGCTGGACGACCTGCTCTCCGAGCTGCGCCTCTTCTGCTTCTTGCCTCTCGCGTTCGAGTCTGTCAGCCTCGTGCGACACCGCGGCGTCCAGGGCTGCGGCGAATGCAGCAAAGAGAGCCTCCCGCTGGACGGCGAAGCGTGCCTCTCCTTCGCGAGCTGTCGCTGCGTCTTGACTCCCGGCGCCTGCGTCCAGGCTCAAGAGCTGCACTTCTCGCTGATCAAGCTCGAGCAGAGCCTGGCCGACCCGCTGCTCGACCTGTGCAATATCATCGCGGGCACTGTCGCGCGCTTGCTCAATGCTGGCCACAGAGTGACGCGTGCGCTCGTCGTTGAGGGCAGAGATGAGCAGCGTATGCGAGCCAACGACGCAGGCCTCGGCAGCTGCATAGCTCTGCTGCACGTTGAGCACCGCTTCCGCGAGCATGGCGCGAGCTTCGGCCAGTGCGGCAGCGCGCTGCCGCGCCTTGTGCTGGGCGTCGAATGCGCTGAGAGCGTCGCCGAACGAGCTCGCAAGCTCGGCATCGAGCTGGAGCAGCTGCGCCGCCCACGTGTTGCCTTGCGCTCTTACTTGATCGTCCTTTAAGGACATGATTCGCTGCGCGGTCGCGCTCTGTGTCAGGAGTGACTGCGCGTCCGTCGTCGTCGCGCCGTTCTCATGCTCTTCCAGGACTGCGATTTGCGGAGGAGGCCCAGTGAAGGGCAGAGAGGCCGGCAGACTCTCTGTGAAGAGCTGAGCGGCAGCTGCGAACTTGGCACGCTCGCTCTCGAGCTCAGCCGGGATCCTAGACGGCGAATCGGAGAGCAGCTCCGACGCCGCGTCGGCCTGGACCAGTGCTTGAAGCTGCCGTTTGAGCGCAGCGCCGGACTGCGACAGCTCGTCGTGTCGCCGGGCCAGTGCAGCGAGACTGTCACGTTGGCGCTGCGAAGCGGCGAGCCATTTGAGCAAAGCGTCGCCATCAGACACGGCCGACCTGGACCGCTCGTGGATGCTTTGGAGCTCTTGCTGAACCGTTGATGTGTCTTGAGCGGTCTGGCGTCTTGCGAAGGCGTCGAGCATCGATGAGCCTTCCGTCAGGCGGGCTGACAGGGCAGTCAGGCGCTTCTGCTTCAAGCCTGCATCGCCACCTGGGCCTTGTCCAGACGCTTCCGGAACCCGAGGCTCGGGCGCATTTGCCTCAAGAAGTTCGGCGACGAGCCCTTCTGCGCCTCTCCGCACAGACTCCAGTGACTGGGCGCAGCTGCGTGCTGCCTTGAGGGCTTCCATCGCGGCCGTCGCTCGGCCCACCTCGGCCGTCGCAGCCTGATGTGCTTTCCGGAAGCCAGAGATGGCTTGATCGACATCGCGGCGGAACGTCGACTGTGCCAGACCTTCGCGGATGCAGGTCAGCACGCCCTTGGTGAGGCTGTCGACGCGAGCCAGCCCCGCCGCCTCGGTGCTCGCAAGCCGTGGCTTCAGACGCGGGAACCGTGCTGCGAAGAGATCGTGCGCAGATGGCTCGAGGCAGGCCGCTGCACTGAGATCTGGCGGCGAGCCGTCCTTGAGCTTGGACGGCGTGTCGGCTGGCCCGTCCGAGCCCGGCGAGGACTCCGACCAGCCTTCGCGCGCAAGACGCTCGATCTCGGCGCAGTCCTCCGACACTCCCGCGAGTTCGGTGCGCAGCCGCGCGACGTCCTGATACGCCTGCAAGGCGCGCATGTGGCGCTGCGAAGCCTGTACGGCCCGACGCACGTGCTTGCCCGCAGAGCCGAGCTCCTTGGTGAGCAGAGACGCGAGGTTTGCGTTCAGCGAGGCTTGCTCGGGCCACAGCGCGTCGTTGCTGGGAAGCGTGATCGCTCGTCTGGATGTCACGCGCAGAGAAGCATGCGACGTGGACGGCTCCTGGAGGAAGACTTGCGCCGCCGGGCCGGCCAGCGTCTCCAGCTGCTCGACCAGCGTCGCTGCACGTCGCCCAAACGTCTCCGCTTGTGCTGCGTCCGGCTGCAGCACTTGTGCTGCATCGAGATCGGCCTGCAATGCTTTCGCTGCGGCGTTCAGGTCGCGCTGAGCGTTGTACAGCTCATCTGCCTGATGCCACTGCGACACGAGCTCGCGCAGAAAGAGGCCGCGGGCGGACATGGCAGACGCCAGATCCTCCAGTCGATCTTGCTCGTCGAGGAACTGCTCTGGCACCTGATGCTCTTCGATGATGCGGTCCAAAGCCTCGCCGGATCGCGGTACTGTCTCCTGCGCGAACGGGCGGATGCGTGCGTCTAGGCGTGCTGCCTCATGATCGAGGCGCTCGACCAGCCGCTGCCGCGAGACAGTGTCACGGCGGCGCGACGTGATCGGCGAGTCCGTCAGCGAGCCCGTGAGCGATCCCGCTAGCGAGCTCGTCAGCGAGCTGCCCGAGGGCGACTGCGACATCGAGGCGAGCGAGGAGGAGCTGTTGTGCGCCGACGACGCGCCCGGCATGCTGTGGTAGACAGCGGGTGACCAGCGGGCCTTCTGCGCGACAAAGTCGTCGATATCGTGCGCAAGCGTGCGGAAGGTGGTCCAGCAGGTGCGGCGATGGGCCTCCCAAGTGAGGCGAGCGCTCATCAGGTTCAGAGCGATGCGCCTGGAAGACAGCAGGTGGAGAAGCTTGTCCAGCGCAATGAGCGTGCCGAGCGCGACCTCGACGAGATCTGTGTCCTGCGCCGACATGTGGCGCTCCGAGGCAGCTGCGAATGAACAGATCAGAGTCTGCCAATGACATGCTCACGAGGGTGTCTGCATTTCGCAGCTCGTGGCTCCCGGCCGCACTCACCTTTGGACACCCGCCTGAGCCGCTCCATGTCTGCGACATTCCACTCCTCCGCCTGCTGCTCGATCTCATCCCGCTCCTCTATCCACGCATGCACCTGCTTCATCTGGCCATCGAGCGTGGCCCAGACTTCCTCGGCCGGTGCGCCCTCAGCGCTCTGGAAGTCTGCAAACGCAAGCGGGCGTGGCCGCTCTTCCAGCAGCTGCAGCAGGCACGTCTGTGAGCACGACGCTCGTGAGTGCCGTCGCACGCTACTCACTGCGATGTGCTTCTCGATGCGTTCCTGCGAAAGAGGCAATCGGCATTGAGCAGCGCTCCAGCGTGTCCCAACCCGCCGGACTCACCTTGCCTGCGTTGAACTTGCTGATCTCGACGACATCCTCGCTGCTCAGCGTCTGGCTGGCACTGCGCTCGATGCCGCGATGCCCTTCCTCTCCAGCTGCGGATGCCTCCATCTCTGCGCCCTCGCCCGCTGGCTCGGCCATCGCAGGCGACACATCCTCTGGAGGTGGTGCGCCGTCCATGCCTCACGCGGCCGCGTGCACGAGGATGCTGGCGCTCACGCGCGCATGCGCAGGGCACGAGCGACGGCTGATGAGGTCGCAGGCTGGTGAGTGCTGGCGGCAGATGGCTGTGAGCGAGGTGCTGGATGCGTGGTGATGAGGGCGCGGTGGGTATGGATGAGAGGCGCAGGGGCCGCTGTGGAGCTGATGAGGGCGGCGCCGCAGGTTGGTGGAATAAGGCTCGCCCCAGAAGCACAGCCGCCTTCGCACGCCAAGCACGCATCACGGCTCCAGCGCCGCCGGGCCGTCACGCGTCACGCGTCTCGCACAGGGTCTCCGCCGGCGCTAGAAGCGGGCCGTTGGGCATGGCGCGCAGCAGTCAGAGTCGTCTCTGCTGCGGCAAGACGAGGACCAACACAGCACGACGGCGAGTAGCAGCGAGGCAATGGCATGGAAGCAAGCAGAGCTGCTCGCAAGATCTGTCGTCTTCACGGCTGCAGCTGCCACGCGGGCAGATCGTCAGAAGACAGGCGCAGTGCTTTATTTGCGAGACTCGTGGAACAACAGTGACGATGATGAAAGAGAATGGTCTCGGCTCTCGCCGAGATGCGACGAGATGCGCCTTTCTAAGAGCCCTGGCGGGCAGACGCCGACGAGGCGCTACACGACGCCCGAGCCGCTGCGCACGTGGAGCTCCTTTGCCTTTTCCACCTCGCGCTCGCTGTTGGTGCGCAGCGCCGCCAGGCGGTTGACGAGCTGCACGCCGACGGCGTGGCCGCTCTGCGTCGTCTGCACGGCGTACTGCCGGGCACGCTCGATGGCGACAGCGACGTGCGGCGCCACGTCGAGCGCGGGGTCGCGCAGCCCCTCGCCGGCCCACCAGCCGCTCGAGACGCACTCGCGCGCATCCTCGACGAGCCAGTCGTACCACAGCGACGCGATCGGCACCGTCGCGAGATGCCAGAGGGCGTGCGCATCGAGGGCGCGCATGATCGGCGGAAAGTCGAAGAGCTCGAGGCTCGTGGCCAGCACGAGCAGCCCGATAATGAGCTGCAGCTTACGCCGCGCAGCCCGCGACGTCGGCGCCGCCATGCCAGGCGAGATGACGGGCATCGGCGGCGAGCCGCCGCCGCCGATCTGGTTCGGCGGCCGGTCATCTATCCGCCGGCTCAGCGGCCGCACGTTGCCCGCAGGCCGTGCGGCAAAGACGGCAGGGTTGAACGAGTACACGAGCCACAGGACGCTGTGCAGCGCGCCGACGAGAATGTTGGCCGTCATGTTGTACGAGTAGTCGAAGCGGCCGATGCTGAGGTAGAGAATGTGCAGGAAGAGCGCCACGCCGCACGTCCGCGCCAGCAGGGTGAAGCGCGGATGTGACGGGCCCCAGCGGAAGAGGCGGCAGAGCGAGAAGAAGCAGCCCGAGAGCACGGCAGCGCCGGCGGAGAAGTAGTCGAGGCGCTCGGTCCACGGCTTGTCGCGCGCGTGGAAGATGGCGGACCAGATCCAGGCGTTGCAGCTCACGAGCGCATGCAGCACGTAGATGACCTTGAGCGGGAAGAGCTCGGGCAGCTCGGCGCGCAGACGCATCACGGCCAGCGCGTGCACGCGCAGGTTGAGCAGGCTGAACAGCACGCTGAGCGGCTCCTGCGCGCCCAGCACGCGGATGAAGACCCACTTGCCGTGATACTGCACCATCTGCTTCTGCACGGGCCGCAGCTGTGCCAGCCGGCTCTGCACCAGCTCCTCCACCTTGGCCACCTGCGCCGCCCGCGACATGCCGCCGCGCCCCTGCGAGCCGTCCTGCTCGGCGGCCTCGGCCAGCACGCGCACGGCCTCCTCGGCCTCCTCGCGGATGCGCTTGACGCGATCGTTGGCGTCGTTGGTGACGCGATGCGTGCAATGGTAACGGCAGTCGTCTTGGCATGTCCACCCGGTTGCACGCAGGATGAACGGCAGGTGTGTCGTCGCTGCCATGCCGTCGTCCCAGTTGGGGTTCGAGCTGCACTGGTCCTTGACGCACGACTCGACGCACTGCTGGTACTCGGGCGAGCGGTCGCCCTGCGAGGCCGCCGCACCGGGCACGTGGGACGCAGCTAGGAGCGCACACAGCGCAGCCAGCATGAGAAGCGGGAAGGACGACTTGAAGCCGCGCCTTCGTGATGGCCGCGAGCGCGTGGCTCGTGGATGCAGCCGCGAGCTGGATGCCGCGGCCGCCTGGATCTTGGGCGCCTGAGCGCACGCAGGCGCTGGGCCGCTCATGACGAGGAGATGAGGCACACGACGTGCGCGAGACTGCCGATGTCGTGCAGTGAAGATGCGAGAGACGCTGTGCCGCGAGAGTGCAGCAAGGTGGCGACGAGGGGTAGCTCGATGCAGGAGGCAGCACTGGCCCTCGGTGCAGGTGCAGACCGGCAAAACACGACGCGCGAAGCGAGCAGCGGTGGAGCAGGGCGGACGCGGAGAAGACGCGCAGAGCACGGCGAGACCGAAGCGGCCGAGGCGGAGGCGGCAACGGAGAGAGCACCAGTGGGCGAAGGGCAGACGGTTGCGCAGATGTAGGGCCAGGATGGTGGTGGCAGGAAGGAGCAGAGCAGGCCTCTGCGCGGTGCGACCGCGTCGCAGCACGGCAGCACGGCCAGGAATAGCTCGCAGCATACAGCGCCCGCGCGCCGCGCATGCCTTCGAGTTCGCCGCCGCGTGGAAGGCGGCTCGCAGCCACAGCCGCACCTCCGCCCCCGTGGCGGCGGCTCCGGCCGCCCAGCGCTCACGCGTCAGGGCCCAAGCGCCCTCCGCACGCACGGCGGCGCCATGCAGCAGCATGCATCTGCGAGCAGCCGCACGGCCAAGCGGGCGAGCACGACAGCGGCGCACGACGTCCCGTCGGCAAACCTGCCTCCGCCCGACACGGGTCCACGGCGCCACGGCCAGCGACGGGCGCGATCTCGGTCTCCGGTGTCTGCTCATCGTCTGGAGCCAGCAGCGAGCGCGGCCAGCCAGAGGCTCAGCCAGCATCCACGTCGCTGCACCGCGATCCACGGCAGCCTCGGTCCTCCGATGCAGGCACCAGCCTACCACACAAGCACAGGCGCCGTCAGACAGCTCATCCAGCACGCGCGAGTTTCAGAGCCACTGCAGGGTGGAACAGCTGGGTATCTCTGAGCGCCGAAAGAGGCGCTGCGGGCACATTTTCGGCCAGGGCCGGTTTGGGGGAGAGTGAATAGCGCTTCTTGGGCTGCCTGAACGAGCGCAGTGTGACGGAGAGGAGCGGAAGGCGGAGCGAGAGGCGGCAGAGAATGTGGAGAGGGCATGCGGAACCGCAGATGAGATGATGTAGTGAAGAAAGCGCACATGACAGTGAGGTCTCGAATGCTTGCAGAGGAAGGCAAAGACTCTTGAGAAGGATCGTCGCGGCGCTGGCGCTCTCGATTGCACAAGACAGAAAGGAAGACAAGACGCGCAATAATGCTCCGGCAGGATGTCGTGCGTCGCAACAGAGATATAGGATGGGCGAGAGCGACGAGCGGCGAAGCCTGCTGGACAAGCCCGTCGTCGCTCTCGATATATACAGATGCCACCGCTGAGCGCCGCATGTCGAGGATAGCGGCGCCCGCTGGCGGGCGGCTTGCGATGCGATGCCTCGGCCGCCGCACGGCTCACATGACGACGCACTTCTTCTTGTCGCGCGAGCTCTTGTCCTTGCCGCTACTCCCGCCGCTGGCCGCCTCAAAGGCACGGCACTGGCGCACGACGTCGGCAAACACCTCGTCGACGTTGATGCGCTTGCGCGCAGACGCCTCGTAGTACGGCACATTGCCCCAGGCGCGCGAAAGGTTCGTGCCGATCTCGCGCGGCACTTGCCGCTCCGCACGCAGGTCGGACTTGTTGCCGACGAGCACGAGAGGGACCTGCACGGAGCACAGCAGGTCAGTGGCCGAAGACTTGCTACGACGACCCTCGAGCCCGACTCACCCGCGCGTTCTTTATCCTCACGATCTGCTCGCGCAGCGGGCCGAGCTCGTTCACGCTCGCCAGATGTGTGAGCGAGAAGACAAGGACGAAGCCCTGTCCGCTCTTCATGTACAGCTCCTTGAGCGCCATGAACTGCTCCGTGCTGCAGGCGAATCGCACGCGTCAGCATGGCGCCCCTTCGCAGCAGTGCAGCGGCAACGCACCCGGCAGTGTCGAGGATCTCGACTAGGCAGTGCTGCCCGTCGATGATGATCGGCTTTCGGTACGTGTCTTCGATTGTGGGGTCGTACGTGCTGACGAACACGTTGCGCACGAACTGCACCGTCAAGGCCGACTTGCCCACACCTCCACCTGAGAGCGAGAAGATCAGCTCCGAGCTGCAGGGCGGGAGGAGCAGGTCTCTGTCTGGCCACACAGCTCGAGTCCCAGAAGGCTCAGGAGTGGCAGCTGGCGGCCGGCCTGGAAGCCGCAGGAGGGCAGCTGCATGGAAGCCGACAGGATCCTGAGCCGCGGAAGAGACCGACCGAGCTGTGCATGCGCCGAGGCGAGCCAGTGCCCGCCAAGGTAGCTTGCTGCACCACTGCTCTTGGTGTGCCGCACAGCACCATGCCGCGGCTGGTACGCAGGAGCGAGCCCAAAGCCATTACGGGCGTCGCATCGAGTGCTGCCAGTCTCTAGCTCGGCTAGTCGCGTCTGCTCCGTCTGCTCTCTGCTGTCTGCTCCGTCTGCTCTCTGCTGTCTGCCATTCTTCCCGCTCGCATGCCCAGACTCACCGCCCATGATCACAACCCGCGCCTCCTTCATCGTCGGCCGCTGCTAGAGCTGAGCTGCAGCGCCAAGGAGGACACTCGAGCGGCCGCGGGGCTCGACACAGAGGCACAGTCCGTCCCGCCAGGGCACTGCGATGGCGGGCGGGAAGAACGCAGGTGTGTCTGCGTGCAGGTGCTTGCTGGCGTCGCCTGGTGCCAGAGCTCGGCGTGCGGCTTGAGGCCGGCTCAAGGCTGGGTGTGCTGCGCTGTGCCTGCGCCTGAGATGATCGCTAGGAAAAGCCAGGAAGGGTTGCGGCTGCTGGACCCAGTGCTGCTGGCGCCTGTACGCCGGAGAGGCAGCTGCACAGGGGCTGCTCGGGCTGTGAGAAGAAAGGCGCAGCGAGTGTTCGTGAGGAGGGCGAGAGAGGAGATGAGAGAGCGTGAAGCCACGGCACACGCAAGGCAGCGAGTGCGGGACGAGTGCGCCAGGAGGGCGTGGCGAGCGATATTGGGGTCGAGAGGCGAGCTGGATGGCCTGACTGCGAGTGCGAGGTGGAGATCTGGATGCCGCAGGCTGCGGCTAAGCTGGCGGTGGATGCAGGCCGAGGCGCCTCGGCGCGCCTGTGCGTGCGTGCCTCTGCCGCGCGCTGGGCTGCTGCCGCTGCTGCGCTGCCGTGCCGCGCCGCCGCGAACAAGGCCGCCGCAGCCGCGCCCGCACCACGCCGAGCGGCGCCCGCCCCACTCCGCAACTCCTCTCCTGCATCCGCTGCCGCGGCCGCATCTTGCTCGGCGGCGACGTTCGAGACGTGCGGAGCGACGTCGGGCCAAGGCCAGCTCTTCGACAGCACACGATCGTCCACGCCAGCGTCCAGCGCTGCAACGCCGAGCTCGAGGCTGGACGCGCAGCGGGCGAGCGAGAGCCACGGCCTCCACTCGTTGGCGCCCGCGCGCGACGTCGACCGGAATGTCCGGCGCTCGCTGCATCTGGCAGCGTCGAGATCGCCATGACGGCACAGTCCAGACCACCACGGTGGCTCTCTCAGCATGATGCGACGAGGCATGCGCTGCCGACGGCGACGAGAGGCGAAGCTTACGTAGCAGCGTCGCGAGGGCGCAGAGCTCAACGGGCGACTTGGCGGGCGAGGCCCGTCTGACCCGCACTCGACTCTGCTGCACAGCGGTGCCGCACAGCGGTGCTCTCCAAGCGACGAACAGGAAGCGTGCTGGACGCCGGCACTTCCATTGCCGAAGGGCTCAGCAGGGACCATGTGGATGCGACGCTGCTGAGCGTGCCTGCGGCCGAGGCCGTTGCACCGTGCACGCAGGAGAGCTGGATGCTGATGGCGTGGGACGGCCGCGAACGCCTCGGCTCGACGTGCTGCCGCTGCGGCACGCCGCCGCAGCGTTCCGACATCGAACTGCAGCTGCTCAGCCTCGACCCTGCGACTGCGATGGACGCTGCGCAGCACCATGCTGCGACACCTTCCGCCAAGGTGGGACGAAGCAGCAAGAAGGAGAGTTTTGCGCGTCGGCGGCGGGCGGAGTCGATGCGCGAGTGCTCGTCGGGGTCCGGCGCTGCACGCTGTTCGGCACCTGGCGGTGCAGCAACGCTCGCTGCTGTTGGCGCTGCAAGTCGTCTCTCTTCGCTCTGTTCTTTCAGAACTCGACTGCAGCCTGCGCTGAGCTGCATCTGCTGGGGAGGACCAGCTCAGTCGACTATCATCTCTCATGCGCTCAGGCACACCTTTGTGCGTCCGCGGGTGCGTTTGCAGCGGGACGAGCGGCAGCGTCGACGCACGGACGCGCCCACGGCTCCTGCTCGGCACCCTCCGTGCTTGCTCGGCCGCACCGCATGGACTCGGTCAGCAGAACCGCTCCTCTCCTGCACGGTGCTTCGCTCTTGGCGCTCTCAACTCAGTGAGACTTGCCATGGCCCGCTCCGTCATGCGTGGGATCCTGCCGCAGCTCAGGCCATGAACGGCATCAGCTTGTCCCTTCGGCATCGCGACGGTGCGCGGCGCTGTGCGGGTCCGTTCCCACGCCTCTGCACCTCGGCCGGGCCGAGGCTGCAGGATGCGTTCCTGTGTGCCTGATCCTGAGCGGTCCCTGCGTCGCTTGTGAACTCTCCTTCTCTCCTCTCGCCCCTGAAGGTCACGGCGCTGAGGAAGACCTCCTCCAGCCTTCAGACGGCCGAGAGAGGCCTTGGCTGAGCTCTGCCGTACGAGTCTGCGCTCGGAACGGGCACGGACCACCGCAACATCATGCGCCGTCTTAGACAGACGACCCACATGCCACTTGAGTGTCGCAGGCGTGCTCCTTCATCGTTCTGGACTGTGGCCCAACTGGCTGGACTGCGGCAGATGCTGGCGGCGTGGAGCCGCGCAGCGGCCGCCGCTGTGTAGAGCCGCGAGGGCCGCCGGCGCGCGGCGGTCCGAAGGTGCGGCTCTCCGCGAGCTCCGACGCGCGCCTCTGTCTCGACCACCACATCAAGCCAGGGGTCATCGCGGATGAGTCTGCGTCTCCTCGGCCAGTCGGCACGTTCGGCACGTCTCAGTGCTCCAGCTCTGGCTACTCGAGGCATAGCTTCCGCTGTCCGCCCGCAAGGCGCCTCCAGCAAGCAGCTGCGTGGCCGTCGAGCTCTGCCGCACGGTCCATCTGCAGCTCTTGGGCGGCGCAGCGTCAACATGGCCGCCTTCTCGGATCCGGACTTCGACTTCAGGCGTGAGCAAGTCTGCAAGATTTCGAACTTGCCCGGCTGAAAGCGCTTCCCCTACCTGCAGGCTACCTCGAGGAGCGGCCGCGAGCGCCTGACACGCTGTATGACGATGTGCTCAGCTTCCACCAGGGCGAGCGCGGCACGGTGCTCGACGCCGGCTGTGGGCCAGGTAAGCATCGCTGCTCAAGCGCCGCTTCACTTGCTCACGCTGCGCTGCCCAGGCATCTCGCTCTTTCCACTCGTGCCGCACTTCAAGCGCGCCATCGGCGTGGACCCGTCAGAAGGCATGATCTCCGAGGCCGGCGGCGCCTGGGAGGCCTACTGCGGCAGTGCGCTGCAGGGCAAGCGGCCCGACACGCTCGTCGAGTTCAAGCAGGGCAGCGCCGAGAAGCTGACCTGCATCGACGATGCCAGCGTCGACCTCGTTACGGCTGCCCAGGTGCGTGCCCAGCAGCCGTAAATAGAGGCGCCCCTCTCACCGCCTCACTTCCGCAGGCGGCGCACTGGTTCGACTATGCGGCGCTCTGGCCCGAGGTGCGTCAGAGGCCATTTTCAAGCGAGACGCTGTGCTGACTGCATCCTTCGCCGCAGCTCTCGCGCGTCCTGAAGCCCGGCGGGAGCGTCGCCTTCTGGGGCTACGGCACCAACTTCCTGCCCTCGCACACAGCGCTCTGGCCGCAGATGGCCGAGTTCATGTCGTCGCGCGCCCCCGTGCTTGGCCCGTACTGGCCGCTGCCGGGGCGCCGCCTGCTCGAGGACCTGCTTGCGGAGATGTGAGGAGCATCGACTATCCCGCTGCTCGCATAGGCTGACGCTGCCACTCGCCAGCCCGTTCCCCAAAGACGAGGCAGCCTGGGACGTGGCTGGCGCGAAACGCAAGATGCACACGCTCGCGGCGCCCGGCGTGCCCGAGCTTGCGTCGCCTGCCGAGCCGTACCGGATGGAGGTGCGTGGTCGTCGGCTCCGGCCCAAAGCCACGCAGCTGATGCCTCGACACTGCAGCGCGTCATGACGTTCGAGCAGCTCAACGGCTACTTCCACACCTCGTCTGCCCTCTCGCGCTTCTACAAGGCGCACCCCGAGCGGCGCAGCGAGAAGCCCGACATGATCGACGTGCACGTAGAGCGCCTGCGCGAGGCCGTGCTGGCGGAGCGCAAGAGCGGCACCGGCGCAGAGGAAGGACTCGACGAGCAGCATGTGCGCGTGGCCTGGCCGCTCGGTCTCATGATGATCCGCAAGCGGGCATGATAACAATATGCAAATGAAAGAGACGTGCGAGATGAGACATGGATCCTAGTGTACAGCAAGAGGCCGGGGCATGGGAAGGGAACAGGCATGCGCCTCGAGAGCGGTGACATGAGAGGGACGAGAGCGGCGGCCGCAGGCATGCGGGGCGGGATATGGTGCCGGCGACCCGACGCAGCTGCGCGCGCGCTCAGAAGTCCTCCTCGAGCGTGAAGCCGTGGCCGCCACGCTGGATGCCGTCGCCCTCCTCGCCGACGACCGTCTCCTTGCGCGCGACGCCAGCCTTGGCGTACTCGGCGACCTTCTTCTCGAAGAAGTTCGTCTTGCCCTGCAGCGAGATGTTGTCCATCCAGTCGAAGGGGTTCGTGGCGTTGTAGTGCTTCTCGTTGCCCAGCGACACGAGCAGGCGGTCGGCGCAGAACTCAATGTACTGGCGCATGAGCGCCGCGTTCATGCCGATCAGCGAGCACGGCAGCGCGTCGGTGAGGAAGGCCTGCTCGATCTCGACGGCCTCGGTGATGATGCGCTTGACCGTGTCCGGGTGGGCGCGCTTGCGCAGGTGGCCAAAGAGCAGGCAGGCAAAGTCGGTGTGCAGGCCCTCGTCGCGCGAGATGAGCTCGTTGGAGAAGGTGAGGCCGGGCATGAGGCCGCGCTTCTTAAGCCAGAAGATCGAGGCGAACGAGCCCGAGAAGAAGATGCCCTCGACGGCGGCAAAGGCCACGAGGCGCTCCGAGAACGACGCCTTCTTGTCCGAGATCCAGCGCAGCGCCCAGTCGGCCTTCTTCTTGATCACCGGGATCGTCTCGATGGCGTCGAAGAGGAACTCACGCTGCGCGGGGTCGCGGATGTACGTGTCGATGAGCAGCGAGTAGGTCTCGGAGTGGATGTTCTCCCTGTGGCGCGTGCGGGTCAGCGCGTGTGGCAAGCAGAGGCAGCGCCGGGCTGCGCTACGCACATCATGATCTGGAAGCCGTAGAAGCAGCGCGCCTCGGCGGCCTGCACCTCGCCCGAGAAGCGCTCGACGAGGTTCTCGTTGACGATGCCATCGGACGCGGCGAAGAAGGCGAGCACGTGCGAGATGAAGTGGCGCTCGTTGTCGTTGAGCTTGTTGTCCCAGTCGTGCATGTCCTTGCTGAGGTCGATCTCCTCGGCCGTCCAGAAGGAGGCCTCGGCCTTCTTGTAGAACTGCCAGATCTGAGGAGGCAGGGGTCAGCGCTGCAGCTGCGGCGGGCCTGCAGCACCGGCACTCACCTCGTGGAAGCGGATGGGGAAGAGGACGAAGCGGCGCGTGCTCTCGACAAGCAGCGGCTCCTCGCTCTCGGGCAGGTCGACGTCGCCGACGAACTTGCTGTGCAGGTCGTCGATGTCTGTGTGGCGTGTGAGCAGGGCGGCAGACGCTGGCGGCACGGCGAGGCCACGCACCGCTGCTGCTGCCGGCGGCGGCGAGCGAGAGCTTCGACAGCGGCGCGTCGAGCGAGGCGCTGCCTGAGGTGGCGGAGGGGGCCATGGTGCGTGCAGTGGGGTTGGTGAGTGGGAGAGGCGGGGCTGAGCGGTGGTGAGAGGGGTGCGGCGCGGGTGGGGTGCGAGAGGCAGGGGTGTTGTTGTGTGCGGGAGCAGGGAGAAGCGCGGCTGCCCGGCCTTAAGAAGGCGAGCAGGCGTCTCTGCGTGCTTTGCCGCCAGCGCAGGCGCTGTGTGCTGTGGCGGCGCGGCGCTGCCTCGGCTGCGCTGCTGCCCCTGCGTCGCTGCTGCCTCGGCTGACTACGCGTAAAGTGGCCGCCGACGCGTCGCGTGGAGGCCGCCGCGGCCCCGGCGCGCGTGCGTGTTGGACGCGCGTGCAAGGCCTCGAGCTCGCCGTGCCGCCGAGTGCCGCAGGTCTGCTGCTGTGCCGGGCCGGACACCTGCCGCTGCACTGGCCTAGCTTCCCGCCGTGCGTCGCCTTGCCCTCGCAGCACGCTCTCCACATGGCCGATGCAGCGGCCTGCATGCCACGGAGCCGCGCTACGCTGCATGCCTCGCAGAGCGGCAGATCGGAGATTAGGGCAGCGCCCGGCGATCAGATCAACAGATGGCGAGGCGGGAACATCTGGCCTGAGGAGATGTGCCGACTCCAGACGCCTGAGTCTTAGGCCTCTTCGTCGGCCGTGCGGAAGAGGCCAAGGCGCCCACAGGACCTCACGAAGCTCGCGAGGCGCAGCCTTCACGGCACCGGTCGCGCATGTCTCCTTGAGTCGACTGCACCGTCACACCCTCGACACACCTCACCCAGCAGCGCAAGTCATGCCTAGATTACAATGGAGAGCGCACGCCTCTACTTGCGAGCTGGCGTGCCCGCCGCAGCCGGGCCGCCCGTGCTCCTGCGTCCGCCCGAGCGCGTCGTGCCGCTGGGCAGCGCTTGAGCAGCAGCAATGATGGCCTCCTCGTCGCCCGGCGCGATGGCCTTCTTGCCCTTCATCAGCGGCGCCGATGCAGATGCAGCGAGCTCGGGTGCCGCGGCTGCTGCTGCGGGCTCCGGCTCTGGCGCCGGCGGCGGAGCGAGCTCTGCGCGAGCAGCGGCGAGCACACCGCACGCGCCTTCGTCGTCGACATGCGCCGCGTAGCAGCCCATGCGGTATGCCTCGACGGCTGCAGTTCCCGGCGCCGGGTTGGGCGAGGCAGTCGTGCCGGTCCAGAGGAAGCGGTGCTCGAGCAGCTCCGTGAGCAGGCTGTACGCCTCTGCACTGGCGAACGGCACGCCGCTGCGTGGATCGCGATACACGGCCGGCAGGCCCGTCAGGGCGCAGGTGCTCTGCCGCGGTCGCAGTGGCCGGTTGCGTGCAGCTACGATGGGCACGGCATCCCAGGCGCAGTGCGAGCCTAGCAGGAGGGAGAATTCATCCACCCACGTCGTGTCCGGCGGCAGGCCGCGCAGCGAGAGCAGCGTGCGGGACTGCTTGACGCGCGAGAGAGGCGGAGACGTCTGTGGCGTGCCGCTGCTGCCTGTTCCCGGCGGCGCAAGCGTGGGCGTCTTGCGAGGTGCAGAGCCGCTGGGTTCGCTGCCGAGCTGCGGAGACTGCAGCGTCGGAGTCGGCGCTGCAGAAGTGTTGGCGCCGGCACGAGCAGCCAGCCGATCGGCGTGCACGGGGTCCTGCAGTGCGCTGGCCACGCCTGTAGATGGCAGAATGCCCGCCTGCTCGTCCTCGATGAGCTTCACGAGCGACGTGCGCTCGCCCTCGTCACCGCCCGTGGTGATAGAATGCCAACGGACGAAAGGACCCTCGATGCCCGCCGGCTTGCTCTTGCGGTCGCGCGCCTTGCGCTCTTCTTCTCGGTCCAGGAAGATGCGTAGACTCTCGCGATTCGCCTCTTCCGTCTCGAGTGCCTCTGCAATCAGGCGGTCCTGCGTCAGGCGTGGCCGCTTCGGCGGTGCAGCACGAGGTGCCTGCGTTGCTCGCCGCTCCTCATCTGCGCGCAGCCGCTCAGCCACCTCAGCCGCAGACTGCACCGTCGAGCGCCGCGAGCTGGAGCGCTTGCGCGCGCTGCCGCTCGCAGTGCCCTCGCCGCTGGTCCGCGGCGTCGGCGCAAAGGAGATGCGCTTGGCGCTGCGTGCGGCGGCACCCTCGGCGCGCTGTGCGCTCGTGGAGCCTTCCGCCTCGTTCTGGCCGGCGTCGTCATGCACAGACAGAGCCGACTTGGGTGCAGGCCCACGTCTGACGATGGGCCGCATGTGCGCTGGCAGTGCCTTTGTGCGTGATGCCTGAAGAGAAGGCATGAGCGCACGACTCCGCAGGACATGCCTGTGATGCTCACCTTGCGACTGGCCTTCTCCTGTGCCTCAAGCTCGCGCTCGCCCGCCGACTCGTCGCCCTCGTCGGCACCTTCGCCGTCAGCGCTCGAGCGATCGAAGTCCGAGTCCACGACGTCCTCCTCGTCTGCATCATCGAACGATCAGTCGGATGCTCAAGGCAAGGCATTTCCGCGCTGGCCATGCGGCACTCACCCTTCTGCTCCTGGAAGTCGATGTCGTTCTCCACCTCCTCGAACACCTCGTCCTTCTCCATCTCCTGCTCCAGCAGCTCGCGCATGCTGTGGCGCGAGATGTCAGTTCGGCAGGTCGGCGCTCGGACCGCCGACTGACGCACCGGTTTCCAGCGGTGGAGCGGCGCGCGCGCCCAGTGACGAGGTCATCGCCGGCAGGCGCTGAGGCTGGCGCCGCCGGCGGGGCTGCCATCTCGAAACGGGCCATGGCGGGGCGTGCGCGGCCGTGCAAGGCTGAGTGCGAGAGAAGGCGGAGTGACGATGAGGTGGAGAAGAAGCAGCCGGCACACGCGCAGGCGGCGGCGCCTGCAGCTCCAGCTCAGGGTGCGGCGCGTGCTGCGGGTCTCTTCGGCCGGGCCGCCCGACGCGTCCATCCGCGAGCCGCTTCCTGAGCCTCTCGCACCTCTCTGGCAAGCCAGATCGCGGACTTGCAAAGACACAAAAATGCAGCCGCCCAAGGACGCTGCTCACGACGAGCCTGTCATGCTCTGCAGCGCGCCATGTCGGCATGCTGCGGAGATGCCGCTGCGGCCGAGAGACGTCGGCGCGATGCGGCCGAGAGTCGGCTTCGTGCGCGCCGCTCGCCGGCAGCACGACGCCGAGCTCGCACCAGGCAGGCAGCATCCTCGTGCCTTGTGCTTCCACGCCCCTCAGAGCCCTGCCCACCTCGACGGCGGGCAGCCTGTGCTGCCTCACCCCGATGCTGCGACACCCGCCAAGGCAGCTGCGCATAGCGCATGAGCGGCACAGGCCACGCGACGTCGTGCGGCAGACGCGGCACCGCAGCGCCGCGCGCAGACGGGCGCTGCGTATCACGGCCCCTCATGCGCGATGGCCGCGCCGTGGGCCGTGGCGCACCGGCAGCGCAACTCACGGCCGGCCCGCGGCGCCGGCGGCGCAGCAAGAGGCGGCGGCGGTCAGCGAGCGCGAGGGGAAGCTCTCGAGCTCACGCTCATCAAGAGGAGTGCGGGGGTGCCCCTCTGGCAGAAGGGCAGTGTGGCGCAGAAGGCGTGCGGCCGGTCCGATGCCGAAGGAGGCACTGCGCCAGCGAGCGACGTTGCGGCACTTGCCCCCTTCCCCGCATTCTTGCTGCACGCCCGCGGCGAGGCGCACCTCGGCGAGATTGCGAGGCAGGGGAGCAGCCGTGCGCGGCAGATGTGCCGGTTCCGCGGCTACGCTTGTGCCTAGCTCCGCGCTCAGCTCAGCTCACGCCGTGCCGCGTGGTGACGAGAAGGAGCACCGCACGGCACCACGGCAGCGCCCTCGCCGCGCTGCAGGGTGCGGGGCCTCAAACGCCACGCCGGCGCTGCTTGCTGGCGTCGTTGTGGATGCGCTTGTGCCGGGCCGGCGCTGGAGGAGCGGCGCTGTACGGCCGTGTGCGAGATGCTCGACTCCGCTGCGCCTTGGCCGGCGCGCAGGAGGAGGGAGAGGAGGAAGAGCGCGCGGCACGGCAGCGCCGGCGCACGGTGACCGCCGCGCGCGCTGGCGCACTGTGGCCGCTGATGCTGCGCCGAAGCGCTTCTCTCTGGCGCTGCCCTCTTCTGTCCTCGCCCTGTGCGCACCGCCTGCTTCCTCTCCACCACCGTCGTCCGTCGCAAGCACCCGCCCGCCTCGCTCAGCTTACGGCCACACCGCTCCTCTCTCCTTGCGCAACTCTCTCTCTCTCGCCTACAAAAAGGGCATACCATGTCGGCCTCGCAGCCCATCCCCACGCCCGCCGCCTCTGCCTCGCACCCCATCGCCCTGCCCGCCTCGACGCCGCCGGCGTCTGCCTCGTCGTACTCGCGCTCGCCGCCGCGCCCGCTCCTCTCGCCGCTCCTCTCGCGCACGGCCTTCACACTGCCTACGCCCGCCGCGGCCGCGCACCACCGCAGTCGTTCCTTCTCCAGCTCGCCGCCCGACGAGGCCGGCCCCACGACGCCGCTCTCCAGCCCGCCGGCGCAGCAGCCGCAGCTCGGCAGCAGCTTCAGCGGCGCGCCGCTCGGACGCGTGCCCAGCGCAGGCTACGGCAGCTACGGCGCCGCCAGCGGATACGCACTCGGACGCGTGCCGTCGGGCAACAGCGCGGCCATGATGGCATACAGCCCCGAGACGGAGCACAAGGCCATGGGCCTGCTTCGTCGCTTCTCCCTCAGCGGCAGCGGCGCCGTCAAGCGTGAGTGTCTGGCCCTGACTGCCGGCTGCAACGAGGTTGCAGCTGGTCGCATCGCCTCTATCGCCGTCACTCTCATGCTGACGCCATGCTCCCTCGCAGCCTCGCTCAACTCCGCGCCCGCCACGCAGCAGATTGGCTTCGAGCGGCACGGCCGCAGCGCCAGCGTGGCGTCGACGGCCTCGACCACGAGCATCGCCGGCACGGCCGCCGCCGAGCCGCGCTCGGCGCCCGCCATGGTCGACCCGGCACTGGCGGCGCAGGCGCGCGGCCGCAAGGGCAGCGTCGGCGGCAACGGCAAGCGGCGGCCCAGCCCCATGGGCGAGCGCCTGCTCATGGGCCACTTCAACGCTCACTGAGTCTCTGTGCGATCTACGTAGCGAAACCGCATTGCGCGCGCGCCCGCTGCGCACATGTCGCTTCCGCTGCGCACGGCGTCGAGCAGCATCCTCGAATCTGTACAACATCCTTCCACGCCATGATGCACCGCAGCAGCCGGCTCAGCACGTCCGTCTGTGGACCTGCAGAGAGGCATCGCACAAGTCGACGCCAAGCTGTTCCGTCGGGCTGCAGCGACTTCCCGACGGCGCATGTCATGCTGGCTCGACACCATCCGCGGCCGGCACTGGATGCGCGGCCTCAAGTCCTCTCCGCCTCTGGCCGTGCTCGTCTGGATCTCGCCTTTGTGCCACGCACTCACCTGCGCTGCCAGTCTCTCTCCTCACATATTCCCATCGACTCCTCCATCCATCCGTCCCGCTGTCTTCTCTCATCATACTCGCGCGCCTGGCTTCCGTGTCCTGTTCCCTCTGGTCTTGACGACGTCCCGCTCCCGCCTCTTCGCCTGTATTTGACGTCGGTCTCTCTCCTGGCCCGCAATCTCACGACTTGCTATTCTTCTGTGCGTTCTGATGCCCACTCAAGTCCGATGCACCTGCTGGCCGCTGCTTGATGGAGTGCTGCGACCGCCATGCCCCTCGCGTGACTCTCACCACAGCAGAGCCACCGCCGTCGCCGCTCAGCTCCAAGCACGACGAGCAAAGCCGTTGATATTACTATGGGCGCATCGGAGGCCCGGGCAAGGGGTAGCAGCAGAGACATGGAGAAGCGGAGAGCAAGACAGGAGGGGCGTGGAGCACACGCTCATGGGTTGGCGACGTACTTGCCCGACGTGGTGGTGCGCGTGATGGCATCGAAGCGCAGCGACGACGGTGCGATGCTCGAGCTCTCGACGACCGAGAGGCCAAGGTTGCTGAGCGTACGGCCCGGCACGCGCCAGCGCACCTGCACGGCGCCAGGCGTACTGGGTGCATCGACCTGGAAGCGCGCCAGCACCTTGCCTGGCTGCGGCGCCGCGACGGAGAGCGCCTCGTCGAGCCGCCAGTACATGCGCTTGTGCTCGGCGTTCCAGTTGCCCGTCGGCTTCGACATCTGGCCCGTCACGCTCGACGGCTGCACGCTGATGACGAACGAGACGTCCTGCAGCTCCGCCGCTGTGCCGTCGGCCGCAGTCTCCGTCGCCAGCCGGCTCTGCGCGTTGGGCGAGTAGTTGCAGAGGAACGACGTCTGCTGTGCCTCGCAGCGCCACTGTGCCGTCACGTCGAGCGGAATGTACTCGCGCTGCCGGCTCTCCGAGACGTACAGCTGGTACTTGAGTAGCGTCGCCTGCCCCGCCGAGCCGCCGCCCTGCGCCAGCAGCGCGCCGACATCGAAGCGGTACTCGCCTGGCCGGTCGGCACCGATGGGCTGCAGGAAGGCCGGGTTGGGCGCGACCTTCTCGAGCTGCTCGAAGGAGTCCAGCCGCAGGTGCAGCGGGTCGGTCGAGGCAAGATCGCGCAGCGAGACAGCCACCTCGCCGACGATCATGAGGCGCGAGACAGCGCCGCCGGCGAAGATGACGTTGACCGTCTCGGTGATGGAGGCGCGCAGGCCCTGGGCGGCAGCACCCGCGTCGAATGGATTGCCTGGCGCGGCGCTCATCGACGACATCGAGACGATGCTCTGTGTGCGCCCGGCGCCCAGTCCAGGTGCGCCCGTGAACGCGCTGGCTGGCGTGATGGGACTCGTCGGGCCCGAAGCATCGCTGCTGGGCGCGTGCTGACGCGTGGCCTCCTCCAGATTCAGGTTCATGCCGCCGCCGTACGTCGTGTTGCGCACGTCACGGCGGTCTCGGCGGGTCGTGTTGCGCCGCGAGGGCGCCGTCGGCGGTGAGCGGGCAGTGAGCAGCGTCGAGCGCATGCGCTCGAGAGCCGCTTGTTCCTCTTCGGAGTCTTGCCGGCTCACGGGCTTGCTCGCGATGTTCATGCCAGTCACCTTGGGCCTGTCGCTAGCGTGAGTTCTGCGCGCGTAAGTCGTGACGTCTGACTTACAAGTCGGACACCTCCTCCTGGTCATCCTCGTCCATCAGCGAGGCGCCAGGCAGCGCGCCTGCTCCTCCCGCCTCCCATGGCTTGCGGTCCGGCGGCGGGATTGAGAAGCCCTCCGAGTCGACCTGCGGCGCGACTGCTGCTCGGTCGAGCGTGGACTGCAGTGCAGCATCAGCATGTGTGCGCACAGGAGTGCCACATCTCGCACTCACTTGCTGCGAGCCAGCGTTGGAGTTGGCGGCACTCGGCACCATCGGCGCCATCAGGCCCGCGCCGCTTGCATTCTCGTCGCGCCGCGATGCGCCGCCGCTCTGTCCGCCGAGCGTGAGCTGCGGGGCTCGCGCAGATACGATGGGCGCCGATGGCGGGCTCATGGGCTCTGCGCGCTCCGGCAGGCTGCCGTACATCGTCGAGCGGTCGGCGTCCTTGTTGGAGCGCTGCCGGCCGAAGCGCGAGAGGGCATTCTTGAGCGTGCTGCCGCGCCCGCCGCCGGTCGTCGAGTCACCGCCAGTGGCCGAGTGGATCGAGGCGCTGGACGACTGCTGCGGTGCGCCAAACTCCGTCGTCGAGGAGGCAGCCGGACGAGAGCCGCCGAGCATGGTGCTGCCATTGGCGCGCGGGTCCGACGTGCGCGCCGGCGTCGAGCCACGCGACTCTGGCGCCGCCGAGCTGCGCGAGACGGGCGTCTGCTCTCGTGCGCCCCGAGCGCTGCTGCGTGCAGCGACGGCGGAGCGAGTAGCCGTGCCGTTCTTGAGCATGAACTCGGTCATCTCGGCCTGCGTGTCGAAGTTGAGCGCCACCTGCATCGTCTGCTCGGTGATGGACATGAGGCGCTGAGCCGCGTCGCTCTGCGCCGTCTCGAACTTGGCCACCGTCTCGCGCAGCAGGTCGAGGCGCTGCGCATCGATGCGCTGGTAGGCCTCAAAGGCAAACGGCGCCTCCGTCTCCCAGATGTCCATCGTCTGCGCCAGCGCACGCTCCGTCTCCTGCAGCTTCTCCTGCGCTGCCGACGCCTTCTTCGACGAGGCACCCTCCACCTTCTTCTGGTCCTTGGCCAGCTGCTGCTCAAGCGTGTTGATCTCACGCAGCGTGCTGGCGATGCTGTCGTCGTGCTGCAGAGCGTGGCGGTGTCAGCAGCGACAGCAGTGACGAGGCCTCAGCAGCCTCTCGTACTCACCTCCTTGACGCGGCCCCACTCGCCGCGGTTGCTGGCGCTGCGCATCACAATTTCGCATTCCTGCTCAATCTTCGTCTCCAGCTCGCCGTGCACGCTCGCCACCTCGGCAATCTCGGCGACGAGGCGCTCGTACACCGGCAGGAAGCCCGCACCGAGGGCCGTCGGGTCGGAGAGGAACTGGCGCTTGCTGATCTTGGCCAGCGCCTTGAGGTAGGCATTCTCGAGCTCGCGGCGTGCGGCGAAGTATTCAGCGCTGCGTACAGGGATCAGTCTATGCACTGCATGCGCATCGCCCTCTGGCCCGCTGCTCACAGCTCGTCGGTCAGGATCTTGGCCTTGTGCAGGCGGCCCTGGACGCGCGAGACGCTCTCGCGTGGCGGCCCTCGCTGCGAGACAGGATCAGCAGGCGCAGACATCGAGACACGGAGACACGCACGACGAAGGCATCGGCATACGCCGCCGGTGGCAGGCCGCCCGTGGCTGCCGAGGCAGCAGGAGGCTGAGACATGGCCGGAGCGCCGGGTGGAGGCGCGCGGTGCGGCTGCTGAGGCAGAGTCTACGCGGCGAGGATACGGGCTGGCGGTCTGCGCTGAATACGCGGGTGGAGAGGCGAAGAGAGGCCCGCACGAATGTGCAGCGCTGCGTGGGTGCAGCGAAGGTGGACGAGGCACGGGTGCGGCGGGTGGATGTGAGAGGAGGACAAGGTGCGAGATGTGGAGATCGGAAGGTCGCAGCCGCGGCGGCGGCGCCTGCCAGTGCTCGGCTGCCGCTCCGGCCGCGCCTCGGCCTGCTGCGCCAGGCGGATCGCCGTGCGGCCCGCGCCGATGCACCTGCTCCACCTCATGCCTCGCCCGCAGCGCAGCGGAGCTCACGCACAAGGCGTGACAGGCAGGACAGAACGTGCAGCGCAGCGAGCCTTCTTGCCTCTTAAGCTCGCGTCGTGCTGCGAGCGTACCTTCGTGTCCATCCAGCTCAGCTCCTCACCGAGAAGGAGCTGCTGCTGCGCTTTAAGGTATATGCAACGGGCAGCGGGCCAGCTGGCCGCGCTCCTTGCTCATGTCCCGCTCATGCCGCTGGGCCGCCCAGGGAGAGAGACTCGCGGCTGCCCTCTGCGAAGCTCCTGCTCCATCTGCCGCTTTCGCTGCGGGTGCAGCCCAGTTTCTGCTCAGCGATGCCAGACGACAGCCAGAGTTGCGACGGTGTCCCTCGGTCTCTTTAGCCTTGTCTCGAGTATGCTCCAGCCATCCAGCAGGCAGCGAGCCGTGAGTGTCTGCTCGTAGGCGTCCTCACCCACAGCTCGAGCTCTCGCCTCCTCCTTGCTTGCGTCCGTCTCTGCCCGGCGGATAGGCTGTCCATCTGCGCTGACTGGCTCTCGTAATGCGGCACTCATCGGCTGCAGAGCATCAGGAGGTGCTCCGTGCTAGCTCTGTGCGGAAGGCAGGCTGGCAACCCATCATCTGACAGCGAGGGCGCGCGCCGCATCAGGTCCGAGCGGCGCGCCGCGGCGCGAGGCGAGGTGCCGCTGGGGCCGCCGGCGCGCGACCTTTTGTCCTCGCACCCACCACCATCCCCTCCAAGCTCGCAGCGACTGGCCCACCATGTTGGCTGTCAAGATGGCGGGCAACCCGCCCCTGCCCAGAGATGCGTGAGTCGGGCGAGCGCCAGCTCTCAGCCGTCCTTGGCGCAGCTGACCCCCGCTCTGGTCGTTCTTCGCAGGGCGGTGCGTGACGTGCACGGTTCTGCACACAGCTGCAGCGCGATTGACACTCACCTCGTGCCACCCTGATAGGTGCGGGAGATCGCACAGCTCGAGGCAAAGCTGGACGTCATCTCTGCCGAGCAAGTCGACTGGGTGCGCTTTGCCGACGTCGCAAAGACGCCGGCGCCGCCCGTGTCGCAGCGCACCAAGGCCAACATCGGGCAGCTGCGCGACGAGTGCACGTGGAAGCTGATGATGCTCTACAAGCAGCACGGGCCGCTCAAGAAGCTCGTGCCGCTGGCCAAGTGGATGCTCGAGTACGTCAAGGCCAACAAGGGCAACGCCGGCGTGCAGGGCGACACGCTGCCCACGATGCTCCTCGGCGTCGGCCTGTTCTACCAGCTCGGCGGCACGCACGCGCCGTACGACGCGCCCGAGCTCTGGCAGGCATTCAAGTTCATCGAGAATGCCTTCAAGAACGACGAGGCGTACGGCAACATCGGGCCAAAGAACACCCTCTTGGGCAAGGGCGTCTTGGCGCGCATCTGCCGCATTCGCGGCGACGATGCCAAGTGCGAGAGTCTGCTTGAGGAGATCCAAGACTGGCTCGACGGCCATCCGCTCTCCATGTCGCCCGTCGACGCCAGACACATGCTCGCCGAGGAGTCCAACTGGGATCGCCCAGACGAGGACTAGATGGTGCAGCGCATGCGTTTTGAGGAGGCGACGCAGATGGGCGACATGTGGCTGTTCAAGGGGTGCGTGTACAAGTGGACTCCCATGGCGCAGACTGTGTGCATCTGTGCTGACGTGCGTGCTGTGCAGACCCGTCGGCCGTGCGCCTCGCTCGTAGCGCGCCTACAGCTTCAGGCAGCAGGCAGCGTGGGGCTGTGGGCCCAAAGCAAAACATACCTCGACAGTGCTTGATGCAATGCTCGGGTGACTTGGACCCGACGCTGCACGCCAGGCGAGCCAGTTCCCGCCGTGTCTGATAGAGCGGGGCTCCTAGCCTGAGTGCACGATGCACCTGCCTGTGTGAGATGTGAGCTTTCCGGGCCGAGCTAGTCCGAATGTCGACCGCAGAGTGTGGCCGGCGCAATCTGTCGGTGCTGCCCATGGTGAAACAGCGCAGAGCAGCGGCGCGGAAGAAAGCAAAAGCATCCGCTCGCAGCGGCGCGACGCTCGAGGCGACACGCGTGAGCGCCCCTTGAGCATGCAGCAGCACGCCCGGCGTCTAAGCGACGCCCGCTGGTGCCTATGTTGCGTCGCGGCTCTTGAGCACAGCCATCGGCTGTGACTGCAAGGCTCCATGATATTGGAGTCGAACGCTCGGAGCTGCGTGCTGCTGGTCTGACGCAGACGGGCCGGCGCTGGCGAGTTGGCGCAGGATGAGCTCCACCTCGCGTGCCGCGGCCCAAGCGCGCTAGCGGCACCTGAGCCGTCCGTCCATCGGGCCAGGCGTCTATCAGGCAGGCCTTAGCGACGGCTGCTGCTTCCCGACCCTCACTGCCAGCTGGACCTTGCCTCTCGCTTCGCATCGTCCACCTCTCACACCTCACTCCCGGCCTTCTCCCGGCCTTCACGACCTGGCGACGTCCACTCCAGCACTCCTGCGCACCTCCGCCTCCACTCTCTCTCACTTCGTGCAGCATGCTCTTGCGGCCGCTGTCTCTGCTGCTCGGCGCAGCAGCAGCGCTTGTCGGCAGCGCGTCAGCGATCAGCCTGCCGCTGGCTTCGCGCGATGACTGCGGCAGATACAGTGCGTCGACGAACGAGTGGCTGGATCGGGCTGGAGATGGCCGCGAGGGTGCGGCCAGGGGGCATGTCGCTCGCTGAGTGCCCGGCACCGCGGAGTAGTATCTGTCGCGACGGCCCTCTGACGCCTCCCGCTTTGCGCAGCAATCATCTCCACACGAGGCACAGGCGAGATTCAGGTGAGTACACAGCATCACGCTGCTGGTCGAAGAAGCAACGCTGACGTCTGCACAGGGCCCGTCGATCGCGTTCGAGACAATGATCCGCTCTACGCTCGCTAACGTGACGGGCGGCAAGGAGTACGACACGGTCTACGTGCGTCGAAGAGAGCATTCAGTTCGAATCCTTGGCTGACGATGAGCATCACAGCCGGCAGATGTCGACCAGGACAGCGCAAGCGGCACGCAGGATGTACGTGGAGACGCTGAGCAAAGCAGTCAGTCTCTCACACTCTCGAGCAGATCATCAACAAGATCAACTCGACGCTCGCCGCTTGCCCCGACCACCGCTTTGCCATCCTGGGCTATTCGCAAGGCGAGTGCTCTGGCAGTGCTTCGCACGTTCCCAGCGCTGACGTTGCCTTCCATCGCCAGGCGCCGGCGCAGTCACAGCCGCGCTCCCCTCGCTGACAGGCGCAGCGATGGAGGCCGTGCGCGTCGTCGTGCTGGTGGGCAATCCGCGGCACAACAAGGGCCTGAAGAGCAACTACGACACGAACGGCGGCAACAGCACGGCGCAGGGCTTTGGCCTGCAGAGCTACCTGCCGGCCATTCCCGCCGACTGGGACGCCTCGGGACGCGTGTTCGACATCTGTGCCTTTGTGAGGCTGGGCGCTGAACGGGCGAGAGCGGCGCACGAAGCATGCTGACTCGCGCTCTCTCCACGTAGGGCGATGGCGTGTGCGACATCACCTCAGGCATCGGCATCGGACCAGCCCACTTCCGTGCGTCTGCCGGCGTGACTCTCGCACCCCTTTCACGTCGCTGATGGCCCTCCGCAATCCTGCTCGCCAGTCTACACCACCGCCGCCTGGGTGCAGGACCACTCTGCACAGCAGATGACGGCTGCCTTCTCCGCACCACCGCCGTCGACCTCTGGCTCTGGCTCGGGCTCTGGTTCTGGCTCTGGCTCCAGCGCTCCCGACGGCGCCGCTGTGCGTGCGCCGCCGCGAGTTCTCGCACTGGCAGCCGGCCTGCTCAGTGCCGCGGCGCTCCTCGCCGCGCTCTAGCTTGTGCCACGAGCGCCTGCAGCAGAGGTCGTCCAGCTAACACGAGCTGCGGCGTGCTCTTCTCTCCTGCTAGAAATGCCATCCTACCCGAGGGCCGCGCACGGCGCGAAGCCGCGAGTATCGCGCACGCGCTTTCCGCCAGCGACGATGCGTGGTGCTTGTTGACTTCATCTGATTCGTTCTTCTGGTGCAGAGTTCTCGTCGTGACGTCGCGGAACGGAAGGACGGGAGCGGGCCTTTGCAAGTGCTGAGGTGCTGTGGAAGGATAGAGCGCATGGGCGAGAGAGAGCAGGAGCGTAGGCGAGATGTCGAGCAATGAAGACGCTGCCGCTTCTGCGCTAGCGTCGCCCAGCTGCAGACAGAGCGGCGATGCCTGTGCGACACGTCTACTCCTCGTCGTCGGACTCGGACTTCTCCTCCTCGTCCTTCTTCTCCTCCTTCTTCGCGCTCTTCTGCTGCTGCGCGTCCTGCTGGGCCGTCCTGAGGGGAGCAGAGTGTCAGCTGCAGGCGCGGACTGGACCTGCGCGCACGCCAAGGCAAGCGCTCGCAAATGAGCGCCAGCGTGAGGAGTGCGTCTCCTCGCACTCGCGCATGCGTCTCTCATTCTCCGCTGGCAGGGCGCGACTCACTTGGCAGCAGCCACGACCTTCTTGGGGTCGCTGACGTGCGAGTCCTCGCCGCCCTTGTGGCCCTCCTTGGCGGCGGCAATGCCGGCCTGGAACGTGGAGCTGTCGCCGCGCGACTTGCGGCTCGGCTCCTTGGTGACCTTCTGCAGCGACGCCGCCTCGTCCTCGGCGCCGTGCGACTGCGCGGCGAGCGCCTAGTGCAGCGAAGTGCGTCAGCCAGGGTCGTGAGAAGGAGCGCAGCTCGTCTGCGAGGCTCGTCCTGGCAGCTCGAATCTCAGCAGCACACAGCTGCAGCGCAGATGGCGTGCAAGCAGCCTCAATGCCGCGCCGAAAGCGGCTCAGCAACGTCGCTCGCGCTGGCTCCCTGCGCCTCTCTGCGCTGCTGCCGCAAGCATCTGCTCTCGCTGCTCGCCTGCTCTCTCCTCACGCATGCAACACGCACCTTGTTGCCCTCCGGCGCGTCCTCGTGCAGGTCGCGGCTCTCCGTCTTGCCCTGGGCGACGTCCTCAAAGTCGGAGCCGGCCGTGGCGTCGTCGACGCGCGGCTTGCCCGTGCCCTTGCGCTCGCCGTGGCCGGCGCCGTGGCCGTGGTCGTCGTGGCCGTGGCCGCCGGCCTTCTTGGACGGCGGGGCGGTCAGGTAGACACCGAGCGCTGTGTGCAAGCGTCAGTGGCTGCGCTCGGCTGACGAAAGCTACGCTGTGCCTGAAGCCGATGTCGCGCTGCTCGAGTCCGCGGCTTCGCGTGCAGTCGTGCAGCGAGACCGACAGAGGGCTGCTGTGAGAGCTTGAGCTGCTCTGGTCTCCTGCTGTGGCTACGGTGCTGCGAGGCAGACGAGCGTATGCGCTCTGCTTGCAGCATCCGCCGTCTGGCAGCCTGCACTGCGCTGTCTCTGCCCCATTTGCTGCTGTGCGCCTCGCAGCTGCCTGTGCCATGCCTCCACAGCCGCTGCCCACTCACGCAGGAACACGAGCAGCGAGCCGATGGCCCACGGCGCATCGCTGCCCTTTGCGGCGTGCTTGACCTTCTCGGCGGCGTGCTGTGCCTTGCCGGCGGCGTCCTTTGCGGCGTCGGCGGCCTGCTGCGGCGCCGACGAGGCGAAGCGCACGGGGCCGCTGCGTGCAGCGGGCACGCGCGGCGCACGCGCGGCACGCAGGGCGGGGCGGAGGGCGCGGAAGGACATGGTGAGGGTGTGTGTGTGAGGCGTGTGAGGGTGTGGTTGGAGGTGGAGTGGAGTGCGCGCTGATGAGCTCAGAGATCCAGGCTGGACCGCTCGGACCCATGGGCCTCCACGGCGCTTGCTGCTGGCGTGCGGGCGCGGGCGACGTGCGCGACTGCCAGCCCGGCGCTGCCCGTTCTTCGCGGGCGCCGCATCGAGCGCTGCGCCGCCGCCGCGCGCCCGCTGCCGGCCGACAGCCACGAGCGATCGGCGCGCGGTGACGTGCCTTGCGCGCGTCTGGCGCTTGGCCGGCCCAGCCACGTGGCACGGTGTTGCTCACTCCTCCCACCACCCCTCCCCGCCCCTCCTCGCCATGACGCGCGGCAACCAGCGCGAAGAGGCGCGCGCAAAGGCACAGAAGAAGCAGGCCGCCGCCAACAAGGGCAAGAACGACTCGGGCATGAGCCTCGCACAGCGCCGCCAGGCCGACATTGACGCCGTCAAGGCCAAGCAGGCGGTGAGTGTGCAGCCGGCGAGCCGCTCGAGGAGCAGGCGGATGCAGCAGAGAGAAAAGGCAGAGGGAGCACGGCTCGCAGGGCAGCGAGGATGATGTGGAGCTAAGGTCGATGCGGCGGGCTGCGGAGAAGGAGCATCAGCGAGGAACGCCGGCAAGGACTGTCTTCTGGCTTGCAGGCTTGGCACCTGCAGAGCAGCGAATCGAGAGCAGGTGGGCGTTGGCCTAGGGGCAAGCGCCAAGCTCGTGATGTGTCTGCTTGTCTGTGGCAGGCGGCAGCGGCATCAGCTGCTGCTGCTGCTGCTGCAGTAAGGGAGAGCAGACGCGATCCGAGCGTCGTAGCTTTCGCTCGCTGAAGGGAATGAGCTCGGCGAGAGGACGGCAAGCGATCACTCGAATGCCTGCGCTGCGTGCTGCTGAGCAGACGCTCGCTGCTTGCCTTGCCTCTGTGCCTGCCGAGCGCAAGGCCGAGCAGCGCGTGGGGAGCCCTGCTCGTGCCGGCGTCGGCACGATCGCATCGCGCTTCAGGCGTGCAGTATGAGAGCAGGGGAGCAGCGCGCTGCCCAACTCTCACTGCGCTGCTTTTGCAGGCGCTTCAAGCGAGCGCAGCAGGAAGCGGCTGCCACTCAGCCCGCCGCCAGGATGAGAGGCGCTCTGTTCGTCGCGCGCCTCGAGATGTGGCCTTCCAGCGCAGCGATCCAGGGCCGCACACTGACGCATGTCACGCATCGCAGGCCAAGGACGCAGCCAAAGCAGCCGAAGGTGCCGTCAAGAAATGACACGACGGCTGCTCTTGTTTCTCAGCGCGATGCTCTCGAGCGGCACCTTGCACATGGCCTCACCCCTCCCTCGCACAGCACGGCTCCCCACCGTCTCGCCCGACTCGTCGCCTAGACGCCGCTCCGAGGAGAAAACATCGTCGCGCTCCTTCTGCCCGTCTCTCCGCGCATCATCTACAGAGCATCTCCTCCCCACGTACGCCCTCTTGGCTCTTCGCGCACCGCCTCGTCATAATGTCACCCTTTGCCTGCGCCTGCGCCTCGAGAAGCCGGACATGGCGATGATGTGTGCGTTTTGGATGAGTGTGTGAGAGACGAAGCGCATGTACGAGTACAGAAGGTTGGACATTGCGAGACGAGGCGCACGCGACATGATCGTCGCGGCCAGGCAGCGAGACGTTTAGTCGAAGAGACCGAAGCTGCGCAGACAAGCCAAAGTCAGTCGTGCCCAGACAGGCACTCGCAATGGAGCCATGCTCACCCCATGTCGTCGTCGCTCTCCTCCTTCTCCTCCTCCTTCTTCTCCTCTGCCGGCGCGTCGGCAGCGGCAGCGGCACCGCCGGCAGCGGCGGGCGCGGCAGCAGCCGGGGCACCGCCCGAGCCGGAGCCGATGGCAGTCAGGATCTCCTTGACATCCTTGCCCTCAAGCGCCTTGGCGAGGAGCGTGGCCCAGATCGGCTCGACCGGGCAGTTGGCGGCCTGGGTGAGCGAGACGATCTTCTCGGACTGTCCGGGCATGGGTCAGCAATGCCCTGCTCGAGTACGCCAACGTCTCTACATCCTGCCAGCCCCCCGCTGTCACCTCGCTGCCCGCTCCCACTCGGTGCCTCCAGTCCAGCGTCCTCAAGCCCAGCATGCCCTTCTCGCCTGCCGCCCCTTCCAGCTCCCTTTCTCCTCGCGCATGCCCGGCTCGGCGGCATACTCACGCTGATCTCGAGGCCCTCGTCGGCGAGGATGAGGGCAGCGTACGTGGCGGCGAGGTCCTGCGAGGCCATCTTGAACAAGCGGTGAGGAATGTGGTTGGTGGTGGTGGGACACGAGGCCGCGGCGGACGCCGTGCCAGGCCAGCAGCCCGGCCGCGGCGGCTCGGCGGCGCTGCGGCGGACGCGGCGCCGGCGCCAGCCTCTCGCCCGCGCAGGCGCCACGTGTGCGACTCCGCGCGCCCGCCAGGCCTGATCACGTGTATCGCGCCGGGAGTCGGCCCACGGAACTTCTCGCACGACACGGCTGCTCCCGAGTTGGCCCGCGGCCGCACCCTGCGCCGCTCAGCTTCACGCCGGCTGGCTGCAGCTCGCCCACGTCGATCTCACCCAGCTCAGCACCTTTTGCATCGCTGCTTATGATGACTTGCAGCTGATCCAGCCAGTCGAGTTGGAGGCATCGCCCCGGCCTGCCAACGCGCTCTCGGAGGCCTCGGATATCGAGGCGCAGAGCCTGGCGTCGCCTCCGCGCCGCCGCCGCTCCGCCAGCGCAGCATCATTCATTCTTGCGCCTCTGTGTCGTCCTTGTCCATTCTCGCCAGATCGCTCTCATCCAGCAGGTCGCTCTCATCCAGCAGAATCTCCTCCGCATCTGTTCGCCGCGGCGCCGGCAGGTGGTGCAGGTCGTGCCACGCAGGGGTGTCGGACGCGCTCGCAGCTCGCCACCACCAGTCTTGAGGAGAGGGCAGCTCGTGGAAGCGCACGTCGTGCCGCAGATGGACGCGCTGGTAGTGGTTGCCATTGACAAAGATGATGGAGCGGAGGATGGGCTCGCCGTGGTTGCTCTCCGTCAGAGGGAAATAGAGCTCGCCGATGAGATGATCTGTGAGTCGAGCGTGGGGCCGGAGCGAGAGCACTGGATCTCCCAAGAACTCGGCGATGATTGGACCCATGGCGCCAATATCGAGCCAGCTCGACGGCCGGGGTCCAGGTCGATGATCTGGACATGTTGCTGACAGCGCTGTGCGAAGGCAGACCATGGCAGTCGACGGCTGTAATGCTGCGAGATAGCGGCCGGGGTTGGCCAGTAAGCTGGCATGCAGTTCTGCACGTAGCTGCATGCCCGTCTTGTCTGTGCCGCTGGCGAGCGCGTGCCAGCCACAGGCTCCGTCGCCCGGCACGTCCTCGATGTGGTGGATCACCGCGCCTGATGGCCTGTGCCGCAGTACGTGAGTGGGCGGACTTGACTTGCCTCGAGGCTGGGGTTGACTCACCGGTGCCAGTCTGACGGTGGCTTTCCCGCCTGGGCGCTGCGGCCACGCTCAATGCGACCGGCGGCTTCTAGGTCGTTGCTGCCGATGAGCGCGACCGCCACCTTGTCATCGCTGCTTTGCCACGCGGCAAAGCATGTGCAGTCGCGCTCGTGGCGCGCGCCCAGCGCACCCCTGGTGCTCTGGCGCTGCAGCAACGGCGAGGTGGGCGGACCGGCACTCGACGGGCCGGCACCCGACGGGCTGGTGAGTAGGCGCAAGCGCTTCGTCGCAGGAGTGTCGGGCGTTGGTTCACCGCGCTTGCGCTTGGCGGGAGTGTTGGGCGCCGGCTCGCGCGACGGCTTGACATGCTCAGCAGCAGCAGCGGCGGCCGCAGACTCGGGCTCGTCGGAGCCGGGCTTGCGGTCAAAGAACGCCGGCAAGCTCGGCGGGATAGCTGCTAGCACGTCGAGCTTGCCGGCGTAGTCGTGCAGCTTGCTGCAGTGCAGGGCGCTCTCCTGCTGGCAGCGCTCTACCTCGGCCCGGAACTGCGGCTGGAACACCGCCAACTCCTCGTGCAGCGTAGTCACGACGCCCTGCACGAGGTTCGCTCGCCCGTAGGGCGCCAGATGGTCGCAGAGCGCGCGCCCGCGGTCCTTCGAGTCGGCGATTGACGCCAGGTAGACGTTCCAGTCGTCGCCGTCCTTGTCCTCGCACGGCCAGCCGGCGGCGACGTTGCCGTGGCGATAGGCGCGTAGCGCTTGCTCCCAGGTCGGCTCGGCAGAACGACACTGCAGGTGCCAGGCGCTGATGGCGACCTCCTGCATGGCCGTGCGGCGCAGTGCATCGTCTATGTCTGCGCTCGCAAGGCGGCACGTGCTCTGGAAGAGGTCCTCAGCCCTCGACGGCGCTTCGATGAGGTCCCCAGCGCCGGACGGCGATGGCTCCTCGGGCGGCGCCGAGGCGCGCGACGGCTCGCCTGCCTCTGCCCGCGTCGCCAGCGCGTACTGCGTGTAGCTCGCGTCCCTGACCTGCTTGGCGCTCTTCGCCGCATCGGACGTCTTCTTGCTGATGCTCTTGACGCCCGGGCAGGACTTGAGCGCGGCGATGGCGGCGCACAGGCTGACGTCGGTGTTCTCGAGAGCCTCGCAGACGACGGCGAAGGGCGGCGGCGGCTTCACGTCGGCAAACAAGCTGACGCACAGGCGCTGAAAGTGCGGACTGTCCGGCGCCAAGTCGGCGTCGTCCGAGATGCCGCTCCAGCGCTTCTTCCAGCCGGTTGGGCCCTCCAGCCCAAGCGGCGTGGCGAGGCGGGCGGCCGCCTGCGGAAAGAAGAGAGGCATGCGCGAGGCGGGCGATGCGAAGAGCTCAATCGCGCCTTCCGGCTCGTCGTCTGGCGCAGGCGATGCGGAGAGCTCAATCGCGCCTTCCGGCTCGTCGTCTGGCGCCTGCGCCTGCTCGGCTGCGGCACGCAGCTCTGCCACCAGTGTGGCTCGTTCCTCGTGGCCGATGATGATGCGGTCCTCGAGAAGAACCCACTCGGCTGGCATCTGCACGCTCTCGCTCTTGCTCTCGAGGACCGGCTCTAGCACCTCCTCCTCCTCTGCGTCGCCCAGCTGCAGCTCTTTGAGCCGCCGTTGGAAGATCTTGGCTTCCGTAGGCATCGCTCCGCCGACCTTGAGCGTGAGGGTCGGCGGCGGAGCCGTTGACCATGTGTGCCGTGCCTCGGCTTCTGTCGCCGTCGCGGCCCGACCGGCAGTGCCGGGCGCAGCCGCAAAGGAGTGCAGCGGGCCACACAGGGCGGCCACACCGGCCGCGGCCAGCGTGTTGAGGGCGAGATCCTGTGGCGAGAGGCGGCTGCCGCTCTCTTCAATGATGGAGAGGACGTGCTGGGCGAGGTCGCGGAGGCTGGCCACGGGCGAGGGCGACAGGGACGAGGTAGACTGCTCGCGCACCAGATCTTCAAGCATGGCCGTATGCGCGTGCGTCTGTATCCACGCACACAGAATGGCCGTCATGATCTCGGCGCTGTGAGGCGAGGCCCAGTACGAGTCGCTGGGCGCTTGTGCGCCTGCGGCACGCGTCATCTTGTCGAGCTGACCGAGAAAGGCTAGAGCGTCGACGCCTCGGGTGCGAGCCACTGTGCTAGCCGCCTGCAGTGCGGCGAGGACGGTGGTCGCGGTGTGCATGTTCAGCCATGCAGGATGCCGGGCCGGGTCGACGAGCAGCAGACGTGCGTAAGGCGAGTCGCTGACGGTTTGGCGTCTCGGCGCAAGTGAGTCGCCGGCGCTCGGCACCACGAGTGGAGGCGGCGGCTCTTGCAGCTTCCTATGGAGAGCGAGGAGGTCGCACGAGCGAGAAAGGACAGTTGAGAGAGCCATGCTGAAAGACGAGGGGCGTGAGGTGGGGGGGGGGGGACGGCTGCCCGCAGCTGCCAGTGCCTGGGCCTGCTCGCCATGACGTCCAAGGCCGCGCACCCATACGCGTGTGCCAAGGCACGCACGTGTGCCGCGGCCCAGGCACGACACAGAGCGCTCCGGCCGCAACACCAACAGGGCACGCACGCCGCACACACGCAGGCACGCCGCAGGCAGCCGAAGTTCAAGTGCTCGCTTCTTCACCGGGGCGCGCGCTGCTGCTGCGAGGGCAAGGCACACAGACGCAGCTCTTGCTTCTTGCTCCCACTCTCTCTCTCTCTCTCGCTCTTTCTCGCATGCCCTCTACTCATGGGCTTCTCCATCGACAGGTCTGGCCACTGGCTGCTGCGGAGCCTGGTCGCCGGCACCTACGATGGCGAGAGTGACGCACTCGCATACGCACGCCGCCACTCTCAGCGCCTCCGCTTCCTCGTCGTTGACGCGACGCCGCTCGTCTACTCGATTGTCTCGCGCACCTGCGCTGAAGCAGGTGTCGCTGAAGCAGGCGTCGCTGAAGCAGGCGTCGCTGAAGCAAGCCTCGCCAACCTCGACGAGCTCGTCCGCGCCTGCATCGCCGCAGTCGTAGAAGAGATCTGGCGTGTCGCCGCTCTCCTCGACGGCGACGACAAACGAGTCATCTTCTGCTGGGACGGCGCGTATGTGGCACAGACGAAGCTCGACACGATCACGCGAGATCGCATGCGAGATCGCATCATCCATGCCGAGTCGTACAGGCGCGAGGCGAGCCACAGACGCCCACGCATCGAAGAGCTGCGTCGTCACGCTGCGGCTGCTGTGATGCAACGGCTTGTCAATCGCCTGTACAGCAGCGGTGGCCTCGACGAGCTCTTTGTGCAGCATCTGCTGCAACACGCACTCTGTGAGGAGGAGATGCTGGAGAACGCACTGGCGATTGACGAGCGCACAAAGACTGTGCTACACATTGTCGCCCGTGACGAGGCAGACTGCCTCATCGGCCGCCTCTGTCCTCGGCTGCAAGGCAGCGGAGAGTCGGCGGTGCTCTCGCCCGACGCCGACCTTCTGGTACACTCGCTCGCCGCGCCGCAGCTGTCGTACCGCTGGGTTGTCCAGCCGCTGCCAGTCACCCGCAAGCAGAGGCGGCAGCGCAGTGCGCTGCCGCCTCCGGCGTTCCATCGGCAGCACCTCTACGACCAACAGCGACTGCTTGCCATAGCCCCTCTCGTCTTGGCATCCGTCGCTCTCGGCACAACGGACTACGGCAACGGTCTGCCAGGTGTCGGCGCCCGCGCCCTGCTGGGCAAAGACGACTGGCTGCCGGGCCTCGCAGCGGCCGTGAAGCCTGGCCTCGTGTCCCGCGCCTGGGCCGACATGGCCGCAAGCGCAGAGAGCGTGCAGGCTCAGACCCATCGACTGATCCAGCGTGTGGCCGCTCTTGACTCCAAAAAGAAGCACAGCGCCATCGACGTCGCGCGCGTCTGCAGCATCGCCAACGTCTATATCCTCAGCACGCACGCCGCCACCGAGACGGTGCCGCGCCCATCGTTCTCCGAAGGCCCCGGCCATGGCTGGCGCAACACGCTCGGCTTCTTCGCCAACAAGCGCTTCATGCGCTGCACGCCCAAGAACGGCGCGGCAGAGCGCACGCCATTTGTTCCGACGCTGGACGCTTTGCCGCGCTTGCGCAAGCAGCTCGGCGGCCGCCAGACCGCAGTCGGGCGCACCTACCTCGTGCCCGTCGAGGATGCGGCAGCGATGCCGATCGGCGCACCCAGGGAGGGGCCCAATTGGGACCTCCTGCCAAGGAAGAAGCCACGCTCTGTCAAGCCCGCGCGGCATCGTCCGTCACAGAGCAAGAGAGCTGCGCAGAGGGCAGCAAGGCAAGACGAGGAGCCGCTCGTGGTCAGGAAGAAGACGGTCTCTATGCCCGGCGCAGCAGCGAAGGAGAAGCTGGTCGGCATCTTCGGCATCGCTACTGTGCGCTCTACATCTGCGGATCTCGACTCGACGTATGTCGGCATGGCTTCGACGGTGGTCGTCGCCGGGCAGTACCTGTCCGTGGCTGTTCAGTTGACTCTGCGCGAGCTGCTTCTGCTCGAGCCGACGTTCCTGGCGTGCGAGGACATCGATCTTGATGCGCGCCTGAGGACTCTGTGCCAGGTCTGCCGCAGCGCGTCCCCTCTCTGGACTCGGCGGCCGGACAGCGCAGCGCTCTCCGCAGAGCTGTCGGCACTCTCCGCAGAGGAGCGTGGACTCATGCGCCTCAAGGGCGTCACTATTCCCATGCTGCTGGCACGCCGGGCAACAGCCGACAGGATGAGTCTTCCGCCTGCCGCTCTCGCCGACGAACACTGCATCTCCAGCACCGCACACAGCATTGTGAGTGCATGTTGCGTGTCGTCACCAGCACCGCCAGCGTCACGACGTTGATGCAGTTGTCGCTGCGGGCGCGCCAGTTGAAGAAGTGGTGCGGCCTTGCAGATCGCTTGCGCTCACTGCTCGCCAAGGCGCTGCGCACGGCCTATGGCGACAAGCACGAGGCCATGCTCCGCGCTGCGCTCGACACGCCTCTAGACGAGTCACCTGTCTGCTCGGCGGACGTCATGGAGCTGCTCACCGTACGCAACAAGCACATGCACGCCGCTCGACTGCAGCTGCCAGAGCCCGATCGCCTCTGGTCCAGCACGCCGCGCCAGATGCTCGAGACGCTGCGCGGGGCTGCTGCGGTGCACATGTTCCGTGCATGGATAGAGCGCCTGTCGGGCACCAGTGTGCTCGACGGCACAAACTTCTGCCCGGACTTTGTCTCAATCCACACACGTGGCGGGCTGACGCCTTTTGTGCGCGAGGCGGTGAGTCGCGCAGAGGCCGACGCAAGGGCGTGTCCGCTTACCTCGCCCGGCCCCTATAGAGTGCACGGCTTGGCGCTCTCGCTGCGCTTGCAAACCGCAGCCATCCGGCGCCGGCGCCCTTTGAGCACGAAGCGCTCGTGCGCTGCGGGCTCTTCTTTGACAGACAGCAGTGGGCACCACGCCCGCACGTGGCCGCCGAGCACAAGTCTTTGCTTGCTCGCCTCAAGCGTGCCCTTGGCCTCAGCACCACCACCTCGCGCGTGTACGAGCTGGAGGCGAGGGCAGGCCGGCACTGGGTGCGGGCGTTCGAGAGCATCCTGGGGGTGCCCTGGCGCAGTCTGGGCTTCCGGAAGCCGGCCTGGCTGCCTACTGGGCACGTCGAGAGCAACGGCACGCAGATGCGCTGGAGCTACGTCAATCTGGCACGCCCAAAGCGCCGCCACATGGCCACGGCCGGCGTTGCCCAGTCCCGTCCGCTCTACGAGGACCAGCTCGACTCCGCGTGGGGCAGGCGTCTCCAGGCAGCTCCGATCGCCACTCTGCCTCTGGCGTCCAACCAGCGCTTCGAGCCAGCGAGGGCCAGTCGAACAAGCGCTTCGAGTGGCGGCATCGGCGGAACGACACCGGACAAGGAGATTCGAGAGCGGCTTGCAGCAGGGCCAGGCGCTGTGCATCACGTGGGCGTCGACCCCGGCCTCAACAACGTCCTCGTTCTCTCACGCCGCCGACCGCTGCGGCCAGGCACGGTCATTGCCTTTCCCGAGCCGCCTTCACCAAAGCTGGCGCTGCTGCAGCCGCTCTCCGCTGCCGAGCGCCGCCATCTTGGCATTCGACCCTCCGAGCCGCCTTGCTACCGCGCCACCGCCGCCGCTTGCAAGCTGTATGAGCTCTCGGAGAGCCTCACACTCAAGCCGGGCTCGCTGCGCAGTGACAAGCCTCTCAAGGCAGCGTCAGAGCCTCATCACCCTGGTGATGACGTGCAGCGGGCGCTGGCAAAGATGCTCACGCCCGTGCCCACGGCCATGGAGCGCGAGCGCCGCATCCTCCGGCACGCACGGCAGCAGCGCCGCGCCCAAGACGAGCTGCTCGAGTGGCTTGTGCCCGGCAGCAGGCCCGGCTTCCTCGCTCAGCACCTGCAGCAGTGGCAGCAGGGCGACAGCCCGGCCCTTGTCATTGCGCATGTTGGAGACTGGGTGGGCCACAAGGCCTCCAAGCCAGCCCTTGCCGCCCCAGTGCTGCGAGGTGTCATGCAGCGCGCAGCGCTAGCATCGCCATCGCTGCCCATCCTGTTCCGCAAGCAAGACGAGTATCTGACGTCTTCTGTCTGCCCGGAGCGCTGCGAGGATGACGAGGGAAGTGCGGCCGCCGCAGCCGCCACGGCCGCCCAGACGAACAAGAAGGGCACGCCCAACGTCGTCGTCGGCACGGCTCCCGAGCACGCTCGCTCACCCGTGCCTGCTGCCCGCCTGACAAGCGTGTATCGCAGCGCCACATCACGCCCAGTCCACGGCGTCAAGCGCTGCACCACATGCCGCCACCTCTTCTCGAGGGATCGAGCGGGGGCGGCAAACATACGCTTTGCCGGCATGCACGAGCTCGCCTTCGGCTATGGACCCTTCCGGCCCCGCCCCAAGAAGGCCGTCGGAGCCGCAGCCGGCACAGCGCCCGCGTCCTGAGCCCTCGCGGCCGGCCCCTGGGGCACGCGCACATGCGTGCTTCTGATCTCGCCTGCACAATCACGTGCAGGTATGGGCACTTGCCGAGTCTCATCTCGGCAGTGCCTAGCAGCTCGCGTCATCCACAATGCCGCCTCGCTCTTCACCATCACCACCTCACCTCAGCACCTCTCGCAGGCCCACGCGCTCACCGACACCGCCGCTGCATCTCCATCTGGACTGCAGCTAGCCCAGCTCTCGTGCTGCCTCAGCCACCTCGACCTTCTCGCCTCGCGCAGCGCAGCTCAGCATGTCTGCGCCGGCTCAGAGCGTGCCGAACCCGCAGACGTCGGCGTCGGCAGTGAACCCGCTGAACCCAAAGGGCATCAAGCCGTGAGTATGGCAGTCTGTGCTCGACAATGGCTAGGCGCCGCTGCCGTCGTCGCTGCGGCTGCGCAGCTGCGCCCGCCACTGCCTCGTGGGAGGGAGTGCTTCGCGCAGCAGCGGCGAGCTGCTCTGTCGCATTTGCTGCCCGGCAGTCTCTGACGGTCTTCCGCTTGCTGCCGCTTGGGTGGTGCTGCTGCGCTCTCAATGCGGCGTCTCCGCTCCCGTCGCAGCTTGCTGCCGCTCGGGCCCACTGCGACTCTGCATCTGCTCTCGCCGGGGCGCTCGCCACTGCAGGCGCTGGCGGTCCGTCTTCACGACGCGCTCCAGGACGCTTCGCTGACGCCGTGTCTCCTTGACAGCTGCTGCGCCTGCCCCGAGACGAAGCAGGCGCGCGACGACTGCTTCCTTCGCTTCGGACACTCGGTGGAGGAGCATGGCCCCGACGCGCGCAAGTGCGAGGACCTCGTGCGGAGGCATCGCGAGTGCATGGCCAGCCTGGGGTTCAAGATCTAGTGGAATGCCAGCATGTGAGATGTACGTGCGCTGTGTGATGTCAGAAGGCGGGTGGTGTTGCGTGGGACAGAAGCTCGACGAGCGCAATGCGAGTGAAAGCAGAGAGCCACAGAGCATGGCTGAGGAATAGAGGTGCGAATCATGCATTACTCATCGTCATCGTCGACAAAGGCAAAGTCCAGCTCCTCCTCTTCGTCCACCTCTGTTTGTACTTCCCAGCCATCCTCCGCCTCGACTCCCAGTTGCTCTTCCTCTCCCTCCTCGTCCTCGTCCTCTTCCTCTCCCTCCTCCAGCTCCTCCTCATCGTCGCTCTCTACTCGTCGCACTTGCGCAGGCCGCAGCACGCCGTCCGCCTCCTCGAGCACGACGTAGCCCTCGTCCTCGTCGTCTTCGTCATCGACGAACTCGATGCTCAGCAGGCCGCTGGCGAATGCCGTAAAGACGACGCCGACGATTGCCGTGCCGATCCACACGGCGCGACCCCAGAGAATGCGGCGCCGCTGTGCTCGCACGTGCGGCGGCTCGGCGGGTGCTGTGGGCTGCGTTGCTGCTGTGCGGCGAGAAGAGAAGCTGGAGGCTATCCGGTCGGGAAGTGACGCGCCGAATGCCCAGACGCTGCCAGCTGCGTGGCCGACCGTGTACGCCACACCGGGGCCAGCGGCGACGTCGTCTCCAGGCAGTGCAGGCCAGTCGACGGCCTCGAGCCCGCCGTCGGCTGCGACGCGGGTGGGCCAGAGCAGCGAGCGCAGGCGCGCCGTGTGTGCCTCGAGCGTGGGGAAGGAGCGCAGCAGCTGTGCGAGCGGAGAGGTCGCGAGGGCTTCGTACGACGGCGGCAGCAGCAGTGGTGCGAGGAGTGAAAAGAGCTGGATGTCGAGCGGCGAGGGTCTGTGCAGAACGCGATGAGCAACTGAAGCACTCGTGAGGCCGCTGTGCGCTGCTCACCCAGACGCGCCGTCGAAGTACTCGTCCGAGCCTAGTGCCGTGGCGACCGTCTGCAAGACACTGCGTGCATGCTCGATGAACTGTGTGAGGCGCTTGTCAGTAGCGATGCAGGCGATCAAATGCTTTGCTCGAGAGCACGAAGAGATCGCACGACTCGCTTTCCGGGGGCAGACATGCGCTCCCTGAGAAGTGCGCACAGAGCACCGCACGCTCGCCTCCGCCCACCGCCTGCTCCCCATGCCGCCATCTACGACGCATACTCACCTTTGCCTCTCCGAACTTCTCCTGCGTCTGACGCTTCTCCTGCTCGCTCAAGCCCTTGCGCAGGCGGATGCCAGCTCTCCGCGCCACCTCATCTCGCTCCTTTGCCTCCTGCTCCTTTGTCTCCTGCAGTGCCTCGCCGAGCCCGAGCTCGCGCATGCGGCGCGCCAGCTCCGGGCGCAGCGCCGCGCGCAGGCGGTGCGGCGCAGAGCGCGAACGCGGCCATGAGAGACCGGCGGCGTACGCAGAGAACGTGTGCGTGGCAAAGAGCGGCGTGAACCACTGCGCGTGCAGCAGTGCAGGTGCCAGCGAGCGCTCGAGCAGCGCCGCCAGTGCCGCGTGCGCCGGCTGGGGCGCCTGCAGCACCGGCGCGCGACTGCTGCTGCTGCTGCTGCCGCTGCTGCTGCCTGCGCCGTCGAGAGCGGCGAGTGCCAGCGCCTTGAACTCGGCGGGCGAGTGTGCCAGCGGCACGGCGCTGAGGTGCGCCTCGAGCAGCGGGGCGCGCGCGTGCAGCAGCGGCTGCAGGGTGCCGACGGCGAAGGGCAGCGCTGCGGCCCGCAGCAGCGAGGCGGCATACAGCGAGGCGGCGTCGAGCGTGGGCAGGCCCGCAGTGTCGGCGGAGCTGGGCGCCCAGACGATGAGCTGCGGCGGCGGCGAGGCCATGGCTGCTGCTGGGATGGAGGATGTGGAGAGGAAGGAGGCGGGAGAGCATCGTCGCCTGTGCATAGTGCGCAGCCAGACGCAGCGCAGCATCGAGACTCGGCGACGCGCGCAAAGCTCTTCCCCTCCACCATGCGCGCCCCTCTCACCGGCGCAGAAGCAGGGCTTGCGGCGTCTACGCAGCTCATACTGATGCACTGAATACGACAGAATATGCACTGAGACTTGAGAAACAGGTCCGAAGAGCCAGAATGCAGTGTCTGTGCGGAGGCGCAACACTTGCGAGAGGACAGCTCGGGCTTTGCTCGCCAGCACTGGGCTCGCCTCTCACCGACTCGATGGCTTGCTTAGCGGACTGCCATCTCAAAGCGGGGAGCTCTGCTCTTCACCGATACTGGCAGAAAGCAGACGGTGTAATGGTGGCGGTAGTTAGCTTCTCGGACCCTCGTGCTGGAGACGCAGCTGCAGGACTGCCAGACGAGACGCAGTGCCGAACATGAGCTGCCGCAGAGCCCAATCAGAATCTGCGCTTGCCGGCCTCTCGGACCGCTTGCAGCCGGCGCAGCGCGGCAGCCTCAGCAGCCTTGATCAGCGTCAGGCTCTGTTGCCCTGCGCTGGCATGCTGCGCTGCTCGCTGTTGCGGCCAGGGCGTGAGTGCGCGATGCCAGAGGTGCAGCTTGGCGCACGTCGGGCTTGGCTCGCCGGCGCGCAAGCCACGCGGCGAGCTCGCGTCGGTGGCCGGCCGCGGCGTGCTGGCCGTGAGCTCCGTGCGGTGCGGGGCCCCAGCGAGCGCGGGGCGGCGTGGTTGCTCTGCCTCCGCTCGCCCGCCAGGCGGTGTGCTTCCTCCGGCCGCCGGCGCTGCTCCTTCTCTCACAACCTCATCCACCGCTTTCCTGACAAGCCATGTCCGCCGCCACGCAGGCCGAAGCCGCCGCCGCCGAAAAGGTGCAGGGCAAGCTCGTGTGGGAGCCCAAGGACCCCAGCAGCACGCGCATCGACGCCTTCCGCCGCAACGTCGCCGAGCGCCGCGGACTGCAGCTCGACGACTACCACGCCTTCTGGCGCTGGAGCGTCGAACACCCGGCCGACTTCTGGGCCGATGTGTGGGACGAGACGGGTGTCATCGCTAGCAAGCGCTACGAGCAGGTGAGTTGCGGCCGAAGTGGAGGGCGCGCGCCTCTCTTCATGCGATGGGAGCAGATGAGCTGTGTGCTGGATCTGTCTGTGCACAAAGAGCAACCGCTGCTGCGCTCCACTCGCTGCCCTCTGTTTGCTTCTCTCTCCTCGTTGCGCGCGTCTCCTCCACCTGCAATGCTCTGGCTAACACCGCCCGCAGGTCCTGCCCGAGAGCGCCGCCATGTACCCGCCGCCGCGCTGGTTCGAGGGTGCGCGCCTCAACTTTGCCGAGAACATGCTGCGGCACCGCGGCTCGACGCCGGCCGTGTACGAGGCGACGGAGCCGGAGGGAGATGGCGGCGTCCTGCACCTCGCCTCCTACACGCACGACGAGCTGCGGCAGGCGGTCGCCAACGCAGCACGAGCCATGCGGCGGCGCGGCCTCAAGACGGGCGATCGCGTGGCGCTGTATGCGCCCAACTGCGCCGCCACGCTCATCGCCTTCCTCGCCGCCGCGAGCATCGGCGCTGTCTGGCTCTCCTGTGCGCCCGACTTTGGCGCCGCAGGCGTGCTGGAGCGTCTGCGCGCGCTGCAGCCGCGCTTCCTCTTCACGTGCGACGGCGTGCGCTACAATGGCCGCAAGCATCCACACGCTGCGAAAGTCAAGGAGGTGCTGGATGGCCTCAAGGTCGAGGGCCAGCCGCTCGAGCTGCTCGTCGAGATCGAGTACATCGGCGGCCAGACGCCCATCGAGGGCGCCATGCGCTGGGCCGACTTCCTGGAAGAGGGCGCTGGCGACGATCACATTGAGTATTCTCAGCTTGACTTTAATCATCCCCTGTGGGTGCTGTTCAGTAGTGGCACAACGGGTGAGCTTGGAATGCGCATGCGCTGCTTTGATCGCTGTTGACCTTGCATTCGCGTAGGCAAGCCAAAGGCGATCACGCACCGCGCTGGCGGCATGCTGCTGCAGCTCAGCAAGGAGCACCTCATCCACGGCGGCCTCTCGAAGGACGACGTCTTCTTCCAGTTCACCACGCGTGCGTCGCGCACACTTGCACCTCTCAGCCGCAGCCGCTGACGCCCGCCGCAGCCGCGTGGATGATGCACAATTTCCTCATCGCCACACTCGTCGCCGGCTGCGCCATTGTGCTGTACGACGGCGCGCCGCTCAAGCCCGCCAATGTGCTGTGGGAGCTGGCGGATCGCTACGGCATCACCGTGTTTGGCACGAGTGCTGGCTATCTCTCGGCGCTGCAGCGCTCCGGCTACCGGCCAAAGGACGAGTTTCCGAACCTCAAGGTCCGCCAGGTCAGTTGAGCCGCGCGTCGGCAGTGCGATCTCGCTGAGCAGAGGCATGCGATCCGCAGATCCTCTCCACTGGCTCGCCGCTGCGCGCAGATCTCTACCCCTGGATCATCGATGCTATTGGGCCTGTGCTCATCGGCTCGATCACGGGCGGCACGGACATCGCCAGTCTCTTTGCCGGACACAACGAGGCGCTGTGAGTCTTCTGGTCGGGCTACGCGCACATGCGGCTGATGCGCTCTACTCGCAGGCCGGTGCGCGCAGGCGAGATCCAGGCGCGCAACCTCGGCATGAACGTGGATGTCTTCGACGAGGAAGGAAAGCCCGTCGCGGCCGGTGCTGGCGAGGGTGATCTGGTGTGCAAGGTGCGTGCGCTGCCTGTCTGCCCGTACGCTCAACCGCTGACGCTCTCTGCAGACGCCCTTCCCGGCGCAGCCGCTCGGCTTCTGGGGCCAGCCGGAGAGCCGGCATTTCGAGACGTGAGCCCGCCCTGTGCCAGCGTGTGTGCCACGTGCTGACGACGCCGCTGCAGATACTACTCGCAGTTCCCAGGCGTCTGGTACCACGGCGACTACGTCTCGCTGACGCCGAGCCTCGGCCTGGAGATGCGAGGGCGCAGCGACGCCATCTTGAACCCGGTCAGTGCGGATCCGAGCGGAAGGCGCCCTGCCTCGTCCTGACATTGCGACTGCGAGCAGGGCGGCATCCGCTTCGGCTCGTCGGAGATCTACGAGACGCTCGAGGCGCACAAGACGTCTGCGCACCTCTGCGACATCGACGCTGCCGTCGTGTGTGCGCTCAAGACGCGTGGCGGCGACGACGAGGTCGTCGTGCTGCTCGTGACGCTGCGGCTCGACTCGGCCTCTGCCTCGCCCGAGGGCTTCAAGGCGCTCGAGACGGCCGTCAAGAGCGCCGTGCGCAGCGCACGCAGCGCTCGCCATGTGCCGGCCTTCATCCGACAGGTGCAGGGCGTGCCGCTGACGCTCAACAGCAAGCTCTCCGAGATTCCCGTCAAGAAGCTCCTCAACGGCGCCGAGCTCAGCGCCATCAACCGCTCGACGCTGCAGAACCCAGACTGCCTCGAGGAGTACGTGCAGCTCGGCAAGGAGCTGCGCGACGCGATGTAGAGAGAGAAATGCGGATCACACATCTCATGGACTGGCCCGGTATGGTACACTGCGAGGCATGCAAAGACAGGAAGAACGAGGCCAGCGAGACGGAGCAGAGGAGGAGAAGCAAGGACAGAGAGAGGCGGAAGCGGAGCAGGCCTAGTCGTACGTGGAGCGATCTGTCCGCCGTGCCGAGGCCAGTGGGCCGCGAAACGACCAGCTCGAGAGGCTCTGCTGCATCGACTGCGGCGGCGGCGATGCTGGCATGCCGCTGCCGTCGTTTGCCAGTCGCTGGGGCAGAGGCGCTGATCGCGGGCCGAGCTCGTCGACCCAGTCATCCTCTGCCTGATCCTCGTCGCTGTGCACACGCGGCGCCTCGCCAGCAGCACCTGCGCTAGGCCGTCGGCGCGCACTGCGCATACTCGTCGTGCCCGGATGACGACGCGTGAGAGAGGAGCTCTCGCCGCTCGTAGTGTCGCCGCCTGTCTCGACGGCCGTGGTGTCGCCAGGCATCTCGCCGAGCGGCTGCAGCGGCGCCGGCGCAGCTGCTCCATGGCCGCCGCCTTGTCCGCTGCCGCCCACACCAGCGCCGCTCGTGCGGCGTGAGCCGCCTTGCGCCTGCTCGGAGCTGGGCCGACCGCGCTCGTTGAACATCATCGTGCGCAGACCAGGGCCTTGCGGTCGCCCGGCATTGAGCACCTGGTCGCGCAGCGCCGTCTGCTCTGTGGCGGCGCGGCGAGCTGCCGCAGCGTGCGCGAGACGCAGACGCTTCATGCGTCGTCGGATGAAGTTGGGCTGGTGCGAGGCCATGTAGTCAAAGGCGCTGCCGAGCCAGCCAGGGCCAGACGTGGCGGTCGGGTGCGTGTCGCTGGAGCTGGCGGCTGTCGTGCGTGCATCTTCGGCGTTCGCCAGTGCTGCACCTGCCGATCCGGACGCAGCACCACTGCCGACGACCGAGACGCTCTGCAGTTCCACCTCGCCAGCCGCAGCAGCACTGCCGCTAGCAGCTGCGGCTGACGCAGTGACGGCATCGTCGCTGCCAGGCGACTGTGCGTCGATGCCGATGCCCTGCAGCTCGATGCCTTCGCTTTCGCCTGCACCGCGAGTGCCTCGGCGCAGGCGACGATGAATGGAAGACGAGGCATCCTTCGTCTCGCCCGCCAGCCGGTTGCGCAGACGCTTGATGCCGCCGAGCATGTCTTCTGCGTCGACGCTGGCGGCAGCTGCCTCGGCCTTGCGTCGCTGACGGTCAGCGCGCTCACGCTTGCGCTTGAGCCTCTCCTCGCGCTTGCGCTGCCGCTCCTGCCGCTCGGCACGATCCTCGACTTCTCCGATGCCCTGCGATGTGGAGAGCATGAGCTACCGCAGCATGTCGTGCAAGTCATTGCGCCACTCACCATGCCGCTGCCGACCCACCACCAGAAGCCGAGCCACGACTGCCAGATGGTGAGCGTCCAGCACATGTCGGGCAGCCACCAGACGCGGTCGAAGGCGATCTCGACGAATGAGATGGCCGTGTTGATGATGGCGAGGCCGACGCTGCCGGCGCCAAAGGCGGCAGTGCCGCCGTCGGTGCGCCAAGCGCGGCGTCTGTTGACGAGCAGGCCCCAGATGAGCAGCGCCGACGTGTAGAGCAGCGTAAGGGCCGAATTGCAGATGTTGCGCACGGCATCGCCAAGGTCGGACGTCTTGACGTCGTCGGCCGCCGACAGGGCAGTGAATTCCATCCCCGAGGCTGCCAGCGCGAGCGGACCGAGCATCCAGAGGATGAGGCGCGCCTCCAGCGCTGACGGGAAGAGCAGCGTGAGGAACTGAATGTGCGTCAACTGGCGGAGCGAGGCGTCAGCGAGTGACACAGCGAGGGTGACGGTCGGCAGAACGCACGTGTGCGAGCGCCGTCGTGCAGGCACGCATGAGCAGGAAGAAGGCCTCCTGCACTGTCGTCCAGCTGCCGTCCTGCGGCGGGATCTGCACGCCGATGTAGGCGAACATGTAGGGCCACTGGTTGCTCTGCTGGCGCAGCTTGGCGAGGACGATGTGCATCTGCACGCTGAGGCTGATGAGCAGCATCGCCGTGCTGATGGCCTGCAGGATGTAGTTGCGCGACGAGAGCGGAAAGTGGTACTGCGCCGTGAAGAGCAGGTGCACGCTCAGCACGACGACGAGCGCCAGGTTGATGCCGTTGACGACGATCTGCGACGGCATGCTGAAGGCGAAGTCGGGCATGATGGCCAGCAGCGGGTCGTGCGCCACTGAGCTGAGCGTCGCCGACGGCTGTGTGTCGATGCGCGAGACGCCGCTGTCGCAAGGTTGAGTGAGCGCTCTGCGGCGGCACTGCTTGCGCTCCACTCACGTCGGCAGCTGACTCTCGCTGACCTCGTCGGCGGTCTGCTGGCGGCGCAGCACATCCGGCGTGGGCGCTGCGGCTGCATCGCGCTCGAGCAGCAAGCTGGCAAGCTGGCGCTGCAGGCCGGCAATGTGCTCCTCCTTGGACGACGGCGAGCGGCGCTCGGCGAGCCGCTGCTCGGGCGGTGTCGGCGGCGGCTGCGTCTGCTGCGGCTGCGGCACCGCAGCGTGGGCGTCGTGCTGCGGCAGTGCAGAGCGGACAGCCGGCACGAGGGCCAGCAGTGCGAGCAGCAGCAGCACGGGCAGCAGCCGCACGAGGCGCGACGGGCACAGCGGCGCGCGCATGCCGGGCAAGCGGGAGCGCCTGCTGGGCGCAGCAGCCGCGAGGAGAGCGCCAGAGAGGCGGCGATATGCGATGCTGGCGGAGAGCAGCGTGCGCTGTGCAGCGCGGCGCGCAGCAGCGGAGAGAGAAGGCGCGAGTGCGGACGAGCAGGACGGGACGATGGCGGTGGGATGCCAAGCAGCGGCGCGCTGCGGGGACCGGCTCCACGAGACGGGCGTGGGAGCAGCGGCGGCCAGCGCGGCGGCGCCAGAGCAGCGCCGCTTGCAGTTGATTGAATCGCGCGCATCGCGGACTAGACTCGCGCCTCCTGCCTCTCTTCTACGTCCTCTCCCTCTCTCTCTCGCGCCCGTCTCGCCCTCCTTCCGACATCGACCCGTCCGACTCTCGACTTGTCCCACCCTTACTCCGACGCTCGGCTCGCTCGACTCTCGGCGTCTCTAGAGCTACAAGCTCTGCTCTCGGCTCTTTGCGGTCTGCTCTCGCCTCGACGGCTCTCGCACCTCGCGCACCTCGGCGCCTTCGTCTCTCACACCTCGCGCACCTCGGCGCCTTCGTCTCTCACACCTCGCGCACCTCGACGCCTTCGTCTCTCACACCTCGCGCACCTCGACGCCTCTCGCGGCTCGCGCACCTCGGCGCCTCTCGCGGCTCGCGCACCTCGGCGCCTCTCAGCTGTGCACCGGCGTGCTACAGCTGCGACTCGGCGCTCTTCAGCGCAGCCCTGTCGCGGCGCGCCCGTGCGGCGCCCTCGCTGAGCTCGTGCTAGAGGGCAAGCTGCATGCCGCCCGACGTCGCACGCGGCATGCCGGCTCTGACGCTCGCCGGCGGCGGCGCAGCGGCCGACGGCGGTCCTTCGTACGAGACCGACGGCCTCGAGATCGTCGGATTCGTTCCGGCGCAGTCGCAGTCGCAGTCGCAGTCGCAGTCGCAGCAGCAGCGTCAGCAGCAGCAGGCGCAGCAGCAGGACCAGCAGCAGCAGCGTCAGCAGCAGCAGCAGGCGCAGCAGCAGCACCAAGTCGTGCGCGCATCCTCGACGGCATCCTCATCGTCGTCGGCGGCCCGCGCTCGCGAGACGCTCTTCGCAGTCATCCCGCCGCCCAAGCCGGCGGCGTCGTCGACATCAGCGCGCCTCGCTTCCGCTGGGCCATCCATCAAGCGCTTCGCGCCGCTCGAGGAGACGCACAGCGACGTCGATGCCGACATCGACAGCGACACCGACGCCTTCATGGCACCGCCGCCGCCGCCTTCATCGTCTCGTCGCGCTGCCGACCTCGACGCTGCCTTCCTGCCTCGCCGCCAGCGACGTGAGGACTTCGAGGAGCCGCTGCCGCTGCCGTCGCTGCAGCCCCGGACAGTCTTCGGCGACGAAGCGCAGCGCTGGGGCTCGCCATGGCGCGCGGCGCGCGAGAAGCTCGTCTGCGGCTGGCTGCTCGATGCTGCAACTGCTGCGCACGCGCCGGACAGGCAGAAGCGCTGCGAGGAGGAGATGCACAACGCTGAGTCGCTCGTGCGTCACATCTGCGCGCAGCATCGCGAGCCTGGCCGCAAGCCGCGCTGCCGTGTCGGCACATGCAACAAGAGCGCCGTTGCCGACGAGTTCGAGGCGCACGTCGCAGGCCACTTCGCTCAGCACGCTTTCTCGTGCCCGTGGCGCGAGTGCCGTGCGGCTGCGGACTTCAAGACGCTGCACAAGCTCGAGGATCACATCCGCACATATCATCTGCGCAGCGGCGCCGCTGAGGTCGACGAGCGCGACCTGCGCGTGCTTCTCTTCCCGCGCCCGCTGCGCCGCCCTCAAGCCGCCGAAGAAGACGTCGACGCGCTCATCGGACGCCTCGGCAGCGTGCGCGTAGCGTGCGACTCGGCCGTCGTCCAGCTCGCACCGCCTAGCGCGCGTCCAGAGCGACGAGGAGAGCGAGTCAGGGACACGCTGCTGCGGCTGCCGCGCGCCGCCGCATCTCTCGCAGAGCCGGTCGCCGTCGCCGATGACGAGGAGGAGGCAGTCATGCCGGGCGCGCCGTGGCGTCGCCTGATCTCCGAGTTAGTGAAGCTGCAGCCTGCTGCACAGCCGCTCTCGTTGACGCCCGACGCCGCTAGGCACCTCGAGTATGTCGGCCCGCTGCTGCGCGTGCCTGCAGCTCGTCGTGTGCTCGAGTCGATGCGCAGCCGGCAGTTGGACTGCGTCGACCTCGATCTCGGCAAGGAGAGCCTCGACATGACGACGGCGGAGCTCGACCGTCAGCAGCGGCAGGCGCAGCAGCAGCAGCAGCAGCAGCAGCAGCAGCAGCAGCAGCGGCAGCAGCAGCAGCGCCGAGAGCGACAGGCGTCGCAGGCGCAGCGCATCAGCGAGGATCAGCCGCCGCCGCTTCTGCCGCCGTCGCAGCCGCAGGCGCAGGCGCAGGCGCAGCGCATCATCGAGCAGCCGCAGGCGCAGCGCATCATCGAGCAGGCACAGGCGCAGCGCATCATCGAGCAGGCACAGGCGCAGCCGCAGCCGCAGCGCTCCCTCGAGCAGCCGCAGCGCTTTCTCGAACAGCCGCAGGCGGCGCCGCCGCCGCCGCAGCAGCAACAGCAAGTCGACTTCGACGGCGACATTGGGCTTCAGCACGACGGCGACGACTACGAGCTGCACGACATCGACATGCAGCAGCAACAGCAGCAGCAGCAGCGGCAGCAGCCGCCGCCTCGCCTCAGCCCTCCGCACTTCACCTCAAGCAGCGACTCGGAGCACGCGTCCGTCGGAGCCTCGAGCCACTCGCCGCTCAAACGAGCTCCGCCTGCGTCGTCTTCGTCTGACGACGACTTCACCATCGTGCTAGAGAAGTTCAAGCGACCGGCAAAGAGACGCGCTCCCTCCGCGTCAGGCACGGCGGAGGCGCCGGTCGTGCTGACGGACTCGTCGTCGGCGGCGGAAGACGGCGCGGCTGCTGCCGGCAGCAGTCCAGGCGCACGTGCTGGCGCTAGTAGCAGCACTGCAGGCGCTGCTGCTAGCAGCAGCAATGCTCGCGACGTGCATGCGTCGCAGAAACGCAAGGGAGAGGCGCGCAAGTATCGCCCCAATCCCTCCGAGTACAAGCTTCACGAAGAAGATGATGCCTCTACGTAACGACGTCGCTTCCGCTTCCGCTTCCGCTGCTTCCATCTCATCTATGTACCCCTGCGCTCTCGCAATGTCACCTTCTCCATCATGCACGGCGCTCGCATTGCTCTCACTTCTTGCCCTTCTTGCCCTTCTTGGCCACCACCGGCGTGCCCGCGCGCGCTTCCCGCCCGCCGCTCATCCACGCCAGGTCGTCGGCGTCCCACTTGGCCGCCTGCTGCTCGACAGCGGCGCCCTGCATGCCCTCGAAGCGCTTGCGGAAGCGGCCGAGGCGGCCGCTCTCGTCGTCGTCGCCGCCGGCGCGCCGCTCCATGCCCGGGTTCCACAGCGGGTGGTTCGTCGGGTCGCGCGTCAGCTTGACCATGCTGCGCGGGCTCGTCGTGCTGAGCTGGATCGACGAGCCGTCGGAGAGCAGCACCGTCGACGGGAACGTCGGCACGGGCCGCGGCAGGCCGCCGGCCTTGGATGCGGCGGGCGCGCGCGCACTCGTCGAGAAGGCTCGTGCCGACGATGGCCCGGCGGCGCCACGTCCACTGCTGGCCGAGCCGCTGGCGCCGCCGCAGCGTGGCACGCCCTTCGAGGCCTGCAGGTCGGCGAGCTGCTTGGCGCGGCCCTGCTTGATCGTCTCGTTGGAGCCGAGCTCCGTCTCGGGGCGCATCTTGAGCTCTGGCGAGCAGCAGCACAGCGTCAGCGTGGCGGCTCATCGATGTGCTCGCTGCTGCGCTTCTGCAGCAGCGCACAGCGTCGTTGCTGTGCCGTCGCAGCGATCTGTGTGCTGCTGTCGCTGCGTTTTCGCAGACATCTCCACGCACTGCACTTCTGCCGCACTGCCTAGCACCGCCCGGCTCCTCGCTCTCGCAGGCAACTCACTGTACGCCTCCGTCTCCTCGTTCCAGCGGCCCTGCACGACGTTGCGGCGCAGCACCTCGACGATCTCGTTTGCCTCCTGCATCGCCTGCTGCTGCACGGCGGCGTCGGGCTCGGCGCGCGCGGCCTCGAAGCGCTGGCGCATGTGGGCGCGCCACGCCGAGTTGGTCGCGGCGTCGCCGGCGAAGGCCTGCCGCGCCGAGGAGAGGACGCGGCGGTAGAGCTGCGGTGCCTGCGCAGACATGCTGGGCGAGGAGGGGGCGAGGGCGAGTGGAGTGGCGGTCGGAAAGCAGCGCTCGCCGGCGGGGCGAAGTCGAGCGCCTCGCCATCTCGGCGGCGCCGGCCGCCATCTCTCACTCACCTGCTGCTCCGCCGCGCGCGTCACGTGCGCGCTGCCCCTTCGCCGCCCTCATCCTCCGCCCAGACCCTGGCCTCGCAGCACCTCGCACAGCGCATCAGAGGCTGTGAGAGCGTGCTCTGACAGCGGAGAGCGGCGCATCACACACGCTCGTGGGTCTAATTATGCTTCAGATCGCGGACGGCGCAGCTGTGACAATGTGCTTTGGATTTTGGCGAGACGCAGGGATGGGAGAGAGAGGAGAGAGAGAGAGGCTCGCGACGCACAGACGCTGCGCGTGGACACAGAGACCACGCTGCGACGCCTTGTGCGACGAGACACAGGGAGAGGGAGAGAGGAAGGGAGAGGAGAGAAGCCTAGGAGCCATGCGAGAAGAGCGAGACGCAGCAGCAGCCGATCGTCACTGCCAGCGACCACGGGCTGCGCGCGCTTCGACGCGGCGAGCCTCGCTGCCATACCGCTGCACCTGCTCCACTCGATCCAGAGTTCGCCAGTCCACGCCGCTCGAGAGCTGCAGTGGCGCATCCGTCGTGCTGGTGACCATGCTGAAACCCCGCCGCACAAGAAGGGAGAGAGCGAGAGAGAGGGGAAGCCGAGCGCCGTCGTCGCTGCGCATGCACGCGCGTTCGTGTGTTGGGTGCGGTGCAGCGGCGCCGTCTAGAGGATGCCTGGAGGAGATGCGCAGAGGCGACGAGATGCAGCGATGAGATCGAGAGAAAGACCGAGGGCGCAGCGGCGGACGAGAAGCGAGAGCGACGTCGACCGCGACAGGGCTTCAGCGACGATCACGCACGCCGCGCGCGTGTCGAGCTGGACCAGTGAGGAGGGCGAGCGGTCAATGGGAGAGAGGGCAGGGAGAGGGGAAAGGGGGATGGCCGGGAGAGAGTAGCATGCGGGGGTTGAGATGTCGGAGCGAGAGGCAGCTGGATCGGGCGAGAGAGCATTGAAGAATAGAGGGGCAACCGAGAGACCATGACGTGGAAGCGCGCGCAGCCAGCAATCTAATCAGTTCGCCTGCGAGAAAACGTGAGGCGTGAGCAGGAGCGGCGATGCGACTGTGCGTGCTCAGCGACTCACCACCGGCGGCACAGCACCTGCTGCTGTTCCATTTGCATCGTCGATGTTGTGGAAGTCTGGCAGGGCACGCGCATCAGCACCGCACGCGCGAGAGAGCAGCTTGCCGACACTCACCGAGGATCTCGCTGTACATCATCACCTTCCATGTGTCGACGGGCAGATCTGCGTCGTTGAAGCTCCAGTCGAACGGCTCGTCGGCCTCCGGCTCGTCCGTGGGGTCGTGGTACGGCGCCAGGTACGGGTGGCTCAATGCCTGGGCGGCCGTGATGCGCGTGCGCGGGTCGAAGACGAGCATCTTCTCCAGCAGGTCCAGCGCCAGCGGGTCCTGGTTGCGGAACTTCTGCGAGAACGGCACCCGTTCCCGCTTTGGCAGCGACTGCACGAAGCGGAGCGTCTGGGAGAGCGCAGCAGGCGTCAGGACGAGAGCGCGCACGCTGCTCTGCATGCGCTACTCACGTTCTCGCTGCAGATCGTCTTGATGACCTCGTCCGGCGGCGTGCCGAGCAGCTCGGTGATGATCGAGAACTGGTTGACGTCTGGAGAGCGCAAGAGGCTTAGCGAGGCGCCACATACCAGCCTGCGCGCGCGTCACTCACGGTCCTTGCCCGGGAAGAGCGGCTTGCCCTCGAGCATCTCGGCGAAGATGCAGCCCGCAGACCAGACGTCGACTGAGGGACACAGGAGTCAGCAAGGCATCTCAGAGGCATGCTGTCGTCGTCTGGCACGCAAGAGCGGGCGCATCCTGCTGCGCAGCGCCTCTGACGAAGGCATGCAGGCGAGCCGACCTCGCGCTAAGACTGTGACTGCGCCAGCTGTGATCTCCAGCGCGCTGCGCAACCAGCCCCGCACCCTGCATCTGCGGCACTCACCAGCAACGTCGTACTTCTGCCACGTGAGCATGATCTCGGGCGCGCGGTAGTAGCGCGTCGAGACGTAGCCCGTCATCTGCGGGTCCTGGATGCGCGCCAGGCCGAAGTCGCAGATCTTCAAGTCGCAGTTCTCGTTGACGAGAATGTTGGAGGGCTTCTGCAAAGCGAGCGCGCAGTGTGTGAGAAGGAGACAGGTCATGTGCGAGCGCGGCTCGAGACCCTTTCGAGGGGCCACAGCTGCCGCTCGGGCCTGTGGCGTCGCAGGACGCGCGTCGCGCCAGTGCGCCCTCGCTGCAGCTGCACGCGCCTCCTCTTCCTCCGCCTCGCACTCAGCAGCGCAGACTCACCAGGTCGCGGTGCACGACGCCAGCGCTGTGCACGTACTTGAGGCCGCGCAGGATCTGGTACAGGAAGTACTGGATGAACTGCTTCTCCAGCGGCCGGCTCGTGAGCAGCCGGTGCAGGTCCGTGCCCAGCAGCTCCGTCACGAAGTAGCTGGTGGCGCCACGTCAGTGCGAAGAGAGGCGAGGCATGCCGCGGCGAGGCTCACATGTCCTCGAGCGGCGAGATGAAGATGTCGGAGAGCGAGATGATCTGCGGGCAAGCGAATGTCAGCGGCTCAGCCTCTCTGGGAGGGTCCACAGACGCGAGGAAGCGCGCGCAGTCCACCGAGGCTGCGAGCATGTGCAGCGGCATGTCTAATGCAGCAGCTTGCGGCCAGCTGTAGCTGAGCGACACGTGCAGCGAAGCTTGCCAAGTCCATGCTCTGCAAGCCTGACGCTCCACTGCCTGCGCCACTTCTTCTTCTCCCTCCCGCACGCGTCCGCATGCCGCGGCCAATGCTCACGTTCTCGTGGCGGATGTGCTTCAGCAGCTTGAGCTCGCGGTACGTGCGCTTGCTGAGCACGGGCGTGCTGAAGGGCTTCATGATCTTCTTGATGGCCACGCTCGTGCTCGTCAGCTGGTCCTTTGCGGAGCAGACGAGGCCGAAGGCACCCATGCCGACGGGCTGCAGGTCGACATAGCGCGTCGTCACCTCGAACACGGTGCCGAAGATGCTGAGCTTGACGAAGTCGGCCATGATGGGCGAGCGGAAGCGCGAGGAGAGGGAGAGAGAACGGAGCTAGGCAGCGGCAGGCAGCAGGCGGACAGCAGACGAGGCTGTGGCGGCGCAGCGGCGGTGCGGGCGGAGCAGCTCAGGAGACGGGCGCGCGGCCGGGGGCGAGAAGAAGGGACGCGGCAGAAGAGCGCGGCGCAGGCAGGAGCAGGAGCGGCGGCGGCGGCGGCGTAGGTGAGGATGCGAGGAGGGGGTGCGAGGGGATGTGGAGAGCGGGACGGAGTGCAGCAGCCTCCTCTCAGGGTGCGACGTGCTGCTGCTGCCGCCGTCTCTGCGCGCGGCTGCGTGAGCCTCAGCCTCAGCAGGCAGGCTGTGCCACGCCCCGTGACGCGCGGCGCGCGGCTGACGCTGCGTGCGGGCGGCGACGGGGGCGCGGCGGCGGGCGGCGGCAGCGCAGCCGAGGCGAGGGCGCGCGCCGCGCTGAGGGCACGCCAGCAGCGGCAGCAACACGCGCGCCACGGCTCGGCGCCTGCCTGTCGCTGCTCAGCTGCCCGCTGCACGCCTGCACCCCGATTACCTTTGTGCGCGCGCGAGGCTAGTCGCGCACTACAACATCCTCGCGGACCCTGTGATGCGCATTACAAGCGCGCGGCAGGGTCGCGCGGCGGCACGTGTGGCTTCCGGCGTCAGATGCGGCGCGGCTCGCGCACGCTGCTCTCCTGCGCTGCTGGATGCGGCCGGCCGCACGATGACGGCGCTGGGCCTGCCGTTGTGCCTGCACATGGTGCTGCTGCCGCCGCTGCATCTCATCTGCGCGATCCTGCTCTGCCCATCGCTGGAAAGCGCCGGGCGGGGCGCGGAGGCAACCTCTCAGCAGCATGTCTGCGCGCGAGGAGCTGCAAGCAGAGGCTGTCGCAGATGCGGGACCCGTCGGCGAAGCGTGCTGGGGGAGAGGAGGGGCTTGCGCCGCCGGGCCCTGTGCAGAAAGCAGATGCCGCGAAGCGGCTGCGGATGCGGGATCTCGCGAGACGTGCGCTCTGCCGCGGCACGCTCTCGGAGGCAGAGCCCGCCGCGGCGCCGGCCCGCCTTACTCGACTCGCCTTGGCTGCGCACTCGCTGCAGATCTCGCTCCTTTGCGCATCAAGCGGACAAGGAAGGCAGTCACGGGTCAGTCAGCACGCAGTGCAAGGTGGACGCTGATGGATGAGACCGGCACGGCACACAGACAGGCGCGTCTGCTGAGTCGAGTCAAGCCGGATGCTTGGGGCTGCGTGCGCTGCTATGCCTCTACCGCAGCCGGGCCATCCCTCACGACCCCGCACTTTCATGCTGCTGGCGTGTGGGAGCCGCGCAGTGTCCGCTTCGAGCTGGATGCAGAGGCCTGATGCCATCCTCAGCGGCTCCGGCCTGCCTGCTGACCGCGCAGCATGCTCGCTGCGCCAGCCCAGACCTGCCGGCCCGTCGCGCCGCTCCCCCTGGACGCTCCTTCACGCCGCAGCGTCTTGCGCGGCAAGCACCTGTGCCTGCCGCAGTTGCGTTCTCTGCCGCCAGAATTTCGGCATCGCGAGACTCCAGACGTCTTTCTTCTGTTTTGCCTCCGAGACCTCGAGACAGATGGCCAATGAGACTGGGGCGGGTCGGCGTGCGCTGGCAGCGCGGCTGTGGGACGCGCGGCGCGCACGGAGGCGACGTCAGGCTCTGCACCTCTGTCCGAGCCCTCCGAGAGCGCCTTGGCAGGCCGAGGCGATGCCTCCGACTCGACTGGCTGGAGCAGCTGCAAGTCCACCATAAGCAGCGATGCAGGAGATGCTGAGCTGGGTGAGATCGACGTGGGCGACTTGCAGGCCAGGCCGCAGCGCAGGCGGTGCAGTGGCGTCCTCCGCGCGCTGCGTCCGTCCCATGGGGCATCTCACCTGCCGCCGCGCCCACAACGGCAGGTCAGGGCAGCGCACATGGGCGATGGTCGCCGCTGCTGCTCCGGCTCCGCGTGCAACATCCACCTCGCACCAGCCGCCAGCCCAAGCGGCCCTCGCAGCCCGCCCGCTCGGACGCAGGCCGGCACGCAACGGGCGCCCGCCAGCGGCCAGCAGCGGCTGCGGCGCGCCGTGCCTTCTTCCCGCCGCACCTCCATCATCCCGGGCGTCCTCTCCCCACGCCGCTCCCCTCTGCTCCCCCTTTTCCTTTCCCTCCTCCTTCCTCTTCGTCGCTGAGCTGCGCTCGCGACTCTTCCGCTTCATCTTCTTATCCCCGCCTATCCAACGCAGCGCGTTTGCCGTCTGCAGAGTCGTTTCCTGGCGAGACGCTCTGGCACTCCGCTGTCTATCCTCCTTTCCATCTCGTTAATTCCCCCACCTCTCTCCCCGCCGACCCCCTCGGGAGCGGCTCTTCTCCTCTCATCACGTCTTCCTCCTCCTCCCACCTCCGCTTCTCTTCCGGCTATGCGATGGACGCGGCACCCGGCGAATGCTCGTCCAGCCGGCGGAGCAGCATTGCGAGCAGCAGCCGCACCTCAACCGTGCGGCGAGCCGCTGCTCGGGGCGCACATGACGGCGCCGAGCTCGCTGCGCCCCTCCTTCAGCGACCACGGCGCCCGGCGGGCAGCGTCGCGCGGCCGGCGGGCGCTGCACACGCTCTCCTCCGTGCCTTCGTCCTGGTCCTGCTCTGCCCAAGCCTCCTCGCAGCACTGGGCCAGCGAGGCGCGGGTGTGGCTGCAGTGGCGCTGCCGCGTGCCCACGCCCATGCTCGCCCTCGGCAGGAAGGGCGCAGCCTCGACGGCGGCCGCTCGCTCGCTGCGTCGGCCAGCGTCGCAGCGGGCCCTGCTGGGTCTGGCGCAGCAGCGGCGCGTGTGCAGCAGAACCCGCGCCGTCTCCACTGGCAGCGTCGCCAGCACGGCGTCGAGCGGCAGCAGCTGAGTGCACGGAGCGCAGCGGTGCCCGAGGTGCTCGAGCTCGGCACGCCTGGTGGTGCGGCAAACGGCAGCGATGCCGGCCCCGGCCCGCGATGGGGCCACACGGCCGCCTTCCTGCCTCAGTCGCAGGTCGTGCTCTTCGTCGGCGGTCAGGTCCCGTCGTGGAACTATGCCAGCGCCGGCATGGTCACCAACGACGTCTTCGCCTTTGATGTCTCGGCGCTCAACGCCAGCGCTGCTGGCAACACCACCGCGGCATGGTCGCGCCTCTCGTCCGTCGGCCTGCCTCCGCACGCTTTTGCTGCGCGTGCCGTCACGCACGACGCCGCACACCTCGACGAGCGCCTCTGGATCGTCGGCGGCGCCACGAGCGACTGCAGCCAGGATGCGCCCGTCTACTCATGGTCGGCGCCAGCCGGCGAGTGGCGCAACGGCACATGGTCCACCCCCGCCATCTCCTCGAATGCCAGTGTGCCCGTGCGGCGGCGCGGAGCACGCGCATTCCAGGTGCCCTCGGAGCTCGGCACCAAGGGCGCTGAGCGTGCGGCGGCACGCCAGCGTGGCGGCACCAGCTTCATGGTCATCGGCGGCACCGCCGACGGCAGCACCTGTGCACCCGCAGCCAGCGAGACGCAAGAGGCAGACTACTTCGGCGTCGACATCTGGACCGGCGCCGCCGCCTCGCCGGCGGCACGCTCTGCGGCGGCAGGAGCACAGCCCGCCGGCGATGACGGCATGTCGGTCCGCTCGCTGGCGCTGGAGCCGTCGATGAAGGGCCTGGCGCTCGTCGACTACGCCACGGTGCTGCTTCCGGCCAACGCCTCGACCAACTCGAGCGACCGCGTCCTCTTCCTCGGCGGCCGCGATGCCAACCACACGCTGGCGTCGCTGGCGTCGTTCTGGGCGCTCGACCTCGCGTCGGGCAAGTGGGAGGAGTGGAACGCCACGAGTGCCGGCGAGACGCAGGACCTGCCCAGCGGCCGCGTCGGCCACACGGCCAGCCGCATGCCCGACGGCCGCATCCTCATGCACGGCGGCTACACGACGCTCGAGCACGACGGCGTGCGCCGCAACGCCACCAACGAGGCCTTCGTCCTCGACCCGAGCGTGACGCCGGCGCGCTGGAGCCGCATCACGGGCTTCGGCAGTGCGCCCGCGCGCGCCTACCACACGGCCGTATGGGCCGGCGACGTGCTCGTCCTCGGCTTCGGCCAGGCCGTCGATGGCTTCGCACCGGCGAACCACACGGTTGCCCTGCCCGCGAACAGCACCAAGACGCTGGCGCCCGACGCCAATGGCGACGTCGCCGTTGTTGCGAGCAGTGCCGTGCACTTCCTCGACACGGCTGCACCCGGCGGCTGGCGCTGGAGCGACAGCCTCGACGACGTGGTCAACGCTCGCAAGCGCCCCGCCACCGTCACCTCGGAGACGCCCAGCACCGAGGCGCTGCCCACTGTCACGCCGGTTGCGCCGGTGCCCGAGCCCAACGTGGCCGCGGCGCCGAAGAAGCAGCCCGCGCCCGAGGCCACCGAGTCATCACCAGCGGCTGACAGTGCACCAGCCGACAACCCGGCGCCCGACGTCACGCCTGTGGCTCCGACGCAGCAGACGGGCGATGCTGCCAAGGTGGCAGTCGTGCCGGCATCGCCCGTCGCCAGCACTGCTGCGGATGCACCGCCCTCGAGCGACTCCTCGTCGTCCTCGAGCGCCACCAAGTCCGGCGCCATTGCCGGCGGCATCCTCGGCGCCGCGGCTCTGGCTGCCACGCTCGGCGGCCTGTACGCCGCACACAAGCGCCGCGAGGCCGCTCGTGACGACGACGGCCTCAACGACTTCTTCGGCAAGGACGGCGAGATGCTGCAGCGGCCCGAGGAGCGCGGCCCGCCCGTGTCGAGCCTGTGGCTTAGCCAGCCGATGGCCTGGGCCGCCACGGCAGGCAAAGGCCTCAAGCGGCAGGCGACGAACGCCTCGGAGGCCTTCCGTGCTCGTCGGCGCCGCAACTCGGCCACGCCGTCGGACGCAAGTGACCCCTTCGCCGACGAGTACACGTCTCCGAGCGGCGCGCGCGGCTTCGAGGTGCTGCGTAACGTGCCCGCTCGTGGCCGCCTGAGCATGCGCCGTCAGCAGCAGATGGACGCTGCCTGCGAGCCGTCGCTCGAGCAGGCCACGCCTCGCGCGCTGCCCACTGCCTTCATCACATCGCTAGTGGCCGACGACGAGGACCAGCGTGCGCTTTACGAGGTCGGACGCACCGTCGGCGGCGGCCGCGGTGCCTCGGACTTCGAGGCGCAGCACCCCTCGCGCTCGCTCCTGACGCCGCCGATGGAGCACTACGACCGCTCGATGAACCGCTCGAGCGAGTCGCTCGCCAGCGTCGGCAGCATCAGCCACTTCTCCTACCCGTACCTCGCCGCCATGCACCGCCCGAGCCTGGCCGGCGCCAGCAGCAGTGCCGGCGCCAGCCCGCGCAGCAACGTCTCCGGCTCCTACTACGACCCGGCCGCCGTGTCGCCGCGCGACGCCATCCGCCGTGCCTCGCTCGCAGCTGGGGGCATGTCGCCTAACGAGTCGTACTGGCCGACGATGCCCGGTGCGGTCGCGCTCTCGCCGACATGGCAGCGCGATGACGCCGATGCACGCGATGCCATCTTCGTCTCGCAGCTTGCTGCAGCCGACGGCGAGGAGCTCGAGGAGACGTGCGCCTCCGACGTTGCCGACGGCGCACCCAGCGCACTCGCTGGCGCGAGCGATCCCGCGGCCTGGGCAGCCGGCAATGCCTCGCCCATGTTCCCCTGGGAGCGGCCCACGCCGTCTGCAGTGCCCAAGCTGAGCGTGCCCGCCAGCGCGCCGCTCACCTCGGCGCCCTTCCGTGCCCCGCTGCGTGGCGCCGAGGCCCTGCGCCTGCGCGACGACGAGCAGCAGCAGCGTGCCAGCAGCTCACGCCGCGCACGCCGCTCGCAGCTGCGCGTCATGAACGACTCGGCGGCCTGAGCATGCCCTAGCACCGACGAGCGCAGACTGATGGAAGACTCGGCAGCGTGAAGTTCACCTTCTGCCGCCATGGCTCTCAGTCTACTGCTCCGACTTGCTGGCGCCTAGGCCAGGCGCTGCAGCTCCTTTCCGTCCACCATGTGCCGCTGTCTTCCCGTTACCTCATCCTCGCGTCACCGCGACCCGTCATCATCTTCCTAATCAAATCCAGCATCTTTCTATCCTCCGATCCTTCGTGTGAACGTGCGAGGCGCGCCTCGCTGCTGACACTGCGAGCGCTCGAAGCCAAGGGGACGGTCAATTCGGTGTATTGCTCAGTCGACGATCTCCATCATCAGAGCCTCGTATCGTGCCTTGGCCTCAGCACGGCTGCGCTTCTTGATGCGCTGCCGGTCTGCAGCTGCGCCACTCGGACCGGCCGGGCTAGAGGAGCCACGCTCGGCGCTGGCGAGGCGCGGCACCTTGCGACCGTCGCCTTCCTTCGCTGCGCCTGTCTCGCTCGTCTCGGGCTCGACCTCTTCGTGCGGGCGCTTCTTCGACGGCGTCCTAACGACGTGACGCGCCTTCGGCGTGGCTTGCTGCGCATTTGCGTCAGGCTCATCCGTCTGGCGCTGAGGCGACGATGCAGCAGCTTGCGCTCGCGGCTGCTCGACGGCTCTGTCGTTCGGCGCAGCTAATGCGGCCTCGACGCTCTGCTCTGCCGCTTGAGTAGGAGCAGTGGCGAGGATCTCCTGCCTCTGCTCGGCTGCTACAACCGCGGGAGTGGCTGGACGGGCCGGCACAGAGGGCTGCACTTGCGCAGCGGCGACAGCCGCGACGCTGTCGACAATCCTGGCGGGTGTCTTGCGCGCCAAGCTCATCGCACGGCGAGCCGCTGCTGCCATCGCGGCCATCGTCGCCTTGGCGCTGGTTTGGGCCGATGGCGATGGCTGATCAGCACGAGCTGCTGACGGTGCTTGCGCGCTCATGTCTGGCCTCGGACGAGCCACTTGCGTCTCGAGCACCAACACACGTGCTTGAGGCGCGGTCGGCACAGTGGACGTGCTGGCTTTCGTGGATGTCGGCACCGATGCAGGCGCTCTGCTGACCGATGGCGGCGGCATCTCAGACCTCTCCTCGACGCGTGCGGAGCCTGGCGGCGTCCGGGAGCGCACAAGCGCTGTGGCCCTGGACGAGCTCGCCATGTCTGAAGGCGCCAGCGGCGCGTCGTCCGTCTCCTCTTGCAGATGATCAAGCTGCGTCTCGCCAGGCAGGGCAAACGGCAGCGTCCAGTCCTCGTCGGGCAGCTGCGGCGGGCCCGGCGAGAAGCTCTGCTGCTGCAGCTCGCCTTGCGCAGGCGAGCGGCGCACCTCGGACGCCGCCTGCGACTGCGACTGCGATGAAAAGGGCGACATCGGGATGAACGCTTGCCGCGCTGGTGCCGCACGATGAGACGGCACGCGCTCAGTGAAAGACTCGTGCTGCGGCGAGAGCGAGCGGAGACGAGCCGGCGGGCTTGGGGCCAGTGGCACTGAGAGCCCGCGAGGAGGCGCGACTGTCTCCAGTCGAGCTGGATGAATCTCTTCTTCGAGCACTTTGTCGAAGTCCTGCAGCATCGACGAGAAGGCATAAGCAGCGGCGGAGGCCAAGGCTGCGAGGCATCACTCACGCCCCAGCCCATTGACTCTACTTCAAAAGTCGGCGTTGGCTCTCGTGCCGCTTCGGCTCGAGTTGCCAGCTGGCGCTGCGCGCTGTCCAGATCCTGCGCCTTTTGAGCCGCACCAAGAGCTGCGACGGCGCCGGGATGTGCACTGCGCTGGACCTGCGCGGGCGGAGGCGCAACGCTTGTCGATGACGCTGAGGCCGCACTTGCATCAGCATTGCACGAGCATGTGCATCTGCTTGGTGAACCGCTCACCTTCGCCCTCGTCTGCTCTCTCTGCCGTCTGCTCTTCTCTCCGCGCCGCTCTGCGTTCTGCTCTTCGCCTCTCGTTCTCTCTCCGTTCCATTTCCAGGCGCTTCTCTGCGCCTCGCTCGCGGCGCAGGTGCTTGGCGCCTTCGTCGAACCAGAGCTTGAACCAAGCGCGGTGGCCGGCCAGCTCGGGCTCCAGCGTCGAGCGGCCGGGAAAGACGCGGTACTCGAGCTCGGTGACGCTGTGGAAGGGCTGGTCGCACGGTGCGCCGAGCACATTGAAGGAGGCGACGTCGAGCACCAGGCGCGGCACAAGCTCGGGCGGCGGTGCAAATGGACCCGTCTGCCCCATCAGTCGCGGCAGCAGCATGACGGTCGGCCGCACCTCTTGCAGCACCAGCGTCGCGCCGCCGAGAGCCGAGAGCGGCATGTCGCACTTTCTGCGTGGCGTGCGTCAGTCTCTCTATTTGCTCAACGCGAAGTGTGCGCAGCTCAGCGTCGTGAAGAGCCATTCATTCCGAATGGCCGGCACGGTACTCCTGGTCCTGTGCTGCCAGGGCTCGACGCTGCTCGCCCTTGCCAGTCGCAACTCACTGAGCAAATTTGCGCATGGCTGATGCCTCGAAGCGCACGAGCGTCTGCGCCTCGCGGTCAGCCACGCAGGCCAGCATCATGCCCTGCTGCGGCGGCGGGCTGCAGCGTGCGAGGAGCTTGCGGGCAGCGACCGAGTCGGCGGCCTGCAGCAGCCGGCGCTTCTCCTCGCTGCGTGCGGCGCCCGCCGGCGGCGCTGCTGCGGCCGTGTCCGCGGGATAGATGCGCAGCAGCTGCACCCGGCTGCCACGCATGTACCGCACGTCGTCGAGGCGCTGCGTCCGACGCTCTGCGGCGGCAGCAGCAGGCGCGGCCTCGAGCGTGTGCCGGCTCGACGAGGCGCCGCCTCCTGCTCCGGCGGCGGCGGGTGCGTCGGCCGGGGCGAGCGTCACCAGCGACGGCGCCAGCGCGAGCAGCTTCGCGACGAGCCAGGGGCGCAGCGACTCGGCCATGCCGGCGTGGTGCAGCACAAGCGACTCGTGGTGCGAGAGCATGCGGTCGCCGCGCGGCCGGTCGCGGAGGTGGCAGTAAGAGAAGAGTCTGGTCTGAGAGAGTGGTGGGGTGGAGGAGGACGCGCGACTCGCGCCACGGCGCGCGAGTCGCGCCGCGGCGGCGCCGGCTGCTGGAGCCGCTGTGCTGCTGACGTGCGCTGCTGGTGCTGCTGCCTGCTACTAGTCGTTCTTCTCGCACCTCATCACCCTTGTCGCGCCGCGTGCCGCACCATCCAGCGCTCCTGATGCACCGATGATCCTGCGCGCTCGCTTCGCGGGCTACCTCGAGCCCACACCGGACACTGCCACGAACGGCCACTCGCACCGGTCCGTCAAGCCGAATGTGCAAGACCGCCTGGCCCGCGTGAGCCGTCGTACCGCAGCGCTCCCCGTCGCCACTGCCACGCTTCCACCTCGGCTGCCTGCATCTGCGCATTCTGACCCAGCGGTGTCGCATGCATCGCCTGCACCTCATGCGTCGGGCTCCGACCCAGCAGCGCCCGTCGCCGTCGCGAGCGCAAGCTCGTCTCGCACCCCGCCTCCAGCAGGTGAGCACGCCTCGTCTTCTGCGCACACACCCGTGCACAACAGTCGCTCGGGGCATTCCATGTCACCTCAAGACGATGAAAAGAGCGACAGTCCCGGCGTCGCTCGAATGAATACGGTCGTCACCGAGGACATGCGCGGTCGCTATCTGCCGTTCTATGTCGATGTTCATTTCGTCCAAAACAACGAGCGGTCTTCGGCCGTCGTCCGTGAAGTCAGCCAGAGCGAGGAGCGCAAGAAGTTCCTCGAAGTGCTCAGACAGGTCGCGGTGACCGCCAGGTCAGCGAGCTCAACCAGTGACGGTCAAGCCTCCAAGATCGACAAGAAGGAGGAGCAGCTGACGACTGCGTTCATTGAGCTGGCCAATCTCGTAGCGCAGCTGTGCGGAGCAGAGACGATCTTCCAGAACTCTGGCGCGCGGGAGACTACGAATAGAGTGAGGTCATTTGAGCTCACGTCAGGGACATCGCTGACCCAGCGCTTAGTCTGTCGACTTCTGCAAGCCCGACATATGTGTGCGGCGGCCGTGCGACTCGACGAGCCAGTCTTACGAGACAGTCATCGCCATCGGCGAGGTCAAGACCGCGGAGAGCGAGGACGAAAGTCCTACGTTGATGACGCAGCTCGGACGCTACCAGGTGCGTTCTTCAGGCCCGAGTCAAGGAGTTTGCTCGCGGGCCGCTCGTGACGTGTGCGCTGGCGGCCACACATTCGGCGCGCTTGTGCTTGGCTTTGCGTGCTGCATGCTGACGCTCACCTTTCGCAGCTCGCCCTCATCAGCACGCGCCCCTGCGTCAGCGTCTGTCACGGTCTTACTCTGTGTGGCGCGAAGCTGCGCCTGTGGCGCTTCGATGCCCACACCTACGCCTGCACGCGCGTCATCGATCTTCATGACGAGGCGCACGTTGAGCAACTTGTTCGTTTCGTCGCATTTCTGGCGAGCGACGAGGCACTCGTGCGCTGGTCGCCGACAGAGCACGAGACGTTCGGCGTCAAGAACGGCCTCGACAGTGTCGAGGTGTACACCTGGCTGGCGCCGCCTGTGCTGCTCCTCGCGCGGTGTGACCTCTTCGGCGGCCGCACGTGCTGCTGGGGTGGCCAGGCGCGTCGAAGCGGCGGTGAGGTCGAAGACATCGTCATCAAGATGGCCTGGGTACCGTCGTACCTGATTGGTCACGAGGGCGCCGTACTGCGCCATCTGGAGGCTGCTGAGGTGTCAAACATCCCGCGCTTCGCTGGCACACTCGACTATCCATCGGCGATGCGCACTGATCGCTCGAACCACGCGGTCAAGCTGATCGATGATGCCGCGATTTCGAAGGCGCGGTGCTGGATCCCAGAGTGGTCCAAGCATGGCGTGGAGCTCGATGCGCTCGTCCTCAAGTGTCCCATCGGACTTCGCATCGTCGCTCGCTCGCCGAGAGCACAGCTCGACGTGCTGCACATGTATCGCGACCTCGGCGCAGTCCTTGCCCGCGTCGCCGAGGCTAATGTGCACTATCGAGACTTCAATCTCGGCAACGTGCTTCTCGCACCGGCGTCGCTCCGCGAATCATCGGGTCTCGCCGTGCTCCTCATCGACTTCGGTGGTGCTCGCATCGGCGAGCAACCACGCGGCAACCTGCCGTCACGCGATCGCTCTGCCTCGGTCGCTGATGGGGGTCATGAGCTTCGCCTGAGTGCTGACGACGCTTGTTCGGCGAATGCCTCGTTCATTTCGCGGCAATCAACTCAAGCAGCCGAGAACGTGAGAGAGGTGATCGAGTGGTCAGAAAAGGTTGCGCTGTTCGAAGCGGACCTCCCTGCCCCGTCTGCAGACGATTACGACTACAAGAACACGGACCTGCAACTTGCGCGGCAGACACTGTCCGAAGCCGAAGCCGCCGTTCGCTCAAGCCAGCATCGGCCGACCGATGATCTCGAGTCGGCATTCTGGTGTCTGCTCTATCAGGTGAGGCGCACCGCACGCTTTCCCGCCGCCCCTGCGCGCTTCTGCCCTTCGCTCTGGCGCCAGGATCTCGGCAGCTGAGCCCGTCTCTGATTCTTCTTCCTCAGAGCGCACTCATCGGCGGCAACACGACGACTGTAGGCAGTATGGGTGTCAAGGACTTCAAGTCTGGTTACGTTGCAGCATGGAAAAATCGCAAGCGGGTTCGTGCTTGCTGCTCGGTCCCGATCTGCCGAGCCGTCGCTGATCCAGCTTGGCGGAACAGGTCGTCGAAGTCATGGGCCTGGGCAGCACCTCGCTGGCAGCGTTGCTGCAGCAGGGCGAGCTCATGACTTGCTTTGAGCAGGGTCCACGGATGCCGTCCAGCACCGAGCCGCTCATGACGCAGGGTCATGCCGAGGCGTTCAAACGCTGGAACGTCCTCTTCGACCGCGCCATTGTCAAGGAGGCGGAGCGGGTCGCAAAGGCAGAGAAGCGCGTCCAGGACAAGGAGCGCCTCGCGAAGCCCGATGCTGCGTCTCGGGCCGCTCCGACGGACGACAACACTTCACTACTTCCGGCCGCTCCGGCAGATCCATTCTCTCAGCCGATGAAGAAACGCCGTGGCGTAGCGCTGCAGGACCGGAGCCGACCGTGCGCCGAGAGCTCCGCGCCCGTGTCGTCGCGCACGCGCAGCAAGCAGCAGCGTGATGGCAACGCCAACTAGGACTACCTGCGCTCGCACGGCGAGCGCTGCAGCCACATTCCATCCCTCTCCTCTTCCTCACACCATACCTCGACATCTCAATACCAGTCCCGTGCGCATACGTGGTCTGAACGCGCGGCGGGCCCCGTTGTCGCGCTGTATCTTTGCTCGCTGGGCATCCGTCTCACAGCCTTATCTGCCTGCGGCATGGTGCGCTGCGTCGCATATTAAGATTTCAGCATCTCCTGTGCAGCTCGCCGTCGTCATCCCCGTGCGGCGAGATGTCCTGCGCCATTTTCCGCCGCGTAGTCTGTGGAGTGGCAAGCGCGTCTCAGCGCCTGGGAGACTCGAGCGCACGATGAGAGCGCACTGACCTAGATGGATGTATGCGCGCTCGACCTCATCTAGACTCTCGAGCGTGTACGTCACGCACTCGCCGAGGTCGTGCGCGTCCTATGAGTTGATAGGGTCAGCGTCGCCGGCGCGGAGAGGCGTGCACTCGACTTGCCTTCAGCGGCACCGTTGCACCAAGGACGATGTCGACCTGCAGGCGGCGTCAGACGCAATTGCGGTGCTGTGCCTGCTAGGACAACATACCTCGCAGACCGTGTGGTCGCCAGCGAAGTAGACTTCAAAGGCAGACACAGACTTGACCGCGCGGCTGTGAGCGCGGGTTGGTCAGCTCCAGCTGTGCCTCGTTCGGTGCCGCACCGTGACTCACAAGCGCGTGACCAGGTACAAGCACTGCGCCACTGCGTCCGGCCCAGCGGCGGCGCCAGTCAACCGACTGACAGTCTCGAGCAGCGTCTCGCCCCATTCCGTGAGGATGTAGATGCTTAGGACTGCAGTGCGTGCTCAGCGCCGAGGCGATGCATCTGAGGCGCGCGTGTACTCACGCGCTCCGCCGATCGGGTCAAGGGCCGGCCAGCCAAGCTTGCTGCCGACGAAGGCTGCAAGCACGGACTCGTCAGCAGTGAGTCAGCCAGCGGAGGCTGTCGACGCACGGAAGATGAGCGATGCAATGTTCTGACGGCGCAGGCCGGGTCAGCACGATCGCAGTGCAGCTCTAATGTGCTCGCTCACGAAGACGACGTCGTTCTCTGCGTCTGTGATCAAGGCGCCTCGTCAGCAGCAGAGCTGTGTGTCAAAGCAGCAGCAGCGACGCACCTTGCGCGACGGCGCGCACGCCAGAGCTCTTGCTAGTCCGGTAGATGAGCCACATGCACGCCTTGATGCCTAGACCCACGGCAACACATGAGCAGCAAGCGTCGCCCGTGGCCAAGCAGATTTCTCACCGATGGTTAGAAGCATGAACGCGATCCCGACGAGCGGCAGGCTGTCGCCTGCGCCCGGCTCGGGCTTGCCTGTCCGGATCACGCCAATGAGACGCTGGACCGACTCGAGCAGAACCTGTTTGCCAGTGCTCAGCACAGCACAACCTCCATCGCTGCGCGAATGCCACTCACTTGAGCAAAGGACGCGATCATGAGGACGGAGAAGATGACGACACTGCGGCAGAGTGAGATCGTGCTTCGGTAGAGCAGCTCATCTTGTGCTTACCCGAGCGGCTGTGTTCCAAGTGTCAGCGAGTGCTCGACGGCGGGCAGACTCCTCACGCTCACCTCGAGGCGTTTCCGGCCAGTCGGATACGCATACCACGTGCGCCATGTGACGTGCGAGATGGCCACCGACGTCCCGAAGATGATAAGCGTGGAGAGCAGGTCGAGCGCCGAGTCGACAAGGCTGGCCAGTAGCGAGACGGAGTTGGACGACAGCACGGCGAAGCCCTTGCCGCCGAGCAGGAGCACGTTGACCGCACTGGACTAAAGGTCAGCAGAGATCGCACCCCACAGCATTGCAGGGGGGACCGACAGGTTGACTGGAAGAAGAACGCTCTGATCAGCAGACTGGCGGACAACTGAGGCGCCTGCGACTCACTGTTGATGGCAAAGCTCGCCTTCTTCTCCTCTTCATCGTCGCGCTCCGCCTTGCCCGGCACGTGCGCCAGCAGCTTGCGCCGCTCGCGCTCGCGCAGGCCCCCTGGCACCGACGCCAGCTTGGCTGATGTGTTGGATCCTGCCTCCGATGGCGCCTTGCCGGGCCCCGAGGAGGTGCTGCGCTCGATGCGCAGATCGGGGCCGCCAGGAATGTGCACAATGCGCTCGCGGTCGCGCGCCTTGCGCTCGGCACGCTGCACCGCGAGCTTGCGGTCCAGGCTACCGTCCACTTCGCTCTCGTCGTCCTCCGTCTCCGAGTCTGCATCGCCGCCGCCGCTCGAGCCGTTCCCGTCCTTGCGAGATCCGTTGAGCGCGGCGATGCGCTTCTGCTTGGGAACGTGCTCCAGTGCCGCCGGCCGCACGCCCTTGGGCGTGCGAGAACGCACGACGCCTGCCTTGTCCGGCTTGCCTGAGTGCTCAGGCAGCCCTTCACCCGGGGGCACCTCGACGCCAGCCTCAATGGTGTGCAGTCCCTGCGGGCCGGAGAAGCTCGTCGCCAGGGCGGAAGGAGTCGCGCCGTAGCCTCGCGCAGAGCGAGAGGAGCGCCGCGGCGACGAGACCATGCCCGAATCAGACGAGAGCAGGTTTGACTCTTCGTCATGCACGCCGCCGCGCTTCTTCGCCGCGTCCTTGCCGAACCACAGGCCCGAGAAGAGGCCGCTGGCCGTGCGTGAGACGAGGCTGCCGCGCCGGCGCCCGGCAGAGAAGTCTTCGCCCTCTGCGTCGCTCTCCTCGTCGGACGTGTAGCCGCTGACGCCGCGCTCGAGCTCAGCGGCGCCGTCAATGTTGCCGAAGCGCTTCAGCACCTCTGCCGGGAAGCGGCTGTCGACGATCTGGTCGACCTCGCGCCACATGTCGAGGATGCCGTTCATACGCTCGTAGCTTCGAGCGTGCGTGGTCAGATGCTGCAGCGGCGCAGATGTCGGGGCCTGTGCGACGCCACTCACTACTCGCGCACTCCGCGCCGCTGCTTGGCATTGCGGCTGAGCTCGCGGATCTCGTCGTCCGTCTTGCGCGCGCTCTCGTGCCACTGCGAGCGGTCGTCGACGAGGCCGGCGAGCACGCTGAGGTCGCGCAGCGAGTCGGCGCGCTCGGGAAAGAAGTGGCGGCCCAGGCGTGCGATGGAGGGCGACGAGTGCATGCCGAAGTGCGAGTGCGACTGGCGCAGCGGCGCACTGCGCATGTTGGCGGCGGCGCTGTGGGCCCGCTCGCGGCTCGAGCTCGGTCGGTCGAGCGAGGAGGAGCGCACGGCGCTGGCGGCGCTGCCGAAGCGTGCGCCGGCGCTGCGGGCCGGCGGCGACGAGTCGCGGCTGACGGTGCCGCGGCGGTCGCCGGTGCGTGCAACCATGGCGGCGAGGCGGCGTGCGAGGGAGGTGGAGGGGGGAAGGAGAGCTACAGGGGCTGAGCTGGACGCGGCGAGAAGGCAGATGCTGATATGGCCGGCCAAGCGCGCACGGCCCGCGTTCCCACGCTCCACCCCACCGCCAGGTCACCGACCGGGCCGAGCACGCGCCCTTGCCGATGCCGACCCCGCCGCGGCGCGCGGCCACCGCACGCTCGCTGCGGCTGGACGTCTCTCCACCATCCTCTCCCGCGCCCGCTCTCCTCATGACCGAGCAGCCACAGCAGCAGCAGCCCTCAGTGCTGATCATCGGCCTTGGTGCGCTCGGTGTGCTCTACGGCGCGCTTCTCTCGCGCGGCGGCGTGCGCGTGGTGGCCTACGCCCGCTCCACCGCCGCGCAGCTCGAGGGCGAGGGCATCGAGCTGCGCAGTGCCAAGTTCGGCACCTTTACCTGGCGCCCGGCACGCGTCGTGCGCAGCGATGCCGAGGCGCGCGCGGAGGCGTACGACTGTGAGACTGCCTGCGCTTGCTGGAGCATGGCGCGCGCAGCATGTGCGGCAGGCGCGCTCTGACGCGTGCCGCCCAGACATTCTCACGACCTTCAAGCTCGTGCCCGAGCTGCGCACCATCTCGTCGCTCATCAAGCCCGTCGTCAAGCCTGGCTCGGCACCGGCGCTCGTGCTCGTGCAGAACGGCATCCACGTCGAGCGCGAGCCGCATGCGTCGCTGTGCGAGGGCGACGAGCCGGTGTGCTCGGCGCTCATCAGCTGCTGTGCCTGGCTCGGCGCCACGCTCGTCGATGGCGGGCGCGCCGTGGACCATGGAGGCTTGGAGCGTCTGGTGGGTGCAGCTGAAGCGATCTCGGCTGTGTCCGGCCAGCAGCTGAGCGTGGCTCCAGATGATCGGCCTGTATCCCTCGGCCGAGCCTGGCGAGGACTCGCCGCGGACACGCGCGTGGAGGAAATTTGTCGAGCTGTATGCTGCGGGCGGAGGCGGCGCTGAGCGGGTGGAGAACGTGCAGGCGGTGCGCTGGCAAAAGGGTATGTACGGTGCCGCATCGGTGCTGCTCTTGCGCTGACCTCGTGTTGTCGTGGGCTCTGCTCGCAGTGCTGTGGAATGCATGTGAGTCTTGCGCCCGCAGCCTTCTTCAGGCCATGCAACTAATGCAACACAGGCTGGGGCGGCCTCTGCCTGCTCTCTCGCCAGCCTGTCTCCGCACTCCTGCAGCCCGACGCCATCCGCTACTCTGCGCCCGTCGTGCGGGGCCTGATGCAAGAGTGCGTCGCCCCCGCTCCGCTCTCAGATCTCCGGCTGACGTCTTGCAGGTGCATGTCCGTTGCGCGAGCTGAAGGGCTGGGCGCCGATGTGCTGCCCGAGACGAGCGTGGAGGAGGCGTTTGGTCTCACATTCGAGGAGCGGCCAATGAACCCCGAGCGCAAGGGCAATCTCAAGGACACATTCAAGCCGAGCATCCTGATGGATCTGGAGGCCCAGCGGCCCATGGAGCTCAGCGGCATCGTGGGCAATGTGGTGTGTGAGTCGTCTCGCCTCCCGCATCCTTCCTTAACTGAAGTCGGTCTCGCCAGCATTGGCGCGCAGACACAATCTCTCTACGCCGCGCCTCGACCTGCTCCTCGCAGCCATCCGGCCCGCCCAGGTCGCGGCCGTCCGTGCGGCGCGCGACATCGACAGCCAGGACGAGGTGCCAACGAGCGGAGGCCTGCCCGAGGGTGCAGACGCCATCGTGCTGTGACGGCGCAAACGAAGAGAGAGCAAATGCAGCCAGCATGGGTATCATTGGTGGTCTCGCGGCGCAGCAGTGCGCGTGAGAGAAGCAAGAGCGGCAGCGAGGGAGCTCGGAGGCAGCCCCGTCGCGCGGCCGCTCGCAGCAAAGCGTATGCGCAGCAATCTTCACTGCAGAATGATCCTGATCAGGCCGTAGTCGCCCGCCGCCGTCGCCTCGGCCAGTACGGCGCTGGGCCAATTCGTTGCCGCCGTCGACGCATGGCCCATCGACGTTCCGTCTTCGTCGTCGTCGCGCCCTCCGCGCGCATTCTGCTCCTGGCTGCCATGTCGCCGCAGCGCATTGGGCGGCCGAGCGAAGCCAGAGGCGCTCGCCAGCGTCGAGTTGCCGACGCTGCGGCGGCCCAGCGTGCCTCCAGCTTGTGCGCCAGGGTACGCGATGGCACTGGCGCCCGTGAAGCCCGAGGCGTTGGCCATCTCTTCCTCTCCCCAGTCGGCATGTGCGCCTTGCTGCGGCAGCGTCCATGTCGAGTCGCCGGGCGCCATCGAGCTGCGCTCGCGGGCCGTGCTGCCGCCCGTGCCCGCCGCGCCGGACGGACGGCCTAGAATGAGCAGCAGCTGGTGCAGCTCGCTCCACGAGATGCCGAAGCGCACACACAGCTCGTCCTCGGGACGCGTGCCGTCGCAGAGCGAGCCGAGCTCGGGCGGCACGTAGGGCTGCTGCGTCGTCTCGCCCATCGTGCTCTTGCCGGTGCCGGCATGACTGCCATCGGCGAGGCGCGAGAAGGCGCTGTCGCCCGCGCGTGCATTGCTGTGCGAAGGGATGCCGCCGCTCAGCGTGCGTGTCCACGCATGCATGCTCGAGTTGCTCTTCCACTCTCGCAGCACGCGCTGCGCGCCCGGCGTCGGCGGCGCTGCCTCGTCGGGCGGGCGGGACAGATCGAGCGCCACGCTGGCGACGTCGACCACCGTCGCGGTCGCATGGCGATGCATCGCGGCGCGGACATTCCTTGCCGAACCGGGTGCGCGCTTTGAGGGCGACGTGCCGGACATAGAGGCATCGAGCGTCAGGAGCGAGCCGTTCTCCGAGGCCTCTCTGCGGCCCCGGCGACGTGGCCGAATCGCAGTCTGCGTCGCGCTTTGAGGCGTTGCACCGGACGCTTCCTGCGTGCCGGCAGTGGCCTTTGCGGAGCCCCCGTCGCCCTCGCCAGCCGGCACGAGTGGGCGTGCCGTATCGCCTGAGCGGTTGAGTGCTGGCCGCTCCCGACTACTGCCGCTTCCCTGCCCCTCCTCCTGCGCCGCTTGCATCCTCGCGCGGCCCAGCGGACTCGGACTTGCATGCTTGCGTCCGGCCTCGAGTCCCGGGATCATCGAGAAGGTGGAGAAGCCCTGCGGTCCCTCGGTGCCGCCGCGCGCCTCTCTGCGCACCGGCGAGCGTGCCGTGCTGCGCTCCTCGGTCAGCGGCGCCGCCAGCAGGATGGGATAGCGATGCACGCGGCGCAGGAAGCCCTTTATGACGCCAAACGTGACGAAGCGGCGCACATCGATGCCCAGCTCGTCGACATCGTGCGAGTCGATCCAGTCGTGCAGCGTGATGCCTGGCCGCAGCGCGCTGTAGAGCTGCAGCAGCTTGGGCCACGAGGGCACGGCACTGCCGGCGCGCGAGACGTACGCGCCACATTCGCGCTGAATCGACTCGTCCTCGGCCATGATGGCAATCGCCGGACGCAGGCTGTACATGTTCGAGAAGGCGAAGATGTCGAGCGTGATGATGCAGCTGTAGAAGCTGTGGTGCGGAGAAGTCAGCCGTGCGCACGGCAACGTGCTGGAGGTGGCTCACAGCAGATGCTCCATGCATTGCCGCGTCAGCTCGAGGTCGGCGTCCGCCAGCTGCGCGATGCGCTTGACGTGATTGACGCCGTCGATGAACGGGAAGATCTGCGCCGGACATGTCAGCCTTTGCTGATACCGAACAGCGCGCAGCACGCCCACCTTTGCCATCGTCAAGTCCCAATTGCCCTCATTCTTGCCCTTGAGATCGAGCAGCGCGACGGGCACATCCCAATCCTTGACCGGCGGCGGGTTGGCATACGTCGGAAAGAGCTTGAGGTTGATGGCGTCGCGCACTGTGCGGCCCAGACCGTGCGGTGGCTCGCGCTTGCCTGGCGCGAGCATCAGCGCCGGTGCAAGGGCACCGACGGACGTCGAGAGCGGCATGGCCGAGGCGACACTGCTGGACGCAGTCATGTTGCTCGCCGCAGCAGCAGGGACACTGCCGCCGACATTTGAAGCAGTAGCAGCGCCGATGGTGCGCAGCGACAGAATGCCGTCCTTGAGCGCCTCTCGCCCAGCCGAGTGCCGCTCCCGCGAGCCTCGTCTATCGGCAGCGCCCGTCTCGGGCAAGCCGCTGCTGGGCGGCAGGGGCGTGCCTGGCACAATGTCGCTGGAAGTGGCAGCACGCAGCATCGGCGCTGTCTCGCCGGCGGGCGTCGTTGCTCCCGACGAGGCTGCGTCTCTGTTGTCGTTGACAGAGGCAGACATCGTCGAGACGGTCGTGCCGCTGAAGCCGAGCGCCGCCAGCGTTTTTGAGCGGCCGAGCGAGGGACGCATGCCCTGGTCGCCAGACGAGGAGCGCGAGGGAGTGCGTGCCTTCGCCTCATCACGGCTGCCTCCTTCGTCGTCGGAAGACTGAGCCGAGGGAGCGAGCGAGGACCGCCGCATGCTCAGCGTCGACAGCGGCGACATGAGATCCACGGTGTTGGCGCGAGCGACGCGCGGACGAGGAGAGGTCGAAGCACTGCCTGTGCCGCTGCCGCCCAGCGCCGTCAGCGCCAGATCGGCAACGCGCAGCTTGGTGAGCGGAGTGGCGGGCCCGCCTCCGCTCATCACTGCCTCGGCCTCCGCAAGCTGCGAATTAAGCAGCACCGGATCGCCGAGGTGCAATGGCGGCACAGCGGCCAGGCGCGCTGCCTGCACCGCAGCGGAAAGCTCTTGCACCGAAGCGTCTGACACGCCTATAGACGACATCGGCGTCATGGCCACACCGTCGGCGCCGTCCTTGCCTGGCACGCCTGCGCTGCCACCGCCGGAAGAACGCCGTCTCGTCATCGCCAGCCCGCCGGCCGGCAGTCCAGCGAAGGGGGAAGAGGGCATGCTCGACTGTCCTCCCGTTGCGGCTCTGCCATTGCGCGTGACTACACCGCCGCGCATGCTGCGGCCCGCTCCGCCAGCGCCGCCGGTGTTAGCACCTGGCTTATCGAGATAGCGCGTGTGCGGCGCATCGGGCAGCGCAATGAACGTCTCGCAGTAGGAGTTGAGGTCCTCGTACAGCTGCTCGATGAGCCCATACATGCGCGGCTGCGAGCGAGGCGAAGAGAGAAACGATTTGGAGTCCTGGCAGCGAATGGTGAGCAGGCCGCCTTGGACGCCTTCTCCGCACCTCGACTCACTTCGAGATACCGCAGCGTGCGAGCACACTTTCTGACGACGGGCTCGTACGCACGCACGTCAGACTTGGCATCAAAGACAAAGGCGAGGTTGAAGATGAATGTGTTGCGTGCATACTTGTCCTCGTCGTGCATGAGCACGGGATAGGCGAGCACCTTGAACGCCTGTGCGCCGTATGCGCCGGGATGCGTGGGCGTGCCGGGCTCGAGGGCTGCGGCACTGGCGAGGCAGGTGACGAGATGCCCGCAGAGCGGCTCCTTGGGGATCAGATAGTCCTTCAGCGCTGCCCAGTCGAACAGCGGCGGCGGCGCAGGTGCAGCGGCCGAGGGCGCAGCAGCTCGCCGCGGCGATGCGGGACGCGACGAAGAGAGCCGAGGCGGCACGAGCGGCGGCTGGGCCTGCGCCTGTGGCACAACGGCGCCATCAGGCACCTGGTACACGACCTTGGGGCCCTCGGTCGGGTGGAACACGGCCCAGAAGACGGCAACGAGGCGCGGCAGGAACTGCTCGTCGAGCAGCGGCGCGGCGATCGACTCGGTGCTGAGCAGCGAGCTCAGCGAGGCATCATCGTCGTCGTCGTCAGCGCTGGAATACTGCGGTACCGGCAGCGCGTCGTCGCTCTCGTCGGCCGCACTGCTGCTCTCCTCGCCAGGATGCCGCTGCGGAGCCCGTCGTTGGCGCGCTGGCGACTCGGGGCCGCGCGAGGCCGGGGCCGAGGGACGGCGCGCCGACATGGCTGCGGGAGCGGCGGCAGCGGCGCACGCACAGCCGGGCGGCGCGGAGGGACGGGCTGGTGTGAAGAGGGCGGCGCAGGAGGGGATGAGTGTGGAGCAACAGCAAGGCGAGAGGACTCGGAGCCTCAAGCCTGGCCCGAGCGGCGCGCTCACAGCCGCGCGGACGGCCGCCGTCCTGTTCCCACGACTGTCAGTCACGTGCGCACGCCCTTGCGCGATCTCGGCATCAGGCGACCGGGCGCTGCTGCCGTGCCGTGCTGTGCTGCCCTGCCGGAGCCGCGCGCGCGCCGTCACCACACAGCGCGGCTGCTGCTGCTGACTGCCGCACGCGCGGGGAAGCGGCGCTCCCTCGCCGTCGCTCACCACCTCCACCACCCCTCTTCGGCCGCTCGCGGCACACGCCCGGCTCGCACCTCTTCCTCCGAGCCTGCCCGCCGTCGCAGACATCAGCGAGACGGCAGCGCGGCTGCGTCGTTGCGCATCACTCCCTTCCGCGCCCACCCCTGACAGGCGCGCACAGCGGGCCGCACACCGGCGCCTTATCGCACCCTCTGGCTGCCGCACGTCCGTCTGCCATCCGCGCTCGCGCCTCATACGTGCTCGATCTCTTGCTGGCGCACGCCTGATCACTCGTCCGACGATCCTCTGCGCATCGCGGGTGTCTCTCTTGGTCCTGCTGCACAATGGCGCCCGCTCTCGGACCCCCGTCAGGCGGCGAGGGCAGCAGCAGCAGCGCAAGCACACTGGATGTCCCATCTGCATCGCACGTTGCCGGCGGAAGCGACAGCGTCGCCGCACCTAGCAGCAGTGCGGCACACTTCGATGGGCCCAAGCAGTGCACGCACTGCGGCGCCGCTCTCGAGGTCGAGCTAGACGAGCCCATGAGCTCCGAGAGCGGCGCCGCGCACCATGGCGATGCCAGCGGTGCCGCCGCTCCGCTCGCAGCGCCTGCTGTGCCGCCGGAGCAGCCGAGTCCGAGCGCTCGCGTCTTTGCGCCGCCCCCTCGCTCGCCAGACCCAGCTGTCGCACATGCGCCGCTTGCCGCACAGCTCTGCATCGACTGCCGCGCCAGACGAGACCTGAACCGTCTGTTCGCACCACACGTTCCCGAGGCCGCGCGTCAACTGGCGGACTTCATGGAGACGGACGCGCCTGAGCGAGAGGCCCTGGTCTCTCCACCATGGGCGCGCTGGACCTCTGCGCCGCTCAATGCGCCGGCCAGCCGCAGTCGGCATGTTTCGCCCTCACGTGCTTTCGACGCGGCCACAGCATCGATAAGCGCAGCAGCCGACGAACAACATCTGGACGTCGTAGCGCGACACTCCTCGCCCGCCGCAGCGCCTCTACTCTCGCAGCGCAGCCTGAGCTCGCAGAGCCGGGGCTCGTCAAGCGGAGGCATGGCCAGCGGCAGCAGCAGTCATGCTGCAGCAGCAGCACCTAGCATCGTGCCGACCGCGACAAGGTGGCCCTCATCGCGAGCTCGTGGCGCATCCTTTTCGCGCTCGAGCGCTCCGCATACACCCGCTGCGGCACCGGCACGTGGTGAGGCACTGGCAGTGAACCTGCCGCGCAGCGCACGGACGTCTAGCAGCAGCAGTAGCAGCAGTGTCACCGGCGAGCACGGCAGAGAGCGTCGTCCGGCAAACGAGACCAGCGCTCAGCCAGCTGCCTCGACATCCGCCTTCGGTCCGCATTTGCTTTCACGGCCACGTCTGTCCTCCGTCTCCGCGGCCGAAGCAGCAGCACCGCTCCACCTGCCGCTTTATGCGGCGCTGCAGCAACGGCGTGCGGCGCCGGATCCGCGCGCCGATATCAGTCTGCTGCGCTACCGCACGCAGGGCAAGGGATGCCTGGTGCCTGGTGCGACGTTCACGGGCACGCAGAAGAGCGGAAGGAGCAGCTATGAGGTGGGCGTGCAGATTGTGGTGAGTCAGCGGTGTCCACAAGGATGGAGAGGGATGGGCAGGGATTTGGGCCGGCGCGCCAAGCGCTTGAGACTCAGCTGCGAGTCCGTGGGCTCGAAATCCTTGCGACGTGCGAAGCGCGCTCGCGCGGTCGCACCGATGATCCGCGGCCTGCTGCTCCGTCACGTTGTGCTGGTGCCACTGGCCCACGACGCTGACTCTGCCATGCGCCTGACTCCAGAATGTCGACCTGGCCTCTTCGCACCTCTGCGGCTACCTCAACATCCGCGGCCTCACCGAGGACTGGCCGGAGCTGACGACGTTCTTCGACGCTGAAATCATCGGCGACCGCTACTCGTTCGTGACGAACAAGTGGGGCGCCAAGGAGTCGAGTGACATGACGCACTGGGTGTGTATGCCCGCTGCCTGCGCAGCAAGGGTGCGTGCAGAGCTGATTCCCGACGCTGCTCTGTAGAAACGCTTCTCGCCCTTCGGCCCGCTGCGGCGGCAGCTGGGCAAGGACGGACGCTTCAACCACCTCAACCAGCCCTTCATCTTCATGCGCTGGAAGGAGCGCTTCCTTGTGCCTGACCACCGCGTGCGCGACATCAACGGCGCATCCTTTGCTGGTGCGTGCCAGCGCAGTAAGGTGTGCTGCGCGGAGCTGACCTGCGGCTGCTCTACAGGCTTCTACTACGTCTGCGTCGAGCTGGGCGACGAGACGGCGGCCGATGCGCGGACCACGCGGAGCGGCAGCGTCGGGGACATGAGCTCGGAACCAGACAGTCCTATCGCGCACAGCCGGACAGAGACGGCAGACGAGGACTACGAGATGGAGCAGGCGCCCGAGACGGTGCCGCTCAAGGGCGGGCGCATGGTCGGCTACTACTTCCACGAGAACAGCGAGCCGTGAGTTGCCTCGCTCCGCGTAAGACGCATCCGCGCTGATGAGCCTCGCCGCACGCAGCTACCAGCAACTCACGCTGCAGCACCAGCCCGAGTCGACGTCCTCGACGTTTGAGCTGCACTAGCTGCTCTCTGCTGCCCTCTCTATTGCTGCGCGCCTCGCTCACGTCATGTCTTCACGATATCCACACGCGACATACCTCTCCCCAGTGCCTGCCCGGCACCCCGTCTCTCACGCTTCCGCACGTCTTCCCCCGAGTCTCCATCCATCTGTGCTACCACCCCGTGCCAGCTCTCGGCCCACGTCCCGCACCTCATTTGCACGTCTCCGCTTCGACTGCCGCCTCGCACAGGCGCTCTTGGTGTGCAGACGCGGTGGGGTGTGGCAGAAAGGCTGATAATACAGATGCCACCGCAGACGGCGGCGCGACACGTGCGGCAGGGCGATGCGTGTGTGGGTGCACAGAAGGAGCAGGCCGGTGCACGGCGGGACAGATAAAAGAGAGGGTGGGGTGGTGCTGGCACGGTAACGAAGCGAGCGGCGAGGAGTGGCCCTCGACGCTCGCGCAGAGGGGGCCTCAGGGGAGCTTCTCGAATGCAAAGGCAAGGTAGAGACCTGAGGAGCGGCAACGTCAGTCGTCGTCGAAGCAACAGCACACTCGTCGTGACTCACTCGCAGCTTCCCAGAGGCCCGGCGGCATGGGCAGATCGGAGTGCTGCGGACTCGGCACGCCCATCTGCCGCAGCAGGCGCGCCGCCTCGCCGCCCGCGGCGCTCTCGTCGAGCCAGACCTGCTCGAAGGTCTTGCGGTAGATCAGACGCAAGCCGACTTGCGCTGCCAGACTATTCGCAGGGTGGCAGTGTTAGCGCTATGGGCAGCACGCATCGCTGCGCCGTACACTCACGACTCGAACTCTTCAAAGTCGACGACATACTCGTCGCACTCGTCGATGGCGTCCTTGAGCCAGAAGGTGTAGCGATGTCCGAAGGGCGGGCACAGCTGCTTCTTCTCGGACTGCGCCGGGTCGAAGCGGACCTGGTAGAAGTCGTTGCCGAACGCCAGCTGCTCGCCGGGCAGGCTGGCGAGGTCGCGGCGCAGGCGATCGGCGTCGGGGATCGTGCCGAGGAAGACGCCGCCGGGCCGCAGGTAGCGCGAGACGTTCTCGAGCATGAGACGTGCCTTGGAGACGTTCTCCCAGGCGTAGTGCATGCAGAACTGCAGCGTCACGTTGTCGAAGCCCGGCGCCAGGAGCTCATGCGGGATATGTTCATCGACGGAGGTCTGCGAAGTGGGATGGAGTCAGGACGGCTGCTGCAGTCCGTCGTCTACGCTCGATCACTTACACCGAAGGCATCGAAGGCGAAGAAGGACGCCGCGAACGGCTGCCGCTTCTCGCTGTAGCGAGCACGCGCCTGCTCGATTGACTGATCCGCAATGTCTGTGCGTGCGAGTCAGCACCCAGCTCGTGACTGCATCTCCGCGTAGCAGCCACTCACCGACGAGCACAAGCTCCCGCACATTCGCCGCGGCCCACTTGCGCAGGTCGCCGCCTTTGCCGGCGCCCAAATCAAGGACACGTCCGCCTCTGCGGCCAAACTGCGAGATGATGGCGCTCTTGACCCAGTTGTTGAACTTGCGCAGCGGCAGAATCGGGCTCTCGTTGCGCGCTTCGAGGCCAGCGTCGGGCCGCGAGTTGTAGTGCGACGCCACTGCGGCAGCCGCAGCAGCAGCCGCAGCTGTGGCCATTGGATTCGGCGGCAGGCTGGCCTTGCCACGCAGCACCTTCTCCGGCCCAGCGCGGACTGCTGCAGGTGCGGCCGAGCCCGGCGGTGCGGTGGAAGGGCCCTCGATGCCGAAGCGCGCAAACATCTCCTGCCAGCCGTCGCCGCGCCCTGGATTGGCGCTCTTCCACGCAGCACGCAGCGGGTTGGTGCCAAGCGTGGCAAAGCGGGCAAGCTCGTCGCGCGACAGCGGCACGCGCACGATGCCCGGCGCAGTCACGCGCTTGGCGGCGTAGCGCGTGCGGACGGGAGGCGGCGGCGCCACGGGCTCCGGCGTGGCTTCCCGCGGAGGTGGCGGAGACGGAGGCATAGGCCGCTTGGGCGCAGAGGCACTACTGGAAGGCGCACGAGACGAGGTCGCCGGCGGGGTCGGCGAGAAGCCATTGGAGCGAGCAGCTTGTGGCGAAGGCACGCGGCGCTGTGTCGGAGACAGGCCGCGCTGCTGCTCGTGCGCTTTGGCGCCGCCGACAGAAGCCGCACCGCCATTCGTTTTGCCATGCGACGCAACTTCGCCAGTACGCAAGTCCACATCCATCGTAGCCTGCTGCTGCGCTGCGGGCGGAGCGTCTGCATTTGGCCTGGCCTTCTTGCGCGCCGCCTTCTGGCCTTCTTGCGCCGGCGTAGTCGCTGGCGATGTCATCTCGTCGAGACTCGCGACATTCCGCTTGCGGATCAGGCCGTCGCTGCCCGAGGCAGGTAGAGCGGGTCTCGGCTGCACCTCTGCTTCTGCAGCCTCTCGCAGCGCTGGGTCAGAGTGTCGATGAGGGAGCTGCGGGTCCAGCACAGCGGCGACCGCATTGCCTCTCCTCTCAATCTCCTCTCTCCTGGCCCTGCTCTGCTCCCTCTCCCTGGCCATCTCCATCTGCTGCTGCTGCTGCTGCTGCTGCGCCTGCTCGCGCGCCTGCTGCTGTTGTTGTTGCAGTCGCCAGCGTGCCTCTTCCTCCTTCTGCCGCGCCTCCGCCTGCAGCTGCTGCACTTTGGCCGCCTCCGCTTGCCTCGCATGCTCCGCTGCGGCGCCGCGCTCCCACTCCATGCGCTGCGCGCGCTCCACGCGCTCCTGCTCGGCCTCGCGCTCGCGCGCAACGAGCTCGCGCTGGCGCTGCAGCTCCATCTCCTGCTGCTGTTGCTGTTGTTGATGCCGCTGCTGCTGCAACTGGAGGTGCTGCTGTTGGTGATGACGCTGCAGCTCCTCTTCTCGCTGCAGCATCTCTGCGCTTTGCCGCCGCTGCAGCTCGCGCTGCTGCTGCATGCCTGCATGCTGCATCTGCTCCTGGCTCACCCTGCGCGGTCCGTGCATGGGCCGGCCAAGCTCAGGCTGTCCGCCGCCTGGCGACGCGAGCCACGGATAGCCGTGCGCAGCTGCGGCAGCGGCATCGCCGGGCGTCAATGGCGGAGCATGCTCGCCGGAGCCGACGGGCGTCAGCGGCGTGCGTGGCACCATGGTGGGCGCATAGGCGAAGAAGGAGCTGCCGGGCGTCGTCGGGTACGGCGAAGCGCTGTGTGGACCAGCGCCTTCATGTCCGCTTCGTGGAGGCGGCGACGCAGCATGCAGAGGCGGCAGCGCCGCACGCCGACTCTCAGGGCTGCGTCGCGGCAGCTCAGGCACGGCAAAGTCGCCCGACAGCCGATGTGGCTGCGCCGCTGCTGGCCGGCCGGCGTCCATCGACATGAGCCGCGGCGGCCGACGTGCATCGGTCTGTGGACTCAGGATGACGCTGGCGCCAGCAAAAGCAGGGCCCCCGCTGCCGAGCAGCGGCGAGCTGTTCGTGTGATGCCGGTGCTCAAGACGTGCAGAGGGCATGCGCGGCGAGTGCTGCTCCATGCCCACTGCGCCGGCACCGCCAGTGAAGCGCGCCGAGTTGGAGCTGCTGCTGCGTGGCCGCGAGTCTTCGAGCGCGCCAGGTGTGCCGGCGTTGAGGATGCTAAAGAGCGACGGCGAGCGTTCGGTGCGCTGCATGCCGCCCGGCGTGCCGCCGATGCTGCCGGAGCGCGGTGCGTCGTGCGGCGGCAGCAGCGAGTGCCGCTCGGGCGGCGAGGCGTGCGGCCCGCGCATGGGCGGTCCGGGCGCCGGCGAGAGGCGCGGCGCCGTCGACGCAGCACTGCCGCCGCTGGAGCGGCGTACGAGCGGCGCATGCTCCTCGGAGTTGAGCATGTCGGCGATGCTGGCGCTGCGCGATGCCCGGCCGCCCGGCGGCGCCGGCGCATGCTGTGCCGCGCTGGCGCGAAAGGAGTCGGCGCTGGGCGTGCGCGAGAGGGGCCGCGAGTAGGCCGTACCGCCGCTGCCGCTGCCGTAGGCGTGCGCCGGGCCCGGCTCGGGCGGCGCCATGGGCGAGGAGAGCGGGTGCGGCGCATGGTGCGAGGGTGCTGCGGGGCCGTCGAAGCGCATGGCATGCGTGCTGCCGCTGCCGCTGCCACTCGCAGTGCTGGCCTGGCTGTGTGCGCTGCTGCCGTGCCGAGGCAAGGCCGGCCGCGGCGGCGACGAGGGCGCCGCATCGCGCACGGGATCGAAGCCGGCGGGCATGCTGGGCAGCAGCTGCGGCGGCGCGGCGCTCGGCCCTGCTCAGAGCAGCAAGATGCGCCGCAGGTGGTGCTTGCACGTGCAGCAGAGCGAGACGGCGTCGACTGCGGCTTTATTGTGCGCGATGCATGGCGCAGTGGAGCTGAAGGGTGAGAGTGTGGCCTGGCAAGCCGGAGCGAGAAGGATGGTGGTGGTGTGGGAGGAAGAGCGACAGACGCGCGCATCGGCGTGCGTCGCGCTCGCAGAAGCGCTGCTGCCAGCGACCAAGACGCGCCTGCCGAGCACCAGCACAAGAGACCGATGCCGTGCCTGGGCCTGCGAAGGCGGCGCGCGCGCGGCGCTTCGCACGGTCCGGTACCACACACCTTCGCGTCCTCTCACACCACCCACCTCAACGCGCCTCGCTCTCCGCCGCCTGCGCCCGTGCCATGGCCTCGCCGCTCGCCTCGCCGCTCGAGGCCCGCAACGGCAGCGGCAGCAGCGGCGCAGCAGCAGCAGGGCCGAGCAGCAGCAGCAGCAGCCATGCCGCCGCCTCGCTCGGCCTCGGACATGCCTCCACGCCGCCCGCTCGCCGTCCAAGTGCCAGTGCCCGCCTCTACTCGTCGCGCCTGCGCGCCGGCGCCGCAGCCCACGCCAGCGGCGCAGACGAGGCCCTGCTGCGCTCGCTCGACGACGCGCCCTCGCTCGCACACTGGCTCAACGGCGCCCTCGCTGCTCAGCCTGCGACACGCCCAGAGGGCTCCAGCAGCAGCGGCGATGCCACGCCGAGCGGCAGCGGCAGCGCCGTGCCGTCGCTGGCCGCGCTCGACGAGCACCTCTCGCGCCTGACGCTCTCGATGGGCGAGGCGCGCGCCGGTGCCACGGCCGCCATCGACGACGTCCTTTCGCACACGTCGGCCTCACTGCCGCGCCTCGGCACGCAGCTGCGCCTCGTGCGCGACGGTGCCGTGCAGCTGAGCGAGCGCATCGACGCCGTGCGCCAGGCGGCGGGCCTGCAGCCGCCGCAGCTGGCAGCGGAGGCGACGCAGTCTCCGCAGCCGAATGGCACGCACACGGAGGAGGGGCAGGCCGTTTCGACCTCGGCGCAGCCGACCGACGCTGCCGAGGCTCTCTCCCGGCTCGCGGCGCTGTACACGCTGCGTGCACGCATGTCCGCAGCGCGCGACGTGCTGCGTCTGGCCGAGTCATGGTCGACACTGGCGCCCGACGTCACCTCGCACCTCTCCGAGGAGAAGCACGTGGCTGCGGCATCGCGTCTCGCCGAGGCGGCCGCCTCGCTGCCCGTCTTTGAGCGCACGCCCGAGTACGAGGCGCGCGCTCGGCTGCTCGCCAGCCTCACCGATGCGCTCGAGGCGCAGCTGCGCCCGCAACTGCTGCGTGCCGCAGAGGCAAAGGATGTGCAGACGGCGGCACGCTGCGCAGATGTGCTGCGTACCGTCGGCCGCGCCGACGAGTTCGCTGCTCTGTGGCGCCGCACACGCTCGGCTGCTGTGGTGCAAGCATGGAACGAGGATGCGGCGGCACAGTCGGCTGTGGCGCGCTTGCAACAAACGTGGCCAAACCTCATTGAGCAGCTGGCCGACGTCCTCGAGGAGGAGTGCACCTTTGCGCCGGTCCTCTTTATCCAAGATCCACGCAGCGCACTTGAGGCGCTCCTCGTCGGCGCCTTGCAGGAGCTCGAGCCGCCATTGGCAATGACCATACGCAATGCGGCAGACTCGAGCGGCGAGGCTGCACTCGAGGTGCTGTTACGAGCGTATGGCCTGGCCAGCAGCGCAAGCTCGCGCTGGTCAGCCATCCTGGCGCGCCTGGCCGCAGCAGCAGCAGCGGAGTCGCCATCGGCAGCGGCAGGCGCTCAGCTCTCGCCGCAGATTGCACTGCAAGTGTCGCCCTTGCCGATCTCGCCCGGTAATGCCGGTCTCGAGCCCACTGCCAGCCCTTCGCGGCCATCGACGCACGCAAGGCGCAACTCGTCCATCAGCGTCAGTCGGCGCAGTTCAAGGCGGGTCAGCGTACTCGGCTCGCTTGACACACGCCGCACGTCCCTCGAGCCCGCAGAAGGCCCGTCGCCCGGCGGCGCAGGCGCGTCGTCGGCCGTGCCAACACCCGCGCTCGGCGTTTCGCTACGCCGGCCTGCTGCTTGGGAGAGCATGCTGTGGACGCCTTTCCTCGAGCATCAGAGCATGTACGGCGCCCTGGAGAGCCGAGCACTGCAAGCTGCATGGCAGCGCGGCGCTGCAGCACGACGCAGTGCGCATCCTGAGGGCGCTGCCAGCGCCGCGGGCTTTGCGGGCGAGCTCGAGGCTGCCATCTGGCTTTGCTCCGAAGCGACAAAGCGCGCGTTGCGCTTTACCTTCGGCCTCGGCCTGCCCTCTCTGCTGACGGCGCACGATGAACTTCTCTCGCACTTGCTCGAAGTGGCACGCCAGGCGCTCGAAGAGACGGCACGCGCCTCGATGGAGGCGTCTCGCGCACGTGCTGCGGCGCTGCTTGAGGCGGACGAGGAGACGTACGGCTATGGCGAGGGCGAGGAGTGGGCGGCATTTGAGCAGGGCGTCGCCATGCTCCGTGCGGCGCGGACGGCGCAGAACAAGCTCGACTCGCTCGAGGAGGAGACGGCCGCCTCGAGCGCCAACATCGCTGCTGCCGTCCTTGCGGCCGGAACCAAGCCGGGCGAAGAGGCTCTCGCCCGCGTGCTGGAGCACAGCGAGAAGAGCTCAGAGGCCGCACTGGCTATCCTGCTCGCTCACACCGATGTCGACGCTCCCGCTCTGCGCTCCGCATGCGAGGCGGTGCGCGTCCACATGGCCAGCCGCGCCTCGCGAGCGGCATTGACGAGCGGCAGCAGCGAGGCACGCAAGGCTTCCTCAAACGGCCTCGGGAGTGCAGCACCGCCGCCGTCTGCGCGCAGCAGTAGCCAGGTCATCGCCTCTGCCCTTCTTCCACGGGCCCGCAGTGCACTGCGTGCTCATGTGCGGGCACTGCAGCGCGCTCAGTGCGACGTCGTGCTTGCGCCTCTGCTGCCCGCGCTCGAGGCGTACAGCGCGCTGCCGGCGTGGCAAGCCTCGCGCCTGCCGGGCGCGGCGAACGAGTACGACCTCGCCATGCCCACCTTCTCCGTCAGCCACAGCCGCACGATGGGGCGCGTCGGCGAGGGCCTGTTGGATCTGCCGCGCCTGCTCGAGGTGTGGGCCGCAGACGAGGCGCTGGGATGGGCACTCGAGGCACTGCCCCATGCGATGGAGGATGAGGCTTTCGCCGGCGCAGCGCACGATGGCCTACCCGACTCGCCGGCGCGCTCAGAGGTCACGCATGGGAAGAGCAGCAAGCCGCCCATCGCATCGCCGTCGTCGGAACGCCGAACACATCGCGCCAGCGCCTCCATCGCCGCCATTGCCACCTCTGCGCCTGCGCCCGGCGCCCCTGCGCCGCAACCCCTTTCGAGCCACGTCGCTGCCGCTGTGCCCGAGCCTGTGACGCCCGCCGTGGTGCTGCAGGCCTATCTGCGAGCCCTGGCACTCACGCTGCTGGCACACATCACCGACGTGGTGCTGCCTTCCATCGCCGCGCTCAGCGCAGCAGGCGCCGCGCAGCTCGCGGCAGACCTGGACTATCTCGACAACATCCTCGCCTCGCTCAACGTCGACTCGCAGGCGCGTGGCCTGCGCGACTGGCGCGATGCCGCGGCACTGCCGGACGCAGAAGGACGAGCATTGAGTCGCGCTCGCAGTGCGGAGGATCCCGAGAAGAGGCGGTTGGCGCAGAGCGATGCGTTCGACGCGGTGGTGCAGATGCGAGGCTGGAGCTAGGGCGAAGCATGTCATCCTTCCTCTCTCACTCTCGTGGATGACAATTGCATGCCTTGCCGAGCAGAATTAGAGTTGTATGATGCTCGCTCGTCACGCCGCTGCACTTCACGTCGAGGCCCCTCACTCGTCCCCAAAGTCGCCGCCATCGAGATCCTTCGGCTCTTTTGGCTCCTGAGAGGGAAGTTATTGCAAAGCGGGGAAGAGGCCATGCGTGGTCAGAGGCAGGCTCTGCGACGGGGGAGCTGCAGCAGGAGCGGCACGACTCACCTCGTCCTCGCCGTACTGCATCGCATTGTCCACGTGGCTCAGTAATGACCCGACCGAGTCCTCGTCTGTCGAGTCGAGCGGCATGAACGAGACCATGGAGAAGTCGTCGATCTAGCAGCGCAAGGGGGGGGGGGGAGGGCAGCAGTCAGTGCGCCGCTGCAGCATGCGCTCCTGAGACCAAGAGCCACGCACGAGCTGCACGAGTGCTTGGTTCAAGGCATGGAACTTGGGATTTGTCCGCGAGTTCGCCTCTTCGACGAGCAGCAGAGGATCTGGATCCAGATACCTGTGAGCCCGAGGCTCCGTCAGTGGTGCGCCCATGTGCCGGTGTGCGAGTGGAACGAGGCACGCTCTGCTGGCGCCATGTCCCGCTAGCTGCCCTCTCGCCGCCCTCGCCTCGCTGCAGCACGCAAGGCGCACTCACCGCTGCAGCTCTCTGCGATTCCTCCCGCCCTGCGTCTTCTCGCCCGTGTCGCCGCTCTTGACGAGGTCCATCTTGCTCATGACGTTGATGCAGGCGCAGTCGAGGTTGATCATGCTGCTCATGGCGCTCATGACGCCGGCAAAGTACTTTGGCGCATCGTCGATGAAGTTGCTCTCGAGCAGGTAGAGCGAGCAGAGGCGGAAGTTGTACGTCGTGGTGAGGATGGACAAGAGACGCGTGATGAGCGGCGTGTGCGTGTACAGCTCAATTTGGCCTGCGGGAGGTGTGAGAGAGGCGGAGGTAGGGGGAGAGACGGTCGGCGCACCGGGACAGTCGATGATGATGTAGTCGTCGTCGAATGCGCCCAGTTGCTCCTCGAGCCAGTCGAGATTCTCCAGCAGATACCTGCACAGCTCACGTCAGGCCAGCTGCACCGAGGAGAGCACTAATGACAGAAGGACAAAGACTGTGATGGCACGCCATGCAGAGCTCTGGCAACGCAGATCATCCCCCCCCCCCTCTCTCTCCCCTGCACGTCGCCTGCACTGTCCACCTCTCCGTCTGACCCAGTAGCGCCGAGCTCGCATCGCTCTCCTCGCCGCGACTGCACTCACTCGAAGCAGTACACCAGCCCACCATTCGGACCGAGGCCCATCTCCTCCATGACGTCCGCCAGCGACACGAGCTCGCGGATGTCGATGGCGGGCGCATACTCAAAGTGCTCGGCGGCGGGGTCGAGGTTGAAGAGATGCACGTTGCGCCCGGCGGAGTGGGCGTGCGTGATGAGCGCGCTGCAGAGCGTCGACTTGCCGGAGCCTGCGGGGCCCGTGACGAGGACGGCGTAGCGACCCATAGCGAAGGAGATGGTGGAGGTGAGGCAAGACAAGCGAGGAAGCGGGGGCGCGCCTGAGGGGAGGGGGCCGCCGCCAAAAAGCGAGCCGCGGCCCAACTCGCGCGCCTTCCTTCTCGCCTCGCCCTCGCCGCATCTTGCCTTCCCGCCTCCACCTCCCTCTTCTCAGCATGTCCTCGTCCGCCAGCTCCTCCACGCCCGGCTCGCCCACGCTGCCGCCGTCGCGCCTCGGCACAAAGGCGCACTGGGACGCCGTGTATGCGCGCGAGGTGGCCAACTTCCGCGAGAATCCTGACGACGAGGGCGAGGTGTGGTGCGTCGCGCCGTCTGGCGGGCCTGCGCCGCGTGCGACTGACTCTCGCCTCGCTTCAGGTTTGGAGAGACGGCCTCGCGCCGCATGATCGCCTCTCTGCGCTCGCTGCTCGCCAACAACAGCCTCGAGGCGCCTTTCAGCGTACTCGACCTCGGCACGGGCAACGGGCTGCTGCTGCACACGCTGCTCGACGCAGACCTCACGCCGCCGGCGCGCATGATGGGCATCGACTACTCCGAGGGCAGCGTCACGCTGGCACGCGAAGTGGCCGAGGCGAGAGGAGAGGGCGCCGAGGAGATCAGGTGGGCGCAGTGCGACTGTGTGGACGATGAGGAGGCGGTCAAGCGCCTGGGAGAGTGGGATGTGCTGCTTGACAAGGGCACGGTGAGTCTGGTCGCGGCTAGTGTGCATCTGAAAGGGGCTTGAGGAGGGGGAGCGCTAGCAGGCGGTCAGGCGACTGGGCGATGGCACTGCGAGCGATGCCTATGGCGGAGCAGCGGGAGGAGAAAGGCAGATCGGCTGCGTCCGAAGATCGAGAAGGGCGAGCAATCGTCGTGCTGTCTCACGACGGCAAAGCCTTTCAGGCTCGCTCTGCGGATCTCAAGATCCTCTCGTCTCTTGCACAAGAGAGACTGCTTCTCGCACTCTGTCTCGCAGACCCCTGCCGCCTGCACGCTTCGCTCGACGCCGGGCTCCGGCGCAAGAACGAGGCTCATTGCACGGCACGAGCGTTCCCCGTTCACCTGCCTCTCACTCTCTGCACGAGCTGATCTCCTTCTTCTCCAGCTGGACGCAATAGCTCTCTCCTCGCATGCCTCTGTGCGCTCCTACATCCGCAGCACGCGCACCCTGCGCGGTGCATCCGGCATTCTTCTCCTCACCTCGTGCAACTTCACGCTCGAGGAGCTCAAAGCCCTCTTCCTCGACGACGCGGAGGGGAAGAAGGATGAGATTGAGGAGCTGGAGGAGGACAAGAAGCCGAAATTCTCGTTTGGTGGAAAGACGGGGAATACGACGACGGCGGTGCTGGTGCGGAGAAGGAAGGAATGAGATGGATTGACGTCGGATCTGCGCCTGCGTGAGGTGGAGAAAGAGCGACCCAAAGGTGAGTGTTGTCGGTCGAGTGCATCCCTGATCGCGGCAGCAGCTTCGCTTTCCCAGCATGCAGCATGCAGGCCTCACCGTCAATTTTCTGATCGGGCCCTGCGAGCCTTTTGCTGCAGCTGAGGCTGCGAGCATAGGCCAAGACAATAGCAGAGCATGGTCGCACGGGCCCGCCATCGAGGCCGCTGTGCCTGCAGTATGGGCAAGTGCGACTTGCTCAGGGCGCCGTGGAGCGTGTCTCGCCTAGGCCTTGGCGTTCGTCCCGCCAGTCGGGCCTCTGCTTGGCCAGAGAAAGGGCCTCTGTCGAATTGCAAGGACGACGATCTGCCAGTGCAGGTGACATGCGTTTCGCAGCTCGCTCGACGCTCTACGTTTCAGCCAAGGGCTAGACCAGACTTGACTCGCAAGCGAGGCTCACCAGCAGGCAGGACAGCGATGACCTGTTGCGTACACATGATGATGCCTCGTTGCACCGCCCCTCGTACCTCGAGCACAGCCTCATGCTGGGCTTCTCACCAAAATGAGCGGCTTGCCGTGCGTGCGGCACCCAGTCGCTCATGTGCCCTCATCGTGAGCTTATCTGTATCGACCGGGAGCCCAGGCCGGTCTTCGAGAAGAATTGCGGTATCCAGTGCAGCATCAGGTGCAGGGCGATGGCCCGGCAAGCAGTCCGAAGCACATCGGCTGCGACTGCAGCCTCCGCCTGAAAGGCCCATCACTTCATCTGACGAGCTGAGGAGTGGTCTGAAGGAAGTGTAACCTTAGGCCGCAGCCTCGTTAGCTGCAAAAGCAGGGCGACCCATAGCGGCATGCCGCCTGCCGCTTTGCCGCAACAGCGTGCAGCGCTCAGCGATGCAAACGACAGCACGCAGTTGCAGACGCAGGGCGGCAGACGACGGATGGCCGAGATGCCGCTGCACCCTGCACCCTGCCAAGCAGGGCAACAGACTGGCCGCGAGCCACATGCGAGCAGAACGTTCGTAGCAAGGCAGATCGGAGCTCGGCATCGATCTGCCTCTGTCCGCCAACGGCTTGATGTGAGGAGAGAATGCGTGAGAGCGCGTCTGCATGGCCGCAAGCACCAGCACACTGCTGCTGCAGCTGGGCGGCCGGTAGCAGCTATGGAGTGCAGGTCAGGTCGCAGCTTGCGGATACACATCGATGCGGCATGCGATGCGGCTGGCCCGATGCGCTCCCTCGCCCGCCCCTGGGTGCTGCGAGCCGCTGATCAGCTCATTTCACGGCACATCGGCCCGTCCTGCGCCGCTGCATCAGCTTGCAGCGCTGTCGGGAGGACAGCCGTGGGCAGCAGCGCTCAGAGCACCGAGTGCGAGCGTGGCGCAGAGATAGGTCGTGCGATGCGGCGCAGGATTGCGGAGGATGGGCGAAGGCAAGCATCACCTCGGGCCGCGACCGGCCGGCGGCGCCCCTGTCCCGCAAGCGTGCCGGCTAGCGGTGCCTAGCTCCGCCTTGCTTGCATGTGCCAAGTCGAGATCTGCGCGCTGCTGCGAGCAAAGGTAGAGTCTGCACGAAGATATGCCCGTCTGCCGCTCGCGCGAGGAGGTTGCATGAGGGAGAGTGAGGGACGGCGCTGCATGCACCCTGATGCGGGCGCAGCATGCGGCGCAGCGGCATCGGCCGTTGGGCGCAGCGGGGCGCCGCTTTAGGCTTCGCGTGGGCGCAGCGGTGCGGCGCCCCTTGACGCGTGACATGGCGCGTCGCTTGCTTTTGCGCGTCCCTCCAAGGGCTGCAAGCGGCTTGCGCGTGTGGCTCTTGCCGTCGCAAAGCTCCTGAGTCAGGTCGGCGCAGGAGTGCGTGCTGCAAAGCACCAGCGGCTCGCCGGCTTTCCTGCTGTGACTGCGATGCTGCTCGCTGCATGCTGGGGCTGTGCACTCTGTGGGGGGCGGCGGCGGCGGCGGTGGCGACATGCCGCGAGCGGATCTCTGCTGCTCCAGCCTGCTGCGCGCTGCTGCAGCGGGCTGCTGCTCACGCTGTTCATCTGCGGCTGAGGCTGTGCCAGCCTTAAATCAGAGAGTTGAGCTTCCTCAGCGGCAGCAAGGCGAAGGCAAATCTGCCGCAGACGAACAGGCACGCCGGGGACAGGAGCCTCGACGCCCATGCAACGGCCCGGCGCAACGGATGATCGCCCACTTTAGGGAGCGGAGGCGCAAGCCGCTAGAGCAAAGTAAGAGTCTAGTGCCCCTCGCGGGAAGCGGCTTTCCCGGCCCGCAGCCGCTCCTCAAGTCCGCAGCGTGCATGCGGCAGCGCTGCAACACTCTCTGCGCCCCATCGAAGCCCTCGGGTGCTGCTGCTCTCGGGCCGAGAAGGGCACTTCAGCCTTTGCCCTCCGTCAGTGCTCGGCGCAATCGGCGGCGTCGGCCCGCTGCGCCCGCACGAGAGACCCCAATTACGGGTTGCCGCACGACGCACCCTCCGCCCAAGCTCCTCGGGAGTGCTGACGCCGCCGTCTCTGGCTCGCCTTGTGCCCAGACCCGACGGCGCGGGCATCACAGCAGCGAAGATGCAGGAGAATCCGGAGCGCTAGACGCCCTCGCGATGCGGACCGCTCGAAAGCATAAGAAGCGCGCCTCTCGCCTCGTCTCCCCATCTTTCCCTCCATCTCCTCCTCTCCAGCTCTCCCACTCCCAGCCTTGCCTCTCTCACTCCCGCCTATCTCTCTACTCCACTCCCTACAACGACTCAAGCCCAGCGCACCAAGCCACTCGCCGCCATGCACTTCGCCAAGCTCCTCACGCTCGTCGCGCCCTTCGTCGCCGTCGTTGCTGCGCTGCCGCACGCCGGCTCGGAGCTGCAGACCCGCGGCTACACCTACACGCCTGCCGACTGCACTGTGGGTCCATCGGGAGCATCAGCCTCTACTCTTCATACTGACTCCTCGCTCGTAGCCCATCTACGCCGTTGGCTCGGCAAACGCAAACCTTCAGCTCTCGGCAAAGGTCGATGTGCTGGGCGCCATCGACAGCCTGGCCGGTGCGCTGCAGGGCGTCGTCGCCGGCATCACTGCCAAGGTCGATGTGGCCGTCCAGCAGACGGTCCACGACGCTGTGCTCGACGTCGAGTTGGCTCTGAAGGCGGCTGCCAGGTGAGTCGCATCCTCTGTCCGCTGCGTGGTGTTTGCTCACATGCCTCTTCGCACAGCGTTACGGCGACCATCAAGGCTCAGACCGAGGCTACGGTCAAGCTGACGGCTGCCGAGGTCGACGCGGCCGTCAAGCAGGCGCTCGCCGCCTCCATCGCGCAGATCAACGGCGTGCTCGCTGCTTCCATCAAGCTGCAGGGTGCGTGTTCTTGCCCCTCGCCGCCGTGTATCACCCTGCTCACTCTCTCTATCAGCTGTCCTGCGCGCCGACCTCGACGCCGCCTACGCGCAGATCTCGCAGTACATGTCCGCCATCACGCTCGACCTCACCACGCTCGTCGGCGGCTCGCTTGCCATCCTCGGCGACCTGCGCGTCCTCGCCGGCATTGCGACGATGCTCGGCGGCGCCGGCTGCGGCTGCGGCGGCTTTGCCGACACGCTCTACCTCAACCTGCGCCTCGACAACAACGTCGTGCCCGTCGTGTGCAACCTGCTCGGCTTCGTCGTCGGCCAGCTCGAGACGACGCTGCGCACGCTCCTGGCGCCGTTCGCCCTCAAGACGGGCGTCAAGCTCGGCGCGGGCCTGCAGATCAGCGCGGCGCTCAAGTCGACGCTGACTCTCCTCACCGGCACGTGGCACTAGAGGCACGGCTTCTCGCCTTCGCCGTCGCCCGTCTCTTATGTCTCCCACCCTCCGGTCACCTTATTCCCCCTCGCCGTCGCGCTCCTCTCGCCTCGGCCCCACCTTCTCCTTCTCCGCGCACGTGCACACACCCACGTAGCCGCCTCTCGGCCGCCCGCGAGTCGAGCGCCTGTCGCACTCTAGACCACCCATAGATTGCACCCACTCAGCGCCGCTCCTCGCCCGCCCGGCTTCCTCGTCTCGGCATTGCAATCGTCATCTGTCTATCCCACCTTGGCGTGTGCATCTCGTGAGGTGTCGGCGAGAGTGTCGAGTATCATCGAGATGCAGGTGAAAGTGCTGCTTGCGTTGTCTGCTCCACTGCTTGCTCAACCCGCAGCGCCTTGTCGACACGTGCTGCGTCGCCGGTGATGAGCGGTGACTTCTCTGGCTCGCTGGCCCTCTGACTCGCTTAGCATGCCCCAGCGTCACTTCCTTCGCAGATGCGCAGCAGAATCAAGCCAGCAAGTCCAGCTCCTCCCTGGACCCGGCGCTCAACTTCTCGCCGCACAGCGCGCGTGGGATGCACGGTCGGCACTGGGCGTCCAGGAGGCACTTTGCTGCGCCCACGACGCCGCCTCGCCGTGGGACCCTTGCACAGCCCATGCAGCTGCTTCTTCCAGTCAAGCACCGTCGCTCGAGCCACAGTCGAGCCAGCAAAGCTGGCTGGAGCTGTGGTACAGCATGCACGTGCGACTCTGCGGCTGTGCAAGATCTGCAGGCGGCAGCGAGACGCCAAGACGATGCACGGCGCGGCGCACGTCGCGGCGCGCTTGAGGTTGCGGGCAGCGGAGCGGCGGCACGACGGCTGCGGCGCACAGCCACGCCTCGCCCGCCTCCACGCTGCACAGCCAGCGGTCACTCTCAGGCACGCCGGCGAGGCGGTCACTTAAGAACGCCGACGAGGCCCGGGCACCTGCTTCCGCACCACACCTGCCTTCTCTCCGCAAACCGGCTTCAGCGCATCTCTCTCTGTCTTCAGCGCGCATCAACCTTCCTTCTCAGCAGCTCGCCCACACCACACCGCCGCAGCCATGGCCGACCAGATCGGCTCGATTCCCACCATCAATGGCAGCAGCGTCACCTTTCTCGCCGTCATCGCCGCGGCCGTCGTGCTGCTGATATTGATCTGGGTGGGCTGGTGCTGGTGAGTGTGAAGTGCGAGCAGCTGGGCGGGCGGAGAAGGGAGACCAGATGACGAGAGAAGGGCGCGGCCAGGGCTACGATGCCGCACAGCGTCTGTGCACGCGAAGAAGTGCGGCGCCGGTGCGGCCCTGTCTCTCGATGCTGGCGTATTGAGAGGGGGAGGGGGGTGCATCCTCTGCCTTGCATGCCGTCGCCTTACTGCAGCCCTGCGCTTCCTGCTGCAGAGAGCTGACCCCTCTCGCTCCAGCTGCAGGCGTCGTAGCAGGCGCAACCGTCTCACGCGCGCCAGCAAGGGCAACAACCTCAGCACCCTCCATCCCACACCGCACGCCGGCGGCAGTGGGCGGCGCGCCGGCTTTGCGCCGTTGGGCCAGCACGACGACGACGAGGCCTTCAATGCCGCACCTTCGCCGCGCGCCTCGCACGACATCGAGTACGCCAACCCCTACGCGCAGCGCTACGCCGGCTACGACGAGCCCGGCACGGCGCCCGGCCTCGGACGCGCCGCCTACCCGCCCGCGCCTGCTGCAGCGCCGTCTCAGCGCAGCTACGGCCACCAGCCGCAGCAGTCGAGCTACTCGCAGCCGCGGCGCGAAGAGGGCAGCCAGTACGAGGCCTACCCGCCGGCCGCCAGCCACAGCTACGCCGGTAGCACGGCGCCGTACGGCAGCAGCGCGCCCGACAGCACCGGCTACGTGCCGCCGCCGAGCTCGGCCAGCGTGCGCCAGGGCTCGCAGCTGTCCTCGCCCACTGCTGCACCCTCGGTGCCGCACTCGCATCAACATCTGGCGCACGCCAAGGCGACGGACGCGTCTGCCTACCCTACAACACGCGCAGGCGAGAGCTCAGCAGCGCCGTACGACTCGTACTCTGCAGCGCGCTCGTCCTCGGCCGCACACGCACCGCAGCAGCCGTACCCTGCCGCAGGCAGCAGCAGCATGCCGGCAGCACCGTACGCTGCCGGCCCGACGTCGCCCATGACCGACGCGCCGCCGCCGGAGTACGACTTTACGACGGGCGCCGCCGCCTCGGGCGACCGCAAGCAGGGCCTGCACTAGATGTCCGCGTTCCTCTCCCGACCCCGTCTCTGATCTCCGGCCCGACCAGTATATGATTCCCGCGCTAATGCATCGATGCGACATGCACCTCGGGCGAGACTGTGATCGGCGAGAGCTGTATTGCGGAAACGGAACGGATCAGGCAGAAGTGGTGGAGGTAAGATTACACAGATGGGGCGTGAGGGACATGGGCACATGAGGGAGATTAAGAACGTCTTGCTTCGAGCCCCGTTTTGGTGATGCGGAGAGCCGGAGAGGGGGAGCAAGCGAGCGACACGTCACGGTACAAGCCCTTGAGGAACGAAGAAGTGAGAGAGAGCCTGGGTCCGAGAAACGAAGGTGTGTGTGTGTCGAGCGAGGGCGGACGACATCCTGAGAGAGGCGTGAAGGAGCCTCTCCCTCTAAGGGAAGTCGTCGCCGCCCGAGTTGCGGCTGCCGAAGCGCGAGCCGCCGCGCGAGTTGCCAAAGCGGTCGCCGCCGCGCGCACCGCCGCCGAAGCGGTCGGCGCCCGAGGCGCCAAAGCGCGACGAGCCGCCGCGGTCCTCGCCGAAGCGAGAGCCGCCGCTGCTGCCCTCGTCGCTGAAGCGCGAGCTGCCGCCCGAGTAGCTGTCACGCCCGCCCGCGTAGCTGTCGCGTCCGCCGAAGCTGCCTCGTCCGCCGCGGCTCGAGCCGCCGAAGCCGCCACGGCCGCCGCGCGCCGCCTGGTATCCGCCATGGCCGCGCTCGCTGTTGTAGCTGCTGCCGGAGCTGCCGAATCTGGAACGGCCGCCGCCACTCCGGCCTCCCGACCTGACGCCGAGCTTCTGCAGGAAGGACGGACTGAGATACGGCGCCTCGGGCATGCCCATCGCGTCGGTGGCCCACGACTTGAGGCCGTCAATGACGCCCTCCTTGCTGATGCGCAGGTCGTTGGACCGCCCGATGTAGAAGCCGAGCTGCGACATGAAGCACTCTTCAATCTCCAGCGGGTCCAGCGAGGCCACGACGGCCTCGACGGCGGCGTCGAGCTGCTCAGTGACGCTGCTCTGCATCTCGCCCTGCGGGGCGAAGCGCGAGGCGTACGCAATGCGCTCCGGCTTTGGCGTCGAGCCGCCAAAGCGGCCGCGTGCCTTGTTCTCGCGGCCGATGCCGCGCGGCGGCGGGTTGTGCATGAGGTGCAGCACGTCCGCCGGCACGATGGACGACGGGTCCGCGTCGTACGAGGCCGCCAGCTTGGCCAGCTCCGTCTCGAGAGCCGCGACGCTCATCTGCTGCACGGGCAGGTCGCGCACCATCTCGAGCATGCCCGCCTCCCAGTCCAGCAGCACAATGTCGCCGCGGCCATCCTTGCCGGCACGGCCCGTGCGGCCGATGCGGTGGATGTACTGGTCGCCGCTGCCCGGCGCGCCCACCTGGATCACGCGCGTCGTGCCCGGGTAGTCGACGCCGCGCGCCGACACGTCCGACGAGACGAGGATGGCAGCGCCGCCCTGGTCGTACCGGAAGGCGTCGGAGGCCTGGGTGCGTTGCCGCTGGTCCTTCTTCGAGTGGATGTCGTAGACGTGCGTGCCGCGGCCGCTCGCCGGCATCGCGGCCAGAATGCGCGGGTCAGTGAAGACGCGCGTGAGCAGCCGCGTGAGCGCCGTCGTTGGCGCAAAGACGATGATCTTGCTCTTGCCCGGGTTACTGAGCTGGTCGTGGGCCACAAGGCGCATGGTGTGCTTCAGCTGGTCGGCCGGCGACTCGAGTACAGTGGCGAACTGCGGGATGCGCTTGTGCACGTTCTCCTCGCCCGCCGGCACGCAGTCGACGAAGCGGTGATTCGGCGCAAGCGTGAGCTTCGTCACATCGCGGATCTCGCGCGAGACGGTGGCGCTGAAGAGCATCGTGTTGCGCTGCGACGTCGGCGGCAGGAAGTCGGTGATGGCCTTGATGTCGTCGCGGAAGCCCATCTCGAGGAGCGTATCGGCCTCGTCGAGCACAAGCGTCTCGCATGCCAGCATGGCCTCACGGATCATCTTGTCATCGTTCATCAGGTCAAGCGCGCGGCCGGGCGTGGCGACGACGATGTCGGGGCGGCCGCGGCGCCACTCGCTCAGCTGGCGCGAGCGTGACTCGCCGCCGACGAGGAGGTGCACGCCGAAGCCCTTGTGGTGCGACGTCAGCTTCGTTGCCTCGGCAGCGATCTGCGACGCGAGCTCGCGCGTGGGCGAGAGGATAAGGGTGCCGACGGTGTTGCTCGTGTACTGACGCGCCACCTCTTGCCGGCCGTGCTTGTCGAGCGCGGCAAAGTCCAGGTCCGGGCGGTGGCGGTCGAGCACGCGCTGCCAGGCGGGCGAGAAGCGGCCGCGCTCGACGTTGTAGATGGCCGCCACGCGCGCCTCGACGGCCGGCGTGAGGAAGGCAATCGTCTTGCCCGTGCCGGTGCGCGCCTTGACGAGCATGTCACGGCCCTTGCCGTCGCTCATCGTGCCGCCGACGCTCTCGGCGAGCTCGGGCAGCAGGTGCAGCACGGCCTCCTGCACGTCCGACATGCGCTCGTAGCCAAACGGCGACACGGCGAGCGCCTTCCACGTCGAGTAGTCGAGGTGCGGCTTGAGCGAGGCAAACGTGGCGTCGCGCGGCGGCACGGGCTTGCCGTCGGCGCTCAGGTTCTCGTCGGCCGGCGGCGCCGGCTCGCTCTGGGCCACCGCGGCTGCCAGGCCGGCTTCAGCACGGCGTGCCGAGGTGGAGAAGGCCAGCATGCTGGCACGCAGCGCACTTGGCGCGGCAGGGGCCAGTGCGCGGACGGGCAGCGCAGCGACACGGCCGGCGGCGGTGAGGCCGAAGGCGGCGCTGCGCGGCGCACTGCGCAGGGCAGCGCCGAGGGCGCGGCGGGGCAGCATGCTGGGAGAGGGCGCGGCGGAGAGAAGCCGGAGCCAGAAACGGAGCCGGAAGGGGAGGGAGAGGAAAGGGAGAGGGAAGAGGTCGGACCGGAGGAGGCAGGGTCGTGGCGAGAAGCAGCAGCTGCGCCGTCAGCACAGCAGCACAAGAAGCTCTTGGCCGCGCAGACGCGAATACAACGCGCCTGCTCGCACGCATCCTTCTGTATTCCCCGCCGTTGTCAGCGCTTCGCGTTCTTGTATTCGCATCCAAATTTTTCAGCCGAGCTCGTCCGACTTGCGAGCTCCACCGCGCCGCGCGTCTCGCACGAGAGAATTTTGGCAGAGCGCGCCTCAGAACCGCCCCAGCGCCGCTGCTTCTTCGCGCTGCTCTCCATCACTCCACCGAGCCACCCTTACCATGATCTCTGCCGCAGCCTGGATCGCACGCGGCAAGGCGCGCCAGCACCCGGCCAAGTACGCCGTCGACGACGCCGAGCTGGCGCGTGTCGCGGCGCTGGCGAACCTGCAGTTCGACGACGCAAAGGCCACCCTGCATGCCGCGCAGATGCAGATGGCCGGCGACGGGCCCGAGGGCGACTGGCGCGACGACGACGACGAGAGCGGCAGCGAGGCGGGCGACGCCGGCATGGACGATGCACCGGCAGTCGCGGCGGCCAAGCCCGACAGCAACGATCCCGACGACCTCAGCCGCTACAACCTCGACACGTACGACGACGAGCCGGTCGCGTCGACGACGGGCCCGTTCAGCAACATCAAGGGCCTGCAGTACTACCGCAACAACGACGAGGACCCGTACATCACGCTCAAGGATGTGAGTGTGCTGTGTGAGCGCTGCAGGTGCTGGGCCGGCTGCTGATGCCCTCGCCAGGACAACGCAGACGAGGAGGAGGAGCGGCAAGAGCTCGAGGTGCTGCCGTCGGACAACCTCATCGTGTGTGCCAAGACCGAGGACGACGTGTCGCTGCTGGAGTGCTACGTGTATGCGTCGGGCGACTCGAACCTCTACGTGCACCACGACCTCATGCTGCCCTCGTTCCCGCTCGCGCTCGAGTGGCTCGACTACGCGCCCGCCGGCGGGCCCGCAGCCGCGGCAGACCAGAACAGCGCGCAGAAGCACGGCAACTACATTGCCGTGGGCACGATGGACCCGGAGATTGAGGTGTGGAGCATGGACACCGTCGAGGGCCTGTACCCGGATGCCATTCTCGGCAGCCGGGAACGGACAAAGGACCTGGGCACCCAGATGAGCGGCACCGGCAAGAAGAGTGAGTCTGGCGTGGCGTCTCTCGTGTAGCAGCTGCTGAGATGCATGTCTTGCGCAGAGCGGCGCATCCCGAAGAAGCGCGTCGCCAATGCAGACTACCACGTCGATGCCGTGCTGGGCCTCTCGTGGAACCGCACAGCGCGCAACCTCCTCGCGTCTGCTAGTGCCGACTGCACTGTGAAGCTCTGGGACCTCTCTCGCGCACCAACAGGCGACGGCGAGGGCACGTACGCGCTGCGCAGCTTCGACAAGATCCACACGGACAAGGTGCAGAGCGTCGCATGGAACACGTCGGGCGCCAACGGCGGCCAGCCGAGCGTGCTGCTCAGTGGCTCGTACGACAAGACGATGCGCGTCTTTGACACGCGGAGCCCGGACGTCGGCGTCGTGGCGCGCGTGGCGGCCGACGTGGAGGCGGTGCGGTGGAATCCGTGGCGCGAGCACAACTTTATGGTGAGTTTTTGGCGCGTCAGACATGCTTGTGGGATATGCGCTGTCGAGCTGCTGCACCGCAGCGCCGTGCTCACGCGCTCTTGCCAGGCCTCGTTCGAGGACGGCCTCGTACAGTCCTTCGACGCACGCATGCTCTCGTCCGCCGCCTCGCCGCCTGCCGTCACCTCGACGCTCTTCACGCTCTCGGCACACACCGGCGCATGCACGAGCCTCGACATCAGCCCACACATTCCCGGCTGCATCGTGACTGGCGGCGATGACCGCACGGTGAAGCTGTGGAGCATCGCGGAGGAGGGCGAGGCGCAGAAGCCGAAGAGCATCAGCATGGTCGCCAGCCGCGATCTTGATGCTGTGAGTAGAGATCGAAAAGCGGCAGCGCGGCTCAGCTGACACCCTACGCACACACAGGGCAAGATCTTCAGCGCCACCTTCTCGCCCAACGACGCGCTCACGCTGGCCGTGGCGGGCAGCAACGGCACGCTGCGCATCTGGGATGCCCTCTCCAACGTCGGCGTGCGCAAAACATTCGGCGACCGCCTGCGTGCCATGCCTGCCGAGCTGGCGCCGAGCCTGGACGCAGAGACGCGCGGCGACGGCGTCGTCATGCTGGCGGATGAGGGCAGCGAGGCGAGCGATGACGACGACGAGCCGCTGCCTGCCGACGCGGAGGGAGACGTGGCCATGGAGGAATAGAGGCCTTACACTGCGTAGCACGAGAAAGAGAGGGAGAGCGGGGCGGGGCGAGGCAATGACTTTCGTTGCGTGCTAGATCGTGACGGGTCTACATGAGGGGCATCTCGCCAGGAGAGCAAGGCTGCAGGCCAGCTGGCAGACGTGATAGGTGAGGGGCCGCGCTGGGCACATGAATAATCGAAGGTGGCGGGTCGCTGAGCAGGAAAGGAAGCAGCAGGGCGACGTGTCCTCGGAAGGAGAAGGGCGCACTCAAGCCTGGACGGGAGCAGCACTCTGACTGCGCTGCTGCCAGCGAGCCACGCCTCGGCGCATCAGCATGTTCAAGCGAGCGGCCATGCGGAAGCGACGTAGCGGTGAGTCTCGCACCTTCTCCGCTGGCGCTGCAGGCAAGGAGGAAGGCGATGTCGTGGGCAGTGGCGCCTCGACTGCACGCGGTGCAGCGGCATCGCGAGGGAGCTCCTCGCTCTGAGTCACCGCAGGCAGCTTGAGCGCCTCGCATGTCTGCGTGGACGCGGCAGCTAAGGAGACGGCGTTGGGCTGGAGCGGCAAGGGCGTGAAGAGCTGCGGGTTGTGGTACTGCGGGTCGGACGCATCAGCTCGCGGCCTTCTGGCCAGTTCGGACAGCACGCACGGCTGAGATATCAAGACGTCCGTCGTGCTGCGGGCACAGCGTGTCAGCGCGAGCAGCTCGGGTCGATGGTGGCTGCCCACCTTCTGGCCGATGCAGACGTAGTTGTGCACGCCGCGTGACGCAAGGTCGCTGGACTGGCTGCGTCAGAGGGTTGCGCTCATAACCGATCGAGCTGCCGACTCACCGGTCCGGGAAGAGAGAAGCAACAGCCGCAGGATAGCCGCCTTCGATGTCGAGGCCGTGGCTGCTACTGCTGCCAGACCACAGCGAGACCAGCTGTCCGATGCCCTCGGCCACCGATGCATCGCTGCACTGCGGCCAGTGGCGCACCGGCAGGTACACCTTGCTCGACGGTCTGCTCGACGTCGCCGTGAACTCTGCATAGAGCAGCGTGCCGCCGGTCAGATGCTCCGAGTCATCCAGTGGGCCGATGCTCGTCGGCAGGCCGAGTGCAGCGAACACCTGATCGAGCGGCTCGCGCCAGCCCGAGAATGAGGCGCCGCCGAGCGAGAGATGCTGTGCAATCTCCTCAGCTTCGCTAGTCGGGTAGCGCAGGTACACCTTGAATCTGGCGCCTTGCGCGATGCAGTCGGTCGACAAGATAAGCACTTCCGGACGGTCGGCCACCTCCAAACTGGCGATGTACGACTTGGTCGCTTGCCAGCCGGCGCACGCGTCCATGCCGACGCTCCGTAACGCAGCATCGACGACCTCGAGGTTGCTCATGCCCGTGGCTTTCGCGCGGGCATGCGGCATGAAGTACACCTTGGTGGCAGTCGTGCCATCGTGCGAGAGGTCCCATGCGATGAATGCCTGACTCGACACCGCCACATCGTCGCAGAGCGGCGTCGTCGTCGTCATGGCGTCGCGCAGCTTCCGCAGCGTGCCAAAGTCGCCGAGCTCACTGGCATCGAGGCGCGCCACGAGCTCGTTGAAGGCACGCAAGTTGACGCCGCCGTGCGCTAGCAGCTCGGTGGGATGGTCGATGCACTCGATGCTGAAGCGGATCGCGGGGCGACCCTTGGCCCATGTGATGCCGAGCTCGACGGGCGTGTTGTCGTCGCACCTGCAATTGCGTCAGTGTGTGGTGCTGTGCGCGCTGGCGTGGTGCTCACATGAAGGACGGAAAGCGAGGCACGAGCCGCGACTGTGCCCATGCCGGTGCTGCTGGTGCGAGGCCAAGTGCGGGCACGATGAAGTCGCGCAGGAACTCTGTAGCGAGGCGGTCAGCGATGTTGCTGCGTTCAGCGGCGCAGCCTCTCACCCTCATGCGCCCGGACAGCCTTGTCGCTGTACTGCGCCAGCTCGAGCATGCGCAAGATCGGCTTGCCGATGCGCGTCATCCAGAAGGCATCGTCCGAGGAGTGCGAGGCAACCGAGGAGATGGTCGGCCTGCGCGAATGATGAGCCGTCGAGGGACACGTGTCGCTCGACGACGGCGCCTCACTCGAGCTCGTGGGACTGTCGCTCGGCGGAGACTGCATGATGATGATGGTGCAAGAGAGAGATGGAGGAAAAGCCTGTGCGGCCGTTGCGTGCTGTCACTTGAGGCTGCAGCAGAGGGGTGGGACGAGAAAGTGTGGGCATGGGAGACTTTGCGGCGGCCCGAGCCGCAGAAGCTTCTCTCTTGAGGGGAGGTCGAGGCCGCCGCCGCGGCCACGGCCGCGCGCGGACGGCGCACACGGCTCTCTCGCTCCTGTCCGTCCGCTGGCCGCCGGCCTGCCGGTTCGACAGGTCCGAGCACGGCGGCCGCCATGCGGACCGCCGGCGGCGTGCCTGACGCCCACATGCTCTCACCTGGGTGCCGTGTGACGCGGGTCCAAGATAGGAGGAAGACCCCTATGTGCGTGCTGCGACGCTAGAAATAGTGTCACTCTCGCGGCCGCGAGTTATATGAATGGCGCCGCCTGCACTGTGCTGGTGCCGCATTTAGGTGCTCCTCTTGAGCGGAGTTGGGCGAAGTCTGCACCTGACGCTCTGATGGTGCTGAGGAGACGGGCGAGCGCGGCGTGGCAGAGCAGCAGTCCAGCGGTGCAGCCGTAGTCGCAGCAGAGAGGAGATGAAGAGATGCCGCGATGATCAGCTGGCCGCCTCAGCAGGTTGTCAGGGCAGGGCGCCCTTTCGCGTTTGCCACTCCACCATCGTTGCTCCTGATGCTTCCTCGCATCGAGCATCGACCGAGAAGCGCCCGTGCGGGCGCCGTGTGTCAGCAAGATGTCGTGATGCCGCTGCCGCTGCGCCGACGAAGAGCGATGCTATGGAGGTGACGAGAGATGGGCGTCGCGGCGCCCGCCTAAGCGTGCCGCGGCAAAATGCGCCCATGCCGTGGCTGACCCCTGGGCGTTGCTGCAGCCACATCTCGCAGCACCGCCGCCCTTCGCTCAGGTGCAGTCTCGTCCTTGCCGCCGCCTGCGCACGTGGCACGGACAAATAGTCCGCGGAACGCTAGCCGGATAGCGAAGAGATGCCTTCTTCGGTCTCTCGCTCTGAACGCCCACGGAGCATGCAGATGGCCAGGGGAAGATGCCCCCTGAGGCGCGCGTTTTCCGCGCAGCACCCGCGGTGCCGCGCCAGCCGCCGGCCGAGACGCGCTATGCGCACGAGAGAGGGAGGCCGTCAGGGGCCATCCGGCGAGATGCTGCGTGCTCTGCGCCTGACTTTGAGCTTGTTGCGCTGCGCCGCTGTGCATGGCTCGATACCTTCAGCCCAGCGCCAGCCACTGCCCCTCCTGCGTTGCATCTGCTGCGGCAACGACTCTTGGCAGGCACGTCGGAAGGCCGCGTGCCCGGCCTTCTCGACGTGCAGCGCCGACCGGCCTTCTCGATGCATCTTCTCGATCGCCGTGGGCGTCGTTTCTTCCCTTTCGGCCTTGAGCCTCTCCTTACCCTGCGTGCCTCTCCGGCGTGCACGCTGTGTAGAGAGCGGGCAACCTTCTCGACCGCCGAAGCGCGAAGACTAGGCGGGCGCACCGGCTGCGGGCTGTGCGCGTGTGACAATCGCCAGCTGGCGGGTCAGGCGCGAGTGCGATTTCAGCACTCGAGCGCTCAGTCATCGTCAGACGGCTCATAATCGATGCGCTTGTTGTACAGGAGGAATGCTGCGAGCTGGCTTGTGTGTGTGTGACGTGGAGTGAGGAAAGAAGGGGAGCGTGCGAGGCTTGCTGGCTTGCTTGACTGCTTGCACGAGCGCGCAAAGGCGAAGCGCGCGCTAAGAGTCGAGTCCTTCGAACTGACCCGACGCGAGCATCGCCTCGTCGCCGCTCAGGTCGCCGTAGAGGTTTTGCGAGTCCTCGCCGTTCGCAACAGCAGCAGGTGCGCCAGCGGCACCGCTCTTGCTGCCCTCAGCGTCGTCGTCCGGCGCACTCCGGTGCGCTTGCTTGTTCTGCTGGTTCGAGACGCGGGCCTGGGCGATGAGCTGAGCAAATTGGTCGCTGTTGTCGCTCTGAGCCGCGGGGATGAGTCTCTCGATGCAGCTGCGAAGCACCTGCAGACTCACCGCCCAGGTCTTGGCCTTCTTCTCCGGCAGTGCGCCGCCCTTGCTCTTGCTCCGCTCAGCAGCATCCTGCCCACGCTCCCACTCCTGCAGGTCGCGCTGCAGACTCCACAGGCTTTTGCGGTTCTTCTCCGATGCGTCCAGGTTCGCGTTAAAGAGGTTGACCCACTGCCGCAAGCGCTCCGTCATGCGCTCGCGCGCGCCAGTGACGGCAAGCTTGTGCTCCTGCGCGAGGGTGTGAGCGGCGCATCGTGAGCGCCCTGTCGCAGCGGCGCTCACAAGCAGTTGCTCCTTGAGCTGCTTCTCCGTGAGCAGACCGTAGTTGGACCGTGTGAGCTTCTTGCTGCTCTTCGCACTAGAGGGGCCGTGAGCTTCTGTGTGCTTGATGCGCGAAGCAGGCATGCTCACCTGGCCGCAGTGCTGCCCGGCTTGCTCCCACCCTTGCTCAGCCAGTTGTTGCCGGGCCCACCACCGGCAGCTGCCAGGCCGCTTTCTGCAGCCGTCGGTGGACCTCGTCCCGGCACACAGCCCTTCTCGAGGTGACGATCGAGCGCCACCTGCGTGAACTGATGCTCGCAGATTGGGCACGCGAACGTGTCTTTCGCTGCGTCCGGAGCGGTCAGCTGGCTGTCGCTCGCTTCCGCTGCACATCTGCACTCACGAGAAGGATTGCCGTTGTACACAGCAGCGTTCTTCACGGGACTTCGCGCAGCGCCAACCTGGCGCTTGGCAGGGCTCTTGCTCGTCGAGGGCGAGTAGCAGTAGTCGCCATCGCTGTCAATCACCAGAGGAGACTCTGCGCCGCCACCCAGCCGAGCGCTGGCCCTGCGCGATGCAGCTCGTGAACCGCGGGAGGACTCGCCAGCATTGCCTGTTGGCGTGCTGGCTTCCTCTGAGAAGCCGGGCGAGTCTCCGCGTGCTTTCCGCTTGCGCACTTGCCGCAGCGGCGAGGTACTGCCCGAAGCGGCTGCGGCCGAGGAGCCGCTGGCGGCGCCAGGGCCGCTGCGCTGCAGCTCAAAGAGCTTTGCGCTGCAAGGAGCACAGCAGCTTCAGCAGTCGGCTCCCGTGTTACCTCACAGGCAGCTGCATAGGACTCCCAGCGCTGCCTTCGGACCGAATGCTTTGTGGCAAACTCACCGGGCGGCCTTCCACGACTCCGCCGCAGCTTCGAGCGCGGTGTGCGGCTGCAGGTGCGAGTCAAATGCCTTCGTGCGGCACGTCGGGCACTCGTTGCCCTTTCCACCTGCTTGGTTGATGCATGTGCGCACGCAGCTCGAGCAGAAGACGTGTCCGCACTCCTTCATCGAGACTGGCGCCGTGTAGATGGCCTGCGAGCAGCCAGTCAGGGCTGATCGTGCGGGACCATGTGCGCAGCAGTGCTGGCCCACAGCTAGCAGTAGCGCAGAGGTTGCACATAGCCTGGGCATGCCGAGGTTCGACGCACCATGCAGATCTCGCAGCGCAGCGAGGCGTCGAGCGGGCGCAGATACTCGAACGGCGCCTCCCAGTCCGACGGGTCGTCGACCGACGCCAGGTCCCACGTGCGCGCGCCATCGAGCAGCGAGGCCATTGCGCGATGCAGCGCGGTGTCAGAGCGTGATAGCGGAAGTGAGAGAGAGGGGCGTGACGGGATGAGTGTGGAGAAGAGCAGGAAGAAAGAGTCGGCCGCGCAGCGCCAGACTGGCCGTTGCAGCCCGCCTCCCTCCACCTGCAGCGCCGTCAGCCGCTGCCGCCACGCCGCGCGCGTTGTGGCTCTTTACGCGCTCACGCGTCGCGTGACACAGCGCAGCCAGCTCGGCGGCCCACCAACTCTCCAGTGCAGCACGACGACACCCGACACCCGACAATGTTTGAATTAGCAGCGGAACCGATGTAGAGCAGATGCATGCAGAGGCGGACATGGCAGCAGAATACAGATGGATGAGATGAGGGGAGGGAAGCGGTCAGGCAAGCTCGTCGATGAACTCTTCGTAGCGGCTCGGCAGGTGCATGTCTAGGCAGGAGAGGGAGAGGTCGGGCGTGCTGTAGAAGGCGAGCGGCGCCGTGATAAGGTAGAGGTCGGTGCCGTTGATCCAGATGGAGCGGCCGGGCGGGATCAGGATGCCGCCGAGCGCCGCTTCGCTGCGCAGCGTTGCAGCGTCGAGGGCGTGCCGGCGTGCGGCGAGCTGGTGCAGCGGCGCAGACGCCCGCTGCTGCGGGCCGACCCAGGGCGACGGCGGCACGGCCGAGCGAGACTTGCCGCCCTCCCCGGCGGGACTGTCGTTGCTGCGGAGCTTGATGGCCGCGTAGAGATCGTTCTCGACCTCGCAGCGCAGGCGCCACAGCTGGTCCTGCGTCGTGTGTCAGCAGGGGAAAGAGCGGCAGCAGCGACGAGTCTGCTCACCTCCGTGCGGCGTGCTTTGCGCGCTCGTGACGGCTCGACTGCAGCGCCGGCACGCTGCGTCCGCATCCAGTCCCACCAGCTGCGCACAATGTGCACGCGTGCGTCCTCGCCGTCGTCCTGGCGCCGGCGGGCGTGCCGTCGGCGGACGCGCGACAGGGCGCCGAGCAGGCGGCGCAGCTCACGCGCCTGTCCGTGGCCGCAGCGCGGGATGATATCGCTGCCAAGCACGACGGACGTGACGAGCGGCACAGCGCCGAGTGTGGCACGCTCCGCTAGAGCAGCGCTGACTGCCGCCGGATGCGCGAATGTGATCGCTCGGATGCCTCGGCCGGCCGGCAAGCCGATGTCGTCGCGCGTGATCCACTCGCCTTGCGCGTGGGCAGCGCCGGGCGGCACGCGGTATTCGCTTAGCAGCAGCGCCACGGTCGAGGCGATCGCGCCGCCAAGGCTGTGCCCGGTGAGGACCAAGTCGAACCCCTCGTTCTCGGCCAGTGCCTGTGAGAGAATCGAGAAGAGCGTCGAGTCTTTGCTGACGAGCGTCTTGGCGGCCCGCAGCACACCGGCGTGGCACGTCAGCTCGTCGGAGGAGGCCTCTTCGCCCGGCAGCGGCGACAGCTCCATCGTCGATGTGTTGAACTCGAGGTCGACGATGATGTCCTGCAGGCTCTGCGTGCCTCGTACAGAGACGCAGACGCACCGCCGCGCATAGTCGCGACTGTGGAGAGGCTGAGCGTTAGCGAGCGTTGCACGAGGGCCTGCAAGTGGCCTCTGCTCACATGAGGTAGAACGTCGGGTGGTACGTGTCCGAATCGAGCGTCTGGATGTCTGCGTGCAGCACGTCGTCCGAACGAATGCGCGACAGGTGGGCGAACGTCTGGCGTGAGAAGCGATTGCCGGACGGCGTGAAGGTGGCCGGCAGGTCCACTAGCGTGACGTGCAGGCCGTACGCCGAGATCGCGAGACGGCTGGCCCACTTGATGGTGCGGATCAGAGCGCGCCGGTCAAGACAACCAGAGGCGGCTGCGTGCGCCGTCAAGCTGTCCGCGGCCGGGGTGCGCGCTGAGCCAGGTGCAGCAAAGTAGCTGTCGCTGCCGGAGCGCGAGCGCTCGCCGTGCGCCAGGCGTGGCTCAAGACGCGGCGTCTTGGAGAACTCAAGCACGTCTGCTCCCTGACGGGTGACGACCAGATCGTCGTCGCTATCCGAGTCGTTCTCCGCGTCATCCTTCTCCTCGCGGCGGCTGTCGGCGTTGGCAGTGCTCCCGCTGGAGGCTGAGCGGGATGCATGATGCCCGCCGCGCGGCGGATCAAGGCGCTGCAGGCCTGCGCCCTCGTCGAGATAGCGCTGCCGCGTCACCGAGTAGAGGCAGACAAGCTCAACAAGGCTGCGCACGGTCTCCCAGCGACTCAAGCCCCGCGCCTGCTCTTCGCCCTTGCGCAGCTTCTTGCCGCGGTTCTCGTGGTCCTCGAGCGCTACCATCGCCCACTCGCTCTTGATGAGGCTGTACGCGTCGATAAAGCAGCGGCTTAAGATCGTCTGGCCAGTGATGTTGAGCACCAGCCAGCGCAGGAACCACAGCGTCATCACAACGACCTCGCCGATACGGTAGCCCAGGTCGATGGCGTGCGCCAGGGTGAAGACGACAAACCCGTAGAGATGCACGACGCCGGCAGCGACGGCGCCGTGACGCATCAGCGACTGAGACGCGCCGAGGCCGAGATCGCCGAGCAGGAACCACAGCAGCCAATTGCGCACCGGCTTGTCGAGCTGATCGTTGTGCTTGACAGCTGCGGCGGGCTCAGATGGAATGCTTCGCCGACGCTGCTTCTGCTGAGGAGGCACGCTGTCTGGCAGAATTCGCGGTGCGGCAGGCGGCGTCGAGATGTCGTCGGTGGCCGTGACCAGCATGGCCGAGGGCGTGAGCCTCGCCGATGAGGTGCGCGAGCGGAATTCGGCGTCGTCGAGCGAGTCGCCGCTCTTGACCGCGCGCTTCCGCACGCGCAGGCCCGACAGCACAGGCGAGCAGGAAGGAGAGAGACGGCTTGGTGTCGTGGCGAGCGACGGCGGCGATCTGATGACTGGCGTCCATGGGCGGGAGGACATCGGCGTGGGCATGGGGGAGGGCATGATCTCCAGATGCGTGGGTTCCAGACGTGGCGTGCCTGGCTGTGCGTAGGCTGCCGCGGTCATAGCCAGAGCGAACTGATACTGAGTGCCGCCTGTGAAGGACGCGTGTGGCGTCCAAGGCGAGGGTGGCAGACTGAGCAAGGTGGGGCCGAGCCGCGGCGTGTCGGGCGAATGAGGATGTGACTCGGGCGACGAGACGAGGCTGGCGCGCCGCGAGCTGGGCCGCGTGTCTAGTGCCATGGGCGTGAACGGCGAGCCGGGCACTGAGAGATGAACGGGAAGCAGCCGCGGCGCACGCGGTGCGCTGCCGTCCATGGACGACGCGCTCGATCCGCGCGAGTGCCTCTCGCTCAGCGAAAGGGAGCTCTCATTGAAGAGGTCGGCGTCGTCAGCAGCCCCGGCGTCCAGCACGCCGCCCTCGTAGACCGTCTCCAGCGAGCGCGACATGTCAATCGAGCCCTTGCGCAAAGAGGGCCTGCGCGCCATGTCGACCGCGCCCGCCGCAGGCGCACTCGGTGTCTTGAGCGGCACATCCTGGGCGGGCTCGGTGTGCCGACGGCGGAACTCGGGCGCACCCCGCCGCCCGCTTCGTGCCATCGCCTTGGTCGCTTGATCTGCCGCGTGCGCGGCCTTGACGAAGTTGGAGAGCGCCGTGAGCATGCCGACCTTGTGCAGCGGCCGATTCCGCTCGAACTGCTTCTGCACGCGCTTGAGTTCCTTTTCTCGCTCGCGCATGCGACGCACGCCCAGCAGACCTGGCCGGAGGAGGTGTCAGTGGCGCACTGTGCAGCCATTCCGCAGCAACGGCTCTCACCTTCGAAGCTGCGTGCGCTACTGTGGTCATCCAGCAGTGGCGGCGGCAATAACAATGCGCCGTCCTCGTGTCCCTCGCCAGACCTCGAGCTCCAGCCCGTCGCGCCTCCGCTCCACGCGCCCGGCATACCAATCGGACTCGGCGGTGCCTCTGGAGCCTCCTGCACGCCCCATGCTGAGCCGCGCCCATACACCGAGGATGACGCGGGCGGCAAACTGGACGGCACGCCAGCCGACTGCGCTCTGCGCAGCGGAGTTCTGGCAGGCGAGGTGCTCTTGGGCGGGCGCGGCACTTCGAAAGAGGGCTGGTTGCGCCGGCCGCCTACGACAGCGATGCCGTTTGCCTCTGCCTGGGCTCTACGAGCGCGCCGCTCGGCTATTGTGCCGCCTGGCGAGGCGCCAGACAGCTCGGGCATGGCGATGCCGAAGCGAGTCGCGCCGACCTCCTTGAGCCCCTGCATCCAAGCGCGCGAAGCACGTGTCAAGAGGTTCGGTCGTCTAGATGTTTCCTTGCGCACTCTGGCGCCGGCAGCGCTGTGGCGCTGGGAGCTCAGATTCGAAGCCGCGCCGAGCGAGTCGCCGCGGCTGAGCAGCAGTGCGCCCACGGCCTCGAGAGCGCCGCCATTGCTGACTCTCCGGCACTTTGAGCTGCCCGAAGGCAGGCGGAGGACGTCCTCCGCGCCCTCGTCTGCTCGTACGACGTGTGCCTTGCCAGAGCGCGAGAGCACGGCAGACACGGTGAGGTAGCGAGCCGAAGCAGCACGCGGGGCCTGTGCAGCGTCATGCGCAGGCGCTGCGCCGCTGCAGCTCTCGGGCGAGGCCGTTGTCGACGCCGTCTGTGCAGAGGCGAGCATCTCTGTGTCGAGGCTCAGCGGCGGCGGAGCGGCCGGCATGATGCGTGTCTGGCGAGTGGACCGCGGCGAGCCTGTGGCCGAGCCTGCTGCGCTCCACTGCGGCGAGACTTCGGCGGGCGAGAGAGTCGCGTGCGAGCGCGAGCCGAGCGTGAAGCCGGGCGACGGCCCCGAGACGTCGAGGCGCGACGGCGGCAGCGGCTCGAGCTCGTCGAAGTCGAGCGGCTGCAGCGGTGCATCGCCGAGACTGAGCGGCGGCGGCGAGAGCATGGCGGCGTCGGCGGCGCTGCTCTGGCTGCTGCTGCGCCCGCTGCTGCTGGCGCGGCTGCCGCTGCTGCTGCGGCGTCGGCGCCCGCGGGCTGCCTCGCCGGACGCCGCGGCGGGCATGGGCCGCGAATAGGACTGGATGGGAGGGGGCAGAGGTGTGGTGGGCGGGAGCAGGCCGGCCCCTGAGGTCTGATGATGGCTTGGGCGGCGGCATCGGGCGCCGTGCGCCGATTTGTCTCGCAAAAGTAAGCCTCGAGTAGCGCGGCGCACGCTGACGCGGAGGTGCATTTCGCTAATCGAGTGCGCCGGGCGCGTGGGAACAGCGCCCTCCGCATTCAGACGCCAGCAGCCGCGCTCGGACGGCGGTATAGGACGCTCGAGCGACGAGGAGCGAGCAACGCTGCCAGGGTTGACTCTCGAAATCTAGCGCTACGGATTCTGCATCCCCTGTCGTCTCCAGGGTACCGCTGGGAGGCTTGGTTGTCGTGGCTGAGCTCCGATGGGACGCTTTGCGTGAGCCTGTGCCTCGCAGCTGCCGGCTCACTCTCTGCGAAGCGGGGCTTCGCGCGCTCCGCGCTGCAAGCGAAAGGGAAGCGTATGATTTCAAATCTGGACACAACAGACTGGCCGGCGCCTCGCAGCCTCAGAGAGACGAGCGGTATGGCGGTGGGAGATGGACGGCAGGCCGTCGCAGGTCCAACGCAGCATGAGATGCGACTCTTACTCCCGCGACTCCCGCGGCTGCTTTGCGCGTCTTCGTGTTGTGGCCGCCGCGCGCCGCCGCGCCGCGCACCGCACACCTACCACAAAGGGACGCAGCGCTTCGCCCATGAGATGCCAAGCGCAGCGCAAGCTCCTCGAGAGGGCGTCTGCGCTCCTGCGCTGCGCATGCGCATGCGAGCCCAGAGCAGCAAGCATGAAAGGAAGCAACAAAGGACGAGGCGGCAGCCCCAGCGGCTCAAGTCAGGCCTGGGTGCTGCGAGCGGTAGCCGGCGGGGACAAGCACCGCGCCTTCAGGGGCCCAAGCGCTCTGCGCTCTGCCGGCCGGCTGTTGTCTCTCGGCAAGCCCTACAGCCGAAGTGCGCTCAAATGAGGCAGCGACTCGCTAGCCGAGTGCCGCCTTTGTCGCCGCCGGCTGAAGCGGCTGCCTGCCTTGCGGCGCTGCCGGCGCGCGCTCGCGGAGCCGCAGCGAGCACGGCCTCTTCATCAGCTGCTCCTCGCTCCTCCGCTTCTCCCTTCCGCTCCCTCATCTGCCCCACCTCTCACCTCTCGGCGCCGCAGAGCCTGCTTTCCTCTTTGCCCTCGCGCCGGCCTCTGCCTGAGGCGCGTGCTACGCCATGTCGCCCACGTCCGCCTTCTCGGTCCCGCGTCGCATCGTCTTCATCACCAACGTCAACCTCGACTGGGTGAGCGCAGCCGCTCGGAAGGGGAGTGTACATGCGGCATCTGCTGACGGCAGCGCTGCCTCGCAGACGGAGGACCAGCTGCGTGGCAGTGTCTACCAGCACACGTCCGTGCACGTCAACCGCATGCAGCGTGTCATGGAGGGCTACTTTCTCGACTGCGACTCGTCGGCGGTGAGTATGCGCCGGCAGAGCAGCAGCGGCATTCCCAGCTACAGGACGCTCACGCCGTATGTCTGGCGCAGGACGCAGGGACAGTCGCCAAGGGCATGACGGGCCGCCAGATGCTGAGGCAGGGCAGCCCCGTGTCCGCCGTGACGCTCGACGCAGACGACCGCAGGGCCAAGGCGCTTGCATACCGCTTCCTGCCCGCCCCGAAGACTTCGCAGCGGGGCGAGTCCAGCGATCGCCACAGCAGCTACTGGGACCGAAGGCCTGAGAAGGAGCGCGTGCCGGATGCAGCACCGGCACTTGCGCCTCGAGCGCACTCGTCGTCCTACTGGGACCTCACTCCCAGCGAGCCCAAAGACGTGGCGGCGCGCAGACGCGAAGAGCGCCATCGCCGCGGCTCGCAGGCGCCCAGCTCCGACCTCGCACAGCCCTACGGGGACTTTGCGCTGCGTCCAGACGCTGGTGCGCTGTACCGGGCACATCTCCCCGAGCGCTGGCAGGCCGGACTGGCCGCTGTGCCCCTCACTGCCGCGGAGCTGGCGCGTACGGCGCCTCCAGCTCACTCGCCAACGAGACGCCCAACTCCGGCGGCCGCACCCAGGAGTGACAGCCTGTTCGGTCATCCTCAGACGCACATCAGGGCGTGCCACCACCTTTACGCTGGCGGCCTCGCTCCAGAGTGCACGTGGCAAGACCTCAAGGACTTTGCGCGCATCCACTGCGACAAGGTCGGCTACGCCACAGTTCTCCCGGGACATCACGGCGCTGTGCGCGGGTGAGTCTGCCATGGGCCTCAGCGAGAGCCTCACCGCTGACAGTCGGCCCCAGGCTGCTGTCGTTCTACACCAAAGATGCGCGAGAGGACGCTCTTGTGCGCCTGGACGGGCTTGCCATTCACGGTAGGGCGCCTGCCGCAGCAATGATGCGCCCCAGCTGACGTGGTGCCTCTGCAGGAGTGATTCCGAAGTGGGGCAAGATGCACCTGGCGGAGTGGGATGCGATGGAGCTCGAAGAGGCGTTTCCGGGGCCGGCGAGGGCGCACAGCGCCGTGTCATCCTCGCCGCCGCTGCCCGTGGCCACTCGCGCGTACGGCCTGTCGCACGCAGCGTATCAGGCTGCCTCAGAGGCCTATTGGCCCCAAGAGAATGAGAGACGCGAGGAGGCGCGCAGTCGCGGCGAGCCGGAGTTCACCACCGGCTCCAACACGCAGGGACTGGGCCGTCCGAATCGCTATGGAGCTGCACGAGCTGCTCTTACGGACGCACCGCAAGCGCACGCCTTCGTCGCTTCTCCCGAGCGCCTGCCGGACGGCTACGGCAGCTCCTCAAGAGTCGCTGTGCCTTGCGCTTCGGAAGCATCGGCGCAGCCTCTCGGACGACGGCTCACGCCCGACTCTCTCGGCGGTGAAGAGGAGCGCACAGGGACCAAGCGCCGTCGTCTCGCACGTCCTACGGGCGAGTGCCATCCCGCTCAGCCGTGGGTCAGCAAGTCGGCATCTCCCAGCGCTGCTCTGCGTCCGGGCACCACGGACGAGGCGACCGCCAGCAAGCAGGCTGCAGACGAGAGCGGCATCGCGCTGTGCCCGTCCTCTCCGGTTGCGACTCTGCCTCAGACGGCGTCCGATGCTCATGCGTCAATCCCTCGAAGCGACCCAGGCCCGCCCGTGCCCATGCTGCCCGCGCTCAATGCTCCACTGCCTGAGACGGCTGCGCCAGAGGCTGCGGCGCCGGCAGCCACCTCCAGCTCTGCCTTCATGATGGAGATCGCCAACATCTTCGCCGAAGAGTGCGGCGACTTCGAGCGTTCGCTGGAAGCTGCCACCAGTAGCGGGTGAAGAGCGCCCGGAGCCGGTTCTGATGAGCGCCGTCGACAGCCACCGCCGTCAAACGCAAAGCGCGCTCACGGCCAGACAGGCTGCTTCAATGCTCGCTCTGCCGCACGTACCGCGCCTTGCCCTGATCCGTCCTCGCGTCACCCTTCACCGCCCTCTCTTTGACCTTGAGCCGCAACATCGTCCGTGTACGCGCTGGGCCATCAGTTCAATGACATCGCATTCGCCTCGCCTAAGCCGCGCCAAAGATCGCCGGTCCTCGATGGTTGAGCGTGGCGAAGCTGCTCCGCGCGTCGACGTCGGCAATGGTGCTGCTCGTGGCGTCAGACTGTAGCACACCGTGCGTGAAGCTGGCGAGACACTCACCGTGATCGATACTCGCTCGCCCAGGTAATCTCGCGCAGCGGCGCTGAGCCAAGCATGAGTCCACCCGCGATGAGGAGCAGAGCCACCACAGCCTCGATTGTCATCTGGCGAGCCGCAGAGTCAGGACGTGTGCTGGAGACGGGCACTCTGTAGCTTCACACGCCTTATTGGAGCAAAGTAGGCGCAGCACATACGCAGACAGTTGCGCTGCGCTCAGCGGCAGGGCTAGGGGTCCATGCGCCGACATCGCACAAACGAAGTATGCTCTCGCTTCACGCTCTCTCCAACACGCATCGCCCGGGGACAGTAATCTCTCGCCAGTAGATTCTGCCTCGGCTCCGAGCGGCACATCATACATCTGTGCCCGAGCGTTGTCCGTGCCACCATGCGTCAGGTGCCTCACCTGCCCCGCCATCATGCCCCCTTCGACGCCTCGGTCCTGTGCCCAGCAGCTCTCGTGTCCCCCGTGGCGAACTACTCACATCAATTGGCACCGCTGCGCTCTCCAGACCCAGACTCTTGCGCACCGCCACGTCTGCCATCACAAGATCCCGTCAGTGTGGCAATGCATGCTGCGGCTAGGCATGGCACGCACTCTCGTACACGCTCCACGCCGCGTGCATGAAGACGAGGGCGCCGACGAAGAGCAGCTCGCGGCCCAGCCACGACGACGCAGGCTTCTCGACGGCCGGCATGCTGCTGTGGTGCGCGTGTGGGGCGGCGAGACGGAGTGCGGTGTGCGTCAAGGAGATCTGATGGTGGTGAGAGGGTGTGCGTCAAGGAGATCTGATGGTGGTGAGAGAGCGTGGTGAAGTGAGGATGGATGCGCGCTCGGGCCCACGCTGCTGCACGGCGCTGGCGAGTCGTTCGGGTGTCGCGTCTCGGATCACGGATAGCCGCGCCCACGGGTCCATGTCTCTTCCTTCTCGCAACCCTCCAATCTGGCCTGGATCGCTCAGCGACTACGGACTGTGGCACAGTCGCTGGCGTGCTTCTGGCGTATCTAGCGCTGCCTTTCGAAGCTCGCAAGTGCTCGCCAGCTGCGAGGCTCATCAAAGGGGTGACCGGCGCGCCAGATCTTGGTCGCGGTAAGGCGCCGCTCTGAACGGCTCTCGCCTCTCACAGCCTGCTGCTGCACCACTCAGCGTCAGATCTGTTCCTGCTAAAGATGAGAGAGCAAAGCAAGGCGCTCTGCCTCCCGAGCTGGCCAGGCTAAGCACACCTTTACCGGCTCTGTCATGGCCAAGCCGTGCCTGCTTTGTGTGGAATCACCGGTCACGCGCACCTCGCAGCGACGATTCTATTTTGCGTCCATGCACGCACATCGAGCGCCGAGACAGCATCACGAGGGCGCTGTCTGCAGCCACATCCCAGCCGTCAGAAGCGCATTCCGGCATAGATCCTGCCTCGAAGCTCGAAGCACCTGCACCGGCGCGTCCGAGGCGAGGCAAGGATGGATGCGGCGACGTCATCATCTCGTCTGGATTTCCGGCCCAGCGCAGCATCAGCGCGCAGCAGCCGCACCGCAGCACGCAGGACGCAGCCGTGAGCCCTGCAGCGTCTGCGCTGCGCCGTCTTGTTTCTGCATGCGGCGGCGCGGGATCGTCGCTGCAGCTGCGCATCCCTCCGCCGCGCCGCGGCCCGCTGCATGACGGCTGCGGGCGCGACGCGTGTCTGGCACACAACCGCCCACACGCCGGCCGAGAATCTTGCTTTTGTCCCACCACCATCCACCTCGGGCGCATCCATCCGCCCTCCATCCGCCCCGCCCCGCCGCAGCCACCCGCCCGCCGCACCCGTCACACCTGCTCCCAGCATGGTCAAGGCACTCAAGTACCGCCTCAAGGCCGACCTCGTCGACATGGCCACGCTGCTCGCCATCGACGAGCCGGCATCGCTGCGCCGCGACGACCTCGAAGAGCGCGTGCGCGCGCGCCTGCTCGAGCGCCGCACCGAGCTCGAGAACGACGACTACTGGAGCCCCATCTACCAGACCATCGACGCCGGCGAGCGCCGTGCGGCACGCGGCAGCATGCGCCACAGCGTGTGAGTTGCGAGGAGACCCGGAGCCGGCCGGTGCACGCGCCATGTGGAGTCGGGAATTTGGCGCGACGACGCAGCGGCGCGAGGCGCGTGTGTTGTGCATGTGCGCAGCGCTGCACGCGCCGCCGCTGCTCCGCCAGCCATACTGCGCATGCTCTTCATCACTGACACATGCCGCCCTGCAGTGAGTCCGAGGAGTCTGACGCGCCGTCGCGCTCGCGCTCGCCGCGCAAGAGCGCCGGCAAGGCCGTCAACGGGCTTGCGACGCCGCTGCGCAAGACGGGAGACGCGCTCTCGACGAGTGCGTCGACGGTCGTGGCCGAGGCACAGAGCATCTACCCGGCGCTGCAGGCGCGCGGCAAGCGCTCGCTCGAGTCGCTCGGCAACATGTTCAAGGCCGGCGCCGCAGAGACGCGCGCCGAGGTCGCTGATGTCGCGCACGAGGTCGAGGCGCGCGGCGAGGCCGTGGCACACGCTGTGAAGCGCCAGCAGCGCGCCGCCCTGCGCAAGACGCACAAGGCCTGGCGCGACGTCGGCCTGTACGCCAGCGACGCGCGCAACCTCACCACCGTGCTCGTCGGCCTCGAGTTCGCTGCGCTGCTCCTCTCCATCATCCCCACGCGCGACATCTCGCTCGGCTCGTCGAGCGCGTTTGCGTCGAGCTGGAGCGTGCCCGTGCCGAGCCTCTGGGTCGTCTTCGTGCCGGCCTTCTGGCGCGTGCTGCTTATCTGGGGCTTCTGGACCGTCGCCGTCCCGACGTTCCTCTCGCAGCTCATCACCTTCGACCGGCGCCGCGCCCCGTCGATCCAGACGTTTACGCTCGCGCGTCTCTTCCTCATCCTCGCACTCGTGCGCCTCTCGCCGCACCTCGGCCTCGGCGCACGCCACCCGCCGTCCGTGCTGGGCGTCGCTGCGGGCCAGGTGCCGTTTGGCGCCGCCGCCGAGCACACGCTCACCGGCTGGCAGAAGGTCGTCAGCTACGACTGGGTCTCGGCCGCCGTGGGCCCCGACCTGCAGCTCATCAACGCTGCCGCGGCTGCCAGCTTTGCCATCTACGAGGCAATCGCCGTGCGCCCGCGTGCCGGCTAAGGCTGCACGACTTGCTCTGCTCGGGCGCCGCGCACACGAGCATGAGCTTTGCCCCTCTTCCAAATGCGCAAGCCTGTGGTGTGCCTCTCAGCCTCCGCATCGCTGCATCCGATACCTCGGCCCGTAGCTCCGTCCCCGTCCTTGTTCCTCATCCCATCTCTCAACCTTCTCTCGCGTGCCGCGCTTCTCCCTCTGGACGATCGTACCTTATCGGCCAGATCTGCCCGTCTCCCTCCTCTCCTGTCCTCCTACTCGTCTCTGTGCCGCGCATCTCCGGCTGCTGGCTCTGCAGATCTGCTGTACTATGTAGTGACTCGTCGCGCAATTCAGACCCACGGCGTGCGGAGCCACCCGCTCGGCTGCCGCAACGCACGCATGAGCGAGCGGTCAGCGCCCAGTCTCCCTCGTCAGGGCCTGTCGAGCGCCTTGAACGCATGAGACGCGGCGGATATGTCTATTCTCTCGAGGCGACTGCTGTATGTGCGTCTAGATACACTTGCGGCGGTGCTGTGCTTGCTCGATCGAGGCTCTATGGGTGTTCTAGGCTTGCGCGTTCTCCTGCTCGGCAGACGTCTGGAAGGTGAGGTGCTTGCTGAGACGGGACAGGCGAGTCAGCCACGTCAGGCAGGACTCAGCAGACGCGATGCTCACCCGTCCTTGAGGAGCTTCGAGCCCTCCTGCCAGCGAATCTCCGGCACGCCGAGCTCGAGGAGCTTGGCGAACGCGGCGGAGAAGTCCTGCGAGACAGCTGCGTCAGCACTGAGTCTGTCGCGGCAACAGTCTGTTTGCACGCACCTTGAAGAACTCATCCTCCGACTTGGCGTACCGCTCGGCGTGCTTGCGGAACTGGACGCCACAGTGTGAGCGAAGAAGGCACGGCGAGGTAAAGCGTGCACTCACCGACTTGTCGGTGCGCAGCGCGTAGTCGGTGGTGAGCATCATCAGGCTCTTGGTGCTCTTGTCCTCGTACTGGATCGGTCCGTCCCACTTCTTCAGGTTCCACTTCTCGCTGAAGAGCAGCTCGTAGTACGCGTTCGTGAACGACGTGGGCGCGTGCTGCCACGGGCCGTCGAAGCCCGAGCGGTCCTTGTGGCAGCGGCCCAGGGCGTGGGCGCCGGAGAGGGCGACGATCTCCTGGTCGTTGAAGCCCATGCGGTAGAAGATGTGGCGCAGGTGGTCGCTGCCCTTGTCGCCGTCGGGCAGTCGTCCGTCGGGCGTGCAGTGCGCCTCCTCGCCGTCCTTGCGGCCCTGCGAAGACGGGTCAGATGACAGTCGGCGCAAGAGGCGCACGTGCAGCACTCACCGGGCGCCACTGTACCTTGGGTCCTCCAAGCTCTGCAGAGATGCGTGTCAGCCAGAGGTCTAGCCCACGCTGTCGAAGCGTGGAGCGTGTAATCACCTTGCACGGCGACGATGCCGCCCAGCGTCCAGAGGTCAGAGTACGAGATCCAGGGGAACTGCTCGTGGATCTCGTCCATAAAGTTGCGAGCGACGATCAGGCCTGAGTCGCCAAGTCAGCCGACGCTCGAGCCAGGCAGAGCCGGGAGAGTACGCACCGGCGTTGGCACCGTGGTTGGCCTCGGGGGCGAAGCGCATCGTGGCTGAGGGCGAGGCAATCAGCACTTTGCAGGGAAGCTCTCGCGATGCTGACTAACCGCCGTTGCTGCCACCGGAGTTGGAGTCCTTGTCGTAGGTGCCGCTGTAATGAGGCCGTCAGCAGAGCACGTGCGAGTCTAGGGTGCCGCTGCGACGCACCTGGCGTGCCAGGCGAGGCGCACAAGCACAGGGCCATAGCTGCCGTCATCGTACTCGGGGTTCGAGTCGAGCTTGTCGGCGATGGCGTTGTACACCTTCTGGTAGTCGGCCGGGTCGGCGGCGAGGCCGGGGCCCACGCCCTTGTACGTGGCAGCGCGCTGGGCCTTGGCACCGCTGCCGCTCAGCTTGTTGCTGCCGTCCGGGCCGACGCCGAGCGCGGCGCGCTTGTTCTCCGGGCCGAAGAGCAGGAACGCGCCACCGGCAGCCGCGAGCAGCGCGACGGAGCCGATGAGCGTCTTGCTCGTGCCCTGGGAGCGCGAGCCACCCTGCTGCGGCGGCGGGTGAGCGCCAGGCGCCGGGCTTGTGGCGTAGGCACGGCGGGCCGGCAGGCGCAGCGCAGCGCGCGGCAGCGGCGCGGCGAGGCGAGCAGAGGAGCGCAGAGCAGCCATGGCGACGAAGAGCGCGACAGGGATGGGTGGGACTGGTCGGGCGCGAAGAGGTGATGTGGACGGGAGGCAAAGTGCGGCTCAGCGGCACGTTGCTCTCTATCACGAAGGCGTGCGCGGCCGCGGCGCGCGGTCGCCGAGAAGGTCGCTCGCCGTGTGAGAGGGCGGGAAATTAAGATTACGCAGCCGCCGCCGGCCGCCCGCCGCCCGGGAGCTCTCGGGCGGCGCCCGGCGCGCACGGCTTACGCTCGTGACGATCATGCACCCGTGTCATGCTCAGGGCCTGTGTCTTCATGCATGCAATAAGGACGCCAGCCACCATCGAGAGCTGCGAGCAGCGAGCGCCTCGAGCCACATCCTGGAGCACCGCCGGCGAGAAGGTTCGCCGGTCGCCGCTGAGACGCCGCGCGCCGGGCGCGCCTCGGGAGTCGGGGATCATCGACCGCCGCGCCCCAGACTTAGTCAGCCAAGCGCGCCGCGCGCTAGCGCAACGCGTCCTCCTCCGCGCCGCCGCTTCGCCTCGAGCCGGCAACAACACAGGCAGCCCGTCAGCTCCGCCTAGTCCCAGTAGCTCGCAGGGTCGACAGAGCGCTGGCTGTCCCGTGCACGCGGTGGACAGCGACTGGTGCCTCTGTAAGCCGCATCTGGCTGGTCCTGTGCGCTAGGGCTGGGCAAGTCGCAGCTGTAGTCAGCTCCAAGGCTGAACTCTGCCGTGATCATCAGTACCTTCGGCCGCACCCCCCTCATCGTCTCTCGCTGTGATGTTTGAGCGTGGCATGGTGTTGCTTGCACATGAGCTCGATGGCACAGCAGCAGTTGGGCGCGCCGCAGTGCCGCATCCAGTTTCTGGGATCTTGCGTGGCTGTCTGAAGGCAGGGACGAAAACTGCTGCGCCGTGGATCGCAGTATGCCAGCGCTCCGTGGGAGACTCCGCAGCACTGGCAAAGTGTAGGCCCAGACTATGTTGGACAGCGACTGCTCGAGCGCAACGCATGCCAGTGTGCGCCAGTGCTGACAACATGGCCTTGATCTAGTGAGGCGCGGGCGGTAAATCGGCAGAAAAGGCACATCAACGAGGTCGTGCGCGGCGCGCAACGCCGCCGCATTATCTGCCGTGCACAGCGCCGCGCCGACTCGAAGCGGCCGGCATTGACAAAGCTTGCCGCTTCGCCGATGGCTTGGTCGTCGAGCAGACGCATGGTCATCTCATACGGGGGTGATGGCATACTACGCTCTTTGCGCCGCTCGTCTATAGTGCTGCCAGGCGCAAAGTGGGCTGCCGAACGTAGCTGCAGCAGCGGCGCGCGATACGAGTTTTCGCCGCCTGACGCGCAGATGCTGCTCGATGCCATGAGGCGGACAGTCCAGGCCCCTGTCGAAGCTCGGGCGCACCGCAGCAATGCACTGGCCTCGGGCGAGTTACCATGCACTCAAGCTCCTACGCGCCCGTGCTCGCCCGTACAGCCGGCGCGCTGACCTGAAGATCACCTGTAGCCGGCGGGAGACATCTGGCGGCCAAGCCCGTCATGACGCGCCCACGCCACCGCGTTGACAGTGATGAGCGGCAGGGGGCTGGACCGCTGTGCCAGCGCCACCTCGTGTGTGGCCTCACGCATCGCCCTGTGCAATGCGGCACAGTGCACCGATGAGCAGTCGCAGCAGACCTCTGTCTGCTGGCAGCGACGAAGCGAGGCGATGCGCGGCCTGCCGTACGCCCGAGGGAGAGGCGCGCGGCCCAGAAGCGGCGGGAGGAGGCGCGGGGCGGCGCGCCGCGCAAGCCGCGCGGCAAGGCGTGTTCCCACGGGGTGAAGTGCCGCGGGCGCCGCGCGCTCCGGCCCGCGCGCACGAGTTGGCCCGCCGCGCGCCGCGGCACACGGGCGAGGCGCCCGCGGACGCGCGCGCCGGAGCGCCGCCGGTCGGCGTTCCCACGCACGGGCGTGGGCTCGGCACGAAGGGATAAAGTGAGGCGCCCTCGAGGGGACGACGAGCTTGCTTCTCTACCACCACCATCCTCCATCAGCCTGCCTCACGACGTCCGCACCATGTCGCCGTCCGCAGCCCCCTCCACCTCGGCAGAGGCGACCCTCGCCTTCGACGTCGCCGCGTTCCAGGACGAGCTCGCCGGGCTCGCATCCAAGCACCAGCTTGCCTCCACCTTCGACGCCGGCCTGGCCGCCGCGCTCGACAGCAGCGACGCACTCAGCCCGATGCGTCAGCAGTACATCCTGCCCTCGATGTCCGACGCCGGCGTCGCAGAGGCCAGCTCATGTGAGTCAGACGGGCACCGATGAGGCCGTGAGCGCGGCTGACACGATCGCGTGCGACCCAACAGCGGAGCCCGCACTGTACCTGTGTGGCAACTCTCTGGGCCCGCTCTCCCGGCGCGGCCAGCAGATCGTCACCGAGGAGCTAGGCGCTTGGGGTCAGAAGGGAGTGCTCGGCCACTGGGACCACCCGCGTGGCCGGCCCTGGACGAAGCAGGAGGAGCGTGTGGGCCGCCTGATGAGCGACGTGGTCGGTGAGTGCGCCTCAGCCAGACAGGCGTCGAGGTCTGCAGCTGACCACGCTCTCTGGCCTGCAGGCGCGAAGCCGTCCGAAGTGACAGCCATGGCGACCCTGACTGGCAACTTGCACACGATGCTGAGCACCTTCTACCGCCCCGCCAAGCCCTTGCAAGGCGGCCAGCCGCGCCACAAGATCATCTACGAGGCGCGCGCATTCCCGTCTGACCAGTACGCGCTGGCAAGCGCCGTAGCGCTGGCAGGCTTCGATCCACGCGACGCTCTCGTTCCGCTGCACCCGCGCTCCGGCGAGTCGACACTGCGCACCGAGGACGTGCTGGCGGCCATGGAGGCAGAGAAGGAGGCTGTGCTCGTCATGATGGGCGGCATCCAGTACTTCACCGGCCAGCTCTTCGACATCTCCACGATTACGAGACGCGGCCATGAACTGGTGAGATGTGCCGGATGCGCGAGGCTGGGCTCACTGGACGCTGACGAGTGATCTTCTTAGGGTCTCATGGTCGGCTGGGACCTCGCCCACGCCTTCGCCAACGTCCCGCTGGCGCTGCACGACTGGGACGTCGACTTTGCCGTCTGGTGCACGTACAAGTACGGCTCCTCGGGCCCAGGCGGCATCGCCGGCGTCTTTGTGCACGAGCGCTGGGGCAGCATGGGCATGAAGACCTCCATCGGCAAGGCCGGCGAGTCGGCCGCAGCGGGCGCGCAGGGACTGCTCAGGTGCGCCAAACGTGCGCTGCCCGATTGAACTTGATGCTCACACCAGCGCTGCAGACCTGCCGGATGGTGGGGCCACAAGAAGTCCACGCGCTTTACCATGCCCGACTCGTTCGACGCGATGGACGGCGCAGCCGGCTGGCAGACGTCGAACCCCTCGATGCTGGACATCGCCTCGCTGCTCGGCTCGCTCGAGACGCTGGCACAGGCGCCCGGCATGCTGAAGAGCGAGCTCGCGGACCTCGACATTGGCTCGGAGGAGCACGGAGCAGCCGTCGAGGCGCGCACCGGACAGGTGGGCATGGGCCTCATCATGCCTGCGCTGCGCACGAAGAGCGTGCGTCTCACCGCCTATCTCGAGCATCTCCTCACGCGCCCGGACTTCCTTCCCGGATCGAACGCAGACGCCATCGAGGTCCTGACGCCGCGCGAGCCGTCTGCTCGCGGCTCGCAGCTCTCGATTCGCATCACCGACCGCCGCGGCGCGGCCGAAGCCGAAGCCCAGGCTAAGGCGCAGGCAGAGGCCAGCGCTGGCCTGGCGACGGGCGAGGTCCCGCCTCCGATCGCCACCACGACGCTCGTGGCGCGTGCTCACAAGCGAGCGCAGCAAGAGGCGGGCCTGATCGCCGACGTCCGCAACCCCGACGTGATGCGTCTGGCGCCCCTCGCGCAGTTCTCCACCTTTGCCGACGTGCACGCCGCCGCCGAGGGCCTGCGCAAGGCTCTCCTCGCCGAGCTGTAGCGCGCTTACACACACATCGCACGTCACGCCGTCACATTCACGCGCATCATTTGCTAGAGTTGCTCGTCACCAATACATCTGCTGTGCGATCGCTGAGGAACGGCCCAGAGCCGTCTAGGGTGGCGTGGCTGAAGCAGGCAGCTCCTGAGAGAGGGTTGCCGCCGCGGTGGTCGAGGATGCTTGACCGCTGGCGGCTGGCTGTGCAGCGCTGAGCTTGTCCTTGGCACGAAGCGCCTCCAAGGCGCTCATGTCGAGGTCCCAGGGCGTGCCGCGCTTGTGCAGATCCTCGCGAAGCTCGTCGTCGCCGTGCATGATGCTGGTGGACGCCTCCTTCGTCGATGAGGGCCGCGAGCCCACGCCCGAGCGCACCAAGATGGGCGGCGCAAGCGTCGGCACGCCCTCGCGCGACACGATGCGCACTGCATCCGGGTCTGCGTTGAGATCGTCGTTGCTGCGATGGCCTCGCACGCTGGTCGGACGCTTGCTCCGTGCCGGGCGCCACGGCTGAGGAGTGGCGTCGGCCGCCGCATCGTGCACGTCTTGTTGGCTCGGCTCAGGAGCAGGCGCCGCGCCACTGCGCCCGCCCGACAGGAACCGGGAGATGCGCTGGCGCACGCGCGCCCAGCCACTTGGCTTAGCCTCGCCCTTCGCCTGCCGTTGCGAGTGACTTGGACCGCTCCACAAGACGACGCCGTCTTCCGTGCGGACCGAGCTCTGCGCGGAGAGGTTGTAGTCACCGTCCCTGCTCGTCTGTGAGCTGATCGGCAGAGGCGGCCCGGTCACATTTGAGCGCGCGACCAGAGCATCGAGCTCGTCGGCGATGACGCGTTGTGGCCGCTCGCCGTTCGCCTCGCCGGTGCTCTGAGACAGATTTTCGGACGTTCCGGCGGCTCGTCCTTCGTCTATCAGCGGATTGCCGCTCTCTACGCGAGATCGCATGGCTGCCAGCGCGCCGCCATTGGACAGCTGCCCGATCCTGCGAGAAGTTTTGTCCGGAGAGCGCGAGCGTACGAGGATCAGCGTGCCGGGATAGAAGGAGCGCGGCGGCGCTGGAAGTGCCTGGGCGTCTGTGGCCTCGAGCGGCTCGTCTACGTTGTCGTCGAGCGGCGCGCCGAATGGGCCGTTCGGATGCAAGGGAGCGTGCACATCGAGAACTGCATCAGGATCGACGAGGAGCAGCTCCTTGTTCTCGGCGGGAATGTAGCCCAAGCCCGCCGAGAGCATTGCGTCTCCCTCCTCGCGAAGGGACACGTCAAGAGCAAATGACTCTGAGGCCAATGTCGGGAGAGGCGGTGGCGCCTCCTTCTCGCCGCTGCCCCAGCGACCGAAAGGACGTGAGCGGACGCTGCCGGACGATGAGGTGCGCTTCCCGTCTCCTGGCGCACTCTTCGGGCGTCGGCGATTGCCTGTGCCGCCTCGGCCCTGCGATCCTGCCGCGAGGGCCTCCCGCTGCTCGGCTTCCTTGCGTGCTGCGCGTTCCGCCGCCTCCTTGGCCCTGACCTCGGCCACGAGATTGCGCGGCGCAGGCGTCGGATTTGGGTTCCAGCCGCCGCCCAGGGCGATCTGGCCGCCAAGGCCAGGCGGGACCTTCCAGCTCGCAGGAACTTCTGACGGGACAGTGGCATTGGCGATGCGCACCGAGGGCGAGAATGAGATGCGTCTGGCAGTGAAGCTACTCCTGACGCTGCCCGCGCGGCCGGTGCCGCTTCGTTCACTCGGCCTGGGCGAAGGCGAAGGCGGTTGCGTGCTGCTTGAAGCTTTGGCGGGTGTGGCGGGTGCTGCGACCTGAAATGCGGGGGCCAGTAAGCAACTTGCCCTTTCGGAGCAGGAGCCGGCTGACGAGACTCACATCTACACTCGCAGGAGCCGTCCTCTCGCGAGCCGGAGACTGCTTGAGGGCAGTGGGCGCGCTTCCGTTGCTCAGAGCAGCGTACTCAGTGGCAGTGGAAGCGGAGCCGCCCTTGGCAGAAATTGTCTCTGGCGCCGCTGCTCGTTCGGAATGGCGCGCCGAGAAGGGCGCGCTGTGTCCTGCGTCTGCCGACTGGGAGCCGGCCGCCTCACTCTGCTCTGCCGCGGACTTGACTTTCGGCTGCGAGGCATGCAGCGCTTCGACGCAATGCGCCGCGTCGCGGTCCTCCGGCAGGAGGTGTCTCAGCTGCTCGCGCTGCGCCTCGAGGAGGACGTGCGAGCTCTGCGAGCGCTTGAGCGATGCCGGCGCCGTCTCGACGACTGCATCCGCGGGCGGCCGCCGGCGAGCTGCAGCTCCGCCGCGAGCGGAGAAGCCGGCGGAATGCGGCGATGTGAAGACCTCGGCGGTGTGCGCCGGCAGCCTTGCGGCGACGTCCTTCGATGGCGAGCGAGGGGCTGCGGCGGCCGGCTGCGAGGCAGGCACGGCAGCACGCTTGCCATTGGCTTGACCTGGCGCTGCATCCGAGGCCGCGCCGGTACTGGCCACCTGTGTAGGCATGTCGTGCGGTGCGGCACGCTCAGAGCCGCAGACAGCTCAGAGACGGCAGCGGGGCGTCGATGAAGCGGCGTGCGGTGCAGGAGCGAGGTGTGTGGGTGTGGAGCGCGAGGCGGGGACACGTGCAAGGGTGAATGGTGGTCGCGTGTGTTGCCAAGCTGCACGATGAGTAAGCTGCGCGAGGTGCAAGCTGCGTGGTGTGTAGAGAGAGAGCGAGAGAGGTGCTTGCGGATGGCGGATGGCGAGGTGCTGAGGAACCGAGAGGACGGGAAGCAAGCAGCGGGCAGCGGGCAGCGGGCAGCGCACCACCGCGCACCGGCCGCCGCCGCCGCGCCGATACGCTCATTTCGCGCCCACACGCGCCTAAACTCCGCGCCTGGGCCCACCGCATCGTGCGTCTCCCAATGCATCCACATCAGCGCCGACAGAACAGGGCACATCGGGCTCCTAATGCACGCACAGCATAAGCACAAGGCGCATCCCAGCGCCCGTCGAAGAAAGCCTGCACCGTGAGCATGCTGTGCCATACGGACGTGAGAGCGCGGCCGCACCCCGAAGCGACGGCGGCGGCTGTGACGCGGCGGCGCAGCGCACCCGCCCCCAGGATCTAGCGCGGGCTTGGCGCCTCGCGGAATGCGGCGGCGGCGCCGTTGCCGTGCACGAGAGGCCATCTGCGGGCTGACGCCGCTGGGCTGCATGCTGCGCCGAAATAGATCAGCGGGCGCACGTCGATCAGCGCAGCGTCCAAGGCAGCGTCAGGGGGAGCGAGAGGGGCAGGCGCCCGCCCCCTGACCACCACACCGCACAGCCCAGACCACCTCGCCGCGCTGCTTCCCCTTCGCTCAGACGGGCGCAGCTACACGCAAGAGATTCATTGCACAGCGCACGCTGGCCTGGCTCCTGCGCTCGGCGCGCTGCCTCAGCCGCTCATGCTCGCGACGTGGTGCACGTGCCACTGCATCACGCAGACAAGGGTGTGGAGCAGCATCTCGATGTCCGGGAACTGCGGGCAGGCGGCATGAGCACGAGACTGCGCAGTGCGCCGGATGCCGGCTGTGCTCACCCTGCTCTCCACTTCAAGCTCGCCGCCGCCCTGCGCCTGCTTGACATCTCGCCGGAACACCGCCACGACGCGCTCTCGCGGCGCCCGTCCGCCGGCCGCGGCGCCCTTGTCGAGCAGCTTCATCGTGTGCGCCCCGACCCACTCGTACCGCCTTGCGCTGTCCGGCCCGCCCTTGCCGTCGCGTGCGCCTGCAGTGAAGGCGAAGCGCTGGCCCCACGCATCGCTCCGAGCAAGCGTCGTCACGGAGACCGTTGCGGCCGCAGACGTCTTGGCCGTCGAGATCTCCCACGTATGCCTGGCTCGCCGCGAAGGCGTCGAACGCAGTGCGGGCTCCTGCGAGAAGGAGTGTCAGCGAGGCGGCGTGTCCCTTGCTGATGGGAGACTCACGCCATCTTGAGCGCCTCTCAGCAACGTCATCTTGGTGGCGGCGGCAAGCGGCAGCCAGCCGAGGCCCAGACCGATCAGCAGGCCACGGCTCACTGCGTGTCCCAGACGCACGGTCCACGTCCTGCTATCGTCGAGCGACCGAACGACGAAGTCGTCCTTGCCCCTTTTGCTGCGCGACACTGAGGCGCTGCGTCTCCGCTGCTTCTGGTGAGAAGGCTCGGAGCTTGCCGACACGCCCGGGCGCGCAGAGGCCAAGGGTGCGAGTGCAGCTCGAGCGGCGAGCTCCGCCGTGGAAGTGATGACGAAGCGAAGCGTTGCCGTGGTCTCGCTCAGGACAGGTGTAACTGGCTCGCTGGTACCCCGATGCTTCCCTGAAGACGACTGTGACCTGGACGTGGAGCGCGAGAGCGATGAGCCATGCATGCCGTGGCCAGGATCGCTAGATGGCTCGCTGCGCTTGCGTCCGGTGTCAATCGTCAAGTTGAGCTGTTCGAGAGAGAGTGTTCGCCGCTGTCTGACAGACTCGTGCTGAGTCCATCGTAAAGAGTCCGAGGACAGGGCGCGGCCCTGCAGCTCGCACGTGCGGGCTGCGGGCTGTGCGAAGATGCCTCGGTCTGCAAGCGATTGCTCGCACAGCATCTCCATCTCGGCGCCCTTCTCGAGCGGAGACGGCTGCAGCGTCGCCTCGGAGTCGAAGAGCTGTGATGGCGACCTGCTGAGCAGCGGCGACGCGGAGACTCGCGGCACTGGTGTCTCCAACCAGGCAATCTCGCGCCACTCGATGCTGCTGCGCGACCTTGGTCTTGCTGAGCGGTACTCGATCGAGTCGGTCGGCGCCGTCGAGCTGCGCAGCGGATGGGCTTTCGCCACGGGCGCCGATGCCAGCGCGCGACCTATCGTTTGGCTGGACGGGCGAACGACCTCGTGCGGTGAGCCCGACTTCGGGAGGGACACCTTGCGTTCGCCCGGACTGGACGGCGGCGTGTGAGAAGCCGTCGTACACTGCTGCGAGTACCACGACGGGCGCCGCAGGAGACTGCCGTCCGACGCCAGAGAGCTTGAGGAGCAGGAGCGTGGCAGGGCGTTGCCGCCGTCTCTGGGCACTAACAGCGGCGCCACACTTGCAACTCGCGCCGGAACTGGACTGCTGAGCTTCCCGAGGGTCTCGTTGGTGACTCCCAGGCTGCTGCGGCGCAGTAGCGGCGGAGCTGGCGTCCCGGCATGCCGCCTCTGCGGCGTCGAGCGAGTGCTCGTGGCGGTGTACAGGCGCGCCTTGTTCCCGCCGTCTGGCCACTGAGGTGCCTGCGATGACCAGAGCGTGTCCGACGGCAAAGGCACGGGAGCTTCGATCGCGACAGCTGTGGAGTAGCCCGCCATGTGCATGTCGCTTGCCGTCATCGACTGCCGGAGCGTCGCAGCAAAGCGCGCGCCGAGGCCTTTTCGCTTCGTCGACAGCTGGCGCGCGGGGCGCTCCGTCGATGGTGACATGGCGAGAGGTGAGGCTTCTGCTGGGTCGAAGGGCAGCTCGAGAATGGCATGCTGAGGCGAGAGCCGGATGGCCCGCACGCTGGGACGGCGGCTTGGCGGCATGACCGGTAGCGGCACTGGGTCCAGCTCCACACTGGACGAAGACTGCACACGGCGATGAGGCATGTCGGCGCGGCGCGAGAAGAACGAGTGCGACGTTGGAGTGCTGTGAGTGTGAGGACTGCCGGGGTGAGTGCGATGAGGGAGAAGAGACAAGAGCAAGGGTGGGACCTGTCGTGCAGAGGGGCCAGCGACGCCGCCGCACAACACTCGACTCAGACTCGACTGCCCTACGCAGCAGCGCGCCGCAACGCAGCCAGCAGAGATGTGCGCCGTCGATCGGCTGATCTCCAGCCTCACGCGCGCACGACGTGGACCCCGCACGACAAGTGCCTTTGATTCAAATGCCTCCTCTCTGCAGCCAGAGATAGCCCAAGGTCCTCGCGCGGCGCGCCGTTCGCGGCAGCGAACGCGGCGGGCGGCCTCCGCCAACGACTGTACCTTGGGCGCAGTAGAGTGCGGCCCAAAGGGGCGGCTCTCACTGCGCCCGAGCCGCCGGTGACCGGAGAGCTGCTGGCATGCTACGCTGTCTCCGGCGTCCGAGGTGGTGCCGGAGAGCGCAGCCCGAACGACATGCGAGCTGAAGCTTGTTCGGCAGGCACGCAGCAGAGCGCACCATAGCACGAAGCTCACTCAAACTGAGGCGCGCCCTTCTTCAGCTTGTGTAGCTGCGCTTCGGGCAGCGAGCAAGCATGCCGCATGCTCCTGCTGCATCCTGCCCGGGATGCTCAGTCCGAGAGGCCGCTCGTGTGGCCCAAAAGGGCATGCCGCGCCCTCTCTTCTGTCGCTCTGACGAGCTGCAAGCAGTCGAGTCGCGTGGAAAGGGGCGACCCCTGCCGTTTACGGGGTCTCGGGGACCCATGCGCCAGGCACATGAGCAGGGTCGCCACCCCTGTGCAGGGAGGGGCCAGCATGCGGAGCACCGCTTCCGCAAGTACGTCAGCTCCTGATGAGCCCTGCGCTGGCGCTTGAGACACGCGCCAGAGAGGAGGTGGGCGCTCGATACGGCGGCGTCGTTCGGGCTCGGCAGCACGTGCACACACGGGCGTGGGGCGGATGCTGTGCACCCGCGATGATAGGTGCACGTCGAGCATGCGCAATTCAGGGTATCGCGAGGAGCGTGGAGCAGAGAGATACAAAGGAGAGAGGGCGAATGCCGACAGGGATACGTGCGGGAGGAGCAGCGGCGCATGCTTCCCTCCAGCCGGCAGTCGAGTCGTGCGCGCGCGTCCAGCGGGCCAGCGAGAGCGAGCCCAGCGTGAACGGATCGGGATGCGCTAGCGGTAGTACTGCTGCTGCTGCGGCGGCGGCGGCGGTTGCTGCTGGTACTGGTGTGGCGGCGGCGGCAGCGGCTGGTATTGCTGGTGCTGCTGCTGGCGGGGTGGAGGCTGCATCGGGTGGTGGTACATCTGCTGCTGATGTTGAGCGGCGATGGGCGGTGGTGCCGGGGCAGCAGCATTGCCCGGGCCACGCGAGTAGCGCTGCTGGACCGGCGGTCGCTGACGTGGCGGCGAGCCTCCCATGGCGGCCTGCAGACTGCTGATCGTTGCGAACTGCTGGCGGAGGAAGTCCGACGTGCCGGATCGCATGCGCAGGAGACGCAGGACGACTGCAGGGACGCGCATCAGCACGAGCTTCAGGGCGCGAGCCAGCCAACAGACTCACCATCCAGATTGTCGTCCTGCTCCTCGCCCTTCTTCTCCTGCTTGCGCTTCTTGATCGTGCCCAGGGAGCGCTGCTGCATGACCGACTTGTTCTTGGCGCGCTTCGTCGGCGCTCGCCGAAGCCGCTGCTGCATCTCGCGCACGCACGCCTCCATCAGCGCATCTGTGTTGGCGTCGTGGTGCAGCGTGTACGAGACGATCTCGCGGTACTTGGGGCCCTGCAGGACCTCCAGAGGCACGCCGTGCGCAGTGCCCGTCTCCTCGTCGTAGGCGTTGAAGTAGTTGCGCAGCATGGAGAGCCACTTGAAGACGACCTCGACCTCCTTGCCGGAGAGCTGCTGCAGATCCGACGGCGAGTCCGACAGCGGCGGGAGCAGGATGCCGTCAATCGTGTTCAGCACCTCCTTCCACACCTTCGTGAGCACGAGCAGAGAGCCCGTCTCGCTGAGGCTGCCCTTCAGCGTGCCCAGGCACTCGTCCAGGTAGTCGAGCAGCGGCATGATGGCGGCCTCGATCTCCTGGTCCGTCAGCTGAGTGGGCCGCTGCTTCCGCGGTGCCTCTGCATCGACGGGCGGGATCGACGGGCCGTTCACGTTCGTGCTGGCAAGCGCCTGCGCGTACAGCGCCTTGACGTTGCCCAATGCCTTGTCGAGATTGATGCCGCTCGTGCGCACGAGAGCCTTGAGCACCGTCCGGGACAGGCACTGGCGGATGAAGATGCTCATCTGCGAGAAGATCGCGGTCAGTGTGCGCAGACGAGGAGCTCGGGCTTGGGATGTCAGGCCAGTCGCTGCCGAGCTCGCTCACCTTATCGACGATGATGCGGACCATGTCGCCCTCCGCACGCTTCAGCGAGCGGAACGCGCGGCCGAAGTAGAAGAGAATGTCGTCCTTCTCGCCCTCCATGCTGACACGCAGCAGGAGACGGCCGCGCGTGTCCAAATCAAGCCAGAGCTCGTGCGCCAGGAAGTCGCCAAAGTATCGCGGATCCAGCCGCAGGTAGGCGCGTCCGCAGAGATTGTGCTCGCCGACGAGCTTGCGGTCCCACACCGTGGCGGCGAGCCACATTTGCTTCTCGACGGGAATGTCGAACAACTCGTCCCATCGCGGGTCCGGTGTCTCGTAGATTGTGCGCGTCTTGGCTATCTTGGCGCCACGCTCGTCGCTGAGAGTAACGAAGGAGTCGATGCGCGGATTGGCGGAGGTGGACTTGACGGGCATGAGGTTCTCACCCAGCACGACCTTGACGGTGAAGATGTAGCGGTCGTTGAGCGCCTTGTCGGGCACGTCGGGCGCCGCGTGCTTGATGATGTGTGCCTGTTTGTCGGCGTCGATCTTCGTGTACAGCTTGTCGAGCAGCAGGCGTGCGGCCTCGATGTTGTTGAGCTTCACGCAGGACTGCGGCGGAGAGGAGTCAGACGGTGACGGTGGTGCTCGCAGCGCGCGAACTCACAGACGTCTGGAAGTGGAAGGGCTCGACGCGCTTCTCGCCCTGCAGCGTCTGCTTCGCCTTGATCATCCACGCAGACTGCTTCTGGCTGGCGTCTTGGTCCTCGGCAGTGCGCGGGAACATCTCCTCCATGAAGAGCTCCTCGACGCGGTTGCAGTACTGCTCGATGGAGCGGCTGATCGTCTTGGCGAGGCTCGTGAGGAAGCGGGCATTCCGGTATGGGTCGGACCAGTTGAGAGACTGGATGAAGTCCAGCGGCTGCTGCAGCGCGCCGAAGAGATCGTCGATCGACGAGCTGTGCACGGCGCCCTCGCTCTCGATTGGAACAAAGCGGTCCGTCGAGACGGCATTGTGCACCCACTCGCCCGTCTTCTTTTCCGTCAGCGCCAGCCACTGGCGGATGTGCGGCTCGAACCACGCGCAAAGGTCAAAGACGAGCTCGACGTGCGGGCAAAAGGTGCCGTGCATGCGCAGAAGCGCCTTGACGCGGGTGTAGAGGTGCAGCACGTCCTCGAAGGGAAGCGGGTCGCGCTCTCGCGCAGCGTGTGCCACGATCTGCTGCCGCATCGAGTCGAGATCGTCGAGATAGAGGCTGACCTGCTTCTCCAGCAGCAGAGCGACGGGATCCACACTGCCGAGCACTGGCTCGGGGAAGCGCTTGTCGACGCGCTTGGCGCCCTTCTCGAGCCAGTCCAAGAGCTGCAGCAGCGGCTGCACCTCGTTCTCCACGATCTGCGAGAAGAGGTCCGTGGTCTTGGCGGTGTAGTCGTGAATGGCCATGATGCGAATGCGGTCCTTGAGGTCCTCAACGTAGCGGTCCAGTTCGACGGGCTCCAGCTCGAGGCGGCCGCCCTCTCGCACGAGGCCCGAGCCGTGCAGGTCAGTGACGAGATCCAGATAGGGCTGGACCTCCGACGGCTCGACGTTCTGTATGTCCTGGAATGCGTCGGTGATGTAGCGCAGGAACGAGACGAAGAGGGCGCTGTAGATGCGGACGAGCAGAGCCCGATCTGCGACTGCCCACGTCTCGATGCCGCTCTCGTCGATGACGAGCTGTGTGGCGTTGAGCGCCTCGGTGATGCAGTCGAGCGGCACCTCGCCCGCGTCGTGCTTGCGCTGCACGACCTCGAGGTTGGCCAGACTGCGGAAGGGGCTCATGAGGCGCCACCGCAGCGCGCACTCGCTCAGGAGCTCCACGTGTGCGCGCGACAGGATGCTCAGCGAGACCTCCTCCTCCTCGGGCTGGCATTTGATCTGCTCGAGATCATGGTCGATGCACAGCTCGAGCGCGCGCCGGTAGTACGCCTTTGGATCTGGCGGGATGAACGTGAAGCCAGCGAGGGCGGCTTCGTCGTCCTCAGCCGCGCTGTCCGCAGCATCGCCGCCCTTCTCAGCAGCTGCCGCCGCGCCATCGCCCGCGGGCGTGCTGCCTTCACCGGCAGACGGCTGGGCAGCGGCAGCGACGCTCAGGTCGTCGTCGCGCGAATTTGTCGTCCGCAGGAGCTCTGGCTTCGCCTTGCACATCTGCGCCATGATCGACGACAGATTCTGGAGCTCCTGCGCGCGCCACGTCTGGTACGCCTCCTCGGAGTCGAAGTCGTCTCTCCGTGCAGGCCACGCAGCCTGCAGATTGATGTTGCGCACGCATCGCTTCAGGTCGATCATGGCGGCCTGCGAGAGAGCAGCACGTTCAGCCTCGTGCAGCTGCCGCGGCTCGCACGGGCCTTGCAGGACACCAATCCGCCTTGTCCCCTCCGCATGCTGAAGCATCTGCTCATGACTCACCTTTTCTGTCGCCGTCGCCAGCATGAATTCTACGTCCCTCTGCAGCTGCTCCGCATCGACCTGAAACAGCTGCCCGACGGTCCTGATCATCTCCGACTCGAGCAGCGGGCTCGCGAGCGTGTGCGCAGAGCTGGCAGCGCTGGCGCGCCGGCTGCCGGGCACGCTGCTGCTTGACGACGGCGCATCCATCAGGTTGCCGTTGCTCGCACGGTTTGCGACCTTGGCAGAGGCCGTGGCGGCGGCGGAGCTCTCGGAGGCCTGCGCCGCCTCGCGTTGCTGCTGACTGAGGCTGATCGGCGCCGGCGTGAGCTTGGCGGAGTAGCCGTCTAGCCGCTCCGTGAGCTCCTTGGGCACGCCGTGCAGCGCGCGCAGGCACTCGCGGATGATCTTGACGAACTGCGACACCTGCTTGTTGAGCTCCTCCTTCCACGCATCGCCCTCGGTGCGGGCGCGCAGCGCCTTCTGCGCGGCCGTGACGAAGATGAGGATGAGCTCCTCGACCTTGCGGTTCTCGCGCATCTGCTTCTGGAATGACGTCTCCTTGTACGTGCCATAGAACACGCCGATCGTCTGCCGCAGACTTTGGTCGTTGTAGTGCGGATCGCGGCCCATGGCGATGCGCTCCAGCCGCTCTCCCAGGCGCTTAAGCAGCTTCTCGGGAAAACGCGCTGCCTTCGAGGAGCCGCTGACATCGCGCACCATGTCAGCGAGGCCGCCGAGGCTCATCCAGTCGCTCTTGCTGGATGCCGCCGGCGCCTCGGCCTTCTTGACGGGCGCGGCTGCCGCAGGGCCTGCCTCGGGCTTCGGCACGGCCAAGTCCTGCGCCTTGGGCCGCTGCACCCACGAGAGCACCGAGAGCTGCAGGAGGAACTGGAGAACGCGTCTGTCAGCCCGTGCAACGTCCCTGGTCGTAGGCCGCTCGCGGCTGCGAGCCTGCATCGCACTCACCACGTACACGTCGCCATCTGTCATACGCTCACGAGCACTAGCCACGCTGCGCGTACTACGTGTCGTCATGGCTGCGGATGAGCGGCTGCCGCACTCTGCGTTTGTTCTGCGGCCTTGACGCTGCTCAGAGCGGCCAGAGATAGGCGCGCTCTCGGCAGTGAGGCTGTACCGGCGCTCGTCTGCAGCCCGTCAGACCGTCCGGCGCCAGGCGTGAAGCGGATCGAGCGAGCGCCAAGTGGTAGAGATCTTAAGCGCGAAGTCGTTCTCTGCCTCGTATATCCAGACGACGAGGCTGTAGCGAAGAGGTGCGGGAGCGATGCAAGACAGCAGGCGGCTGCGCTCCACACGCGATACGATGCGATGGCGCCGCAGAGCACAGCAGACGGGCAGGGTGGCGAGAGGAGCCGCAGACGCCGTGCTTGAGCGTACGAGAGCGGACCCGCGATGAGGATGAAAGGGAGCAGAGGAGGGGCCGCGCGTGCGCGCGGGTGGTGGAGTCAGAGGCAAGGCATAAGCGAGGGTGAGGCCGGGCTGTGCGCCGCGCGACCATGATCTCGTGACGTTGCGTCGACGCCGGCCGCGGCAGCCTAGCAGCGCGCGGGATCAGCACACAAAGCAAGCAAGCCCCGCCTCGATCTGCAAATAGAAAGCAAAAAATACAAAATGCGGCGCGTTGATATAACGAGCGCGCTGCTTTTCGAATGCGCGGTCGCCCCTGCCAGTGTGGCTCCGAGGTATGAGCCGCAGCAGGCTGACCTCTCTCGACCTACCCCTCGACACGCCTCGTCTGAACCGGGAGGACAGAGCTTACACGGCTGGACAAATTCGTCCTGGCAGAATTCTGAAGGCATCTGTCCCCCCATCAGCAGCCAAGCTCGCTCGCAGGAGCTCGACGAGACGCACGCCGCTCGTTGCCTCGGAGCGCGGGCGCGCGGCGTGTCGGATCGACCTCCACACGCGCTCGCTGAGGCGGAGCAGCTCCTGCGTCGCACAATGCTCTCGGTTGCGCCTCGCGCTCAATTGCGGCTCAAGAGACATGAGCTAGACTCTGGTGGACAGACGCCCAGATATGCGGCAGCAGCAGCGCGTCGGCAGGCAGCGGCAGACGGTGAGCCTTGCCCCGCCTCCCCACGGGGCAGAAGATTGGCGACGGCCGCAAGCCGAAGCGCTGCTCCGCTCCGTGTGCGATGCCCGTGCGCGCCCGGCGACTTTTCGTCACCGCGCCCGGCCGCCGCGCTGCTGCCGACTCAAGCCGGCGCGGTGCGACGGCTCGAAGCCTCCCTCCCGCACACATCCTCCCCCCCCCCCCCAATACGCTCCTCACACCCACTCACTTCACCATGCTCCGCACTGCCCTTGCCCGCGCCACGCCGGCCGCTGTGCCGCGCCGTGCCGCGCCTCTGCTTGCCGCGCGTGCCAAGCACACGCTGCCTGACCTGCCCTACGACTACGGCGTGAGTGACCGGAGCGACACTGAGCGCTGAGATGGAGACGCAGCGCGGCAGCCAGCTCTCTGGGTCGTCAGCAGCGCACTGAACACCTCGCTGCCCAGGCGCTGGCGCCGGCCATCAGCGGCCAGATCATGGAGCTGCACCACCAGAAGCACCACCAGAACTACGTCAACGGCCTGAACCAGGCCGAGGAGACGCTCTCGCAGGCCATCGCCAAGAACGACGTCAAGACGGCCATCGCCACGCAGAAGGCGCTCAACTTCAACGGCGGCGGTGCGTCGCCGCTGCGTGTCCCCTCGTTGCGGCCGCTCGCTCACCCGCCCGCCTGCAGGCCACGTCAACCACTCGCTCTTCTGGCAGAACCTCGCGCCCGCCAAGTCCGGCGGCGGCGAGCTGTCGGCCGGCCCGCTCAAGGACGCGATTGAGCGCGACTTTGGCAGCCTCGACGAGCTCAAGTCGAAGTTCAACGCGCAGCTCGCCGGCATCCAGGGCTCCGGCTGGGGCTGGCTCGGCCTGAACCCGGCCACGGGCAAGCTGGACATCATCACCACGGCCAACCAGGACCCGCTGCTCTGTGAGTCGGGCGAAAGGAGGGCTGCATTGTGCACTTGCTGACAGGCTGGTTGGTGCAGCTCACGTGCCGCTGATCGGCGTCGACGCATGGTGAGTCGGATCGAGTCAGGGAGGGAGGCGCGCTGCTGACTTTGACACACGCGCAGGGAGCACGCCTTCTACCGTGAGCTGCGCTAAGCCATGCTGTGTAGGTGCATCCATCTGACCCGCTGCTCTGTCCTCCGCAGTTGACTACAAGAACGTCAAGGCGGACTACTTCAAGGCCATCTGGTCGGTCATCAACTTCAAGACGGCCGAGGAGCGCCTGAAGCAGGCCAAGTAAGCGTGCCAGGCCGCTGCGTGCTGAGCTCGGGCCTGCGGCACCGCTCACTGGTAATGCTTATAACTTGACATCAAGAGCGCGGCCTGATGCAGTGCCTGCGTGCCGGCGAGAGTGGCAGCACAGACGGAGCTGCCATGCCGTGCGTGTTGTGCGAGCTGCGTGAGCCTCTGCACCCCAGCCTACCGCTGCCCGCGCTCAGCTCCTCTATGCGTCCTGATCAGAATGCTCCTAGGCGCTACTGCCAGGTGAACTCCGACGATTGCCCGCACACATCCTGCATCGGCACAGCACCTCTCGAAGCTCGTCGGTCATCTAGCGGCGCAGATCGCGTCTCTGGCGCCGAGCTGTGAGCATGCTGAATGTATGTGTTGGGCGTGGTCGTGACAAGGGAGCCGGACAGAAAGAGCAGTGGACCAGGGACAGCGAGATGCGCAGGAGCCGGCGACGCCCGCCTAGACGATCTTCTCCGTGCCCTTCTCCAGCGCGGCCGCCTTGCTGCCGCCGCCGAGGTGGTGGTAGTTGACGAAGCGGAAGAGCTGGAAGCTCTGCGCCGTGGCATTCGTGGCGTGGCACGCGAAGCTGTTGGTAGGAGGTCAGGCACAGCACAGCGCCGGCGAGTCACACAAAGACTCACAGCAGGTAGTTGCGCGGCTGCACCCGCCAGGCGAAGCGCATGAACACCATACTGAGGGGGGCGAGACGTCAGCATGCGGTGCAGGCGCCGACGCATATGCGCCATCGTCTCCGTTGCGCTCTCTTCTCCGCACAAGTGACCAGGACCGTGCGAGTTGCTGCATTCAGCTCCTCTCGTGCCTCTTCCTGATCATCTGGCTGCCAGATAGCGGAGAGCAGCCAGCGCCGGCGCAGCTCTCGGCTCGAGCAGAGGCGAGGGCGCACAAGCCTGCAACACACGTTCGCGACCAGCCAATGAAGTATCGCAGCACAACCTGGCCGCCGGCTGAAGAGGTCTCCCGGTACAGAGCCGCCGGTCCGCAGACTCTGCAGTAATTCGCAACGCGTGCCTTGCCGCCTGTCGCCCCGCAGGCCCTCGAGCACGGCCTCGAGCGGCATAGCCTTGCAACTCACGAGTAGCACGCCAGCGCCGTCGTCATAGAGCCGGAGATGACCTCCTCGTCCTTCTTCAGGTCCGCAATGGCCGCGAGCGGCAGGCCCCAGTTGGCGACGGGCCCCCAGAAGTGCGTGCTGAGGAAGTAGTCGCGCGCCGCGGGCGACTTGATCCACGCCGAGAAGGCCGACGACATGGCTGCAGAGGAGTGGTGGGGCGTGCGGCGGCGGTACGAATAGACGAGCAGTGTGCGGGACAGCGCAACGAGAGAGGCGATTGGAAGGAGAGGGAGTGGTGGTCGGTGTCGAGGTCGCGGCGCTGCCGCCAGCTGCGCGCTTCTGTTGGGGCCCGGCGATGCGCGGCCGACAAATTCGTCCGCAGCGGCGCCTCGCCGCGCTCCGAGCCACTCGACTGCTCCACATCCAGATCCGCAGCTGAGCCTTGCCCTTCCTTCCGCCCTCGGTCGTCGTACGCAATCTGGCCTGCACGCGCTCGCCCAGTCCATTCGCTTGCTTCGTGCCGAATTGTACCACGGCCATGGCCGAGCGGCACCCCGTCGTGCACCTGTTCTTCGGGCGGCTGCCGAACCACCTCGCCGTGCAGCAGTTCGCACAGCACAGCACACACTTCGACTACGCTCCGCGCGCCCCGGACCCGCTGCTGGCGCACGACGTCGACTGGGCCACGGGCGCCACGCCCCGCGGCCACGAGACGTATGTGCCGCGCGCCCTCTGCTTCGACTCGCGCATCGGCTGCAGCGCCGGCGCCGGCGGCGCCTACGACTGGGCCGCCGAGACGGGCGCAGACGAGGAGCAGGCCCTGGCGCGTGAGGGTCAGACGACTTGGTGAGCTGGCGGGAGTGTCTCCAGGGGTCTGTGCGGACGCCGTGAAAGCGCCAGGAACGAACAGCATGGCGGGCACCACCGGCGCTCTGCTACCGCATTCGGGCCTCACACTGAGACGGCGCTCATTCACAGGGGGCAGGAAGCTGTGATTCATCGAGTTGGTGCGAGCGCAATACACAATGAGGATGAGCTGGACGATGACGTCGAGGAGGATGAAGCGATGGACGCCGAGGCGGATGAAGCGACCGGCGAGGCGGACGCCCAGGCCGCTCCCAAGAAGGCGGCTCGACAACGGCCAAGCCCGCGGCCGTGGTCGCACTACGCCACGTTCGACTTTCACCCGCGCTCCTTGGTCGCGCTTCGGGCACCCGGCGGCGGTGGAGACCTGCGGGCGCTGGAGGACCTGAACGGAGGCGCCTCGGCCGTGGGTGACGGAGCGACGGAGCTGGGTGCGTGGGAGACTGGCATTGCCGCGGCGCACGAGCTGGACTCGGTGAGATGCTGCGAGGTGGTCACACAGGCTCGAATCTAACTCGCTGCACAGCAAGATCCCTTTCTCGACGAGCTGCTGCGGCCATGGACCGAGGCGTGCGACACGATCCAGGCCTTCAGCTGCGGCACGACGACGACCGATGCGTTTGCGGGCCTCTCGCATTGGGCACTCGAGCAGATCATCGACGAGTACCCGAAGACAACGGTCCTCACGTGGGGCGCAGCCGGCGTTGGCGCGGTGGGCTTGCAGGACGAGCGCAAAGAGGTGCGTTGGAAGACTCGGCGTTGGCGGGTGCCGCGTCTGACTCGTCATCTCCTCAACAGCACGCCAGACGCCTGCGGGTCATCAATGGCGCTCTGTCCCTTGCGATGCTCTCCGAGGTGTCGTCCATGTACCTGCCGTTGCATTGCCCGTCTAAAGACGCCTTCCACGACGACATTCTTAGACGCCGAGCGGAGTGGCTAGACTCCCGCACGCAGGCCTCAATCATGCAGCCAACACTTGACACCGCCTTGCTCGGACTTCGGCAAGTAGGCTCGTTTAGCGCAGCACCTGTCAGAAGCTCATGACGGTCGACAGGTTGAAGACAGGCGGAGAGTCTGCGTCCACCCTCGCTTCCCGGCTGAACTGGCGACGCGACACCCCGATTGCCGCTCTGAGGGGGCATGTGCCGCTGCCGTCCCTCTCAGCTGCACCTCAGCAGGCACCGATGGACCCCATCGATGCACTGCTTGCCTCGCGCGGTTACGGACCGGCACGCAACAAGGCTCGCCCGCTCACGCGCGACGAGGCTGCTGTCGCGGGCGCCGGCGTTTTGAAGGCTCGCTGCATCGACTTCAGCGATCTGGCGGCCACAGACAGCGAGCAGAAGGCGTTCGCCGCGTCGACGCTGGCCAGAGGAGCAGCTGCAGCGGCTCTCGGCGAGAAGCTCGAGGACACAGTGGACAAGTGGAGCGGCGTGGACGCGCCCTTTGGCCAGTAGTGAGTGGATCGTTTTGAGGTCTGTCGATGCGCTGCTCACCTCTGCGGTCTGCCAGCACCGGCTCTGCGGTCCCATACAACCTCTCATCGACTTTTCCGCCCATCTTCAGCCAAGGAGAGCAGGACGCCAGCCCTGCGCAGCTCTCGCTGCTTGCATCCATCAGCACGACGCCCGCGACAGCTACCCCACTGCGTGAGGCACTGTCGTCGCTCAAGGGTGCGCTCGCGGGACACTTGCCAAGTGCGGCGTGGGGCATCGCCGAGCAAGGGCCGCTTGGCGGCATGGACGGACTGCGCGAGGCACGCGAACGGCTGGAGGAGCTGCTCGGCGCGTACGAGGAGGAAGGCGCCGGCGGCGAGATGGAGGATGTCGGTACCGACGAGGAGTTCGAGCAAGACGAGTGGGACCTGTAATTGTACGCACCACATAGACACTCTCACGCACTCACACACACCAGCCGGCCGTCGTCGCGCCCTAATCCACTCTATTGCTTCTTCTTCTGGGCCGCCTCCTCCTCCTCCTCTTCCTCGCGCACTCGCCGCAGTGCACCATCCACGGCCTCCTGCACGGCACGCGCGCCGCCCGGCGGCTGAGACTGAGCCTTGTTGGGGTCGTAGAGCTCCTTGGCCGCAGTCATGAACTCGTGCAGCTGGTAGAGCTGCTCGTCCGAGAGCTGAGGGCGCACGTGCGTTAGCGACAAGGTACACGCGGACGTCGAATGGACAGCGAGATGTACATGCGTGTCGGTGGCAGTACCGCATCGCGTCGAAAGACATGCTCCCCCGCTGCCCGCTCACTACCACGCACCTTGTCGAAGCGCTCGCGTTCGAGGCGACGGCCCTCAAACTTGCCGGCGCCCTGCTCGAGCTCGTTGAGGTATGCGACCCACTGGCTGATGAAGCCGACGATCTGCAGCGGCTGGTCGACCTTCTGGTGGCGGCGGAACTCGTCCTTGACGTAGGCGTCGCCGAGCGAGCGCATGTCGGCGGGCAGGAACTTGCGGTGGCCGCGCAGCAGGCGGCGGTACAGCGGCAGCGGCGGGATGAGCGCGGCGGCGACGAGGCCGAGGTTGTGGTTGCCCGGCGCGACGGGCGCGGCGAGGCTGCGTGCTGAGGCGGCAATGAGGCGTGACGACGAGGCGAGCATGCTGCGTGGGTGCGAGGTGTGGCGGTAGATCGGCAAGCCGGTGGGCCAAGGCGGGTGTGAGGTAAGGCAGCGCCGTCGAGTGCCGCGCAGCCGGGCAGTCCCGAGTTCCGCGCCGTGCCGCCTCCACAGCAGCCGATGTCTGCGCTGACTTGAGCAGGGCTCGCTTCTTCCCTCCCACCTCCCTCCCCCATCTTCCGCCGTCTAGACGCCCCTGCGCTGCGCTCTCTCTTGTGACCTCTCGTACAAGCCAGCTTCGCGACCTCGCACTGTTCCGCTTGCCGGCGCCTGTTTAGCAGCGCGAGTCGTCGCCGCGCGTTCGCCCGACACGGCTGGCCGGTCGGGGCGCTCGCTCACGGCAGCGGCAGCATGCCGTCGGCACGTACCATCTTCGCGCTGCTCGGCGCAGCACGCGAGCTGGCCAAGCGCACTGTGGCGGCGCAGACAGATGCTGTCCTCGCCACGCCACCTCGCACAGGCTCGCTGCAGCGCAGCGCAGCGCCGTGGCCGACGCAGCAGCCTCGCCCAAGCGCCACGCCTCAGTCCGTGCCGACGTACCAGCGCGAGACAAGCGCTGCGCCTCAGTCGCCTCCGGCGCAGGCCCAGCAGCCCTCTGCAGAGCCGCAGGCCGAGTCCGGGGCCTGGTCCACGCAGCAGTATGCTGCTTCCAGCCGCGAGCGTGCTGGCCAGCCGGAGGTGAACAGCGCTCCCACCCTGGCGGAGCAGGCCGAGGACCAGCCGCGCGAGCCATCTCCCTCCAACGCGCCGCCAAAGTTCGACCCTGATGAGGTGCCCTTGGCTCCGGACGGCACGCCCATCGAAATGCGCGTACTGCACGATGGCAAAGCCGCCACTGCGGATCGGCCAGACAGCGCAGACGCGCTGAAGCGGCTCGACGCCAGCTTCGAGGCGTACTTTGGTGACGCTCCGCAGAGCGAGGCGAAGACGAGCGAGGCTGAATTGCCCGTCGAGCCACAGAGCAAGCTCAGCGAAGCGCCGTCGAGCGACTCTCACGTGGCAGAGGCTGTGGACCAAGCTGAGCGCGAGGCTACATCGTCTCAAGCTGATGCGGCTGCACCACTGCCGACGGGCTCCGAGGATGTTGCCGCAGATGAGCCATCGCCGCCGCCGCCGATCTCTCAGGCAGTGCCCTCACCCACGCAAGCGAGTACACCTGCCGCCGCCCCAGCAGAGACGGCACATGTCGCACCCGACCCTCAGCAGCCAGTCGCAGCCGCACCGGAGACGCAAGCACCGGAGGCGCAAGCACTGGAGGCGCAGGCAGAAGTGGAGGAGTACGACGCGACAACAGCACCGCGAGCTACGCCCCTACGCGCTGCCAAGGTGCCGTCATCACGCATCGCCCGGGCGCTGCACTACGGAGGTCTCGGCGCTGGCCTTGCCTGGGGAGCAGCTGGCTCCTTCTTCTCTGGCTCGGGCCGGGGCGAGTCGGGCAAGGAAGGGTCCGCAAACCCAATCCTGGGCGACAGTAACGTCCGGCGGCTCGTCGACAAGCTGAGCACGATGCGGGGCGCTGCGCTCAAGCTCGGCCAGTTTCTGAGCATCCAGGGTGAGCGCATTGCGGCGTGTTGACTAGGGCTGCGCAGCTGATGCTGTCCGCGTTTCTCAGACAGCAACATGCTGCCTCCTCAGCTCGAGGAGGTCCTTCTGCGTGTCCAGAATAGCGCGCACTACATGCCGGCGTGGCAGATGGAGAGAGTCATGCAGGCCGAGCTCGGGCCGGAGTGGCGCAAGCAGTTCTCCTCTTTCTCGGACGTGCCCTTCGCCTCGGCCTCGATCGGGCAGGTCCACGCGGCAGTGCTTGCAGAGGACCACCCGTCGCCTCTGGCAGGCCAGCGCGTCGCCATCAAGATCCAGTTCCCCGGCGTGCGGTCGAGCATTGCGTCTGACCTGGGCAACCTGCGCTGGCTGCTGGCGGCCTCGGCGCTGCTTCCCAAGGGCCTCTTCCTCGACAACACGATTCGCGTCATGCAGCGCGAGCTCGACGACGAGTGCGACTACGTGCGCGAGGCCGACATGATCCGCCGCTTCGGCGAGCTCACGAAGGACTCGCAAGTCTTTGCCGTGCCGCGCGTCGTCGACGAGCTCAGCACCGCGCAGGTGCTGACGACGGAGATGATGCGCGGGCGTCCTCTGACGCAGGCTGCGAGGTACACGCAGGACAAGCGCGACCAGGTGAGCAGCTCTGCATCTCAGCCTGCAAGCGGAGTACTGACGCTCCTACGCTGCAGATCGCCAAGTCGATTCTGGAGCTCTCGCTGCGCGAGCTGTTCGAATACCGCCTCATGCAGACGGACCCGAACTGGACGAACTTCTTGTACAACGAGCGCACAGGCAAGATCGAGCTCATCGACTTTGGCGCGGCACGCGCGTACGACAAGCCGTTCATCGACGACTGGCTCTGCATGCTTCGTGCGGCAATCGGCGGTCGTCGCGACGAGTGCGTGGCGTGGAGCGAGAAGGTTGGCTACTTGACGGGCCAGGAGTCTGAGGTGAGCACCCGTCTCACTGCTATTGCGATGTTCTGCTGACTCTGTTGCCAGGCCATGCGCGACGCACACGTCGACTCGATGATCGCCCTAGGCGAGCCCTTCCGAGCCGACGCTCCCAACCCATACCCATTCGCCGAGCAGACCATCACGGCTCGCGTGCGGGCGCAGATCCCGCTCATGCTCCGCGAGCGTCTCACACCGCCGCCAGAGCAGACGTATTCGCTCAACCGCAAGCTGAGCGGTGCCTTCCTCCTCTGCGCAAGGCTCGGGGCGCGCGTCAGCTGCAACACGATGCTGAGCGACGTGACGCGCGACTATGTGCTGGAGAACACGCCGCCCGCCGGCGTGCCCCAGCGCACGAGCGGAACGTCCATCGGCAGCGATCGACGTGGGCTGCACACCTCCAGGATCCTGCGCGAGGTCGAGCAGGCCGAGCGGCGGCGCCAGCGGACACGTGAGATCTGATGTGCCGGGCGGGCTGAGCAAGCGCTGAATAGAAGCATGTACCGCACTTCCAGGCGCAAGCGTGAACCTGGCTGATCGCTGGCCGCGCCACATTGTCAAGGCTGTGGAGATGAGCAGTCCCGCCGAGACGGAGGAGGCCTACACGACGCTCGCGCCGAACAGCAACCCCGCTGCGCCCTCCGTGGGCGACACGCTGGCTGCGTCCGACTCACAGCAGAAGCTGCAGACTACGCCGCTGCCAGCCCAACAGCCCAGCAAAGCGGAGGATCCGCGGACCGTTGAGGCGCCAAAGGCAGCATCGCTCGCCATCCGTGGCGTGCGCATCCCGCAGCGGCCGCCGCCGCCGGGCCCCGAGGACTGCTGCATGTCGGGCTGTGCCCACTGCGCGTACGACATCTATGCCGACGACCTGCAGGACTTCCACGCCGAGGCGTCAGCGGCCCGTGCTTCGTTGCTCGCGCTGGATCCGCCGCTTGCGCCGGACGAGTGGCCAGCCGAGCACCTGGGCGCGAGGCCGACGCAAAGCGCCGGCAAGGGCGCGGCAGGCATGCCCTCGGAGCAGGCGCGCGCCACCGCCGAGTCCGAGGTCGACGCAGTCATCGGCGGCCTCGATCCGACGATGGCCGCCTTCCTCAAGATGGAGAAGGCCATGAAGAAGAAGGCTGCGAGCGCTGCATCACCGGCGGCTGCCAGCTCGCCGTGACGGCGGGTCCTCCACTGCCTTCGCCCTGTCACTGTGGTCACGCATAATGTCACATCTGCCGGGCCTGCACGCATGCGCATCCGAGAGACAGTCGCTGCTTCTCCGTGGGGCAACCAAGCGGGTTCAGTGCCGGAGGGGTGATGAGGCGAAGCGCAGCGCCTGGCGCGCAGGCGCCGAGCAGGAGCATGACGCTCGCCCGAGATGCGCAAGGGGCGCGTCGGGCGGCGAAACACGCGTGCGCCACGGCATGCTGCGCGCGCCGCTCCTTCTCCACCGCGCGGCCGCGTCTGGCCTGCGCCCGATGCTGCCGCCTGCGATGCGCTTCCGCAGCGTTGCTTTGTGCTCCTGGCAGCAGGTGCGGGGGCGAAGCCAGCTTGGTCGCTGTTCTCTGCCAGGATGAGCAGCCCATGCTTCCTTTCGCTCCACAACCTATCTTCGACCTCTCGCTTCAAGCAACCGGCGCTCTTCCCCGCAAGCTCAGTCACGATGCGTAGCGCTCTCCTGTGCGCCTTGGCGCTCCTCCTCGTGCCCGCCGCACGCGCGTTCTGGATCATCGGCCACCAGCCGCTGGTGACGCAGCGCTTCGACGCCATCGTGTCGCCGGGCGGCATCTCGGGGCATGCGCATGCCTTCGTCGGCTCGGGCGCCATCGACGGCAGCTCCACGCGCAAGAGTCTGCGTGGGGCGCACGCCAAGGGCGCATGCACCACGACGGGCCTGCGGGCTGACTCGAGCTCATACTGGGCGCCACAGGTGAGGCGGTCGCGTGCCGTGCTGTGGACACAGACTCATCCTGCTTCTTGCCAGCTGTATCGCTACTACAGAAATGGCACCTTTGCTTCGGTGCCACTCGCATTCGCGTGAGCAGTGACGCATCGAGTGCTGGGACCGGCACTGACACCCATCCCTCAGCAACACATACTATCTCCCCCGCGATGGGCCGACGCAGAAGAAGATCGTTGCCTTTCCGCCTGGTCTGCGCATGATTGGCGGCAACGCCATGGCTACGGCGCACGAGACGCAGTTCCCGGCGGGTGCACACCCTTACTCTTGGGTCTGCCTGCAGACCTCCGGCCCCTCGCCGCAGACCGACGAGATTCCGCACGGCCCTTGTCCGGCGGGTCTGCGCGCACAGATCATCTTCCCGTCGTGCTGGGACGGCAAGAACCTCGACTCGCCCGACCACACCAGCCACATGTCGTACCCGATCGGCAGGCCCGACGGCGGCGACTGCCCGGCGACGCACCCGGTCAAGGTGCCCGTGCTGTTTTACGAATGGGTCTTCGCTGTCGGCTCTGGCGCCGGCAATGGCCGCTGGGTGCTGTCGAACGGAGACTCGGTCGGCTACTCCTTGTGAGGCAGCACCGCAGCTGGCAAGCCATGGCCCCTCGCTGACCGCCGTTCCGCAGCCACGGCGACTTCCTCGAGGCATGGGACACGCGTGTGCTGCAGGCGGCCATCGATCAGTGCACGGGTAACCTGTTCGGAGCACTCGAGAAGTGTCCACCGTTCGTTGAGTCGGGCCTCGATCGCGAGGCAGCGTCGCGCTGCACGGCGCCCAACCTCGTCCACGAGCGGGCCGTCGGCTTCAACCTCAAGGCGCTGCCCGGCTGCAACGTGATCAAGAACGGCGTGCACACGGGCAAGGGCCAGCCGAGTGCGCAGTGCACAACGCCGCCGAGCTTCACGACTCGCAAGCAGGACGTGGCGAACCGCAAGGCGCAGAGCCGCGGCAAGGGTGTGCGGACACGCATGGTGCACTTGAGGACCGAATGAGCGGGCTAGAGCCCGACCCTGTGTCGTGCTTCTGTCATATACCCTGCAGCCGGCCTGCACCACATGTGATTGCTGTATCATAGCGCATCGCGGCCGGAGCGTGCTTGAGGTGGTGGAGGGGAGACGACAGGCGAGGCCGACGGAGGGCTTAAGGCTGACCTGCCGCAAAGCCGCACCGGCCGCCGGGCGAGTGTTGGGCGCTGCACGTGCATCGCGAGCCGATCGCTGCGCCCATGCAACGAGTGACAGACAGCGACTCGCTCTCGCCGCATGCATGCGAGGGTCGGCTGACGATGTCGGCGAGCTGGGCCTGGGGGCTGCTCGGGAGAGTGCGGAGCGCCACGGGGGTGCGGCGGGCTGAGCGCTGCGGAGGGCGGAGAGGCGGAGATGCGGCGTGCGGAGCCGGCCGGGCCGGGCCTTGGGCGCGCTGCGAGGCTGCCGCCCGAGAACTCCACTCGCTCGCTTTCATCGCGTGCGTGGAGCGAGCCGACCCTGGCCTCAGCGAGGCGGCGAGACGTGGCCTGGCTTCTCAATGCTGGTGCGAGCGACGCTGGTGCGAGCTTGCAAGATGCTGAGCAGGTACGGCGATGAGGTGCTGGAGGCCCCAAGGATGGGGCAGGGGCAGGCCCAGGGTGCAGCTCCAGATGCCCGTGCGCCGTGGGGTGCAGCTGCACGTGCAGCCGCCGGGCAGGAGCGCAGTGTCCGCCGCCGGGCGAGGCGAGCGCTGGCGAGGTGCTGCCCCCACGCCAGCAGCGCGCGCTGGAAGCCTCGCCAGCGCGGGCACGCCATCTGTCACCGCTCCGCCGCGGTCCGCCCTGCCCGACGGTCGAGCGCATTCAGCATCAGCCGGCCGCCGCTCCTTCTTCCCTTCCCTCCGCCATCACCCATCCTCACCGCACACCCACACCACCCCACCCCTCCACCCCACCCACTCTCTCACTATGGTCAAGGCTGTTGTCATGTGCGTCGCCGCGCCTGCGCCTGGGCCACCCTCTCGCGCACGTGAATGCTCACCTTCGTCTTGCTCCACTCAGCGGCGCCGCTGGCGGTATCGGTTAGTCGCATGCTCTCGCCTGCCTCATGCACAGCTGCTGACTCACATTTTTGCTGCACAGGCCAGCCCCTGTCGCTCCTGCTCAAGCAGTCGACGCTCATCTCCGAGCTCGCCCTCTACGATGTGTGAGTGGAGCGTCACACCGCTCACGCCGCCGATCACACGCTCATCTCGGACATCTCGCAGCGTGAACGCCCCCGGTGTCGCCGCCGACATCTCGCACATCAACACGCCCTCGACGGTGCAGGGCTACCTGCCCGCCGACGGCGGCCTCGAGAAGGCCCTCAAGGGCGCCGACATCGTCGTCGTGCCCGCCGGTGTGCCGCGCAAGGTGCGTCTGCGCCGGAGAATGCGCCTGTGCTGTGGTGCGCTGGTGCTTGTGCTGCTCTTGCAGCGTTCTTGCAAGCCTCTTGTGTGTGCCGCAAGAGCGCGCTGGCGCCGCACGGACGTCCTCTGTCCAGCTATGAGCGCCTGTTGCGTGCTAGAGCACTGCCGCTCTTGTGCAGAGTCCGGAAGCGAGGCTGCGAAACAGAGCTCTGAATCACAGCGCCAAAGAGCGACCAGCTGACACCTTCGCTCTTGCGCAGCCCGGCATGACCCGTGACGACCTGTTCAACGTGAGTGCGGCGATGCAGCGCTTGCGCGACTCCTAGGCTCATATCTCCTCCCTCAGATCAACGCCAGCATTGTCCGCGACACCGCCATCGGCATTGCCACGCACGCCCCCAAGGCCTTCGTGCTGATCATCTCGAACCCCGGTGCGTGCGAGCAGCAGCTTATGCGCTCAAGCTGTTGGCTGACCCAGCGGTCGCAGTCAACTCGACGGTGCCCATCGTGGCTGAGGTGTTCAAGAAGAAGGGTGTCTACGACCCCAAGCGGTGAGTGCTGGTCTGTGCGCGCGCATCTATGCACGTGACTGAGCAACGCATCTCCGCAGCCTCTTCGGTGTGACCACGCTCGACGTTGTGCGTGCCAGCACCTTCGTCTCGGAGGCCAACGGTGCCTCGGAGAAGTCGCTCGAGTACAGGTGCGTCGCTAGTGCGCAGGTGGCCCTCTTCCGCTGCCGCTGACAGCGCTCGCGCGAGTGCAGCATCCCGATTGTCGGCGGCCACTCCGGCGAGACGATCGTGCCCCTGATCTCGGCCTCGCAGCCGTCGGTCAGCTTCGACCAGTCCAAGATCGAGGCTCTCGTCAAGCGGTGAGTGCAGGATCCGCAGCCGGAGCATGCGCGATGCTCATCTAGTCGCCTACAGCATCCAGTTCGGCGGTGACGAGGTCGTCAAGGCCAAGGACGGCGCTGGCTCGGCCACGCTCTCCATGGCCTTCGCCGGTGCCCGCTTCGCCATCAGCGTGCTCGAGGCTGCCGCTGGCAAGGCCCGCACGGAGTACTCCTAGTGAGCTGGCCGCGTGCACAGCGCCAGTAGCGCAAGCTCACACTGCGTCACAGCGTCGACGTCAAGGCACTCGGTGCCGGCGAGTGGAGCTCGGTCGTTGGCGACCTGACCTTCTTCTCGGTCCCCGTCAAGCTGGGCAAGGACGGTGTTGAGTCCGTCGGCGCTGGCATCAAGGCCAACGAGTACGTGAGTAGCGCGCATTGTCTCCCCTCCCGATGCGCCTCTGACGGACAACCTCGCGTGTGCAGGAGCAAGGCCTCCTCAAGGTCGCCGTCGACCAGCTCAACGGCGTGAGTCTAGCGCAGCTCAGACAAGGCCTTCTTGCGCTGACCGCCGCTCCCACAGAACATCTCCAAGGGCGTTGCTGTGAGCCGCTTTCTGTAACCACGCGCGGGTCTTCACGTGCTGACCCTTGTGCCCCTCAGTTCGTCGCCGACACTGCTGCCAAGGCCGGCCTCTAAGGAAGCCGCGCAGCATGCTGCACATAACCAAGCCACCAGTACCAGAGGTGCAATTGAGATATACACATCAGCCCTCACGCCTGTTTGCGACCCTCCTCGAGGCGTCGCAGCAGCGACTCGGCGCACGCCGCGAAGGCGGCGCGCTGCTTCTCGCACCCGAACGTCCACTCGACAACGACGCGCACAGGGCGCGGCGTGGGCGCACCTCCTTCTTGAGGCTGCGCAGGATCGCTGCGCATGTCTGTGTCGCCGCCGGCGGGCTGCGCCTCCTGTGCAGGAGCTTGCTTCTCCGCTTCGTCATCGGCGTCTTGCGTCGCGCTGGCCTCTGCGGCGCTCTTGGGCTCGCGACGAGCCTGTGCCCACTGCGCCGAGCAGCGCAGGCACAGCAGCGGCTCGGCGCTGGCCGACGGTGCGTCTAGCGAGCGGCCCTCCTTGAGCGCCTTTGCGCGAGCACGTCTAGCCCCGCGCGTCCATGCCTCGCTGTCGAGGCGTGCGAAGAGCGTGCTCGCTGCGTCGTCGTCCTGGCTTGCTGCGTCGATCTGCAGCACATGACCCATCTGTGCGAGATCGGCCTGCAGCGCAGCCATGACTGTGCGTGGCGTGTGCTCCTCTGCAGCCGGGAGCACGCGAGAGCGCGAGTTGGACTCGGCGAGCACGCGGGCGAGCGAGGGCGCACTGGGTCGGGCGAGGTGCTGTGATGTGATCAGTGCGCTGTCTCGGCTGCATCCTGCATCCCTGCTCACGTCTGGCAGTCGATACGCCTGATGAGACCAAGCTACGGCCCAGCGCCGCGTGCGTCCCTGCACAAACTCGGTGAGGGCGTAGTTGCGGATCTACATCGGGCTGTCAGCAGGCGGCGTGATGCATGTGCTGTGCGGCCGCTCTCACCTCCTGCTTGCGCAGCTTGTTGACAACCGCGCCCACGCTCGAGAACTTGCCGAGCATGCTCGTGAACCATCTGAGCGGGACTGAGTCAGCTTAGACAGCGTCGGCCGGTCCGCAGCAACGCACACGACGTTCTCGGCGCGTCCAGCCTCGCAGCTCTCGTCGATCATGCGTCCGACGAAGGCCTCCTCTCCTCCTTGCGTGATCATCTCTCCGTCCGTGCCTCTGCATACCTGCGATGGACAGTCAGAGCAGTATCTTGCACCTCGCTCGAAGGCACTCACCGCACTCGGGCCCTGCTGCTTGAAGTCGGCGCTCTCTTGCATCTCCGCGGCACTGGAGTAGAAGGGCGGGTTGCACATTGTGGCAACGTGTGCCGCGCTGCAAGCTTCGGTCAGTAGCGATGTCGCATTGACCAAGCTCTCGGGCTCACTCTGGGCCAACGGGCAGCAAGGGCTGCTCGGGTCTGCGTAGCTGCAGCTCCACGCGGCTAGCGAGCCGCAGCGCCTTATTCGCCGGATGGTGGAGGATGGAGCGAGCATGTTCAATCGACTCGGCATCAATGTCTGAGGGACAGGCTGAGCAAGAAACTGCGCTGGCGGGACAGATCCTGGCTCACCAGTGCATGTGAAGCGCCAGCGAGCATCGAGAGCACAGCCGAGCAGAGCATAGATGGCGCTGGCGCCGGTGCCGCTACATCTCGCATTGTCGTCAGTAGACTGCGACTCCTCGTCCAGCGAAGTGCACGCACACGTCCAAGATGCGCACACTCTCGCCTTCTTCTTGACCGGCAGCAGTCTCTCGTGTGCTCTCAACTTCTTCAGCCACACGCGCTCGCTTGCTGGGTCGCTCGACATTCGCGTCCTCGTCGTTCGCGTCAGCACTGCCAGCTGCTGCGCTCTCGGTGCTAAGAGCGAGGAGAGGGCTAGCAGCGGTGTCGCCCGGCTGCAGAGGCTGAACGCTTTCGTTCAGCACATCCTGCAGCCACAGCACATAGTTTGCTCTGGCGATGCCGCGTCAGCAGTGTCTTTACGTCGCGCTCAGCTCAAGACGAACCGATTCGGGATCTGTGAGAGAGCGACGTGAGTGACGTAGAGAGGCAGACGCCTGCGACACCTACAGGCGGGCACAGCCGGTCGTCGCGCTGGATTGCAGTGACGCCGAAGTCATGGAGCAAGAGTGTCTCGCTCAGAGCTCTGGGGAGTGTCCGCAGTGAGCCATGCAGTGATCAGGCAGCAACTTGAGCAAACGCACCGAGTGGCATCGGCGTCCTGAAAGTCAATGCTCGCCCCGTGTCGCTCGCCGCGCTTGACGCTAGAGGGCGAAGCGTACGATCAGCCTGGATACTGAGGCATCACATCAGTCCTGCGCTTACAAGCGTGCCAGCTTCTGCGGATATGCCTCGGCCAGCGCCGCAAAGTCTGGCGGCGCCGTGGCGTAGGGGCTGCGAGCTTGCCGCGAAGAGCCGTCAGTCGAGCTGAAGGCGGAGCGCTAAGGCGCCGCTCACGATGCATCAGAAGTGCCCCAAGGCTATGAGTATCGCAAGCAGGAAGGCCTCGGCTTTGCAGATTGGCGTCTCGCCGCTCGGACTTGAGTGATGAGGGAGCTAAGCATGGAGGCGCGCGGCCTCTCGCACGACCTCCACCGCTGCGCGCGCATCGCGTATTCGAGTGCGCACACGCTGCTCTGCCAGAGTGCCTCTTTCGAAATCACATGCTCCTGGGCCTCACCTGATGGAAGCCGACACGACGCTCGCAACACCTCGTCTGATGACCCGGCGTGGCATTGCGTGAAGGGACGTGGCGCGAGAGGTATGTACACGTGGTGGGCGGCACGCGGGGCATCGGCCATGCGTGCGCCAGATTAGAGTACAGCGGGAGGAGACAGACATAAGCGCAGCGATGGCGTAGCGAGCGAGACAAATGAGGAGAGCAGCGACGAGGTCAGCAGCAGCCACCGTTGCCCTGGCCCTGGTTGCCCCGCAGATCCACGCCCGGCCGCTGCTGGCCCGCAGCGGCGCCGCCCAGCGTGCTGCCGCCACGCCCGCCGCCGCGCTGCGCGTTGGCGGCCGACTCGAGCGGCAGCTTGCGCGCAATCATCGTGAAGAGCTCCGAGACGTTGGCGTTGTCCTTGGCCGACGTCTCGAGGAAGAGCAGGTTCTCCTCGGACGCGTACGCCTGTGCCTCCTGCGGGCGCGAGTGATGGTGTGAGCGCCAGCGCCAACTTGGATCACACCATCGCCAGGACTGCCGCGCCTCGGCAGGGCCTTCTCATGAGGCTATCGCGGATACCACGACGACCACTCACCTCGCTCGGCACAGCACGCCGGCTGGCCAGGTCCGCCTTGTTGCCCGCCAGCGCAATGATGATGTTGGGATCTGCCTGCCGCTGCAGCTCCCGAATCCATGCTTTTGCCTTCTCTAGCGACGACTGTGGCGCTCGGGGTAAGCGCTGCGCGCCGAGAGGACCGCATTATTGGCTCTGCTCACAGGCTGCGTGATGTCGTAGACGACGACGGCGCAGTTGGCGTTGCGGTAGTACATTGGCGCGAGCGACTTGTAGCGCTCCTGCCCTGCCGTGTCCCTGCAAGCCAAGCGATGAGCTCGGCGCGCGCAACAGGCGCGCGAAGGGCACGCACCAAATCTCGAACTTGACAGTCGTCGACTCATCGAGGCTGACCGTCTGCGTCAGGAAGGCGGCTGTGAAGCTGGCTGTGAGCGAAGGACGGAGCCACGCAGACGACAGGACGCACCACCGATGGTGCTCTCCCGGTAGTCGTCGAACTGGTCCTTGACAAAGCGCAGGACGAGGCTGGAGACGAGGAGGTGCGTCAGCCGCTGGAACCCGACACGAGGCAGCGCTTCCAATGGGGTCCGGCGATGTCCCGGGGCGAGAGCGCCCAAAGTGGCCTCAGCAATGCAGGCGGCGATAGCACGTGAGGCCAGCAGAACGTGCAGAGGCTCGGCGACGGCAAGTACCGGCGCTCGGTTCGCATGCGGCAAAGCGCGCTGCGCTGCGCCGCGAATCTTGCTGCTGCGCACGCCCATCGGCAGGCGACTCGGCCGCGATGGCAATGAACGCAAGCGCATCCGGAGAGCAGGAGCAGCAGCTGCCTGACAGATTTTGTCATGCTGCGCTCTGCTGGGTCGCCTGCGATGCTGTCCCTTCTGCCCTGTCGCAGCGCGGCAGCAGGCATCTGGCGGCAGCTGGGCCTGCGCAGCCTGCTCCGCCTTGAGAGCCTGCAGCGCGACTACCTCCTTGCGCAGAGCGTGCCGCTGCTTGTTGCATCGCTGTCGCAGAGTGTGCGCTGCACTGTGGCAGCCGCTCCCGGTCGCATGCTCCTACCTCGGCCTGTCATCGGGTGCGAGCGCCACCATGCGCAACCGCCCTGCTCCCGGATCCCATCTGCGTACCGGAGCTCAGACTGACCTCGACTTGCCGACGGCGCTCTCGCCTAGTGATAGATGCGAGGCGTCAGCATGCAGCGGGCCAAGGGTGCGCAGCACATGCGACGCACCGAGGAGGACGAGCTTGAACTGGAGGAGGCGCGGCGGCGCGCGAGCGGCGGCAGCCATGGTGCGGGCGCGCGGTGGTGCGACGGAGGGCGCGGCGAGGAAGTGTGATGCGCTGTGCTGCGTGCTGCGCTGTGTGGTGCGCAAGTGACGAGGGCGAGGCGGGGCTGAGCGAGGTGTGGGAGGTGGAGAGAGAGGGCGAGGGGTCGTGGCGGGTGCAAGCGTGAGTGCGGCGGGCCCAGCCGCCGCGATTTAGCCGCAAGCTCGCCCTGACGCACGGCGGCCGGCCCTACGCCCAAGCCCACGCACGCATCACAGCAGCGGCTCACGGCAGCGGCGCACCGCCGCGGCGGAGCTCCTGACAGCGCTGCACAGCAGATCGGTCCATGCGCGGCGCGCCCCACGCACAAGTTGGGCGATGCCCCAACAGGTGCGGAGTCGCGCGCGCCCGGGTCGATCTCCGCCGTCGCCGTCGCGCGCCGCCCAAGCCACGGCGCCACCGCCGAGCGCGCAGTGCTTCCACCGCACGAGCCCATCACGAGCGCTTCGCCGCGCACTCGTCTCTCTGCTCCACATCCACCGTATCCTGCCCACCATGTCCGCCTACGACCGCGACGCACGCCGCGGCCCGCCCGCCGACTACCCGCCGCCGCGCGACTCGCGCGGCCCGCCCGGCGCCGACGAGCCCGAGCGCTTCGGCGGCGGCGGCAGCCGCGGCGGCTATGCCGAGCCGCCGCGTGGCGGAGGCGGCGGCCGCTACGACGAGCCGCCGCGCGGCGGGCGCTACGATGAGCCCCCGCGCGGTGGTCGCTACGATGAGCCGCCGCGCGGCCGCTACGACGAGCCACCGCGTGGAGGCGGCCGCTACGATGAGCCGCCGCGCGGCGGCTACGGCGGTGGCTACGGTGGCGGAGGTGGTGGCTATGGCGGCGGCTACGACCGCGCCCCGCCGCGCGGCGGCCCGCCGCCGACGATGTACCGCGACGAGTCGGGACGCCCGCTCAAGTCGGTGAGTACAGATCGACACGAATGCCGGGCTAAGGCGACGTGGCGCGCTCCTGCGATGAGCGATGCTGTTCGCGTGCTCGCCGACGCTGGGCATGCCGCCTGCTAGCCTGCGCTCGCATCTGTGCTGACGCTTTCCTCAGGTGCTCTACGTGAACGGCTTCCCGGCCTCGATGAGCGCACGTGACCTTGCGTACGAGTTCGAGCGCTTCGGTCCGCTTGTGCGCTGCGACATCCCGGCCCTGCGCACGCCCGACGCCAAGCCGTGAGTGATCCATTCGATCGATACCGATCCGCTTCCTCGCGATCCGCCTGCCGAGCCCGACCCGCGGTCGAACACATGCGAGTGCGAGCCGCACCGAGCTGCAGCTCGATAGGTGCTGCGTGTATCCGATGGAGCTGCGTGCGAGCCGGTTCTTCGAAGCCGACCTTGCTGCGTCTCACGCGAAGGATGACCGCGACGCTCCCAGCGGCGCGCTCGAGTAGCGACGATCGGCTGCGACAGCAGAACGACTCACGACCGCTTTGACTCGCATGCGACGACGTACGCTCGGTCACGCTGCCTCGATCCTACTCCGCTCTCTCCGCACCGAAGCTCACGCAAGCTGCATGCGCCACCCTCCTCTGCAGCTATGCGTTCGTCGAGTACCAGGACGCCCGCGACGCCCAGGTCAGTCAGCCGTTGCGCTTGGATCCGGGCGTTTCGCTCACGCTGGCTGTCTCTTGCAGATCGCCCATCAGAAGCTCCACGGCGTGCGCCTGACGCCGTCGACCTCGCTGGCGCTCCAGTTCGCCAAGGTGTGTCATTCGCTGCCTTCCCAGGGCTCCAATACTGACGCTGATGCTCTGCATCGCCAGCGCACGCCCTCTGCGCAGTGGCGCTTCGAGGGCGCGCCCAGCACGCGCCCGCCGGCGCCGCCGCGTCAGCGCTCGCGCTCGCCCCGCCGCGACTACCGCGACGAGGCGCCGCGCCGCGAGCGCGACGAGCGCGAGACCAGCCGCCGCATCGACGAGCGCGACGAGCGCGACCTTGAGCGTGGCCCGCCGCGTTCGCCTCGCGACGAGCCGCGTGCATCTCGCCCGCGCGACGGCCCCGCTGAGTGAGTCACTTGCGCGCATCTGTGGGGGCTGCTGGCTGAAATCTGGCCTTCCAGTGACGAGGCCACTCGCGACGACGCCCCTGCCAAGGCCGTGAGTGTGGCCCGACGCTGCCCTTGCGATGCCGTGCTCACAATCTCGCTCCAGGAGGACGTCTCGCCCGCCAAGAACGACGATGCGCTGTACCAGGGCTAGACGCGCGCTGTCCGCGCAACGCTCACGCTCTCGAAAGCCCGCGGAATGCCGTCTCGTCTGTGCGCACAACCCCACTCGATCCGGCCCAATTCAAAGTGTTTTTGATTGTGCGACTCGCGCGAAGCCACCTGGAGATCCTGCGGCTGAGGTGGTGAGGTGAAGGGCGGGCGGGCCCGCTTTCATGGGTGGGGGTCAATCAGTGTGTGGGCTCGAGGGAGGGACAAGTGTGGGATGGGGCGGAGGCAGATGAAGGGGTGGCAAAAGCATCTCGCGTGGCGACTACATGAGTGGGGTTGGGGGAAGGTATACAGGGGACGGACGATGCACATGCGAGGGTGAGGAAAGGGAGCAAGATGAGCGGCGGCCAAGTTAAGACGAGACTTGTGGAGTAAGGGCGGCGCGACAGCCTGGATGTAGTGGGAGAGGGGGAGGGGGACCGGCGGCCTGACCTGCGGCAGTCGAAGAATGACCGCGCGAGCAGGGTCGGCCGGGCGTCTAGGGCGTCAATGCGGATGGGTCGTCGTGACGTGCGCAGGAGCGAAGATCGGCGACAAGGCGCCTCCGTCTTGCCGTGCGGTGCAGGAAGAGGGCGGAAGAAACAGAGTCTAGCTAGCGACATCACATGGCCTTGCGGATCTGCTCGCGCGCCCAGGACGCCACCTTGCGCGTCTCGCCGCCCATCGACTTTGCGCGGGCGGCCTTGATGAGCTCGGCGACCCAGTCCTGCGTCAGCAGCTGCTTGAGCTCGCCGTTGGGGTACGCGGCGCAGATGTCGCCCAGCAGGCCGATGCTCGAGCGCAGCAGCTCCTCGGTGCGCTCCGACGGCGACGAGGAGATGGCGGCGATGAAGCTGAGGATCGACTCGACGTACGGCTGCAGCAGGTCGGCTGGCGGAGGAGAGTGAGTAAGCATGCAAATCAGAGACGCCTTCCCGCGGCACTCACGGCGAGAGTCAGACAGGATGCCGGCGACGATGCCGGCGTATGCGTCAGTGATGGCCTCGCGCAGCGTGGTGAAGAACTCCATCAGCGACCACTCGACCTGCGGAGATGAGGGTCAGCCACGGCAAAGGGCTGCGTCACTGCAGCGCGACTCACTGCGGCGCCAGGCGTGGCGGACTGGGCGGCCTGCTGCAGCGTGGCCATGGTGTTGGGCAGGAACGGTGCGAAGCCGGCACCGGTGGCCAGTGCGACGTCTCCGAACGAGCTGAGGATCACCGGCTTGACGTCGCGGTTCAGCGACGCGCTCTGCACGTTCTCCGTCAGCGCCGTCATGTACGGCTCGGCGTAGTTGATCGCGGCCGGGCCGAGCGCGCGGCACACGTCGCCGACGATGCCGACGGCCGTCTTGCAGAGCATCGTCTCCTGGTGGTCCCGCAGCGCGCTCAGCAGGAACGGGTTGAACGAGGAGATGTACTTCTCGAAGCCGCCCTCGGCCGCCGTTGCGAAGGCGCCGACAGCCATGAAGGCGTCCTCGAGCGCCTCGCTCTGCTTGCCGCAGCTCTGGATCGTCGTCAGGAGACTCGTCATGATCTGGTCGCCCAGCGGCATGATGTCCTGCCCGAGACGCCGCATGACGGCCTGCAGCACCGAGCACAGATTTGTCTGCAGCTCTGCCCAGTTGTTGCGGTCGTCCATGCCGACGAGCTGGCTGGCGACGCTGTTCAGGTGCGCCTGGCGCGCAAGGATGTTGACGACGACGTTCGACACGTGCGGCAGGCAGTCCTGCGCGCACGCAGCGACGGACGTCGAGAGTGCCTCGTACGCCGAGGCGCGCGCGTTGCCCTCGTTCGACGGGCGGTCAGACGCCGCGAGCAGGCTCGAGACGATGCCCTCGAAGTACGGCGACACGACGCTCGTCGCGGCCGGGTTGCCGTCCGGCGTTTGGCTGGCAGCGCCGCCGAGCTGCTCGCACAGGTTCATCAGCGACCACGAGCAGTTCGTCGCCACTCGCGGCTCTGCGTTGAGGTTCGTGACGAGCGCCTGGATGAGCGGCTGCAGGTGCTGGTCGACCTTGATCGCGCTGCAGGTCAGGTCAGTGATGCGCGCGAGCGTCCATGAGGCCGTGTCCTTGACGGGCGTGCTGGGGTCGCTCATCAGCTCGATGATCGTCGGCAGTGCCTGCTCGACAAGCGGCGCGAGGTTCGACTCGTTGGGGCCCTGCAGGATCGAGCCAAAGCACATGACGGCCGCCTCGCGTGCGTTCCACTGCGCATTCTTGATGTTGGCCTCGATGAAAGGGATGGCGAGAGGCACAATCTCGTCGGTCGTGACCTCTGCCAGCAGGCCGACAGCGGCGCCTGCCGACTTGGCCGCGTTCCACTCGTCCTCGTCCGCATCCTCGTCCGTCTGCTTGAGCGTGTCCATGAGGACGGGCAGAATTTCGGGCAGAGCGATGCGGGCGAAGCCGTGACATGGGCGGTCTGGCTCGTCGCCGTACTCGTGTGCCTGCAGCCAGCGTCAGGCGAATCCTGCGTGTGCGCTGCACGCTTCCACTCACCTCCTCGGCCTCCATCATCAAATCCAGCTCCTCCTCGCACACCGTCGACCAGAACTCGATGGCCTGCATCGCCACCGTCGGCTCCGGATCCCGCATGCCCAGCACCGTCAGCTGCACAGAGAGGCCCGTCAGTGACATGCGCGGGCGCGGGCGTGCGTGCCAGGACGCACCCCGAACAGCGCCTGCTCCATGTAGAAGCGCATCTTGTCGTAGTAGAGATGCATGATCTGCACGAGGCACTCGAACGCCGCAATCTTGATCTTGACGTCTGCGTTCTGCGTTGCCTCGCAGATGACCTGCATGATGTAGTTGCGCTCGCCCTCGCGCTCAAAGTTGGCGCGCACAAACTCGAGCGAGTTGAAGAGCGCCTGCAGTGCCGCCAGCTGCACCTCCGTCGACGTCTCCTCCTTCCGTGCGCCTTGAATCACGGCCGTAAGAATCTCGTTGGACTGTGCGGCGAGCACCTCTGGCTTCTCCGAGGCAGCCTGCAGTGCAGTGTCAGCTACAGGCCCGGTAGGCGTAAACGCGACACTGCCCTGCCTCTAGCCACTGCTCTACGCAGCGGCATACGCAGGTTCCCACTGCCGCCTCCACTGCCACTCACAATGATCTCGCAGGTGAAGCCGATCGTCTGCAGAGCGGCCTGCCGCAGCCGAATGTTGTTCAGGTCAGCCATAGCGGCCGTCAGCTGGCTGATGAGGTCCGGCCATTGCCCACGCGGCAACTCGATGGCGGCAATGGAGGAGATAACCTGTGCCGAGACGACACCGACACGTGCGTCGGGCGAGCTGAGCGTGGAGAACGTCTTGCTCTTGACGTCGGCCTGCGCGTCGGGCACGAGGCTGAGCCAGCGCTGCGCATACTCCTCCAGGCGCGCGGGGTCGCGCGCCGTCAGGGCGTTCTTCACGGCCAGGCCGGCGGCGTTGCGAATGTGCGGCGGCGACGACTCGTTGGCCAGCTCAGCGGCCAGCATAGTGACATATGCCGGCTGCATGCAGTCCGTCAGCAGCTGTGGCCACTTCGCTGATCCTCCCGCAGCAGCTACTCACGTAGCTGTCGACCGAGGCGCGCTCGAGCTTCTGCTCGGCGTCCTGGCGCACGGTCGCATCTGCGGTACAGCGTCAGCAGTCGCGAGCGAATGAGCTGCACGGCGGTGCTCACCGGGCGAGAGCGTGTTCTGGAGCAGCTCAGCTGCGTTCATGCTGGGCAGCGGGGGCCGCTAGGCGGCGCGCAATGGGCGGGGAGCGGAGAGAAGGCGACAAGGCAGAGCGTCGCGAAGGCGCAGGCAAAGCTCGCAGCAGGGGCTTGAGCTTGGCGGGCACTCGAGAGGGGGTCGAGACGTGAAGCGGCGGCAGCGGAGAGGCGCAGACGCGGACCTCGGAGGGACGGGCGGAGGAGCGGTGCGGGAGGGATGGGTAAGGAGAGAAGGCGACGGCGCACAGACGGCCAGCCGAGATGCAGCAGCAGCCCGGCGGCACGGCGCAGCGCTGCATGGGCGAGGCGACTCGAGGCGCGCGCGCGCATCAGGGCAGCAAGGGCGAGGCGCGGCGCTCTCCTCTGCTCTCCTGCTGCACAAGCAGCTGCGCTGCGCGCCTGTCGATCACAGGAGTACAACTCCACGGCCAGTCGCTCGGCCGAAACGCTATTCGCGCCCGCGCCGGGTCAGCGGCAATTTTTGTATGCGTCGCCGGCGTGTCGCCGCGAAACGAGCAGACCAACACCGCAGCGCAGCGCGCGTGCAGCAGCCGGCACAGTCGCTTCTCGACAGGTCGTGGATCAGAGGACAGCATGGCGACGGTCAACATCGCAGGTCATTCACACTGAGGTGACGGGCGCTGTGGCCGGGCTCGTGTTCATGCGCTCTGGTCTACAGATAGTGCACATGTTCCATTCTAGTGACCCGTCTCAGGCGTCCGTGATCGCGCACGAGAACGGCCGGCCGACGATGCCCTGCGCATACGAGTCGCGGATGCTGACTGCCGACGCCCACATGCCCGTGATGGCGATGAACGTCGTGACGCAGAGCACAGCCGCTGCAGCCGCCAGCATGACGGCACAGCGCGCCGGAGTGATCTCGCCGTGCTTGCGCTCCTCGAGCGCGCAGTACACGGAGAAGGCGGCGGCGGCGGCGAGGAAGGCGGACCAGAAGGCGGAGGCTGAGAGTGTGTGGGGTCAGCGAGGTTCGTCGATTGTAATGCGGGTCAAGACGCTGTCCAGTCGTGCTGCCATCCACCCCCACATCTCTCCACTTGCTCACCTTCAACGCCCAAAAATGAGCTGAAGAACGGCAGGATCATGGCCAGGATGGCGGCCAGGACCCATGTCACGGCATTGATGGCCGTCCAGATGGCCCAGCCCCACGCCTTCGTCTTGAAGAGTGAGGGGCGCATGCGGAAGAGCTTGACGTAGAGCACCTTGCCCGACACCTGTGCGCTCTCGCAGCCGGCCAGCAGAATCGTGCCGAGGCCGGTGCCTGTGGGGTAGACAGGTCAGCAAAGCAGCCGTGGCCTCGCTCCCTGTGCGCTACGCACCGTACGCTGCCTTCTGGTAGATCGGCTGGAGCGCTGCAATGCTCGGAGATGCAACATCCGGGCCGAGGTTACGGTAGACCACGCCTCCGACCACCTAAGTTGAGGAAGAGTGGCATGGTGGGTCAGAGCAGGCACACGAAGAAGAAGCGGTGCCATTCACGCAGTAGAGCACCAGCTGGAAGATGACCAGCGTCCTGAGCGCTCGCGGGAAGCCGTGCTTGGGATCGTGCATCTCCGCCATGAGCGGCAGGTAGGAGGGCGACGAGCCGAACGAGACGAACAGGTTCGTGATCGCCAGGCAAGCATCGAGGAAGCCCGGCTGAGCTGCTGCGGAGATCGGCTGCACCACGGTGCCGTCTGCTGGCCCAGTGACGCCGGAGGCGATCAGAACGATGAGCACCGAGACGAGAATCGAGATGACGGAGAACTACACAGAGTCGTCAGTCTCTGACGACGCTGCATGATGGAGAAGTCACGCACGACGGCAAGCCACGAGAAGAGCTTGTACGATCGAGGCAGCGAGAAGAGGAACGAGATGATGGCGAAGACGACGTAGAGGGCGATGGCGCAGGTTTGCGGCGCACGCCAGCCCAGCGCATTGAAGGCCTTGGCGCCGAGCAGCACGTGGTTGCCCTGCAGGAAGACACCTGGCAAAGCGGCCGCTCAGTGAATGCAGCGGGATCGCCATGCAGAGCACGCACTGAAGATGACCTGCGTCCAGCCGAGCACAAAGGCGCCGACGCGGCCGAAGAGCAGGTCGCCGGCGTCCTCCAGAGAGTGGATGCCGGGGTACCTTTGCTGCAGGCGGTGGTACGACATGCCTGGGCTAGCGCGTCAGCACTCTTCCAGCGTCGTGGCCAGGTGCCAGGCTCACCCGTGTAGTATGTGAGAGCCGCAAAGACGCAGGCGAGAATGACGAACGGAGCGACGCCAAGCGTGGCGCACACCGATGGCTAGCGTCTACGATGAGCGGCTGCGCTTCCGAAACTGGTGGCGCTTCACTCACCAGGCTCAAGATGCCCAGCGCAATCGAGTAGGCACAGCTGTTCCACGCACAGCCCTTCCACCCCATCGTGCGCTCCAGGCCCGTCGACTCGGCCTGCGCAGACGGCGCGCCGTCGGGCAGCGCGCCCTTCTCGCCATCGAGGCGCTTTGTCTTGCGCGCCCCGTCAGCCACATCAAGCACCTCATGCCGGTAGCGCTCTCGCCGCGCATCGCTGCGCGGGCCGGAGAAGAGCATCCACCGCCGTGCACGCGGGTCGTGACGCGAGGGCGCCAGCGTCGAGCCGGCCGGCGAGGCAGGTGCGACTTGCGGCTTCGACGCGGCGGCGCCGTCGCTGACGCTGCTGCTGTCGCGCACAGTGGGCTTTTCGGTGGTGCTCATCTTGGAGGAGCGTGGTGGTGGGACGCAGCAGTGCGGGGGCGGTCAGGCGAGACTGACATCAGAAGCGCCTCTCGCCCGAGCCGCGGCGCAGCTTGGCGAGTTGGGCCGGAGCATCCCTCGGGTCGCCCGACCCCTCGCTGCCGCACCACAGCTGCGCTGAGGTGCTGTCGCAGATGCTGCCGCTCTGGTGCAGCTGCACGCCGCAGCTCCATCCTTGCCGGTGGGGCTCTGCAGCTGCGCCCTGAGCCACCTGCTAGCGCAAGCAACGGCCACGCGGATGCGCTCTGGCGAGGTGCAGAGATGCAGATGACGTCGCGGGCGTGAGGCGGGAAGGCTGCGCTGCAAGCCCGAGCCGCCGGCCGCGCTGCGGTGGAGTGGAGCCGCGGCGCGCGTGTCCGCCGACACTCGTCAAGTGCCGCCGCCCCTTGACACGCCTCGCTTGGCGGGCCGCTGCCGCCCGCCGCCCGCTCCGCCGGCTCCGAGCTTGCGCGCGGCCGAGCGAAAGGACGGCTGGCCGCGGGCGGAGGGCCGATGGAGGACGCGGGGTGGTGGACCGGGTCGCCATTGCCTCTCTTCCACGTTCCTGCACTCCTGCCGCCTGCTTCCGCAGCTGCAGATGCTGCGGGGCCCCAGACGTGCACGAAGACAAGCAGACAGCGGATAAAGATAGATCGGGCAAGAGAGGATATAAGGTAGGGGCCAGAGCGCGGCCAGCGCCAATGAGCAGGGCCTGTCCGTCCGTATGTGCAGGACACAGCGGCGCTTCGAGACCGCTCGAGTCGTCCGAGGCCAAGCCTCGACGTCCGCGGGCGCAGCTACGCCTCGCTGATGCCAATGCGGTCGCCCACGCGCACCATCGTCTCGACCTGAAGAGCAAGGCCTCTCAGCGAGATCAAAGACGCTCAGGCAGCGAGGCATCTACTCACGCCAGCGAGCGAGTTGGCGCGCAGGTCTGCGTCCCAGGTGACCTTGGCCGCGGGCGGGAAGACGGCGATGCAGGTCGAGCCGCTAGATGCGAAGTCAGGGGGTCAGCACAGCTTGGCCGGAGGAGCCGCTCGCACGCCGCGCGGAGAGCATGCCGCGGGGGCACGGACATGCCTCCGCCCCGTGTTCGCCGTGACTGCCACCGTGGCCGCTCACCCGTATGCAAACCAGCCAGCCTCCTCGCCGCGCGCCACGCTCGAGCCCTGGCTCGCCTTGCTCCAGCCGATCGAGCCCACGAGCAGCGCGCCAATGGCGACGAACGCCACGGGCACGTCGACGCCGGCACGGGGCGTCCAGGTCAAGTTGAGCACGTCGCGTCTGCGAGAGGCATCAGTGACGGGCAACAAGTGGTCGGGGCCGCCAGCACCGACCGGTTGCCTGCGAGAGGTAGTCAGTTGTGCGCCACCTGACACATCCACAACACGCACATGTGAACACATCAAAGTCTGCGTTCACGGCTTGTGCTGTGGCGCCAGTCAGCATCGGGCAGAGGCTGCGTCGCAAGGTACGCACGATTGACCGTGTCTGCGGCACGACTGCGTAAGCAGCGATCTCTCCTATGCACATCACAGCACTCACAGTACTCTCCGGCCTCGTGGCGCGTCGGTCCGCAGACGGCGGGTCCCACGGGATGGTGGAAGCGGTGGCTGGACGGGCATCAGCACTGCTCCGATATGCTGTCCTGCCACGCTCACTAGTCTGCCGGTGCGAGTCTGAAGATGGCCAGCGAGCTGCCGGGCGGAAAGCAGCGGTCCGCCAGGCTGGTGTCGCCAAGCAGGTGCCGGATGCTGAAGTGCTTGCCCTTGATCCACACGCGCGTCGCCGCCTCGACGTCGTCGAACACCGTCAGCCGGCAGTCTGCCGCGCTCGACACGACGGCTGCGTTGCCCTGCTCGGCCAGTGGACGCGCGTCGGGACGGATCTTGCGGAAGAAGAACTCATTCATCGACGGGTACTTGATCGGGTCGGGCTCGAGCAGCTCGCTCGTGTCGATCTGGTACGTTTCGATGAAGCTCTTGATGTGCTCCAGCACCTAATACTGGATCTCAGCCGGAGCGAGTCAGGCGTGGGCGACGGCACACTCACGGCGGCAGGATCGCTGGCGTCGTCGTACAGCTTGCCCTGCTTGATGCTCATCTTCTCGAGCACATCCTCCACGCTCGAGTAGCGCAGCAGACTCGTCTTCTTCGAGCTGAAGAAGAGCAGGCTGGGAGAAGCGCGTCAGCTAGCAGTCAGCCTCGCCTCACGAGCCAGACGAACTGCATGCCGATCCGAACAGCCACGGGCATCGACTCAAAGATGCGCTGCTCCGAGCCTCGGATCGCGGTGTAGTTGCCGAGATGATGGTCAGCGAAGAGATCGTCGAGGCGGGACTGCGAGAGCCCCTCCACTGCGGCGACCTGGAGACAGGTCAGATGCGTGCAGTGCGGCAGCGCAGCGATGCTGACCTTGCTCCACCAGTGATGATGGTGCTGCTTGGCAACCGGCGCCGGTGTGTACGGGTTGCCGGCCGCGCTCATGCCGAGCCGCTCGTCTGATACAAGTCAATATACGGCCTTGAGTCATGACAATGTGCTGCGCTCACCGTCGCCATGGTGCTTGCCCTTTGCGGTGTTGCTGACGAGCGCCTCGAGGGCCGCGACGATGCCCTCATGCTCGCCCGTGCGCGGCGAGTGCGCCGCCGTGTCCGCCATGACGGGGCCAGTGCGAGAGCAATAGCTTAAGCGATGGGTGACGGGAGCCGTGCTTGTTCTTGCGACGCTCTCCTCGCTCGCCGACGAGATGCTGTGGCCGGGAAGGAAGCGCTGGCGCCTGCGAGATGCCGAGGTGCCGGCAGCGGCAGCGGCCCCCTGAGCGGCGCACGGGCGCGCCGCCACGGCTCGCGGCGTGGGAGCAGCTGCATCACGTGCGGGCGTCGGATCCTCGGTCCGTCTCGGGCGGCGCGCCGCTGACTCCGCTGGTGGCGCGCCGGCCCTGTGCCGCGCGGGTGCCTGACATTTGCTGGGGCGGCGCGGCGCTGGCGGGCGCAGGCAGGCCGCCTGCGCTGGGAGAAGTTGCTCGGTGGCCGCCGGCGCCGCGGCGCACGGCGCAAGCGCGGCAAGGGTGCGGCCGGGAGCCAGCCAAGAAGCATGCTCGCGTTGGGTCAGGCGCAGCACTCTGACTTGCTCCTCGTCCATCCTCGCACAGCTCCACCACCTCGCCGCCACCCTCGCAGCTCCACACGCCAGCCGCATCCACTGCAGCTGCTGCATCTCGCGCCCAGCGCCCGCTCAGCCTCCTCCTCCACCCCGCCCGTCTCTGCCCGCCATGCTTGCCGGTCTCGCGACGCGCCGTGCTGCGCCCCGGGTGCGTGCTGCGTGGGGAGCGCCGTGTCGCAGCGCCGAGCTGACACCCGCGCAGGCCTTCCAGCCCATGACGCTGCCCACAGTCGTCGGTGCGCCGCGCATCGCCCGCCGCGGCCTCGCCTCGGCCGCCGAGCCCTACGACGTCGTCGTTGTCGGCGGTGGCCCGGGCGGCTACGTGGCCGCCATCAAGGCCGCCCAGCTCGGCCTGAAGGTGAGCAGCGACAGACGCTGTAGCGCAGCGCAGCGATGGCGATGCGGCGTAACCGCAGCTTCTGCACCGCCCGCGCCACGCCCCCGTCTTGGCCCACAAGCTCACACCTCCCCCACAGACGGCGTGCATTGAGAAGCGCGGCGCCCTCGGCGGCACCTGCCTCAACGTCGGCTGCATCCCGAGCAAGGCCATGCTCAACAACTCGCACCTCTACCACCAGGCCAAGCACGACTTCAAGAGCCGCGGCATCATCGCCGAGAACGTCACCGTCGACCTCGGCGCCATGCTCAAGGCCAAGAACGGCAGCGTCACGGCGCTCACCAAGGGCATCGAGGGCCTCTTCAAGAAGAACAAGGTCGACTACATCAAGGGCCACGGCGCCTTTGCCGAGCCCGGCGCTATCAGCGTGCAGCTCAACGACGGCGGCGAGACGCGCATCGAGGGCAAGAACATCATCATCGCCACGGGCTCCGAGGTGACGCCGTTCCCGGGCATCGAGATCGACGAGAAGCAGATCGTCTCGTCGACGGGCGCGCTCGAGCTGCAGCAGGTGCCCAAGAAGATGACGGTCATCGGCGGTGGCGTGATTGGCCTCGAGATGGCCTCGGTGTGGAGCCGCCTCGGTGCCGAGGTGACGGTCGTGGAGTTCCTGGGTGCGATTGGCGGCGCCGGCATTGACGCCGAGGTTGCGTGAGTGCAGGTCGCACGCTTCTGACGCAGGCGCGGCGCTGACGCCCGGCTGCAGCAAGAAGTTCCAGTCCATCCTGCAGAAGCAGGGCATCAAGTTCAAGCTCAACACCAAGGTCATCGGCGCGGAGAAGAAGGGCGAGACCGTGGCGCTGAACGTCGAGGCGGCCAAGGGCGGCAAGGAGGAGCAGGTGCGTGTGCGCGCATGCGCTGTATGGGCTGCCCACTAACTTGCTTCCACAGCTCGAGTCTGACGTCGTGCTCGTGGCCATTGGCCGGCGGCCCGTGACGCGCGGCCTCAACCTCGAGGCCGTGGGCATCGAGGTGGACAACCGCGGCCGCGTCGTCGTCGACGACCAGTACAACACGTCGTGCAAGGGCGTCAAGTGCATCGGCGACGCCACGTTCGGCCCGATGCTGGCACACAAGGCCGAGGAGGAGGGCATTGCGGCCGTCGAGATCATCAAGTCGGGCCACGGGCACGTCAACTACGGCTGCATCCCCGCCGTCGTGTACACGCACCCCGAGGTGGCGTGGGTGGGCAAGAACGAGCAGGAGCTCAAGGACGAGGGCGTCAAGTACCGCCTCGGCAACTTCCCCTTCCTCGCCAACTCGCGCGCCAAGACCAACGCCGACTCGGAAGGCTTCGTCAAGTTCATCGTCGAGGAGGAGACGGACAAGATCCTCGGCATCCACATCATCGGCCCCAACGCCGGCGAGATGATTGCCAGCGGCGTGCTTGCCATGGAGTACTCGGCCAGCGCCGAGGATGTCGCACGGACGTGCCACGCACACCGTGAGTGGCGCGTGCAGCGGCTGCGTGTTCCCCTCGCTGACGCCTTCATCCCACAGCGACGCTGTCGGAGGCCTTCAAGGAGGCTGCCCTCGCCGCGAGCACGGGCGGCAAGGCGATCCACTTCTGAGCGCGAGAGGGCGGGCGCCGCATGTCACGTCAATGATCATTTGCTAGAGTAGCCGGTCGGCGCGAGTGTGCTATGGGTCTGGCTGCGCGACTGATGCCCAGATGTCAGCTCCGAGATCGCGCTTCGAGCTGTCAGGCCTTTGCTCGCGTGACTCTCGAGCGAAACGCGGCAGTGGCGCTCGAGCTGTGCACGGCCATGCTCTACGTGTCAATAACTGCACCTCGATCTGCCTGTGAAGCCAGCTGCATTCGAGCGCATGGACCGAGCCGAAGGAGGGGCAGCCAGCGAGGCGAGCAGCAGAGGCGCGGCTTGCTCCCACGCGCCGAAAAAGCGTGGCTTGATGATGCGCTCATCCTGCAGGGCGGAGCGAGATGCGCCTCCTGTTGCAGGGTCCGCTGCCCGGCGCCGACTAATTTCGCACCTCTCTTCCTCTCAGACCACCACCTCCTCACTCACCATGCGTCTCTGCTCCGCCGCTCTGCTCGCCGCAGCGGCCCTCACGGCCGGCGTGCCCGGCGTTGCGCCGTCGCCGCTGCGCCAGCAGGTGCTGCAGGCGCCGCCGATGCACGGCGTCAAGTTCAACCCGCTCGAGCACATGAGCGGCATCGCGCCCTGTGAGTGCCGGGAGCGGGTGTTGGAGCGGGAAGATAATTTTACATGTGGCGGAGAGGGCGGCAGACGCTGCAGCCAGGCGGAGACGGCCGCATCTCGCAGCACACGGCCATGTGGAGGATCCGGGCCGGCACGAGAGAGGCCCCCACATTTCCGTCGTGATGCTTCACAGGTGTGCCCAGAGGCTGCACAGCTGCTCACACAGCACCCGCAGACCACGATGCGCCCGGCGCCAACATCAGCCCGCCGAAGGGCTGCCGCTCGCTCGCCATGGCGCTGCTCATCCGGCACAGCAGCATTGTGGCCAACGACGATGAGTGGGAGGACTACATGGAGCCGTTCGTGCAGCGCCTCGATGCACACCGGGCCGCCGGCGCCGCCCTGCCCGAGAGTGGGCGCCTGGCGTTCCTGCGCGAGTGGCAGAGCCCCATCAACAATGACAACCTGGAGCAGCTGACGCAGCCGGGCGCGCACGACGCCACAGTGCAGGGCCGCCGCCTGCGCAAGCTGCACCCGCACCTCTTCCCGCCGATGGAGCTCGGCCGCCCCGGCGGCAAGGAGGCGCTGGCCGGCAAGGTCAAGACGCCGTTCAAGGTCTGGACGGCCTCGTCAGAGCGCGACATCGAGACATCCAAAGCGTGGATCCGTGGCGCGTTCCCAGAGTGGCAGCGCGGAGACGATGGCGAGGGCGACGGCAAGGTGAGCCGGCCGTTCGTGGCGCTTCAGACTGCAAGCTGACATGCTGTGTCAAGTTCCTCACGCTCGTGAAGGTTCCAAACAAGGTGCGTCGGCTTTGTTCCCCTTTCCCTCGTCACACGCTGACACGTGCTGCAGAACCCTGACTGGGGCGCGAGTCTCACGCCGCACAAGGTCTGCAAGGGCTTCAGCAAGGAGCCTGGAAAGCCCGAGGCGCAGCAGTGGCTCGAGACGTTCGGCCCGCGGCCGCTGGCGGCGCTGCGTGACATGGCGCCCGAGTTCCCCTGGGAGCTCAACGATGTGATTGCGCTGGCGATGCTCTGCGGATACGAGTCGGTCATCAAGGGCGTCGGCAAGACGGAGTTCTGCAGCGTGCTGCAGCCCGACGACTTCCGCGACTTTGGCGTGAGTGTAGCGGAGATGGACGCTGAGCTTCGAAGCTGACCGCGAGCTTGCAGTACTGGAACGACATCGTGAGCAGGCTGAGAGCGTGAAAGCGACGTGAGGCTGACCTCTGCCGCAGAAATATCACCACTTCGTTGGCTACAAGAGCCCGATGGCGCCGTACCTCGGCATGCCATGTGAGCGGCGCAACTGACCCGTTTCTCAATGCGAGACTGACACCTCATCTTGCTAGGGCTCAACACCAGCCTGCACAACCTCGAGGCCGCGACCACTGGCAAGCACCCGCACCTGCAGAGCGGCGACGAGCCGGCGCCGATCCCGCCGAACGCGACGCACACGCAGTTCCTGCTGCCGTACTTCACTCATCGCGGTGCGTGCGCTTCTCCTTTCTACCCTCTGTGCATCGCTGACTCGCTGGTACAGAGGAGCCGCCGGTGGTGATCACCGCGCTGGGCCTGATGAACCAGACGGCGCAGTACGACCTGCCGCTGGACCACAACCCGGCCGACCGCGTGTGGAAGACGAGCCACGTGCTGCCCTTCCTGGGCCACGTCGGCATCGAACGTCTGACGTGCGATGCCGGCTCCGAGGGCTCGGACTACATCCGCGTCGTCATCAATGGTCAGTCGTCTCCTCATTGTCGTTGCTGCCGCAGCTGACACGCATGGCATACAGGCGCCGTGCAGCACCTCGAGCACTGCCAGAGTGGCCCGGGCAAGAGCTGCCCGATGGAGCAATACAAGGCGTTCGTCGCAGAGAGGATGGAGCAGGTGAGCGTCTCCTCTGTATGCAGCCAGACCCCGAGCTGACGTGCGGGTCGATCAGTACGGAGACATCGAGGGCGCGTGCGGCGGCATCAAGACCTGAGCGAGCCTCGGCGCGAGTCGTCCCGGCCACGCAGCACTAGATGATAGAGCAAGCAAATAGACAAATATCAGAGTGAACAGCTGGCACCAGTTGCCGCATCGCTGTGTGCGCATCGAGTGTCCGGTGTGTCGGGCGAGGTGGTTGAGCAAAGCGTGGGAGCAGCACGCAAAAAATTGGCCGGCGCCGCACGTCTGGATCTCGTGCGGGAGGCGCATGCCACTCTTCGAGCGCTGCTGACAGCGACGACGCTCTCGTCCTTCCTGCCACCATCACTCCTTTCCGGCGCCGCACATCTCTCCACGCGGCCATGTCCGCACATCCCGCCCTTTCCGCCGTCGCGCGGCGCGCAGCGCAGCGCGCGGCCGTGCGCCCGCCACTGCCCGCCTCGCCGCTGCTCCACCTCAGCGCCGCACCCGCCGCACACGAGAGCGCAGCACATGCCGGTCCGTCGCGGGTGTCGCAACAAGCAGCCAGACGCCAGCTGCACAGCAGTGCATTCGCGGCATCTCCTCTGGCCACGCCGCTGCGGGCCGTCCAGCTGCGCCATGCCGTGCTGAGCTGCGAGGCCAGCTCGAGCGCCAGCCGCGCGATGCACACCTCGGCGGCCTGCGCCTTCCAGAGCAGCAGCAGCCGCTCGCGAGACAGCAGATCCCAGCGCGGCGGCAGCTCCGATCGCGGCGCTCGCGGCGGTGCTCGCGGCGGCGGGCGTGGCGGACGCGGTGGCAGAGCGCCAGGAGCGTATTTTGCACGCCCCTCGGCGGCGCCGGCGTTCGGACCCACGTCGAAGATCACGCCCGAGAAGGCCGCACAGGAGGCGCTGGACCAGATCACCGACATGCGCAAAGACACGGCGCTGCGACACATGTTCGTTGCGCTTGGTCTGCGTGGCGAAGGACCGCGGGCACTCGTTGCTGACGAGGCGGTGACCGAAGATGGCGACGCCGAGATCGTCGGGCTGCTCATCGATCGGTGGGCGGAGGAGGTGCAGCCCTTGATCCGCAAGGCGCTCGCCTTGCACCTGGAGGGCGACTTGGAGGCACAAGAAGGCTGGTCCATCGCCGAGCTGCAGGCAGCACACACTGCCGAGGCGGAGCAAGGCATTGCGCGCATAGCCAATGCCTCGCTCGTGCAGCACCTCATTGCACAGCTCAATGCGCTTGCCACATCCGGCCAGGCAGAGATCGCCGCATCTGCTCGCGCGGTCGCACAACAGCTGGCCGAGGTGACGAGGCTGATGGACCTGCGGAACCCGGCGCTCGACTACCCGACTGCGCGCTCGCTCACTCGTCACATCCACCTGCACGTCGGGCCGACGAACAGTGGCAAGACGTATGGCGCGCTCGTGGCCCTGTGCAAGGCGCGCAACGGCATCTACGCTGGTCCGCTGCGTCTGTTGGCGCACGAGGTGTGGGAGCGCATCAATGCCGGCGCCGTCTCTGCCGACATTGCGCCTCGCGCCTGCAGCTTGCTCACGGGCGAAGAGCGGCAGCTGCAGCTCGCGTGCGGCCTCACCGCATGCACTGTCGAGATGCTGGCCACCAACATCTCGTACGACATTGCCGTCGTGGACGAGATCCAGATGATTGCGGACAAGGACCGCGGCTACGCCTGGACTCAGGCGGTGCTCGGTCTGGCGGCCAAGGAGCTGCATCTGTGCGGCGAAGCCAGCGTCGTGCCGCTCATCCGCCGCATGGCTGAGGCGTGCGGCGATGTGGTGCACGTGCACGAGTACAAGCGCCTGACGCCGCTCGTGGTCGAGGAAAAGACGCTCGGCGGCATCCGCAACGTCCGCCCTGGCGACTGCGTAGTCAGCTTCAGCCGCTCGGGCATCTTCAAGCTCAAGGAGAAGATCGAAGAGGCAACGGGCCTCAAGTGCGCGCTTGCGTACGGCGCACTGCCGCCAGAGACGAAGAGCGAGCAGGCCAAGATGTTCAACGATCCGCAGAGCGGCGTGGATGTGATGGTGGCGAGCGATGCCATCGGCATGGGCCTGAATCTGTGCGTATGCCGACCTTCACGTCCATCGCTGCAGAGCTGACTCCTACAGCGGCCCACAGAAAAATTAAGCGCGTCGTCTTCGAGTCGCTCCACAAGTGGAACGGAAAGGAGCAAGTCTTCATGTCCGCCTCGCAGATCAAGCAAATCGCCGGACGTGCCGGGCGCTACGGCACAGGCAAGGCGGGAGAGGCGGCAGACGCCAACCGCGGCAGCGTCACGACGATGGATCCCCAAGATCTGCCGGTTCTGCGCCAGGCACTCGAGTCGCCGCTGGTGCCCATCGAGCAGGCTGCGCTTCAGCCGCGTCCAGAGGCGATGCCGGAGCTCGGCACGCTGATGAGTGCGAGCTCGTACAAGCCAGTCGACGACAAGCCGAAGCCAGCGAGCAAGCAGCGCAAGCAGGATGAGGCCGACGACGCGGCTGCCGAGGAGGAAGCCGGCGAGACGCAGGTCGAGCCTGTCAGCGCAACGCTCGACTACGGCAAAGCGCCGACCCTGAGCGCAGTGCTGGAGGCCACACAAGCAATCACGCGCGTGGACCACCGCTCGTACTTCCTGAGCCAGTTCAACCAGGCCGCGCAGATCTCGCCGCTTGTTGAGGCCGCAGCGCGGCAAGCGCACCTGCCCTTCTCCGAGCGCCAGAAGTTCTCTAATGCGCCGGTCAACACGCGCGACGAGCGCGTGACGGCGTCGATGTACAACGCCGTGCGTGCGTATGCGCGCGGCGAGCTCGTGCGCTTCGAAGAGGTGGTGAGGGACCTGGGCATGCTCGAGGCGCTCGAGGAGATCGAGCAGGTGCGGCGCGGCGCCGAGGAGCGCAAGGCGCAGGCCGTGGCGCGCGGCACGCCGATCAGCAAGCTCAAGAGCCTGGCGAGCTACGCCAGCGCCGACGACATCAACATCAACACGCTCATGCTGCTCGAGAGCCTGCATCGCACGCTCTGCCTCTACCTCTGGCTCTCGTTCCGCTTCCCGCTGGCCTTCTGCCACCACCATGCCGTCGAGGACTACAAGCTGCGCGACGAGGAGGCCATCCAGTTCTGCCTCGAGACGATCCGCGACGGCCGGGCACGCCGCATGCAGGCGCGCGAGTTTGACCGTGCCGCAGAGCGCGGCTACCGAGGGAGCACGGGCGGCGCTCGGCGCGGTGATGATCAGGCCAACGCTGCGAAGTGGGCCCTTGGCTCGTCGACCTCTTCCCAGCACCACGCACGGCAGTATGCATCGTCGCCCTAAGCCGGCATTCACCCTTCACACAATCGCATGTCATGCTTCATTTTGTCTAAGACGGCGCGGCACCGCGCGCTGCCTTGCGATCATGGCCGCGTGACCATGCCGAGCCTGCCTTCTCCTTCGCTTTCCGTGCCCGGTCGTTGCCACTGTGCCCGCCGCCTCTGCCGCCACTGGGTGCTCCTCCGCGCCCTCCACCACTACCGCCCCCTCCGCCGCCGCGCCCGCCGCCGCCTCCGCGTCCACCCCCGCGTGGCAGACGGCCTCCGCGTCCGCGGTCGGGCCCGAAGCGTGGCGTGCCGTCGTCTTCGTCCGTGCCGGACGGCGATGCAGCGCGTGCGGGCTGAGGCGCAGCAGACATGGCGAGGCGCGAGAGAATCGCATCGCGCTTCGGCTGCGACAGGCGAGTGTGTCAGCCCTCCGCAACTGCGGAGACGACGCCGCGTGGCGCCAACTCACGTTGCGCTCAAACACGACCGCCCAATCCTCCACCAGCGCGTTGTCCCAGCCGCTGCCCAGCTGCGCCAGCATGTCCTTGCGCACAGCACTCTTGCGCGCGCGCTCGTCGCGCGCAAAGGCGCCCGCGCCGTTGACGAGCCAGGCGCGCCGCAGAATCTCCTCGACGCGGGCGCGCGGATCAGGCGTCGCGGCACGACTGGCCGCAGTGCTGCCAGGGCGCGTGCCGGGCGCTGAGCGCAAGGCGCCGTCTTCGTCGTCGCTGACGTCCTCGGCGCCCGCTGCGTAGCTGCGTGCATCGCCGCGTGGCCCGACGAGCGTGGAGATGCCGTGCCGCCGATCCTGCGGCGCCTCGACCTCCAGCTCCTCCTCGAAGCCGACGTCGAGCTCGCGGCCGAGGTCGTCCTCGTCGTCACTCTCAGGCGCCTCAGCGCGCGCCAGTGTGAGCCGCTTGAGCTCAGAGGAGAGGCCTTCGTCGTTGCTGCTGCGCTGTCCGGCCCAGCGGAGACGAGCGGGGTCGAAGTTGAAGCGCGCACGGTTGGCGGAGGCGCCTTCGTCGACGGCCGGCGCTGGGGCAGGAGCTACGGGCGCTGGCGGAGACGGCGGCGGCAGATCCTGTGCTGGAGGCTCGTCGTCGCCCTCGTCGAGCAGCATCGACGTGAGCTCCTCGATGCCCTTGCCTGCGTAGCGCGGCGCAGCGAGCCGCATGCGCAGTGGCTCGCGCTGCAGATGCGGCAGCAGCGAGGTGAGGGCGTCGAGTGTCTCCTCGCTCGGCCCAGCTGCTGCTGCAGCAGCGCTGCTCTGAGCAGAGGAGCGCACGGCCTGCAGCGTCTCCTTCCATGCCTCGGGCCGTGCGCCTGCTTTACAGGCCTTGGCGAGCTCGCCGCTCGGCGCAGCACCGCCCGCAGCGCGCAGATCCGCTGCTGCATCGAGGAGATGAGCCTGGGCGCGCACTCCGGCGCCTGACGTGCCCTTGGCAGCAGTGTATGCCTGCTCGAGCAGCGGTGCCAGCGTCGAAGCATGACCCTCGAGCGACGGCAGTGGCAGTGCGGCACAGAGTGCCGCCACGACGTGGGCTGCGCGTGCGATGTGTGTGGGGCGTTCGTGCGCTGCCTCAGCGAGTGCAGCCTGCAGTGCATGTGCAGCGGCGTCGAGCAGCTCGTCGGCCTCCCGTACCTCGACGGAGTGGCGCAGCAGGCGGCGCAGCAGCGGCCGGCGCACCGAGCCATGCGCGGCGACGACGAGTGCGAGCAGCGGCGGCGTGCCGGGCAGCAGCGCGCGCACGAGGCTCGGGTCGCCCTGCGTCTGCGTGCGTCGCAGCAGCGCCACGAGCGGCTGCACTGCGGCGGTGTGCTGTGTGGCCAGTGCGGCGTCGGCGAGCAGCGCGTGCGTGGCCAGGGCGCCGAGGGCCTGGTGCAGCGTGGCCGCGAGGCGCGCGTGGCCGACGAGGTGCGGCAGCGCGGCGGGCGCCAGCGAGGCGATGGCACGCACGGCCGCGGCGGCGGCGGCGGCGTCGGCGTGCGGCGCTGCGGCGCTACTGCCTGCGCCGTTGCTGCTGCTGCTGTTCATCGAGGGTGGTAGTGTGCGGGATGAGCGTCGCGGCTGCGTCAGCGTGGAGGAGCATCGCCGCTGCTCCACCTGATGCTTCGCGCCCGGCGCACTCGGCCGCCGAACGCCGTGCGCCCGCCGGATGCGCGCGCTCGCTGCTGCACGTGCCGGCCAGCGCTGACAACACCGCGGCGCGCCAAGGGCTTCCCGCCGCCTCGCCCGGCGGCGCGCGCGCTATCTGCTAAATCGAATGGTCGGCGGCCGAGCATCGCCCGGCAGCGAGCGCAGCTGCGGCCTTGCCTGCACGGGTTTGCCTTCACTTGCCGACCTAGACTGCCAAGCTTGAGCTGGGGTCCACTCCCTGCGGCCCAGCAAGCAGCGAGGAGCGGGTTTGGGCTTCGGCTGGGTCAGCAGTACCCGACGATGTCGCTCCGCGGCGCGCGTCATGCAGCTCCGCCTCATGCGCCGCGCCGGGCGCGGCGCGAGCAGCGAGCAGCAAGCGCGGCCGCGCGCGCGACCTTCGCTCTCGCCGCCGTCTCCACCTGCCTCTGCTGCTCCCGCCTCCGTGTCTCGCCTCCAGTCGTGCTGCCAGCGCGCCCGTCTCTCTCGCCGCCTCTGCGGTCTCGCACTTCCGTGTGCAGCAGTCTGTCCTCGTTGCGGCCGGCGCCGTCTCTTCGGGTCCGGGACAAGCGGCGCTCGTCTGACCCTGTTGGTCCCACGCATACACTCAGCAGTCACTGCACGATAGAGCCACGCCGTCCCAGCAGCACCTCGCAGTCGTCTCCCCGAGTCTCCTCGCTCCAGCACCTCCTCGTACGCGCTTCTCCCTGTCGCCGGTCGCCGGCCGCCTGCATTCTAGACGCTGCACCGCGCTCGCATAGAGGCTCCTCGCATCGCTCACCGCCAGCGCGCCCGTGCAGCACGCAGCTGCACGCGCCTCGTCTGGCCGCATGACCTTCCCGGGCTCGGCCGGCCTGGCCGACGGCGTCTCCAGCCTCGCCAGCGGCAGCGGCAGCAGCGCCTCGAGCTGGTCCGCCGGCTCTAGCGCCGCAGCTGCGGGACCGAGCAGCTCTTCGGCGGGCGGCAGCAACAGCTCGGAGATCCCGCTGCTTTCCGCCCTGCCGAAGCTCGTCTCGCCCGACGATGACTCGTTCATCGGGCGCACGTCGTCGTGGATCGGCGGCAAGCGCATGAGCCGCGCCGAGGTGGACGAGATGCTGTGGAGTGAGTGCACCTCGTCTGGGATATCGAGTGAAGGGGCCATGGCTGCGGACGCAAGTTGCAGTGCGAGAAGGCCGCGGTACTGGCTACGACATCGCTGCAGATGCTCTGCGCGAGCATCTGCGTGCTGGTCCGCAGCGCTGATGAGGCGTCGAGCTGCCTGACGCACCTCTTCCACTGCTTGCTATGCCGACCTGTGAGCGATCGCTGACTGTCCGACTTGCTCCGCCAGACTACCGCACAGTCTTCTCCGCCGGCAGCGCCTCGCTTGTCTCCACCGCCGCATCATTTCCTGTGCGTGGACTTGCCTCTAACACTGATCCGCAGCAGCTCACGCTCCTCGCAGTTCGACTCGCTCAAGTCACGCTTGCAAGTCAAATACTATCCGAGCATCTGGGCATGCGGGAAAGCAGTGATGCGCGAGGAGGGCATGAAGGGCTTCTTCCGCGGTGCGTGTGGATGCTGTTCAGCAGGCGCCCGCACGGCTGATCTCTTCTGCGCAGGCGTGTGGATCCCCCTGATCACGATCTCCTTCGTGCGCACGAGCTCGTTCAGCATCTACGTGGGCACCAAGGATGCCCTGCACACGCGCGGCATCTTCACCGACCAGAGCTTGCTGCACACGGCCGCGAGCGGCATGACGGGCGGCGCGACGAGCGGCATGCTCATCAGGTGCGCACCACGTCGCCAGACAGGGATCGCGCGAAGCTGACTCAAGCGCGCGCACAGCTGCGGCTCGGCGCCCTTTGAGCTCGTCAAGGTGCAGCGCCAGCTCGAGTACCTCACCGCCGTGCAGCGCGGCCTCGTCTCCAAGGTCGGCTCGCGCTACGTCGCGCGCTCGGGCTACCAGGCCGCGCTCGACATCTGGCGGCATCACGGCGGGCCGCGCGGCTTCTACCTCGGCTTTCCGCTGCACATCTGCCGCGACACCATCGGCACTGGTGCGTCCAACAGCATGTGCATGCTTGCGCTTGGCTGACACCCTGCATCAGCGCTCTACTTTGGCTTCTACGACACGACGCGCGCGCTCGTGGGCCGCTACTCGACGGGCACCGGCGGGCGGAATGGCTCGGCGCAGCTCTTCGGGCTGCCGGGACCGGTCGTCTCTTTCCTCTCGGGTTCTAGTGAGCACGTGTCTCGATGCAGCCCAGCATAGTCAGAGCTGACGCTACTGTTTGCGCGCACAGCGGCGGGCATCGCCTCGTGGCTGCTCGTCTACCCCGTCGACCTGCTCAAGACCAACGTGCAGCAGCGCGCGCTGAGCGGCCAACATCCGCAGATGAGTGGCACGCAGGTGAGCACGTCTCCTTCCACTGCATCGCCGGCGCGCGTGCTCATCTCAGCCTCGCAGCTCTTCAAGCACCTGATGCGTGCGCGTCCGCCAAAAGACGGCGCCTCGGACTCGGCGGTGGCGCGCTTCCTGCGGCTGTACCGCGGACTCGGCGTCAGTGCCGTGCGCAGCTTCGTGAGTGTCCCTTCATGTTGCCGCGCTGCTTGCGCTGACTCGCGCACTCCCAGATCTCGCATGGTCTCACGTGGATGATCATCGAGGGCGTGTCGCAGCGCATCAGCGAGCGCGTCGGCCCGGGAGCCGACGGGCGGCCGAGGCAGGCCAACGAATTATAGACGTCCTGCCTGCGCCAACTTGGACTGCTAGGGCTGAGCGTGAGGGGCGAGATGGCGCATGGGTGCATTGCGCGCTCAGTGGAGCATGGGATATATGGTCAGCGCGTCCAGAGGTGACGAAAGACGGGAGCAGAGGGGGAAGAGGGAGACAGAAAGCGGGCGCACAGGCACGCTGGCTGCGCTCAGCCGGTGTGTGCCTCAGCAGCCGGCGCGAGCGCAGCAGTGTTGCGCGCCTGGCTGAAGAAGATGCGGCACGGCCGCTGGCAGATGTTCTCGAGGCTGTACGTGTTGCCTGTGCGCACAAACTTAGTCAGCGAAGCGATAGAGGGCCCTAGAGAGCGAAGCAGCGCGCACCTTTGGGAACGAGAAAGATGCCGCCGGGCGCCAGGTGGAAGTTCGTGCGATGCACGCGTGCGCGGACTGCGCCCTCAATGACGACGAAGACCTGTGGCGCAGAGCTCGTGTCAGCACGGCGTCAGCCCCTCTGACAAAGCAGACACGCACGTAGTTGTTGTCCTTGGTCGGCTTCGTCGGCTTTGAGCCGCCGACGGGAATGTCGAGCACGCCGGCGGCCATGAACTCATCGACGCCAAAGACCTTTTCGAAGGCGAAGCTGTTGTTGAAGGCCGTGCGCGGGCGCACCTGCGACGAGGTGCAGACGATGCCTGGAGCAGACCCTGTCAGCGAGGGAGAGAAGCAGGCACAAGGGCCGACACTTACGTCGTGACACCTCGCTCTCCGCATCGACGTCCCACACGAGGCCGTGCGGCTCCGTGTCCTTGTCCCAGCCGTCCTCGGGGTGCACCGTTGGCGCCGTGGGGTCGAGTTCAAACTCGACCTCCTCATCCACCGAGCCCGCCTTGCGCCGCTTGACGACGGGCTTGTTGCCGCCCGCCGGCACGGCCGACTTGGCACGCGGGCGCTTCATGCCGGCAAACGTGCCCTCGCCCTCGGCGCGCGGGATGCGCACAATCTCCTTGAGCACGGGCACGGGCGGCGCGCCGTAGCTCTTGCCCGGCAGGCGCTCGAACGCATCGCCGTCGATGGGCTCCTCGTCCTCGGCGTGCTCGCGCACCGCCGGCATCGAGGGCCGCCCGAAGCGCGCACGCTCGCCGCGCCAGTACTCGAGCGGCTGGTAGCGGTAGCGCCCGCTGCGGCGCACGCCGCCCTCGCTCTCCTCGCTCGTGCCGCGGTGGTAGGCGGAGGGGATGCGCTCCACCACCTGCTGCTGCACCACGCTCGTCGGGCCGCGCTTGCCGCCCGTGGCCTTGGTGCGCTGCACGGTGCGCTTCTCGACGCGCAGCGGTGGCGCGGCATCGTACTCTGAGCCGGACGAGTCCGACTCCTCGACGGCGCGCTTCTTGCCCTTTGCTGGCGCGCGAGCCTTGGCGGGCGCGCTGCTGCTGGCCTTCGCAGCGCTCTTGCCGGCCTTTGGCCGGGCGCGCGGACGGGCTGGCGCGTCGGTCTCGTCGCCCACCGCTGCGGCCTTCTTGCTCGTCTTGCCCTTGACGGGCGAGACGGACGAGCCCTTGCGCGCCTCGTGCACATCCCACTGGCCCGCCGACGTGTACTCGAGCGCCTCCTCGCCCACGTCCGGCTCGATGATCTCCTCGAGCAGCTCGCCGCTGAGCTCCGCCGCAGACTCAGTGCTCGCCTCGCGCACGCTGCGGTGGCCCAGCTGTGTCCGCTCCTGCGCCGCACGCCGAGCGGCCAAGCCTGCAGCGGGCGCTCGCGGGAGCCGCATCGTCTCGTCTGCCGAGCCGGCGTCTGAAGGCGCCGCGGCCGCGTCGTCATCACCGGCCATGGCGCTGAGGTCAAAGGAGGGGTGGTCGCCAAAGTCCAGCGGCTCGTCGTCGTCCTCCGGAGAGTCGTCGTAGGCTCGCGAGGATGAGGCGACCTTGGAGGCACGCCCGGCCGTGCGCGACGAGGACTGGCGTGGCGAGTCGTAGTCGATCACCGAGCCGGCATCGGATGCGCGCGAGTGCGCAATGGAGCGGCGGTAAGCCGAGCGCGGCGATGGCGGCGAGCCTGCGGTGGAGAGGCTGCGTTCAGCACCGCCCTGCCAGTGTGTGGAGCTACCGCACGCCGGGCGCAGAAGCGGCTCGTCTCGCACCGACAAGACTTGACACTGCCGCAGCTGCGCCACTGCCGCAGCTTCGCGTTAGTCGGCCTCACGCCGCACTCACTCTGCTGGATGTCCATCATGCTGCTCTGTCCGCGGCGCGACGAGCTGCCGTTTGCGACGCTGCGGCGCGAGGCGACACTGCGGCGCGAGCGTCCGCCCGCATCGTCCTCCTCATCGTACTCCTCCTCGTCCTCCTCATCCTCGCTGTCCTCCTCCTCCTCGCTGCGCACATGCTCGTCGAGCGCACGCTTGCCGGCGCTGAGGAAGTCGTCGAGGTCGGCGCCCATGCTCGGCGCACGCATGCCGGTGCGCGAGCCGACGCCCGCCTCGTGGAAGCGGCGCTCGGCGCGCCGGGACGCCATGGCGGGCTAGAGAAAAGGGAGGCTGCGCTGAGCTGTGCGGTGTGGCGCGAGTGTTTGTTGTGGGGTGCCGCTGGCGTGGGCGTGGAGGATGAGGGCAGAGGGAGAGAGAGAGGAACACGCCGCTGCCGGCCCGCTTCAAGTTCTCGCCCTCGCCGCCGCGGCCGGCCGTGTATTTCTCGGCGCGCCGCCGCGCGCGTCAGCGTGGAGCTAGACGCGTGGCTGCGTGCACCCGCCGCTGCACCCCGCCTCTCGCTGCGACAGGGCCGACCATCGCCCGCTACAGGCCCACTTCTGGCCAGCTGGCACGGGGCGTCTCGATTCGGCTCAACATTGCCAATTCAGAGGCGCGGCCAGTTGCAATGTCGCAGCAGGCCGCTCGCCCGCCTCGGCGCGTCGGTGCGGCGCGGGGTGAGGCCGTCACGTGCGCAACCAACACTTGCTCCCACGCTGTGCCTCTCCCTGTCTCCTCGACGCGCCCCTCAGCCGGCCTCAGGGGGCGGCAATGTGATGTCCACTGGGCCAGATTGAGTGGTGCTTCCTTCTGATGGGAGACTCGAGTGCAGCGCCGGCGCTGGTGCTGTGCTCCGCTCCAACACCTCGAGGCGCCATGGAGCAGCCCGGCCGCAGGAGAGGCGCAGCGGCCCGAGCCCGCGGAGTCGCGAGCGGCGGCCCGATGCGGCCCAACGGCAGCGGCGCTGAGGCTTGCCTCCCGACCGTCAAGGCGAGGAGCGAGAGCGAGAGCAGCAAGGCGTCGACGTCGGACTGCAGCACAGCAAAGGCGCAGGTAGCACAGGCGCCGGCGCAGCAGAGCACCAGCAGCGCAGTCGGCGTCCGGCGGCCGCTCGTCGACTACTCGTCGTCGTGCGACGGCGACGACGAGGCAGAGAGCGCTGCGACACCACCACCACCCGCTCCGCCAGCAGCACAGCCTGCTCTCCGCTGGCCGCTCGGCGCTCACGCGCTCCTGTGGGCCGACGCCGCAGAGGAGGAGGCGCACCTCGAGTCGCGCCAGACGACGCCTTCGCCAGCAGCCTCGCCCGCACGCAGCATGAGCGCGTCCAGCTCCTCCTCGAGCGGCGTCGCTCGCTCCAGCCACGTCTCGCCTGCCTCGCTCCCGCCGACACGCACGGCGTCCTGCTCGGTAGAGAGCGAGTTCATCTCTGCTCCCTCGGGCAAGCCGTACAAGAAGGCGCCGATCTGGAGCGACAGTCGCCAGGAGCTCTGCGAGTCGCTGCCGTGGTTCCGCGCCTTCCAGTCCGGCTGCTACACGCAGGGCGCGGGCGTGCACGGCGCGAGCCGCCTGCTCAAGGAGGCGCGCGAGCAGCCGCACGTGGCCACGCGTGACTCGACGCCGTATGGCTACCTGCTCGGCGGCTTTCCCAGCCTGCGCGACTGCTGGGCGGACAACGGGCGCGTCATCATCTCGCACGGGTGCGTTCGATGCGTCCTAGTGCTGCGGCTGCTTGACTGACCACGCCCACAGCGGCGGCAAGTCCGGCGGCGAGGTGGAGCAGGCGGACGACGAGGAGCCGGGCGAAGTGCCCAAGAAGCACCAGGCCGCCTCGCTGCAGAAGAACTTTGGCCTGCGCGGCGACCAGAAGGAGACGGACCCCAAGGTCACGGCGCTCGTGCAGTCGCACCGCAACGGCACGCCGCTCGTGCTGCTCACGAGCGACGAGTATGCGCTGCTGCCATTCACGTTCCAGGGCGCGTTTGCCGTGCTCGGCTGGTGAGCTCCGTGCGCCCGGCCTCGTTGACGGCCGGCTGAAGCTCCTTTTGGCCAGGTACTACATCACAGACGTGTGGCAAGAACGCGAAGGAGGCGACGGCGAGGAGGCCGGCAACGTACGCTGGAAGTTCCGCTTCGAGTGGGTCGCAGCGCAGGGGCCGCCGTGGTGGGAGGAGCAGAGGGCGAACGGCACGCAAGCGCAGCCATCCGCGAGCGACGCTCACGTCCGCAAGAAGTTCAAGCGAGAGGACCGCGTCTTCGACATGTGCTCCGACGACGAGGGCACGCCGACGAGCGCCTCTTCCTCGACGTTTGCGGGCTCCTCCCCGTGGGCGGTCGCGGGCTCGTCGGCGTTCAGCTTGCCTGGCCCGCGCGCGCCCGATCCCTTGACGCTCGAGCAAAAGCGACAGCGCTTCGCCGACCCGAATCGCCGCCGGACGCACAGCACGCTCACCGCCGTCGACGTCGGGCCGTGCAAGCCATGCAAGACGAGCGCCGTGTGCTCGCTCTGCAAGCAGGGCTCGCCGCAGGTGTTCAGCAACGCCTGGAGCTGCCTGCGCGAGAACTGTCGGCTTTTCTGGGCGGTGCGTCGCATGCGCATCTCAGCCGCTTCCTCCTGCTGACGCAGCTGTCTCAGGGCTTGCCACGAGGCCAGCGTGCCGTGCAGGAGCTCGTCTTCCACGAGACGTTCCTGCGCTCGCGTCTTCGCCAGCCGCACGGCGACAGCGCCGCCGACTTGCCGTTCAAGCTCGCGCCGGCCCAGCCTGCCGCACAGGTCGATGTGCAGACCGCCAACGACATGCGCGGCTGGCACTGCGTGGCGTGCGGGCGCCTCTCGTGCCGCCAGCTTGCGGGCGCCTACACGTGTCAGAACGCGCGGTGCGGCAGGAAGCTCGTGGTGCAGCCGGCGCTGTTGGACCCGCCGCAGCCGACAGCTCAGATGCCGCAGCTCGAGGACGCCGTCATCCACGGCCGCTCCGGCATCACGATCCAGCTGCGCACCGTCGACGGCATGCGCATCGCCACGTACACGTTCCCCAACAGCTGGGGCCGGCTGCACGTCATCGAGACGGAGAGCGGACGCGACAGCGAGGCAGACGAGATCTTCCGCTACATGCAGCTGCCGCTCGGCGACGGCGCGATCTCGGAGCCCGCGACGTGGCAGCACGTCACGCGCTTCCGCCGGCACCCGCTGGCGTGCCATGAGATGAAGGGCGTGCTGCTCAGCCAGCAGTTCACGTGCAACTACGGCGTCGCGTACAAGCACGCCGTCAAGATCGAGACGACGCCGCTGCACGAGGCGCCGCGCGGCGTGCAGCTCGGCATGGCGCTGATCCGCAAGCGCGTGGCCGAGGCCGGCATCGAGCTGAGCAAGGAGATGAACGAGATCTACCCCGTCAAGTACGTCGAGTCGCAGCGCATGAACTTCCACGACGACGGCGAGCCCGGGCTCGGGCCCGTCGTGGCGTCGCTCTCGCTTGGCGTGGCAGCGACGATGAAGTTCCGCCTCAAGGCGCGCTTCACGCACAAGAACGCCGCCGCCGCCGATGCCGCCGACGGCGACTCGCGCATGCTCGCGCACGACCGCACCGTCATCTCCCTCCCGCTGCGCCACGGCAGCGTGTGCATCCAGGACGGGCACAACGTGCAATCCCACTACGACCACGCCGTCGAGCCGCGCAACACGAGCGGCTCGAGCGGCGCCGGCGGCCTGCGCTACGCCCTCACGGCGCGCGCCATCTACGAGGAGATCAAGAGCAAGCCGAGCAAGCCGGGGCGTGCGGCTCCGCGTGGCTCGACTGCACCGCGTGCCCCGGCTGCACCGCGCACCTCGGCCGCGAAGCGGGCCAAGAAGCCGCCAAGCCACGAAGACCCGGACGTGGGCGACATAGCGATCGACAGCATCCTCAATGCTGTAGACCCCGGAAGAAACGGCTGCATCCCGGGGCAACTCCCAGCGGACACGGCAGACGAAGAGACCGTTGCGGATGCCCTCTGAAGCGCCACTGCCTGCCAATTTCCTCCCCATCACTCACTTATATACCACGCTCCAGCCCCTCATTTATCACACCTAGACGTCGCGTCACGAATGCCCATTACCGTCGCCCCTCGCCCGCCTGTCCTACCTCTAGACGTGCACGCCGACAGTCGTGAAGAGCGCGACAATGCCGAAGCCGATGCACAGCGATGCGCCGCCGGCGGTGACGATCTCGGTGAGCGCGATGCGGCCTTTTGGCAGGCTGTGCGGCAAGTGTTGGCGGCGTGAGCGGGACGCCGGCGTCTCGTCGCCCGGCCAGCGCTGCACGTGCTGCCACGCGCACGGAGCGCTCGTGGAGCTTCCTCAGCTCTCTCTCGCAAGCAGCACTCACGTCGTGAAGTAAAAGGAGAGCAGAAAGGCAAGCGCCAGCAGGATGCCGGCGAGGTACGGCATGACGGCGACGGGCAGCGCCGGCGCAAAGGGCGCGGCGGCGAGATGCTCCGCCTAGTCGCAAGCGTCAGTAAGCCGCGGCGAGGCGGCGGACTGTGCCGTGCAGGCTTACCTGTGCGGCGGCATATGCCTGCGCCCGGGCAGTGGCGTCGGACATGGTGGGCTCAGCGGAGGCGGGCCTAGACGTCGAGCTGGAGCGAGAAGGCGACGGTGACGCGAGGCTGTGGTCAGGAAGCACGGCGCACGCGCCAGGCCAGCCAGACGACTTCCGAGGCTCTGGGGGAGCCGCAGCGGGACTCGGGTCTCTGCGACGCGGCGCGCCAGCAGATGCAGCTCGATCGGGCGCTGCTCTCTTCTCTTCTCGCCACGACCACCACGCCGCCTCGCCGCACGCCTCAGCGCCCGCCCACGCCCAGCACTCCGAGCCTCTCCCTCGTGGCGAGCTCGCATCTGCGCAGCGTCGCATGCGCCGAGCCGCGCCATGAAGCCGCCCGCGCCGGGCAAGCCGGCGGCGGCGCCGAGCACGCGCCGCATCGCCTCCAAGCCGCTCACCAGCACCTCGAACGGCTCGCAGCCGCAGCTGTCCTTCACCTCCAACGCCTCGCGGGCATCTCCGTCGTCGCGCCTGCCGGGCGTCTCGCCGGCGCGCAGCGCCTCCGGCTCGGCGTCGCCCGACAAGGGCAAGCAGCGCGCCACGCAGCCGCTGAGTGCCTCGCGCCTCTCCTCGGCGCACGCGTCGCCGGCGGAGGAGAAGCCGCAGCCGCAGCTCAAGGGCGAGAACGGCGAGGGCCCGTCGGCGGCCGCTGAGCTCTGGGCCGACCGCTTTCAGCCGGCGAGCCGCGAGGCGCTGGCGGTGCACAAGCGCAAGGTCGCCGATGTGGAGGGCTGGCTGAGGGACTGCTTCGACGGCCCGCTGCCGGTGCGGCGCTATCGTGTGAGTGCCGACTCTTCAAAGGCATGCTCTCTTCTGCATCCTACCGCCTCAATGCGAGCTTATGGTCGTGGCGCCGATCTGACTTCGCTCGGGCGGGGCTACATGCTGACGCCTTGCTCGCAGCGTTTGTTGGCCCTCAGCGGACCGCCCGGCTCCGGCAAGACGGCAGTGATCCGCGCACTGGCCAGCGAGCTGGACTACGAGATCCTCGAGTGGCAGAACTCCGTCAATCCGCACGGCCGCGTCGGAGACGGCCTCGGGAGCGGGCCGGCGTCTCTGACGCGCCGCTTCGAGGAGTTCCTGGCGCAGGCAGGGCGCTTCCCGACGCTCTCGCTCAGCAGCCGGCAAGGCGGTGCGGACGCGGGGCATGCCGCTGCGTCGCAGGGTCAGAGTCAAGCCGGACCGTCGCGTCGACGCCTAATCCTCCTCGAGGACCTGCCGAACCTGACGCACCAGACGACGCGCGAGTCGTTCATTGCTGCACTCGAGCTCTTTCTTGCTCGTGCTCTGCCGTCTGACGGCTTCCCTACGCCGCTCGTGCTCATCATGAGCGACAGCGTCGTGCGCCAGGATGCAGACGTCGGCCGCATGGGCGACAGCAGCCGGAGCGAGTCGGTACGCACTGCGATGAGCCTGCGCATCCGCAGCAACCCGGCGTACGCCGAGATTGCGTGAGTGCGGGCGTCGTGTCGTCATATGAGGCTGCACTGACACGGCGTGCAGCTTCCGTCCCGTCGCCAAGACCTTTCTCGTTAAGACGCTCGCGAGCGTGCTTACCACCGTGCGCGAGGACCCCGCGTCTACACTGCCAGCCGCGACGTCTGCCAAGGGCAAGGCGCTCCTCGACCACATCGCCGAGGAGAGCAGCGGCGACATCCGCGGCGCGCTGAATCTGCTGCAGATGGCTGGTCAGATGGGCTGGGAGGCCGACCGCAGCAAGAAGCGCGCGAGGGGCGCGACAAAGAAGGATGCGGAGGTGGCGCGCGAGGCGATCCAGCACAAGTGAGTGCCGCGCCTCGTGCCATTCGACCTTGCGCTGACAAGCGAGACAGACTCACGGCGCTAGCCGGACGCCAGTCTCCGCTCGCACTCTTCCATGCGCTCGGCCGCATCCTGTACAACAAGCGCCTCGGCGACCCCGACGAGCCCGAGTACACGGCGCCGGCCGAGCCGCCCGACTGGGAACTGCCAGCACACCTCCAAGACCGTCAGTGCCGTCCGAGCAAGGTCGATCTCGACGCCTTCTGGCTCGACCTGCCCATCGACGTCTCGCTGCTCTCGCTGTACCTGCACCAGAACTACCCGCCGTTCTGCGGCGCCGAGATCGAGTCGTCGCTCGGCGTCATCGAGGCGCTCTCCCTGGCCGATGCCGAGCTGCACACGTCGTCGGATGAGTGGCTGCACTACGCACTCTCGTCGCACTATACATTCCAGCACGTGGTGCGCAGCACGCTCGCCTCGCTGCCGTCGCCCGTGCCGCGCCTCAAGCAGGTGCTCACCAAGGCGGCCTTCTTCGAGGCCAACGCCAAGGCGCGCGAGGCGGCGCAGGCCGTCGACGACGCCGCGGCCGGCTGGGTCGCCGACGGCATCACGCAGCAGACGCGCGAGACGCTCGCCACCGAGACGCTGCCCATGCTGTGGCGCATCGCGCCCGAGGGCATGCCGCCCGCCGCCGAGCACATCGGCCACATGCCGTGGCTGCACGGCGCGGCGAGCCAGCAGCAGACGCTGGGCGAGGACGAGGAGGGCGAGGAGGAGCCGCCGCCGCTGACTGCTGAGCCCAAGCAGCGCACCGTTGCACGCGTGCCCAAGCCGGCGGCCAACGAGCTGCTGTACGACGAAGACGACGACATCGAAAACGACTCGGACTGAGCGTCCTGCCATGCATCCCGTGTAATCCTGCGCTCCCATCCTGTACTCTACACCGCCTCATCATCAGCCCCCTTGTCACGACTCAACAACGACGGTCACCGCGACACATTCTCCATCTCCAAGGCGCCTGCGTCCGCGGCGACGGGCGGAGAGGGCGCGAGACGCGGGAGGCGCATGACGGCCGGCCCTTGCGTGCGAGCATGAAGACGAGCCGCTGTCTCAGCCTCGCCCGCCTGCGCCGGATTCCGATGCCTCTCTCATGCGCCCATCGGCTGCCACACAGGCCCATGAGCTAGAGGCTGGACCTCAGAGCGCAGGTGCGGCAAGCCAAGTGGTCGTGAAGCGGCCTGGAAGCTGCGCATCTGGAGAGCCCATGGCAGATGCAGTCAGTCGGCCGCGCGGCGCCAGATGGCCAGCGGGGCCGCCTTTCGGGCGCTTGCTGGCGGAGTGCAGCTTCGCGCCGGCAGAGGCACTTGCTTCGGAGGAAGCCTGCAATGCCGGAGCCGCAGCTGAGAGCGCCGCATGCCGGAGGGAGTGCCGACGAGGCAGCGACCGGCTCAGACAGCAGTCGCGGCCGCGACAAGCACACACGGGCACCGCCGCCTGCCAGCCCGCGCACCGCACCTGATCTGCAGTCGCACAAGGCTGTGCCTCGGCCAACTCAGAACAGGCTCGCTTTCAGCACCAGCACAGACACAGCAGCAGAGGCAGAGGCCCAGAGCGCAGCATCAGCGGCAGCAGAGCGCAGCGGCGAACGTGGCATGCTGCACCTGCAGCTCGCAGCTGCGATGCAAGCCGCCGGCCCTGTGCTGGTGCTGCGGCACAAGGCTGCGACTGCACTGGCGCGCCCGCAGCGCAGCGACGACGTGCATGGCCTCCTGCGCGCGGCGCCGCACAGTCAGAGTGAGTAAGAGTCTTAGTAGGCGCTGGAGCTTGTCGGGCGTCGAGGGAACAGGGCCCGGCGAGACTCGGCCCAGCGTGAGGAGGCGACTGCGATGCGTGCTGCTGAGCGGCGCTGCATGCTGCAAGGCATCGCGGCGTCCAACAACTAGACTCTACTCAGGCGGCAGACTCATGACCCGCGAGCACGGAGATGCTGCGGCTCCGCGCGAGGCCTCCCAGCCGAGGCTGCTTTGTGGATGCGCAAGACGAGACGCAAAGGCTGTGCGCTTTGCGGTTTCTCCCGGGCTGCTCGCTGCTGGGTGCTGCTGCGGCTGCTGCCCAATCCAGCGCGCGCAGCACCAGCCTGCAGCGCACCGCGTGGAGCAGCGAGGCCAGCATGAACGCACCATGCATGCGCCGGAACGCTCAGCAGCAGAAGCAGCATGCAGCCAGCGAGGGAGCAAAGCCACGGCCCGCAGGACGGCATGCACGGCCAAGTTGAAGCGCTCGCTCCCGCACCCGCTGCCGGCTCGCGTCTGACTCGGCATGCTTGCGACAGCCGCTCGGATGCTGGCTGCGGCTGGGCGCGAGGCGCGGAACGGCGACGACGCCGCTCCGGCAGCGCCCACGCCCGAGATGCGAGATGCGGCGGCACACGACAGCACGTCCGCCGCATCTCGTCCCGTCCCGTCCCTCGGGTCCGGCGGCACAACACGGCAAGCCTGCAGCGCACGGACGGGCGCAGGAGACGTGCGGGTGCGCTCGAGCGCGACGCAGACGTGCTCGCTCCAGCCGCAGCGATGCAGCTTGCATAGCTTTCAAGCGAAGACGAAGCGCCCTGATCGGAGCGTAGCCGCAGCCTGCAGCGGCAGGTGCAGGCGCAGCAGCGCTCAGCAGGCGGCAGCTGCCGCGCCGGCTGCTGCTGCTGCTCGCACACGACAGCGACACGCGGTCCCGAACGCGCTGGCGTGGGCGTGGCGCCGTGCGCCCACGCTACGTCTGCGTCAGAGCTTGCGCCGCAACGCGAGGCCAGCGTGTGCCTGAGCACCTGCTGTTGCTGCGCCGTGCCCGAAAAAGCAGCAGCGGGACGGGAGCGGGGCCGGCGCGCGGCTGCGGTACTGCGCCAGCCACTGCGGCACTTGGCGGAGTGTCGCGAGGCGCAGCACAGCCGCACGACACCGAAAGCTGCACGTTGCTTTGGCTGCAGGTACAAAAGGCACGCTGCCCACGCTGGCCGCCTTCGCGCCGTCCCACATCCACCGCAACTGCCTTGCCCATCCACACCCAGCATCCAGCCATGGCCGAGAAGACTGCTCCCGCCTACGACGCCGGCGTGGCGCACACGCACCCCGTCGGCGCCGCGCCGCCCGTGCACTCCGACGCCGGCCTGCCGGCCACCGGCGGCGTCGGCGGCGTCGGCGCCGTGGGCCAGAGCGGCTTCCAGCAGCCCATGGTGGCGCCGCAGCAGCAGGGCCACGCCGGCGCGCCGGGCCAGGACCAGTACGCGTTCGACGAGGGGTGAGTCGGGTGCGGCACAGAAGGGGCGCGTCGGTGCAGCTCGCTGACGCTGCTTCGCTTGCCAGCATGCGCTACCAGCAGAGCCGTAAGTGACAGTGTAGCGCATACACCGAAGGCCACTGGCGCTGCTCCATGCCCCGACACCCTCAGCGACGCTCTCGCTGACGCCTGCTTCTGCAGTGATGGCGCAGTGTGCGCGCGGCAACCACCAGCTCGAGACCAAGTAGTGCGTGTGCTGTGCCACGCGCGCACGCTGCTGCACCTGCTCACGCCTCTCCTCGCAGCGGCATCGTCGGCATCCTCATCGCCGTCATCTGCTGCCCGTGCGGCCTCATCGCGCTCTGCATCGACCGCAAGAAGGTCTGCACGCGGTGCGTGCTGCCGTGGCCGCCTCTCTCACCACTCTGGCTGACCCGCTGCACGCAGTTGCGGCGTCGTGGTCAAGTCCTGATCTCGCCCCGGCTCGCTTTTCCTTCTGCGTGCGCATACCCGGTCCTGCCTCACTCGCAATTCGTCGCGTACTTCGCGGACCATACCCGAGCACACCAAGCGTGTGCGATGCATCGCTCTCTCAATGAAAGTATGACAGTCAGTCCTGATGGTACATGCGGGGATGTGGTGTCTATTGTGCCTTGCGCTTCTTGCCCGGCGTGTCGCGCTCGGCGGCGCCCGCTGCGCCGCGCTTGCCCTCCGACGCGGCCGGCGCGCCGGCGACAGCCTCGAGCTGTCGCAGCGTCGCCAGCATGCCTGTCGAGGAAGCGAAGCGCTCGCTCGCCGCCAGCGCCTCGCGTGCGGCGGCCAGCTTGGCCGGCTTCCAGACGCGCTCGACGAGTGCAGCATCGGCACGGCGCGTGAGGCGCACGGCGGCGAGCGCAAACCTGAGCAGCTCCTTGAGCCGCTCGGCACGCAGGCCGGCAGGCGCATCCGGAGCGGCGGCCGCCGTGAGCGTGGCGAGGACGAAGCCGGAGACGTCGGGCAGGAAGGCGGCCAGCTCGCGTGCCAGCTTGGCGTCGCGCGGCGCGGCCGAGGTGGCGTGCGTGAGCACGGGCTGCAGCATGGCGAGCGTCTGCGAGAGGCGGAAGGCGTTCGTCGCTGCCTCCGGGCGCGCCGCTGCGACGAGCTCGCCGCGCAGCTCCCAGCCGATCGTCGGGCAGCGCTTGAGCACGTCGAGCAGGAACGCCGGGCGCAGCGCGCAGCTCTTGCGCGAGAGGAAGTCGCCCAGCGTCTCGCGGTAGAGCGCCAGCAGCTCCTCGGCACCCTCCTTGGGCAGCGCCTCCTCGCCGCGCGCAAAGACGGTGCGCGTGAGGTACGCGTTGGCCGTGCTGGCCAGGCTCTGCAGCTCCGGCGCAGCGTTCCTCCGAGCCACGGCGTGCAGTTCCCGCAGTGTCGGCAGCACGTCGGCCACCGGCACGGCTGCGGCGTGCACCTTGTTCTTCGCCAGGCTGCTGCGCAGAATGTGGGCGGCGCGTGACGAGACTTGCGCGCCGGACTTGTCCGCCTCCTGCACGAGCGTGAAGAGCGGCGCGACGAGGCGGACGGAGAGCGCACTGCCGCCCTCCTTGCGCGCAAAGATGTCAAGCAGGTCGAGTGTCTTGAGCTGGAAGACGACGGCCTCGCGCTTGGCCTCTGCAAGCACACGCACTATCAGCAGCCGCTCGCATGCGAATGCATCCGAATGAACTCACCAGCATCCTCCTTCTTGGCGCCTGCTCGTTGCCGGAAGATCTCGGCGAGCTGGTCGTCGATCTGCATCATCTGCTCGTCGTCGAGCAGCTCCTCCTCCTCCTCCTCGCTCTCCTCGCCGCTGCTTGCGTCGCTCTCGTCTGCGATGCCTGCAGCCTTCAGTGCAGCCTCGACGGCAGCGCGCAGCTCCGGGTCGGCCTCGGCATTGGCCTCGTCGTCGTCGTCGTCAGAGTCGCTGGCGCCCTCGACGCTGTCGGCCGAGGTCTCGGACATCTCCTCGTCCAGCGCCTCGACCTCTGCCGGCGCAGCATCCTCCATCTCCTCGTCGTCGACCGGCTCTTCATTGAGACCCAATTGCTGCAAAGGAAGCGTCAGAGCGAAGCCGAGGGCCGGCCAGACCTGCACCACTTACGTCAACGAGGTGGTCGAGACTTGCCGGGGTCAGCTCGCCGGCAAAGGTCGTGAACGCCTGCGACGCGATCGTCCGCAGGAATGCCGACGAGCGCTCGAGGAATGCGATCAGGCAGTCGACGAGCAGCTCGATGGCCTCGGGCTCGTCTGCGTCCTTTGGCTTTGCAGAGGGTGCAAAGAGGCGCTCCGAGCAGTCGACAAGCGGCTGAAGGCGAAGTCAGCTTGGCTCTCGCGCTATGAGCGCTCTCAGGCGCCAGACTCACCTCGAGAAGGTCCTCTCCGTCATCTGCGCCGTCGTACGTGACCAGCAGCGCCGCGAGGAGCAGGCTCTCGAAGCTGCGGGCGCGGTCGCGAACAGCAGAGTCCTTCGCCTGGTCCGCCAGCTTCCGCACGGCGGCGAGCGCCTTGACGGCGCGTGCCCGCATCTGCACGTCGGCCTCCTCACGCTGCACAATCGAGACGAACGCGGAGTCCTTCTCGCACAACGCAAGCAGGTCGTATGCCTGGGCAACCCACAGCTTGCCCGAGGCGGCACAGCCCTGAAGCCTGCGCGCCTTGCCGTCGACGTCGGACAGCAACGTCGTCTGGTCGGCCAGCTCGGAGAGACACGAAAGGAAGCGCGCACGGCACGCGCCGCGCAGCTCGGCCGTAAAGGCGGGCTGCGGCAGGATCTGCGGGATGCTGTGAGCGGTGCCCATGCATCGGAAGCGGTCGAGGCTCACCTCGAGGCTCTTGATGCTCTTCTTGGCCTTCTTGAGCTCGAAGAAGCCGTGGGCAGCAAAGAAGGACAGAATCTGCTGCACGCAGTCGTCGTCCTTTGGCACAGCGCCATTGCGCACGAGCACGAGCAGCTGGTCGAAGACCCATTTCCGCCGTGCGCCGGCAGACTGCGACTGAGCAGCGTCGCTGCGGAAGCATGAGTCAGCTCTGCTAGCATGTCGCCGCGACGCCAGACTCACTCTGCCTCGCACGCCAGCCGCACCAGATAGGCGATGTAGTCCCGCACGCCCTGCGCGTCCATCGCCGCCAAGAGGCCCTCAACCGTCTTGGTGCCGGTCAGCTTGTCGAAGTACTGGCTGCCGTGCGAGCCGAGCAGCTGCGAGACGACGGTGAAGCCGCTCGTCGGGTCCTTCTTGACGACCTCGGTCACGACGCGCACCGTCTGCACGGCGGCGGCGTGCAGCATGCGCTCCTTGCCGCCCAGCTGGTTGATCCACGTGCGCATGAAGTTGCTCGTGAAGAGCAGCGGCCGCTCCTGCCGCGGCGCACGAGGCACGGCCATCTGGAAGACCTGGAAGCCCCACGCCTTGCGCTCAGCCGACGCCGAGGCCGCGAAGAGGGACTCTGCAGAGGCGTAAGCACGCGAGGGGCGGTATGAGAGAGGCAGCACGCACCGTCGACGACCACGCGGTACAGCTCGGAGAACGGCGCACGCCCCGGCGCTGCCTGCTGCTCAGACGCAAAGTATGCGTCAAGCACGCGCGTCCAGACGAAGTGTACCTGCGCCTTCCATAGGCCAGTGCCGTTCTGCGCGCCCGTCTTGCCCGTCGCCTTGCCCGTCGTCTCGGACTCCGCCGGCGGCGCCGGACTGGCATTCTGTGCCACATGCGTCAGAGAGACTCAGAGTGCGGCTGGTACCACGGCGCTTACTTTGAGGATGCGTGCCAATGTCGGCAGGTTGGCGTGTGCAAAGATCTCTGGGCCCTTGAGCGGCGCCAGAACAGCCGAGACGTCGGTGTCCTGCAGCAGGCGTCAGGGCGCCGTCGTCGCCACATAGGCAGGGAACTCACAGGGAACGAAGCGCGCATTTGCAGCAGCATGGCGAGCTTCTCAGGGCCCATCTCGACACTGCCAATGCGCCGCAGGAACCACGCTTGCGCCTCATCCTTCCAGGACTCGGTGCTCTCGCCCAGCCGCGCGAGCAGCTCGCACAGGCACCACCCGGCGCCCTCCTTCAGCCACGCCTTGTGCGCTGAAAGGTCAAGCAGGATCTCTGCGGTGCGTACAAACGACTCGACGTCGCTGCTGGCGCGGAAGAGGGCGCCGGAGCGCACGAGCGCCTCGATGCCGAAGAGACGCGCGAAGAGGTTGGCGCGCTCCTCTCTGCCCGACATACGCGTCGAGTCGAGCGGTGAATGTTGCAGCAGCAAGACGAGCACGTCGGAGGCAGGCAGGCCCGGCAATTGTGTAAGGAGCTGCGGCAGGTCAGCACAGTCCTACTTCGCCCATACATCAGCACTCACCTCGGTCAGCGCGACGGCAAAGCCGAGGCGTGCCGACTCGCGCGGGCTGGCGAGGCCTTTGACGAGGCGGCGCACGGCGTAGCCGACCTCGCTGGCGAAGCCGCCATCGAGGCGGCGCGCGGTGCGCTCCGTCTCTTCGAGCGTGGCGACGGCGTGGTTGGTCGTGTAGGGCGCGGGGTCGTTGGCGTTGTCGAGCGGGCGCGCGGGCAGGGCGCGCTGCTGGGCGAGGAGCGCAGCGAGCAGCGCGTCGGAGGCGCCGAGGCGCGTCGCCTGCGCCGGCGACGCCAGCGACCAGAAGAGCGGCAGCGAGGAGGAGGCCATGGCTGCGGGTGCGGTAGAGAGAAGCAAGTGAGCGGCGGCAGCGGCGCGGCGGCCAAAGCTTCGCGCAGCGCAAGAAGCATGGCGCCGCCGCAACTTTTGGCTGACGTAAGCAGTGCAGCCGCGCCGAATGCGCGACGCGCGCCTCGACGGCGAGCGGCACCGGCCCACGCTCCTTCCTCACCTCCACCACCACCACACCACCACCATGTCCTCGCAGAACTCCGACGAGATCGACTTCATCACCGGCGACGGCGTCGACAGCTTCGCCGGGCCGTCGTCGGGCACCGGCACGCCCGGCGCCGGCGCCGCCGACGGCGACATGGACGACGCCGCCGAGATCGAGGCCATGAAGGCGCGCGTCGCCGAGATGGAGGCCGAGGCCGCCAAGCTGCGCGACATGCAGGCCGACGCCGAGCGCGAGGCCGGCGGCGCGCCGGGCGCCGCGGCGCCGGGGCCGAGCGAGGAGGAGAAGGAGGAGGTCGACGGGCGCAGCGTGTACGTGGGCAACGTGAGTGTGCGAGCGGCTGAAGACGGCTGTGGATGGACTTTGAGGTCGGCGGCGGCGGGTGAGGTATCGCGGCGCAATGCTTGTAGTGCCGCAGTATCATGCTAGCGGCTGCGACAGGCCTGCGGCTGCGTGGCAGCGGATGAGAGTCGCATGGCTGCTATGCGCATACTGCATTCCTCCGCTCTGCTGTTTGGCTTTGCAAGGTGACTCGCAGCGGCTCGACTGGCACTGTCAAAGCGACCGCGCCTGGTAGCATCTCAGAAGAAGGGATGGCTCCGTCGGCCACGCACTTTGGTCTGCGTTCAGCTCGGCAGCTAACACCTCTCTTGCGCGCGCCAGGTGGACTACGGCGCGACGCCCGAGGAGATCCAGCAGCACTTCCAGTCGTGCGGCACGATCAACCGCGTCACGATCCTGTGCGACAAGTTCACGGGCCATCCGAAGGGCTACGCATACGTCGAGTTCTCCGAGCCGTCACTTGTCGCCAACGCCATGGTGATGAACGAGTCGCTCTTCCGCGGACGGTTGATCAAGGTGCGTCTGCAGCGCGAAGGCCTGCCTTGGCGCGCTGCTCACCACCCACGCAGGTCACGGCTAAGCGCACGAATGTGCCCGGCCTGTCGGCGCGTGGCCGGGGGCGGGGGCGGGGCAGAGGCGGCCCGCGCGGGCGGCCGTTCCGCGCACGGGGACGCGGACGAGGCTGGCACTAGGCGCGGGCAAGGATGCAGAGCGAAGGCTACAGGGCGGCAGGAGATCACAATACATTGCGACGGTATCTCATTTCACGTTTCATCAGATCTTGCCGCGGAAGCGTAACCGCGGGCCAGACCCTTGCGACAGGGCAAGCGAACGCGAGAGGGCGATGCACGCCGTGCCGACGGTGCATGTCGCGCCGGCGAACGCCGTGGCATGCCACCACTGCAGCGGCGCCACGGTGCCGAGCAGCTGGCCGGTGATCGGCGTGCCGAAGAGGCCGCCGATGCTCATCAGACAGAAGAGCTGGCCCATGCGCGTGCCGAACGAGTTGGTGCTGCCGAGTTGCCCGACGGCAGAGGGGATGATGGACACGTACAGGCCCGTCGTGAAGCCGTAGATGATCGCAAATGGGATCTGTCAAAAAGTCAGCGCCAAGGACGGAGCGGCTGCTGCAGCTGGTTCGACACACTCACGATGCCCCCGAGCGACCGGATGCAGACTGGGAACACGAAGAGCAGCACCGAGGCGATGGCCAGGTGTGGCACGAGGGTGTTCATGCGGCCCCAGCGGTCGGCCGCGAAGCCTGGAAGAATGGAGGTCAGCCAGCTGTATTGCGGCAGTCCGGCTCGTCTGGGCTCACCTGGCAGGATGCGCCCGAAGACGGAGGCGCCGTTCAGCACCGAGAGCCAGTAGCCCGTTGCGGGAATGCCGTACGTCTCCGTCGCCACGTCCATATAGGCGAAGGGGAAGTAGAGGCCGAACAGGATGAGGGCTGCAGTCGCACCGTCCGTCAGCGTCGATACGCTATCAGCGCGCCGAGCACTACTCACTGGCGCCGATGCAGAACAAGCTGTACGCGGGCACCTTGAAGTGCTCGAGCTCGATGAAGCGCAGCTTGCGCCAGCCGCCGTTCTTGTACGAGACGACGGGCTCGAGGCGCGTGCTCATCGTCAGCCAGGCAAAGACGAGCAGACCGAGCGCCAGGAAGCCGACGACGCGCTGAGGCGGACAGGAAGCGTCAGCAGTGCGGGCGCATGCCGACGTGCATGGCAGCTCACCTGCGTCCAGGCAAAGCCGAGCACGGGCGTGAGGCGTCGGATCATGATGGGCAGGCAGATGCCGCCGGCCGACGAGCCGCTGGCGGTGACGCCGAGGGCAGAGGCGCGGCGCCGCTGGAAGTGGTGCGACGGCACGGCGACGCTGAGGTTGAAGACGATGCCCATGCCCATGCCGAGCCCGAGCCCCTGCGAGAGGAAGATCTGCCAGTACTGAGTCGAGATAGAGAGCATCATCTGTGGGACAAGTCAGCAAGTGGAAGATGCAGTGTTGCGGTTGCGACTTGCCTGGCAGAAGACGAGCAGCAACGCGCCGAACGTGAAGAGCGGCAGGTACAGCCCGACGTCAAACGCGCGCCCCGTGATGATGCCGGTGGAGAAGATGCCAAAGTACTGCGGCGTGGGTCAGCAGTGCGACTGCGGCGCTGTCCATGCTCTCGTGCGCACCTGAAAGGCGCCGATCCATGCGATCTGGCTCGTGCTCTTGTCGCGCAGCACGTCCTGCGCGTACTGCGCCTGCATCACGCCGTAGCTGTTCGCCAGGCCGAAGCTGCGGGAAGCGATGTCAGTAGAGGCCAGTGGGGCGCTCTGAGGCGACGCACGTAATGAAGCTGCATGCCCACGAGCCTGATGCAAGGTCAGCGCTGCGTTCGACACCCATCATTGGCCCCACTCACCCGCCACGGCAAGCCACGCCTTGGTGCCGCCCTCGGGGAACCAGATGCCGTGGTCGGCGCGCTCTGCAATCTTCTCCTGCATGTCGACGTCGCCCGGCTGCGGCGTCACGGTGCGCGACTCGCACTCGAGATGCGCGGCGTCGCCGTGTGCGGCCGACGAGGCGTCGGCATCGCTGCTGAGGCGCTGCGGGCGTGGCGGCGACGAGGCGCCGGCGCGAGCCATCATGGCGCACGGTGGCGGGAGGAGCTGCGGTGCTGCTGAGCAGACACGGAGGAGCAGGCGTCGCGCTTGGTGTGCTTGCTGCGGTGCTTGCCACTGTGCTTGCTGCTGCTGCTGCTTGTGATGGTCGTTGTTGGGAGTCAGAGTCACGCCCTCGCCGACGGCGGCTGGGTGAAGGGCTAGCGGCTGCGCTGCCGAGGGCTGCTGCCATGTGAGCCCCTTCTCTCTCTCCCCCTCCTGGGCCAGGAGCTGTGCCGGCTGCCGGCATCTTTGCCTGCCGCGGCACGGCCAAGCAGCGCACCTGCAGCGCCGCCCCGACAGCTGCAGCTGTCACTCGTCAAGCGGCGCTGCGGGCGGCAGAGGAGCGCCCCCGCACACGCCGCCGCGGCTCCGCACCGGAGCGCGGCAGCGGCGGCCGGCGAAAGCGGCACTTGGCCGCAGAGACGCGCGGTTCTGCCGGCCGCCTCTAGGGCTCTAGCGCTGTTCCCACGCTGCATCCGCCTGCCGCGACGTCCGATCGGCGGAGCGATTGTGGCCTGCTCATCCAGCCGTGCGTCTTGCGCCCTTCTCCTCTCCACCACACCCTCCACAGCAACCATGCCGCGTGTGCCCTACGTCTTCCCCGCCGCAGGCAGCGACCCCATCGCCGACGCCATCCGCGCCCGCCGCGGCGCGCGCGGCCTCACGTCGCTCGACGGCATGCTCCTCAACGCGCCGCCGATTGCCGACGGCTGGAACCGCCTGCTGGGCGCCGTGCGCACGGGAAGCTCGCTCGAGGGCGACGTGCGCGAGCTCATGGTGCGTGCGGCGTGGGTGTGGGTAGCAGTGGCAGTGCAGGCAGTGCAGGCGTGACGGCGCATGCATTCGACAGCGAGCATCGGCGGTGCAGGCGCGGCGGTGCAGAGGCATGTGTGCATGCCAGCGAGCATCGCTGCGGCACCCTGTCCATGCGCTTGCTGGTCGGCCTCTGGGCCTAGCCTTTGCATTCGCGCACGCTGTCAAGCGCATACTCATGCTGCCGCTCGTCATGTGTGCTGGCCTTGTTGCTGTGTGCTTCTTGCTGGCACCTTCGCTCGTTTTGGTTTCTACGCTGACGCCATGCCCTGCAGATCCTCCGTGTGGCCGCGCGCAACCGCGCCGCGTTCGAGTGGATCCAGCACGAGATCGTCGGGCGCCAGGCAGGCCTGACGACGGAGCAGCTGACGCGCATCGGCGACCTGCGCAAGCCGGCCACGCCGCTCACCTCGGGCACCGGCGCCCTCTCGCCGCTGCAGGCCGCCGCACTGGCGCTCGCCGACTCGATGACTGCGCAGGTGCACGTCTCGGACGCCACGTTTGCCGCGTTTGGCGAGGCGCTCAAGGCCGAGGGCGCCGACGAGGCCGTCGTGCGCCAGAAGACCGTCGAGGCCGTGGCGACGACGGCGACGTACAACATGGTCAGCCGCTTCCTCGTCGCGCTCGACATTGACGACAAGGCCAACATGCCCGTGCCCGTGCCCGGCTTCTCTGAGGACGATGCTGCGCCCGTCGCGGACCCGGCGCGCGGCCTCGTGCAGGTGCTTGGCGACGGCGGCTGTGTGCTGGCGACGCGCGTCACGTTCCACTCGATGCGTGCGCCGTGGGTCGTGCTCATCAACTCGCTCATGACGAACCTGACAATGTGGGACCCCGTGCTCTCCAAGCTCGCCACGGCCGGCTACAACGTGCTGAGCTACGACCAGCGCGGCCACGGCGCCTCGGCCGTGCCGGCGCAGCCCTGCACCGTCGCCACGCTCGCCGACGACGTCGCCGAGCTGATGGCGGCGCTCGAGATTCCGCGCGCGCACGCCGTGATCGGCGTCAGCCAGGGCGGCGCCACGGCGCTCGCCTTTGCCGTGCGGCACCCGGAGCTGGCCGAGCGCATCGTGGCGTGCGACACGCAGCCGGCCAGCCCGGCAGCCAACGCGGCCGCGTGGGACGAGCGCATTGCGCTGGCCAAGGAGAAGGGCATGGCGGCGCTCGCCGACGTGACGGTGCCGCGCTGGTTCGCCGCCGGCAGCGCCATCACGGAGGACGTGCGCGCCTCGACGCACGAGATGGTCGCGCGCACCAAGGTCGCCGGCTTCGAGGCGGGCGCGCGGGCACTGCAGAGCTACGACCTGCTGGCGCAGGGCCTCGTCGAGAAGCTCGCCGCCACGCGCTCGCTGCTCGTCGCCGGCGAGCTCGACGGCAAGCTGCCAGAGGTGCTCGCTAGCCTGCACAAGGACGTGGCGGCCAAGGCCGCCGAGCGCGCCAGCTTTGCCAGTATCCCGGCCGCGGGACACCTGCCCATGCTCGACAACCCCGACGCATGGTGGGCCGTCGTGGGCCCCTGGCTCCAGACAGCATGACGTGGCTATAGGAATGGGACTGGCATTACGTGATGAGATGTGCAGGGTCACAGGCGCGCCGACGCCGCAGCCGCCTTCTTGGCCTGCTGCTTGGCCAGGAAGCGCGAGACGCCGGCGAGGAACACAGGGCTGGCGGCGATCTGCGAGAGTGCGGTCAGCTGCGGCCTGATGCGCCTCTTGCTGCTTCGCCACGCACCCTTCCGAGCTCCTCCATCTCGCGTGCATTGGCCGCACGCAGGCGCGCCAGCTCCTCGTCTGACCGCAGCTGTGAGGAAACGTGCGTCAATTTTGCGGCGTGCCGGCGCACATGCATGCGCACTGACTAGACGCTTCGTGGCCATCATGCTCTCGAGACTGAGGTTCGTGTAGTCGGCCGACTCGACGACCGTGTCGGGATCCGCAGCGCACTCGGGGATGCCGAAGCGTTCTGCGAGGAAGCTAAGCGCATACTCGGCTGGCAGGGGTAGTGGTGCGTCAGTGCAACGGTCAACCAGATCGACAGCAATCTGACACGCACGCAGAGAGTCGGGCGTAGCATCGGGCACGACGGAGAGGAAGCCGCGCGCCGCCAGCGTCTCGGCTGTCTGCGGCTCGGAGAGCATCATCATCTTCGTCGTCAGCGCCGGGCCGAGGATGCGCGGGAAGGTGACGGAGCTGCATCCCTCGGCGCAGACGCCGAGCTCGGCAAAGGGCGTCTTGAACGTCTGAGGAGTGGCGTCAGCTGCTGGCAGAGATGAAGCTGCAAGTGCTATACGCACTCGCCCGGGCAGCGCAAAGACGAGGTCGTGCAATGGCAGGATCGTCACGGCCAGCCCGAAGGCGTGGCCGTTGATGGCCGCAGCCAGACACTTGGGAAAGCGGATGAGCTCCTCGACGAGTGCGCTGCAAGAGCTCATGTGAGTCGTGTGGCCGTTTTGAGTTGCAGTGTCGAGCTCACCCGGCGAGGTTGGAGGTGTCCGGGTCCTCGGCCTGTGCCTCGCCCTCGCCGCGCCCCTCGAGCATGCTGGCGTCCATGGCCATGCCGGCGCAGAAGACACGCTTCTCGGGCGTGCTGCCGGGGCGCCCGCGCCCGGACACGACGACGGCATGCACGTCGTCCGTCTCTGCCTGCAATGTGTGTCAGCGATCGTGACCGCAGAGCCGGCGCTCAGCACCACGCACGGCCCAGCGCAGCGCGCGTGTCCAGTCGCGGAAGAGCGTGGGCGAGAGGGCGTTGAACGTCTTGGGCACGTTGAGCTCGAGATGCACGAGCGTCGGCAGCGGGCGGTAGCGCGAAAGGGCCAGCGCCGTGAAGCTCGGCAGTTTGGAGTAAGGCATGGCACTTTGCTTGAGGGAATGTCGATGATGAGAGACGGGAGGAGCGATGGCGGCGCTCGCCGCCTTCCCCGCACTCTGCGCGCGCAGGAGAGGAACACCGCCCGGCGGCTATCTGCGAAGCCGGACGGCCCGGCACCGCGACTCGTCTTGCCGGCAGACGGCGCCCCGACGCAGCGGTCCGACGGAAAGGCTCAAAGTCTCAGAGTCTGACACTTGGCGCACAGCACGGCCAGCTGTGGGCACTATCTCCAGAGCTTCTTCAGCCCCGACTATGCGCTCCTCGAGCCGGGCATGCGGAATGTCGCGGCGAGAGTGCGTGGCTTAGGCCCGGCCAGGGAGGCGGCGGCACGACGCGTAACGCGCCTCGTGTTGCGTAGCGTAGCCTGCTGCTGCTCCACATCCCGCCACACCCATCGGCAACGCGCAACCTGTCCATCACGGCGCACGGCCTCGCTGGCCTCACCCTGGCCCCTCGCTGTCCTAGTGCCAGCCATGTCAGACCTGCGCGCCTTCTTCACTCCGCCGCGCGAGCGTGCGCAGCCCCCGCCGCGCCGCTCTGCCTCGCCGCTCGACGCGCGCATCCAGGAGGCACTGCGCCGCTCGCGCGAGGAGGCGCGCGTGGCGGCGCTGAGCGACGACGAGGCACTGCGCGAGGCGCTGGCGGCGTCGCTGGCCGAGGCGCAGCCCGATCCTGAGGAGCTGGGCGGCGCTGCCGGCGGCAGCAAGGCGGAGCGCGGCACTGCTAGTGGCGACTGGAAGGACTGCGGCGAGGCGAGTGGCCGCCGCACAGACGACAACAAGCCGGGCAGCGCAGCAGGCCGTCGACTGTCTGGTGGAGCCCTTGACGGCGGTGCGGACTCCAAGCGGCGTCGCACGGAACCCGCTGCGCAGCGGACTGCAGTGGCGGAGACGGAGCTCAAGCAGGAGTCTAGCAGTGCGAAGCCGGCCAAGCCGATTGCGCCGCTCTTCGCGCGCTCCTCCTTGCCGGTGCCCGCACCGGACCTGACGAGCGCGGTGGCTAGCACGAGTCAAACGCCTCTCGAGGTCATTGACCGCTTCGACGGCTCGCTTGATCTGCTCTACTGCAAGGGCTGGCTCACGCCGATCGCACGGCAGGCGCTCTTCGCTTGGATGACGGCCGAGCTGCGCTGGCATCGCGTCATTTACACGCGCCCCGGCACGGGCATCACGATACGCACGCCACGCTACACCACCACGTACGGTAGAGACGAGACGGGTGCGCCGGACGTCGCCTATCAGCAGCCGCCCGTGGCCTTTCCGCCGTGTCTGGACGATCTGCGCCGTCTCGGTGCGTGGTCTCGCCGCACGTCTCACCCTGCTCGGGCTGACAAGCTCCATCAGTGGAGGCGGCGACTGGCGCACGCTTCAACACGATGATCTGCAACCTCTATGCAGATGGCAATGATAGCATGTAAGGCGCAGTGTGGGTTGATTGCAGTGTCGCGCTGACAAGACGCACAGCTCCTATCACAGCGACGACGAGGCTTTCCTCGGGCCCAACTGCACCATCGCCTCGCTGTCACTTGGCGCTGCGCGCGACTTCTTCATGCGTGAGAGCGACCTTGCCCGGTCCGTGGTGCGGTCTGCTGACTGCTCGCAGGGCGCAAGGCACCTGCCGGCGTGGACATTGCGCCGGCGCGGCCAGACCAGAAGTCCGGCACCAAGGGCTCAGGCCCTGCCGCAGGGCGCCCCACGGAGCGGTGGCGGCTCGGCGACGGCGACCTCCTCGTCATGCGTGGGCGCACGCAAAGCGAGTGGGAGCACGCCGTGCCGAAGCGCGCCAGTGCTGGGCCACGCATCAACATCACGTTCCGGCGCGTCAACTGCGTCGCTGGCGTCAACAGTGAGCTGCGCGGCTGTCTCGCTGCCGTGCACGACTCACTCTGCGGCCACAGACTTTATGCGGTACTCTCGAGGCGACGGACCGGGGTATCGATGGCGCGGCGGTCGTCTCGTCGAGGCGCCGGGCGGCCAGTGACACGGCTCAATCATCCACTTGACACCAGCGAATCTCGAAGGCACGGAACAGCGTCGCCTGTCCCGACTGTGTCGCCAAGGGGCGGCGCACGGTATCGTCGCCGTGCAGAGGCACGTCTGTCCGCATCGACGGCGGACCAAAGTCGTCTTGCGCTCGCAGGTCCTGCGTGCGGACAGTGCGCAGCGCCAGGGCCCCACCGGAAGAGCTCGCGCGCGGGTCGACGAGCGGAAAGACGGCGAGAATGGCCGCCGCTTCGTGTGCATGCGTCTGCCGCAGCGCATTGAGGATGTAAAGCCCGCCGTGCAGATCGGCTCCCGCGCCCTCTCGGCTGTCCGACTCGTGCACGAAGGCCCGCGACAGACGCTGCGACGCCACGGCACGCAGCCACAGCGCATGGTCGTGCTCGTAGCAGCAGTCTGCGAAGTGTCAGTGCAAGCGCATTGTTGCTCTCTCCGCGGCAATTCTCACCTGCTGCAACGAGAGCATCCCACGAGCCACTCTCGAGGCTTGGCCACGTGTCACGAGCCGTCTGCGCAACGCGCTGCTCTTCGGTCTGGGTCTCGTGCGCGTGTGATGCTCCGGCATAGTCGTCTTGCCAGTCGAGCCGTCGGACGAGCGTGCTCGGCTCTGAGAGCGCATTGAGTGAAGCATTGAACTGCAGATTCGAGAGCACGTCGGGGTGGTAGTCTGTAAGCGCCACCTGTGCTGCAATGCCGAGGCGCTGCGAGTAGAGCGCAAGGGCCAGGCCAACGAGCCCAGTGCCCGCTCCCAGCTCTAGGATTCTCAGCTGGCTGCTGTGCCTGAGCGCTGCTTCGAGGGGGCTGAGCAGGCGTCTGGCGAGCAGCGGTGCCGAACCCCAAGTGCGCGAGCCAAGTGCGTCCGCCGAGAGTGTTGCATCGCGGACAGAGACGGCGACCTCGGCGCCGTTGGGCGTCGGCACATGGTAGATGCGTGTGACAGCACCTGATGCTGCTCTGCCGCGTCAGCGCAGAGCTCCATGCTGTTGCAGCAGACGACGTACCGCTCTTGCCGGCGCACACACTCAGCAGCGCCGCCGCTTTATCGAGCGCCGCAGCAGCGGCATCACCATCGTCGTCGCGCGCGAAGCACCAGGCGAGGCCGCTGCGCACGCAGCCCGTGAGCCACGTCTGTGCATGGCGCAGCTCGAATGCAGCGGAGGCGTCGCGCTCAGGCGCTTCGTCCGTCTCCGCAGCACCGCTATCTTGCTCATCGCTGGCCACGTCCGGCGCGGCGACCCAGACGTGCTCGTCGCCCTCGATTCGCAGGGCACGGGCGAGCAGCCCTAGCGCTGTCTCGACCTCGCCCAGCGCAGGCCGACGAGCGAGCGCAGGGAGATGCACCGACGGGATGAACACCTCGCCCGACCCAGCATCACTTGTCGTCGTCATCGCCTGTGCGTATGCAGAGCGCCTGCTTGCGGCCGCGAGGATGCTTGTGGGTTGCAGGAAACTCTTGAGGTCGATCCTTATGCGCGAAGACGGCAAATTGCTCGGCAGGAGGCGCGCATGAGGCGCCCGAACGGTCAGGGTCAGTCGATGATCATGCAGAGGGTTCATGTACCCGCCATTTGGCGCCTTGCATAATTACCGTCTCATGCCGGACCGGCGCGATGGTGGCGCTTCTCATTCCTACAGTTTTGCAGTCAGCTGAGAAGGTTGCGGGTTCGAATCCCGCGTTCGGTTTCTTTTTGCTTTCTGCCCACCCGAATTCTTTTGGTCTTTTTGTCCTTCTCATGCTGGCGGGCCCACGGCCATGCTGAGCCATAATGGCCCTCCAAAAGACGTATGGGGACTCAATGCGGTCCGTTCTGTCATAACACATGGTCTCCATCAGGGCGCAGCTCATGCACTGAGGGCCAGCTCGCGCGGCGCGTCCTGCGGGCGGGCAGGACGCGCCTGCGCCGCGGCATGCGCGCCGTGCGCGCCGATAGGGATGCGCCGCATGCGCTCGGCGCAGTCACGGCCCGAGCACCATTCCTCAAGCCACCACCACCTCCCGCCCTCGCACCCCATGTCGCGCGCACAGCACTTCAGCGCGCCTGCCGGGCTGCCCGTCTACGCGCTCACGTTCCTGAGCGAGGATGTGCTGGCGTACGCCGGCGGCGGCGGCGCCGGCCGCAGCGGCGTCGCCAACGCTATCGTGCGTCGCCCAGCCGCCCACTCGCAGACGCCCGCTGACACTCGCTGCCGCAGCGCACCGTGCGCGTGGACCGCGACAAGAAGACGCTCGAGCAGCTGCACGAGCTCTCACTCAGCCGCGATGAGGACGCGCCCATGTGTCTCGCGTCCGAGCCAAAGGTGAGCCCGGCGGACGGAGCAGCGGCGGGGCAGCAGACAGCGCACGGCAGATAAGGGCAGTCAGTGCATTCATGTGGGCAGAGGCAGGCGGGACGATTCTGCTCGCACAAGAGAAACCATGTCCTGGCGAGACGCGCGGTCAGCCCACATACCTCCCGGCGCGCCAGCGCGATCCATGGAGAGATGGATGGAGAGCTCGATCGTGCGTACCAGAATAGCGGCATGCTGACGTGCACCACCGCCAGACGCGCTCGATCGTGTGCGGCATCAACTCGCCCGAGGCGCGGCTGAAGGACGGCAGCAATGAGACGCTGCGCCTCTTCCAGTACGACGAGCCGACGAGCAGCGAGAAGGAGTCTGCTGACGAGAAGAAGGCGTCGGACGCTGTGGCGGTGCGCTTCGAGAGGGCCGTGTCGAGCCTGCCGATCAGCGACGCCGAGGAGTACCAGGTGCGTGTCTGCCGAGCTTGTGCTGTCTTGCGCCCTCTCACGCTGTTCGGCTGCTTCAGAAAGTCGCCGTGTTCTCGCCCAATGGCGCACTGCTGGCTGCTGCGTCGACTCGCGGTCAGGTCGCGCTGCACCGCGTGCCGTCGCTTGCGCGTGCGTGGGCCGAGCCGCCGGCGCCGCCCAAGTCGCAGGATGGCGCCGCGCAGGAGCTGTTCGACGCCGACTTCAGCGCCGACTCGAGCCAGGTTGTGTTTGCCTCGGGGCGCGGCATCCGCGTGTTTGCTACGCCGGCAGACGGTGCGGCCGACAGCGAAGACGGTGACGGGCCGCGTCTCGTGCAGACGATCCAGAACCCGGCGCTCGGCGGCACGAGCACGTGTGCCTTCCGCGCGGCGCGCTTCGGCCGCGGCAAGAAGATGGACGGCGGCACTAGCGACCGCCTGTTCACCGTTGTGAATGCGGGCCAAACGCCGGGCGCCAAGGGCAAGCAGGCCAAGCTTCGCAAGGCGTGAGTCAGGCAGGGCAGACGTCCTGTGCAGAGACTGATGACCGCACGTGTAGCTTCATCACCGCATGGGACGCCGACTCGTGGGACTTGATCGAGACGCGCCACGTCTCCGACCGGCCAGTGACTGTCTTTGATGTGTCGTGAGTGCACTGCGCTCGCATTGCGGGCCATGTGCTGAATGCTCGCACAGCGCGGATGGTCGGAAACTGGCGTACGGCTCGTCGGACCTGTCTATCGGCGTGCTCGACGCCCGGACATTGCGGGTGAGCAACCGCGCCGCATGCTGTGCGGAGGCGGCGACTGATTCTGCCGCGTCACAGCCGATCGTCAAGATCCTCGACGCGCACAGCTTCCCGCCGACGGCGCTGCGCTTCTCGCCGTCGGGCAACGTGCTCGTGAGCGCCAGCGCGGACAACACGATCCGCGTCATCGACGTGCCGCACAAGTACCTGGTCGAGCAGAGCTGGTGTGAGTTGCACCGCAGCGAGACGCCGGCGCGCCGCTGACGCACTGGGCACGCAGCCGAGACGCTGCAGCTCATCTTCGTCGCGTTCCTGCTCGTCGTCATTGCGGCGTACATGGCGCATCGCGAGATTCTGTCGTAGGGCGGCGAGGAGCAGATTCAGGGATACAAATACATCGGTGACGTGTTCGACAGAGGGCTCAGAGGTGCCAGGCGGCGATGATCTGATCGAGCGCGAGCGGGCTCCACACCGGCTCGACGTGGACAGTGCGGTGAATCGGCTTGTCGGGGCTGGTCCGTCGTGCTTCGCGCAAGGATGAGACGCAGCTGCGGACCGCTGCAGCGCACGCTTCCGCCGAGGTATTGGCTCGCGCCTCTGTCGCGAGGTGGCGGAGCGCAGCCAATTCGGCGTGCGACGGCATCTCTGCAGCAGCGAGCAAGAGCGCCAGCTGCAGCGCTTCGGAACCAGGCATGCTCCCGTCGCGTGCATACGCCTGCAGCGCGAGCGCGAGCGGCGTCTGCGCGCCGGAGAGAAGGGCGTCTGTGATGTCGCTGGACGCCGAGGCGAACGCCTCGTCGACGAATGTGCGCTGCAAGAGCGGCGCACGCTCGCCAAACAGACGCGTGAAGTCGCCGTAGACCGCCGAGAGCAGTGGCATATCGCGCACAAACGCCAAGCGAGCCGCGGGCTGTCTTGCGTCGAAAGCGAGCGCCAGGCGCGTGGATAGCGTGCCGCTCTGGTCCAACGTGAGGTCCGTCATCAGGGCGTTGAGGCAGAAGCCTCGTGCAGCGCGTGTCGCAGGCGCCTCGTTGTGCCACGGCGCTGCGCAGATGCGTTCGAGGAAGATCGCGTGCTCTCTGCTGCTGGAGAAGGAGTCGACGAGCTCGTCTAGGCTCTCGTCGTCCATGACTGTGCTCCAGGCGTCCGCAAGCAGCGCTTCGAGGCCCGTGGCACGCGTGCTGAGCGCGTGCCGGCCGTGCGGATCGTCGGCATAGCTGAGCTGGCCGGCGCGGCGCTTAACGAAGACGGTCTGGCTGCCGAGCAGAGCGCGCGCATGCGAAGCGTTGCCAGTCACGTCCAGTGCCGTGGGCCAGTAGCGCGCGCTGTCCGTTGCCAGCGACTTGATCGTGTCGTGCGTCGGCAGGAGCGTCGGCGCACGGGCATCGATCTCCTTGCCCTCTCGGGTGACAATGCGGAGCGGCAGAATTGCGAGCGATTCAGTGCTCACGTCCTGCGCAACGAGCACGCGAGGCTCGACCGCGAGCACCCAGAGATGCCGGAAGGCCTGCAGGTGCGCACGGTTGTCCTGCGCCGTGCCCGGGAAGCGCGGAAAGAGCGCGATGACAAGCGCTGCGATGGCCGAGTCGGACGTGCCCAGCGTGAAGCGGCCGCCGCCCAGGAACAGGAGGCCAAGCGCCATGTGGGTGGCCATCTGCGCGCCGTAGCCGACCGAGGCGTCCTGGCGGCCGTGCTGAATGCGCAGGAATTTGAGCAGCTCGAGGTCGCCGGTGCCAGCCATGATCATGGCGGCAGAGACGCCGAGCAGCTCGACGCCGGCGCAGAGGGCGTGCTGGCGGATCTTGGCGAAGAACGTTGACGCGCGCACGGCGGCCTCCTTAGCAAAAGCACGAAGCTCCGTCATGACGATGCCCTGAGCGACGGGATCGGCCGAGCCAGCGTACTTGAGCGCCAGCGCAAAGCAGGCACCAGCGCGCATATTGTAGTAGGCAAGCTGCGCGGCCTCGCCGAGACTGGCCGGACGGTGGCCCTGCAGAAATGACGGCAAGCTCGAGTCCAGCCACGCGCTAGTGGGAGCGATGGCATCCCACATGATGAGGCCTCGGGCCAGAACGCGCACCAGTAGCACGTCTGGCCGCACCACGTCCAGGTCGGCCTCGCTGGCGGGCAGCTGGATCAGGCTGGCCATGTCAGCACGGTTGCTGCGCAGGTAGATGAGGCCCAACGCAATCGTCGCAGGCATCGCCGTCGTACTGATGTCCACACGCGGGCGCGATTCGTCGTCCTCGTCGTCGTCGTGCAGGAGAGGCGCCGGTGGCCCATGCATCAGTGCCGTCAGAGTGGTGATTGTGGCTCGATCTGCAGTCGTGCGCATCTCCGCGCGGCGGCCCTTGGCCAGCATGACGAGGCCGAGCGACAGGCCAGCGCTGAGCGAATATGCCTCGCGCTGCGAGACGTTGCCTTGCGCCGCACGCACTTCGGCGGCGCCGATTTGGTCGAGCAGCCGGCCAGCGGTCCAGGCGTGGTCGCTCGTCATGAAGAGCAGGCCCATGCTCATCAGAGACGTGGCCTGCTCGATCATGGTCAGATTGAGATCGAGAGAACCGGCCGGCTGGAAGGCTGGCAGATGCATGGCGATCAGCTGGCGCGTCGCCACGTCGCCCGTGCCGATGAGCGAGGCACCGAGACCGAGCAGAATCGCGACCGGCGCCAGTCCGCCGCTCCGTGGCCGCAGATAGCGGAACATGTGAACGCGGCCGAGCGCCGAGAGCTGGCCAAGCAGGCCGATGCCGAGCAGAAAGCCGGCCTCGCGTGGCGACACATCTCCGGTGTGATGGCTGAAGATCCAGCCCGAGTCGAGCGAGACGGACTGCATGGACAGCTCCAGCGCTGTTGCCACGCCGTTGTGGAACTCGGGCCACTCGAGCTCCGCCGCGTCTGGGCGCGGCTCGCTGTACTTGACGCCCTCCGGCGGCGGCGAGAGCTGCACGTCCAGCACGAGACGGTGCAGGCGGACCTTGCTCGTCGGCACGAAGACGCGCGTCGCCATGCATAGCATAGCTCGTCCTACACTCGTGGCCTTGATGCGCTCAACGGCGGCGTGATGCGTCTGCGAAAGAGAGTCCTTCGTTTCTTGCTCAGTTGCGTTGTCTTGGAGCTTCGGGCGCAAGACATGCACCGCTCGGCGAGTCTCGAGCATTTCGGCCACGTCACGCAGCCGGTAGTCCTCGTTGAAGATCTGTCCGGCGACTGGATGCAGAGATACGCCGGCCGGCAGTGTCTTGCTCATCGACGTGTCGGCCGCAAATGCGCGTGGAAGCTGGCAAGGGATGAGTATTGAGCCAGTACTGACCACGCAGCACTCACAGATGCCGATGGAATGTTGAGCGGGGCGTCGATGGTCTGCAGCGCAAGATCGGGACGGTCGATGAGCTCGTATGCAGCTCGCGGCCACGCAGCCGGCGGGTCAAGCTGGCATGTTCGCATCGCTTCGCGCAGAGGCAGCGCCAGCAGCGGCGGCAGCAACGCAAGGCCAGCACTCGAAAGGCCATGCGTGAGCATCGCCTCGACGACGGCGCAGCACTTGAGGAGTGAGCCAGTCAGCGGTCGCCCGCTGAACGTCTGCTGCTGCATCAGCTGTGCAGGGCTCGGCTCTGCGAACGCCGCAAAGATGCGGTCGAGCTGCGCGAATCGTGGTGTCATGGCGCCGGCCGCGATCGTCGGAAGCGCGAGCATGTCGCACAGCGTCTCGTCTCGTCGGCCCTGCATTCTTTCCAGTAGCTGCTGGACCACGTCCGGCGGAGTACGCTCCGGCGACGCGCTCTGGTGCTGCGGTCCGGCCGGCAGCTGGTCTGTTGCGAACTGCGGGGCCAGACGTAGCCAATAGTCGACCCACGAGTGCCAGCCGCAGCGGCGCGACAGGCCGAGCGCAAGCTCGGCGAGCCGCTCAAAGTCGTGCACGCGAGAGAGAACGTCGAGACGCGCTGTCTGCGCCATCGCATGCACGACGGACAGCACCGCGGCGTTCTCGGCATCGCCCAGCAGACCAGCGTCCATAGCGCTCTTCACAGCGGTGCGAGCAGTGCCAAGCGGGCGTCGCAGTTGAACTGATCGTGTGCGGGCGAGTCGTTGGCCGGCGTCCAAAGGACGCTCTTCTTGTGTGCGTGCGATGCCGAGCGTTTCGCAGAGGCAAGCCCAGTCTGTCGTTGCGCTGCCGGGCTGACGACGCCTTGCGAGCCACTGCGCGATGAGGGCGCCCACCGCGGCGCCAGGCAGCACGCCACGCAGAGTGCGCAGGAGGGCGCTGGTGAGCGCACAGCGCGGTCGCAGGTCCAGACTAACGGCTGTCTGCGAGGCAGCTGCCGCGCTGCGCTTGCATACGAGCACCTCTGCCTCGCTCCAGGTGATGACGCTCTCGAGCGGCCCTTCGAGGGCGATGGGAATCGTTGCGGCCAGCGGCCCTGGAGCGCCGATAGACAGGTACAGCGCACCGCTGGCAGCATCGATGAGGGCTACATCCGCGCGCAGATCGCCGGTGCAGGCGATCGGGACAGCTGCGCGGACAGCGAGCTCGGATGCAGCACGCGCAGATGCCGGCTCGCGTGTCATGAGCGTCGCCGAAGCGTTGCGGTCGCCGCCGACGAAGAGCTCTCGAGCGAGCAGCTTCTGCGCGACGGGAACGTGCACGTAGAAGAGGCTCGCCTCGCTCTGATAGCTGTCGAGAAAGAACGCGCTCACGGCCATCGACGACTCGAGACTGCGTCAGGGGCGTCAGCAACGCAGGCAGTGCCTTGCCGCCAAGGCACACCCACCTGTCAAGCTCAGGTACGTCGATCTCCTCGAGCAGCGCCATGCTGGCGAAGGCCTGCGAGAAGAGCACGCTATCCGGGTGCGTCTCGGGGTGCGCGGTCTTCTTGTGATACGTGGACGAGGCTGACGGACCAGGCATGAAGATGTGTTCGCGCTGGCTGGCCAGCGTCGGCAGCGGCGCGCTGAATCCTTCGTTCTCAAGCTCGCCCGGGATGGTGCCCAGCTCGGAGAGCCGTGCCGGCTGCGACATACTGGTCCGCGATGGGCGCGCTGCTGTCGTTGGCGCTCCGCCCTGGCTCTGCCTGCTGGCCACGCGCTGACCGTGCGGCGTACGCGCCGTCGACGGCCCTGCAGCGCCTACCGCGTGGGACGCACGTCTGAGCCTCGTGCCGGCAGCCGGGCCGCTAGGCACGCGCGAGGACCGCATGCCGACGTCGTCGGAGAGGAGCATCGAATCGTGCCCTGCATCGAGCATGTCGACAAGCTCGTCGCCGTACTGGCTCGAGTTGCCGACGCCGTTGCGGGCAATGGAGTGCATGCTCACACCCGAGCTGTAGCGCCGCGGCTGCGAGCCGCTGATGCGCCGCTCGGCCTCCTTGCGTGCGCTCTTGCGTGGTGGCGGCCGCCCGCGTCCGATGCCGGGCGGCGCCGGTGTCTGCATCTGGCTCTGCAGCTGACTCGGCCCAGACGCTTGCGAGGGGCCGCTCTCTGCGACCGTCGTCAGCCGCTGCGCCGCGTCGCTTGCGCCCACTTGCAGCGGCTTGGCCGAATGAGCGAACGCATAGATGCGCACGCACTTGCGACGATGGTTCGCCGTGACGATGAGCGGGTGTGGAGCCTCGCGGCCTCTCGACGTGTCCGCCACGAAGACGACACGCTCATCCAGCTCGTTGAACTCGCTGGCGGGCCCGTGGACCGTGGCTGTATCATCGCCTGCCTGCGTGATGCGCTGCACGCGCGTCACGGCGCCAGGCTCGTCGTTGCAGCGCCGCAGATAGAACAGCGACGGCAGCGGCGACTCTGCATCGCCCGGGTGCGCCCCGTCGCCCTCTGCGCCCATGCCGTGCGCCTCGAGGCGCGAGGCGATGGACGCATTCTCCAGATCGTCGTCCTCTGTGCCGTCGCTGAGCCGCTTCTTGCCGCGCAGGGGCGTCTGCACTGCGCCGTTCGTACTCCTCTCCGTGAGCGTCTGGTCGTCACGCTCGCTCGCGCGATCGATGACGAGGCCGACGCTGGCCGGGAACATGCGCTCGGCGAGGAAGCCGATGGCCACGACGTGCTGCGCGCCCGTCGCTGGAAAGTGCAGCACGAGCGAGCGGCGCAGGCAGACGCACAGCGCTCGCGAGAGCTGCGGCGCCTCTTCTGCTGCGCTTGCCGGCGTGCGCCGGAGCTGGCGCTGCGCCGGCGAGATGGCGTTGCGCGTCTGCAGCACTGTGTGAGCCGGCGTGGGCTTCGAGGGCCCGGCGCTGGCGGCCGGCTCGCTGCCGTCGATGCGTGCCGTGTCGATCCAGGCCCAGCAGGCCTGCGCCACGTCCTCCTCGAAGGTGAAGGTGCGCACAACGTGCCGGCCGCGGCTCCACACGAGCAGGTTGCCGCGCCAGCACAGCTCCGTCTCGACGCCCTGCTCGAGCCCAGCCCAGCGGCCGCCGGCGTGCGCCGGCCGGCCCTCGCGGATGGCCGCACTGCTGCGCGGGCGAGGCTGGTGGTGGGCGCGCAGGCGCCGCAGCGGCTCTGACTCGCGCGATGAGCCCGGCGCCGCGCAGAGCTCGTCGAGCAGCGCCGAGAGCGCCGCATTCGTGCCCGGCCCGGCAGATGCTGCGGCGGCGGCAAACGGCTGCTCGCACGCGGCCTGCCCGGCGGAGCGTGCCGGCCGCGTCTGCACGTGCAGCATAGCGAGGCACGACAGGCGGGCGAGGGTGCGGTGAGGAGGAGGTGTTGGTCGGGAAGCAACACCGCGCGCGGCGCCGGCGAGGCGCGGCGGCGTGTGCCATCGCCGAGCGCGCCTCGTTCTCGCCGCCGCGCGCCGCCGCGGCAGCCTTCGCCGAAGCGGCCCTTGCGCTTCTCGGACGTTGTTCGCCTTGCTCGCATCTCCTACTCAGACTCAGGCCTTTGTGCTCCTGCCCTCCTTCTCTGCTCCCTCTGCCCCTTGTCGTTCGCTCACTACCAATACTCGGCGATACTCGGGCTTCGAACCCGCAGCTACGAATCCGCCAGGCAGCCTCGAACCCCGCGGCGTGGCCGTGCTCGACCACCTGACCCTCCTCGCGCGATCGACAAGCCCCAAGCGGGTGACGGTATAGACATTGACAGGGAAGCACAGCGTGACAGGAACAGATGGGCCCAGCGCGGCAGCCGCGGGCCGAGGCGGGGCGGCTACCACGGATGCAGCCAGAGGACGAGCAGCACGACGAGCAGCTGCGGCGCGTGCATGAGCACCACTGCCGTCTGCACCACAGCACCACACTCACGGTCAGGAATGCGCCCGCCAGCGCCATGATCTTGACGTTCTTCCACCACATGTTGCGGCGCACCGTTGTCGCCTGCCGCCGAAAGGCGTGGCTCTGGGCCGCCACGTCCTGCGTGCGGTCGACGAGCAGGTCGAGGCGCTCACCGCGGCTGAGCAGCTGCTCGACGTTCTGCGTCATGATGTCGCGCACGGCGCCCAGCTCAGCCTGTGCCGCGCGCACGGGGTCCGAGTTCGGCGAGAGGTTGAAGGCCGACACGAGGCCGGAGAGCGTGCCGGCGAAGGAGGCAAAGTCGGCGGGCAGCGGGTTCGAGAGGAGTGCCGCGTCGAAGGTGGCGAGAAACTGCACACAGCGATGAGAGGAGCCTCGTACTGGGCCGATGATGCTGGCTCACCTTCTTCTGCACCTCGGCGAGAAAGGCAAACGGCAGGCGGCGCCCGCTGCCGTCGTCGGCGCAGCAGAGGTACTGCACGCCGCCGTCGGTGAGCACGTGGAAGAGCCAGTCCCTGGTGGGTGTCAGGTGTGCAGCACAGCATGTCATGTCCGCCTGCACTCACTCGAAGGCATAGCTGGCGCGTGCGGCGCTCTCGGGCGTGGCGCGCGTGCGGGCCAGGATCGTCTCGGCGGCCGTCTGCGGGGTGTGTCAGTGCGCATCGATGTGGCAGCTGGCGGACACGACGCACGAGGAATGGCGCGTGCGCCTCGTCGTGGTGCTCGGCGAGGATGACGCCGTCTGCGGCGACGAGGGCGAGGATGATCATGGCGGGCGGGTGTGGAGGCGGGGAAGGGAGGGATGAGGAGCCAGCGCAGGCCAAGCCATGAGCTGGCCCAAGCGCGCCTTGCGGTGGTCGCACGCTCCTCTCGCCGTGCCGCGGCCCAACTCGCGCCCGCTGACCGACGCCGAGCATCTTCTGCTGCCGCCGCTTGCCTGCTTCCTTCCTGCACACCACCATCCCCGCCTACATGCTCCTGGCGCCGCCGCTGCGCCTCCTCGCACGCAGCACCCTCCGCACCGCTCCGCTCCGCCGCATCAGCCGCGCCGCCGTGCACATCCCCGCCGCGCCGCGCACGCAGCAGCCCACGCGCTCGCTGCGCTCCCTCGCCCAGCTCGACACGCTCTCGTCCGAGCAGCCCGCGCCCGCAGACGCCCACGCCATGGCCTCCTCGACTGCCATCCCGCCCGCCGTGCCCGACCAGGCCGGCGCCGACGCCGCTGCCGCACGCGTCGCGGCGCCGCCGTCGATCATCCTGACGCTCTCGTGTCCGGACCGGCAGGGCATCGTGCATGCCGTGTCCGGCTGGCTGGCGTCGCGCGGCCTCAACATCCGCGACTCGGCGCAGTTTGGCGACGCCACGACGCGCCGCTTCTTCATGCGTGTGCACGCCGAGGCGATGCGCGACTCGAGCAAGGGCCTCGGCCTGACGCAGGAGCGCCTGCGCGAGGAGTTCCAGCGCGACCTCGCCGGCGAGATGCAGATGGACTTCGACGTGCAGAGCGACGACTACAAGCCGCGCACGCTGCTCATGGTCTCGAAGATTGGCCGTGAGTGGAGGTGTGACGTGCGGCGGGGTGAATTGCTGCGGGCAGGGATGGTGACTTGCGGCGTGGCAGAGCGATGACGCCCGGCACGGTACCAGAAGTGTGGTAGCAGAACGGGCCTCGCATATGCCGCCGCCGAGGGAGCGCTGCTGACCCGCGCTTCAGACTGCCTCAACGACCTGCTCTTCCGCGTCTCGTCGGGCACGCTGCCCATCACCGTGCCGCTCATCATCTCCAACCACAACGACTACGCCGACCTGGCCGCGGCACACAAGATTCCCTTCTTCCACCTGCCCATCAACGCCAAGGAGGGCAAGACGAAGGAGTGGCAGGAGGACGAGATTGTGCGCCTGGCGAGCGAGTACAAGATCGACCTTGTGGTGCTGGCGCGCTACATGCAGGTGTGTAGAGAGGCGAGGGCAGTGCCTGGTGGAGGCTGACAGCCGCTGCAGATCCTCTCGCCGAAGCTCTGCCAGATCATGTCGGGCCGCATCATCAACATTCACCACTCGGTGTGTGAAGCTCTCGTGCCGCGCCTCATGCCCATACTCACTTCGCCGCCGCTAGTTCCTGCCTTCGTTCAAGGGCGCCAAGCCGTACCACCAGGCCTTCGAGCGCGGTGTCAAGCTGGTGAGTGAGAGCCACCGCGGATCCAGGAGGATGTATGAATGTGCGCGGAACGCTGCATCTGGTGCAGATGCTGCGCATCCTGTTCGGCGAGACGGCACGAGTTGTGCAAGACAGGCTGCCTCAGAGGCATGATGGCCGCGTGCGATGCACAAGGGCGGCTCGCGAGGCATGACTTCTCGCAGTAGACACGACTCCGCCGCGCCAGTCGCACGGCACCACTTCTGTTGCCACTCCTCTCCTCTTGCACTGACACACGCTCCAGATCGGTGCCACCTCGCACTTTGTCACGGCCGACCTGGACGAGGGCCCGATCATCGAGCAGCAGGCGCAGCGCGTCGACCACGCCCACTCGCCCGCCGACCTGGTGCGCGCGGGCGCCGACGTCGAGGCGCTCGTGCTGGCGCGCGCCGTGCGCTGGGTGGCCGAGAAGCGCGTGCTGCTCAACGGCAGCAAAACGGTCGTATTCAACTAGACGGGATGCAATGGACACGCTCACTGGCGCTGCGATGGAGTGGGTGTGAGGCGCCGCCTGCGCAGGATGTGGCCTGGCCGGCCGCGAGATGTGCTGCGAGAGGCCGCCAGTGGCTGAGGCCGGCGCTCTCGCTGCCTCTGCTTGTGCGCTGGCGGCTCGTCCGGCCACGCGAGCGTCCGCTCGCCGAAAGGCGAGGCTCGGTTAAGCAGCGGAGAGGCAAAGGCGGCTGCAGACGTGCCAAGCTCGGGCGAGGCTGCAGACGCGAAAGGCCGCCGAGTGTGGGGCACGCGAGAGGTGCTTGCCAGCCGCCTCCTGTGGGCTGATGCTGAGTCGTCAATTGCGTTGACACTCGACTCAATCGGCGGCCTGAAGATTCCGCAGAGTGGCCGTGAGAGGGGCCAGCCGTTGAAAGAGGTGCAGCGGCGGGAGCTGATGGCCTGCCGCTGCGGCTGCGCGCGCGTGTTCCCAGCCCGCTGCGCCCATTTCGGAGTCCGGCATCGGCCGCGTATTGATGGCCGGCTCGAGTGCGTCGCCCGGCCTCCTTTCCCACCACCACCGCCGCCTCTTGCCTCGCACCGGCCCACACCAGCCGCCCGGCCACGCTCCAGCACCTCCCGTGCTCCGGCCCTCGCCGCCGCCGGCCGCGCCCGCGCCCGCGCTCCCTCCTGCGCGCCCCTCTTCGCCATGGCGCACCTCCAGCCGGCGTCGCCCGGCGCCGCCGGCCTCGCGCCGCCGCTGACGCTCATGACGCTGCCGCCCGAGCTGCTCGAGCTCATTGCGCTGCACTGCGCCTGCGTCACGCCGCCGCCCAAGAGCGAGCCGGCGGCGGCCGTGGGCGACGCTGCGCCGGCGAGCGAGGCGCCAGGCGAGGGCGAGGCTGCGGCGCCAGCTACTGCCCGCGCCGAGTCGCCCTCTTCCTCCTCCTCCGTGGCGTCGGGCGAGGCGTCCGCCGCAGCGTCGGGCAGCAGCAGCTCATACCGCTCCGAGGCTGCTCCTCCGCTGCCGCGCGCAGCCGACTACTCGGCCGCACCGCCCGCCGAAGCGACGCCGCCATCAGCCGTGCGGGCGCTGCTCATGACGTGCCGGCGCGCCCATGCGCTGCTCAACACCGAGGCGAACCCGCGGCTGTACGCACGCATCTTCCGCACCAAGTTCGACGTCGCCGCCATTGCACGCCGCTTTGGCCCACAGGCCGTGAGCTCCCGCAGTCTCTGCCTGGAGCTGCAGCGGCGCTGCAAGGCGCTCAAGCGCATTCGCGGCACCGTCGATGCGGGACGCTTGCGCAATGACAGCCAGGCTGTGCTGGAGGAGAATCTGTGGCTGGCGTACCTCATGCTGCTCGAGAACGGTGAGTCGCATGCGCGCCCTCTGCGGACATCTCGGCCTGTGCCGCCCAGTCCGGTCCTGACCTCCACCCAGACGGCCTCAACCTGCAGCAGCTCAAGTGGGCACACATCGACGGCTACCTGCAGCTGCATCACACGCAGGAGATGCTGCAGTCGGCCATCCAGGCCGGCTATCCGCCCGAGACGCCCGACCGCGCGCTGGCGCTGCACCTCTCCTACCTCCTCACTGACCCCGCCGAGCTCGCCACGGAGCCGCGCGACGTCAGCGACGAGAAGCTCTTTGTGCTGCGGCCCTTCGTATTTGCGGCGCACAAGGTGAGCCTGCCTATGGTACGTGAGCTCCGCCGCTGACTCGCGCAGTTTGATGCATACTTCGGCCCGTGGGTCGTGCGCCAGCTGCCGCTACGCAGCGACGAGGAGAGCGAGCCGGGACCGCGCGCTGCGCCGAACAACCCGTTCCTCGCCGACCTGCGGCCACGAGCCCGTGCGACGACGATCACGCACTGCGGGCAGCAGCTAGCCGTGGCGCCGCCGATTCTGTCGCACGCTGCGTGCTTCTCCTTCTTTGCCAAGGTCGAGCGCGATCCCGCCGTCATTGGCCTCACGGCGCTACAAGAAGGCGAGCCCGGCCCGGCGCGCGACGACGTGGGGCGCGCCAACAGCAACCCGCTGCTGCTGCGCTCGGAGGATCACGACAAGGACCTGACGCGGCTCTTCGCCTGCGCCGACCCGCGCCGCTCGCTCGGCCTCAAGCCGCTCTTCCACGCTGGCGACTTTGAGGGCGCGTGGGAGGGCCGCTTCTGCTTCTTCGACTTTGACTCATACCGCGAAATGCTGGCGGGCCGCATGCGCTCGCTGTACGAGGGCCCATTCGGCGAGCAGCCGCAGGTGTGGAAGGTGCGTGAGCACATCGTGCGCGTCGGCAACGGCGGCAGCATGCAGGAGGGCGGCACGGGCAGCATTCTCAACGCCGGCTACGTCAATGGCGCAGAAGAGCCGGACCAGCTCGGCGACGGCGCCTACGTCTCGCCCGAGAAGGTCGCCGCTGCGCGCGACGAAGCGGCGTCGGGCAGCAACGTCGAGGGTCTGCGCGACGACAAGGGCAAGAAGAGCCTCAACGCCGCGGTCTACGAGGGCTGGGCCAAGGACGGCCGGCCACGCGACTGGCATCTGTATCCGTCGTTTGGCGACGACGAGGAGAAGGAGGCGTCGGACGATCCGGAGCGCTACGAGATTCTGCTCAGCGGCACGGTGCGTCGCTTGCCGCGCCTCTGCCAGTGCCGCGCTGACCTTCCGCCAGGGCCACTCGGCGTGGGGCCGCTTCGTGCTGCGCGGCAGGGTGCGCAGCTGGGACGGCATGATGATCATGACGAAGGAGTACCGTCCCGACGGCCGCGGCCGCTGGCTCTACCGCGGCTACGCCGTCGCTGGCGGCCGGCTCGTCGGGCGCTGGCGCGACACATTCACGCCCGACGACATGAGCGGGTACGAGGGGTGAGTGCGCGGCGTGCGTGCGCGGGGGTTGACTGTGCTGACGCCGCTGCGCCAGGTGCTTCTTGCTGTCCCGGAGAGACGCATCGTGACCGCTCGCTCTCTTCATCCGCCTCCATACACGACTCCATAGCATTATTCCCACTCGCATTCTCATCTCATTTGGCCGTGCAAAGCACAGAGCCGCCGATCTGCAGCACGGCGTGACCCGAATGAGGGAGACGTGTGCATCTGCTGCGCCAACGACATGCCGAGCCTGGCCAGGGGCACGGGCGCCTGAACGTCTCTGTCGTCTGCGCAGCTGGAGACACATTGAGCGTGCTGTAACGTAAAGTGCTTCAGTTCCACCCTCTATCAGAAGGTCAAGTGCTGGAGGTATTGATGCGAGCACCAGCGAACAGGCTCATCTCGGGTGCGGGGCAGCGCGCATGCACCATCTGATGAGGCGCGCGCCGCGCGTACGCGCGGCGCTGCAGTCGAGCGATCCGCGGTCTGCGCGTGTAGGCTGAAATCGGGGCTCCGTCTATGCGCACCAGGGCACGTCACCACGGGAAAATGAGTGGAACAGAGCGTGAAGGCTGTCAGTACAGGTGCCAAATTTGACTTTCTTCTTTCTTCTGGCACTCGACGCGAGCGTCGTACATAAGTGTGCGGCGGCGCACAAGCGTGGAATTTCTGGCCAAGCGCCATGTCGGCTCGATGGAGGCGCTGCCGAGCGCGCCGCGCGCGCTCTCCATCCGACCACCGCACACCGCGCAGTGCGCTGACGTGCGGCCGCTCTGCGCTCGCCTTGGGATCGCCTCGAGATGAGACACTGCGTCCCCGCTGCCGCTGTGCCTACGTCGTGCCGAGCTAGCGTCGAGCTCACCGGACTTGCCTCGGCTGTAGAGCGCCGGCCTTGACCTCATCAGTCTCAGGGGCAAGGCCGCTGGTGCCGATGCCTCAGCATCAGCGACGGCCCCGCTGATCGCGAGCGCTCGGCTCGGAAGAGAAAGAAAGGAGCTCATCTGCCGTCGCGCGCGATGTTACGCAGCGTTCGTCCTGCCGGGCCCACCTCTCTCTTTCCACTCTTTCTCATCTCTCTCTCCACACACCATCGCGCCTGCCTACGGCCCTCTCCTACACTCAGCATGGCCAACGCTCCGCAGAAGCGCGGCGACAAGGTAAGATGCGGTTGGTCATCTCGTCTGCGGTACCTTTGTGCTGACTCGCAGCAGGTCACTTTCAGCGCGTACAATTCCGGCAAGGGCGGTGGCCGCACGTACCTCGACGAAGCCGGCGTCACATCGATTCCGACCCGCGCTGTCGACTTCGATACGTCCCTTGCTGCCAAGGCCGTGGCAAGGCTCGGCCACGGCCCTCCTTGCCCGTGAGTTTCCGAATTGCCCCGTGCAAGCACGGTGGCGGCGCAGTGGTCCCTACACGCTGCAATTGTTGACACGTTGCCAGTGACCACCTGCCGTTCCTCTGCCGGCCCAAATCAACGTCGCCTCCAGAAATTGTTGCAACTTTCGGCACAGAGGACTACTATGCAGCCCTCGGCACGATCGACTGGGACAAGGTGCTGTTCGGCTTGGATGCAATGGGAATCCGAGCATATGCAGACAGGTTCAACGCTGCGCACGCCGAGCCTGCTGCTCGTGGACACCAGACCGTGCTGGACTTCATCCTTCGCCTGAAGTCCTGGCCAAGAGAGATGTTCTCAGAGGGAAAGGGCCCCTCTGAGGGCTGGCTCTTTGAGCGCATCCGCTTTTGGCGCCCTGCAGAGAGCCAGATCAAAAAATCTAGCTGGTACGCAGACACGGTCGCAAAGTATGGCAAGTGAGTCTTGGGGGCAGCGACTGGTGGACCAGTGGCATCTTGAGACGCGGCGATGGCGCAGTGTACCCTTGCCCAGCTCACACCCTGCGCTTCTGACACGCAGGCCCGAGGACGACACCCCTGCGACTCGAGAGGAAGACGAGGAGGACACGCAGCAGGAGACGGCCAACGGCGGGAAGCGCAAGGCCGCTGGCAGCGGGAGCGGCATGAGCGTCGCAAAGAAGCAACACGCGACTACGCCCGCAAAGAAGCAAAAGACTGCTGCGCTCGTTGAGAACATCTTCCCGCCGACGTCCATCAAGGTCAATCGTCTCAGTCCTCTCTGGGCCGCTCTCCTGCTCCTCGGCCTCCAGCCTCAGCACTTTTTCAGCTATCGCGTGCAGCTGCCCAACGTCGCCGCGCCCAGCACGTATCTCGGCTTCTACGGGGCGCTGCACCTGATCCTTTTCCGCTTCTGGCTCGCAGGTCTGGAACGGACGCGCGACGTGAGTGACTGGCCTTTGGAGTGCCGCTTTGATGCATCAACCACGCGTCAATGATGCGACGCAGCGTCCTGCCCGGACCGTCAATGCCACATGCTCATATTGACGCGTCTGCTTGCAGTGCCTCATAAGCTTCCCTGCGTTGCTTGAAGGCACCGTGGACTGGGACAGCGTCCTCGACTGGCCGCTTTTCAAGCACCTGAAGAACGGTCTAGTCATCAGTGAACTTGGTCGAGCCTCTGCTTCGAAGAGACTGCGAGAAAGCGACTCGCTGCCTCTAGATTTGCAGACACATGCCATAGAGCTCCTCAAGATGTGCGTGTCGGCGGTCTCGACTGCCTTCCTTGATCGCGACAAGGTACAGCAGGCGATCGCCACCAAGCATACGACAAAAGCCGATCTACAAGACTTTCTTCTCGACAAGGCCGCCCCGTTGCAGGCCTTACTTGACGCCGACAGAGACGCTTTTGATCGCTACTCCTCGCTCGCGGTCCTGCACCCAAATGCTCGTCATTTTCAGCGCAGGCACATTGCCACTGAGCCACCACCGAAACCGCCTGTGTTCAAGTTCGAGGAGGCCCTTGCGGTGCGAGTGAGATGCCTCGTGGGAGGACTGGATGCTCCGACCAACGAGGCAGTCCAGCGCGCAGCGCAGCCGCAGGAGCAGTGTGCGCAGTCCACTCCCGAACCATCCGAGGACGCTCCGCTGGCGCCAGCACGTCGTCCTCAGATCAGCGTCAGGGGAGTGCGGTTCGCCTCCAGCTCGTCCGAGCACGCTCCATTGGCAACAGCGCGCGTCGAAGCAAGAATCAATGTCTCTCCGACTGCGGCGCAAGCCGGCTCTGCCGCTGCGAGCGCCGGTGGATCGTCGAGTGCTCCGCAAGCAAGCACAACCACTGCGGCTGTCTCTGGATCTTCGACTGCTGCGGCTACCGCTGGATCTTCAGCTGCTGCGGCTAGCGCCGGACCATCGACTGCTGGGCAAGCTAGCTCCACCGCGGCGCAGACGCCCGGCACACAGCTTCGTCTCCAGATCTCACTAGACCTGTACTTCCCGACCGGACAAGCGGCGCGCCAGCCGTCCGGTCGTCACTTCTTCTAGCTTCTGAAGATTCTGAATTCATGTGTTTTCCCCTCTCGCGCACACGGTGAGGATGGCGCCGACTGAGATGAGCTCCTGCTTTCGCTGCGCATGACAGCGCCGCGCAGAGGTGGATTGAGAGACACGTGCGCTCGCCGACGCCTTATGGATCAGACGGGCTCGCACGAACACGCCTCGCCATGCATGCCTCGTCAGAGTCGCCAAGCGGCGCGCCGTCTCCGACGCGGTCTCGTGCTCGCAGCGCAAGCACGCGCTCGAGAGACGAGCAAGGCCTAGCCTCCGCGCCTCTTCTGCCGACCGTACGCTACACGACTGACTGTACACGGGGTGATATGCATTTCACTGTACGGACATGCGTGACACGGGAGACGGATGAGTGGGGGATGTAGGGCTACGGCGGCGGATACGCCGGGTGCAGAGCGTGGTGCTGTGCGGCCTGGGCATGCGGCGGCAGGCCCGGCGGCGGCCCGCTGACGCGCGGGAAGAAGGCGTTGAGAAGCGCGGGCGGCGCAGCGTCGCCGTCGCCCTCGAGCAGGTCGACGGGAAAGACCTCGTCGGAGAAGAGCTCCTCGAGCTGCATGGCGCCGAGGTCGAACGGGCTGCCGCCGGCGACGTTGAAGGCAAAGTTGGGCAGCGCGCCGGGCGGCGCCAAGGCGGCCGCACCTTGCTGCTGCTGCTGCCAGTGCGGCGCGAGCGCCTGCGCCTGGCCGAGGCCGATGCCGCCGCCCGTGTTCTCTGAGGCCCAAGCGGAGATGAGCGCCTCGACGTCAATGTCGCTGCCGAAGGTGCCCGAGAAGCCGAGGCCGAGCGGCGACGGCCCGTCGCTGTTTGTGTCGCCGCCGCCGGCGAGGAGCGCAGGCGCGTGGGCGTCGCCGGCATCGGGCTCGGCGCCGCCGGCGACGGAGCCACGGCGCGACTGGCCAGGCGTCTGGGTGGCAGCCCGGGCACGCTTGACGCGGGCACGGGCGCGGGCCCAGCGCAGCACCATCTCAAGGTCGCGCACGGGCGCCGGCTGGGCGTCCTCGTCGCGGGCGTCAGGGTCGACGTCCTCCGTGGCGCCGGCCGACTCCTGCTCGAGGGCGCGCGCCGGCCAGGCCGCGCCGCCCCAGTACGTCGCAAGGCGGTTAAGGACGAGCTGGCAGCTGGCGAGGTTCGCCTCGGCGTACTGTCGACTCGAGTGCAGCGGGCCCCACGCGGCGTCGACGCCCTCGCGCGACTGCGGGCGCGAGGCGCTGGCGGGCGTGTAGCCAAGGCGGCGCAGTGCGTCGCGCACGTCCTGGCGCTCGGCGAGGAAAGCGCGGCCGCACGGAAGGATGAGCTCTAGAAAGGAGAGGAATCAGCAAGTGTTGCCCTGCTGCTGCTGCTGCTGCTGCTGCTGCTTGCCACTCACGGTCCAGGTACGGGCTCGTATCGAGGAACTGGTTGAAGTCGCGCCGGCTGCCGTCCTCTAGCCGATCGGCGCGGTCGTGCCGCGCGTCCTCGGCGAAGCGCAGGATGCTCACAATCGTCGACGACGCATGCGCGGCTATGGATGCCAGCTTCGTCGGCGCCGCGACAAAGCTCGACTCGAAGCGCCGCAGCAGCTGTGGCCGATTGATCAGGCTCATCGTCGACTGCAGCAGCACATGCAGGTAGATGAATGCCGGGCCCTGGTCCGCCGTCATGGCGCGCTGGAACGTGGAGACGGAAAAGTGCAGCGGCTGCGGGAGCGAGTCGTAGTACTCGACGAGGTCTGTCCACAGCGCGTGCAGGCGCTTGCCGCGCTCCTGCGGCGCAATGTCGTCGGCGCGGTTGAGCAGGTCGCCGATGCGTCCGCGGCGCAGCAGGCAGCGCACGATGTGCCCGGCGACAAAGAGGTTCGACTGCGCATCCTCGGTCAGCGGCGGCAGCACGAGGTCAAACTCGTCCTCGCGCATGGTGACCGGCCGGCCCGTGCCGAACGTCGTAATGCGGTCGAGGCAGATGACGCTCCAGAACAGCCAGCGCGCGCGCTCCTGCTGCCGTGCGTTGGCCATGCTCGCGACGGTCGCCTCGTGCTGCAGGCCGAGGTCGACGGACATGCGCAGCGCCATGCCGACGTACATCCACAGGCCCGCATCGGCGCCGGCGCCGAATTCCGAGTAGCTCAGGATGACGAGCGCCTCGATGACGTCGATGCTCGGCCAGGACAGCATCGGCACAAGGAGAATCTTGGCCATCTCGGCAAACGGCTCGCCGCACGACTTGGCTGCGCCGCGTGCAATGAGCTCGGGACGGGTCGAGAAGCGTGCTGTCACAGCGCAGATGGCGTTGGCCAGCAGCGCCGGCATCTCGGACGAGTGTACGAGCGCCAAGAGTTCCTCGCTGTCGAGCCACGGGAAGAAGCTGCAGCGGAAGTAGCGAAGGAAGAGCGGCACGAGCTCCTGTAGGAGGGCGCGCCGAGGGTATCTGGGACGGTCAGGCTCGAAGAGCTCGCGCGTGCTCGCCGAGACCGTCGACTCAGCGCCGCCGGCGCGGCCCCACTCGCGTGGCCGATGCGACGACGAGGCAGCGCCGGCCTGGCTGGCGCCCGTGGCCTGCGGCGACACGGACATGCCAGGCGCATTGTCACGCGGCGTGTTGAAGAGCGTCTCGACGGAGCGAGGCCCGCCGCGCTCAGCGTCGGGCGGCGATGCTGCGGCCGTGGCCGGCGCAGGGAGACCTGCGGCGGGCGTCGCTGCGGCGCTCTCTTCCTGCAGATCGAGGTCCGCCTCGTGGTACTGCGCAGGTGTCAATATGTGTGAACGTGAAGGGCTGCGGCTGCACTCACGACGCCGACCTTGATGCGCCGGATGCCCGGCGTGTTGGCAGTCGCGCCGAACTGCAAAGCACCGTCAGCTCTGCCATGCCAGTCAGCTCTGCCGCTGCTTCACTCACCCAGCGGAAGAAGGGCAGCGCGATCTTCTTGACGCCCGGCGCGCGCTGCCGCCGCAGCGCATCGCCGTCAATCTCCTCATCGTCCTCCTGCGGCGTGTCGACGATGAATGTTGGGCGCGCGTCGTCGGCGGCGCCAATGGGCCGGCCTGGCACGCGCATGCCCGAGCTGCCAGGCCGCTCCGGCGGCGGCATCTCGCGTAGCGGCGCGCGTACTACTGCGCTCGTCGAGTCGGCAGAGCCTGGCGGCGCGCCGAAACGCTCCGCCGGCCGTGCGGGCGCCGCGCGGTGCTCATCCACATCGCTACGCGGCGGCTCGTGCCCCGGTGTAGCGCCGGCGATGAAGGTCGACATGGCCCACGTGCCCGGCGATGGTGCGCCAATGTTGCTCGAGAAGCTCGGGGCGCGCTGCCACTTGCCCGGGCTCGGCGACGCAAACTCGGGAAACGCCTCGCCAGGCTGCCGCTCGGGGTGCGCATACCAGCGCGATACAGGCGAAAAGGCCTGGCCGCCGGCGCCGTCGTGGTGCACGCCAGGCGGCGACGCGGCAAAGTCGCGCGCCTCGACGCCGGTGCTGCGCAGCGAGCTGGCCGGCGGCGAGGCGGCAAAGAACGACGTGCGGCGCGGCGCCTCGCCGCGTGCGTCCGAGTAGCCGGCGTGCGGCGCATGCGAGCCGCTGGCGCCAGAGAAGGCAAGCCGGAAGGACGGCAGCATCTGCGGCGGCTCCGACGGCGAGTACATGGCGCCGCTCGAGCTGCCCGACGATGTGTGCGGCAGCGGCGGGCGCTGCATCGAGTGCGCCGAGCCCTGCGAGTGCTGCGACGCGGAGCGGTAGTGGCCCATGGGCAGCGTGTGCGCGTGCTGCTGCACCGGCGACGGCCGCTCGGCGGGGTGCACAAAGGGCGGCTCGTAAGCGGGATGCACCTGCTGCTGCGGCTCCTCGCGCTTCAGCGGGCCTGCCGACGGCGCAGCCAGGTTTGTCGGGTTCGCAAAAGAGCGGAACACGGCCTTGGCCTTGGCCGGCTTGCCGTTGGCGGCGAGGCGGCTGTCCTCGGCGTCTGTCTTGCGGCGCTGGCGCGCCTGCGCATCGTCGGCGTCTTCCGGCTCGTCAGCGCCGCTCGAGTCAGGACGCCCCTTCTTGCCGCCCTTCTTGCCGGCGATCGTGCGCGCATTCTTGCCGGGCGGGCCGTACGCGGCGAAGCGCTCGCGGCGCAGCGTCGGGCAGAGGTCGTCAACGCGGAAGAGGCACGTCTTGCCGCTCGCCGCGCACTGCTCGCACACGGGCTCGTCAGGCTTGAGGATGCACTTGACCTTCTTGGCGCGGCTGCGTGCGAGTGTCAGCGAGCGCACGCCGGCGATGATTGCCGATGCGGGCACAAGAGGCATCGAGATGCCCGCAATCGAGAGCTCACGCTCTCTACTGCGCGACCGCTCTTCACTCTGCGCCACGCGCTCTCTGCTGCGCAACACCTCTCTTCGCTGCGCTCACATGCCCACACTCACCACGCCTGGCACGCCTTGATCGGCCTTGTGCGCTTCAGTTCTCGCTGTGCCTCGTCGCCGTCGGCGCCCGACGAGCTGGCCGAGGCGCTGCGCTTCGCCGCTGCCGGCGGCTGCGGCTGCGGCGGGCGCGGTGCCTTCTCCTCGACAGCCGTGGCGCTGCTCGACATGGCCGCTGTGCGCTGCAGCAGCTACGAGCTGTGAGCCGCGGCGCGCAGTCGAGGGTCGAGTCAGGGGTGGGAGTGCGGAGTGAGGCTGCGCGCAGTCAGGAGGCGCGCGACGCGCTCGCTGCTGTGGGAGTGGGCGGGAAGCGCGGCGCGGCGGGCCGAGAAGTGCGGGGTTGGCGCCGAGGGCGAGGGTGCAGCGCCAGCAGGCGGCGGCAGCAGCAGCACAAAACACGCGCAGCAGCAGCCGGCGGCGGCAGCCTCAAGCAAAGGCGAGGCGAAGAGTGCGAGGCGCTGCGGTGCGCCGGACGGTGTCGTGTGTGCAGAGAGGATGATGGAGAAGGCGAGCAGAAGGCAGCGGCCGCCGTGCAGCGCAGACGGCGAGCAGCAGCATCAGAGGCGTCCCCGCCTGTCCTGTCTGCTGCGGTGCCGCTGCCGCTGCTGCCGCGCCGCGTCGCCGGAGCGGTGCGGCAGCGCGGCCCGGGGCGCGCCACCGGTCTCACACCCTGGCCGGTGCCGCTGCGAGCGGCTGCGCAGCACGCAGAGGCGCGCGCGACGTCGGGCCTTTGTGCTGTGGGGATGGGCCCACCCTTGCTGTGCTGCGCTGCATCTGTGCGGCGCCGGCACCGCACGCCTGCAGCTGCGGCACGCAGCATCTCGGTCTCAGGCCTGGTGCGGCTCGGCAGCGGCGCGTGGGCGGAGCGCCGAAGGGCGAAGAGCGCCACGGCGGCAGCAGCAGAGCAAGCGCAGCATCGCAGCAGCTCGCCCGCCCACGCCGCTTCCGCCGGCCCAGACCACCGCAGCGGGACAGGACGCAGCAGCGCCCGGCACATGCCAGGCGCGGCCGCAGCACGCAAGCGACGCTCGCCGTCGCCATCCGCCGCCGGTCCGCAAGGGCCGTCTGGAGGTGCTCTCCCTTCCTCTTGTGCGTCAGCATCAGCATCGCAGCGCCGTGGCTAGCGCCAGTCCATGACAGTTGCGTACCACGCTGCGGCGCCGCAGCACTCGCGCTCGGCGGCTGCGCTGCAGCTCAGCGCCTGCTCATGCGCTCCTGCGTCCCGTGCTGCGGCGTGGCGTCCCCGTCTGCGGCTGCGTCTGATTTTGCAAATGCTCCCTCGCCTTCGCGCCTCGTCCGCGAACTCACTCGTCCGCAGCATGCACGCTCGTGCAGCAGCTGCAGCGCCATGCAGCATCAGATGGCGCGCTGCTGCCTCCGCTCGGCCGGCCGGCACCGGTACATCTCGACGACGTGCCGCCGGCCGCTGGGGCGGGCGACCCTGCGGCGTGCAGCTGCGTCTGACAGGCGTCGTGCGGGGGAGCACGCACGCCGTCCGCACTCTGCTCCTGCTGCGTGACATCGGACACCGAGGCAGCAAAAGGCGATCAGAGGCTGTCGCGCGGCCGTGACGGAAGAGCTGCCAGGCCCGACTGCGGCGCGTGGGCGGTCGAGACGCCGGCGCGTCCAGCAGGACCTTGTCCGCCAGCGACACTTGCCTCAATGTCACCGTGGCGCCTTGCAATGATGACAGGCCGTTCTCACTGCGAGTGCAGGCGCTCTCCACGGCCCGACAGCTGGAAGCATCAGCATTTGCCCGTCTCGCTGTCAGCGCTGCTGCGGCGAGGGCCAGGAATAGACGGCCACCGAGCGCGGAGGGGGGACGGCCACGCGTCGGCGGCATTGTCGTGTCTGCGCTGGCATCAAGACAGGCTTTCTTTGCGCGAAGAGCTTCAAGGCAACACTGGCTTGATCCCCTCGGAAGCCAGAAAGCGGCCCTACATCCAGTGCAGCGGCCAGTGCGGCACTCGCCGCAGCTGTTCGGCTGCCGGCGGCGGCACTGCGTTGCCCGGCCAGTCCGTCTCCATCTTGCTCTGCTCGTCCGACAGCCCATGCAGGCCTGGGCACACGACGCAGGTCCCGACGGCACTATGACTGGCCACTTGTTGACGGCGCCTGTCGGGAGCGAGCGTCGCTTCGGCCGAAGAGGAGCGGGCGGGAGCACGCGAGGCATGAGAGGCGGAGGCACAAACGCCCTCTGCGAGACGCCGTCGTCTCCTGGACGCGCGGGGGCGGAGATGCCGCTTGATCCGCCCACAGGGCAAAGCGTCACTCTGTGACACACCGCACAGTCTCGCCGGCGGCACGGGCTGCGCTCTCAGCAGCGCTCGGGCCGGCGTCGTGCGCTGGGCGGCAGCGGAGCGGAGGAGACGGCGCGCCGCACGGGCGCGGTGCACTCGCGCGTCTTCTCGGCAATCTCTCTCGCGCGCCCGCCCTCTCAAGTCCGACCGGCCGAGGTGCGTGTGCGCCGGCTGCCGGTGCGGCTCTGTCGGGCGGGCCCTCGAGGCCCACCCGTCCCCACTTTCCACGGGTGACGGCGCATGCCAAGCCCAACATGTGCGCTTCGGCCGTACGTGCGCAGCATGGCAGGACGCCAAGGTCACGCGCGCGCCGCTGCTTCGTGCGCCGCAATCACCACTCCCCGCATGCGCCCCGCATCTCGCGGCCCTCGTTTCGCCGCTGCTGCAGTAGCCCCTTGTTCGCACGCTCGGCCCACAGCAGTCACTCGGGTCAGGCTGTGTCTTTGCTCGCGGCGTGGATGGTGGTGGTATGTACAAATGAGCCGGGCGCAGCGCTCAGTCGCCCAGCGAGCGGAACGACTCCTCGATCTGCGACGAGAGCTTGTTGAGTGCCGACTTGACCGTCTCCTCGCCCTCGCTCGGCGACAGGAACTGGTGGGAGGAGAAGGGTCAGTGCTGCTCTCAGGCGCACGCTGCTTCCCGCCTCGGCCTCACCTTCTGCTGGCTCAGGCCGTGCATGGCGTCGGCGGTGTGCTCGCGGATCTTGGCCCACGTGAGGTCCGAGTTGCCGTTGATGGCCGCCTGTGCCTTGTCGTGGAAATCGATAAAGTTCTTGAGCTGCAGGAAACGTGTGAGTGAGTGGGCGGCAGAGGATGTCAACAAGCGAGACGCACCATGAGCGAGGACTTGTACATCGGGCTGCACAATCGGACGTCAGCACATGCTCTGCAGCGCCTGGCCACGGCTCGACTCACCAGTACTGGTCGTACTCCGAGATGCCGTTCTGCGCCAGGAAGTCGTTCTTGATGAGCGTGGCGACGTCGAGCGTCACCTTGTCGTTCTCGCCGAGCGCGCTCTTGCCGACGAGCTGCACGATCTCGGCCAGCTCCTCGTCCTTCTGCAGCAGCGCCTTGGCCGTCGAACGCAGCTTGATGAAGCCGGGCTGGTTCTGGCAGGGAGAGACGGGTCAGCTCACGCCGCAGACACAGTGACTGGCCTGCCACGCACCCGCTCGTAGTACGGCTCGAGCGCGTTGATGTAGTTCGAGTACGACATGCTCCAGTTGACCGACGGGAAGTGCTTCCGCTGCGCCAGCTTCTTGTCCAGACCCCAGAAGGCGCCGACAATGCCGAGCGTGGCGCTCGTGACGGGGTCGGAGAAGTCACCACCCGGCGGGCTGACGGCGCCGACGAGCGAGACACTGCCGTTGCGGCCGGGCGAGCCGAGGCAGGTGACCTTGCCGGCACGCTCGTAGAACGAGGCCAGCTTGGCACCCAGGTACGCCGGGTAGCCGCTGTCGGCCGGCATCTCGGCGAGACGACCACTGATCTCACGCAGCGCCTCGGCCCAGCGCGACGTCGAGTCGGCCATCATGGCCACATTGTAGCCCTGGTCGCGGAAGTACTCCGACAGCGTGATGCCCGTGTAGATGGACGCCTCGCGCGCGGCGACGGGCATGTTCGACGTGTTGGCGACGAGCGTCGTGCGCTTCATGATGGGCTGCTCCTTGCCGTCGCGCATCAGCGTCAGCTCCGGGAACTCGGCCAGCACCTCGGCCATCTCGTTGCCGCGCTCGCCGCAGCCGACGTAGGTGATGATGTCCGAGTTGGAGAACTTGGACAGCGCCTGCGAGATGACCGTCTTGCCGCAGCCGAACGCGCCGGGGATGGCCGTCGTGCCGCCCTGGATGCACGGGAAGAGCGTGTCGAGGATGCGCTGGCCCGTGAGCAGCGGCGTGTCCGCGACGAGCTTCTCAGCCACAGGGCGTGGCGCGCGCACCGGCCACAGCTGGCACATGGTGTGCTTCGACTTCTTGCCCTGGAACTCGACCTCCAGCACGACGTCGTCGACGCCGTACGAGCCCTGCTCGGCCAGGTGCGTGATGGTGCCGTGGGCGCGCGGGCCCATCATGATCTTGTGGTCCGTCAGCAGCGTGTTCTCGAACACGCTGCCGTAGATGTCGCCGCCGGAGATGTGGTCGCCGACCTGCGGCGCGTCAGCAGGTGGACATGCGCCGCCGCTGGCACGCTCTCGCTCACCTTGAAGTTCATCGGCTTGAAGTCCCATTGCAACTCGCGGTTCAGGGCCTGCGTGTTGATGCCGCGCGCTGGAGGTCACGCCTCAGCGGCGCCCACACGCCGCTGCCGTGCTTGACACTCACGGATGTAGATGCCCTCGCTCTTCTTCATGATGGCCTCGAGCGGGCGCTGGATGCCTGCGCACGAGCCGCGTCAGCGATGCACGGGCGCACCAGGCGGCGACACAGGCGGCAGCGGCGCAGGCAGCAGCACCGGCGTGTAGCGGCCACGACACGACAGCGACAGGACAGCACAGCGCCTAGCCCTCGCTCGCACTCACCGTCGTAAATGTTCTCCATCAGGCCCGGGCCCAGCTCGACACTCAGCGGCTTGCCCGTGCTGAGCACGGGGTCGCCGACGGAGACACCGCTCGTCTCCTCGTACACCTGGATGGTGACCTTGTCGGCGTCGATGCGGATGATCTCGCCGACGAGCTCGTCGTGGCCGACGCGCACGAGCTCGTACATGGCCGAGCCGATCATGTTCTCGGCAATGACGACGGGGCCCGAGACGCCGAACACGCGCCCGAAGCGCGACTCGCGCTCCTCATCGCGGATCTGCAGGAGCGTGAGTGTGTTGTGTCGGCTGCGTGCACGGCGTGGCACGCACCTTGGGCAGGTTCTTCTTTGCGTCCTGGTGCGACATGGCGGCGCAGGCAGGCGGGTGGAGGGCGCGGCGGGGGCGGGAGCGGGCGGGCGCTGCAGCGGCAGAAGCGCAGCAGAGAGCGGCGGAGTGGGTGCGAAGAGACCGGACGGGTGCACTGAGTGGCACGCGTGGAGAAGGAGAGGAAGCGGCGCCGCGCTGCTCGAGGGTGCGATGTGGAGAGGCGGAGACGGGGACAGGAGCGAGAGATGAGACGGTCGGGTGCGCGGCGGCGCTGCACGGCTGCGCTGTGGCGCCGGCTGACGCTGCAGGCGCAGGCGGCGTGCCCGCATCGCTGGCGCCGCCCGCGCCGCACAGCGCACGGAGCCCTTGGGCAGCCTATCAGGCTCGGCCGAGCCACGTGCGCCGCGCCGCCGCCATCCTTGACCGCCGGCCATGCTCCGCATTCGCACCAGATGCTACCTAGAGACCGCCCTGAAGCTGCAGCACTGTGCTCAGACATCTCTGGAACAGCCTTTGCATTTCTCAGCTTGTCGCAGTCAACCAGGTGGTGGCAGAAAGGCGGCAGCAGCGCGTGGCCTGGGGACGTGCGCGGCAGAGGTGCCTCTCGTGCGGGAGCACCCCGCGCGGGGCACCCTTGATACGGCCCTCCGATGCGCTGTGCGGATGCCCGGCTCCGGCCCTCTTGCTTCAGCTCCTCATCCACCTCTGTGCCCGCACAATGTCCTGCCTCGGTGCTCTCTCACACCTCGTGCGCCGCCGCGCCGCGCCGCCGGCCCCGGCCAGCTGCGCGTCGGCGTCGACCTCCACACTCGTGTCGGCCTACACGAGCGAGAAGGCCAGCCTCGCCCCGTCGGCGCCGCCGCGGGTGCGCGACACGGGCGCCCAGCTGGCGGCACTGCGCAAGCTCATGGACGAGGAGGGCGTCACGGCCTACCTCGTGCCCAGCGAGGACGCGCACGGCTCCGAGTACGTCGCCAGCGAGGACGAGCGGCGCGCCTTTATCAGCGGCTTCACCGGCAGCACGGGCACGGCCGTCGTGTGCGCCGACAGCGCGCACCTCTTCACCGACGGCCGCTACTTTGGTGCGTGGAGGTGCACTGCATACTTGCTGCATGGCTGACGACGTGCTGCGCAGTGCAAGCGGAGGAGCAGCTCGACGACAGCTGGACACTGCACAAGGTCGGCGAGCCGGGCGTGCTCGACTGGAGCGACTGGCTCGTGGGACAGGCCGAGGACAAGCCGCTCACGCTCGGCCTCGATGCGCGTCTGTCTTCCTACAGTGAGTCACTTCGAAATGCCGCTCGATCGTTTGTCTCACCCCCGCCCTGCAGCTGCCGTCGGCCCGCTCGTCAAGGCGCTGGCGGACCGCAACTCCGCGGTGCACTACCCGACGCGCAACCTCGTCGACGTCTGCTGGCACGCGCGTCCGCCGCCGTCGCTGGCGCCCATCTACGCGCACGACATCAAGTACGCCGGCGTCGCGGCCGACGAGAAGCTGGCGCGCGTGGCGGCCTGGCTGGGCAAGCGCGGCAGCGCGGGCAACGCCAAGACGTGGCCGAAGGGCAGCGCGTACTTTGTGTCGGAGCTCGACGAGGTCGCTTGGCTGCTGAATCTGCGCGGCGGCAGCTTCGCATTCACTCGTGAGTCATCTGCATCGCGAGCAAAGCTGGGCCTTCTGACGCGCGCCCGCAGCACTATTCCCCGCCTATCTCGTCATCGCCGCCAGCGAGGGGGGCAAATACCGCGCCACGCTCTTCGTCTCGCCGCTGCTGCTGCTGCCGTCGTCCAAGACGCGCAAGTACGTCGAGGGCCTGGACGTCGAGGTGCGCGAGTACGACGACGTGTTCCGCTTCCTGCGCAGCGGCGAGTGGAAGGGCGCGCCGGCGGAGGGCTCGGACCTGCCCAAGCTCGTGATGAGCAGCACCGCGAGCTTTGCCGCAGTGAACGCGGTCGGCGAGGTGCGTTCACGTTGCGTGTCCTCGCATCTGCATAGCTCACCCGTGCGCAGGAGAACGTGGCGCTGCAGCCATTGTCGCCCATCGCGACCTGGAAGGCGCGCAAGAACGCCGCCGAGCTGGCTGGCATGCACGCCGCGTACCGGCGCGACGGCGCGGCGTGGGTGCGCTGGGCGGCGTGGCTCGAGGAGGCCATCGTGCACAAGGGCAAGGCCATCGACGAGTGGACAGCTGCCAAGGAGCTGCATCGGCTACGCACGCAGGACCCGCTGTACGCCGGCACGGACGCCTACCCGTCCATCTCGGCCAGCGGCGAGGACGCAGCGCTGCCGCACTTTGAGACGCCCGAGGATGGCACGGCACGCATCATCGACCGCGAGACGCCGTACCTCATGGACGCCGGCGGGCAGTACTACGACGGCACGATCGACACGACGCGCACGACGCACTTTGGCAAGCCGAGCGCCGAGCAGAAGCGCGCCTACACTCGCGTGCTGCAGGGTCATATTGCCATCGCCGAGGCCGTCTTCCCCATGGGCACGACCGGCGCGCAGCTCGACGTGCTGGCGCGCAACAAGCTGTGGCAAGACGGCTACAACTATATGCATGGTACGGGGCACGGCATCGGCGCCTTCTCGCAGGTGCACGAGGGCCCGCAAGGCTTTGGCCGCGCCAGCGGCGCTGCCATGGTGCCGGCCCCGCTCGACGAGGGCATGTGCATCAGCGACGAGCCGGGACACTATGAGGCGGGCAAGGGCGGCTTCGGTGAGGCGTGTGCAGTTCTGCGACGACAGCTGGTGCTGACTCGCCCTCGCTAGGCATCCGCATCGAGTCCATCTTCGCCGTCGCCAAGGCACACACGCACCGCGGCTTCGGCGGCGCAGACGTGAGTGGCCTGCACGCACGCAGCCGCGCTCGTTCCTGACTTTTCTCTCCAGCGCTGGCTCCGCTTCGAGCGCATCACGCAAGTGCCCAGTGCGTATCGCCGACGCACCCTGCCCTTGCCTCGCTTACCCCATTCCTCCAGTCGACCGCCGGCTCGTCGACCACAAGCTGCTCAACTCCGACGAGCTGCGCTGGCTCACTCACCACAACGAGTCGGTGCGCCGCGCGCTGCTGCCGCTCATCAAGCACGACCGGCGGGCAGTCAAGTACCTTCAGAAGCAGTGAGGAGGCTAGTGTACAATAATTCGTGACGCGTTCTCTCTTTCCCCGCGGCGCCCCTCGCTGTCCCTAGAGCTGCATGAGACGCTTCGCCTCGGTCACGTCGCCCTGCGCCTCGCGGATGCTGCTGATGACGTCGCCGCGGCTGAGGCCGTACTTGCTGCCCCAGTGCGCAATGTCCGCCTCGATGCGCTCGCGGCCGCGCGCCACGTCGCCGCTGCGCAGGTACGGCAGCGCCTGCGCCACGATGCTGAAGCCGTACTCGTCGCGGAAGGCGCACACGTCGCGCGTGAACTTGGCCTTGGCGCGCGCGAGGCGCTCCTCGTGCGTGCTGGTGTGCGCCGTCGTAGAGGCGTTGGAGCGCTCGCGCTCGCGTGCTTGAGGCGGCGCAAGGGCCGGAGCAGCTTGCTGAGGCGGAGCAGCGGCCGGTGCAGCACGCCGACGCGGCGAAGCCGGTGCGTTGTCGACGACGCCCAGCTCTGCCGACGAGCGGTCTCGCCACTGCTTGACGTCGCGCATCTTGCGCCGTTCTGCCTCGGCGTGACGCGAGGGTCCCGCCTCTGAGGCCTGTTGCGCCTCGCGCGCTGGCTTGTGCGTAACACGGGCCGTCGTGGCAGCAGCCTCTGCCGCCGGCTCGCCTTCCTCGTCGTCGCGCGAGAAGTCGTGGTAGCGGGCGCTGCTGTGGCGCGGCACCAGCGGCTTGCCAGCCTGCGGCGCTGGGCGGGCGTCTGCGATTGTGTGGCGCGGGCGCTTCTCCAGGCGCTGCGCAGGAGCGGCCGGCGCGGCCTCGTCGGAGCGCCGCCGCTTGAGCTGCGGCGAAACGGCCTCAAGCGGCACCACCTGGCTCGAGCCGACTGCGACGGAGACGTACTTCTTCGCAGCCGGCTGGGGCGGCAGGCGCGGTGCAGCAGCTGCAACCGGCGGCGGCAGCGGCTGCGCGACGGGCGACGGCACCGGCTTGACGATTGGCAGCGGCAGCGCCCGCACTGGCTGCTCCGGCGGCTGGACAACTTCGGCATCCGGCGCGCCGTCGAAGCGAGGCACCGCGGCAGGAGTCGGCGAAGTCGTCTGCGAGGCAGCCTCCTGTCTGTCGGACTGCAGGGCCGCCGTGAGGCTTCTGCGTTTCGCATCGTGGTGCAGCGAGCGCTGCGAGACGTCGGCATGGAAGGCAGGCGACATGTCTCTGTCGTCGGCCGGAGACTCATCTTCGACGGCACGCCTAGGGGAGCAGGTTAGCCATGGCACGCACAGGAGGCATCGCCACACTTACAAGGGACTTGATGCCTCGACGGCCATTTCCTCATCAGCGGCCGCCTCCGATGCGGACTCCTCGTCCTCCTCGTCATCCTCGCCCTGCTCGTCCAGCTGCTCATCTTGCTCGCCCTGCTCATTCTGCTCATCCTGCGGGCCCTGCTCCACCTGCTGGTCTTGCTCGCCTTGCGCGTCTTGAGCATCGTCCTCTTGCGCGCCCTTCTCGAGCTGCTCGTCCTGCTCGGCGTCACGCTGCTCGTCTGAGGCACTCTGAGCTGCCTCGGTGCTCGCTCGGCTCTCTGGCTGCGGCGCAGCCACCACGTCTGGCCGAGTCGGCGAGCTCTGCAGCGCCTCGGCCTTGACATTGATCTCGTTGATCGAGCCGGGCACCGGCGTGGCGAGCTCGTCGCGCTCAGACTGGCCCTGCGACGAGTCCTGCGAGGCGCCTTGCGTCTGCTGCTGCGTCTGCGTCTCGCCCTGCATGTCCAGAACGTCGCGGGCCAGGGCGAGGTAGCGCGCCTCGTTCTTCAGGTAGTGAGTGCGCCACTCCTCGGCCGTGTGGTGCGGATACGTGTCGGTGAGGTCGTGCCAGAGCGCGTCGGGTGGATCGAGCGCCAGCTCCTGGTCTGCAGACTCTGCATTGTTCGCTGCGGCCTGCGCGTCGGAGAGGATGTCCGCCAGCATGGTCGCGAGCAGCTGCCGCTCAGGCACGGTGAAGGTCGCAGCAGGCCTAGCGACGGCTTCGGCGGGCGCAGCGGCGGCTGGTGCAGCCGGAGGTGGCGCGGCGCCGTCTTCGCTGCGGAGCGGCGCAGCCTCGGCAGGCACAGCCTCGGCAGGCGCAGCACTCTTGCCATGGCTGCTGACGGGCGCAGCAGCAGCGACAGCCGGCGGCGCGGGCGCGTCTGCGCTCTCCGCATTCTCCTCCGCCTCGCTGAGCGGCTCGAACTCCTCGTCGTCTTCGGCGCTCGCCGGAGCGCGGAACGAGACGCGAGGCGCGGTGCCTTTGGAGGCGGCCGCGACTGCCGGCGCTTCCGAGCCGTCCTGATGAGGGACGCCAGCGGCGACCTCGATGGACTGCTGCTGCGCATCGGCGTTGCTCGCTGGACGCGCCGAAGGACCCGCCCGCCGCTCCTCCACCTGCGCGCTGCCACCTGCGCTCGCGCGAGCCGGAGCCTTCTTCTTCTTCTGGGCCTGCATCGCAGCTGCCGCCACCTCGGCGGCCGCGAGGCCGGGCACGCGCGACGCACCAGCGCTGGCCGCGACTGCGTCTTGCAGCGCGGCCGCGGCCTCGGCCTTGCGCTGCCGTGCGCGGTTGGCGTACTGCTGGCCGTCGCGCATGTTGTTCGCCAGATGCGTCTGGTACGACGCGGCCGTGTGACGCTGCGTCTGCGCCGCCAGATCTTTGGAGACCTGCAGCACGCTCCACGGCTCCTCGCGGGCGGCCAGATACTCGACGATCTGCTCGCGGTCCACGCTGTCGTAGGGCACGCGCCTGGAGTAAGAGGTCAGCGCCGAAGCGACTGGATCGGTCTCTCCACAGCGTGGCCGTGCTCTTCATGCCATTGCCCTACACGCGTGCACTCACGACTTGCTGGGCACATGCCTCGCCGCAGCGACCGGCGCCGGCCTCTGCACCGGCGGCGGCGCTGGCTGCTCTGCCTCCTCTTGCTCCTCCTCCTGCTCCTGCGGCTGGTCCTGCAGCGCCTCCTGGCGCGCTGCGGCGTGCGCCTCGCTGGCCTCGTGCGCCTGGCGCGCCTCGAGCAGCTTGAGCTGCACGGCAGGGTTGTATGCGCTGCTGCCGATGTCCTGCAGCGCGCCCGCCTGCACCGAGTCCTCGAGCCACTGCGCCGTCACGGCCGGGATGGGCGGCTGGAAGCCGGCGGTGGAGCGCATCATCTGCTTGCTCTGCGCCGGCGTGTCGAGGTCGAAGAGCAGCAGGTCGGCCTTGCCGATGCGGTGCGCCTCGGAGCCGCCGTTGCGGCGGATGAGCGAGAGCCAGCGGGCGCGCTGCGCGGCGGCGCACTGCGTCGGCACGTGGATGGCCAGCGGCAGGCCGTCGGGGCGCGTGAGCGTCGTGCTGCGCGGCGTGGCCGACGGCATGGTGGCAAGTGCGGTGCAGGGCGAGCGCGGAGGAGTGTGAGAGATACCGCAGCAGCGGCAGCCGTGTGGCGCCAGCGAGCGGCGCGGGTGCGTGCGGGGCCAGCGAGCGGCGCGGGTGCGTGCGGGGCCAGCGAGCGGGGCGCGGCGGTGGTGAGAAGGAGAGCGACACGGCGCCGCCGGCTCATCATCGCGAGCGCGGCGGCGGGGCGCGTCGCGATGCGTGTTAATTGCGTGCGCCTGACGGTGCGATGGCAGCGCAGCGGCGGCGCCAGCGTGTCTGCATCCGGAGCAGCGAATCCGAGCATGGCCTGTCTCAGCCCCAAGCACAGCGACGTGCTATATAGCTCACACTGAGCGGACGAGGGAGCAGCGCTGCGGGGCGCTGGCTGGAGCGTGGGAGCAGCTTCGCGGGTCAGGTGACCTGCCGCGTGTGGCGGAGCGGTGCGCGTCTGGCCGAGCGGCGCTGTTGATCTGCGGCGCGCGGGAGCACTCGGCTCGCCTTGGCTTGTCCGCTCGCTCGCTCGCTTCTCACGTGTCGCGGCCTGCCTCCCGTCTCCGTCTCCCGCGTCTCCTCCTCGCCTCCATCCCTGCTCTGCCGCACGTCCGCACTGCTCTACCCCGCACCGCGTGCCGAGCGTCTGCTGCCGTGCAGCATCCGCTGCCGATGCCCGCCTCGACGCGCCTCAGCGGCGCATACGGCGGCGCCAGCTCGGCCGCCAACATCGAGCACATCCTCGAGCACTTCGACCAGTGTCAGTGCTGCTGAGCGCTGCGACGTGCGCTGCCGCTCACACCCTCACCCGCAGTCAAGCGCAAGCACATCACGCAGAACCGCGACATCATCAAGACGAACGCGCTGGCGCAGATCCGCATCCGCGAGCTCGAGACGCGCATCCAGGGCCTCGAGGCCGAGCGCACCGAGCAGTGTCTCGATGCCACACGCCTGCGCGCCGCACTGGCACAGTCCGAGCACGCCGGGCAGGCCGCAAAGCGCGCATGGCAGGCGCTCGGCCGCAGCCTGCGTGTGCTCTGTGCCCCCGGCGAGCCGAGCCATGGGCTGGGGCTGGGCGGCGCAGGCATGTACGACGAGTACGCCGGCGCAGAGCTCGAGCCGCATCGGCGGCCAGGCATGCGCGTCACGCTGGACCCGCACGCGCTGCCGGCGGGCATTGCCCGCTCAATAGCGCGGCCGCCCGAGGCGCGCATCGCAGATGTGCAGGAGGAGGAGGAGGAGGGGGCATGGGGCGCGGCGCCGCGGCAAGACGTCTTTGAGTATGCCTCCGAGTCCGAGGCCGAGTACGGCGCACCGGTGCGGAGGCGCTTCGGCGCGCCGGTGATGGCGCCAGGCGCGCGTGCCGCAACGCCCGGCGCCCGGCGCATCACCGTGCCGGCAGGCTCGTCTGCCGCGCTGCCGCCGCCGACGATCCTCGACGCTTCGGGCGCGCCAAGCCCGGTGCACAGCCCGGCCTTTGGCATCGACGAGTCGGGCCGCTTCGCCGCGCCCGAGCTCTTGACCTCGGCGTCAGAAGACGAGATGGTGCGACTGGTCGAGCCGACCCGGGGCTCAGAGGCGGCCTACTCTTCGCGCCAGGCCAAGGCACGGCGCTCGTCGCGGCGACAGAGCGGCTACCAGGGCGCCGAGCTGCAGCTCACCAGCGAGGACGAGGGCATGAGCGATGCGGCGCCGCAGCTGCGGCACAAGGAGAGCGTGGAGAGTCTGAGCTCGTGCTTTGACGAGGAGATTATGCTGTCGGATGATGACGATGCCGACACGACGCTGCGTCAGAGCGCACCAGTACCAGGTGAGTGTGACGTGCAGGCGTGTGCGGCATAGCTGATCGTGTGGCAGCCACCGCAGCGCGCAAGCGAAAAGAGCCGGCCTCGGCGGTCTCGAGTGAGCCCGTGCCGAACGAGGAAGACTCAGGCGCGCCAGCGGGGCGCAGCCGGCGGGCCAGCTCGCGCTCGCGCGGCAGCACCGTCAACTACGCGCTGCCGAAGCTGAACACCAAGATGCGCAAGCCCGACCCGTCTGACCGCATCCCCGCGCCGCACTCTGGCGACGAGCGAGCCAGCTCCGCCGACGAAGGCGACGCCACGGTGCGCTCGCGCAAGAAGGCCATTGGCAGCGTCGCCAGCTCGGGCGACCTGAGCGACATTCGCAGGCAGCACGAGGACGCTGCGGCGCAGCGCGATGCCGCTGCAGACGGCGACGCGCTCGATGCGGGCGACGACTCGCTGGCTCAGCTCATGAGCCAGGAGAGCGACGCCGCGGCGGTGCGGCGCCTCACGCCCGCCATCGAGCAGGGCCCGTGGCGGCGAGCATCGGTGGCGCCGCGCGCCGCGCGCAAGGCCGCCAGCTACGCCGAGACGTCCGACTCTGAGACCGAGGTGCGGCGCCCGCGGCAGAGCAAGGCGAAGCGGCAGAGCCACATTGCGCCCGACGACGACGCGACGCCGCCGGCGAAGGCCGCGGTTGCGCCAACTGCGGTGGAGCCCGCCCCTGCACCGCGCGCATCTGCTGCACCAAGCGGGCGCCTCTCCGTCTCGGCCATCACGCTGCAGGACCTCGGCTTCAGCGGCATCGAGCTCAGTCCGCTCCCGCCGCGCACGTCCGCCGTCAGCCTGCCGAAGAGCTCGACGATGGCGCCGCGCAGCCGCAGCCTCTCGAGCGGGCCGCTCAGCCGCCCGAGCCTGCAGGGCACCAAGGCGCCGCGCGAGCGCTCCGCCAGCGGCAACACGGTGCTGCCCGAGCGGCCACGCACCTTTTCCGGCGCGCCCAGCAAGGCCCTCGCCAACGCCAGCGACGGCAAGCAGCGCGCCAGCCTCCACGCCGCGCTGACGACGCCAAAGGCGCGCGTGCCGCCGAGCACGGGCAGGGCCCTGTCGTCGCCGTCCTCCTCGGCCTCCTCCTCGCCCATGCGCAAGGCCCTCAAGCCGGCCGCCAAGCCGGCTGCGGCGCCGCCACGCGCCCCCGCGGCGAAAGGGCCGGCCGCGTCCTAGAGCTTCCTGTCGCTGTATCCATTGCCACATCATATACACCCGCCTCCGCCTCCTGCAATGTGACGAGCTGCATGCACGGCCATGGCGAGTGTGCATGACCTGTGCGGCGCTTGGCGTGCGAGGCGTGTGAGCATGCTTCAGACGGTGCGATGCGTGGCCACTGATGCGCGCTGTTGCAGTGACTGCTAGCTACGCCTGGACATAGCGTTGCCTGCCGCAAGGCGCACGTGCAAGAGGCAAGGAAGAGCGCTGCATCAGCTTGTGTGACTTTGCTCTGTTTTGAGCTTCCTGTCAACCCTCTGCTGCATCAGAACAGGCCCGCAGGTTGCAGCGCGCGCAGTTACCGCAGCTACAAGGCTTGCAAGCAGCCTGGAGGTCAACTGAATAGCCCTCACTGATGCTGACTGACTCTGGCTTCATGTCTGCTCTTGCTAATCATGCTTTCATTGATCAGCAAGCAGCAGCACTGGCAGGTAGCACATCCGCAAGCGCGCAAGATGGCATAGAACCTCGAAAGGGTGCAGGAGCTGCCACAGGAGGCGTTGCGAAGCTTAGACAAATTCTGATACACCCCCAAAGTAACCACAACATCAAGCAGGGGATATGGGGTAGGGGCAACCTTAGTCCTTCGCATCATCGCAAGATCTTGTCGAATCTGGACTGGCCGGGGGTTCGAGTCCCCCTATCTCCAAAAACTTTTTGCACTTTTGACGCCCGATTTATTTTTCCGTTTTGTTCCCCACTCGATCGACCTGTCCCGCAGCTTCTGGGCCTCTGTGCTGCTGCGTTTTGCTTTCAGATGACTGCTGGGAGGCCCAGCTACGGTCAGAGAGCTTCGGAAGGCTGTTCTGGGCAGCCAGCTACGAGGAAGACGAGCTCTAGCCCACGCGCTCATGGTCCACGGGGCGCGGCGCGCTGGGTTGTCCCGCGTGCACCCACCAGCGCTCCGAATGTGAGATCTGGGCATTGTATGAAGCTGCGACTGGAGGGCATCTATACGTCCTGCTGACAGCAGCGCTTCAGATACCCGGCTAGCTGTATCGTGTGGCGAAGGCGTTGTGCAGCTCATGCGGTAGGGGCGGGTTCGGACGGGACGCGCCGCGCGCGTCACAGCAGACGTCTGAAGCCGCGCGGCTCTGAGCAATGGGCCTGCAAAGCGAAGACTACGCCATGCGGCAAAGGCGGTTTGCATTGTTAGAATACGTCCAACGCAGCTCCGGGAGGACGCTGCCGAAGCGAGCGGGCCTGGAGGCCCTGACAGACGCCGTTGCGGCTCCGCTGCGGTCTTCGCAGCGCTTTCGCGCGCGCGAGGCCGACCACGCCTGACGGCGGCCCGGCATCAGCGCTCGACGCCTCTTCTCTGCCGATGATACGTCTCACAGGGCTGATGTGGTCGCTGCCTGGGAGCCTCACACACTCTATAGTCGAGAAGGCAGCGATACGGCAGCGCAAGCGGATATTGCCAGACGATGGGCCCATCTGCGGCAGACGCCGTCGCAGCGTACACGAGCCAACAGCTCCGTGTCTCGGCGCCTTACCAGCTCTGCACGCCGTCACATCACTGTTTCACTGCAAAGCACGTGGCATTGAACGGACAGGTATGCATGGAAGCGGTCTAGGGAAGGGTAGCAGAGTCGGCGGCGGCGGTGGACGCCTACGCCTGCTGCTCGGGCGCCGTGGGCTGCGCAGGCGACTTCTCGCGCACGGCGCCGTCGCCAAAGTACTTGCGCGCCTCGTGCTCGAGGTCCTCGCCGACGAGGCGTGGCATCTCGAGCGAGTGCTTGACGGTCCAAATGTCCAGGGCATGGGCCTGCGCGAACATCTGCAGAGGGGTGAGCGGGCGTGGGGGACAAGTGCGGCAGGGCACTCACGACATCGAGCTCCTCGAGGCTGCGGCTCTTGGCTGTGGGGGGGTGTGAGCGAGGCGCAGCAAAGCATGACCAGCGTACGCACTCTCGGGGAAGAAAAAGTAGACCATCGGCACGAGCGCGGCGTTGGTCACGGCGAACACGATGTACGTGCGGTACGTCAACGCCGCGAGCCTACATGGGGGTCAGCGCGTGGTGTGAGAGGCTGCTGAGGGCGACGCACATGGGCGGCGAGATCATGACGATGAGCCAGTTGATGAGCCAGTTCATCTGGAGAAGGTGTGAGCGCCAGTGAGCGACGCGCGAGGCATGCCACTCACGAGCGTCGCGAGGGCGTTGGCCTGGATGCGCGTGCGCAGGTTCGTGACCTCGGCCGGGTAGAGCCAGGTCAGGCCGAGCCACGACACGCCGAAGAAGGTGTTAAACACTGCGAATGGTCAGCGTTTGTAGTGCTTGCCGCATCGCCGCTCTCACGGAAGATAAAGGTCACGGCCGTGATGCCGGGCGCGGGTGCGAGGACCGGCGCGCCCTCCGCGTCGATGATGCCCGTGCTCACGCAGCCTGCAATGACGGCCATGCAGATCGAACAGCCAATGGCGCCCGTAAGGAGCAGCTTGCGGCGGCCGAGGCGCTCGATGAGCGGCAGCGCGAGGCAGCCGGCCAGGAAGTACTCCGTGCCTGGACGGGGCGTCAGAGAAGCTCAGGCAGCTGGGTCGCGCAACTCACCGTTCACACCAGCCAGCAGGCGCGACATCTCCTGCTCAAAGCCGAGCGAGTTCTCCAGGAGAGTGCTGAGGTAGTACGTCACCAGGTTGATACCTGCGGGACAGGTAAGCATCGAGCGCATCTGGGGTCACATCTGCACACGCACCGCCGATCTGCTGGCCGAACTGCGCGGCGACGGCAATCGTCGTGCGCTGCAGGTTGCGGCTCGGTCCGCGGTCGAGGAGCTCGCGGAACTTGAAGCCGCCGCCGGCCATCTGGACGTGCAGCGTCTCCTCGATGTTGCGCATCTCCAGCGCCACCTCGGACGAGTCGAGCGGCGCGTCGGACAGGCGGGCAATGACGTCGCGCGCCTCCTCGCGGCGGCCGCGCATCATCAGCCAGCGCGGGCTGTCGGGCAGGAAGAGCACGGCGACCATGACGAAGAGGCAGAAGACAATCTGGAAGGCCAGCGGGAAGCGCCAGCGGATGCTGCCCTCGAGGAAGAAGACTGCGCTGTGCGTCAGCGCCAAGCTGCTGCCGTCTGCCCGGGTGACTCACACGCGTAGCCGATCCAGTATGAAATGGCAATGCCTCCAGCGATGAGGGCACCGGCGAGAATGATGAGGAAGCCGCGCTGGTGCGGCTTGGCGCACTCGCTCTGCCACGTCGGGATGGTCGACTGCGCCCGAGTCAGCCGCAGCACGTCGCCGTTGCCCTACCACTACTCACAGTCACGATGCCGTTGCCAACGCCGCCGACGACACGGCCAGCGCAGAAGAGACCGTACGACGTCGCCGGGCTGCCGCCGAGCGCGACCTGCGGAATCGTGCCGATGATCATGACAGCCAGGCCCCAGAAGACCGACGAGCGGCGGCCTCAGCCGTCGCCGTAGAACAGCACGGCGATGGCGCCGAGCACACAGCCGATCTGGTACACGGCGACACCGTTGGCCTGGATCGCCTCGGTGCCGAGACACATGCCCGGCTCCTGGCAGAGCGCTGCACGGCAAGTCAGCATCGCAACGCCGAGAGTGCCCTGTCCCTGCACTCACCGTTCGACGGGGTGAATGGCGTCATGAGCGGGATGGCCCGCTGAAAGTCGTCGAGCGTGAGCAGGCCAGACATGACACCTGTGCGCGCGTGTTAGCGAGGCGGAGGCAGCGTCGGTCGTGCAGACTCGCCCTGGTCGTAGCCTGCGAGGAGTCGTCAGTATGTGCAGCGTGCAGCATGCGTTGCTTGACTCACCAAAGGCCAGGAAGCCCGACGAGCAGGCCACGCCAATGGCGAGGTTCAGCGCGCGGCCGCTGATCTTGCCGTCCTTGCTGATCGGCCACTCGGGCAGGTTCGAGAGGCGGTGCGTGAAGCGGCGGAACGCGGTCTTCGGCTCCTCGTCCTTCACCGGCGGCACGTAGAGCTGCTCGCCCTTCTCGCCGGCGGGCGCCGTCGGCGCAGCGGCGGTGGCATGCGAGTCGCGCGTCGAGGCGCCCGACGCGGGCGAGGCAGGCCGCTGGGCCAGGGCTTCGGCAGCGCTCATTGGAGGGATGCAAGTCGAGTGTGAGGTGCAGTTGTGGATGTGAGTGCGTGTCGTGCACCGACGTAGAGTCCGCTTCTTATGGTCGGAGGGCTGCCGTCCTGCGGCGTCCTGCGCGCAAGTCCGCTCACCCCACTCCGCCGAGCTGCCCCTTCGCTGCTGCTCCTTCGCCGCTCCTTCGCTGGGCCCTCGCTGCCAAGCCTCGCTGCGGAGACGGACCGCCGCACCGCGTGCGACCAGGCGCGCCTTCCGGCGGATCCAGGAGCGGCTGCGTCGGCGCTGCGTCATGCTACAGTGGGGCCTCCGAGAGGGCACGGTGACGGCCAAGCACGGCGTCGCGGCGGTCCGGCCGACGTCTGCGCTTTGCCCGGCATGCTGCTGCTCTGCGAGCCAAGAGGCGTGCAAGGCTCGGCGCCGGCCGCTCGGGTCGGGTCGGTGCGGCCACGGCGCGCGCAAAGGATGATCCGCAGGCGCCGCGCCGGCCGCAGCATGCTGCCCTCGCGCCAGACAGGCGCACTCCGCCGGTGAGATCCGGCACGCTCCGCCAGCGCTCGTGCTGCGGTACGCTCGCGCTCGCAGCGCGGATCTCACTCGCTCGGCGCTGCATGACACGACGCCCGGCGAGAAACGCCGCAGCGGCAGCTTGCCCGTGTCGCTGCGCAGGGGCGCGGGCTTGGCATGGACGCTCATGCGTCAGCGGCGCGGCCGGCCTTGGCGCGCGCCGCACGCGCGTCGCCGTGCAGCGCACTGCTCAGGTGCTGTGCATCCCCTGCACACCCCTCGCAGGCGTGCCGCGTCACCCGCTGCAGCAGCAGCGTCGAGCGCGCACACGAGCACGTCCTCGTCGTCCATGCATGCGCTCGCCGACCGGACGCGGCGTCCAGCTGCAGCGCTCATGCATCATGGCGTCGCGTGCGGCGAGAAGCAGGGCTCGACGCCAAAGCAGCACCGTCACGGCTCTCTGGGGTCGGCTCTCTCCTGCGCCTGACGCGTGTGAGCAGAAGCAGCTCTGCCGCAGTCTCACTTTCCATCTGGCTGCTACTGGGTATATTCGCATCACTGCAGCGCGCCCTGCACGTTGCGCAGCAGGCCGCGCGCAAAGCCGCGCGTCGCCTCGGCCGCCTCGCCGATGCGCCCCGGGTCGAGCAGGCTGCCGGCGCCGCCGCTGTAGGCGTCGCCGAGCTGCACGGGCCCGATGGAGAGGTTCAGCGGCGCCGCCGCTGCGCCCGCGGCGCTCGGCGGCGGCGGCGAGGCAATGCCGGCGGGGAAGCGCGACGCCGCATCCTGCAGCATGTCGAGGTACGAGGCACTGCGCAGCAGCGTCGAGCCGCCGAGCACGAAGCGTGCGCCGCCGCCGGGGCCGGCCGTGCCTTGTGCGTTGAGCAGCGCGACGGTGCGGGCCTCTGCGGTGGTCGTGTGAGCAGAGCTTGGGCCGTGGCTCGCGCTGCACTCACCCTCGTACGTCGCGCCACCGACCATGAAGATGATCACGTCTTGCGGTCTGCAGAACGGTCAGCCGAGGTCGACAAGCACGCACGAGCATACCCACTTTTGCTGCGGCTGCCCCGGCGGTGGCGCTGACCCAGTGTACGGATAGCTTGTATCCCGCAGGCGGCCCTTCATGAGTTGCTCAATCGTCTGGAGCAGGTGCGGCGAGTGCTGCGTGTACACGTTCTCCACACCCTGAAAGACACGTCAGCAGTGCGGCGCAAGGTCAAGACAGGCTATTCACCTTCAGACCCTTGAGCGCGCTCTTGCCGCGAGAGAAGAAGTTCTCGTTCGCAAAGAGATCGTCCTGCCGCTGCTCGGCGCCGGCGAGGTTGAGCATGACAAAGACGAGCTGCGCGACGCGCGTCAGTCGCCGCTGGACCGCCTGTGTTGGCCTCTGGTGTGGCCTGTACTCACCGCAGCGCGGCTCTCCGGCACGCCGCTCTGCAGCAGGCGCCGCACGATCGCCGAGATCTGGTTGCCCGCGTACTTCTGGTACCGCAGCGCGTAGAGAATCGCGAGGCGCAGCTTGGCGTCGGGCAGCACCTTCTCCGAGGCGAGCAGCGTGTTGAGATTCTGTCACGCGTGTCAGCCACGCTCTGCCGCAATTGGCCTCTGTCGCGCTTGGCTATGCTCTGCCGCACTTGGCCACGCTCTGCACTCCACTCACCCGCAGGTCCGCCGCGTGGCTCTCGTTGCTCGCCAGACTCTGCTCCAGCTCCGACACCTCCAGCAGGCTCTCCGTCTCGACGCGGCGGCTCAGCTCGCCGAGCAGCGCCACGTGCTTGGCCACGTTGCCGCCCAGCTTGCGGAACTCGGGGTACTCCTCGACGAAGCGCTTCATGTCCGCCACCGTCTCGATCGACGACGACGACGCCGTGCGCGACTGGTAGTCGAGCACGTAGCGCTTGATCGACGCGCCCAGGTCGCCAAAGTTGTCGTGCAGGTTCTGCGCGAAGAACGGATCCTGGTCGGCTGAGAGCACGATCTCCTGCGGCAAGGGTCAGCGAGGCTGCTGCACAGAACATTCTCCGCGCCATGAGCTCATGCCCTTGCACACGAGTCCTCCTCTTTGCATCTGGCATCTTCCGCTTCCCGACAGCCTCTGTGCATCGCCGGACCTTCGCCTAGCTCGCCGCCAGGCTTCACCTGCTGCCGCTACGCTCGTACACCACTCACACGCAGCTCGGCACTGCCCTCCGGCAGGCTCACGCGCCCGTTGTTGATGCCCATCAGCTCGTGCACCATGGCCTGGTACGTCCACTGGCTCAGCAGCGGCGTGACGGGGTCGTTGCGGCGGTCGAGCACGAGGAGCAGCGGCGGCACGTCGGTGCGGCGAAAGTCGAAGAGCGCCGGCAGCGCCGTCTGCATTTGGTACTGCCGCGGGTGTCAGCATCGAGCAGCCGGCAGCGAGCCGCAGCACTCACCACGACCTCCTCGCCGAGCTTCTTCGCCAGCGCGCTCATGCGCTCGTACCGCACGACAGGCCGCTTCTTGAGCGAGAGCAGCAGCGCCGTCAGGCCCTCGGTGTGCCGCTGCAGCGCCGCCGAGTCCCACGAGTGCGGCGTCGCGCCCCACAGCTGCTCTGGCGGCGCGGGCCAGCCGAGCGAGAAGAGTGCCGGTGTAATGGGGATGTAGTCGGCAAAGTACTCCTGCAGCGGCGGGTCAGCGCTGCCGTGCGGAAAACTGTGTAGCCAGAGGCGGCGTGGCGAGAGCCAATGCAGGTATGGGCTGCTCACGCCGTCATGTGTCGCAACACCTCGCGCTGCCTCTCCGGCCCTCCCCTCGCAACCGGCGTCTCTCCCCTCGCAGAACCCATCGCCAACACCGCACAGCTCTGCACTGCATGCATCCGCACTCACCTGCACCTCCTTGACCACATGGTGCTCGTCGGCCTCGGCGAGCGCCTCGATGGCGGCCTTGCTCAGCGCGCCGGTGAAGGCGAGGTGGTACTCGGCGTAGCGCGGCGCGCGCAGCTCGGCGGCCAGCGCCGCCAGCGTCGCGGGCGCAGGCCGCAGCAGGGCGATGCAGCGCAGATGGCGCATGCGGTCGCGCCCGCTGTGCTCGAGGCGCGCGGTGAGGAAGACGTCGTGGGCCAGGAGGGCGCTGTGTGTCTGCGCGGTGGAGACGACGGGCGTCGTGTGCTCGTCGAGCAGCAGCACCTTCATGCCGGGCACGGCGCCGAGGAGGCGCAGCACGTAGGCGCTCACCGCGCGCGTCACGTCCATCGCGGCGGGTGTGTGGGTCTTGGGAGGTGGATGGGGAGCGAAGGCAGGGAGCAGCGCCTGGCGGTTGGCCGCCGCGTCGATGCCGTCCGTGCGCCGGCGCCGGCTGTTCCCACGCTCCACCTGCAGCTGCACAGCAAGCAACAGGCCAAGCCGGGCCCTGCTCTGCTTCTGCCTCTGCGCAGCATCCGCATCACGCACCACTCGCTCCTTTGTGCTTCTCTACCACACCCTCCATCCATGCTGCCCCGCCGTGCACTGCTGCGCGCCGCCGCGCCGGCCGTGCGCCGGCAAGTGCTGCTGCCACGCACCCTGCGGCCTGCGCTGGCGCTGCCGCACCGCAGCCCGCTCGCCGACAGCGCTATCTTGCGCTGCGTTGCAGCAGCTCGCGGCGTCGCGACCGCCTCGGCAGCAGGTGAGCAGCTTGGTCCATCCACTGCAGTATCAGCACTGACACCTTCGCAGCGGAGGCGGCGGCATCGGGCGACGACACACACGCGCCCGTCGACGCCCAGGCCTGCCCGCTGACGCCGCCCGAGGGCACGCTGGCGCCGCACGAGAAGCTCGGCTTTGTGAGGCCCCCTGCCGCAGCACAGCGCACCTTTGCACTGCCGCTGACCGTGCTGCACAGCTCTACTTCGACACCATGTACCCCATTGAGCTCGGCTGGTGGGACATGCGCCGCCTCGTCGGCCGCTTCGAGAGCGCGCCGCTGCTGGCGCGTCTTCGCGCCGCGCTGCCGGCAGGCGTCGAGGTCGGGCACGGCTTCGAGACAGTCGGCGTCGAGCCAAGGTGAGGAGAGGAGTGCACAGCTTCCGCGGCACACCGCTTACCCATCGCAGGTCGAAGGACGGCGGCGCATTCGCCAGCTTCCGCTACACGCTCGCGGAGGGCGAGAGCGAGAGCGACGTGCTGGGCGCCATCGAGCGGCGCCTGAAGCGCCAGATCAAGTCGGTGTACGCGCCTGGCATGCTGCTCGTCGCCTCGTGGGGGCGCCGCCCGTCGGTGCACGTCGTGCGCGGCACGCCGTGGCGCGAGGATCTGGCGCGCTTCCCGGCGCGCCAGGTGCGCATTGCGTTCGAGGGCGGCGATGGAAAGGCGCCCGATGAGCAGACGCTGTGGGAGATTCTGCGCCCGTACGGCCGAGTGAGTAGCAAAAGTTTGGGCCTTGCGTGGCGAGGAGCGCTACTTGAGATGCGTCAGTGGGAAGAGCATGAGCAGAGAGTAGGAGCGGTGCTCAGACGGGCATGCGTGGGGAGGGGCATGAGAGGGGAGGGGGGTCGCTCTGCAGCGCTTGCGCAGTCACCGACAGTGCTGATGCGGCTGCTCGCCCCGCAGATCCTCAGTCTCGCCATCGACAAGAAGGAGAACACCGCCGTCGTGGGCTTCGCACGCATGCGCGGCGCCACGAGTGCGCGCAACTGCGCCCACGGCGTGACGCTGCCGGGCGGCGCCAAGCTCATCATCAACTATCTGCGTGCGTGTCCGAGGAGTGCGGTCTGTCTGCATGCGCTGACGTTCGCTCAGCGACGCTGCGGAGCCACAAGATCTGGGACTGGCTCACGAGCCACCCGCGCATCGTGTTGCCGATCCTGGCCTTTGCGTGAGTGACTGCGCCTGCACTGGCGTGGATGACTGCTAACGCCATTCACAGGCTGGGCACGATCACATACGCCGTGTTTGACCCGATCCGCGCATTCTTCGTCGAGAGCAAGCTCAAGGGCTCGTTCAACTTTGAGCGTGCGTTGGATGGCCAAAGGCTCTAGACTGCCGCAGCTGACGCGACTGACTTCTCCTGCAGAGTACAAGCTGTACACGTGGCTCAAGTCCAACACCGTCGACCTCTTCCGCTCGGAGAAGGCGGCGCCGCGCAAGGACGACTGGTGGCAGCGCGGCCAGGCCGTCGACGAGATTCGAGGCTGGCTGCGCGAGACGCCATGTGGGTAGTGCCGCGGCAGTGCAGCAGCACTCTCTAACCCTTCACCGCAGCGACGTTCATCACCATCTCCGGCCCGCGCGGTAGCGGCAAGCACCAGCTGCTCACCGGCGCGCTCACCAGCGAGATCAACCACCTCCGCATTGTGCGTGGTGTGGACGCGTGTGCTGGGCACGACTGACCTCCTCTGCAGGACTGCGCGAACATCGCCCACAACGGCAAGACGGACTCGGCACTTGTCTCGGCGCTCGCCACGGAGATCGGATACTACCCCGTCTTTGTGCGTCGTGCCAGTGCCAGCCATCCTCTCCTCCGCTCACGCATCTTCTCAGAGCTGGATCTCGTCGCTCAACAACCTCATCGACCTCGGCGCCCAGGGTCTCATCGGCACCAAGGCCGGCTTTTCGACGCCCGTCGACGCGCAGCTGCGCCAGATGCTCGCCACCGCCACGACGGCGCTCGTCAGCGTCAAGGAGGCCACGGCGAAGCGCAAGGAGGCCGTGCGCCGCAAGCAGAACGCCAAGGGTGCGGCCAAGAGCGAGACGCCGGCGCCAACGGTCGTGCAGCTTGAGCGCGCCGCAAAGGCCAGCAACGGCGACGAGCTTGGCGATACGTCGTGCGTGCAGCACTCCGAGGCGGGCGACGGCGAGTACGACGCGCCGGTGGTGAGTGTGGCTGAGGATGCCGGCGGAGCTGCCTCGCCTGACGTCCATCCCAGCTCGTATTCGACAACTTCCACCACAAGGGCCTCAAGTCGGACCTCCTCTGGACCGTGCTCGCCGAGTGGGCCGCCGAGCTCACGCAGAACCACATCGCACATGTTGTCTTCGTGACCGACAATCCCGTGGCGCAGAGCAAGACGCTTTCGCACGCGCTGCCCAACGTGCCGTTCGAGAGCATCGCGCTCGCCGATGCCGACCAGCAGCGCGCGCGCGGCTACGTCGCGTCCAAGCTGCGCGAGCTGGGGCGGATCGCGCCGGCCGTGCCGACGGAGAAGGCAGACGACTCGAGCGAGCTGGCCGCAGCGCTGGACGCAGACACAGCGCGCAACGTCGACGTGCTCGGGGTGCGTGCCGCGTGTGGACGTGTGTGACTTTCGCTGACACACTCTGCAGGGCCGTCTGACGGACCTCGAGCAGCTGACGGAGAAGCTGGCGCTGGGCCAGACGGTCGAGAACGCCGTCGAGGACGTGAGTCGCAAGGCAGGGCACTGACGCTCTGTGCTGACCTTCGCCGCAGATCGTCTCGCGCACCGTCGTCGAGCTCCGCAAGAACGCCTTTGGCGACGACATGGACGATGCCAAGGCGCTGCCGTGGTCGCGCGAGCAGGCGTGGACGATCGTCGAGCAGCTGGCAAAGAACTCGGAGGTGAGGGCTGCCGCACCTGGCCTTCAGATCGCGGCTGACAACACCCGCAGCTCGCCTACTTCAGCGTGCTGCACGACCAGTTCAAGTCGGACGAGGCGTCGCTCAAGGTGCGGCATCGCGGGTGCACCCTTGCCTGCACCCTCGCTGACCCTTCTGCAGGCACTCGTGGCGGCAGAGATCATCTCTGTGCGGCACAACACGAGCGGCCGGCCGTCGACGATCCGCGCCGGGCGTCCCGTGCTGCAGGAAGCCATGCGGCGGCTCGTCGACGACGGCGTCTTCTCGCGCACGCAGCGGCTGCTCAGCGCCAGCGCCGCCATCACCAGCGCCGAGACGGCGATCCGCACCATCGAGGCCGAGGTGCACCAGCTCGCCGAGCTGCACGCCCTCTCGGGCGGCGTGGCGCGCAGCAGCGACGGCGTGCGTGGCCGTGCCGACTTCCTGCTCAAGAAGATGGCCGTGCACCAGGGCAAGGTGCGTGCGGGCATGTCTGGTGCGGTGCTGCACACGCTGATGCTCCACAGGTCGCGACGCTCGACGAGCTCGTCGCGCAGCTCAAGAAGGAGCTCGCCAGTGTGGACGCCAGCGGCGCGGCCCCCGCCTGAGAAGGACACAGCGGCCTGCTGTGGCCCGCACGATACCCCGTCTGCTCCTTATGATGGCATGGATTGCTTGCGAAATGCATCACATCACCACTCGCTGCGGCGTAGCAGTCTAGGCGGACTTGCCGCGGATGAACTGGGCGACGGCTGCAGGACGAGGTCAGCTGAGGCACTACACACATGCCACGCCGCGACTCACTCTCGCCGAACTCCTTGCCCTGCACCTTGGCGACCTTGAGGTCCTTCTCGGTGGGCTGGCGCGAGCCGTCTGGAGGACAGAGGGTCAGCTGCTGCATGTGTGCGCCTCTGTGCTGCCTGCTCACCACCGCCGGTGATCGTGGCGGCGCCGTAGGCCGAGGCGCCGACGATCTCGTCGAGCGTCGACAGCTCGGGCTGCGTGAAGCCGAGCGGCACAAAGATGATGCCGTGGTGCGCGAGGAAGGGGATGGTCGTGAGCGCCGTCGCTGCGGCAGCGTGTCAGCACCGGACGTGCACGCGGCGACCCTCTGCTGCTCACTCTCGGCGCCGCCGTGCTGGCTGCCCGTCGACGTGACGAAGCCGGCCATCTTGTTCTTGAGCGCGCCGCGCGCCCAGAGGCCGCCGGTCTGGTCGAAGAAGGCGGACACGGACGCCGGCTGGCGGCCGTAGCGCGTGCCGGCGCAGACGATGAAGCCGTCGAACTCGGCGAGCGTGTCGGGGTCGATCACGGGCAGGTCGGCCGTGAGGGACTGGAGCATGGTGAGCAGCGGCGGCAGAGACGGGCCAGTGTTATGTGCGGCGCACCTTGTTGGCGTGCATCTTGCCAAGCACCTCCTCGCTGAGGATGTCGCGGACCTGCAGGAGCCCTGTCAGCGGTGCGCCAGCGTGCACGTGTTGCGCGCACGCACCTGGAAGGTCTTGGACTCGACGCCGGCCTCCTTGAGACCGGCCTCGACGGCCTTGCTCATGGCGACCTGGTGGCCGTAGAGCGAGTAGACGAGGAGAGCGACCTGCGCGCGCGAGGGTGAGCACTGGCGGCGGCAGCACCGGTGTGCACACAACACACACCTTGGCCATCTTGACGGGAGCGGCGGGGGCGGCGGCGGGGGCGGTGCTGATGCTGGAGGAGGAGGACTTCTTGGAGGAGAGCGAGAGGCGCTGCAGCAGCTTGGACATGGAGGAGAAGAAGCAAGGGATGTGGGGCTTGCAGCGGGCCAAGCAGCGGCGCGCCTTCTTATGGGCGCCGGCGCAGCACGCGGAACACACGGCGGCGCTGCCCGCCGTCGAGGTGCGGCGGGCAGGCGGACAGCACCGCCAATCTCGGCTCGCAACGGCGGCAGACAGCCACGTCCAGCCGTGCAGATGCAGCGGCAGCGCGGCAGCACGCAAGCCGACCGCGGCTGCGGAAGCGGGCGCACGGATGGCTGCCGCTGCGGCCGTGCGCCTGCCTCTGCCGCTGCACGCTGTGTGCCTGCCGCGTGCTGCAAGATGCGCGCTGGCAGCAGCCACGATCCTCGGCCGTAAGCACATGCAGCACGCACGCCGCGCTCGGCCGCGCATATCTCCGCGGCACGGCAGCAGCCCCTCGGCGGCGGGCGTGCCTCACTGTGAGCTCTAGGTGGCCTCGGAGGGGCTGCTAGGGGTCAATCATGGCGTAGGCGGCTGGGATTCAGGGGCAGGGTCCGTGCAGGAACATCGCTCGAGATGTGCGCCTTGCGATGCCGCACGACAAGAGGCCGCCCGCCCGCGGAAGTTGACGGTGAGAGAAGAAACGCAAGGCGAGCCGCCCTTCCACTGATCCTTCATAGCGGCGCTTCCTTTGCCTTATCTCACGCCGAGAGCCAGCCCAGTAGGAGCAGACGTAGCCAGGTCTGATTTTGAGCGCAAACGCCGCCACGCAACATGCCTATGTGTGAAGCGCGAGACCGAGAGGAGGTCCAGGAAGGTCGACGACGCTGCACGCGGACGCGCCGGCCTATTCGCTGATCTCTGCGGCAGTAGCCGCCCTGCCGCGCTGCGCCTGAGCATCATCATCCGCCAGTAAAATAGGGGGCTGTGGCTTGCGAAAGTGCCTCTTTGTGCGAGAGTGCTGCGGAAATAGAGGCGACGCTCTCGCTGATGGCCGGCGGGCGCAGGCGGTGCGAGTCGGACCGCGGCGGGCGGCAGCGCGCTCCCGTCACTTCATCAGGCGCAGGCCGCCGGCGGGCGCACGCCGCAGCAAGCTGCAGCGCTGGCTCCGACTTGATTGCCCTGCCGCAGCCAGATCCAGGTGCACTTTCGCTTGAGGGGTCAGCGATGGATGTTGCTGGATGCCTCGCAGAGAGGGGTGCTCAGCAAGACGCTGCCGCGCAAGATGTCTGAGAGGGCCTCTGCCGCTGGCAACGGCGTGGTACGCTTCATTTTGCCGCTCGGGCACAGGCAGATGCAGGCGCTGTGCTGGCGCCGCTTCTGGCGCCGAGCGCGAGGCGGCAGCATCGATCGCGCGAATGGAGGGGCCTTGCGCGGCGCGGCGGCGGTGCGCGTGGAGGAGGTCGCGCGCCGCGGCACACCGGCCAGCTGCCGCAGCGCCGCTGGCCCGCCGTTGCGCCGCGGCCGGCGGCGGGTCCGAGGCGCCGGCGCGTGCCTGACGCATGATGTGCGTCATAGCTGCTCCTGCGGCGGTGCAGCCTTTTTGCCCAGCACCAGCACCAGCCGCTCCTCCGCCGCTCGAGCCGCCCGCCGCTGCGAGCGAAGATCACGCTCGCTGCTGCTGGTTGCCGTTGCGCCGCCGTGCGCCGCATCTTGCGCGGCATGGCCCAGAATCAGGCGAGGTGGCCGAGCGCCGCTCCACCGCCCAGCCGGCGGCCGCGGCAGGAGGCAGCGCACCGCATGCCGTCCCACACGAGCCGTGTCGCTGCGTCACTCGACTCGCTGCACCGATGCTCGCAGGCGGCCGGCCCGGACGCCAAGGCAGCTTGCAGGCCCGGCCGCTGCTTCCGCGGGGCGCCGCTCTGACAGCGGCAGCGGAGCGTGGAGCACCGCAGGCGGGCACCGAGCGAACAGGAAGCTCGGGCGGGGTGCGTCTTAAGAGGCGAGGCGGGCAGCATGGCCGCGGGGGCGCCCTCTCTCCTCTCCCATCCTCGTCCAGCCCGCAAGCGCTGCCGCCTCAAGAGCAGCCCAGCGAGCAGCCCACTGCCGCGCCGAGCTCGTCCACCAGCCCACCTCTCCTCTGACACCTCGGCCCGCCATGCCGATCCACGTCGGCGGCACGCCCATCGGCGCGCGTACCATCTTCGTCGCCCTGCTCGCCAGCATGGGCGGCTTCCTCTTCGGCTACGACAGCGGACAGATCTCGGGCATCCAGGAGATGCCGCGCTTCATCGAGGCCTTCTCCACCGAGCCCGGCCCGCGCGTGAGTTGCGCGTGTGATGCGCCGCAGAGCGTGGCCTGACATTGCACAGTTCAACTCCTGGCTGCTCGGCCTCATCGTCTCGTCGCTCAGCATCGGCACGTTCATCGGCGTGCTGCTCGGCGCGCCGCTGGCCGACCGGCTGGGCCGCCGCGCGGCCATGAGCATCGAGACGCTCGTGTTCAGCCTCGGCGTCGTCATCCAGGTCACCGCCTTCGAGGCGTGGTGGCAGGTGGCCATCGGCCGCGGCGTCTCGGGCCTCGGCGTCGGCGCGCTGTCGGCCGTGGTGCCCGTGTACATGGGCGAGACGGTGCCGAGCCAGCTGCGCGGCAGCTGCGTGGCGTGCTACCAGCTGGTGCGTGCCGGACAGAGTGCAGTGCGGCCGCGCTGGCGCTGACACGCCCCGCAGTTCATCACCCTCGGCATCCTCGTGTCCAACCTGATCAACCTCGGCACGCGCGAGATCAGCAGCAGCGCCAGCTGGCGCCTGCCGATCGTCATCGGCATCCCCTTCGCCGCGATCCTGGGCCTGGGCATCTGGCTGTGCCCCGAGAGCCCGCGCTGGCTCGTGTCGCGCGGGCGCAACGACCAGGCCTACGCCGGCCTGTCCGTCATGCGCGGCCTCACCAAGGGCACCGCTGACGCCTGGGTCGAGGCCGACTACGCCGCCATCATTACGGCGCACGAGAAGGACAGCAAGATGCGCCCCGCCGGCTGGCTCGACTGCTTCCGCGTCGAGAACAAGACGCTGCACCGCACGCTGCTCGGCATCATGGTGCAGGCGCTCCAGCAGCTGTGAGTGGAGTGTGAGGCCAGTGCTGCGACACATGCTGACGCCATCCATGCAGCACCGGCGCCAACTGTGAGCGGCGCAAGGCCACGCACTGCAGAGCGCACACTGACTTCCTGCCGCAGTCTTCTTCTACTTTGGCCCCACGATCTTCCAGGGCGTCGGCGTGGCGGACCCCTTCGTCGTGGCCGTGATCCTCGGCGCCATCAACGTGTTCTGCACGTTCCTCGGCCTCTACGCGCTCGAGCGCTTCGGCCGCCGCATCCCGCTCATCGTTGGCGCCGCCGGCATGGCCGTCTGGCTCATTGTCTTTGCCACGGCCGGCACCGTCGGCGACCCGAGCTCGCGTCCGATCGGCACGCTCCTTATCGTGAGTTGAGCGAGATGAGCGGCACTGCGGCAAAGCTAACTCTTTGCACAGGTCGCGGCGTCTTTCTTCATCCTGTTCTACGCCTCCACGTGGGCCCCTGGGTGCGTTGCTTGGGACCGTGCCATCCTGCGCAACGCTGACTCCTTCCTCAGCGCCTGGCTCTTCATCGGCGAATCGTTCAGCGGCCGCACGCGTGCCAAGCAGGCCGCACTCGGTGCAGCTTCTAACTGGGCATGGAACGTGAGCAGCGCAGAAGAGCTGAGCCAGGGCACGGCTGACGATGCGCGTGCAGTTCATGATCTCCTTCTTCACGACGCCCATCGTCTCGTCGATCGACCTCGCGTACGGCTACGTCTTTGCCGGCTGCATGGTCTTCGCCACCGTCTTCGGTGAGCAGTGCTGCTAGCATCCTTCCTCTGCCAGTACTGACCTCTTTCAGCGTACTTCTTCGTGTACGAGACCAAGGATCTGCAGATCGAGCAGGTCGACGAGATGTACAACGACCCGGCGGCCAAGCCGTGGAACTCGCGCAAGTGGGTGCCGGCCGGCTACACGGCGCGCAACCAGCTCAAGGAGGAGAAGAGCGACGTGCTGGCCGTCGAGGACCCGCAGCACGGCGAGTGGCGCTCCCAGCCCGACCCCGTCACGGGCGAGGAGCGCGACACGGTGCGCAAGCACAAGGAGACGCCGCAGCGCACCCAGGATGCCTGATCGCACTATGCTATGCTCTCTCTCTGTGCCCCTTCTTGCTAATTCCCGGCGCTGCCGCTCGCTGCCTCCATCTGCTGCTGTCCTCTACCACCTGCACTGCAATTGAGGTCTCACGGTACAGCCTGCGCCGTGCGCGAGTCCCGAGTGCCGAGCGCGGCTGCTATTCGGCAGAGTGGCCCTCTGCGCTGCGCACCCCTGATGCGTCTGTGATGGCTAAGCGTGCTCGGCAGGAGATGAAGTTTGCAAGCAGCGCAGTCGGCCGTGCACCTCTGTGATGGCCGCCTCGCCGGCCGAGGTGCCAGAGCCGGTCGGGAGCTGCGAGAGCCGGGTGCGGGGGTGCGGCGCGAGAGCAAAAATCGGCAGGCGGCGCCTCGGCCTCGGGCGCGGATGACGCCTCCGCGCGGCCGCCGCGCCGGTGCCGGCTCCGGCGGCGGTGCGGGGAACTCAGCCGCCTGGCGCTGTGTCAGGTCCCGCCGGCGTGGAACGTGCCTGGCCGTCACCGCCTTTCCTCCTCACCACCACAGCAACACCATGGGCGCCGAAGCACGCAGCTCCATCGCGGACCAGCCAACGCAGCTCAGTGCGCTCATCGTCGGCGGCGGCGTCAGCGGCATTGCGGCGGCGTGCCGTCTGCAGATGGACCTCGGCGTGCACGACTTTCTAATCTTTGAGCGCAGCTCGGGCCTCGGCGGCACGTGGTACAACAACCGCTACCCGGGTGAGGCGCGGTGGGTCGGCCACGGTGGGACCGAGAGCTGACATGTGCTGCTGCCAGGCGTCGGCTGCGATGTGCCGACGCGCCTCTACTCGCTCTCCTTTGCGCAGCGTCCCAACTGGAAGGTGCGCCCGGATCTGACATTACCTGTCTGTGCCTTGCTTATCTCCTGGCGCAGCACTTCTTTAGCCTCGGGCCCGACATCCGCGACTACCTGCAGGACGTCGCGCGCCAGTTCAACCTTCCCGGACGCACGCGCCTCAACACGCAGGTGCTGAGCGCCACCTGGATCCCTGCCCGCACACACTGGTTCGTCAAGTCGCGCGACGAGGCGGGCGTCGAGCGCGAGCACACGGCACGCATCCTCGTGTGCGGCACGGGCGCCCTGTCCATCCCGCGCGAGCCCGACACGCCCGGCTGGCAGAGCTTCAAGGGCCCGCTCTTCCACAGCGCCGAGTGGCGCTCAGACGTCGACTGCACGGGCAAGGACGTCGTCGTGATCGGCAACGGCTGCAGTGCCACACAGATCATCCCCGTGCTCGCGCCGCACACCAAGAGTCTCACGCAGATCGTGCGTCTGGCGCCCGGCGATGGCTTCGCCTGTGCTGACGCTCTCATGCAGGTGCGCACGCGGCACTGGATCGTGCCGCAGCTCAAGAGCCCATTCGACAACGCCGCCTGGCGATGGATGGAGAGGAACATCCCCGGCGTTGTGGCATTCGAGCGCGGGCTGCTGGTCGGTGAGTAGTCATGCCTGCCGCAGGTGTGCGCCGCTCACGTCTTGCAGTTCTGCTCGAGTCCATGTTCGTGCAGGCGCTCAAGGCCGAGGGCGGCCCGGCGCGCGCCCGCTTTGCCAAGCTGTGCCACAAGTACATCAAGGAGTGTGCGCCACCGGAGTACCACGACCTGCTGCTGCCCAACGAGGCCGAGATCCCGGTTGCCTGCAAGCGGCGCGTCTTTGACGCCGGCTATATCCCGGCGCTGGGGCGCAGCAACGTCGAGCTGTGCGGCGTGAGTAGCATGCCTCGCATGCCTCTCTCTGCCAGGAATCACCTCTCACGTGTCTCTGCAGGACCAAGCAAAGGAGATCACCGAGGACGGCGTGATCCTCGAGAGCGGGCGCAAGCTCAAGGCCGATGTCATCATCACTGCCAACGGCTTCAAGACGGATGGCGCGATGCTCATGGACATCACCAACGGCGAGGGCGTCACGCTTGCAGAGCACTGGAAGCGCTCCGCTGGCGTGCCCGAGGCGTACCGCGGCACGCTGGTCAACACTTTCCCCAAGTGCGTCTGATGCAGTGGCTCCTTCGTCTGATGCTGACCCTGCCGCGCAGCATGTTCCTGCTCTTCGGCCCGAACACCGTCACAGGCCACTTCAGTGGTGCGTCGGCCGCCCAGCCTGCGCCTGCACTGCGCTGACACGCTGCACAGCGATCTGGACCATCGAGCGCTCCGTCGAGCTCATGACGTCGCTGCTGCGGCCCGTCTTCCTGCGGCCATCGAAGAGCGCCGAGGCCAAGTGCTGCAATGGCCCGCTACAGCGCAGTGCTGGACGTGCAGTGCAGGTGCGCAAGGACGCCGAGGAGGTCGAGCAGGTCTTCATCCAGGAGTCGATGAAGGGTGCGTGCTTTTTGCCACGATGTGACGAGCTTCTCGCTGATTGCATCGACTAGACCTCGTCTTCTCTGCCGGCTGCGGCGCCTGGTGAGTTGATTCCGCCTGCCTCTGCCCTGCATGTCTGAGCCCTTCCCCTGCTCAGGTATGCGGACCCGGCCACGGGCAAGGTGACAGCCATCTCACCGAGCCTGCAAACGACGTACCTCGTGCGCACACGCTTTCCGGTCTTCAGCGACGTGCGCTACACGGGCCTCTCGAAGCTGCAGGCGTGGTTCAGCTGGCGCCTCTCGCAGCGCATCGGCAGCTTCCTGCGCCTCGGCGCCGTACCAGACCTGCGCTCCGACGCTGCGGCACGGCGGGGCTTCCTGCTGCGCCTGCTGCGGCGCCTCACCTGGCCGGCGCACCTGCTCGCCGACGCGGCGTTTGGCAAGATGCTGCGCGCCAGCAGCTACGCCATCGACCACATCCTCACGTGGCGCTACCCGCCCACGTACGTGCAGGCGCAGAAGCTGCGCGCCGCAGGCAAGTATCGCGAGGTGGGCACGGCATGAGGCGCAGATGTAGAGAGCAGCGACGGCTTGCAATCATGAGATCGCTCCCACCAAGAAGGATGAGGATCGCTCTCATCACCCCTTGGCGCCGTGCGACTCGCATGGGAAACTTCTCTCGCGCTTGGTCGCAGACGTTCCTGTGCAGGCACCCTGCGCCGCCCGCGTGCTGCTGCGCCAGAAGAGGCAGGAGACAAGGCCGCCTCGCACATCTCGTCACATGGGAGGCTCCGCCTGGCAGGCCAGCATCTACCACGGGCGCTCCGTAGCGCCGCTGCGCAGGACGGAGGCTGCGGATCTGGCAGCGGACACCTGTCCTGTCCCACGAGTCGGCTGCCGCTCTGAGGCCGCTGCAGCCTCCTCCTCCGCTCCGTCGTGTCCGCTCCGCCCCGCTGCACGCTGCGCTGCCGCTGCGCGCCGTCCATTCCTCGCGGCCGCGGCGTGCATGGCCGTGCAGCGCCGCCGCTGCCGCTGCCGAGCGCCGCACCTGCGCCGACGACGCAGCGGCCACTGCTGCTGGTCTACTTGTTCGCTGCACCCCGGCAACCGCATGGCTGCTGTCCAGCCGATGCCAACGGTCGTCGCTGCTCCCTTGTCCTCTTTGTCGCCTTGTCCAGCGCCGCGCACGATCGTCGCGAGCGCGCCCGCGCGCGCCCGCGCGCGGTCCGAGCGGTGCGCGCGCGTCGCGCCTGCCAAGCGCCTTGTCCTCCTGAGCCGCGTGCTTGGCCCATGGCAAGGCAGCGCTGATGAAGCATCACCACGCTCAGCCATGTGCATGCACCATCATTCAACGCCTCCCTCGTGGTGCGCTCGCCCGTCCATCTGGGCCCCCGCGGCCGGAGCTGCGGTGCTCGGGGCTGGGCGCAGATGAGAAATTCCTACGAGGCACGCCCGGCGCGCCGCTCATCTTGCGGCGCGCGCGGGCGGAGGCTGGGCGGACAAGGCGCCGCCGCGAACAACAGCCGCGCGCCGCACACTGCCCGCCTGCCTGCCCCCTGAGCCGCCGCGCACGCGCCGCGGGCACGGCGGCACGCGGGCGGGAGAGCACGCCGGCGCGCAGGAACGAGCGCAGTGTGCCGCGCGGCCTTCTGCCGAGGCGTTCTTCGTCGGGCAAGCGCGGTGCGGCGCCGGCACTGCGCCAGTGTCGGGCGCACGCGCGTGCCCCTAGCGCCGGACGCTGCTGCACTGCTCTGCTGGGTGCTGCTGCCGCGCCGCCGCGCATGCCGCGTGGCTGCTGGAGACTCTACGAGCAGGCGCGCGGTGTGTTGCGCTGCCCACGGGTGCAACGCGGCGGCGGCTGAGGTGCCGCCGCGCCGCTGCCTCCGCTGCCACGCCGCCGCGCCGCTGCGCTCCCGACACACACCTCCCACGCCCGCCGCTCCCTCGCCTCGCCCTCCGCCAGACGCCTGCCCGCGCGCTGCCGCTCCTCGTGCTCGCCCGCGTGCCTGCCTCGCCGTCGCCGTTGCGCGCGTCTTGCTGACTGTCTCGCCTCTCTCCTTCCATCTCCATCCCTCCCTCCCTCTCGCTCTCCCAACTCCCACGCACTCCCTTGCTCCCTTCGCTCGCTCCCACACGCGCCTCGCTGCCGCACCCACAACACGCTCCTTTCTGCCGCGCCTCTGCCGCTGCCGCTTGCTTGCTGCTCCTCCTCGCGTCCGCCTGCTGCTGCCGTAGCAGTCCCGCGCCGCACGTCTCCACCATGAAGACATCACTCGCCCTCGCCGCCCTCGCCGCGGCCGTGCTGGGCCTCGCCGCTGCGCCGGCCGCCGCGCTCGAGGAGCAGAGCGCCGGCCACGGCCACATGCGCCGGCACCACGCCAAGATCCAGAACATCCAGAAGCGCTACCAGGGCCACGCGTGAGTGCGGGCGCATCGCGAGAGGTGGTGGATGTACGGCGGCGAGTGGGACGGTCTCGGGGGTGCGGCGCAGATCGTCAGAATGCAGACGTGCGGTCCGGCGAGTGACGGGACTCGCGTCGCTTCGCTGCACCTTGCTGCACCACTCCCATCTGTTGGACGCTTGGTGGCCTCCTTGCTGACACCGCTTCCTGCAGCACGTTCTACAACACGCAGACTGGCAACGCTGGGTGAGTCCAAGCAGCGCAGCGCACGGCGTTGCCCGCACTCACACCTTCCTCCAGCTCGTGCGGCCGCATGCTGCACAACAGCGAGTACGTCGTCGCCGTCGCCGGTGGCATCATGAACTCGGGCCTCTGCGGCAAGACCGTCACCATCTCCGCCAACGGCAAGACGGCGCAGGCGACCATTGAGGACACGTGCCCGCCCGGCGGCGGCAACTGCGGCGGTGCTGACCTCGACCTGAGCCCGTCGCTCTTCGCCTTCTTCGCGCCCGTCTCCGTCGGCAAGATGCCCATCTCGTGGTCCATCGGCGGCGGCGGCGGTGGCAACAGCGGCGGTGGCGGCGGCGGCAACAACAACGATGATGACGACGACGACGACAACGGCGCGGCCGCCGCTGCCGCTGCTGCTGCGGCCAAGAAGGCCGCTGCCCGCGCATCTGCCGCCGCCGCATCTGCCCTCGCCGAGGCGTCTGCGTCGCGCAGCTCGGCGTCCGAGGCCCGCGCCAGCTCGCTCTCCGAGGCCAGCGAGAGCCGCGCGAGCCGCTCGTCGGTCGCGTCCGAATCGCGCGCCAGCTCGCTCTCCGAGGCTCGCGAGAGCCGCTCGAGCGTGGCCAGCGTCGCGTCGGCGTCGAGCGCCTCCGTCGCCGCCGCCGAGGCCAGCGCGGCCGCCGAGGCTGAGCGCCCCAAGGTCATCGAAAACTACGTGGCCGTGTTCGAGGGCATGAACAACATGGTCGCCGCCGCGCAGAGCTAAGCGTCGTCTCCACTCTTGCCTCCTTACGCCCGCCACGACCTGCTTCACCACTCGTCGACGCTGTGCGCCGACCATCTCGTCCCTCGCCTGCCGCGCTGCGGCGCCGCAGGCTGTCCCGCTTCTTATTGCCCTCGTCGCTGCCACCTCGTCTTACGGACAAGCCGTTCCCTTGCCCTCGTGCCCGTCCCTGTGTCCCGCTCATACCTGTGCGCGCTCGATGCCTGCCACACGCTTCTCCCTACGACGATGCTTCCATTCACCTACACGTCCTTCGCCCTCCTACCCTACTACAGCCCGCCTCTCCTCTCTCCACCTTACTCAGACTCACCGCCGGCGCCGTCGCCGAGTGCGGCCGTGCGCCACGAGGAGCGTGTAATGTCGATGGATGTGCCGTCTGCTGTGCATGTGGCTGTGTCGTTGAGAGTACGGCCGTCCGTGGCATAGAGGCCACAGGCGCAGATTGTAGGAGGTGCCGCGTCCTGAGCTTTCGCCGCTGCGCCAGGCGCGCACAGGCCCATGCCACGCCGAAGTTGAGGCAGCGCTGCACAGCGACGTCGGAGTGCCTGCTCGACGGCCGCGTGAAGGCGTCTCTCGTCCGGCGTCGACGAGCAGGAGGTCCAGGAGGAGCGGACATGGCACGTGAGACAGCTGCTGTGGCTTGCGGCGCGGCGCGCCCGCACGGACGCCGCGCGCGTCTGAGAGGGGTTCTCTGCTTGGCGGCCCTGGTGCCTGCGCTTCGCTCTCCACCTCATCCTCACCTCGCCCGCTCGTCTCTACTGCATCGCTGCTTCGCGCCGGTGAGGCTTGTGCTCTTGTCTTCTAGATCCGCCAGCCCGGCCTCGCTGCGCGCGCCTTCCTCCTCGTCTCTCTTGCCTGCGCCGCTGCTGCTCCACTTGCGCCGCTCTGCGCAGCCCTCTGCCGCACTCGCCGCTCGCTGCCGCTGCCTCGCCTGCTGTCACTCGTTCCTGCCGCTGCACTTGAGGCTCTCGCACGGCGCCGCGCCTACGCCCCCTGCGCGGCGCCATGGACAAGCTCAAGGTGGCCCGCGTGCGTGCCGGCCAGTGGTCCCGCCGGCGCTGCCTGCTGCTGACCCGCGCTCGCTACTCAGGTCGACGGCGTGCTGCTGCAGCAGGGCACGCAGCCGAGCCGCCGCGGCACACTGCACCTCACGCAGCACCACCTCATCTTCTCGTCTGAGCATTCTGCCGGAGCGGCCGACGAGCTCTGGGTGCGTCTGCGCGCCGTGTCGCTGCACGCGAGAGCCGCTCTGACAGCCATCGCAGCTGGCCTACTCGCTCCTCTGGCTGGTGACCCGAGTGCCGTCGCTGCTGCCCCTGAACGCTACGTCGCGGCGAGAAGCACGCATTCATCCGCTTGTCGTGCGCCTGCGAGACTTTCGCTCCTTCGCCCTTGGCTTTGAGAGCGAGGCGCAGGCGACGGATGTGTGGGAGAGCGTGCGCGCATGTGCCGTCGTCGGTGAGTGCGCCAGTGGCACGCTGAAGCTACGGGTGTCTGACACTACGCTGGGCAACAGCCGAAGCACAGGCGCTCTATGCCTTCTACCACACGCCTGCCGCACCCTCGCCCGTGCAGGGCTGGCAGCTCTACGATGCCAAGCGCGAGTTCGCGCGGCAGGGCGTGGGCAGCCGCACGCGAGCGTGGCGCATGTGCGACATCAACGCCGGCTACGGAGTGAGTCGGCTGCGGACTCAGCTGCGGCACAGCTCGGCTCAGCAGCGGCTGACTCGTGTGCTTGCAGTTCTGCGCGACGTACCCGGCGTCGATGTGCGTGCCCTCGCGCATCTCGGACGCCACGCTGCGGTATGCGTCCAAGTACCGCTCCAAGGAGCGCATCCCGGCGCTGAGCTACCTGCACTGGGCCAACCTCGGCACCATCACGCGCTCGTCACAGCCCATGGTTGGCCTGAACAACCGCAGTCTGCAGGACGAGAAGCTCATCGAGGCTGTGTTCACGAGCCACCACTTTGCCGACCCGCACAGCGCAGCAGCGCATGCTGCCTCGGCAGCCAGCGCGCAGGCTAGCGGCTCCGGCGGCGCAGCAAACGTCGCACTGATCTATGGCGCACAGGCGACGAACCTGATCATCGATGCGCGCCCGACGACCAACGCCATGGCGAACCGGGCCAAGGGCGCAGGCACGGAGAACATGGAGCACTACAAGGGCTGCAAAAAGGCCTATCTGGGCGTCGAGAACATCCACGTCATGCGCGACTCGCTCAACCGTCTCGCCGACGTGCTGCGGGCGTCCGAGCCGCCAGTGACCTTCGGCGCCGGATCTGCCGGCGAGTTGGAGGTCGCTGGGAGCGCAGCAGATACGGACGGTGCCGGATCGAGCTCTGACGCTGCCGGTCCGCACAGCACTGCAATGGCTGCTACCCTCTCCTCGAGCTCTAGAACATCGCAGCGCAGCGCTATCGCGCCGCTCGACTACGCCGGGCTGAAGCGCTCTGGCTGGCTAAAGCACATCTCTGCGCTGCTCGAAGGCACCCTGATCATCGCGCGCAACGTGCACATCAACTCGTCGCACGTGCTCATCCACTGCTCCGACGGCTGGGACCGCACCTCGCAGCTCTCGGCACTGGCGCAGATCTGCCTGGACCCGTACTACCGCACGCTCGACGGCCTTGCCGTGCTCGTCGAGAAGGACTGGTGCAGCTTCGGACATCGCTTCTGGGACCGCTGCGGCCACGCCAGCAGCCAGAAGTACTTTGCCACGGCCTCGGGCCACGGCGAGGAGTCCGAAGACGAGGACGGCAGCGCCGACGGCCAGGACACGGAGCGCAGCGGCTTCGAGGTGCAGAGCCAGGCTGCGGCAAATGCCTTCTGGGGCTTCACCAAGAGCATCGCCAACAACTTCCAGGGCAGTGGGCACAGCGGCAGTGGTGCCGCAGGCGCACATCTCAAGGAGACGTCGCCGGTCTTTCTGCAGTTTCTCGACTGCGTCTGGCAGCTGCAGCGGCAGTTTCCGGGGCGCTTCGAGTACAATGCGACGCTGCTCGTCGAGCTGCACACGCAGCTGCATGAGTGCCGCTTTGGCACGTTCCTCAGCAACTGCGAGCGCGAGGCGCGCATCGCCACAGAGACGGCGCCGGCGCCGGCCAACCGCACGGTGAGCGTCTGGGATGCGCTGCTGGCGCCCGAGCAGCGCAAGCGATTCATCGACCCGAGCTTCGACGCCTCGCTCGACGACCCGAAGCGCGACGGCGCCGACATGGGCGTGCTGCTGCCCGTCTCGCGCGACGTGCGATACTTTGCGCAGATCTTCGGCCGGCAGGACGAGGAGATGAATGCGGGCATCGTGGCGGAGATCGAGGAGCGCAAGCGCGCACTGCAAGCCGCCGAAGATGCGCGTGCCGCAGCCGCGGCAGCGGCACTGCAAGCTGCGGGCCCGTCAGAGGCATCGCGCTCGGCCCTCGGTGCCGTCGTCGAGGGCGGAAGCGGTGATCCAGGGCGCGATCTTGGCGCTGCGGCAGGAGCTGTGGGACGAGTCGAGGCGCCGCTGGCGTACAAGCCCAGAGCTGCCCGTCCGCGACCTGCGCAAGCCGCAGCAGCGCCGGCTGTCCCGACACTAGCGCCGCAGAGAGGAGCGTCGCCCGTGCCTCCTGCCGGCGCTGCTGCGCCGAGTGCGGCAGAGGCAGCGCAGCGCATGAAGGGCCTACTCGTTAGCGGCTGGGGCCGTCTGCAGGCCGCCTATGGCGAGGCCGCGCCATCCGAGGATCCCGCAGCCCACCGCGCGCCAGCAGACCCGCTCTCGCAAGACGACAGCGCCGCTGCGTGGGCCGACGTCGCGCCGCGCAAGAGCACTCGTGCTGAGCCGAGCCCCGGCCCTCTGGCAGCGCCGTTGCCGCCAGCGCGCACACAGCCCGAGTCGCGGCCGCCGGCAGCCAACGCCAGCGAGAGCAACCCCTGGGCGGCGCGGCCAGCGGCGCCTGCACTCGACCCGCTCGCGGCCCGCACGCAGCCACCTGCGCCGACTGCGGCGGCGCCCACTGCGCGGACACAACCCGACGAAGCGGCGGCGGCGCGAAGTGCATCGTACGACCCGCTCGGCGTCGGGCTGTGAGGCTCTGCAGCAAGTTCGCTAGTCGCGCCCACACCGGAGGCCATCTGTACACCAGCCACGCATCACTCGGCTCTCACACATGTCCGAAGGTCAATCGTCGCGGCGACGCTAATGCTCAGATTAAGGCAGGTCCAAGGTGAAGAGTGTGTGCCCTAGAGAGATGGGAGACGAGAGTGGGATGGATGGGTCCAGAGACAGCGCGGCGGATGAGGCGGGAAGCGAGGCAAGACCTGGTGTATAGAGTCGTGGCGGAGTTGCGTCGTGACCGGGATGCCCTTGGAACGAGAAAACAGACGAGAGACGAAGCAGTGAGAAAGCAGTCGGGCAGCGACGCGGCGCGTGAGAGAAGCTTGGCTTGAGCGAGGCTGAGAAGGAGCAGCACAGAGGGGTGGAGAAAGGTCCGAAGATGACGGCGGCGGGTCGTGTGTGCGCAGGTCGAGTTATCCGGGTTGGAGAGGCGTGTCCATGGCAAGGCATGCGGGCCGTGTGTTGCGCGCAGAGGTCGTCAGGGTCGTAAGGCGGACAGAGAAGAATACAGTAAAGCGTGCGCTGTGTATGGCGCGACGCTCAGACGGCAATCTCGGGCGAGAGACGATGTCGGCCCTCGTTGACGACGCGCTTGGCCTGGCGGTCGAGCGGGTCGCGCTCGACGCGGCGCTGCTCCTCCTTGCTCGTCGGGCGGAGCGCCACGCCGTCCTCGGGCGTGTCCGGCCCGCTGTCGTCTGGCGAGTTGCGGCCGGGCGCGCTGGGCGAGAGCGGCGGACACTCCGAGCTGGGACTCGAGCTGAACGGAGAGAGGCTGCCAGGCGACGGCAGGCTGAACGCCGTGCTGCCAGTCGAGCCGACGCTGGTCGTGCGAGACGCGGCGTGCGGCATGGCAGGCCGGCGCAGCGGCATCGGAGCAGGCGCTGCTGGCGCAGCCTTGGGCGCTGGCAAGTCGTCCGTAGGCTGGCTCAAAGAGGCCCTCTCAACGAAGCGGAAAGAGCGCCCATCGGTGCCAAAGGGAACGAGCACCATCTCCGAAGCGAGACGCGCCTGCGCACAGGCCGCGCTAAGGTCCTTGGTCGGCTCGGCGCAGTCAGGCGCTGGCGGCAGCAGGTCTGCCTCGCGGCGAGCCGCTAGCTCCTCGGCTGCCTCGCGCACAGCTTCTAGACCGCCGCTGGCGCGCTCAGAGGTGGCGGCATCGGGCGACGAGGCACGCGAGCCGGCTTGCGAGCGCCTGCTTGAGACAGTGGAGGCGGGACGCGACAAGGCGTGCACCGAAGAACCGGCACGGCGATCGCTCGGACGCCGGCTGGAGATCATGCTCGTGTAGCGCGGCTGCACCTGCGCGCTTGGTACGCTGTGGCTGCCGAGGCCCGGCGGCGCGCATGGCGGCGCCTCGGGCAGCGTGTGCGGCACGGCATCGTCTGCGATCAGCGGCTCGCTCGAGCCGAGAGAGAAGCCGAAGAGCGACGGCGCGCCCCAGGCGTCGTTGCTGCACTCGGTCGAGGTGCGCCGTGATGTGGCGGCCGTCGGCGACGTGGAGGTGTGCGAGCTCGACGAGGCGCCCGAGCCGCTGCTGCCTGGTCCGCCGCGCGAGCCGCGGCGCAGATCAGCCGTGCTGCCGAAGCGCGTCGTGAAGCCGGCAGACGGCGCCGAAGGACGACGCGAAGATGCGGTGCCTACGCTGGCATCGCCGCTGCTGGAGGAGCTGCGAGCGTGGCTGGCGCTCGGCATTGGCGCGCTGTCCCGGCGAGGCGATGCGGCCGTGTGCGAGCGGGTGCGTGGCGCGGCGAGGTGCGAGCCGCTGCCACTGGCCTGCGAGGCAGCTGCCGTGGAAGAGCTGCTGCCGCTGCGGCACGGCTCGGCAGCTGCGACGGACGAGGTGCTGCCGCTGCGGCGTGGCGAGGCCAGCGCCGCCGCGGGCGCGCCGCTCTGGCTGCCGCTGCCGCTGCTGGTGCTCGACGGCTGGCGCGCAAGCAGCGAGCCGAGGTGGCCCGTGAGGAAGTCGTCGGCGGCAGCGACGGCGGCGGCAGAGCCCGAGAGCGGCATGCGAGGGCAGGTGGAGGCGGCGGCGAGGGTCGGTGCAGGTGCAGGCACCAGGAGCAGGCAAGACGAGACGGGGCGATGCGAGGGGTGAAGAGTGGTGCGCGGCGGTGTAGAGGTGGTGGTGGTGTGGAAGCGAGAGTGGCAGGTGGTGGCGGAGAAGAGGTGACGCGGGCTTGAGTGCTTCTGCTGGCCTGGAGAAGCTCGAGAGTGCGCGTCTCGATGCGCCGGCGCTGCCGCGTGCGCTGCTGCCATCGCTGCGCGCGCCGCCCAGCGTTCTGTTTGCCGCGGCGCTGCATGCTGTGTGTCGACGACGCATGCTGCCACGCCACACCTGCGCCCTGCAGCGGCGGCTCGGGTGCGGGCAACGCAGCAGCGAGCGGCAGCCAAGGCGTCGCAGCAAGTGGAGCAGCTGGGCGCGAGGGTCCGCTCTGCTCCGCAGCGGGCGCGGCGCGCGGCGGGCTTTTTCCAGGCGCTGCACCCTGGCGCGATGTCGGCTCGCAGCTGCAGCGTTGCTGCCCTGCGCCTACGTCAGGGCAGCGCGCCTGTCAGCTGCAGTCGCAAGGCGCACCCCTGCCCGCTCGATGCACAGCGGGCGTACCGCACGCACAGCGCCATCGCGACGGGCTCGCCTCATGCTCGCCTCGCCTGCCTTCTCGAGACGCCACCGCTGCAAATAAGGCTCGCCAGCGCCGCAAGCACTCAACTAGCACTCGGCCCCTGGCGCGGCAATGCATGCCGCAGCAGCGCCGTGCAGCGCCGCAGATGATGCGTTCTCTGATGCTGCGCTCGGCAGGTACCGCACGGCCCGTTCGACTGACGAGCTGGATGAGCAGCATCGCCCGTCGCATCGCATGCCGAGCGCAGCAGCAGACGGCGGCACGGCCTCTTTCGCCGCCGAGCCAGCGCAACTGCGGGCGCGGCGATGGCAGCAGCTGCCGCTCTGCATTCTGCGCGGACGGGCGGCAAGGCACGAGGCGCGTGTGCGTGCCGCAGCGGCAACTTGCGGCACCGATGAGGCGGCCCCTAGGGTCCTGCCCCTCCGGATCGCCGGGCGGGCAAAAAGCGGCGCTCCCACGGTCCCCGAGCGCGGCACGTGAGAGGTAAGACGGCGACTCCCGCTGCCCTCCACGCTAGCGGCCCGGCGTTAAGCTGCACGCTGCGCAGGGTACGCCGCTCCACACGCGGCGCAGATCGCTGCCTCTCCTCCACCGCAACAGCAGCGTCCAGCACGCAGGCGGCAGCCTCAAGGTCCAGCAAGGCACACACGCGCCGCGCCTCAGCCGCCGCAGCTGCAAGGATCCGGCGCGCCGCTGCTGCCTCGTCACGCCCTGCCGGACGATGGCAACGCCACTCGCCGACCTGGCGCTGCTCAGCGCCTCGCTCACGCCCGCCGAGTTCCGCTGGCGCGCCACAGGCACGGCGGCGCGCGAGGATGCCGGCGACGGCGGCGCACAGGCGGCGCTGCTGGAGCGCCACCAGGCCGCCGAGGCCGCCGGCGAGCTCGAGAGCGATGCGCAGTGGCCGGCGCTGGCGTGCGCCGTGCGCCTCTGCGCTGAGCCGGACGCGTGGCTGCTTGCCGAGTGGGAGCCGTCGAGTGGAACGGCAGCGTCTACAGAGGCTGCGCCAGCTCCTCGCACGGTCATCTCGGCACCCGATGCGGCGCGCGATGAAAGTCTGAGCCTGGAGATGGTCCTGCGCGAGCGCGAGGCGGAGCGAGAGAACGAAGGTGAGGGTGTGGGCAGGCACCTCCTGTGGTGACGGCAGCGCTGACACTGCGAATGTAGAGGTGCCGTATCCGCTCTTCGACCTCTACTCGCTCCTCACCGCGCACCTGGCGTCGCAGCCGCTGCGTGCCGCTGCTGGCACCGAGGCAACTGCCGAGATTGGGACAGCGGCTGCTGGCGCCAGCAGCACCGCGCAGAAGGAGCAAAGCCGCAGCATGGCCATGCGGCGCGACATCTTCTGGACCCGTGAGCTGCGCTGAAGTCTTTCATTGTTTCCAGCTTAGTTCTCACGCGCGCTGCAGATCATCTCAAGGCGCCATCAAAGCGCCGCGACCTGCAGGCGTGGGCCGCAGAGCTGCACGTGTGGGCCGTGGTGAAGCTCGGGTGAGGGCAAGCGACGTCAAGCGGGGGTGCATCATGAGCTGAACAGGCTGTTCCAGGTATCCAGGCTTCCTGCTATTCGAAGGGCGGGAAGAGGACGTCGACGAGATGTCGCGGCGCATCAAGGTGAGCCCGCAGCCATCCCAGCTGCTTCACTTGCTGATTCGCGGGGGTTAGGCTCTCCAGTGGCATGCTCTTCAGCAGCGGTCGACTGTGCGCTACGAGTATGCCGGCGATGCGGGCTCAGAGAGCGAGACGCTGGCCGCTGCGCTGCGCTCATGCCTGCTTGCCACGCATCATCCCGCACGACGAGCGGACGGCGCCTTGGGACAGGAGCGGACGGGATGCGAGGAGCTCGAGGCGACGAGCGAGGTGGTCAAGCGGTGCGTGGCGCCTGGTGGACTGTGCTGCGCTGTCTGGCGCATTGCAGCTGCTCACCACGTCACCACACAGCTTGCGGACTGCAGGCGTGCCCGAGGAAGAGGTCGTAGACGGCCTGGGCTTGCGCGTCGGCAACGCGGCAAGCGCCGGCTGAGAAGGTCGATGCAAAGAGAGCAAGGCAGCCCTTGCTCTCTCTCCCTCATCGCCAGACGCGCAAGCACACCAAATCTGCGAAGGCAATACTTCATTGCAGCACGCCAGGCGCATACAGTCTGTTCAGATACAGCGAAGAGGTCAGAGCAGAAGCGCAGCGACAGCGGCTTCAGCGCTGGCATGCGCGCGCAACGCTTGACGGCCACCAAGCTGAGGGGTTGTGTGGGTGCACAGAGGCATGAGGGCGACGAAGTGTGGGTATGTGTCGAGGGCAGCGGCTGAAATAAAGACGAGCGAGGAGACGGGCGCAGCGTCGTCGTGAAGGCGAGAAGAAGGCGAGGACATTGCGGGACCGAGTTGTAGAGGAGAATGAGCAAGACGGAGCAGAGCAGCGGGTGCAGAGGCTGCAGCAAGGGCCTACGGACCGCCCTGCTGCTGGCTGGCAGATTCGCCGCCGGTGCCAGTGCCGCTGCCGGACTGGCCCTTAGCGCCGGAGGTGCCGGACTGGTCTTTGTTCGCCGACGCGCCGGACTGCTGCTGCTGCGAGCTGTCCGTGCTGCCCTGCTGCGAGCTATCCGTACTGCTCTGCTGCGAGCTGTCGGTGCCGCCCTGCTTCGGGCTGCCGGCCTCGCTGCCGCTGCTGCCCTGCTGCTCCGTGCCCGGTGCGTCCTGGCCGCTGCTCTGGTCAGTGCCGGGCGCGTCCTGGCTGCCGCTCTGCTGCTCGTCCGTCGGCGGCGGCGGCGACGAGCTCGAGTCGCCGTCCTGCCCCGGCAGCGGCGACTGGCTCGAGCTGTCGGCGCTGCTGCTCGTCGTGCTGCTGCTAGCGTCGCTGGTACGGCTGCTACTGCTCTCGCTCGTCGAGCTGCTCGTCGGCGTGCTCTCCGTCGAGCTGCTGCTGCGCGTGCGCGTGGCGCTGCTATGGCTGCGCGTGCGCGAGGAGCGGCTGCTGCTGCTGCCGGCATTGTTGTTGTCGTTGCCGTTGTTCTCCGGCGGCGGCGGCGCGTCAGTCTCCTGTGCGCCGCCCGGCAGCGACTGTGGCCTCTGCTGCTCCGGCATGCGCGTTGCCGTTGCCTCGGCCGGCACATTCGCCAGGCGAGCCTGCGACGTAGACGCCGCGAGTGCATCAGACTCGACGACATTGCCCGCGTCCTGCGGAGGGCTGGCCAGACCAAAGGCCGTGTCGAAGCCGTTGGCGGGCACGTTGTTGAAGTTGAGCTCCTGCTGCGGCGGCGGGCGCACCTGGCCCGCGGCGACGCAGGCGACGTAGCCGTCGTACAGGTTGCTGCAGTCGATCATGGGGTTGTTGTTGATGAGCATCTCGCGCGAGATGCCGTACTGCGACGCAATGCTGGCGCACGTGTCGTCGCCCTGCACGCGGTGCACGAACTGGCAGTCGTTGCCGTAGCGGCCGAGACAGAGGCGCTGTGCAGCGGCGAAGTGCATCAGCGAGAGAGAGATGGCAGAACGAGTTGAGCTGCTCCATTGTGGACTGCTGAGAGGCACCACGCAGCATTCGCACTCAAGCCCGTCTGGCTACCTCGCAGCTGGCCCCGGGGCGACACACCGGGCGCCATGAGAGGCCGTCGTGCAGCACTCAGCGCGCTCCTTGCCCAGCGAGTGTCGCGCTCCCCTGCACAGCATGCGCTCTCACCGACCAGACCCTCGCACGCATGCGCCGCACCGCGCCCGCAGCACGGCCACGCCAGCCGCTCTACTCACCGCGCCGATGGGCAGGCTGAAGCACTGCGGCCCGCTGAGGATGAGGTTGTTGCTCATCAGCTGGTACGTCGGCGTCCACGTCTTCTGCCCGATGGAGTCGCACGTGTCGCCGGCGACGACGGTGTAGGTGTGCGTGCAGGCCGTGTCGCTGGACGAGAACTGCGCGCCGGCGGGCCGCACGCCCGCGGCCGCGGCGGCGACGGCCAGAAGCGCAGAGACGGCGAGACGCGGCATGGCACGGAGTGCTGCGGGCGGCGGTGGAGAAGCGAAGAGAGGAGACGCGAGAGGAGGCTGCGGCAGGCGTTTGCGCTGACGAGGCGCTGGCGGCAGGTGTGTGCGTCGAGAGGAGCGGGCGAGCGCGCTGCGCTGCGAGTGAGGGTGCAAAGGAGTGTGGGTGGCGCGGGCTGCGGGCGTGGTGCGTGGAGATGGAGCGACGGACAGATGAGGAGTCGGAGAGGAGCACGGAGGCGTGAGAGAGGCGGAGAGAGGAGACGGCGAGAGGAGTCAGGGAGCAGACACAAGGAGCCGCGCCGGCGGGCAGCAGCAGCAGCAAGATGCGCCGCTCGCCCGCAGGCAGCCGACGCTCACGCCGCCCAGGCCACGCGCCTCGGCAGCGGCAGCGGCTCTCATGCGCTGCGCCGCCCGTCCTGCACGAAGATCCGCCGGCGCGAGCAGTGCTCTCCTCGCCCTGACAGACCTCTCTTCCTCAGCGACACCTATGTGTAGCTACAGTCTGGCCCAGACTGCTGCAACGGCCTCTCAGCGGCAGCAGCCGCAGGGCCCGAGGCCGTCGCCCAGCGCAGCGGGTGGAAGTGCCGAGCGCCGGCGACGGGCGGCGGCGGCGCAGAAAGATGCACAGAACGCGCTAGGGGCGCGAGCGGCCGCGGGCACGGGAGCAGTGTGTGTGCGCGCGTGCCTCAGGGGCCGCGACATCAACACGCCGCGCCGGCGGCAGATGCACAGCGGCGCGGCGCAGCGCGACGCCAGCGGAGAGGCGAGAGCGAGCACCGTGCGCCATCTCATCACCTTGAACGAGCCTCTCGCACTCGGTCGTCGCTGCACCGCCTCAGACTGCACACACGGACAACGGCGGCAATGCATTTCTTCGGCTGAGGGTAATGCGGCGCACACGCCCGGCGGGCCGGCCCACGGGAGGGAGGGCACGCCGCGGCGTGCACAAAGAGGGAAACTGGAGAGCGCGGGCGCAGACGGACTGAATGAGAGTAGAGAGTGAAGATTGGTTGGCTGGGGACACGAGAGAAGGCGGCGTGGCTGCTCTGGTATGCTTGAGGTAGGGGTGGGTGGGTGAGGCAGCGCACGCGGAAAGGCGAGATGCGGAGAAGTGAGATGAGAGTGTGGGATCCGAGGGAGCGGCTCAGCCGCGAAGAGGGGTGCTGGAATGGCGGACGTCGCTTCGTCGCCTCAGATGGGCCGCAGAAGTCGATCGGCCGCCTCAGGCAGCCACGCGGCGTGGCCCGCTGCCGAGCTCGCAGCGCTCGAGCAGCGCGTGGTAGAGGAACTTGTAGGCCCACAGGTTGCCCTTCATGCGCCGGATGTCGAGGCTGTACAGGCCGGCCAGGTTCTTGATCTGCGTCACCTCGACGGAGAAGCGCACCTCCTGCCCGCCGTCGACCGACGCCTCGCCGTACAGCGGCTGCGGCGGCGCCGCGGCCTGTGCGGCCGCTGCGGCGTCCTCCTCGGCGCCGGCGAACGACGTGTTCTGCTGGCTGCCGCGCCGCAGGAAGTTGCGGATGCTGCCGCCCGGCCCGCTGCTGGCGCTCGCCGAGGCAAAGCCGCTGCCGGCGCCGCCGCTGATCGACGGCGAGCGCGTGGAGCGCTGCAGGTCCGCCTGCGACGGCGGGAAGACGGAGGTGCGGATGCTCGTGCCGAGGCCCTGCGTGGCGCCGATGAGCGTCTTTGCGCGCTTGCGCCGCACGCACTCGAGCTTGAAGTCCTCCTCGCGCTCCTTGCGCGCCTCGACGCCCATCTCGGCGAGCGCGCGGCGCACCTCAGCAAAGACTTCGTGCGGCGGACGCGACGTCAGCGCAGACTGGTCCACGGCGCCGAGGTGGAAGCGCAGTGTCGGCGGCGGCGCGGGCGGCGCGGGCTGCGGCACGACAGGCGCCAGCGTCGCCTGTGCGGTGCCGTTGACCTGCGACGTCGATGCGCGCGGCGTCGAGAGCTGCGGCTGCTCGTGCAGCTGCACCGTCGAGGCGCCCGTCGACTTGAGCCCGCTAGGCGAAATTGAGAGGTCGCCGATGGACGTGATGCCCGTGGCGTCCGTCGCCTCGCTCGTCTGACTGTGCGTGCCCGACGTGGAGCGCGACGAGGGCACCGACTCCATGCCGCCGCTGTTGCTGTGCGGCACGGTGCTGGCCACCGCCTCGGTCACGACGACCTGTGGCGCGGCGCTCGCCTCGCCCTGTGCCGGCTGTGGCGCCCGCTTGACAGACGCGGCAGTGCTGGGCGCCGGCGATGGCGGTGCCTCGAAGGGACCGAGCGGCGGCTGCTCGTCGAACGTGCCGCGCGACAGGCTCTTCTTGCGGAACCAGTCCATGACCTTCTTGGCGGCGTTGCTCGACGGGCCGACGGTCGACGTGCTGTCGTTGGTGCGGTCGTCGAAGAGTGCGCCGGGCTGGCGGCCAGCCGGCGCGCCGTTGACGCGCGACGAGATGCGCGACGAAGTGCGCTGCGTCTTGATCGAGGCAGTGCCGTTCGGCGAGGTCGGCTGCGGCGCGTTGGCCATCGAGCCGGAGCGCACCGGCGTCTCGGGCCGCTGCAGCGTGTCCTTGCGCGAGCGCGTGGAGCGGCGGCGCTCGGCCTTCGTCGTCTTCTCGGCGCTGGCCTGCTGCGCCTTCTCGCGCTCGCGGCTGGCGGGCGACTGCTCGCCTGGGCGGCCAACGACCAGACTCATTGTCTTGCGGCGGCCGCCGCTGCCGCTGCCCTCCCTCGCGGCCTCCTCCTTGTGCAGCGCGACGGCAGCTGCGCTGGCGGATGGCGGCGGCGCCGGTCCCGACGACGGATCGATGGTTGGCGAGCCAAGCAGGCGGGCGAAGAAGCGGTTGTCCGTCGACATGCCCTTGCGGTGACGCGAGTTGGTGCGCTCGGGCGCAGCAGACGTCGGACGCGCAGAAGGGCTCAGCGGCTTGCTGTCCGGCTTCGGTGCAGCGCCAGTCGAGGCGATGCGGTCGGAGACGCTCTGCGCCGAGGGCAGGGCCGCTGCGGAGGGCGTTGGGTTTGAGGCAGTCCGGTTGGCAGCCACAGACGGCACGCGCGGCGTGGACGACGCGGGTGTCGAGCCTGCGTTGAGGCCCGGGGCAGCCGCGACCTCCGGCACACTCTCCTCAACGGGCGCCTGCGCACTGGCGACAGCCTCGGTTGCCTGCTGCGGAGCCTTGGACGGCCGCCGGCTGCCCGGGCTCTCGCTGTTGACTGCAGCGATGCGCTCCGCGCCTGGCACCACGACCGGCGCGGCCGGAATAACAGCAGGCTCGGGCGCACGCTGCTCGACGCGCGGCAGCGGCGGCGTGGCGCTGACCGGCGCACTGCGCTGCTGCTCCTGTCTCGAGTTGCCGTCGTACTCGAGCTGGATGGTGTGCCGCTGCGTCTTCTGTGCCGACGGTGCCTTCTTCTGTGCGTAGCCATCTGCAGACGGCGTGTCCTGCGCGACAGCCTCGCGCTTGCGGCCCGCAGATGACGGCGCTCCAGAGCGGTGACCGATGGAGCCGAATGACGTGTCCTCCAGGCCGGCACTCATCTGCGGCGTCAGCGTCATCGACGTCGGCGCGACGGGCAGCGGCGGCTCGGCGGCAATGGGCGTCGGGATGCCCGTGACCGGGCGCGAGCGGGCACTGGTCGGCGTCGGCGCGTTGTACGCCACCTCCGAGCGGCTGGCCGTCGTCGTAGCCATCGCACTCTGGTGGCGCTGTGCCTTGGTCGTCGAGGCGTCCGACGGCGTGGCCGTGCCGCGGCGCGCAGCGGCGGCGTGCTGGCGCTGCTGCTCCTGGAGCTGCTGCTGCACCTGCATCTGCTGGCGGTAGATCTGGCGCTTCTTGCTCTGCTGCTCGATGGCGGCGCGCTCCAGCTCGTCGACGCCAAACTTGAACAGGTCGCGATACGGCGCAAGCCAGCTGTGCGCCATGACGCCGTTGAGGTCGGCGCGGCGCAGCGGGTCGGGCACGAGCATCTTGGAGAGCAGGTCGCGCGGCTCGGCGCTGATGTACTCGGGGAAGGAGAGCGGCGTGGCCATGATGTACTTGTACAGCAGGTTGATGTTGTCGCCGTCCGGGTTCGCCGGGTCGTCGTCGAACGGCAGGTAGCCGGCCAGCATGGCGTAGAGGATCACGCCGCACGACCACACATCGACGGCGCTGCCGGCATACAGGCCGTCCTGCACCACGAGCTCGGGCGCGGCGTAGCACGGGCTGCCGCAGCTCGTCGCCATCAGGTCGTCGCGCTTGTCCTCGAAGTTGTTGGCGAAGCCAAAGTCGGTGATGATGACGTTGCGATTGCGGTCCAGCAGCAGGTTCTCGAGCTTGAGATCGCGGTGCACAATCTTCTTCTGGTGCAGGTACGACACGCCCGAGATGAGCTGTGCAAATAGGCGGCACGCGTCGCGCTCCTTGAGGTACTTGTGCGCCAGGATGTGGTCGAAGAGCTCGCCGCCCGACGCATACTCGAGTACAATGCCGATGTAGCGGTCCGACTCGATGACCTCGTACAGACGCACGATGTTCGGGTGGCGCACGTCCTGCGAGGAGTCAGCAGGCGCGCCAATGCAGCGGACGCGGCACGACTCACCTTGAGCACCTGGATCTCGCGCTCCACCTTGCTCATCTTGGCCGGGTCCTTGGGCCCGTTGATGTTGAGCTGGCCGTCGGGCGTGCCGACCTTCTCGCGCTTGATGAGCTTGACGGCGACCTCCTCGCCCCACTCCTTGTGCACGCCGAGCTTGACCTTGCCGAACTCGCCCTCGCCAAGCGTCTGCAGCAGCAGGTACGAGCCAAAGTGCACCTGCTGGCGCCGCGGGTGCGCCGCAAAGTACGAGAGCGCCGCTGGCGACGTGATTGGGATGCCCGAGCTGATGGCGTTGGACGTCGTCGCGTCGAGGCCCGTGCCGCTGGGCGAGATGGGCATTGGCGGCGCGATGGCGCCCGTCGTGTGCGATGCCGAGACGGTCGGGTGCGCCGACGCGCGGCGCTCGTTGTAGCTGGCGCCCGCGTTCATCGACGCCAGCACGCCGGCGTCGTGCGGCATGGCCGCGCTGGGCGCATGGCTGCGCACGGGCGCCGGCATAGCCGAGACGGGGCGGTGGCCGTGCGAGCCGCCGCCGGTGGCGGACTTGCTGGCCGGGTGTGCACCTGCAGAGTGCGGCGCGGCGTACGCGCTGCTCTGCGCGGCGCCAGCGCGCTCGTGCGGCAGCGCATAGCTGGCGTTGTAGGCGCCGCTGCTGTACGCACCGGTGTGGGCGGCGCTGCGCGAGGCCGGCACGGCCGGCGGGCCCATGGAGCCCTTGCCCTGCGGCGCGACGTGCTCCCAGCTCTCGTGGCCGCTGCCGTTTCTGCTGCGCGCGGCCTGCTGCTCAGCGCCAGCGTGGGCCGGCGAGAGCGCGGGCTGAGTGGCGGGCGACATGGCGGGCGCGAGTCGTGGTGGCGCGGACGTGGGGTGCTAGGACTGCGCAGGGTACGACGCAGGGTCACGGCACGCCTTGGGCGAGTCGCACTGGGCGCTGGGCACGACGGCGGGGCGCGGCGGCGGCGGCGCCTCGACGAGGGGCTCGAGCGGCGACGCACTGGGTCCGACCGCGCAGGTGCAGCGGGCGCGGGGCCTACACACACGTGGCGCGCTGGAGGCAGCCGGCAGAGAGCAGCACGGGCCGAAGCACAGAGAGCGATGCAGAAGCGAGCTGGTGCGGGAGGCAAGAGGCAGTGCGGAGAGACGCGCAAGACGGGCGGGTGGCACGCGTCGGTGCTGGAGCGGACACGCGGCGCGGCGGCGGGCGGCGAGGCGCGGGCGAGCGGCGCGAATCGGCGCAGCGGCGGCAGAGGTGGTGGTCCGGAGGCGAGGCGTGGCCGAGGTTGCGCAGCTGTGGGCGGCGGCGGTGGTGGTCAAGAGGGAGCGACGAGCAGCTCGAGGCGGTGCCAGAGCGCCGTGCGCGCACAGCGAGCAGCCGCGCGGGCGCGACCGAGACAGCACCAGCGGCAGCGAGCGCGCCTCTCGCGGCGGCAGCAGCGCGGCGCACGCACGCCGGCAGCAGAAGCACCACGCGCCGCGCCGCGCTGGAGCAACAAAGGCAGGCCGCCCGCCCGCGCGCGCGCGCTGCCCGCTGCATTCTCGCCGTGGCGGCAGAGCCTGTCAGGCGCCGCGCACGCACGCCGCGGCTCCAAGACAGCGCAGCGGATGCGGCAGCCGGCCAGTCTCGCGACACGGGATCCGCTCGCGCCTCGTGCGCCGCAGAGTCGCCGGGCGCTGCGCTGCCGCACACTCACGGCGTGCCGCTCGCTGCTTGCCGCCGGCGCGCCGTCTGTCTTCGCGTGCGCGCCCATCCCCGCGCTGGCGCCGCCCCCCCGTGCTCGCGCCAACGGTGTTGTGTCTCGCCCACGCATCCTTGGGCTTGGTGCGGGAGCGGCGAGCTTGCAGGCGAGACGAGCGAGCCGTGGCGTGCAAGGCGCCTTTCAGGACGGGCGAGCGTGGGTGTTGTGCTCGCCGCAGCAGGCCAGAACTTGAAGCGCTGCTCTCGGCGCAGCCCAGCCGCACACCGCTGCGGCGCCGCGCGGCACCCCTCCTTGCTCTGTTGCACCCGAGGGAAGGGCCCGCGCGGGCGCAGCGCGGCCTTGTCTTGCGCTCGCGGCGCACCTCTCTGCGCCGAAGCTTCGCCTTCGCGCGCTGCGAAGTCAAAAGCACGACGACGTCGGCCGCAGCAGGATCAACACACGCAAGGCGGCGGAGATGCAGCACAGAGGGCGCAGCGCTCTGCAGAGAAGGAACGAGGGGACGGCGGAGTGCGCGGCAGCGGTGCCTGCTGCGCCGACGTGCACTGCAGCGCAGCGGGCAAGCTGGCCAAGCGGACGGCGCAGGCCGCAGTCCTCCTCGCGCCTGAGCAGCAGAGCGAGGTACAGAGAACAGCAGCGCTGTGTTCGTCGCTAATAGAATACGCACATAAGACCCCGTCTCACTTCGAGTGCGGTGCCTGGCACGGCCCTTACTCGTCGCAGATGCCGCGGCTTCGCGCGGCCCAAGACGTCGCAGAGGCGCGAAGATGCTGACTGACGACTCGGCACCCGGCGGGGGCGAGTGAGCTCGTCTTGAGGTCCGCAGCGGGAAGTTGGCCTGTGCCGAGCCGTGCTTGTTGAACACACAAGGCCTGAAGACGAGCTGCGAGCGGGCAGTGTGAGGGGCGCGCCAGGCTCAGCGGTCACCATGCACCGGGACGCCGCAGCAGGGCAGCCGGCTTGACCTTGGCACCCCACGCCTCGTGCTCGCTGGCGCTGCGCTCGGCAGCGTCTCGACGCTGTGAGCCGCTCAGAACTCAGACTTGCGCGATCGACCTTCGAGAGATCATTGCGCCTCGAGGCGCGAGGACGACCGCACCTGAGCGGCTGCCTCTGCCGCAGCACGTCCAAGGGCACTTGATTTTTGCAAAGGCGGCGCTCGGCATGCGGCAGCTGCAGCAAGGGGCTCGCGCGAGCTCAGCTCCGGCGGCAGCGGCAGCGGTGCCCGCCGCCCGCATGTGCTCTGCCGCCGCGTTGTGCCACCACGCTTGGCTCGCTGCCCTCGTGCCTCGCCCACGCCGCGCGAGCTTGTCTGGCCAGTTTGGCCCGCCGCACCGTCGATCATCCGCCGCCGAGCATGAGACAGCAAGCTGCGGCGGCGCCGAGACCGCCGCTGCCGCGCCGCGCCGTGCCTTCGTTCCCGCTCCCTCGCTGCACCTGCGTCTGCACGGCGCTGCGCCCAGCTCGCAGCGGCGTTGGCAGCAAGCGACTGCACCCCGTGCGCACCCGAGCAGCGTCTGCGATCGTCGGTGCTCGACCTCCCCGTCCCAGGCGCTCAGCACCCCAGAATACAGTTCGCAGGCCGCACCCCGCCGCTGTCTTCATGCATCAGCCTGCAATTGATGCTGACCCTTATAGCAGCTTCGCACGGGGGGCGCGGCGTGGTTACGGCGGTGGCTGGGCTTGACTCTCAGCCATGAGAATACAGCCATCGTTGGCAAAGGATGCTCCGCAGAGCGTGTGTGAAGCTCTTCGCAAGCCAGCAGGCCAAGCCTGACGCCGCACCCGCGCGATCCCGATGCGGGCAGCGCGAGCGCGCCGCGGATCACACGCCTGCGTCGCCTCTCACCGCAGAGACAGAGCGTCTCGCCTCCACAGGTGACTGCATCCGAGCGGTGGTGCAGCGCTATCTCGAGGTGCACGATGGCCAGATCTCGCCTGACGCTTGTGCGCATCAGCGGCCCGATGCAGGCCTATCTGATGCCCCGGCGCACGTCCGTCTGCCGCGCGACGGCCCGAAATGGCACCGTGCGCAGCGTGTCAAGTCGACGCCGAGCTGGACAAGCACTCTCTGAACAATGGCAGGCGCCAATGGCATCCCCGATGCAGCCAGGTGCAGAGCAGGAGCGGCTCGCCGTCGCTGCGCTGCGCCATTCGGGGTCACGTGCGCCCATCGGCTGTGTCTTTGGCGCCGGGCCGGGCGGGGCGGCGCAGCAGCGGCGCCGCTTGACGCGTTGCCGTCGTCGCCGCGGAGGCGTGCCCGCGCCCCGTGCCCGTGGCCCCGGCAGTGCCGGCTACGCTCATGCGGCGGTGCCGTCTCCCGGTCGCCAGAGGTAAGGGCACTACGCTGATCTGGAGTGGTGCACCATCGCATCTCGCCATCACATCGCCTCGCCGCGCCTCGCCTCTCCTGTCCTCTCGCCTCGCGCCCCAACGCTCACCTCACGCGTTTCGCGGCACTCGGAAGATCTGCCTCGCCTCGGCTAGCCGGCAGCACGGCACAGCGCCGCCCCGCCCGCCCAACACCGCCGCACGCGCCGCGCGCCGCTCCTTCCCGACAGCCACATGTCTGCCTTTGCCGCCACCGCCATCCGCCGCCTCTCCCAAACACAGCGCATCATGGTGCGTTGGGTGTGTGGCGCACGCACGGCGCACAGCTTGCTCACCCCTCTCGTCGCGCAGTCGCAGATCAACGACGTCTACATCCTCTCGGCCGCGCGCACGCCCGTCGGCTCGTTCAACGGCGCGCTCAAGAAGCTCAGCGCGCCGGCGCTCGGCGTCGTCGCCGTCAAGGCGGCCATCGAGCGCGCGGGCCTCAAGCCCGAGCAGATCGAGGAGGTGTACATGGGCAACGTGCTGCAGGGCAACGTCGGCCAGGCGCCCGCGCGCCAGGTCGTGCTCGGCGCCGGCTGCCCCTACTCGACCGAGGCAACGACGATCAACAAGGTCTGCGCCAGCGGCATGAAGGCCATCAGCCTCGCCGCGCAGAACATCATGCTCGGCCAGCGCGACATCATGGTTGCCGGCGGCATGGAGAGCATGAGCAACGCGCCGTGAGTGAGGTGCAGAGGGCCGAGCAGTGCGGGTGTGGCGAACTGGAACCAGGTGTATGCGTGACACGCGGCTGTGCACAGGCAGTTGCTGTGTCCAAGCTGCGCTTAGCCGGCGGCGAGCGCCTGAGCAGGGCATCTGTGTCGTCGCTGTTTGCGCAGTAGTGCGCGCTGCTGACGCGCACTCGCAGCTACTACGCCCCGCGCGGCGCCACCTTTGGCCACCAGCAGCTGCTTGACGCCATCGTCAAGGACGGCCTGCACGACGTGGAGAACCAGGTGGCGATGGGCAACTGCGCCGAGAACACGGCCAAGGCGCAGTCCATCACGCGCGAGGACCAGGACGCGTACGCCATCGAGTCGTACAAGCGCGCCGCCGACGCCTGGAAGGCCGGCGCGTTCAAGAACGAGATCGCACCCGTCGTGATCGCCGACAAGAAGGGCGACGTGACCGTCTCCGAGGACGAGGAGTACAAGAACGTCAAGCTCGAGAAGATCCCGACGCTGCGCCCCGTCTTCGACAAGAACGGCACCGTCACCGCCGCCAACGCCTCGACGCTCAACGACGGCGCCTCGGCCGTCGTGCTCGCCAGCAAGTCGGCTGCTGACAAGCTCGGCGCCAAGCCGCTGGCCAAGATCATCTGTGGGTGCTGCTTGGTCCTTTCTGCCGCAGCGACGTGCTCACACTTCTCGCAGCCTTTGCCGACGCCGCATGCGCGCCCATCGACTTCCCGATCGCGCCGGCGTACGCCATCCCGGCTGCGCTGAAGCGTGCCGGCCTGGAGATCAAGGACATCGCCCGGTTCGAGATCAACGAGGCCTTCTCCGCCGTCGCCATCGCCAACAACAAGATCCTGGGCCTCGATGCGTCCAAGGTCAACGTGCTCGGCGGCGGTGTGTCGCTCGGCCACCCGATCGGCTCGTCGGGCTGCCGCATTGTCGTGTCGCTCGCCCACCAGCTGCAGCCGGGAGAGTACGGCTGCGCGGGTGTCTGCAACGGTGGCGGCGGTGCTTCGGCCATTGTGAGTCGGCTGCTGGGATGTGGCCTGACGCTTGCTGACACGCGCGGCTTCACAGATCATCCAGCGCATCTAAGCCAGAGTTGTCAGAGGGGAGACGTCGCTGTGAGGGCTCAGACGCATGCTGCACTGAGCCGCAAATTCAAATGCTATTTCTGTCACACCACATTGAACGCCGCGAGCGAGACGCTCAGCAGCAGTGTCGACCAGAGGGGAATCGCAGCTGCGGCAGCTCCGTCGGGGCGAGAAGACGTGGTCGATGCGGAAGCGGCCTGGGACGTGGAGGAAGGCATGATTGTGGCAGAGACGCTGGACGACGTGACCGACGACGAGCTGGCGTCGACCGTCGTGCTGCTCGGCGGCGGCGGGTCGGTGCGTGTCACCGTCGTCGAGGTGATGCTGGTGGAGCGGGTGCTGAGGCCTGCGCGCGTCTCGGGCGACGTAGAGCCGATGTCTGAGCCGACGCCGCTGAAGAGCGTGAAGGTCGGCAGCTGCGGGTTGCTCTGGCGCGCAACGAGCACTTCGCCGGCGCCTGTGGCGCTGGCGGAGTGCGCGTGGCAGACGAGCAGGCACACGGCGAGCCAGAGGATGCTGCGGCGAAGCATGTTGAGCGGCGTTGATGATGGTGGTGAAGCACGCATGAGCATGCCTGCGCAAGAGGTCAAAAGCGCCGCTTCGGGGTCGGCTTCGCTGCGGGGCAATAGCTCCACGCTACGGCGTGCGCTTAGCGCGTCTCGCTCGGCACGGCGTCCTCGCGGCGCGCGGCGCGGCCGCCGGCGCCGGAAATACCCCAGATGCAGGAGGGATGGCGCGCTTCGGCGAGGCGGTGCATACATGACGTTGAATGAGTACAGTACAGAGTGTGAGGGGGAGCGGGGCCGGCGGTATGGAGAGAGGCAAGATTAGACGGCATCCTCGAGGACGAGGCGAGGCACGATCTGGTGAGGCAGGTGTCAGCTGAGAGCCGCCCGGGGTTCAGCGGGTGGGCGTGCTCACTTGCATCGCCATCAGTTCTGTGCAAGAGGATGCTCGTCAGTAGAAGCTGTGCGAGCAGCGCAGGCAACGCGCTCACCGTTGATGAGCAGCTTGGTGGCGTAAGGGATCGTGAGGCTGACAACTTCCTTGCTCGATCGGCAGTACTGCGGGAGGCCGGATGAGCACGGAGCTGGCTTGCGATTCCGCAAGACTCACCTTGCAGTAGCCGTTGTAGCCGATCAGACCGCTGCAGAGGAGACCAGTGAGTACTGTGTTGCTGTCGTTGGTGCTCGCAGACGCACCAGCGCTGGCAGACGTTGACGACAAACGCATCCGAGCTGATCATCAGACGCTCGAGAAGCAGCTGCGTAGCGCCTGAGGCGACAACAAAGCTCGTCAGCTTGCGGCGATTAGCAATGATCCGTGAGACGTACCGTAGCCGATGAGACAGTCACGCTCCATCTCGCCGAGACGCAGACCTCCGTCACGCGATCGACCCTCCGTCGGCTGACGCGTCAGCACGGCACGCGGACCGCGCGCACGAGCGTGCATCTTGTCCATGACCCTGAGGATGGGGCGTCAGCGCTGGTCAGTGAAGCGCACCTCGCTGCACTCACATGTGCTTCAGCTTCTGATAGTAGATCGGGCCGAAGTACACGTAGGCCTCCATCGGCTGGCCCGAGATGCCGCTCTGCAGGAAGTCCTTGCCGGCGTAGCTGTAGCCGTTCTCGATGAGCAGACGCGACATGTCGTCGACCTTGGAGCCGCCGAACGCGGTGCCGTACTGCAGCGAGCCGGTGATGACGCCCGCCTTGCCGGCGAGCAGCTCGATCATCTTGCCGACCGTCATGCGCGACGGGAAGCCGTGCGGGTTCATGATCACGTCGGGGTTGATGCCCTGGTCGGTGAAGGGCATGTCGGCCTGCTCGACGATGAGGCCGCACACGCCCTTCTGCCCGTGGCGCGACGAGAACTTGTCGCCGAGCTCGGGCCGGCGCGTCTGCCGCAGCAGCGTCTTGACAATCGTCTGGTCCTGGTCCGCGTCGGTGATGAGCACCTGATCGACGTACGAGGGCACCTTGCCCTTGTACGTGGCCGCCTGGTTCTTGAACTCGGCACTGGACATGCCGCCGATGGCCGCGGCGCTGTTGTCGTTGGCGTTGGTGGGCACCTGCTTGTTGACGTACACATCCATCTCGTCGATGCGCTCGCCGACGCCTGCAATGCCGTCGGCTTCCAGGGCCGCGTAGCGCTTCGGCTTCTCGCCCGACTCGTCGACCGGCGCGTCTGCGAGGCGGTCGTGCGTGCCGTTGGGATACTTGCGCAGCTGGATCGTCTGTTTCCGCATCACCTGGCAGCGGCCGAAGCCGCGGTCCAGCGACGCCTTGTTGAGCACGAGGGCGTCCTCGATGTCGTAGCCGGAGTAGGACATGACGGCGACCATCGCGTTCTGTCCGGCCGGCAGGCGGTCGTAGCCGATGAGCTCGATGGTCTTGGTCTTGACCATCGGCTTTTGCGGGTACACCATGAGGTAGAGCAGGGTGTCGATGCGGTTGAGCTGCGAGAGTGCTGTCAGCGAAAGGGCCAGATCTGAGCACTGCGATCAGCTCACTTGGTTGTAGGCGATGGCACCGATCGCCTGCTTGCCCATGGCACATTGGTACTGGGCACGGTGGGTCAGACAATGCACTGCGAGCAGCAAAGAGCACGACTGACTGTGTTTCTCGGAGACTGGTTGTGATGCGGCTGCGGAGACGAAGAAGGTGAGCAAAGCTACACGGCGCAGCAACAGGCAACGCACGTAGGGAATAAGGCCAGCGACCGCGCCGAGCAGCGTGAATGGCTCAATCTCCAGATGCGTCGTCACCGGGATGATCTCGCTCTCGTAGAGCGCGATGTACGAGTCGTTCTCCTCATTGACGTCCAGGTATTCGATCAGGCCGTCGGTGAGGAAGTCGTCGAAAGTGCGCGCGCGCGCCTTGAGCTGGCGGATGTGCTCCGACGTGACTTTGCTTTGTCCATTCTCCACGATGATCATGGGCCGGCAGATGCGGCCGCCGTCCGACGCAATGTGCACTGCGCGGTGGTGGCTATTCGTGTAGATGCTCACAAACTCGGAGAAGCGCCCGGCTCGCCGCAGGCGGCGGAAGCTCTGCACGAAGCGCACCGGGAAGCGCGTCACGCCAATGACGCTGCCGTTGATGTACACCACGTACGAGTCGTCGCGGTACAGCTCGGCGCCGGTGATCATGTTGATGTCTGGACAGAGAATCAGCCAGGTGCACGTCACCCTCTGGCCCTGCTGCGCTCACCTTCCACCCCGAGCAGCACGGCAACGTCAAAGATGGGCTTCTCCTCGACGTCGGTCGTGATGTGCGTCATGAGCGCGAGGTTCTTCACCAGGCCGCATGCCTCGCCTTCTGGCGTGTCCGAGGGGCAGAGCATGCCCCACTGACTCGGCTGCAGCGCACGCGGTCCGGAGACCTTGCGCGTCTTCTCGAACTGCGAGCTGATGCGCGTCATCATGCCGAGCGCGGCGATGAATGACAGGCGGCTGAGCACGTGGGTGATGCCGGCGCGCTCCATCTTGAAGCGCTTCAGGCTCCAGTTGCCTGTCGAGATGGCGCGGATGAAGCCCGAGGAGATGGCGTCGCCGTGGAAGCTGAGCTGGTTGTACGCGTCGAACTCGGACGTCCGGTTAGGCTTCTTGAGGATCTTGTCGATGTTCATCTTGAGGTCTTGGTTGAACTTCTTAAACAGGTCCTCGAAAAGCAGCGACAGCAGCTGACCGGCACTGCGCGAGGCAGACGTCAGCTGGTGCGCAGCCCTGCAGCCTCACAGGCACACTCACAGCTCGAGGCGCTTGTTGCCGACGTAGTCGCGGTCATCGACGAGCTTCTCATTCTGCATCGCCATCAGCACGCGGCGCACCATCGTCGCAATGTAGATTGCCTTTGGGCGGAAGTTGAGCTTCTCGACGATGACGTGGGCCATCACGACGTTGGCGAGCACCTCGAGCGCCTCCTCGCTCGGCGGCCGGCGCACTTGCATCGGCCGCCGCGTGACCTTGACGCGCGTGCCCATGTAGTTCAGCGCCTGCAGGCGCGTGAAGACCTTCTGGCGCGAGCACTCCTCGAGGTTGATCGCAAAGATGTCCTTGAACGCCTCGTCGTGGCCTGCCACGAGCTGCAGGATCTCGCGGTCGGACTGGATGCCCATCGCCTTGAAGGCAATGGCGATGGGAATGTCCTCATGCAGCGAATTGTGGCGCAGGTAGATGCGCCCGTTCTTCGTCGCGACGTACGACTTGGACTTGCGCTCGTGCGTCGAGGACGTCACCGAGGCGAGCACGCCGCGCTTGGCATCAGACTCGACGATGATGCGGTTCTTGCTCAGCTGCTCCTGCACGAGAATGACCTTCTCTGTGCCCTTGACGACGAAGTACCCGCCTGGATCGAGCGGGCACTCGTTCATGCGCGCCAGCTCCGCCTCGCTGCGGCCCGTCAGCCAGCACTTGTTGCTGCGCAGCATGATCGGGATCTTGCCGATCAGCACGCCTTTCCGGCGCACGATCTTGTTGCCGCGCGTATACTCCACCGACACGTGGATGGGCGCGCTGTACGTCATGTCGCGCAGACGGCACTCGTGCGGCGTGATGGCCTTGGAGATGCTGTCGGCGTCGTTGCGCTCCGGCGCGCCGACGCTGATGTCCGTGTACTTGAGGAAGAACTTGGGATCGATGTCCGACTATGTGGCAGCGCGATGAGCCAAGACTCGTGCTGTTCAGACAGCGCCTGACTCACGGTGACCTTCTCGTTCGCCTTGATGATCGACTTGAGGTCCTTGTCGACAAAGAAGTTGAACGAGTCGATGCTGCGAGGAGAGTCAGGCGTGCGCAGTAAGCTCCGAAAGCCTGCGCCATCTCACTGTTGTTTGACCAGGCCTTTGACCTGCAGGAAGGCAGGCAGCAGCTCCCACTTGTCCTGAAGTGCGAGGTACGTGTCAGTCAACGCATCGCAAGCGAGCCTCATAGTGGCTGCAGCACGTGTCCGCGAGAGCACATCCTGCGCCGCCTTGCAGATTCCCGAGCGCTTCTGGCGCTCAAGCACTCGCTGCATGGCCGCGCCAAGCTAGGCCACTCAAAGGAACAAACGAGCAGCATCCGCGGATGCATGCTGCCCTTTAGTCCACCAGCGCTCGCATCCGCCCGGACTCACCTCTACAGTCTTGACCGGATCAGTCAGGCCCTTGCCGCCCTTGAGCAGCATCTGCTGCAGGTCCTCCTGCACGCCTGGCCGCGAGAGACCCATCGACTCGGCCATCTCTGCAATGCTGCCGGGCATCTGCGTGACGCCGATGTCTCCCATGATGCTGTCGCCGTCTGCGTCGGCGCGCAGCGGCGGCGGCATCGGCGTGTCGGTCTGCGGCGACGGCGCCGCAGGCAGGCGAGCCATGTAGTCGGCGACAGGCACGTCTTCGTACTCGTCGGCCTGCAGCGCGTCATTGAGCATCGCCTTGCTGCTCGACGAAGTGAAGGCCAGCGTGCCGGGCCCCTTGCCCGAGAAGCGCAGCGTGCTGGCCGAGTCGGGCGCCGGCGCACGTCGCGGCGCAGCGGTGTTGCTGCGGCCGGCCGCACCGGCGGCACTCGTGCCGGCGCCGGCGGCATCGGAGGCGGCGCCGGCGGCATCGGAGGCGGCCGCCTTGCGCTGTGCAGCTTTTGCTCGAGGCATGGCAGCTGATCAGCCAGGAGGCGGGCCGAGAAGGGGAGAGAGCGAGGGCGTGGTGGGAAGAGGAGCGGCGCGCGCGCATCACGGCCACAGGCGCCGCGCATCGGAGCGTGTTGCGCGGCGTGCGGCCGACGAGCGCCGACGGCACTTTTTTTGGCGTGCGGCACGGCAGCCCGACAGCCGAGGCGCATCTTCTCGCCGCGCCCGCTGTCCGTCGTCGCCTCACTTCCATCTCCACACCGCACCACGCAGCACCATGGCATCCGTCTTCAAGGCAGGCACCGCCGCCAGCGAGAAGAAGGGCAAGCGCAAGGCCGCAGACGTCGACGCTGCGGACGTCGGCGCCTCCGCGTCGGCGTCCACGTCGGCCGGCCCGCTGCGCCGCAACAAGCAGCGCACCCTCATCCTGCCCTCGCGCGGCGTCACGATGCGCATGCGCCACCTCGTCAACGACATCGAGTCGCTGCTGCCGCACTCGAAGAAGGGTGCGTGGCGCGCGGGCGCCCCGGCGGCGCGCAGGGTGCCGCCCAGTGCTGACGCTCGCTGCAGACTCGAAGCTCGACTCCAAGTCGGACCTGCACGTCCTCAACGAGCTCGCCGAGCTGAACAACTGCAACGTGCGTCGCTCCACGCGGCGTGTGTGCTGCCAGTGTGCTGACGTCCGCGCACAGAACACGCTCTACTTTGAGGCGCGCAAGCACACCGACCTGTACATGTGGGCCTCCAAGACGCCCAACGGGCCGAGTGCCAAGCTGCACGTGCAGAACATCCACACCATGGACGAGCTCAAGATGACGGGCAACTGCCTCAAGGGCTCGCGACACCTGCTGAGCTTCGACAAGGCGTTTGACGACGTGCCGCACTGGGGCATCATGAAGGAGCTGCTCGGCCAGGTGAGTGTGGCAGCGAAGGGGGCAGGGCGATGGTGGGGTGTGCAGGCAGAGGGCGTGCGATGGGATGTCGGGGCGATGGAAGGTGCACGTCTGCAGAGATACAGGGTGTCTCAGAGATGCACGACAGGCGTCTTGGTGGCTGCTGCTGCCACGGATCAGTCGAGGCTGTGAGCTTGTCGGAGTGGTCCGCGCTGCGCGAGACAAGTATGTGCCTCGCCGCTCGCGAGGCCATGGCGCACTCTGGCATCGAGAGCGCCAAGAGAGCAATCGGCTGGCTTGTGCCTTCAGAGCTGACACGCTGTGCAGGCCTTCGGTGTGCCGCGCACGGCACGGAGATCGAAGCCCTTCATCGACCACGTCTTGACGTTCTCGATCCTCGACGGCAAGATCTGGTTCCGCAACTACCAGATTGTGGCCACCGAGACGGACCCGGGCGCGTCCGCGCTGGCAGCAGCGGCTGCGGCTGCTCAGGAGAAGGCTGGGGGTCGTGTGGCCAAGGGTCGCGCGTCGGCAGGCAAGAAGGGCGAGGAGAAGCCGCCGACGCTGGTCGAGATCGGCCCGCGCTTCGTGCTGACGCCGGTGAGTCGCGGTCCTTGCTCGTAACCACGCCTCCTTGCTGACGACCGGATCACCTGATCAGATCCGCCTGTTCGAGGGCTCGTTTGGCGGTGCGACGCTGTACGAGAACCCAAGTGCGTCGGCTGCTGCTGTGCGTTGCCGGATCGAAGTCAGCTAACCTCGCACCACAGGCTACGTCTCGCCAAACACGATCCGGCACGACGAGCGCGCAAAGAAGGGCCAGAAGTACAAGGAGAAGACGACGGCGGCGCTCACGTTCGAGGCCAAGCGCCGGCGCCTCGAGGAGGAGCGCACGCCCGACGAGCTGGCGCGCGACCGTGTCTTTGCCTGAAGACCCTTGTCGTCGGTCTCCGCCGTCGTATCGTGCAACACATGCCCATTCTCCGCGTGCTCCTTGCAGCGTTGTTTTATGTGGTGCTTCTGTGGATCGTAGCTGCGTCGCGTGACACCCGGCGCGAGGGTGCCGGAGGTGTCGCACGCGGCGGGGCCAGAAGACGGCGGTGATCGATGCCCCCTGAGGCATGCTCAGGCGTGCGACGACGCAGGTCGTCTCGCTCACCGGCACACGTGCTGCCGGGAGTCGGAGACGGGCAGTCCGACTGCGAGCCGAGCAGCGGAGCTGGCATCCACGCACGCCCGTGGCGGGACGCAGATCGACTGAGCGGCCATCGCAGAGCGTGGGTGTGGAATGTTTGCGCTGGTCGGGGCCCGCCGCGCTGCGTCCACGTTGGCCGGCCGCGCTCCGTTGATGCGCGTCTCTGGGTGTTGCGTCGGAGGCGGAGCTGCCACGCGGAGCGGGCCCAGAGCGCACAGTGCGCGCTCCAGGGGTGCGAGGCCGCGTGGCAGGCGTCGCCGACGGCAGGGCAGGATCAGCGCACCGCTGCGCGCGCACTTGACCCGCTGCGTGCTGCGCCGGCGCCTGCACGCCCGCCGCGGACCGGCCGAGGCGCGATCATGCGGCGATGCTCAGACGCAGCGGCTGCCGCTCTGGCCTGGCCCCCTCCCGCTCGCCCCGTGCCGGCAGCCGGCGACCCCCTGGGTTCGCACGCCGGCACTCAACGCGCTGCCGCGACGCGTGTGCGGCTGCGCGCCGACGGCTCGATCTACCGGTCGGCGCGCCTCAGATGCATCTTTCCTGCATGCAAGGAGGTGCCTGCGCTTCTCTGCATGCGCGCCAACACCGTGCAGCGCCGCAGGACTCGTCCCTCCTCGCACGCGCGTCGGTCCGCCGCACGCCAGCATCACCCTGCCGCGTGCCACGGCGACGCAGGCACGGCGACAGCCAAGGGGGGCCGTGGATGGTGCGCCAACAAGATCAGGGTCCGGCGCACGCCCGCAGCACGGCAGCGCCAGCGCCCAGCCGCAGCGTGCCGAGCTGCACGAGCCGTGCGACCGCGGCACTTCCTGGGTCTGTCCCTCGATGTGCTCACACTGCTCCCAGGCCAGAGTTCGGGCCGCTCGTCGCCGCCGCCTCGCGGCTGGACCCTGCTGCTGCTGCTGCTGCGATTCGCCCGTGGCTCGCGAGCGCACGCGCCACACCTTGACTCTTCAGCATCCAGCGCAGGCGCCGCGTCAAGCGAAGAGCGGGCGAAGCACAGGATGACAGGTGATCTGAGCGTGCTCTGGAATGCAGCAGCACAGCAGCCTGTGCTTGCGCTGCACCCTCCGGCGGATGCAAGATGGCGGCCCGGCGCGGCAGCCGGTGGCAACGCTCCGGCCTTGATGATGCGCGCGCGCGCCACCACCACGCGTGTGGGGCGCGCCGTGTGGGTGTGCGGCCGGCCTCGGGCGCCACCGCGCACCCGCTCGGCGAGGGGCTCCTCGGCCTCCGGGGCCCGCGAGCCGGGCGGCGCCAGCACTGAGTTTCCAGGGTCCATCGGCTGCTTGGCCGCAGCGCCCGGACACAGGCAGCGCATGTGCATGCGACGATCTCGGAGGGCGGAGCAGCGCGCGGCACGCGTCTGCCGCCGTCGACGCTGGCCTCCGACGTGCACGCCCGACGCAGGCCGAGCACCCACAGCGCCAGAAGACGCGGCAGCATGTGGGCCGCAGCGAACCCCGCTGCTCCTTGCGTCGAAGAGCATACTGCCGAGCGCTGCATGCTGCCGTGTGCGGGGAGCCGTCGGACACAGAGCGGGACGTCGACGCCGGCGGCGGCGACGGCGACGACGACGAAGAGGACGCGCGTCGGAGCGGGCCCGTCGGAGCGTGTGTGCGTGCTTCTCTCTCTCTCTCTCTCTCTTCGTCGCTGACAGGCCCATCTCGCGGCTGTAGCAGCATATCTCACTCGCGGACGGTTGGCCCGGCCGGCCGTATGCTGCTCGGCGCTGCTGCCCGGCTGCCCTGCGCTGGCGAGACGCAGGGCGCCCGCTGGGCAGCCGTCGGCCAAACGACCTCCTGTAGTCGAGCGCAGGAGCGTTCAGGGTCCGGCCCAGCTCAGCTCAGCACGCCCAACCTTGTGTGCACCTGCGCAGCAGCCTGTGGTCCTTCTGGCGTTCAGCCGCTCAGCCGCTCAGCCCGAGTTGATTTGCAACGTTCCGCGTGCGCATTCGTCCGCGGCGCCGACGGTGGCGGGCGAGCAAGGCAGGGTCGCGGGGAGCTGCGCCTGCGCCTGACTTTGAGCTGCCGCGCCGGCAGAGCGGCGCGCCGCCGCGTACGCCGCGCGCGCGAGGCACACCCGCCGCGCCACACGTTGCTCTGCGCGTGCTCCCGGCGCCCGCGGCCACGCAGCAAGCGGCGGCGCAGGAAGACGGGGCGCCGCCGAGCAGCTCGGCCCAGCACTCAGCCCAACACACGGGGCAAGACGAAGGCACCGCCCAGGCAAGGAGGCAGGCAGCACGCACACAGCACACGGACGACGAAGGCAGGCAGCAGTGTGCATTGCAGGACGCTGGCGCCGTGCCGTGTGCGAGGAAGAGAGGTGTCCGGGGCCCAGCGGGCCCGACATGCGGGTAGACGGGAAGGACACAGAGAGTTGCTACAGGGTGGTATCGAGGCAGCACAGGAATGCAAGGAGTCGGATACAATGTGGGCGAGCGGGCGCGCGGAGGCTGAATGGAGCCGACGAGGAGAGGCGCGGGGGACGCTGGCTGGATAGAGCTGGAGGTAATACGGACAGGGAGACGCGAGAAGGAAGGGTATCGATGGATCACTGCGGGCCGCCGGCGCGCTGCCCGAAGAGGTGGTGCGGGCGCTGGAAGGCCAGCGCCAGGTTGCTGACCTGCCCGCGAGCACGGCGCACGGCCTGCTGCACGGCGGCCTGGTGCTGGTGGTGCTTGGACACGGCGGGCGACGGCGCCGCGCGCCGGCCGGGCATGGTGGCGAAGCGGCTGGTGGTCTCGACAGCCACGGGCGCGGGCGGGGCGACGAAGCTGAACTGGTCGAAGACATCGGCGGCGCGGCTGAAGACGTCGAGGTCGCCGGCGACGGCCGGCTTGGATGCCTGCCGCTCGCCACGGTAGAGGCTCATGTCGTCGGCGCTGAGCCCGGTGCGAGAGGAGCTGGTGCTCGAGGCGACCGAGGCGGTGTCGTCGGCGAGGCCACGCCGGACCTTGCGCGACGTCGGCGACGGCGGCGAGGCGTCGTTGCGGAAGCAGTCGCGGCGCGGCGAGCGCGGGATCTTGACGGCGCCCTCGCACTCGAGCGGCGATTGCTTGGCGATCTTGGCGAACGGCAGCTCGCAGTCGTCGGGCAGCTCGCGCGGACCATAGCCGCCGCCGTTGCGGATGGCCAGCGCGTCGAGGCGGAAGTCGACGTCCATGTGGTCGCCCTTGGCCGGCGGCGCGATCTCGGCGGCGTTGAAGCGCGGCGTCGGCGGCAGGCCGGTGAACGAGGCCGAGCTGCGGCGGCTCGAGGCGCTGAGGCTCGAGCTGTCGGGCGTGCTGTCGCTGTCGCACGCCGACCGTGGCGAGCTGCGGTCCGACGACGTCGGCGAGAGTGGCGGCTGCACGGCCGAGTGGCCGTTGGTCCGCGACGATGGCGTCGAGGACGCCCGGGTGTCGCGGGCGACGGATGCCTCCGAGATCAGAGCACGCCGCACGGTGCCGGGCTGCGCAGCAATAGGGTGCTGGGCCCAGTCGACCTCGCACGACGGCTGGCGCGAGACCTGCGACGGCTGCTCGACGTGCACGGCGTCGAACGACGTCTCGCCGACCTCGCTCCAGTTGTCGTAGTCGTCGTAGACGTCCTCGTCCTCCTCCTCGTCGAGGTCGAGTGCCTGAGCGAAGCCGTTGGCCGGCGTCCGCAGGTACTCCTGCTCGCGCAGGGCGGCTTCGGCCTCGGCCTGGCGCTGCTGCTGCTGCTGCTCGAGCGCCCGGGCGTTCTGCTGGGCGTGCGTGAGAGCACGAGCGCGGTCGGCGGCCACGCGGGCGGCCTCCTGGCGCGAGGCCATCTCGGCGTGCGTGGCGGTGAAGCGGGTGATGTTCTCGACCATCTTGCGCAGCTCGGCCACCGAGCAGCGCCAGTCCTCGCGCACCGTGAAGACACGCTTGAGCAGCTCGTTGGTCTCGTCGGAGATGGGCAGGATGTCTTGGAGGAAGTTGGGGTTGCGCAGGTACTCGCGGAACGTCTCGTCGGCCGGGCACGCCTGCTTCCACGGGTTGCGGCCGCAGACGAGGTTGACGAGGATGACGCCGAGCGACCACACGTCGTTGGCGGCCGTGTCGTAGCGCGCGAGGCGCGTCGTGATGCCGCCCTGGCACTCGGGGCCCATGTAGAACGTGCTGCCGCAGCCAAAGTCGGAGCTGTCGCGGTCGCCGGTGGCCAGGCCAAAGTCGGCGAGGACGACGCGGGCGCCGTCCTGCAGGCAGAGGATGTTCTCGGGCTTGAGGTCGCGGTGGTAGATGCCGTACGTGTGGCAGTACTGCACGGCGTCGAGGATCTGGAAGAAGACGCTCTTGACCATCTTGTCCATCTCGACGCGCTCGCGCCAGTAGGCCGGGTCCTCGCCGTCGAAGACGTCGGCGACGGCGGCGTCCTGCGACGGCGAGCGCGAGCGCGACGACTTGCTCTTGATGGCCGGCGGCTGTGCCACGGCGTAGCGTTGCCGCTCGGTGATCATGCTGAAGAGGTCGCCGTCGGGGCAGTAGTCCATGATGACGTAGACGCACGGGTCGTCGTCGGTGTCGATGACGCGGTGCAGCGTCACGACGGACGGGTGCTGCGAGGCGAGGGCGTGGAGGGTGATCTCGCGGCGCTGGAAGGTGCGTTGCCGCTCGTCGAGGCCGACCTTGTTGAGGCACTTGACGGCGTAGTAGCCGCTGGCCGCGGCGCCGTGCGACGACGCGAGCGCCGTGGGCAGCGAGTCGCCGCTGCGCGACGACGAGGCGTACGGCTGCTGGTGCAGCGGGTGCTGCAGGTCGCGCGCCAGGTACACGACGCCGTACGCGCCGAGGCCGAGCACCGAGACGAGCTCGAGGCGCCCGTCGGCGATGCAGTGGCCGAGCATGTTCTTGTGCTGTTGCTGGTTGGGCGCGCTCATGGTGGGCCGCGCCGGTGGTGGTCCGGAGGAGAGAAGGTGGGGTCGCAGCTGGCCGGTGCCGGTGCGAGGGTGCCTTTATGAGGCGGCGAGAGGGGGTGATCCGTCGAGCCCGGGTGTGGGCGAGGATGCGGTGCGAATGCGGGCACGGACAGGGGCCGGCGGCGGAGGCTTTCGCGCGGGAGCGTGTGGGCGCGTGCGGCGGGGCGCGCGCGTGTGGATCGGCCAAAAAATCGGCACTCGGAGGCAGGTGCAGGTGGAGCAGGCGGCGCGCAGACGGGCACAGAGACGGGTCCGGAGAGAGGGCGAGAGAGAGGGTGCGCAGGCGGAAGCAGACGCAACGAGGAGCGGCTGCGAGGAGATGGAGAGGCGGCGGTGGTGGTGGTGGTGGTGGTGCTCGGAAGGGTGTGCGAGAGCCGGCGGCCTGCGATGGCAGCGTGCCATACATATGGGGGCCGGAGGCTGCGCAAAGGCGGCGTGGGCGCGGCGGCGTGGGCGCCGCATCAGGGAGCAGCGCGGGCGGAGCTTCACGCAGGGCAGGGCGAGGTGCGCCTCTGCTGAGCAAGCGGGCGGCGCGGGACCGTGGCGCTGTGCCGCTGCCGCTGGCCGCGCCGCATTGCCGCGAGTTGCAGCGCAGGAGCTGCGATTGCTGCAATGGCTGCATGCAGCGATCGAGGGATCGATGGCTCGCGGCGGCGCGGCGCCAGTGTCGCCGCACACGGGCGTGCTGCAGGCGGCGCCGGCGCATCGCAGCTGCCTGCACGCGGCGGCGGAGCGGAAGCACCACCGCACGGCAAGCAGCAGCATGAGGCCGCCGCACGCTCAGAACACGGCAGCAGCGCAGCCTGCGGCCTCCGCCGGCAGGGGTGGCGTGGCAGAATGCGGCCCGCCCAGCGGCGCGGCTGCTTCCACGGCAGAGCAAGAGCAGCCTCGGCCTCGCCGCAGGAGCAGGCTCCTCTCGCCGGCCTCCCTGCCTCGAGCCCTTGGCCGCTGGGCGCCCCGCGCTTGCCCAGCAGGCAGCGTCGATGGGCGCGGCGCGGCGCGGCGCAACGCCGCCCAGCAGCCCCTCTCGCGCGCGCGCCCTGATCTGGGGCGCGGCCGCCCACGCGCCGAGCAGCCACTGGCCTGTCAGCAGAAGAGAGTCGCAGAGCAGAGCGCAGCCTGGCGCAGACGCAGACGCAGCGCGGCCCCGGCATGCGCAGGCGGAGCCGCCCGGCGACGCGACGCCCCCTGCACCTGGGCTGGCCCGCACACGCGACGCGCCCGAGCCGGACGTCCATCGCAGGGACGACATCACACCCGGCCCTGGGCGCTGCAATGCATGCCTGCAGGCTGAGATGCTCGGACGTCCATCGAGCATTCCCCTGTCTGTACCCCAGCGACGAGATCCCCGCGGCCGCGCTGGCGTCAGCACTGCTGCCGATCCGCAGCTCCACCTGCCATCCTGCTGCTCGACGTGGGCCGTCCGAGCCTCCGAACACGCGCGCGCTCGACGTCACGCGCACGGCGATCCTCGCTGCTCGCACATGCCATTTGATAAGTCGCTGAGCAGCGCCGGCTCCACTAGCCACCTGCGATCCCGAGAATGCCAGCCGTTGAGCGAGGCGTGGCAGCGTAGTCGCCGAGCGCTCGGGCGCCGGCACCGACAGCTCCCGCCCTGTCCGCCGCGCCGTTCGTGTGAGGCGCAAGGCGATGCTCGGGCTCGGCGTCGGCGTCGGCGCTGGCGCTCTGCTGCTGGTCTCACTGGGCGGAGGCGAGCCGACGTGAGACGGCGTGGCGTCCGCCGGGTGCGGCGCGCGATGATGCCAGCGCCGCACGCGTCGATCTGCAGCGCCCATCGCCGCATGCATCCCGCGTGGGCGCCGCCTCCGCCTCCGCCTTCCATGCTTCTCTCGGCGTGCGAGGCGGCGTGATCACTCGGCCATACCAGCCCCGTGCTGAGCCACACGCCGGCCAGCGCAGAGCAGCTTGCGGCAAGCCCCGGGAGTTGAAGACGCCGGGGGGGGGGGCCACAAACGAGCGAGGACGCCGCAGGCGTTGGCGAGGCGCGCAAGGGGACCGGGGTGCGGCGACAGAATTAAGAGTAGAATCCAGAATCTGGAGCTTCATGCTGCGGCGAGGCCGCAGCGCGCGGCGATCACCGCGCCAGGGGGTGCCAGGTTCGCCGCGGGCGTGAGCGAGGTTGTACGCTGCGCTGCATGCCATGCTGGGTGTTGGATGCTGTCGCTGCTGCACGCGCGTGCCACGTCGCACCTCGGGCCGCAGCGAGCCAAGCCCGAGACCGTCTCGCCGCCACGCACGGAGCTGCGACGGACCGCCAAGCAGCAGCGCGCGCAGGGACCGCAAGAGGCAGCACGCAGCATCCTCGCACGCCCGTCGGACCCGCAAAGGGGGGCTGCGCTCAGAGCGGATGCCTGCATCTGCCGCAGCCACACTTCATGGCGCTGCCGACACGTCGGAGCCGCGCGTGTGCTGGCAGTGGATCCGGGCGCCGGGCGGGCGGAGCGTTGGGGAGCGACGAGCACGCTTGCACGCATGCGTGGGCGCGATGGCGCGGCGCCTGGCGGAGCGCGGCGCCGGCGCTGCAGCTGGCGCTGCGCTCTGGCGTTGCGCACCTGCAGCATGAGCCTGTTGGGCCTTCGGTGCAGCAGCGGGGCGTGGGCAGTGCGCTGCTGCGGCTGCGGCTGGGCGTCGCATCAGGGCGATGGCCCGAGTTCCTGCAGCCGCAGCGCAGGCCACTCCGCCGCGCCCAGCACCAAGGCACACCGCAAGCGGCGCACGCGGAGCCGGCTGCGTGGCTGGCGCTGCATCGCCGCGCCCGCCGCGCGCCAAACGCGGCGCAGCGCCACGTCGCACGCGCGGCGGTACGCCGGGCCTCCCGCAGCGTGCAGTGCGTCGCTCGCTTCCTGTGGGAACAGAGGCGTCGGCCCGGCCCTGAGCGCCCGCCAGAGCTGCTCCACCAGGCCGACTCGTGCCACAGGGCGCAGCAAACCTTCCCACGTCGACTGCGATCGTCGTCGCAGCGCATTCCTCGCGGCGCCGTGCTGCTGGATGGCCCCCGGCTGGAGCTCGCCCGATCGCCGCGCCCAGCCCCTCGCACCGTGGGCAAGACGCACGGCCAGGCGCCAGCACACACCGCCGTTGGCACGCCGATCGAGCCTCGAGCAGTTCGCATTTGCGAGGGGTGCCTTTGTGGATCAACGGCGGCGTCCTCGGCGCCGGTGAGCTGCGCGAGCGGACACAGAGATCGAAGTTCGAAGGTGGTGCTGCCGTAGCTCGGCACCGCTGTGCGGCGCATGCGCTAGCTCTGCGGTCCTGCGTCCTACGTGGCTGCTGCGCTACTGCAGAGCGGCATGGTGTTGTTGGGTGGATATCTGCCGCCGAACTCGCAGCTCGAGCATGCGCATGGTGCCAGGCGGAATGGAGCTCGCCGCACAGAGGCGCCCTCCTGCTCGCGGCGACGTCGTCCACGCGCAGGCCCCTCGCGGTCCGCGATCGGCGTCACGCAGACGCAGCTCAGCTTCCGCCGAAGCGTGCAGGTTGCGCCGCAGCTCTTCGGCTAATTGAGCTGCACGATCTCGAAATTCGCAGCTTGGTGCCTTGGTTCGCTGCCGGGCGCTGCACCCTGCAAGGAGCTCAGAGATGGTGTCATGCGCGCCGGCGCGCTAGCCGGCGCAGGCGTCCGGGAGCGCCAAGACGCGCCGGCAGCCGGCCACCGTCGGCGAGGCGACAGCGAGCACGCGTGTTGCTCTCGCTCGCGCGCGCATGAGCGTGACCCTTGCAGGCCGACAGCGCTAGCGCTGGGAGCAGAGCCGGTACGATTCGCGCGTGCAGCGCAGCGCATGCAGCTGGGTGTGTAGCGGGGCGACGACGCTTCTTCCGCCCGCCGTACCGCCGATCGACGCCAAGGGTGCGCAAGCGGCACGCGGCGCAGCGTCCCAGGGCGCCGCCGAGGAGACGGCGGCGGCAGAGGGCGGCGGGAGCAGCGCCAGAAGGCCTGGTCGCCTCGCAGTCGGCGTGGATGCACGCACGTGCAGCACCGTCGCGCGTCCACATGGCGCGCTAGCCCAGCCTCACGCAGCCCGCAGAGGCCATTCGCATCCCGACGGGGAGAGAAAAAGACGAGCGAGCGCGAACCTGCGCTCTGCGGCGCTGGGCTGCATCGTGACCATGCGGCCTCGGAGATGAAATCGGAACGATCCAGGCAGCCGGCGTTGGGCACTCCTCGAGCAGGAACACAGCGCCGGCGAAGCTCCGCCCACGATGCGCTCCCACGTTCGGCACGGCATGCCGGACCCCGTGGCCTTCATGTTGCGCTCGCCGAAGGCTGGTGCTGGCTTCGCAAGGTCCGCGCTGCACCTGGGCCACCCTCAGGGCAGCACAGACGAGTCCCGTGGACGAGGCAGGCGCGTACAAACCGGGCGCAGGCGAAGGCCTAGATCTGCAGAAGCGCGGCAGTACGCGCCCTTGACATGCCCATGGCCGCGGCCTGCTCGAGGCACGCGCCCGTCAGATGCCGCGGGCTGCCCGCCGCCTCGCCGGCACCTCGTCGACGGCGCGCAGCGGTGCCGAGCGCCCCGGCATCGCCGGTGGAACCGACGATACAGCATGATGGCGCGGAGCTGGGTGCGTGGGTGCGCTGGGCTCGGGGCGCCGCTGCGGGCCCACGCAGACTCCGCCAGGCGGCGGCCAGGCGGGCTTCGCCGCCGCCGCCGCCGCAGCAGCAGCATGCAGCGTCCAGCAGCGCGAGCAGCAGCACAGCATGCAGCATGCAACACAGCCCAGAGCAGCGGCACGCCAAGGGTGCGTCTCGGGCGAGGCGACACCGCAGCCGCTGCGGCTGCCGCCTGCAGCGCGTTGCCTTGCTTCGAGCTCCGCCGCCGTTCGGCGCGGGCCACGCGCGCACTACGCGCGGCGTAGAAGCACAGCCGCAGCAGCAGTGGCTGAACGCACACCTTCGCTTCCCGGGCCCGCCGCCCTGCGCCGCAACGTCAGGGCCGCAGCCGCAGCCGCAGCAGCACCCAAAGCGCAGGGGCGCACCGCAACGCACGCCTGCATTCTGCGGACGACTCCGACGCATAGGCAGCTTTCGGCGCTCTCCCACGCCACGTTGCGCTCCTCGGCGCGCACTCACTGCAGGGCAACATCGGACTCATCTTGCATGGCGCGATGCGGATGCGGCACGATGTGCCCAACGTGCGCGCGGCGCGCCTCCTCCGACCTCCGGCTTGCTCTCTGCGCGCTGGCGGCCGGCAGCCCCTCGGTCGTCGTCCTCTGGCCCGAGCGGCTCGAGGACCCTGCGTGTCCCGTACGGGTCGCCTGCGCTGGCTTTGCTGGGCAAGTCAGGCGAGGGGCTGCAGAGGTGCGCCGCCGCCACTTTGAGGGGTCGCTCCCGCGTCTGCGCCACAGCGTTCAGCATGCAGCGCCGCAAGCTGCAGCCGTGCCTTAACGGCGTGGCAAGGATTCGGCCGCAACGATCGTGGAAGCAAGAGCATTCTGCCGCGGCGTCGGTCGATAGAGCGTGCGCCCGAGCGGCAAGATGGGGGGCGGATCCGAGCTGCTCAGCGCCGAGCGGCCGATGCTTGCTGCATGGTGGCTGCGGCTTTGCAGGCTGCGCCACCTCCTCGAGCGCCGTACTTGCCCTCGGAAACGCGCCGATGAGTCAGCCCAAAAGCCGTTGCGCGGCCGTTCGGACAGGAATAGCAACAGGAATGGACCCTGGAGGCCCTGCATGTCCCATAGCGTGTGCTTCGCGCCCGGCCGCGGCCCCGAGAGACGGGCCCAGGCGACTCTTGCGCGCCGTTGGCGAGGATGCAGGGTCGAGCAGCGGAGGTCGCGAGACATGCCTCGGAGGCGTAGCCCTGCGTCCCGAACAGTCGTGTGCCCTGCGCGCAAGCTTTCGCTGCCTTCACCCCTGACGCTCGAACGGCGCCGGCACTGGCCACTGCAGCGACGGGACACGGACGAGTTGAGCTTGCGGCCAGTGCGTTCACGGCGCCTGACTCACCATTGCATCTCCAAACTTGCGCATCTCCTCGCGCACGTCAACTCCGTTCTCGAGATCGTCATTCAGCTGAGTACAGCGTTGCATCAGCCGCTGCAGGGCCCATATGCAGGGGCTCTGCGGAGGCTTACGCAGAGGAATGCCAGCCGTTCGTGTTTCAAGAGCTCCAGGGTGCTTCTGGCCTGCTCCACGCTCTCCATACGTACGAGTCTTGTTGGCGAGTCTCCAATGACTGTAGCCGCCGCATGAGCGTCGTTCCCGCTGCTCTTCGTCGCGAGTCTCACCGTAAGTGTAGCGCTGCAGCAGCCGCATGGCAAAGTCTCGCTGGGAACGACCGGCCCAGCCGGTCGCGTTCGCTACCGAATCCGCGGCAAACAGTGCAGCCTGCTCGGTCGAGCGGACCCGACGCATCTGCGGCAGATGCGCAACGCTAGGCTGCCGATCTGTGCCTGCGCCGGGAAAGCGTTGCTCTGGCGCTGGCAGGAAGGCCTCGAGGCCAAGCTGCCCGCTTCTCTGCACCAAGTGTGTGACGACTGGGCTGGGCGTCAGTCTGCGTCCCGCGACGAGCCCCTGGCGGTACGCACGACAGTCTCCGCAGTGCGGAGAGCCAAAGGCGAAGCGCTGAAAGAGCACTGTTGCGCTCACGGACGCAGGAAGGGTCCCGTCGTGCGGCAAGTCCATGCAGTGGCTCAAGTCGAGACTGCAAGGAGACCGCTTTGCCTGAGGATCGAAGCGCCATTCCTTCCGCGGCTTCGTCGCAGCGTCGCGAACGTAGTCGGGCCAGGGCTCTGGCCAGGGGGCAGCCACCGCTGTGCGCATGCTTGCCGTCGAGAGCGGCGTGCGCTCCTGAAAGAATGGCTAGCAGTCGTTGGGTGAGCTGGCTGGCGAACACTTGCAGCCACGATCCGGCCAGTACACACCGTAAGTCGCGTGAAGGGATAGCCGTCGTTCGACGAGAACTGAATCACTGTTGCCAGTGGATCCTCGCCGAGGCCCGCACTGCGGACCAGCGTCGCATAGCGGCTGCCCGCGAGCGTGCTGCGCCAGGGAAAGCGGACATCGACGCGCAGTCGCCGGTCCTCAACCTTGAGGGCACGCGGAATGATCCTCGAAGTGGGTGCGCCCATCTGTGCCAGTGCCGAGCGCAGCTCGCTTGCATCTAGGAGGCCATCACCGTTGATGTCCAATCGTAGGACCAAGAAGGACCACTGTACATGCGTGAGTCACCACAGAGGGCAAGGATAGCCGCAATACTGACCAGCAGGGCTTGCCGATGCAGCTCGATGAGGGCGTGATGGTGCAGATGCTGGATGGCGATGTTGGCGTCCCGCGACAGCTGGCGGAAGCGGCTCAGTCCCAGCCGCTCAAATTCTTCTCCCCACGTCAAGCGCAGCTCCGCCAGCATTGGCGTCAGGAAGATGCGCTGCGTGTGTGAGACCCACGGTCGGATGCTCGTGCCGAAGCGCTCGTCGAGCAGCCAGCCGGCATACTGCAGGCCAGGCCATTCGCCTGTCTGGCCGGAGCCGGGATACTGGACGCCTCCGACACCCAGCTGAGGCTGAAAGCGCAGCACCGGTCCGAAGAGCGGCGTCGATATGTCGCTGAGGCGCATGGGCGTCATAACGAACATGTCGTCGCTGCCGAGCTGGTGAGCAAGGTGCATCCCAACGAAGATTCTGACTCACTTGGCGTAGAGCTACGACGGGCACAGGTCAGTGGTACATCACGACTTGGCTGGAGCGAGCCTGCTCACCAGCTGCTCGCTTGTTCCTTGGTGTCGCCCTAGCATGGCCTCGACAGCTTGTGAGTTGAAAGTGGGCAGCGCTTCGCGGCGCCATGCAGCCCGCTCGTCTTGCGCGATACTTCCGAGAGCTTTCGACGGCGGATAGAAGAGCTGAGAGTCTGGTTGCATGTATGAGCACCATGGCCTCGCTCGCGTCGCACGCTGGTCTCACCATGCATCAGCCTGACCTTGCAGTCAGAAGTAGGCTGCGCACATGTGAGCGAGCTGTTGATGTCCAGCCAGGCAGGCAGCTGGCCCTCTCTGACTTCGCCGTTCTCGAGCACGAAGCGATGCGTCGGCTGGCCGGCGTCGGCCTCGCTCGGAAGAACCGAATTTGCGGCCGCGGCGGGCTGCTCGACACCGACGAGCTCAGCCGGCTGCTCCTGGGCGGGCGCTGCGAAGTCGGGCATGACGATGTGGATCGCGCCGAGATCGAGCAGGTGCTGATGTGCTGAGCGGACGGCATAGCGCAGCTCGTCGTTGTCGCGATATCGGTTCTCGGTGTCCTCCACGCGCAGCTTCTCCGTCGAGGAGGCCGCCGCTGTCGCTACGCTCGCCACCTCGTCCGTCTCTGTCCGCCACTGCTCCCAGTGACCCGTCGGGCGCAGAACATGTAGTCGTCTCGCCGCACGGTGCCGAGGATCGCTGCCGTTGACGGCCGTGAAGAGCACGTCGTGTTGTCGCCCCAAGCGGCGCGCGGCATCGAGCGCGGCGTCTCCTGCAGAAGGCGCCTCCGCGGCCCAGCTGAGCTCGCGGCACGCCTCGCCGCGTGCCACCCATGCCTCGAGGCAGCCGTCCAGCAGCAGCGGGGCATGTATGCGCATCTCTGGCAGCTGTTCGCGCTCACCAGAGATTTGTTTGAGCGCAATTGACGGCGCATGCCACAGCCCGGTGTCTTGGGCTGGCAAGACATCGGGAAGCGGCGGCGGAGTTTGCTGATTTGACGCGTCGTTGGGCGTGACATCGGGCGCCGGCCGGCGCATCCGCTGCTCAGCGCCGCCTGGCTGATCATCTGCGGGCGTGTTTCTGCGCAATATCTGCAGAGACGTGGCCAGAAGGCAGGCGAACAGAAGCACGGCGATGAGACGGGAGCGTCGTGGCAGCCGGGCGCCGACGGCTGCCTGCTTGGAGGTACTCGGCAGCATGCTGCACCTCGAGGCGCGCGCAAGACCGCGCCGGTCTCTGTGTGCCACCACACGCCGTGGCCGAGGCGAAGGAGCTCCGTGCTCCTCAGCTGCAGGCGAGAAGAGGGGTGTGGCGGTCATGGAGCAGAAGGCAGCTCGACGTCTCCGGGCCTGCGCTGCTGATGAGGCGCTGTGTGCCAAGAGGGGCAGGGCCTCGGCACAGGGTGCACTGGCCGCTGTCACGTGCGCGGGGTGGAGGCGGGCTGGCGGGGGCAGGCCGCCTGTGTGCGCGCGCGCATTCTATTTCTTCCTGCTGGCCGTGCGCAGACACGCACGAAGCACAGCCTCTGCCGAGCAGCGGCAGCACCAGCCACCTTCTCCACCCTCACGCTCCACTGCACACCATGTTCAAGAAGCCGCCGACGATCAAGCCGTCGACGCTGCTGCGCTCGTCGAACCGGCGCGCCCTCATCGCGCAGCTGCAGAGCCAGTACCCGGCCTTTGCCGCCGCCCCGCCCGAGCTCGTCCTCGCCCTCGTGCCCGAGACGATCCGCAACGGCAATGCCAGCACGAGCGCCGAGGACAAGGCCGTCATCTACACCGACGACAACGGGCGCCCGCTCTGGTTCGAGGTCGGCAACACCGCCGGCAAGGGCGCCGAGAAGGCGGGCAAGGGCAAGGGGCAGGCCAAGGTCGAGGTGATCCCGACGAGTGAGTCGAGCGTGAGCAGTCCACGCGTCGCATGCTCACCGCCGCCGCAGTCTACGCACTCTGGCTGCTGCCGACGCTGCTGCCGCGCATCCCGACCGAGGCCAAGCTGCTGGCGTCGCCCGACTCGGCGCTCATGTCCGGCTCGTCGCTCATGGTGCCCGGCCTGCTACCGCCGCCCAACACGTACCCCGAGTCGTCGGGTCCGCCGCCCAAGACCAACGACTTCATCGCCATCACCGCGCCCGACTCGGACGTGCCGCTCGTCGTGGGCCGCGCCGAGATGGACGTCGCGGAGATGGTGACGCGTCGCGCGCAGGGCGAGAAGGGCAAGGCGATCCGCATCCTCCACACCTACTGGGACGAGCTGTGGACGATGGGCGGCAAGGGCGCGCCGCCAGGGCAGGACGCGCTGCCCGACATGGCGTCGCTGAGCGTGCAGGACGGCGACGCGCCGGCTGCCGAGGCCGCCGAGCCTGCTGCCGAGACGGTGGCGCAGCCGGACACCGCCGCCGACATCCTTGCCGACCTGCTGAGCGGCGACGGCGACGCCGCGCCGGAAGCAGCGTCGTCTGCCACACTAGAGACGGAGGAGGTGGACGCGCTCCTGACGCTCGCGCTGCTTAGCGCCATCAAGCTCAGCCCGCCGGAGGAGCTGCCGGTCGACGCCAGCACGTTCTACTCGAGCCATGTCCTCCCGAACCGGCCGGCCACCTGGCCGCCGGCGCCGCGGGAAGAGGGCGCTGAGGCGTCGTGGACGGGTGTCAACGCCAAGCGCGATCGCATCCCTGTCGGTGCGGACGCCGATGTGCGGAAGAGCTCGGCGAAGAAGCTGGCCAAGTGGATCAAGAACGCGTGAGTGCTGCGGGCCTATGCTGCTCACTGCACGCTGACAATAGCGCGTCTGGCAGCGAGCGAGACGGCCTGGTCAAGACCAAGGATGTCAAGGGCAAGGTCTTCATTCACGAGCTCATGACGGGCCACGCCGAGTGAGTCCGGCGCGTCGAAGTGATCGGTGCGATTTTCTGACCGCAGGTCCACAGCGTGCAATCGTTCGTGCCGTTCCACACGATGGTCTCGGTCTCTGAGGCGGCCGCGGATGCAGCTGCAGACGCCGCAGATGCAGAGAAGGCGTCCGCCCAGGCGACCGGCGACGCCGCTGGTGCGTCGGACGAAGGCAGCAGCGGACAGCTGCGCACCGTCGTGGAGCGCTTCTGGCTGCCGGCCAACCAGGGCGTCAAGCTCTTCCAGGGCGCTGGCTACCCGTGAGTGCGCCGCAGCATGAGCTACGTCGCAGTGCTGACATGTACGCTAGCACGTCGGTGCCGAGCTCGCGGCCGACGATCCGTGCCATGCTCAACGACTACGTGACGAAGAACCAGCTGCAGGACGGCCGGCAAAAGACGCACGTGCGGCTCAACGACACGATCCTCGTCAGCGCCCTGTTCCCCAAGGTAGCCTCGGCGGACGTGCCGGGCACGATGCCGCGCGACGCGCTCGTCGACAAGCTCATCGCCGTGTCGTGCCAGGAGCACCACCGCGTGAGCCGGCTGAAGCCGGCGCGTGCGCTGCGTGCCGAGAAGATCAACCTCGAGGGCGGCGCCGACATGGAGCTCGAGGCGGGCGAGGTGCGCGGCCCGATGCGCAAGGGCGGCCCGTCGCCGATCCACATCGAGGTGAAGCAGCGGCAGGGCAAGAAGGTCGTCACGCTCGTCACGGGCCTCGAGAGCTTCGGCATCGAGCCCAAGGACCTCGCCGGCGAGTGCAAGCGCAAGATGGGTGCCAGCAGCAGCGGTGAGTGGCCTTCGCCGTCGAGAATGGCGCATTCGCTGACACGCGCTTCTCAGTCACGCCGCTGCCCACGAGCTCGGCAAAGAACCCGCTCTTCGAGGTGCTCATTCAGGGCGACCAGCGCAAGGGCCTCGGCGAGATCCTGACGGGCACGCATGGCATCGAGTCGCGGCTCATCAAGATCGAGGAGGGCAAGGCGAAGAAGTGAGGCCGGGCGCAATAGAATGACACCTGTGCGGCCCCTTTAAGAACACGCGTGATGTTGGTGCTGGAGCGTTTCATTGAGCATACGCAGGAGCAGCCTTGGCGTGGAGGGTGTAGGGGTTTGGTTGGGGGAGTGGAGGCAGACTGAGGGCACCAGCCCGACGCAAGAGCGCGTCTGCCGTTCCGAGCTCGCGCGCTAGCGAAGGAGCACGCGAGGGAGAGGGCAAACAGGGAAGAGACACTGGGCAGATCCGACGACGCAGGCAACGGGCGGGCAGCACGGGAAAGGTGCTGCTGCGCACGGTACGCTTACGACGGCGGGGCACCAGCGCCACGGCCGACGCCGCCGAAGCGCGGGCGGTAGTCTCCCGGAGCACCCTGCTCCTTCTTGCGGTACTCGCGGTCGCCGCCGTCGCGGTCGCCGCGGGGCGCGCGGTAGGCGCCGCCCTCGCGCGCACCGCCCATGGGGCGCTGCGGGCGGGCCGGGCGCTTGTGCGTGGCCGGCACGATCTCGGCGGGGAGGTGGAGGTACTCGCGGAGGTACTCGAGGCCCTGTGCGGTGCGTCAGCGCTGTGTGCGGGTGACGATCGCCAGCTGCGGCAGGGCACGCCATGCTGCCTCCTGCCTGCCTGTCTCTCCACAGCTTCATCGCACCTGTTCCTCCACCTCTCCGTCGCCGTCGCCTCGCCAGCCTACACCCGCCTCGCTCCACATCACCGCCCGCTACTCACCTCGTCGGTGAGGGTGTAGAAGTACCACTGCCAGCTGAACTGGGTGTGCACGAAGCCGCGGCTCGTGAGGCTCTGGGCAGCCTTGATGACCTGCAGGTTGGGGATCTCAAGCTCCGGGTGCTGCACCTCGAAGTCCTTGGGCGCGACCATGACGCCCTCCTTGAAGAGGGAGGCGTAGATGGCGCGGCGGTTCTCCTTGGGGATGATCACTGCAGAGGGAGCGTGAGGAGCTGCGCTGGACACCAGGGACGATCCGGCAGCGGCGCACGCCCGAGCAGCCCAGCTGCGGCCACCCAGCTGCGGCCGCACAGCATGTGTTCCCTCTGGCAGCGGATGTGCGACTCACTCTTGAGGGGCTTACGGTGACTGGCGGGACCGGGAAGAGGATGGTGTGGTGGGATCGAGGCGGACGTGCGCCCGCCGCGGCATCTTCGCGCCGCGCTCGCCGCCGCCCGACGTCAGCCAGCGGCGGCAGCGCTGCGGCAGGGGCAGGGGGAGACAGCCAGGCGCGCGCGCAGCAGACGCGCTCGGCCGAGGCGCGCAGTCCGCGTGCGCGACTCCGCCACGTGCGCCCGTCAGCTCAGCGCAGAGAGCAGCGGCCGCGGCGCGGCTGCCAGCCACGGCGCGCCGCTGCTAGGCGGCCGCTGCGCGCCAGGCGCGTGCCGCCGCCGCCGTCGCCTCTGCCCGCTCCCACCACCATCCACGCTCTCCCTCCTCGCTCCCTGTTCGTATTTCGCTCCGTGCCGCGCATTCTCTTGCTGCTGGGACATACATGCTGCCGCTGCACCGTTGCTGCATCGACGCCTCGTCTTGCGGCCGCACCGTGTCGAGGAGAGCTGCGCAGTCGATGTTGGTGGCGTAGGACAGCGCACGCCGCCACCTGAGGCTGCGCATGCTGGGCGCATGCCTGCGCTCGTTCGGCCTGCGATCGAGCTGCTGAGCTTGGCGAAGCCATGTGCGATTGCCAGGAGCGAGGGGCACGCCAGCTCGAGGCCATGCTGGTGGCGCCTGCAGCGTCGTAAAGGACGCTCGCCGGGCGGGGCGACAGGACACATGGCAGAGGTCCGCCTGGCACGGCGGATCCGATGGTGCAGCGGTGGGGTGCAGCTGGACTTTCGACGGCCAGGCGGTGCCGGTGCAGTGGCGTGGTGTCCCGCAGCAGAGGGTTCGTCCACCAGTCGAGATCTGCATGCTGACCGCGTCTTCGCCACGCAGCAAGACCCCTTTGAAAGCTATACATCATGGGCAAGGTTCACGGCTCCCTCGCGCGTGCCGGTAAGGTCAAGTCGCAGTGCCCCAAGGGTGAGTGGCGGCAGTGACAGCGACGTGGCAGGGGTACGTGTCTCACGCCCGCACGCCTCGCAGTCGAGAAGGCCGAGAAGCCGAAGCAGCCCAAGGGCCGTGCCCACAAGCGGCACCTGTACAACCGCCGCTTCGTCAACGTCGTCATCGGCCCCGGCGGCAAGCGGCGCGCCAACGCCCAGGGCGTGAGTTGAACCCTGGCGGCCACGGTCGCTTTGCGGCATTGCTCACACCCCGTCCCGCACAGGTCTAAGTCCCTGGTCGCTTGACTGCGCTCTCTCTTTGCTGGCCACGCGCGTGTCATCCCATCGAACGCCGTGCCATGTACAGTCTGCTCGCCCAAAAGCATCTTTGATCGACCCTTCTCTCCCGTGCCAGCAGCGGGTGCTTTGTTCACTGGTGGCATTGCTATGGGCGTGCGGCCTCTGTGGGGCGGGCTGGTGGCGCGGCCGTGCGGTCGCCGTCGAAGCTCTTGAGGTATGCGGCCCACAGCTCCTCCACCGTCTGGCCGTTGCACAGCGTGCGGAAGGCGGCGCCGTTGTCCCACTCGGCCGTGGCGAAGGCGGCGTTGAGGCCTGGCACGAGGCGTGGCTCGCCAACGTGGTCGGAGACCCAGACGAGGAAGTATGCTGCGGTTGGGATGTCAGAGACGCAGCAGCTACTCAGCACAGCACACTCGCCTGTCTTCTCGTAGCCCGCGTCCCAGCTGCGCATTGTCAGTCAGCGCAGTTCGCCGGTGTGCCGACAGGCTGCTCACGATGGGCCAGGCGTGCGTGCCCAGTGCGGCGGCGCCAGACCGCACTTGAGCCTGACCCAGTCGGCAATGCCCTCGATGAGGCCACCGGGCACGGTGCCGCGTCCATCGTGCTGTTGAGTCAGGGGTCGTCAGCGAAGCTCACTTCCACAGCAGGCGTCCGACCGCTCACTTGCAGCACATGCACCATCTGAGTCGCAGGTGTAAGCGCCCACTCGAAGACAGTGCACCGCCTGCACTTGCCTCATGCCACAGCACACCCTTGATCTCGTGCAGCGCCGCGTCGTCCGAGGCGTGGCAGCGGGCGATGTGGCCTGCAGCAAGGTGAATCTGCGTGGTACCCCGTCAGCCACTGCCCGTACTGCCAGGCGAGCAGCATGCTGACCTGCTTGTGGTCGTCCTGCCCCGCCGCGCCGGCCGTGTGCGCCACGCCGTCCATGGGCCGCACGACGAGCGTCAGGCAGGTCACCTGCGTTTGCCGTGAGCCAACGACAGCGTCTGAGAGGCCTGTGCGCAGCGCACCTTGCGGCATGCCGGTGCCTCGGGTGCGTCGTAGCGCAATGCCCGCCACACCTCCTCGAGGCACTGGCGCAGGCTGAGGTGCGCCTGCATGCTGCGCGCAAAGCGCTCCACGCCCGCGTCGTCGAGCGAGTGCAGCTGCAGGCTCAGCGTCGGCGCCGGGCAGACATGGCTGCTTTGCTCCTCTGCTGTGTCGAGCGGCGGCATTTTGAGGGTGCCTGCGTTGGCGCAGATGCTGTAGAGCGGACGACGGAGCGGCCGGGTGGGCCCATGCACCCTGAGCGGGAGGTGCGGGTCTGATGACGTCTCGTGGGCGCGGCGGGTGTTGGTCCCACGCCCACGGCGGCGGCGCAGCGGGCGGCGCCGCACGTGAGGCGACGCGGCGACGCGTAGAGTGCGGCGCGCGGCGCGGTGTGCTTCAGGCGTTGGACTGGCGGCCCGGTGGCGTGCCACCACCACCATCCCTGTGCGACCCCGTGCCCACACCCACCGCACCCGCCACCGCCACCCGCGCCGCCGCGCACGATGCGCAAGAGCGTCATCCTCGCTGCGCTGCAGCCCAAGGCCGAGGGCGAGGGCAGGGCCTCGCCCGCGCCCAAGAACGGCGCCGACTGGGCGCGCTCCGTCACCGGCGGCGGCTTCGGCCCGCTGCTGGGCCGCAAGCCGTTCAAGGCGCCGCTGCCCGCCGGTCGCCGCAGCGCCAAGGGTGCCGCCGCCGAGGACCTCTCCGGCGGCCGCAAGCGCAAGCGCGTCAACTACACCGGCATGGGCGGCGGCGAGGACGACGGCGACGGCGACGCGGCCGAGAGCTCGGACGCAGAGGAGGCCGTGGCGAAGAAGCCCAAGGGCAAGCCGGGCGTGTTCGGCAAGGACGGCAAGATGACGAGTCTGGAGGGCGTGTACAAGGGCATCGACGCGCGCGGCGTCTCGCTCAACGTCGACAACCGCAAGTGGCAGGTCTTCAAGCCCAAGGACGGCGCCATCAAGCGCCGCTTCAACGTGCCGGTGATGCGCGCCAAGGACGGCGCCATCATCGAGACGCGCATGAGCGGCGCGTCGCTCGGCACGCGCAAGCCCATCGAGATCCCGCCGCGCCCGCTGCACGACCCGATGGGCGAGCATGCCATCGTGCTCTTCGACCCGACGGTCGACGACGTCGAGGCCGAGCGCGAGAAGGAGCGGCTGCGCCGCGAGCGCCTCGCGGCGGATGCGCTCGCCAAGGCGGAGGGCGGCGTGGAGCCGGAGAAGCCGGCGGGGCCGACGCCGCACAAGAGCCTGGCGGAGCTGCTGGGCCTGCGCAGCAAGGACGACAAGAAGAAGGTCGTGGAGAAGGTGCCGGTGGTGATCGATCCGCGTCTGGGCAAGGTGCTCCGACCGCATCAGGTCGAGGGAGTCAAGGTGAGTCATGCTCGTGGCGTCTTGCGTCGCCGGCAGCGTCGAGCTCCTGCTGACGCCGTGCGGCAGTTCCTGTACCGCTGCGCGACGTCGCTCATGGATGAGCACGCACAAGGGTGAGTCGCTGTTGTCGCCAGCGCTCAGATTCGCCGTGCTCACGCTCGTGCGCAGCTCGATCATGGCCGACGAGATGGGCCTGGGCAAGACGCTGCAGTGCATCGCGCTCATGTGGACGCTGCTCAAGCAGTCGCCGATCCCAAACAAGCCGACGATCGACAAGTGCATCATCGCGTGTCCTTCCAGTCTCGTGCGCAACTGGGCTAACGAGCTGGGTGCGTGCTTGTCTCGCAGCGAGTGTATGTGCGCAGCTCACACGCATATATGCTGCAGTGAAGTGGCTTGGCACAGCCGCGCCCGGCGCGTTCGCGCTTGATGGCAAGTTGTCGAAAGACGAGATGGTGCTCGCTGTTCGCCGCTGGGCAGACGCGAAGGGACGAGGCATCGTGCAGCCAGGTGCGTGGCGGCCGGCGCGCATACTCGCAGGTGAGGCTGACACGCATCACAGTGATGATCGTCTCATACGAGACGCTGCGCAACATCGCTCCCGAGCTGGCGAATTGCGAGGTCGGCTTGCTGCTGTGCGATGAGGGACACAGACTGAAGAACGCAGGTGCGTCATCACGATGCCCGCACCGACTCTTCAGACGCTAATTCCGGCCCTGCAGAGTCCTTGACCTATGTCGCGCTGGACAAGATCCCTGTCAAGCGCCGTGTCGTGCTCACGGGTACACCAGTGCAGGTGAGCGCTAGTCTCAGTCGCACTTGTGACCTCCGCTGACGCCGCGAGGTTGCAGAACGACCTCACAGAATACTTCTCGCTGGTCAAGTTCGCCAATCCCGACCTGCTCGGCGGCCGTCTGGAGTTCCGCAAGGCATTCGAGATTCCTATCCTCAAGGGCCGCGACTCGAACGCGTCCGAGAAGGAGCAGCAGGTCGGCATCGCCAAGCTCGGCGAGCTGTCCGCCATCGTGAGCAAGTTCATCATCCGGCGCACGAATGACCTGCTCTCGAAGTACCGTGAGTGCAGCTGTGATCAGCAGGCGAGCGCACGACTGAGCACCACTCTGCGCGCCAGTGCCCGTCAAGCACGAGCACGTCGTATTCTGCAAGATGTCGCCGCTGCAGCTCGCCTTGTACCAGCTCTTTGTTAAGTCGCCCGAGACGCAGAAGCTGCTGCGCGGCAAGGGCTCGCAGCCGCTCAAGGCCATCTCGATCCTGCGCAAGCTCTGCAACCACCCGGACCTGCTGAACCTGCCCGACGACCTGGCCGGCTGCGAGCGCCTGCTGCCGAGCGACTACACGCCGCACGACCGCCGCAACGTGCACGCGGAGCACAGCGGCAAGATGGTCGTGCTCGAGCGCTTCCTGCAGCAGATGCGCAAGACGAGCAACGACAAGATCGTCCTCATCTCGAACTTCACGCAGACGCTCGACATCTTCGAGAAGATGTGCCGCCTGAATCGCTGGGGCTCGTTCCGCCTCGACGGCACGATGGCCATCAACAAGCGCCAGAAGCTCGTCGACCGCTTCAACGACCCCGAGGGCGCCGAGTTCGTCTTCCTGCTCAGCTCAAAGGCCGGTGGATGCGGTCTCAATCTCATCGGCGCAAATCGTCTCGTGCTGTTCGATCCTGGTGCGTGCCGCGTTCGCCCAGCGCGTGCCTAGCTGATCACATTCTCCCTTCAGACTGGAACCCGGCCTCCGACCAGCAGGCGCTCGCGCGTGTCTGGCGTGACGGACAGAAGAAGTCTTGTGAGTGGCGCGAAAGGTGTCTGTGCAACCTGCGGCTGACCGGCTGCGTCCGCAGGCTTCGTGTACCGCTTCATCGCGACTGGCAGCGTGGAAGAGAAGATCCTGCAGCGGTGAGTTGCTCGATGCCTGCCTCGTCTAGCCAGCGCTCACTCATCTCCAACAGCCAATCGCACAAGCAGTCGCTGTCGTCGTGCATCATCGACGGTCAGGAGGACGCCGACCGGCACTTTTCGCGCGACGACCTGCGTGCGCTCTTCGAGTTCAAGCAAGACACGCAGTGCGACACGCATGACACGTACAAGTGCAAGCGCTGCAAGAACGGCCGCCAGAACGTCAAGGCGCCCGCCATGCTGTACGGCGACACGGCCACGTGAGTGTGATGCGCTACCTGCTAGCAGCGCAAGAGACTGACGCCTCGATCAGCTGGAACCATTACCAGAACGAGGAGCTGCACAACCTCCACGACGACCTGCTCCGCAGCGAGAAGGTGCACGACGAGGTGAGTCTGCTGCGCATGCTGCGCCCTGCCATGTGCTGACCCTCCTGCACAGGTCTCGATGTGCTTCCAATACGTCAGCCACTAGTCTCCGCCGCTCTCTCCATGTCTCCTCGCACACGTCCCGTCCCCACCGCAAGGCTCCGCTACACCACACATACTGCCCGTCGCATCCTCCACGTCACACGCCAGTCACTTGCCCATGTATCAATGAGACCCGCATCTGCTCACAGCGTCAGACTTGCGAGAGGACGGAGCGATCGTTCATGAGGGCTGCGGCGTGGCAACAGGGTCGTCTATGCGTGAGAGAGCGGGGATGCAGGGGTAACACGAGGCGCGAAGCGGCGCGGCAGAGGATGAGAGAGGCAGAGGGCGCCTGCGCAACGCTCTCTCAGAGAATGACGCAGCGGCAGCCGCCGGCCTCGTTCTTTTCGCTCTTGCTCTTGCGGCGCGAGGAGCCATGCCGGTCCGCACCGGCGCCGGCGCCGCGCAGCAGCATCGAGGCTCGCGTGGCTGCCTCAAAGATGTTCTGCGAGTGGCCAGAGAAGCTCAGCAGTGTAACCTGGACGCCACCACGGCAGACTCACGTCCACACCCTCGTTGCGCAGCGCCGAGCACTCGTGGTAGGAGCGAGCGCCGATCTGCTGAGCGATGGCCTTGCCCTGCGTGCGCGAGTTGTGAGCACATGGGTCCCGGTGAGCTGGCTCGGCAGCGCAGCGACGAGACCTCCTGGATGGTGCCGCCACTGTATCCGCCGCCGCCGCGTCCGCCGCTCCTCGAGCTCTGCTGCACTCACCTGCGCCGTGCTGACGAAGCGAGCGTCGTCGCCGCCGCGTGCGCCCTCGTCGCGCAGGTCCTTCTTGCAGCCGACCAGCAGCACAGGCACCTGCGGCCCGCATATTTGGCGCACCTCCTCCATCCACTGCGCCATCAGCGACATGTCAGCATAGGCCGTCAGCAAGGGGCTCTCCGCGCGGCTCGCACCTTGACGGTGACATTGTCGAGCGAGTCGGGCGTGTCGATGCTGAACGCGATCAGGATCACGTGGGCCTGCGAGTAGGAGAGCGGCCGCAGACGCTCGTACTCTTCCTGGCCGCTGCGTGGGAGACGAGCAGGGCTTAGCACGCTGGCCTCAAGTCGGCACGGCAGCCCTGCTCCCCACTCACGCAGTGTCCCAAAGCGCCAGCTGCACGGGCTTGCCGTCTAGCCGGATCTCGGCCACATAGTTCTCAAAGATGGCTGCGCAGCGACGTCAGTACGGCAACGTGAGAGGACAGCGGGCCGACACGTACTCGGCTCCTGGGACGAGAAGCTCGTCAGCACATGCGCCAGACGGACAAAGCGGTGCCAAGCAGAGGCTCAGGCATCGCGCTGAGCGGCCGGTAACTCACATACTGCTGCGGGAACTCGCCGACGGCAAAGACACAGAGCAGACTCGTCTTGCCGCACGCGCCGTCGCCGACGATGACGAGCTTGCGGCGGATCTGCATCGCGCAGCAGGGCAGGCGAGACGAGGACAAAGAGGGTCAGCAGCGCCCTGCGCTCGACGCTCTGGACAACGCACGGGGTCAGGCGCCATCTTGACTGCGTACAGCAGCGGACAGAAGACTGTGCGGCCACTGTGCGAGGCGAACAGACTCTTCTGGGTCGTCGCGGACGACGCAGGGCGCGGGCAGTCGTCGGCAGACGCACAGGAGGCGCGCAGGTGGAGGGCGCGCGGGAGCGGAGCAGCACGTGCGGACGCGCCGGCGGCCGACGAGGTGACGGGGCGGAGAGCGGCGGCGAGACGGTGACGGAAGAGGCGGCGCTGGGCGTGCTCGACGGCGAGGCAGGACAGGTGACGGGCACGGCGCACGGTGGTGGTGGTGGTGGTGGTGGTGCGAGGACAGAAGAAGCGGGCGGCGGCGCGCGTGCCCCAAATTGGCGCTTGCGGCGCTTGCGGCGGCGGCGGCGCCGATGCATGATGGCGGCGCGGCGCTCCGGCTCGGCATCAGCTGAGGCCACAGCCACAGCCACACCCGCCGCAGAGAGATGCGCCAGCCTCTTGACGTCTTCCCGTCTCGTCCTTCCCGGGCGGTCCGAGAGGCCTGCCATTGCTGTGTTGCTCTGCAGTCTCGTCCAGCTGGCTGTTTGCGGCGCGCGTCACCTACGAGACCCCTGCCGAGCATTGCTCGCCAATTGCGTGCACAGCCACATCTCGCAGCCGCACAGACGCGCGCGTCACGACGAGACGTGCCTCCGCCCGGACACGCTTCTCTCGAGCAGGCAACACGGGACGGGATGCGATTATGCAGGGATCAACGAGTGCGGCCGTGAAACATGGAATGAATGCGAAGGAGACATGCGACGAGGGCGGGAATAGCGGACGCGAGGCGCAAGAGAAGACGCCGCCGACGCGACGCGCGTGTCAGTCGTTGATGAGAACGAAGAGAGTGGCCAGAGCGCTAGGTCCAGACGCTCGGCTGCAATGGCTGGCGTAGCAGAGTGTGCTCAGTCGGGCGACAGATGCTGCGGTGCCAGGTGTCGCCAGCGCGGATGCGAGAGCATGCCGGCGCGCAGCGTCTGCTCCGCCGTGCTAGGTCCGGCCATGCCTTGCGCAGCGTCGGCGCCGACGAGTTGCGCATGCGCATCCGTGCGGTCGAGCGATGAAGTCGCCATGCCGCCTTCGGCGGGCCACGCCGAGTGCGGCAGCGCATTGAAGGGATGCCGCCATGCCGCCGGCAGCGGCGCCGAGCTCGGCGGCTGCGGCGAGGCGCGGCCCCAGCTGCCGGCGCGATACATGGCGCGTCCTGGACTCGGCGGCGGCACCTCGAAGGATGAGCTCACGCGCCGCCGCATGTTCGTCGGCTCCGAGGACGACGGCACGCTCTGCCGCCCACTGTTGCTGCGGCCGAGCCCGAAGCCTAGTGGCGAAGGGCGTGATGGCACGTGCGCGGTAGGCGCGAGCAGTGCGTGCGACGAGGAGCCGGCCCGCGGCGGCAGCGCCTGGTCCGTCCAGCGCTGGAACGGCGGCATCGGCGGCGAGAGGTCCATCTCGTGGTCGTCCTGGCGCGATTGGCTTCAGACTTCTGCGCTTTGGCTGCAGGTGGCCGTGGCACTCACATCTCGCATGTCATCATCCTCGGCCCTCTGCTCCGGCGCAAGCGCCATCGCGTGCCCTGCAGCGTCGGGCGGCAGCATGCCGTGCCCATCCATCCGCTCAGCGTCGAAGAAGGCGCCCCATACGCCGTCCTGGCGCACCCGCGGCAGCGTCCAGCGGCTGTAAGGCGCGCTGCCTTCGCCCAGGCCGAGCCCGACATCGCGACGCGCCTCGCTTCCGCACTCGTCCATAGCAGCATCACCGAACGCGCCAGCTGATGGTGGCTGAGACCAGACGGCGTCTATCCGACCGCCTCCTGCCAGTGGCGAGTAGGACGGCGACAGCGCGCTGCCGGAGCCGTGCGCCGGGTACGCGTCCGGCAGCGTCGGTGTGTGCGTGCGCGCGCGGACGAAGGGCCGCTGGCACAGCACCGTCAGAGCAGGACGAGGCAGCGATCTCGAGATGGCACTCACATGAGCCGACAGGCTGGAGGCATTTGCCGCACCCTCGCGCGCCTCCTGGGCCGACGTCGGGCTGACGCTGCGGCGCCGCTTGCCGCGTGCGCTGCGGCTCGGTGTCCACGCACCGCCGTACGAGGCCGCCGCGCCACTCTCGCTGCCGCTGCCGCTGTGGCCGCTCCTGCCGCTGCCGAACATCTGGCTGCTGCTGGCGAAGGCCTGCATGGGCGCAGAAGGCGACGCGGCGCGCTCGTAGTCGATGTCCATGCTGCTGCCAGTGCCGGCAGCGCTCGAACGCCGCGGGCCCGACGCCGCGCGCCAGATGCGGCGCCCCGCTGGCGTGCACCGGCGGCAGGGCTCAAAGCCGGCAGACGAGCAGCAGAAGGTGCACGCACGGTGCGAACTGAGGGGGTGGCGACGGGATGTGCCGGGCGAGGTGAGGTGGAGGAGAGGCAGATGTTTGCTGCCTCGACGGCGGCCAGCAGGCGCGCACGGAGCAAAGGCAGGCCGAGAGGCAGAGTCGCGTCAGGCGATTCTGTAGTTGGACGCGCGCTTTGTATTGCGCCCAACTACAGAATTGGTCTTGGCTGCGCCGACTGCGCACGGGCCCACAGCACGGAACTCGGGCACCCGCCGCTGACCAAAAATTCAGGCAGCTCGACATCGACGGCAGACAGCATCAGAGGACCTCGCTTCGACATGCCCGGTCGCAGCGTCAACGAAGACAGACAGAGCGTGAAGCATGCGAGAAAGCTTCGCATTGCAGGCCAAGCGACGCATGCTTTCGTCTAGCCTCCAGCAATCTGGGCCTGCCGGGCCGCCTGCACGCCGCCGGCCGAGTAGCCGTCGCCTGGCCGCTTCTCGCCGCGCAGGTCTTCGTACCACTCGGCCGTCAGGCCGGCCTGAGCACGCTCGGGGCGGTTGAAGGGTTCGCGCAGCGCCTGAAGAGGGATAGCGTGAGCACGTGTATGCTTGCGAGACCCGTCCGTACTCACGCCGCAGAAGTGCGCCCGCACCTCCTCGCGAAACAGCTCGACGGGCGCCCGCGGCGGCGTCATGCACTCGGCGACGTGGCAGAGCCAGCGGTGGCCCGTCGCCACGTGCGTCACCTCGTCGTGGTGGATGATCTGCAGTGTCGCGACGCTGTCCTCGTCGCCGGCCTTGGCGAAGCGTGCGATCGTGCCCGGGTTCACGTCGAGGCCGCGCGCCTCGTGCACCAGGTGCACAATTGAGAGGCGGGCGGTGAGAGAGTGCCATGTATCCCGCATCGAGTCGAAGAGGCCGTAGTGCACGGGCAGGTCGCCGAACGCGACGCCGAATGCCTCGAGACGCTCGCACAGAATCGTGTGGTGCTTCGCCTCGTCCTCCTGCAGGTGCGAGAAGGGCTCAGCGCTGAGCTGCCGCATCCTCATGGTTCAGGCACACTCACAGCCATGCGCAGAAAGTCGGTGTAGAACGCGTTCGGAAGCTTCGGCGGCGGATTGCTCGCCGGGTGCAAGCGCGCGAAAAGCTCTGGGCCACGGCAGATGATGTCCCACGCCAGGTCGATGGCAATCTGCTCGATTGAAGCCAGCGAGTCTGCGCTCGGGTCAGCACCTCGCACACGGCACGTGCTGCGATGAAGCACTCACGCAGCAGCGCAATACGCCCTCGCTCGGTGCCGCCCTTGCCGCGCTTGGCCTCGTGGCCCGGCCGCACGACGTTCAGCTGATCACGCGGCGGGATACCTGGCGGCGTCTCCTCCGGCTTGCGGCGCCACTCGGGTGCCTCGCTGTCATCGAAGTTCCAGCGTCCGCCTCCTACCCGCGTGCAGCGTGCGTCGCGCCAGGCAGCCGCAGCTAGCCGGGTGTAGTGCACCTTGAGCCTCGGATTGGCAGTATTGAGCACCAGGCTGGCCCACGCCGTCAAGGACTGCGGCACCGGATCCGGTGCCACCAGCTGCACCTGCGAGGACGAGGGGCCTGCATCGGCAGCGGGCTTTGGCTCGTAGAAGCGCTCGCTGACCGGCCGGCTTTCGACCAGAAGCCAGGAGCCAGGCGCGTTCTGCTCCAGCTGCGGCGCCTCGACGGAGAGCATGCCGTCCTGCACGCTGACTGCGAACGTGCAGGCGCGCATGCCTGCCGGACTGTGGTCGCTCTCGCCGGTGCGCAGCGACCAGGACCACTCGTGGTGCGGACAGACGACGACGGTGTCCTCGACGTCGGTGATGTCGCGTTGCGCCTCGGCCTCGAGCTCGCTCTCGACGGTCTCGAGGGTGGCGTGCTCGAGCGGCGCCTCGAGGTGCGGGCATGTGGCCTGCATGGCGTACCACCGGCGCTCATCCTCTGATGCACCCGGCGGCGGCGCAAGTGAGAAGAGCAGCATCGTCTGGTAGACGTTCGAGGAGTGCCGCAGGGTGAGGTGATGCCGCGCAGCTGCCGCCGCAAGGGCATCGGCGCGGCCGACGGCCACTAGTTGTTGCGGCATCATTATGCCTGGATCACCGTGGAGTAGCGTAGACGCAGAAGAGCAGTTCAAGAGTGTGGATGAGAGCGGCGGCAGAGAATAAGGCGTGGTCGCGGGTGGGAGGATGTGGTGAGAGGAAGGGAAGAATCGATCGCGCGACAGCAAGAGCAAGAGAGGCAAAGCGGGCGCGGAACTCGGGAGTCGCCGCCACGGCGCATCACCAGAACACCTGGCACCGACGTCGCCGGCGCTTGCATCCGCTCCACCACACCACGCCGCCCTCTGGCTCGCACGCAGCCCGACCATGGACGCAGCACCTGCAGTTGCGCCCGCGGCACCGGCCAGCAGGCGCGCACGTGCCGTCGCAAAGGCGCCCAAGCAGGCAGCCGGAGCGGCGGAGGCACCGGCGCCGGCCGACGATGCCACTGGCGCCGAGGCCGCCGCCGCCGCCAAGCGCAAGGAGAAGAAGAAGCGCCGCAAGAAGGACAAGAACGCCGCAGCCGCAGCGGCTGGTGCTGGAGGCGGAGGCAGCGAGGAGCCAAAGACGCGCCTCAAGGTCGTCGTGCGCCGCCTGCCGCCCAACGTGCCCGAGCACATCTTCTGGCAGGCCGTGGCGCCGTGGGTGCGCGATGCCGCAGACGTCGCGGCCGCTGCTGGGCCATCGCAGCCGGCAGCCGAGGCGCCTGCGCCGCCGCAGACGGCCGACTGGAAGAGCTTCGTGCAGGGCAAGCTGAAGGACGCGTGAGTGCAGGCAGTCGCCGGGCATGCGCTCCGTCGCTGACGCACGGCGCACAGTTCACGGGCAGGCACGTCCAACGACCCAAAGGAGATCGCTCACCGGCACTCGCGCGCCTATGTGCGCTTCTGCACCGTCGAGGCGCTGCTCGACTTCCACCGCAACTTCGACGGCCATGTCTTCCGCGACTCGAAGGGTGGGTCCCGATGCGTCTCTGCCCTCGCGCCGCCTGGCTGACAGCTGCTGCTCAGGCGCCGAGTACACTGCTGTGGTGGAGTTTGCACCGCATCAGAAGGTGCCGTCTGACAGCTCGCGCCGCAAGAAGCCCGATGCGCGCCAGGGCACGATCCTTGACGGTGAGTGCACTGCCTTGTTGGCGCCGATCGATTGGCGGCTGACGCACGCGCGCCACAGATTCGGACTACAAGGAGTTCGTCGCCTCGCTGGAAGCGAAGCCTGGCGATGGAGACAAGGAGAATGAGACCGGACAGTCGCAGGCGGAGAAGACAGACGCCCAGCTCATGGGTGAGTCGCGCGCACACCGCTGGGCCTTGACCGCCGCTCAAGCTCAGCTCCGCACAGCGCACCTGGCGTCGCAGTCCGCCGAGCTATCCGCCTCTTCGGCACGCGCCAAGCACACGCCTTTGCTCGAACATCTACGTGCACAACGCACCGCTCGTGCCGAGGCGTCAGCTCTAGCTGCGGCGCGCAAGTACCTCGGACACAAGAATCAGGCCTACCAAGCCGCGAGCGAGAAGGACGTCAAGGGCAAGGGCAAGAAGCCAGCCAAGGACCCCGCTGCGGCGCCCGCGAAGAAGGCCAAGAAGGGTGCAGCACCGCAGGACGGAGCAGGCGCCGCTGCGCCGCCCGCCGCTCCTGCTGCCGGCGAGAAGAAGAAGAAGGGCAAGCCGGACGTAGCGAATCGCGCATTCGGCGCAGCGATTGGTGCTGCTCTCGGTGCCGAGAAGCCTGCGCGAGGCAAGGGCAAGGCAGCCGCAGGCGATGCTGGTGCTGCTACGCCTTCTGCAGATGGGCCTGCAGGCCCGGAAGCACCAGCAGGCAAACCCAAGAAGCCTCGCGGAGCACCGAGCAATCGCGGCGGCGGCGGCAACGCGACACCCGCAGCTGCACCTAGTGCACCACTCGCCATCCTCAGGCGGGACGAGGCACCGGGAGCCGAACCGGGAGGTGCAGCAGCCCAGGCTGCGGCTGCACCACCGCAACAGCAGCCGCCGACTGGTCCGCGCGCCGATGGAGAGGCCGGCCGAGGCGCACGCGGTGGGCGCGGGGGTCGCGGCGGCGGACGTGGACGAGGACGGGGAGCGCCACGAGGAGGCGCACCGGCTGCCGCTCGGCCCACCGATGCGTGACACAGCTTGCGAATTTAATGCAAGTACTTCGTCATAGAGATTGTCAAGTTAGGGGCGGTGAGGAGGGTGTGCGTGACGCGCGAGCGAGGGCCGTTGGCTAGACAAGAGAGAGAGAGAGAGAGAGCATGGGGGTCGTCTGTGGGTTGTGGGTTGTCGAAAAGCGAAGCATGTGATGAGTGAGAGAGGAGCGGAAAGAGGAAATAGAGAGGGCGACGGAGCGTAGGCCGAGCGGCTGGGTCTAGTCGAGTCGCAGCTTCGGGCAAGAGGTAGCGCACTTCGGGGGGCGACGGAAGGGTCGCGTGCCGGAACGGACGGGTAAATGGTGCCGAGGAAGAGAGAGAGCAAAGCAGGAGCGTGTATGCGGGATCAGTGCGTTGAGGAGGGATTGAGGAACGAGGAGGAAAGAGGAAAGAGCAGCTCGAGCTATTGCATCGAGAACGGCCCGCGTCCGAGCTGCTCGAGGAAGGGATGCCGGCTCATCTGGCCGAAAGGCTGAGACTGCGCCGCCTGCTGGCCGGGACTCGAGTGCTGGCCGTTCGGACTCGTGCCGAAGCGTGGCGCCAGATGAGAGTTCGGCGTGCCTCCTTGGCCGGGGCTCAGGCCGGTCGATGCGCTGCGCTCCCAGTCGGACGCGGCGTTGGACCACGGGTTGAAGGCATCGCTCTGCGGCGAGCGCATGTGTGCCGGGAAGCTCGACGAGGAGTTCGCGCCGTTCTCGGCGGCTGGCCCGCGGCCCGACGCCGCATTGTAGGGCATCTGGCGCTCGGCTCCGGCCCCGCCCATGTAGCCGGACTGCGCGAGGGCGGAGCTGGGCGAGAACATGCCGGCCTGTTGCAGCTGCATCTGCGCCAGCATAGCGCTGATCTCTTGCTGCTGGCTGGCCGGCACTGGCGGGGCGGCGAAGCGAGATTGCTGGGGCACGGTGGCACCTGTCGGCAGGAACGGACCGAGATGCGGTGCCAAGCCCAAGTCTGTGCGAGGCGTCGCGCCAACGCCGCCGATCTGACCCGGAGCGGGACCAGCAGGCAGGCCGAGGTCCTCGACGAGCTTGCGGTACGCCGGCACGCCGATGAGTGAGTGGGCCAGCACGATGCGCTTGACCTGCTCGACGTAGCGGGCGCGTGCCTCGGCGTCGAAGCAGTTGGACGCCAGCACCTTGGTGACGAACTGCGAGCCGTGCACCTGATCCGTCAGCACTTCCTCAAGGACGGCGTCGTTCGGCGAGTCGAAGAGCGCAGAGAGAATCGTGCGGCTGGCGCCCGGCTCGGACTTCTGGCAGACGATGCGCAGTACCGTGAGAGACGCCAGCTTGTGCGTGCACAGGTTGCCCAGGTACGGCGAGAAGCGCGGTGCCAGGAGGCGGTAGCGCCCCGACAGGCCGGATGTGTCGAGCAGCCAGGTCAGCAGCAGCGCGCCGTTCGGACTCGTGGCGAGCGGCACCGAGTTGAGGATGATCGCGATGGCGACGCGCTTGCGCTGCCGCTTCGACACGTACTGATTCTCTAGGCACGCGCGCATGCTGCGGGCGCCGAAGCGGCCCTGCGCGATCTCCCAGCAGCGGTCGACCATGGCGTCGAAGATGAAGTCCGACTTGTCGCCGACCCACGGCAGGCAGCACTGCACCACGTAGTTGCCGAACTGGTCGAGCAGCAGCGGCGGCACGTACGGCCGCAGGTTCTGCGCGATGATGGCAACCTGCTCGGGCGCCGGTGCCGTGTCGATGATCTTCTGCGCGGCCCACGTGCCGTTCTTGTGGATGCCGATCATCGCCAGGTGCGGCGCGATGCGCTCGAGCATGATGTGCTTGACGCGGTCCGAGCAGCGCTCGAAGAGCTTCTGCACAACGGTGTTGCCAATGTAGTCGCTCGCCAGGTCCACAATGGCGTCCATGTGGTCGCTGGCGATGGCGTCGACCGAGTCCTGCGTGCACTGGCCGTTCTCGATCGTCTTGCGCAGCTCGCGCAGGCGACTCGTGTCGAAGCGGCGGCTCGTCGAGACCTCGGAGACTAGCGGGATGGTCGTGTAGTATGTCGCCGGCGGGCGGAATGACGAGACGCTTGCAACGTCTGCCTCGACGTCGTCGTCGCCGTCGCTCAGCTCGCGCATGAGCAGCTGCAGGTCCGACACAGCCGGGCGCGGCACCATGTCGGATGGCAGCGGCACACCGCCCTTGTCGCTGCTAGGCACGATGCTGTTGGACGAGCTAGTGCCAAGAGACGAGGCGGTGCGCATGTGCATCGCCGGCGCGCCAGGCACGGCAGTCGGCGCTGCAGCGCTGTTCTGAGCCTGCCGTTGCTGCTGCGCAAGCAGATCGGCGACCAGATTGCTTCGGTAGTTCTCGATGCCGCCGGAGAGCACCTGCTGCTCGGCAGTCATCGGCACCGACGATGCGCCCTTGAGCTCCGCCAGAGCCTCGATGGCCGCAGCAAAGCCAGCGTTCGACGGGTCGCCCGGATAGTTGTCGAGATTGCGCGTCGGCACCTTGGCGAAGCCGATGCGCATCACACCATTCTCGCTGCCGAGCACGTCGCGGCCATTGAGCATCTTGCGCGCCATGACGGCGTCGTCGACGCGCTCGAAGTTGACAAAGCCGCAGTTCTTGTTCGTCAGCACGCGCGCGCTCTCGATCGGGCCGAACGGCTGGAAGATGGAGAGCAGTGTGGACGGCGTCGTCGAGCTCGGAATGCTGCCCACCCACAGAGCACGCGTAGGGCCAATCTCAGCACCCGGCGTGCCCGGTCCGCTCTCGAAGGTGACCGGCTCTGTGCGTGGGCTGCCAATGCCGCCAGTGGGGCCGCCTCGTCCGCCTGGCGTGTTGTAGCCGCTGGCGGTACCGGGCGCCGCGGGAGCAGAGTCCGTCTTGCCGTAGCCGATTCTGACTGAGCCATTTGGACCTGTGCCCTTGCCGATGCGCCCGCCAAGGCGATGCAGGACGTCATCGCGTGCGCGGATGGCGTCCGCAGCCTCAACGAAGTTCACGAAGCCGCATTCCTGGGCCACGCGACGTGAGCGGACAGTCGCATATCGCTGCGCGATCCTGACTCACCTTCTCTGGCAGCAGACGCAGGCTCTCGATGGCGCCGTATGGCGCGAACACGTGCATCAGCTCCTGCCCGGTCGTCGACGCATGGAGGTTGCCGATCCACAGGGAGCGGCCGGGTATCTGCGGCGTGCGCGACTCTGCGCCGGGCGTCGAGGGCGCGACGGCGCCGCGGTGCGTCTGGGTCGGCGTCGAATGGACGGTGTGCGAGAAGGAGTTGAGCTCCGGCGGCGGCGTCGAGACATCGACGTGCGGGAAGCCCTCGAGCGGCGCAGAGTAGCCGCCGCCGAAGCCGCCGCCGCTGAGCGAGGCAGCCATGCTCTGCGAAGTGTGGCTGCCCAGCGCGCTGGATGCGCCACCGCCAAGGAAGTGGCCGGCCATCGCCAGGCGCAGCAGCTCCTGCTCGGTGCGCTGTCGCCCTCCAGGTCCGCCCAGAGCTGCGACCGTGCCGGCGCGCAGTCTGGCAGGCTGGCCGAGACTGGAAGAGGACGACGGCGCAAAGCCAGCTGCGACTGCAGCAGCCGCAAACGCCTGTGGGTCGATGCCGTGCTCGCGCGCATATGCATCGTAGATCTCCTCGTCGGAGACACCGCCAGTGCCGGCGTTGGCCAGCAGCGCACTGACGCTGTCAACGGCACCATTACGCCCGACGCCATTGTGCGGCACCGCGGCCAGCGTGCTGGCACGATGCCGCGAGGCGAAGGTCGGCATGGGCGTCCGCTCGGCAGCACCCGCGCCGCGAGGGCTGCCGCCGGCAAGGCCGAGGTAGTCCAGCGTCTGCACGTCCTCCGAGCCATCGAGGCTCTCTGCGAGACTCGGGCGCGCAGTGGAGGTGATGTGCGACATACCGTCATCTAGAAAGGCCACTCCGCTTCCTCGCTGCCCGCCGGCAAAGCCCTGCTGGTCCGAGTGCATGGCCGCCGCGGCCTGGTTCCAGGTGCTTGAGAACATGCTGGGCCCAAAGGCGTTCTTGCCTAGCGCTGGCAGAGCGCTCGCCAGGCTGCCGGAGCGCAGGCGACTCGCGGCACCGGCATCGCTGTCTCGCAGCGCTGCGAGCCGGTTGGCAGCGCCGCCGCCAGGTGCTGCGCCGCCAAAGGCACCGCCTGAGATGGAGTGCGACGGCGGCCGGCCCGGCAGCGGAGCGGGCTCAGGGGCGCTGGCGCCAGCCGCAGAGCCCGCCGGCGGGTCGGCCACGCCAGACGAGCGCAGCGACTCGAGCCGCGCGGCGAGCGGCGAGGCAAAGCGCTGCGTGCCCTCGCCGGACGACCACGACGACGGCAGCGTGCCGGCGCGCGCACGGCCCTTGGCATTGCCGGTGCCCGACGGCGCAAAGAGCGGGCCGGCAGTGCCTTCCTGCTGCTCAAGGCTGGCGCCCTCGCGCAGCGCAGGCGGCAGGTATGGCGCCGGCGCGGCGACGCCCGAGTCGGCCTGGATCTGGCGCGCTCTGCAGGACCGGCGTGGTGAGCAGGGCACGCAAAGGGAGCACGCAGCTGTGCGAGCGCACGACGCACCGCTTGGAGAAGAGCGGCGCGGCAGCGGCGGCCTTGGGCGCCTGGCTGGGCGAGGCGAGCTGTGCGGCCCTGCCAGGCGCAGAGGGCTCGCCGCGCTGGCCCATCGGGGCGCCGGTCAGAAGAGGCGGGCGCGGTGCTTCGCAGAGGTCGGCGGTGGTCTATCGCGGGTCGGGCAGGCGGGCGAGAGAAGGAAGAGATAGGCTGTGCACCCGACGGGCTGTGCAGCGATTAGACGGAGACGAGACCGGCTCGCACAGCTGGCAGGTGCAGAAACAGAGCGAGAGCGGGTGAGGCGAGAGGAGCAGCAGGACCGGGTGCGAAGGCAGAGAGAGAGCACGGACGGCAGAGCGCAGCGGGGGGCGCCGCTGGCTGAGGCGAGGCGGGGCGCTGCGCTGCGTGCTCTGCTGGCCTGCCGCTGCGCCGAGCGCCGCCGCTTGCCCTCTGCACCTGCTGGCCTGCCGGCTGCCTGCTTGCGCGCCTCTGATGCCGCCGCGGCGCCCGCTCCGCCTGCCGTGCGGCACGCGTGCGACCAGAATGGCCCTCGCCAGGCACCTCGGCAGCTCCTTGCCATGCTGCGAGCATGGCTTGTGGCCCACCACAGCAGCCAGCAGCTGCAGTAAGTTCAGCCGCAGCCGCAGCGCACCACGCTGAGCTCTGTGCGCGGCGCTGTGCCTGGTCGCCGCAGCTGCAGCGTGCGAGGCCCCCGTGCGCGCGCGACCCACTGCGCTGGCACCGCCGTGGGACGCCATGCACGCCGCGAGGGCCCGTCATCCTACGCCCTTGGCGCTCCCGCACGGCCGTGTGCCTGGTCCGGCCGGAGAACTCCTCCTCTTGCCGCAGTCGAGCGGGCCTGTGCGGCAGCGCTGGACCTTTCTGCGTGTCGGGTGTCAATCGAATCAGCTGGCCCAGTGCCGCTGCGCAGCACCAGCGTTGTTGCAGCGAGCGCGGTTGCAGTTCCGACGCGCACACCGCGCGGTTCCTCCGAGGCGCTGGGAACAGGCGCAGTGGGCCCCGTCGAGGATCTGCCGATGCGCCGGAGTGCCCTGGCTTGCCTCGGCACCTCGACGCCGCTGCACTCGACTGGCAGCTGCGTTGGCCTACACGTCAGCAGCAGGCAGCACGCAGGTGCAAGCCAGACGGCAGAGGCAAGTCGCCGGACCCGGAGGGCGTTGCTCTCTGCGCACGCGGCCAACCGCGTGCCTCTCGCGCGCCGATCTCGCCGCACAGTCCGCCCGATGCGGCGCGCCCCGCCGCCCCTCCTTCCCTTCGGCTCGCGACAGCGTGCCCGCCGCGCACGTGGACCAGTCGACGATGGGTATACTGCAATATCAGCGGATGGCTGAAATGAACTGTCTGGTGTGCCTCAGTCGTCTCCGGTCTCGAGAAGCCGAGACGCCTGCACGTCGCCAGGTTGGCAAAGAGGCATCGTCGCAGCCGTTTCGAGAGCGCTTCGAGATGCATGCGCGCGCTGGGCCGCATTCCCGCCGACGAGAACCATTCGCTCTCTGACGGCGCTGATTGCACAGACCAAGAGGCGCCACTGCCATGCTCGTCGGTGCAGTCTTCCACAGGCTCAGCGGCCCGCGCCTGGGTCCGCCCATCACGCGGTGCGACGCACCACGAGCCCCTTCTCTCATGCAGCTGCGGCAGCGCCAGGCTATCGCATGGCTGACTCCGAACGCCGGCTCGCGGCACCGACTCGCGCGCTGCAGGTGCGAGTGCTGCATCAAGGCTGCGCTGGGGCTCCAGGGTCCAGCGACAGGGGTGCCGCACGAGCCACACCGACGCCGAGCCGTGCGGCAGCATCCGCCTCCGAGGTCGTCACGATCCGCGGCTGCGGCGGACGCCATATGGATGCCAGCGCCACGACGCACAGCCCAGAGACAGCTGCAGCGCAGGAGAAGCGTATGCAGCCGCCCAGGCATGCACGCGGCGCCGTGCGCCGGCACCGGCAGCGGCTGCGGCGTGGAAGCGGTGCCGCATGGTGCATGCTGTGCTGCCTGCGTTGGCGGTGCAGCGCCGCAGCGCCATCCCGCGGCGCCGGCGCCACAGTCGCGCGTCTCCGCCCCTGAGCTCTGCTGCGAGCTGCGGGCTGAGGGTGCTGCCGCTGTGCAGCCAGCACAGCGGCGCAGAAGCAGGAGCGATGGCCGCCCTCACCGGCTCCTGCAGCTGACTTGAAGGCGGCGCGTGTGACAGCATCGCCGCAGCCTAAGAGCTACTTTAGGCGCAGGAGCCTCCGCGCAGCCACCCCTCGCGCGGCACCGCCGCCGGCGAGCCAGCACGCCGTCGCGCCCCGAGGCGAGCTTCTGTGCTTGACAGCCAGACCTCGTGCTGAACGTGCTGCGTGCTGCTCGCTGCTCGATCGTGCGCACGACCGCACGTCCCAGGCGCGCTCGGCGGCGGCGTGCGCTGGCAGGCGTAGCGTGCACGCTGCCGCACGTCGGGCAAAGTGCGGTCATCGCCGGTGGAGCCGCGCGCAGAGGCGAGGAGGGTGCCGCTTCGGCGCTGCGGCGCGCGCTGCGGCTCGCTGCGCGCGCGCGGCGGCGGCGTTGGCGAGCGATCTTCTCGGCGTGCGGCGGCCGCACCCTTGCGTCGGGCGCAGTAGACTGCTGCCGTGCCCGAAGGCGAGCATCGGCCCGGCGCTGCACCGCGCGGCGTGCGCGCAGGCACGGCTGCAGAGGATCTCAGCCGGCGCCGCTCCTCTGCCGCCGTGCCTGCCGGCGCACAAAGCCGAGAAGCTCGAACGCGCCGCCGTCACGACGCGCAGCAGCGGCGCCAGCGCAGCGTCGATAGCCAGGCACATGGGCAGTGTCCCGGCACGCACGCAGCCGCAAGCTCGAGGCGGCGCCAGCAACGGCAGGCCGCCGCGCGCGCACGCGGTGACTGCGACTGCTTCTGGCCCTGCCGGCCGCTGCTGTGCTGCCCGGCGCGCGCCCGCTGCCGCTCGGCGCCCGCCGCTGTCCGCCTGCTGCTGACCTCGCCGAGCCCGCTGCGCCTCCTTCCCTCTCCCGCACCCCTCTCCTCACCACTTTCCTCACCCACACCCGCCTCGATCTTCGCCCTCTCTCCCGCTCCGCCTGCTCCCCGTCTCTCGCTCGCCTCACGACACGCCGCTCGATCTTGCAGCGCCGCACGCCCGACGCTATCGCGCCCGCGCAGCTTCGCTCTGCGCACGTGCGGCTTCCAGCGGCACCCGCCTCGAACTTCCTCCACGACTGCTGCGCTCCTCTAATCTTCTGCCTCTCGGGCGTCACCAGCCAGACCCGTGCTCGTTGCTGCACCTACACGTCCCTTGCTCTGCCTTGCTTGCGCTGCTGAGTGCCGCTCCGCTGCTGCTGCTTCCCGCACCGGCCGACGTGCTTCGGCACACGCCAGCTGCGCGAGCCTGAGCCCGCTGCCGTCGCCTTCACTGGCTGTTCACGGCACTGCTCTGCTCTCGCACTCGCTCGCACCCTGCTCGCTGCACAGCCATGACAGCCGAGCACCCGCGCGGCGCTGCGGCGGCCGCGGCGCAGGCCAAGAAGCGCGCGCCCGTCGGCCAGCTGCTTACCGAGGCCGCCAATGGCTCCTCGTCGCCGTTGAGCAGCGATGCATCGGCGGCGCCCGGTCGGCGCACCACGGCGCGCCAGCGCAAGGTGCCGTCGCGTCTGCTCTCGCCCAGCCCGCCGCCGCTGCGCAGCTGGAGTGGCAGCTACGCTAGCAAGACCAAGGCCGCAGCCGCGACGCCGACTGCGCCACAGGCCGGTCGCGGCTCATCAGCCACGCCCACCGCGCCCGGCTCGCGCTCCAAGGCCAGCAGCAGTCCGCGCGGCCTGAAGAGCGAGCAGACCGCCGCCGAGGCTGCAGCCGCTGAAGAGGCTCTCGGTCCCGGCAAGAGGAAACGCAGGTCAGTATCTGTGCGCACGATTGCTGACGTTCTACTTGCTGACGTCAAGCTCGCCATGCGCAGACCCAGCACGATGACCCGGCCGCCGTCCACCATCACCACCGCTCCAGCAGTCTCTGTCTCCACGCCGGCTCCAGCGCCCGGCGCGGGCGCCACTTCGAATGAGCGCTCCAGCAGCATCGTGCGCATCAAGGTGCGCCCGTCCAAGAGCGTGAGCCCGCTGCCTGGATCCTCGGATCCGGCCGCACCGACGTCTGCGGGCCCGAGCAGCAAGGTCCGACGCGTGCCCTCCAGCGCGTCGCTGCGTCAGCCGGCGCTGCCCTCTCTCGACGAGGTGGCCGATGACTCGGACGGCGGCATTGCTGCGTCGCGCGCACTGCTGCTGGCCGAGCCCGACGACGACGCCGACGACTCCGACGCCGCTGGCCCGACGCCTGAGCGGCTCCGAGCTGCGCCTTCTGTGCGCTCATCGGCGCTCGCGCGCTTCACGCGCACGCTGAGTGGCGGTGCGGCCATCGAGCCGCTCGATCCTCCGCCGCTGCTCAGCCGCTCTGGTGAGATGCGCAGCGACGGGCGCGGACATGCGCGCTCGCGCACCCTCGACATCAGCATGTTCGCCTCGTCCAGTGCCGCGTCAGGCAGCAGCATCTGGGGCGCTCCTGTCATGCCACGCCTGGGGCGCATGTCGCTGCCTGCTGCCTCCGTCGCCGACGACAGCGATGGTGACGGAGACGACGAGGACGACTTCCACCAGGCCATGCTCGACGGTGGCGACTTTGACGTGGCCGATGACTTCAGCGACGCCGGCCGTCCCGGCTGGAAGAAGAGCCCGTATGCCACGGGCACGACGTCTGACGAGGAGGACACGCCGGCAACGACGCCACGCAGCCCGCAGAGCTGTGCGGAGCTGCCGGTCGAGCTTGCCTCGAAGGCGTCCGCGGTCGAGCAAGCCAAGACGGCGTCGCCAAAGGAGAAGACGACCCAGGGTGCTGGCAAAGAGGCACAGGACGGCGCAGCTGCTGCCGACTCCGTCTTCGTCCACGCCCTGCCGCCGTCGTCGCGCCGTCCGCACACGCACGCCGGCTCGCTCACCCTCTCGCTGCCGTTCGACGAGGCCGACGCACCGGCCGCCGGCGACGACCTGGCCGTGGCCCGTGGCGCCACGCCGCTCGTCGAGCGCAAGACGAGCAAGGTGATCGAGAGCGCGACACCGGCGTCTGTTGGTGCCTCGCAGCCGTCGCTCGTGGGCCTGAACCTCAGCCTGCAGAGCGACGCTGGCGACGACGCCGGACTGCTCTCGCCTGGCCACGCCCTGCTCGGGCTTGCTGCTCCGCCGCGCAACGGCATGTCGAGCACGCACGGCAGTCCGTTCGTACATGCCGCTGTGCTCGACCGCATCTCCAGCCCTGCGCCACTCGCGCTTCCTCCGTCCCGCGCCAATGTCGCCGAGACCGGCCGCGAGTCTCCGCGCCAGCGCCTCTCCAGCGCTGCGGCGGCTGCCACGGGTGGCGCCAGCGAGGATGCTCTTCGTCCCTCGCGCTCGACCTCCCGCCGCGATGCCGAGTCGTGGCTCGCCGAGATGCGCTCCATCTCGCCGCACTCGAGCCTCTCGGCGCGCCTTGAGGAGGAAGAGGACGAGGATGTCTTTGGCCCGCCCGAGGCCATGTGTCTCTCCGACCTCGACCGCGTGTGGGACCGCGTTGAGCGCGCACGCGGCATGACTGTCGAGGAGCCCATGCGCTCGTCGACGCCACTCCGCGAGCTGCACGACGTGGTCGACGTTGAGACGCCCGGTCCCTCCACCAGCGACAACGAGGTGCAGGATGCGCTGCAGCTGCACCTCACGCCCAGCAAGGACGACGAGCAGCTGCGCAGCGCCTCCAAGCGCGCCGCTCCGCCGACGCCGTCCTCGACTGGCGCCCGCAAAACGCGCAAGTCGGCCGCCGCCGCCTCGCCCGCGACGCCGCCGCGCGCCACGCGCCGCAGCCTTGCGGGTGGCGCTGCCGTGACCACTTCGCGCTCCTCCGAGAAGACGCTGCGCCGCTCCAGCGGCCGCCGTCGGTCGCCTTCGCCCTAGGTGCCCGTGCGTGACATCGCCGGCGCCGCCGGGCCGACCCGCGCTCCTTCGCCTTATTCTCTCCATTCTGCTCGCACGCACCTCAACTCCGTCTGGCGTTCTCTCTATCCCTCGCAGTCCCTTGCGTCTGTCCACTGATGATCCCTTGATGCTGCGCCCTCGCTCTCAGTCTCTGTATAACACCACCAAAGGCCCAATCTAAACACCCCACCTCACCTCTCATGACCCCCGTCCTCTGCTGCTGCCTTCTCAACACGGCGCGCGCGCGACCCCCTTCCGCCCCACCCTCGCGTCCCCTCCTCCCGCTGGACCCTTTTCTGATATCGGCCCCGCGCCACCCCTCAATTACTACCTCTAAACGCGCACGATGCGCCTACTCTATCGTGTGGACGTGGTGAGATTGCGTGAGGAGTGAGTGGCCGTGTGCGTGTGTAGAGGTGACATCGAGAGAGCGAGACTGGACCACGGAGGCGAGATCAGAGCGGCACGAACTTCTGCATGCCGATGAGACGGATGCGCTTCGGGCGCAGGTAGTCGCTGGGGAGGAGGCGTGAGCGGAGAGGCAACAGCAGCGGGCGGAGAGACTCACGAGAGGCTCATGCAGCCAAAGACGGAGACGCGCTTCAGTGCCGGGCAGCCGTCCTGCTCGTTGCACAGCGCCATGATGACCGAGTCCTTGACGCTGCGCACGAAGCCCACGTCGAGCGTCTCGAGTACAGGACAGAACTCGGCGATGCGCTCCAGCGCCTCGGCCGTGAGCGCCGTGCACGAGTTGATGTTGAGCTCGCGCAGCGTCGGGCCCGAATGCGCCAGCATGGCGATGAAGCCCTCGTCGGTGAGCGAGGTGCAGCGCTCAAGGTTGAGATACTCGAGGCCCGGACGCTTCTGCTCGGAGAAGCCGAGGAAGAGGTCCGACCAGACCGACGGCTCCTGACCCTCCAGACTCGCCACCTGGTTGACGCGCAGCGTGCGCAGCGACTGGCAGTATTCGAGCACGCCGGAGAGCAGAAAGTCGCCGGAGAGGTCAATGTTGCCGCCGACGTCCAGGTACGTCAAGTCCTTGCCGACGTGCGACAGGAGCTCCACGACATCCATGTCCTTGAGACTCTCGGCGGGCACGCCAGGAGTCGAGACGCCGGGGTCGCTGATGTCGAGGTACTCGAGGTGCTTCAGCGGCTGGAGGACAGCGAGACACTCGCAATTGAGCGGCCCAACCTGCGCCAGGCCGAGCTCACGCAGCTGCGGCGACGTGTCGACGAGCTTCTGACAGCATGTGATCTCGAAGCGCGGCGACTCGCGGATCTTGAATGACTCAAGCTGGCCGGCGCGGGCGTCGAAGAACTCGTGCCACGCCGCAATGTAGACGAGGTACGGGCCGTACAGCTCGATGCTGCGCAGCTGCGTCAGACGCTTCGAGTACTCTGCCATCGTGGCGTTGTTCAGACGGCCGCAGAGCTGCAGGTTGAGCTCGGTGATGTCGGGTGAGAAGATGCTGATGCTCGTGAGCGCGTCAGAGTCGAGCCCTGCAGGAGATAGTCAGCGCAGTGCGGTGGGCTCGTGAGTGCGGGGCTGCGCACCGGAACAGTCGTAGAAGTGCAGCTTGCGCGCATCGCGAGTGAGGAAGAGCTGCAGCGTGCTGGAGTTGAGGCGGCGGTTCTTGCTGATCGACTGTGTGCCAGCAGTGATCAGCTTGCAGCTCGTATAGGAGCAACGGCGGGCCTCACCTTGGAGATGTCGTCCATGTTCGAGCTGCCGAGGCCGGTGAGCGCATCGACGTTGTCGATGTGCGTACTGATGATCTGCGAAATCTAGCGTCAGGACCACCGCCGCAGTACTGCTCTTTCCTCGACAGCACAGCGTCACTCACATCAATGCACAGACTCTGCAGCGTTGGCAGCTTGAACTCGCCCACCTCGCCCTGCTTGAACTTCTGGCGCTTCTGGCGCGGCGCCCTCTTTGCGGCGCCACGCGCCTTGGCGGCCGTGTTGCCGGTGCACTTGTTGCACACACTCTGGCCCGGCGCCGGGTGCGATGTGTATGCCGTCACGGTGAACTTCTGCTCGCAGGCCGCACACGTCGTGACGCTGCCGACGCTCGCGTTGCCCTCGGCGTCCAGGTCCTCGTCGTCGTCCTCATCGAAGGTGAGCGCGTTGCGCGGACGCTTGGCACGCGCAGCCGCCGAGGCGCGCGTCGTCTTGGCCTTGGCGGGCGCCTTGCCCTTGCCCTTGCTCGTCGACGGCGCATCGGGCTCCTCGTACTCCGACTCGTCCGAGTCGTCGTCCTCGGCAAAGTCGAGCGACTTGCGCGACTTGGGGCGCGGGCGCTTCGGCGCCGGAGCGGACGGCGCAGCAGAGGCACGGCGGCGAGCCGCACGAGCCGGCGTCGGCGTGCTCGACTCGCCAGCAGCTGCGGTGTCGTCGTCGGCACCGGCAGCACTCGGACCAGCAGCTGCAGCGGCGGCGGCGGCAGCGGCAGCAGCAGCCTCGCGCTCGGCACGCGTCTGGAAGCGGTTGTTGGTGACGTGGATGTTCTTCTCGCGCAGGAAGGCCGTGAGGGCCGACGTGGGGCCCGAGATGTGGTGGCGTGACATGGCAGGCGGTGTGATGAGGAGCGAGGCCGGGTCAGTGATGGAACGGAGAGAAGCTGCACAGCCCTCGAGCGCTTGCTGCTCGCCACCGGGGCGAAGCACACCGCTGCGTTTCCCACGCTCGCACTTTCGTCCACCTCTCCCGAGTGCCGAGAGAGGCACTTCGCGCGCCGCGCTGGGGTGCCGGACGCCGGCCGGTACGCGGCGTGTGAGGTTGCATGCGCGACGCGTCGCTGAGGGGTCAGGCACAGGAGCAGCGACAGGAGACTTTAGACTGAGAGGGCTGTCTGCGGCGCGCGCGCGCGCGCGAGGAGAAGGCGGCCGCGCTTGCCTCAGCAACACGGCGCCTCCACCTTCGCAGCCAGCATCCGCACCACACCCTGCCGCCCACTCCCGCATCTGCTGACCGCCATGTCTTCGCCCATGGACGACGATGACTCCTAGTGCGTAGCTTTCATGCATTGCGTGCGCACACCCGCTCACCTCCCGCCAGCGAGCGCCAGCGCCTGGCCAACATCGCTGAGAACGAGGCACTGCTGCGCGAGCTCGGCGTCGCCGGCGGCCTCTCGGGCCGCGCCTCCAAGCAGCGCGCCACCACCGCCGAGAAGCCCAAGAAGGCCGCGGTGACAAAGAAGCGCAAGGCGCCCGCCCGGGCCCCCGAGCCGGCGGGGCCGCGCCGCGTCAGCTCGCGTCTGGCCGGCCTCGAGGCGGACAGCGAGAAGCTCCAGCGCAAGTACGAGGTGAGTGTTGGGCGCTCGTGAGCGGACTCAGGACAGGCTGTGGCAGCGCTTGTTGCAGCCCTGCTGACTCGCCATCGCGTGCAGGAAGAGGCTGAGGCGTTGCGCGAAGCGGCGGATGCAGCACGGCGAGCCAAGCACGAAGACCAGTCGCTGTCGCAGCTGCTCGGCGAGGCATCCACCGCGGCCGAGATCGAGGGCCTGACAGCTGCGCTCGCTGCCGACGCTGCCGAGACTGCCAAGGCAACTGCCAACGGCGATGCGCAGCCCGAGTCGGCCTCGCTCTCTGAGCTGCGCGCCGTGCTGGAGCGTATGGAGCTGCGCGCCAGCTCGAAGGTGGTGCAGAAGCGAGTCTACTCGATGGCCGTGCACCCGCGCAGCTCGGAGGGCCGCGGGGACCTCGTCTTTATCGGCGACAAGGAGGGCTCGATTGGTGTATGGGAGCCGCTCGCTCCGAAGGCCGGCGGCGACGATGACGAGGACGCCGAAGCGACGATCCCTGAGGGCCAAGCGTGGGCGCTGCAGGCGCACGGCCGGTCACCGGTGACGTGCCTCAAGGTCGACCCGCTCGCACACCGCACGCTCTACAGCTCCAGCTACGACGCCACTGTGCGCGCGCTGGACCTTGAGAGCGGCGTCAGCTCGGAGGTGTGGCAGGGGTCGGAGGACGTGCTGCTCTCCATCTTCGAGGTCCTGCCGGGCAGCGGCGCGAGCGAGCGGAATCTGTGGGTGGCAGACCACCGCGGCGGCCTGATCAGCGTCGATCGGCGGATGCGCTCGGTGGAGTCGAAGCGGTGGCAGGTCTGCGAGAAGAAGGTGAGCCGCACGTTTGCTCGCGCAACGGACTGGACCTGACCGCTGCTCGTCAGATCGGTGGCCTCTCGGTCAACGTCGCACGGCCACACTGCGTCGCCGTCGCGTCGCTCGACCAGCATATTCGTCTCTTTGATACCCGGGCACTGGCCATGCTGCCGACAGTCGATGAGGCGCCCTACAACGCGCGCAATGTGGACGAGGACGACCTCGAGCGTGCAGTCAGCCAGGCGCAGATCGGCGCCAGCAAGGCGAGGCTTGCATGCACAAGCGTCGACTTCTCGCCGCGCGGCGACCAGCTTGTCGGCGTCAGCTACGACGACGTGGTCAAGGGTGAGTCACCTTTCCAGCTGCTTCTGACGAAGCGAGCACTGACGCTCGTCCTTCAGTCTGGGACATGCACCCTTCGTGGCTGTCACGTGAGGCGACAGACGGAGCACGGACACGCTCGCAGCGCGGCACGCCACGCAAGGCCTCTGGCAGCTCATCACCTGCGCCGAAGATCGCACGCGCAAAGGCACCGCGGGCAAACGCACGCGCCTCGGCGGCCTCTGCAACGGCTGCGGAGACGGAGGAGGAGGATGTGAAGCGGCCGGGCCTGCTGCGCTGGCTGAGCCGCGACAAGGAGGAGCAGGAGGACAAGAAGCCGCTCGCAGGCGAGGAAGAGGCTGCGGCCTCAGCTGCCGCCGTCGAGGCCGAGGACGGCGACGCGGACGGACCGCCCCGTCCGCAAGATGTGCTCGAGTCGCCGCGGGTGATCCCGCACAACAACCAGACCGGCAAGTGGCTCACGCTCTTCCGCGCCCGGTGGATGCGGAACGCCGACGTCGAGCCGCACTTCACGGTCAGTGCCGCGCCGCGAAGCGGAATGCGCATAGCTGACTCGAGAACCTGCTACAGATCGGCGGCATGAACCGGCACGCCGAGATCTACGACTCCAGCGGCGTGCTGCTGCGCTCGCTGTACGACGCAGACAACATCACGGCCGTGCCTGCCGTGACGGCGATGCACCCGCGCGAGATGGGCCGCCTGGCAACGGGCAACGGCAGCGGGCGCTGCACGTTCTGGTGCCCGCCGCCGGACAGCGACTGAGACGCGAGGTGCGCTGAGAATACATTATTGCACATCGTGAATCGGGGTCTCGGGACATCGCTGATCGTGACGGGCAGAAGATGCGGCGACTAGCCGGCAGTCGACGGGATCTGGCTCTCCACCGCCGCGACGGAGGATTCGGACTCTGCACCGGCGTCGACGTTGTTGTCGTCGGCAGCACCGTCTGCGCCGCCGGCAGGCGCTGCGCTGGCGCGCTCTTCCTCGTCTGCTGCATCGGGCTGAGAGCGCTTGGGCGCGTTGCGGCCCGTCCGGCGCGGCGTGTACTCCTCGTCGCTCGCGCCAGTAATCTCATCTTCGTCGTCCTCCTCGCTGCCGCTGACTTGAGGATCGTGTGTGCGCTCTCGGCGGCTGCGCGGGACGTCCGGCTTGGGCTCCCACAGCGTGGGGTGCAGATACTTGCCCCAGTTCGGAGTCTGTCAGGCACCGAGACGTCAGCAAGAGTTATGCGAGGAGCCAAGTAGACCAAGGACGCACTGATAGCCCATCGCGCTGCAAGCTGATGAGAATGTTGCGCGCCTTGTCCTTGAGCTGCACATTGTTCCAATTGGCCAGCTCTTCCGACTCGCTGCCGTTGGGCCCATGCAGCTTGAGAACCTCCGCGTAGATCGCGTAGCTGGCGTTCTTCTTCTTGTGCTTGTAGAGGGCATTGAGCGCGTCCATGAACACCACCTCCTCCTCGTCGGTCCACGTGCGGCGTCCGATATGGCCCTTTCCAATGACGTACTTCCGGGCGTTCTTGTTTGGCCGGACGATCTTGCGCGTCTGCGTCGCTGGACGTCCGCGGGAGGCGGGCGCTTTGCTGACAATGCGGCTCGCGCTGCGCCGGTCGTCATTCGACGGCGGCGGCTCCTGGGCTTCGTCCGGCTGCTCCGCATCGCCTTCCTGTTCCGCAGGTGCTTGCGCGGCGCGAGCACGCGTGCGCGTGGCCGATCCGGCGCCGGAGCCGATGAGCTCACCGCGGGTGCTCTTGCGCGGCGCCGCGGCAGATGCCGGTGGCGCAGCGCCTGCGCCCTCGTCGACTTGGTCGTCTTCATTTGCCTCGTCGGCGATGACGGGAACAGACGCGTTCTTGCTGCCGGGTGCGTCGTAGCCCCTGCGCTTCCGCCGGCGCTCGAGGGCCGAACCCCTGCCTCGCGGCCTGGGCCCCAGCTCCTCCACAACGTACTCGCCCTCGCTGCTGCCGTCGGAGCTGACATCGAGCAGGTCGCTCGGCTGGCCCGCAGCGCGGCTTTGGCTGCGAGCTGCGGTGCCGCGCGGTGCTGGAATGTTCAACTGGCCTGCACGGCGACGCTTGCGGCTCTGCGAGAGAAGCGTGTTCACATCGACGAGCTCCTCCTCGTCGACCTCGAAGTCGGCCGCCGGTGACTGCGAACGACGCACACCCGAGCGCCTGAAGCTGCGCTGCCCATTCGGCGGAGGCTGGTTCTCGTCCGCCTCGTCGACAAACGGCGCCTCGACGCCGTCGTTGCGACCGCGCTCCTCTTCAAGCTCCACCTCGGGCATCTCGTCGAACGCGGGCATCTCGGGCTGGTTCAAGAACGCAGCGTCTTCTTGCCCGTCGGCTCTGCTCTTGCTGGCAGAGGACTGTCCACGCGCCTGAGCGCGGCGACGTGGCGTGCCGGGGTTGGCGCTGGCCTGTCTGGAGGACTGTGCGCGGGTGGTGCGGCGCGTGCGGCCGGCCGCGCTTGGCGCGTCGACCTCGGACTCCGCCTGATTGCCAGCAGCAGCAGCTTTGCTCTTGGAACGAGCCGCGGCAGCCGTCTTTGCCTGCTTGCGCGGGGCCTCGAGGAAGATGTTGCCATCCTCGTCGTCTTCATCGAAGCGGTCGAGACGCACGCCGGTGCCCTTGCCCGCTGCGAGAATGCTTGCAGCAGCCGGCTCGTTGGTCCTGCACAATCTCTCACGGTCAGCACACGCTTCACGCACGCGGCGCTGGCCTGCTCACCGTACGATGCGCTTCTGCGAGTCGAAGCGGAGGCGAGCAGCCGGGCTGCCTGCAGCTGCCTGCTCAGCGCCGTTCACGAGCTGCTCCTCGCCCTCCGACCCGTCATGCGTAGCCACCCGCTCGTGCACGGCAGCGTCAGCTCCGATCGAGCGACGCGACGCTGACGCCTTCAGCTGCGCCATGATGCTGGACGCATTCTGTCGCTGCGGTGTGTTGAGCTCGGCGAGTGAAGCTCGCACAGCGGCCGGATAGCCCGCGGCCGCGTCGTCCTCGCCCATCTGCTGGATCACTTTCTGAGCCGTGAGGGCGATGCTGGCCCGCGGCGTGAGATCTGCCACGCTCGAGCCGAAGATGACCGCAGTGTCGTCCAGTGCGAGTCCGTTGAGCTGCTGCAGCTTCTGCGAGGCAGTCAGGTCCAGCAGGGAACTGAGCTGCGAGTCTCCAGCGATCGGCACAGCAAGCGGCTTGCTGGCAGGGGCCGCCACTCTCTGCCGCTTGGCAGGAGCCTCTGCGTTTGTGCCGTCCTGCTGAGCCAGCTCGTTAAGCCACTCCATCCTGTGCGGAGGTGTGGTGAGCTGGATGCACGGCGTCCGCTCTTAAGCGCTGAGGACTTACTTCTGCAAGTCGATGCTGTCCAGGTCCTGCTGGCTGGAAGCGGCAGGCGAGCCAGTCTCGGCGTCCTTGAACACGCTCTCCGCAGCCTCAGACATGACGTCTTCCTCAGCTTCGAGGTCGCTCTCGACAGGTGCGCCGACTGCGATGCCGCGAGGCGTGCTCTGGCGGGCCAACGCCGCCGACGCCTCCTCTTCGTCCTCGATGAGCACACTGCCACTGCCGCTCCGCAGGTCGTCGGTGTCGGCGACCTCGTCAGACACGTCCTGTCCGTCGGCGGACATGCGCGCGAGATCGTCGAGCAGCCCAATCAGCGACGAAGAGCATGCCGGCGGCTGTCCGGGCGCATCGAGATAGCCCACGAAGCGGGCCATGTCGACGGCGGTGCCGCGGAGGGGCCACTCCTTAGCCATCAGCTCGACGTCGTCGTCCAGGCTCTCGATCTGCGCGACAGCCAACGTGAGCTTCGCTCCGGAGCCCGGGTCGGGTCGCACTCACCTGGAAGACACGCGCACGCGCGAGCTGCTCAAAGCGACGCACGATCTCCTCCACCTCCGCCGAACGCATCTGGCGCGCGACGCGAGCGCGCAGCAGCGCAGCACGGACGGCCTCAGCGGACAGCGAGTCGTCGCGGTGCTCAATGGCACGCTTGCGAGCAGCACGCGGCAGGGCGCGATCCGCGCGACGACGTGCAAGGTACACCTGCGTGCAGAGGTCGAGATGCAGCGCCAGCACATCGTCGCTGATGGCCACGTCCGCCGGCACAATCCAGGCCAGAAAGACGCGCCGAGCATCGAGCAGCTCCGTCAGCGAGCGATGCATGTAGCCGCCCGTGCCGAGGTCCGCCGACGATGCGTTGGCCGGCACGCCGTACACGTAGTGCACGAACGTGGCGCGGTTGGCGAGCGCCAGCGAGCGATCAAAGTACTCCGGCGGATCCTCGAGCAGACTGGCAGAGCGCACGGCCGACGCGTCGATGAAGTGGTTGTGGTACTGGCCCTCGGCGAGGAGCTGGTTGGTCTTGTACGCTGCGAGAGCGCGTCAGCAACGGACAAAAGACTGCCCGTGACAGCGAGTCGCGTAGCATGGTGGATCTGCTCACAGTGGAAGGGGTCCCAGCAGCGCCGCATCTCCGCGACCGAGCCGGACTTGGCGCCATCCTGCACAAGGCCGGCATAGAATGACAACAGCTTGCTGGCGTTCGTCTCGAGGGCGCCGCAGCGCTCAGCCAGGCTTGGCTCGTGGATCTGGCCGTCGTCGCCGACCAGGCTGCGGCGCAGGCGAGGTGCACCGGCGACGGAGGTTGTGCGCGACGTCGAGCGGCCCTCCGAGGTCGCGAGCTGCGAGCGGCGACGCACATAGCTGCTGTCGGGCGCGAAGGACACGACGCTCTGGTTGCCCGAGATGTCGCCGCGACCAGACGGCGCACGTCCGGACACGTTGCCAGCACCGCTGCTGCGGCCGCCGCGAAGGCGCTCGACGGCCGTGGCGAAGCTGGCGGACTGCGTGGTCTGAGTCGGGCGCGGCAGGCTGCGGTCCTGCTCCGAGGACAGCCGGTTGCGTTCTCGGCTCGGCATCGTCGCGCGAGGGCGCCGAGCGGCCGGTGCCTCGAAAGCTGCGTCCGGACGACGGGCGTCGTCGACAGCACTCATGCGCGGGCGCAGGAGCTCTTGGGCGACGCGCGCAGAGTAGGCGTTACGCGACGCTGGGCGGACCGACTCGGACAGTCGCGAAGTCTGCGTGCGGCCTGCAGGACGCTTGCGCGGCGACACGGCCGGCGGAGACGAGGCGGCGTTCTCGGCAAAGGACGTCGCGCCGCCGGTGCGCGAGGAAGACTGACGCTGGCGCGCGGTGCTGTAGCGCGGCACGGCCGTGCGGTCCTGCTCCGACATGCCGTCGTAGTCGTCCTGCGGCTCCATCTCGTACGCCGCTTCTTCCTGCGCGTACTCCTCCTCCTCCTCGACTTCCTCTGGCTCGGCGCGTCGCAGTACGTGCGACACTCGCGTCCGGCTGCTGGGCACGAGAGCGTAGCGCTCGGGCGGCGCGCGGCCCGCAGACTCGTCGTCGGTCTCGGCGCTGCCCAGACGGCTCGAGCGCACGAAGCTGCTGGCACGGCCGGCACGCAGCGGCGGAGCGGCGGCCGAGACGCGCGACGACGAGCGGGTGCTGCGCTGCGGATTGGCAGGCAGCGTGCGCCGCGGTGCGGCGCGGCGCGACTCCATCCGCGCAGACGAGAGCGCGCAGGGGCCCTGCTGTGTGCGGTAGGTGTGAATGGGCCTACGTGTAGGCGCTCTGGGCCTCGCGTTGGTGAGATGGCGAGGCTGATGGCGCGGTGATGGTGGTGGGAATGTGGAGTCGAGAGAGGCGAGAGAGAGGCAGGCGGCGGCCGGTGCCGCCGCCGCGCGCGACGCGTCCTGCTCCCACGCATGCCACCGCCGACGGCTGCCTCGCAGGCGACGCCTCGCCTCGCCGCAGCAGCTCCTCGCAGCGCCGCCGGCTACGTGGCCAACCCTAGCTTAACCCTAACCCTACTCTGACCCTAGGTAGGGTTAGGGTCGGGAAGAAGCGCCGCGGCAAAATGCCGTGCCAATCGGAGGCTGCGTGTACCCAGGCGCGGCGTGTCGGGCCCCGCGTTAGATCTCGCGCCGGGCCTCATGCACCCACACCCAGACTAATTGCGCTGCCCGACATCGGCTGCCCGCAGTCATCATCGGGAGGCACATACAGAGCACGTTCTCATTATCTCATTATCGTCTGCACAGCATCGTGCTCATCGTTGGACATGGCGGCATTACAAAGAGACGCATCACGGGACAAGGTCATCGAGCGCACAAGATCAGGGGCCGGAGCAGCCGTGCCCGCCGTCGTTCGCTTCTCATCGCGGGCCACCGGCCATTAGCCCAAGGCCAGCGAGGCCGTGGCTGCCCGGCGCAGCAAGGGAGAACTCGGTCCGGCGCGAGACGGCCGAGAAGTACTCGGACGCCGGCGGCTCGCTGCGCTGCTGCGACACAAAGTCCCAGCTGTAGGCGGACGCGTCCTCGTCGTCGTTCCAGCCGCCGGCCTGCGCGACAGTGCTGTCCATCGACGGCGAGTGCGGCGCTGCGACTTTGGCGCTCCAAAGCGAGTCGGACCCGCCAAACGTCGGCGTGGCGAAGGGCGCAAGCTGCCGTCTGCCTGCATCCGTCTTGGGCGTGGTGGGATTCTGTGCCGAGGGGCGCGAGGCGGTCGAGGCGTCGCCGCGGCCAACGTGTCCGGCTCGTCGGCTCTGCGCTGCTCCCAAGCGAGGGGTGCGGCGACTCGCGCTGCTGCCGCTCCTCGGGCGAGTGCCGAATGCGGCAGTAGCGTGGGGCGAAGGAGTGCCAGGAGCGGCAGACAGCGTTGCCGAGCTGCCGCTGCGGCTGCGTGATCCCTGGCTGATGCTCGGCTTTGACAGCGCCTCGACCAGCGACGCGAGCCGCACCGGACTGCTGCGCGTCGAACCACGCTCGGTGGATGCTGCGCGCATCGTGGCGCCGCGCTTGCGCTGCGGGCTCGCCGGACTTGCAGAGGTGTCGTCCTGCTCGCCAGCGGCGACGGTGCGCCTGCGTGATGGCTTCGGGCGGCGCGGAGGCAGAGGCGTCGGCGGAGCCAGCGCTCCATGGCCCGCGGGCGCGGCCCTGCTGTCCAGCAGCTCTAGGAACGGCATCCGTGCGTTCGCATCGTATTCGATTGAGGCCCTCGAGGTCCAAGGAGAGACGGGTTCAGGAGATGGCCTTCGAGGCACATCTTGCGAGGGCCGACCGGGCCGAGCGACGCTGCTGGGAAGGAGGACCTGCAGCAGCACATCTGCACTCGGCTGGCAGCTGTTAGGCGACGGCGGCCCATCTGCCCGGTCCACTCTCGCCGTGTCCATGCCCAAGCGTGCTGCTCGTGGCTCGGCAGCCAAAGTGTAGCGCTCCAGCTTAAAGAGCTGCTTGTCGACTGCAATGACCGTCTCGGCCACGGCCTCCTTGCCCACCTCCTCATCGGAGCCCAGCTCGCTGGCCTTTGACGGACGCCGGAAGAAGAGCGAGCGGCGCCGACCATGCTTGCTTCGTGGCGGCGACTTGGCCTCGACGCAGAGGGGGACGCTCGCCGCTGCGGGCGTCACAGAAGAGGAGACGGGTCGGCTCTTGCTGCCAGCACCGAGCACGGCGGCCGCGGCCCAGAGCTTGCGCGAGCGCCGGCCGAGCGTGTCGTCGCGGGGCGAGTCTGCGAGCATTTGGTGCGCTCAGGTTGACGGAGGGTCGCTGGGTGGCTCTCATAGGAAGCACGCCCGGCTTTATACAGCTGTGCGCACAGACCTGACCTTGACGGCGACTTGGCCGCGGCCGTTAGGCCAGCGCACCTGCACGCAAGGGGCGCGGCGCGAGCGCGAGCCGCCGAGTGCACGCTGACGTCTGAGCCGCCGTGCCGCAGCGGTGCCTGCCAGGCTCTCGGGTCGCCATCGTCCGAGTCGGCAGGGGTGTGCTCATGCTGCGAGAGGTCCAGCAGTGCGGTGCGGGCGCCGAGCTCCGAGGCTCGCGTCCCCCTTGCGCCGCAACGGCTCCCGAGCATCGCGCTGCGCGAGCGGGGCACGGACACGTGCCGCACCAGCGACCGCGATGCCTGTCCCTGCATTTGCGAGCCATCCGCGTCCGAGTGCTACATGCTGGACCGGCGCTGCTCCAGCTCCGTACCGCAGCAAGCGCAGCCGCGCTCCGGAGCATTTGTTTGTGGCCAGGTGACCTTAGCGCTGCCAGGCGGCCCCGTAGCGCTGCCACGCCTGCAAGGGGCGCCGCGCAGGGGCAAGGAGAGCAGGCAGCGCAGACGCGCGACGCGCGACGCGCGACGTCGACAGCGGCCGCCTTGCTTCGCAGCACGAGCGTGCAGCGCATGGCAGCACCCGCACACCTCCTCGCTTGCTCGCCGAGTCGGCCCCTCGGTCACGGCCACCATGGTGATGCTTCGGCGCGAGCTGGTCGTGTGCTCGTCTGTCGGCCGAGAAGCAGTGAGCAGCCCGGCAGCTCAAGAGGTTCGCGGTCATACGACCGTCAAGTCAAGAAGGTCAGCTCCGCTCTGCACCGTCACCGGGCTCGGCCACGCTCAGACGAGCTGAGAGCGCAAGCCCAGCACGACAGCTCAGGACAGAACGGAGGTGCAACTTGCGAGGCATGCTGAGCCGCGTCGCTCTCACTCGCGTGACTGCATCAGCTGAGGGGCCGCCTCACCAAGCTGCTCAAAGCGAGGCATCACCACCAAGGCAGTGTACACACCACGGCATCACCAAGGCAGTGTACAGTGCTCGCTGTGCGAACGTGGTTGCATTGTGGGTGGCACATGCGCGTGGCAAGGGCCTGTGTCATGAGCAGGGCGCGGCCACCAACGCGCCCCGACGGGGTGGAGTGGAGAGGAATGATGATGGTCGGATGTTTTGTGCGTCGCTCCTGACCGGCGACGCAGAGACGGTAACGGGAACGAGGAGACACTACGCGCGCGGGCACCGGGAGATATACAAGAACAGATCACAGCAGGCTGGCATTGCTCCAGCGCGTGCGGCGAGACGTCTAGTAGAACGTGGCGGGGCGGTGCGCGGCGAAGAGGCCGAGCGCACGCGGGCGGCGGTGCGGCAGCGGGAAGCGCAGCTTGGGCGTGATGAGCTGCTTGATGTACGGGCGGCGGATGTCCGACGTCTTCTCGATCTCAGAGACCTTGAGGATCTGTGGCGCACGGCGCGTGAGCATGCCGTCGATGCTGAGACGTAGAGGGCGAGACACGGCAAGCACAGGCTGCGCATAGACGGCTGTGGCTGCCAGAGCACGGCGACTGGCGCTTGGCCATCAAGCGGACGAGCACAGGCTCCCCGCATGCCCCATCGCCTGCTCTGCACTAGCCCACCTGCAACCCACACTGCCCGTCCGTGTCTGTCCCGCTCTCTCCGCCCGCTTCATGTACTCACGTGGATGCTGGCAAAGCGAGCGCGGTGGCGGGCAGCCATGTCCTGGTACATGCTCTCGACGGCGCCGGCGCGCGACATCTCGCGGTACTCCTTGTACATGTTGTGCGTGCCGGAGCGCGAGTTGTAGCGCAGCCAGATGCCGAAGTTCTTGGCCTTCAGCGGCTTGGCCTCGGAGATCTGCGGGGCGGCATGAGCGCTGCTCGAGAGATGCGCTGGAGGTCTGGACCGGGTCCGCAGTTGTCGCCCATGCTCTGCCCGTCCCATCGCACGCTGTCATTTGTCCTCCCTGCCTAGCCTCTCATGCTCCTGCAACGCCCGCCCCAATCCTTGCTCGCCCGCTCTCCGCAACTACTCACAGCGTTGCAAGCAACGATCTCGCCCGTGGCCTTCTTCATCTTCCGCAGCTGGCGCACGAAGTACCAGAAGCGGCTCTTGGCCACCGTCGCATTGGGCGCAAAGATGCGCATGCGGTACAGCTTCGGCGTCGGCTCACGCTCCGTGGGGAGGTGGCGGCCGATGACCATGTACTCAGTGAAGCGACCCATTTTGGACAACCTGTGGGGGCGGCGTGGTGGTGTGAGCGTGAGATGCGCGATTTGAGGCGCGGCGCGGCAAGGTCGAATCGAGATCCCGCCCGACGAGCAGTCGCGCACGTAACGCCAAGGCTCTGCTCCCCTACTCTGCCCGGTGACAGCAAGACCACGCCGGGCCGACGCCACGAGGCCCAGCCGCCGCGTCTCCCTGCGCCCTTTCGCCATGCCCTCTGTCCGCTTCCCAAGCTTTCCGCTGCTCCGAGACCGCCCATGCGAAGCCCTGTTTCTGGCTACTTCATGGACGCGGTCCAGCGTGGCAGTGCGGGCCGCGTGCGACAGGCGAGCGTGCAAGTGCCCAGGCTCGCGAGCTGGACCACAGAAGATGGCCCATCGAGCGGAGCGGCAGGCGAGCGCGACGCGGAGGAGTGCGCGAGGATGTGTGCAGCACGGCGCAGCATGCGCTGCAGTGTGGACGGCGGCGAGGTGCAGCGAGGGGCGGATACGCACAGCAAGGGGATCTTGAGGAGGGGGTGGTGGACAGCAGCGAGGCGGCGGCGGCGGCCGCTGTGTGGCAGCGCCGGCGCCGCCCAGGAAGCTCGGCGGCTCTGCTGCGGTGCGCGGCGCAGGGCGGCAGAGGGAGGCACGCGCGTGCGACTCCCCCCGCGCCGCCTCGTCACTCGAGACCCGCGCTTATGTCAGCGCGCCGGCTCTGCCTGCTCGACAGCGACACGTGACGCGAGCGTGGGAGCAGCACTGCCTCGTACGGGAGCCGAGTGGAGAAACAGCAGCCGAATCCACCTCCAGCCGGCGATCAGACTGCGCATCACCCACCACCACACCGCGCCGGTCACATCTGCTCACTGCGACCGCTTCTGCCCGCCATGCCTGCTCAGCTCTATCCCGCCGAGCACGCAGACGCGCTCAAGGCGTGGCTCACCGACAGCCTTGCGGGCATGTGAGTGCCGACGCTGTGGTGCACGCGCCACCTCGCACACTCAGGCTGATGGCTACGACCCTCGCAGCTGCGACGCAGACCCGGCCGTGCTGTCCGACTACGTGCTCGCGCTCATCCGGCACGATCTGTCGGGCGACGAGCTCAAGACGTTCATTGCCGAGCAGCTCGAGGACTTCCTCGCTGAGGGTGCGTGGCGCGAGCTGCTTCCTGTCGCGGGCGTTGTGCTGATGCGTGCCCCTCGGCAGGCACCGGCCCCTTCGTCGATCAGCTCTTTGAGGCTCTGCGGACACAGTCCTACCTTCCCGCAGCAGCAGCTCCCGCTGTGCCGGCGCCGGCGGACTTCGGCGCCGCTGCTGGAGACGCGAGCGGCTCGCGCAAGCGGCGCGCCGAGTCGCCCGCCAGCTCCTCGCCGGCGCCAATGACCGGCGCAGTCAGCTCCAACAAGGCGATGCGCTCGTCGGACGGTCCGTCGTCTGCGCCTGGCTCTGCGCCGCGAGAGATGCGCGAGCGGAATGGCCGGGACGGGCGGCCGAAGGAGATGTGCCGCGACTACCACAGTGAGTCGTCGTGCTCAGCAGGGCGTCAGAGTGGCGAGATGGCGGGCGCGTGCCGTGGCCGCTCTGAGGCTGTGCGCAGGGGCAGGCTCATCGCTGACACCATGTTCAGACAAGGGCTTCTGCTCGCGCGGCGATGCATGTCGCTACGACCACTCTGGCGCAGTAGTCGCAGGTCCGGGTCCCGGCGGCATGGGTCCGGCCGGCTTCCCGCAGGGCCCAATGATGGGCGCGCCCATGCGCTTCGGCGGGCCGTCCGGGCCACAAGGCGGCTTCCAGGGCATGCATGGCATGCAGGGCATGCAAGGGCAGCAGTTCGGCATGCCACCGCAGCAGCAGCAGCAGCAGCAGCAGCAAGGCGGCCCTTGGGGCCCGTCACCGATGCAGCAGCAGGGCATGCCGCACCCTGGCGCCTTCGGAGCTGCCGGGCCAAGCCTTGGGTCGCGCATGGGCCCGCAAGGGCAACAGCAGCCTGGCTTCCAGGGTGGCCCGCCGCATGATGGCCAGTTTCACGGCATGTCCGGCCCGTCGCGAGGTGGACACGCTGCAGGGCGTGGAGCCCACAACGCGACGCCGCGTGGCGCCTTCCGCGGCGCACGCAGCCAGACTGCGCTGGTGCTCGAGAACGTGCCGGCGGAGCACCTCGAGCTCATCAAGATCAACGAGTACTTCAAGCGATTCGGCACCATCACGAACATTCAGATTGACGCGCCAGGGCAAAAGGCGCTCGTTGACTTCGCCCGGCCCGAGGAGGCCAAGGCGGCGCACGGCTGTCCCGACGCCGTGTTCGGCAACCGCTTCGTGCGCATCTTCTTCCAGCGGCTCGAGGATGCCGAGAATGGCGGCATCAGCACGCCGCTTGACAAGCCCGGCGCACCGCACCAGTCCCGGCCCATCGCCAAGAAGCCTGCCTTCGTGCCAGGCCAGACGAACGTCTACCACGCTCCTGGCGCACCCACGACTGCGGCTTCGCGCGCCAAGGTCGAGCTTGACCGGAAGCAGGCGCAGTCTCAGCTGGACCACCTGCTCGGCGAGCAGAAGACGCTCATGGCGAGCGTCACTTCGTCCAGCATTACGCCTGACGCGCGGAAAGCGACGATGATGCGGCTGCGCGCGCTGCCGGCGGAGATCGGCGCGGCGACAGATAAGGTGAAGGAGGCAGTGCAGGCCATCGCGAACATGCCTGCTGCGCCGGCGCCGCTCTCGACTGAGGAGCGCAACGCGTTGAAGGAGCGGAGAGAGCGGGAACGCCTGGACCGCGAGCTGGAGATGCACGGCAAGGGCGACGAGACGACAGACGAGCTCAAGGCGAAGCTTGAGAGCCTGAAGGCCGAGGTGAGCACATTTGGTGCGCAAGACATCGCGACTGGGTCTGACGCCTCTTTCAGGCTGCGTCACTGGGCCTGGACGCCAACGGCGCTCCCTCCTCGTACCGCGGGGCTCCGCGGGGCCGTGGCGCACGTGGCACGAGCTTCCGCGGCAGCTACTACAACCGCGGCGGCCGAGGCGGCGCTGCGAGCATGCGTCTGGACAACCGAACCACGCGGCTCGTCGTGAGCGATGTGCCGGCTGCTGAGATGGGCACGACTAAGGAGTACTTCAAGGTGAGCATGCTTGCTAGCATGATGCAGAGAGCACGGCTGACGTAGGCACGACAGACACTTGGCGAAGTCAGCGACATCGCCGACTCGAGCTCTGCCGCCTTCATCGTCAACTACAAGACACGCGCTACTGGCGAGACGGTGCGTAGCATTGGCCGCGCTGTCTTTCGCGCGCAGCAGGCTGACAGCTCCTCTCAGGCCATGCGCATGGGCGGCGAGGTGCCCGGCGTCGGCAAGGTCAAGCTGGCGTGGGCCGCGGTGGACGTGCCCATGGGCGGCTCGAGCCCGTCGAGCGGCAATGGCTCCGCAGGCGGCATGAAGGAAGAGGAGGCGGATGCGCCGATGAAGGAGGAGGAGGAGAACTGGATTCCCTGAGCTGCCCACGCAATGCTGCGCGCGGACTCAAACGCAATCTCATCATTGGCGGGGAGTGGGCACCGCGCTCCTTCCGTCTGTCGCGCTATACGACTCATGCTCCACACGTCGCGTGACTGTTCCAGGTATGAGTGGTGGAGTTGCTGGGTGACTTGCGGCTGCACGGAGCAGCTTCCGGTGAGTTTGCCACGGCTCGGTTTCAACGCCGCGCCTCGACGCCGACGTCTGCGATGCCCCACCGGCTGATGCGCTGGTGTCAGTGGCATGCATGCGGGCCAACGTCCGGCTGAGGCTCACCCGACGGTCTGCATCGCCTTGTTGTCGCCGCGCGCGATGCTGTCGTCCTCCAGCACCTCTGCGAGCATCTCCCACGGGTCGCGGCCGCCGCCGTGGACGAGAACGTGCGACTTGAACTTCTCGCCCGCCTCACGATCGAGCGGGTTCGCCTGGAAGAGCTTGGCCCACACGCGGCTCGCGATGGCACGGTCGAAGAGGTAGGAGTAGTACGTGGCGCCGTAGCCGAACAAGTGGCCGAAGTGCGCCTGTGCGGCGACGCCCGGCACGCCAGGCATGACGCCGCGCTCGTTGTGCAGCGCACACAGCGCAGCGGTCGAGTCGAATGCCGGATCGGAAGCGGCGCGCGAGTGGTAGTGCTGGTCGAGTAGCGCCAGCAGCACCTGGTGGTGCGTGTCGAGCGACTCAAGCGAGCGTGCAGCCGCCAGGTGCGCCTCGAGCGCAGAGTATGGGAGTGCGGCCGACGTCGCGTGGTGCGAGGCAACGAGGCCGACGACGGTCGGGCACGAGACGAAGTGCTCCATCAGAATCGAGGGCAGCTCGACGAAGTCGGTCGCGCATCGCGTGCCTGAGACGTTGTGGTACTCCGTCCGTCCAAGCATCGCTGCGAGACGATGTCAGCGCTGCAGCAGGTTGACAGCACGCTCGACTCACAATGCAGCGCGTGGCCCATCTCATGGAACAGCGTCTCCACCTCCGCCCAGTTGAGCAGACTCGGGCCCGTCTCGCTCGACGGGCGCACAAAGTCGCACAGCAGCACGACCGTCGGCAGCTGGTACTTGCCCTCCTTGCCTCGCACCGGAAAGCTCTCAGCTTCCAGCGGGCGTGCCTCCTCGGCATAGTCGCGCTCGCTCAGCCGCGTGCCGTCGGGCAGGGCGCCGAACTGGAAGTCGCCATGCAGATCGTCCGCGTCCGTGCGGCGCGAGCAGCGCACGGTGTAGTGCGCAGCGCTCGGCGGCTTCTCCTCGCGCGCGTAGAGGTCTGCGTACACTGTGCCGACCGCCTCGTTGTCCTCGTTGACGACCTCGATGCGGTGCACGTCCGGCGCCCACACCTCGCCATGCTGCGTCTGGGCGGCGCGGAAGCGCAGGCCATAGAGGCGCTCGAAGAGCTTCGAGAGTCCGGCGAAGACGGTGCCAACGCTGTAGAACGGCGCGATGGGGCGCGTCGAGCTCTGCAGCGAAGCCGAGCGCAGATGCTGCGTGGCGTAGTAGTCTCTGTCCCATGCATTGAAGCTCGGCAGCGGGCCCGAATCTTTGCCGGTCAGCTCGCGCCGCTTCAGCGCGCGCAGCTCGTCGAGGTTACGCTGGACCCGCGGGCAGTGGTGCTCGCTGAGCGCTGCGAGGAACTCGGTCACGTTCTCTGCAGCACAGGGCATGCGTCAGCAACAGCACATGCACTGATCTGCGGGCTCGTGCGGGCTCGTGCTCACCTGGCCGCTTCGCCATCTTGTCGCTGAGCGTGAGCTCCGCAAAGCTCTCACTGCCCGTCAAGTCCGCGAGATCGGCACGCCGCCTCAGCAGCTCTTCCAGTGTGTCCACCTGGTCCTTCGGCGCTCCATTCAGAGCGGCAAAGGCAGTCTGCCGGGCACGCTCGTCCGGCGCATATTTGAGGATCGTCTGCGCCTCCCAGCCGCCTGCGGGAATCTGCAGTGCGCCGTTTCTCCGCGGCACGGACGCCAGCGCGGAGCCTACGGGACCAGGAACGCCTGCGAGCCATTCTTGCGGCAGCGCATGCGTAGTGCCGCCCGGCTGCGCAGAGAGGAACTTGCGGCCGAGCACGAGCAGCTCGTCAGACAGATCCACGAAGCGAGCGCGCGACGCTGGCGGCAGGTGGATGCCGGACTTTTCAAAGTCGCGCTGAAACACGATCGCGACGGAGAGCGCTTCTTCGGAGAGTGAGGCGCAGAGCTTCGGGTCTGAGAGCACCTGCGAGACGACCTGCGCAGACAAGATGAGCGAGGCTGACTGTCACGCGACGCAGCTGCTCACCTGGTACAGTCCCGTGTGCGTGTTGAGCACATTCATGTACCCACACAGCCCTTCGTACGCCTCATTGGCCGCCTGCACCCATTCTGGATCCGGATGCGCATTCCGCACGAGCTCAGCAGCATCAATGACGCCGCAGAGCGTGTCGCTGAGGCGGTCGAGCATGCGCACCACCTCGGCCATCTCGCGCTCGCCGTGCTGCGGCGCGCGCTCGATGCGCGACACGAGCAGCTGGGCGCGCAGCAGCGTGCGCTGGGCCAGCGCGGGAAAGTCGGCCGGGCTCTTGAGCGACGGCAGCCGGAAGAGGCCTGTATTGGGCGCCGCACTGGACGTCGATGTGGAGCCATGGGCGCTGGTCGGTGCATCAAAGAGAGCGCGCAGCGTGGCGGCATCGGCGTCGGCGGTGCGTGTCGAGTGCGACACAGGCACAGCGGCGGCAGCACAGCTTCGCGAAAGACCGCGAGCAACCAGCGCTGCGGGCCGGCGCGGTGGAGCCCAGCTTGGCCGGCCAGATGAGCCGGCATCGGGTGCTGGCGGCCAGGCGGCAGCGCGGAGCAGAGCACGGGCAGCGGGTGCTCGGGCGTTCGAGCCGGCCAGGCGCGCCGCTGCAGCGCGAGCCGCGGCCGATGCCTGGGCGAGCGGCATGGGCGGCGTAGAGAAGGCGCTTGCTGGGCGGCGTCGAGGGAGATGAGGTGCGGAAGGAGGCTCGGGAATCTGGAGAGCGAAGCCTCGAGGCCTCCACGAGCGGAACTGAGCGCGCGCTTCTCGTGCGGGAGCGGCAGGCGCGCAAAGAGCAAGCGCACCGCCTGCTGCAGGCTGGTCTCGCTTAGGCCTGCCTCTCACCCTCACCCACTTCCTCCACCTCGCACATCATGTTCGGCTTCGGAGGCTCCGGCTCATCGCAGCAAATGTCCAGCGGACCCACCGTCGGCGCCGGCGTCGGCAGCGCGCAGCTCGACGCCGCCGTGCAGGAGGTGCGTGTGGCCCAACCGCCCTGGCAGCTGTAGCGAGCGCACTGCGCTGACATGCGCTGCCTCTGCACACAGCTCGACATGATCACAGACGTCTTCAACCGCCTCGTCAGCTCCTGCCACGCAAAGTGCATCGCCACGCGCTACGCCGAGCCCGACCTCAACAAGGGCGAGAGCGTGTGCATCGACCGGTGCGTATGCGGCACGGGGCGGGCGGCGGGCGAGTGACGGGAAGCGTCTGGGCAAAGAGGCATCAGAGCGGGCTCTCGGCGGTGCTTGCGAGAGAGATTACGGAGCGAAGGCACGCTGTGGCGCTGTTGGGCAGACTGCTGTCCGGAGTCTGGCATGGCGGCAAGTGCTGCGCTGGAAGAGGCGAATAGCGGTTTTCGAGCTGGACGATGGGCAGGCTGGCAGTGGCAGTCAGACGCCGACTTTTGGTCATATGCTTGCATTAGGATGAGACGAAACATGCTGTAGGGCGCGACTGCTGGGCCAGGAGAGGTGTCAGAGAGATGCGTGTGCAGCATGCTGCGCCACCTGTCCCTGCTTGTGGGCCGCGGCGTTGCCTTCTCGACAGGCTCGAGCGGCTCTCCAAGCCGCTGCGCGCTGTGTCGGTCTGCATTGCTCTGTGCAGACCGGAACCTCTGCTATGCACCCCGATGTCTGCTCTCAGCAAGCTGACTCTTTGTGCTCTGCCAGGTGCACGGCCAAGTTCTTCGCAACCAACGCAAAGGTGGGCGAGCTGATGAACAAGATGGGCGGCGGCGGCGCACAGCAGCAGGGCAACAGCGGCGGTATGGGCTTGTGAGTCAGCCGATGCTTCATGATCAGAGCGCTCGGCGCTGATTCCCGCTGCTCTTGCAGCTTCTGAGCGGCGAGGGATCCGCTGGAAGAGAGGACAGGGGACTCAGGTCATGCAATACACGCTCGATTGCGCTGCCGTTGGCCTTGTGCTGCTGACAGAGCAGCAGATGTCGCAATCCTCTTCATGGCTGCCCAGCCGCTCAGGCGTCGCATCTTCGTGCGCGACTCATCTCGACGCCTGTCGCTCGATTGACCTGTTGCGAGCCTCATTTCCATGCAGGGCAGGGCTATTGCGACGTGCTATTGGCCAGTCCCACGCGCTTCACTTATGCAAGCTGGCTGATGGACAATATCTGCTCGACAAGCGAGCACGACAGCGGTCAAGTGATCACCAGGCAAGCCGTGCAGCAGGCGTCAGGCTGGTGACAGAGCCGCGAGTCGAGTAGCATGGCCCAGCGTCTGCGCTGTGAGCCTTGCTCCGTATTGCAGCGCATGCCATGATGTAGGCCGCTCGCGTATCGCACGGGAAGCGAGCCTGCGAGAGTGAGGGGCTCTACCTATCCGGCGCGCTTCCCACCTCGGCCTCTCTCACCCGCCGCCGTGGCTACTGGGCGCTCGCGCTGTCGTCCGACGCTGCTACGTGGCACGCTCACTCGGACGGAACGGGCGTAGGCCACGCGCAGCTGATCATACGATCCCTCGCAAGACCCAAGGGAGACCTCGCCCCTGGAACGCCCTCACAACCCCTTGGGGGTGTGCACGTGGCTATTCGCAGGCGCAGACCCAAGGGCGAGGGGGAGTTGTAGTCGCGCCAGACCCAAGGGCGTAGCTCCCAGAAAGGGCTGAAGGGCAAGGGGGTGGTAGTAGTCGCATGGCTTAGTCAGAAGCCAGCGGTGGTAGTCGGTTACACGGCGTCCCACACGGGCCAGGAGACGCACTTGAGCTCCTCGGACCGCGCACATGCGACGCCCTCGCGAGGTACAGCGAGCACCATGCCCCATTCCTGGGTGCTCGTTGCCCGAGGGTGAGTCGGTAAGGGGAGCGTGCAGGGGGTGCACGTGGGTACAGATGCAGGTGAATGTTCTGTCTGGCCATACGAGCACTGCACGCTGCGCCATGCTGTCCCCTGAGTGACGCTGCGGCGCCCCCTGGGAGCAGGCACCGGCCGGAGAGCAGCGCCGCGTGCCCGATCTATTTTCGCAGCCACACCTGGCCGCTCAGGCGCCTGAGCGACATGGCCCATGTGCGCGCAGTGCAGGCCCAGAATAGGCACTCTGCAGGCCAGCAGTGGTGCAGCGAATGGGCATTGAGAGGGGCACAAAGCGGTGACGCCAGCACTTGTGGCGCGCCGTGCCTAGACACCGTCGTGCCTGCGTGGCGCGCCGCATCGGGCGCGTGCGAGGCGAGCGCGCGCCGCCTGCCTCTGCTCCGCCATGTCCTCGGCTCCGCGCGCAAGACACTCAAGCTGGCCATCGACGGCCCCGCACCTCTGCGCTGGTGCACGGCGAAGGCGGCCAGCAGCACGCAGCAGACGGTCGGCAGCGACGCAGAGGAGCGCCGGCTCTCGCAGCCCGCACTGCCGCTGCGCCTGCACTGCCGCTGTGCTGCGCCGGCGAGGAGCAGACGCGGCCCCTAGCAACTCGGCGGTAGTCCGCAGCGCGAGGGCGTCAAGACACCGCACACAGCGCATGTCGCTCCTCTTCTTGCGCCCGTCGAGCTCGACGGTATCATCCGATGCTCGGGCTCGGCTGGACGAAGACGTTGCCGCAGCAGCCGATCGCGAGCCTCGCCGCCGATCCGTGTGGGCGTGACGCCGACCTCCTCGAGGGCGCTGTGGCGCATCCAGGGCCGCCTCGGCGGGCCGCATCTGGTGGTGAAAAGCTCCTGTGCGCAAGCCACGATTGGGCGCTGCGACGAACGAGCTCGCCGCCTGCACCTGGCCGCGCGGTACGCTGGTGGCCGCACTGTGCGCGCAAGCGAGATGCAGCACTCTCCAGGGGTATGCGCTGAGCAATGCAGCGGCGGGCGCAGAGGCCCTATCGGCACAGGAGCAGCGCCGCCAGGGGAGCACGGGCGCTCGGCGCGGCTCCGGCTGCGTCCACTGCCGACGTCCAGCCAGCGTGCGAGGAGACAGCCCACGGCGCAGAAGCACAGCCATGGCGCAAGGGCGGGGCAGGAGCAAGGCCGCAGTGCGAGCCATGGCGCAGCCGCGAGACCTGCGTGCGTGCCCGACGCTGCGTCGTCGGCCAGAGTGCTCGGCCGGGTGACGGCGCGGCGACGTGATACAGAGTCAGGGACGCCCGCCCATCTTTGCGCTTAATGGCCAGCGCGCGAAAAAGCGCCTCATCCGTGCCTCTGCATCACATGGTGTGCCTGCGCCGGCCACCCCTCTGGAGAGCTGTTCGCACTCCGTCAGGCGTCTCCCACCCACGCCACGGTCTCAGCCCGAGCACTATCAGCGGGCGTCATAAGAGCAGGATGCTTTGGGCGTTCCTCGCACTCGGTCCGCACCAGCAAGCTGAAGCGACCCCACCGCCCGCACCATGCTCGGTGCCCAGACCTACCCTGCACCACCATCACAAGGCGCAGCTTCTCGGAGCGACATCGACGAAGGCTCCTGTATGTAGGCCGCGCATGGTCCGCACTTTCTACATCTCTGACCTTGTCCTCGCCGCCGCCGTGCAGTCTTCGTAGGCAAGCTCCCGCTGGTCACCAATCTCTCGTCGAGCATTGCCATGCCGGACAAGAACAGCACAATGGCCGCGCGCGACAGCCCCGGCCGCCGCTCGCCCTTTCCCGACTCGCTGCCGCAGATGATGTCCGGCTCGCCGCTGCAGCGCGGCCGCAGCACCAGCAGTGCGCGCCAGCAGCCGTCGACGATGGACGCACCGATGAACACGCCGCAGCGCTGCTTCTCCGTCGCGACGATGCACACCGTCGACTTTGTCGACATGTTCGGCGAGCCGTGCGCGCCCGACGTGTCCAGCACCATCGTCTTTCTCGTCACGCCGTCGCAGGTGGCGCCCTATCGCCTCGTCTCGCCCTCGTCGCCGTCGCGCTCGCTGGGCGCCTCGCCGCCGGTCATCGCGCCGATGACGCCGCCTAACAGCGGCATCTCGAGCCGGCCCTACATCGTCTACCGCTCATGGATAGAGCTCAGCGCCCTCGACGACCGGCTGCAGTCGACGTTCGACATGCTCCTCTCGGCGCCGCGCCGCAACACGCTCGCACGCCTCAGCGCCGAGCTCTCGCCGACGGGCAAGCTGCGCGCCAAGGGCCTGCGCGTGCTCAAGACGGCCGCCTTCCTGAACAAGAGCTCGACGCTGCCGGCGAGCAGGGAGAGCCAAGCAGACGTCTTCCGACTCAAGCTGGATGAGTGCTGGGCTGAGCTGCTGCTCGCCGGCGGCGAGGTCATTGCTAGCAGTCGGGCGATGCAGAGCTTCTGGTGAGTGACTGGCCGGAGCGTCGCTGCGGCGTCGGGACGCATATCTGAGCCTCTATCCATCAGCCACAAGCGCTCGACAGACGACCGCATGTCCACGCCCGCCGAGTCTCTGGCACCGTCGGACGACCCCTTCAAGGCACCGTCGCCCGTTCAGTCTGACTTCCTGCGGCCACTCAAGACTCAGCGAGGCGCGTTCACGGCGGCTGAGATGCACGAGCGCCTCGGCCAGGAGAACATTGAGCCGTCGAGCTGTTTCGAGGAGGAGATCCTCGAGCCATCCAGCTACCGCGACATCCCTCGCCGGCGCGGCAGCAACATGTTCGACCGCTTCCGGCAGCGCGCCACCGAGCAGCAGGACATGGATGCCGTGTCGGATGCATCGTCGCAGTCGATCCGCTCGTCGAGCTCGGTGCGCTCCTTCCGCTCGATCAAGTCGTTCGCCTCGTCGCGGCTCGGCCTGCAGCGCTCGACCGACTCGCTGCAGAAGATGACGCCAGGCACGCTGCGCAGCCCGGCCGAGCAAGTCCGCGCCTCGTTCATCCGGCCGACTGCTTCTCCGAACCAGACCGGACGGTCCGTCTCGAACGGTCATCGTCCAAGCGTCTCCGTCGACGTGCGTCCGTGGACGCCGCAGTCCGAGTCCTACCGCAGCCCGTCGCGGGCTTCGGACGCGGCTCTCGACGGCTCGCTCTCTCGCGACTCGACTTTCGCAAGCGCCGACCGCTCCGTCTCCCGCGCATCTGGTCGCTTCATGCAACGCTCCAACTCGCGCGACTCGGGCGTCGTGCTCGAGCGCCCCGTGCTCGGCGCATCTCGAGCCTCGAGCAGCGGCGCCTCGCCGTCCGGCAGCGTCTTCCGCTGCAGCAGCGAGGCCGACGACTCGTCTTCGTCGGTCGTCGCGCCAGCGCTCTGCTCATCGGTGCCGACGCTCAGCTCGTCCGAGGCCGGGGCAATCTGCTCGTCCAAGCCTTACGCATCGGTGCAGGACCGTGCTCGCTCGCAGAACATCTCGTCGCCGAACACACGGTCAGCCTCGCCGGTCGCCATTCCTGGCTCGCGGCCCAGTGCCAACCTCTCGCGCTACTCGTCGATGCGGCTCGGCTCGTGGCTCGCTCCATCTCGCCTCAGCGCAAGCTTGGACACCAGCGCTCATGGCAGCCCTTGCTCGCGTCCGACCCGCATGGCCAGCCTCCTCACGCCCACGCCCGGAAGCTCCGAGTCGAGCCAGGACCAGCCAGAGACGCCGATGCCAGTCGCGACGCCAACCGAGGCCACTGCCAGCATCGACGCCTCCATCCGCTCGAGCCCCTCATCGCTTGAGCGCATGATCTTCGGAGCGCCCGCCGCAGCCGCCAACGACGATGGCGCCTCGTTTGCGGATCTCCTGTCGGCGTCGCCCACGCGTGCTTCGCACTGCTCTTCGACTGGCGCGGTGCACGAGTCGCAGGCTGCCCCGGCCCCTCTCGACTTGACGGACATCCGGCGCCCGAGTCTCATCAGCCTGTCGCTCAGCTCCAACACCACGCAGGAGGACAGCAGCGCTCAGGTGCGCCACGACTCGCCCACGGTGCCCTGCCTCGGGCTGCCGCCGAGGCCCGACACGTTCCTCGACCTGCCGTGCTCCTCGACCGACACGCAGTACGACGAGACGGCCGTGCCCTACGACCGCTTCGGCGGCTCGCGCGCCAGCCCGCGGCGGCACTCTGGCCTTGCCGTGCGCATCTCGCTCGACTTTGGCGACGCGGACAGCATCATGGGCGAGGACTCGCTCGACGTCGACGAGACGGCGCTGCCCGAGGTGCACCCGTACGCCGACGCTGCCAACATGCCCTTTACGCCTCCGCGCCGCACCGCACACCCGTACGCTGCGCAGTAACTTGCGCTGCGCTTCACCGTCCTTACCAGCACGCGACCACGTCGCTTCCCTTTTGCTTCAGCTCCCCGCCTCCTTTCTCCACATTGCCCCACCCTGTATCCTTTTACCCTGCTCCGCATTGTCCGGCCCTCTTGCTAATCCCACCTCGTCATCGTGCACTCGTGTCGGCCGACACGCCCGCGGTGCGGAGGTGGCTTCGAGCACCGCCGACGCGCAGAGGGCCAGATCGGCCTCCCCGACCAGCCGCTCCGCACGCCCAGTCTGGGGCCTCCGCATCCCGGACCGGCCCGGCCTGGCCCTGCGCGGCAGAGCCACAAAGACACAGCAGCGCGCCTTGCCGGCCTGCCGGTCCGAGCAGCGGAGCTCCCCGCGATGAGGCTTGCAGGTGCAGCGGCAGGGCGCCCCCGGGCGGTGCATGCGGCGGCAAAGGCAAAGTCCGCTGCCGCACCGCAGCGTTGGCCCGGCGGCTCCTGCTCGTCTCGCCTCGGCCTCGTCGCCGGCGCTTGCGAGCGCCGCGTCCCTTCGAACGCCTTACGCCCGAGCCGGAGCAACGCGAGAGGGCGGTGATCGCCTCTTGGGGTCCCCGCCTCCTTCCTCGAGGCTCTGCTGCTGCAGCTGCGATTCGATGCACGACCTCCACGCGGCATGCGGGGCATCGTTGAGTTTGAGAAGCGCTGCTCGGCCCCTGTCAGCACGCAGCAAGGACCATCATCGTGCACCGCACCCGCTGTCGAGGTGACGGCGATCGACGGTCCCTCCAGCAGCACATCTCACGCTGCCGTCGCCATCAGATTGGGCAAGAATCCGTCGCAGCGTTCGCCGCAAAGAGCGAAATGTGGGGCCCACGCAAGGGGCGCATCTCGCTCTTGCTCTTGGAGCTCGAACGTCTGGGGTGCAGCTGGAGGAGCAGCTGCGAATCTGGGGCAGCGCGGAACGCTCTGTGCCTGAGTGACCCTCTGGCAATTCGATTACCAGCAACGGGAGGGCGTTCTTGTGGCCTGCAGCTGTGGTGTGGTGCCGCCGCGCGCAAGGCGGAGCGGCCTCCTTCTCGCGTCTGCGGAGCGCGCCGTCGCCGCTCTGCCGCGGCTCGGCACGCGGAGTTGCACCGGCTGCATGCGCGTGCCGCAGCAGAGCTCTCGCCTCGTCGGCCGCCGACAGCTGCGCTTCTGCGCCGATGCAGGAGAGGAAGCAGCACAAGGCGGACGAGCACGGCCGAGGAGCACCTCCTTTTTGCCTTCGAGGGGGCAGCGCAGGCAATTTGACATTGATGAGGCTGCGAGAGAGAGATGGCTCTTTGCGCGGCGATCGCTCGAGAGAGACGAGCCGGCCAGTGAGATGAGCTGGCCCTCGCGCACTCGCTGCCTGCCTCTGAGCGCACCAGGAGCAGCTGCTGCGCCTTGCCACCCAGTGGCACTTCTCGTCAGCGCGGCAGCGAGAGGGGCGAGGAGGTCGAGTCGCGTGGGGCTCCGCGAAAGCCGCGTGCCGGGCGGGGGAGAGGAGCAGCAGTCGCAGCGGTCATGCGGCAGCAGCGCTTGTGGAGCGCGCAGGAGAGGCCTCGAGCTCTCGCAGACACGCGAGCAGCAGACGCCGTACCGCCGCTGCGCCGCCGCAAGCACAACGCCGGGCCGCCGGTCCGCGGCGGCGAGCGAGCGCAAAGTGCCGCGGCGCGCCCGCAGGCCGGCGGCTGCGCTGCATCTTGCGGGCGCCGTGCCGCGCCTGCCGCTGCAGCGCGCGCGCTCTTGCAGCAGGTGCAGCGGTCGTCATGCCTGGCGGCGGCGCCCCTCTCGCCCTGCCCCATCCCGGCGGCGCACAGGCGAGTCGCCGGCACTTTGGCCCTGATGCTGCTCTGCGCCAGCGAGCGCAGGCGCGCCCCTGCAGCGTCCATGCGTGTGATGGCGCCGCAGAAGGCCTGCCGCCTTCTCGCTCGGTGGCCGTGCCCCTCTCGCGCCCGTCCCCGCAGGGCCCACTAGCCGCTGCCTAGTGCCTGCTCTTCCCGTGCCTTGGTCGTGTGTAGCGCGCTCTGCCCTCTCTCGCCCTCAAAAGGGCGCCGTGTGTGCGCCGAGGGCACCCCGCCTCCGCCCTCCATCCACTCCCCTCGCCTCTCTGCCCACGATGAAAGACCTCACGCACGGCCTCTTCAAGCTGCCCTCCAAGGAGGAGCGCATCGCCGCACGCGCCGGCGCCTCGCTCAACCCGCTCAAGCTCGGTGCGTGCTGCCGTCGTGCTCTGCCTTTCGCCTGGCTGACCTCTTCACAGCGGCCATGCTCTCGCCCCTCGAGGCGGCGTGGTTCTTCAGCGGCTGGCTGGCCTGGACGATCGATGCCTGTGAGTGTGCTGCAGCGCATGGTCATTGAGCCTCGATCTCACACCTCGCGCGCCAGGGGACTTCTTCAGCGTCTCGCTCTCCGTGACGCGCCTCGCCGTGCAGTTCGGCAAGGAGGCGCACGACATCACCACGTCGATCACCCTCACGCTCCTCTTCCGCTCCCTCGGCGCCGTCGTCGCGGGCCTCATCTCCGACCGCTACGGCCGCAAGTGGCCGCTGGTGGGCAACCTCGTCCTCATCGGCGTGCTGTCGCTCGGCACGGGCTTCGTGCAGACGTTCCCGCAGTTCCTGGCTGTGCGCTGCCTCTTCGGCATCGGCATGGGTGAGTGCAGACAGCAGCGCGCCGCCGCCGCCGCAGCTCACACCTCTCCACAGGCGGCATCTGGGGCATGGCCACCGCCACGGCGCTCGAGAACATGCCTGCGGCGCCGCGCGGCCTCTTCTCGGGCATCCTGCAGCAGGGCTACGCCGTCGGCTACCTGCTCGCCGCCTCGGTCAACCTCACGTGGATCGCCAAGACGAACAACTGGCGCAACCTCTTCTACCTGGGCGCCGGCCTCTCCGTCTTTGCCGCCCTCGTGCGCGCCGTGCTGCCCGAGAGCGCCCTCTTCGAGCGCGTCAAGGAGGAGCGCCGCCTCAAGGGCGGTGCCGAGGGCAAGGGCAAGGTCTTCGTGCGCGAGACCAAGGAGATGCTGCGCCTCAACTGGCCGCGCGTCATCTACGGCATCCTGCTCATGACGGGCTTTAACGTGAGTGCAACAGGCTGCTCTCTTGGGACACGCAGCTGACCACCCTCCGCCCGCAGTTCCTGAGCCACTCGTCGCAGGACCTCTACCCGACGCTCATCGAGAGCACGAAGCTGGCCTACCTGCCGTCTGCCCACGCCAAGAACCTCGCGTCCAAGGCCACCATCATCGGCAACTGCGGCGCCATCGTCGGCGGCACGCTGGCCGGCTACATCTCGCAGTACCTCGGCCGCCGCCTCACGATCGTCATGTTCGTCATCACCACCGGCGCCCTCATTCCCGCCTGGATCTTGCCCCACAGCTTCAGCGCGCTTGCTGCTTCGGCGTTCTTCGTGCAGTTCGGCGTGCAGGGCGCGTGGGGCGTGGTGCCCATCTACCTGAGCGAGATCTCGCCGCCGGCGTTCCGCGCGACGTTCCCCGGCGTGGCGTACCAGATCGGCAACATGGTCTCGTCGGCCTCGTCGCAGATCGAGGCGACGGGCGGCGACAACCTGCGCCTGGCGAACCCGCGCTTCAACCCCGCGCAGCCCGTCAGCGCCAAGAACCCGACGACGATTCCCGACTACGCCACCGTGTCGGGCATCCTGCTCGGCGTCGTGTGCGCCTACCTCACCTGCGTCGTCATCTTCGGCAAGGAGTACCGCGGCGCCGAGTGGGACACGACGGCGCCCGTGCCGCAGGCTGCCACGGCGCACAACGCCGACGAGATCGAGCGCGGCAGCGACGCCGAGCACGTCGGCGACAAGCACCTCGGCTCGGAGCAGGGCAGCGTCAAGAAGGCCTGAGCGCATGGCTCGACCGTCTCTATTCTCTCTCTCTCTCTCCCACCTCACCTGTTCCACGTCTCATGACCCACGCTCCCGGTGCTCCCTCACGTCACGACCCGCATCTGTACGCCCTCCCGCCGCCTGCTGCGTGTCGCGGAATACCATCGTCTCTGCTGTGTCGCTCTGCTGTCTGTGCTGTGCCGATGTGCTGTCTATGCGGTGCTGGCCTGCGTCTGCTGACTGAGACTGCGGATGTGTTCTTGTCACGGTGTGCTTCTCTGCCCTTTGCGCCCGGTCAGAGCGCTGTCGTGAGCTTGTACTCCGTCGCTCGGACACGTGCGACTGAGGCGCAGACTGGAAGCCGATCGCCACGTGAGACACTAGTGAAGCATTGATTGGGCCAGTGACAAGCGCCGGGCAGCGGAGCATCCCTGCCGAGCGACGGAAAGATGCTGAGGACGACTACACTGCGACCGGAGCGAAGCTGCTGCTGCTCCCTGACTGCGCCTCGCCTGCGCCGCTGTGTGTGGGCGCCGGCGGCGGCACAGCTGCCGGGGCGTCGGACGAGCCGATCTGGCTCGATTGCGCAGCACTGGCCGGCGTCGCCTCCTCATCCCTGTGAGCAAGAAGTGTCAGCCATAGGACAGGCAGCGCGAGCCTCTGCGACGCACCACTTGATGTTGAAGCGCGTGACGCGCGGCTTGCTGACCAGCACCTCTCTCCGCACGCGGCTCAGGTCCACCTGCGCCGGCGGGTTCTCGCGCAGCTCCTCGCTGTCGTACGCGTTGTTGACGTAGTAGCCCACGCGGATGAACTCGGCGTCGCGGTACGAGCCCGTGAGCAGGATGACAGTGACGCCCAGCAGGTCCTCCTCTGGGATCTTGTCCCGCGAGGGCGCCTCTGCCTCAAATTCGAATGAGTTCACACCTGCAGCAGAGACAGGGTCAGCGTGACAGACGACAGAGAAGAGAGCGACAAGGTGACAATGGAGAGCTGCAAGGCCGGCCGAGCATGCAGGTTCAGAGCCCGCTGCACGCAGCGGCACTGCGCTGCGCACGCACACAGCCCTGCTTCCTCGAAGCGAAGCGACGAAACGCTGCGCCCAGCTCTGCAGTGCTGCCTCTCGATGCTCCATCCCTGCGGGGTCGCTGACACTGCACGCGCTGAGCCGCTCCGCACCCACTCGCCTCTCTCCACCCGTCACTCCTCTTCCAAAGCCCTGCGGCGCACTCACCGACCGGCACAGGCCCGACCATGCAGTTGTCGAGCTCCTGGTCGAACTTGGTGCTCTCGGCGCTGCCGACGTAGATGAGCTTCCACTCAATGTCGTCCTCGAGCGGCGAGATGCACTCGAAGGTGATCTTGAAGATGTACGGGTCTGCGCGATGGAGTCAGCGGGTGGGTGAGAGGGAGATGTGCAGAGGAGACGCACCTGAGAAGGCGGCCTTGTCATTGAGGATGGTGATGTTCTGCAAGCTGCGAGCAGGTGTGAGCAAGAGAGGTGGCACCCTGCACGCACGAGACGACACTCACTGAACGACGGACATGGCTGCGGCGTGGCGGGTGTATGCGCTGAGTGCGGTGGGCGATGCGGCGAGAGCAAGAGGAGCGGTGCAAGTATGTGTGAGAGGTGTGACAGGTGCTGCGAGACGCGAGGTGGTGTGGTGTTGTGGAGAGACACCGCTGGCGGTCGCCTCGGCGCCGCTGCGCCGCCTCGTTGTGCTGCCTGTGCTCGGGCCGCGCCACACGCGTCGACGCGTTAAGTGTTTTTGGGCGCGTCGCGTGCGCCGTGCGCCATCCCGCCGCCGTCTGGCGTAAGTGCGCCTCACTCATACTCCGCACCACGTTCACGTTCAATCAAACTGACGACTTGAGAGGACCTTGAGAGGACCGTTGTATGAAGGCGAAGCCGCCTCTGAACAAGCGGAGGCATGCGTGCGAGCGCTCGCCTCGGTGTGACGGTGAGACGAACCTGCTGGTCTGGCCCTTGCGCGAGGCACACTGCAGCCTGGATGTCGCAGGCGGAGCGCAGAGCGAGCTCGTCATGTGGACGCGCACGCGCCGAGCCCAGACCGCATCCCGCGTGCATGACTCTCACGCCGTCGCCAAGCATCACATCGACCGAGAGAGCGCATAGTAATGGCGCGTGCTTTAGGCTTGTCTCGAAGCGAGCAAAGGAGAAGAGCGAGAGAGAGAAGACATCCCAGCGAGTGACGTATGCAAGCCCTATAGATCACTGCTCTTCCCCTCAGAACGGCAGCAGACTGGCGCCGCCGCGCAACAGCATGCTGCCACCATAGCGCAGCGTCGTGATGCCGCCTGGCATGTATTGTCTGTGCCGAGGCGAGCAGGCATCAGCTGAGAGAAGGCGCAGTGGGGACGGGCAGCCACTCACGCGAGATACGCAGCAAGTGCACAGAGCTGTACAGCAGCAGCGAGCAGCGTGGCCAACTTCCAGCGCGGACCGAGAGCGAAGTAGATGGTCAGACCGAGCGAGGTGAAGTAGCTGCGTCGAGCGAAGAGCGGGTCAGCTGCGGCAGAGACACTCCGTGGTCCATCGCAAGGGGCGGAGAGCAAGACGTACGAGAAGGTGAAAGGCAACCGCTCCTTGGACGTGAGGTGCTTGAAATGCGCCAACGGACCGGTCAGGACCGAGAAGCTGAGGAAGAAGGTCAGCAATGGCAAGGGTCAGAAGCGACACAGCAAGGCCGCGGCGCAAGGAGCCGAGCTGTCATAGCGCTGCACCACTACACACAGCGCGAGTGAGGCCCAGTACTCGCTGCGACAGGGCTGCACACCGTGTGGCGCACGACAGGCGGAACGTCTTGCGTCTTGCGTCTGCGTCTGGCAGCAATCGACCCGACCTCCTTCAGGCGCCCCCCTCGCCCTCCCTTCCTTCCTGGCAGCGCGGACTCACCCGATCATAAACAGCACGCTTCCCAGACTGAACGCCAGTGGGAACTTGTCCGGCCGCGTGACAAACGTAATCGGGTTGATGAGGTACAGGAACGCGAGGAGGAAGCACGTCGCTGACCCTGCCAGGCACGCCAGGAAACCAAGCAGTCTGCGCGGGCGCTTTGCATCAGCGCAGCCCAGGGAGGCGAAGTGAGAGCGGGGCGCACTCACCGTTCCCAGCGAGAAAGCGAGATGTATGCCTCCTCCTCGTTGGTGCGCTGATCGCTCCGCAGCGGCACGTAGCCCGACAAGCTGCTGCCTACGCCGCTGAGCCAGCTGCCCTGTCCCGCCGGTGCGGCCGCACTGTCGTCGGTGCGGCCCTGTGCCCATCTGAAGCCTGCGGTGCGGCGTCAGCGACGAGCGAGAGCATAAAGATGTGAAGCGCCCACCGTTCAGCTGGCTCCGGAACCCGCCCTCGGCCGCGCTGGGCGCATTGATGTTGTTGGCCATGCTGTCGAGCCTGCGGTCGTAGTAGAGGCCCTTGACCTGCGACGAGGGCGCAGAGCTGTTGGGCGGAGGGAGGGGATCTTGAGCAATGAGATAGGCAGTGTGCAGAGTGACGACGATGAGGAGGCAGATGGAGATGGGCGGGAGCATCGAGGGAGAAAGAGGATGCTGTGGTGGAGGGGACGCTGGATGCGCAGTCCGGCCCTCCACGCGGGCAGCAAGTGTGTTGGCTGCGCCGTGCGCCAGGTGGGCGTGAGAGCGGGCTGGTGCGCGAGAAGGTTCGGCGCCGCCGCCGCGCGCCTCACGTGCAGCCGCCGCGCCGAGCTTTCTCTGCGCTCGAGCGCCGCTGCGAGAGGCCCTCAAGACGCATGCCTCGTCGGCAGCCGCTCCTTCCCTCTCGAACAAAATATCCTCGGAGGTGCGTTCCATCTGCTCTGCCCTCTTTGTTGCCTAGCTCACCTCTCTCCCTCGCTTTAGACATAAAAACTCGCACGCTTCTTCTCCCGTGGAGCTTGCGCGTTCCCGTCTCCAAGACCGACCTTGCCGTCGGACCTCGCTTATTACAGGAGGTTTCGACGGGCCGTGCCATTTCCCTGGATGGTGCGGCGACGTCTCTTGGGAGCTGAGCTCGTCGTCTAATCGCTCTGCGTGCGCCCTTGCCCCCTCGGGGCGGGACTCGGCAACATGCCAGAGATGTGAAGAGCTTCGCGCTCTCCGTCCAGGACCGGCTGCTGAGGATTGGGTGCGCGCGGGGTGAAGGCGAGCAGACCAGGGCGCCCACATTTTCCTTCCTCTCCTTCCTCTCCCTTCTGTCTCTCCTTCTCCCCTTCTCGCTTCACTGGTCTTGGCTGCGCGGGCGGCGGAGCACGACGGAATCGCTGACGCCGCCTTCGCGCCTCTCTCTTTGGCGCGTTGGCTCCTTTCGCACCGGTGAGTATAGTCTCCTTTCTCGCTGCTGCTGCTGCCTCCGCTGCTGTGGGACCTGCTGGTCGCTGCTGCCTGCTTGCATGCTGCTCGGCGCCCACGAGAGAGAGAGACCAGCCTTGATGAGACCAGTTGTCGCCCCAGTCTGCAATTGCACCTTGATGACTCGACCTACATAGCCAAACACATGACCTCTGAGCTTCCATCTCTCTCTCATCGTCGCCGTGCGATGCTTGGCAGCAGCAGCAGCGATTCCCACGCCTCGTCGTCGGCGAATCTCGCGCTGACACGCGTCTTTTCCTTCGTTTTCAGCTCTCAACCCCTCTAAACACTCCCCAGGTGAGCCCTAGAACCCTCAGAAGTGTTCCGGCTCCAAATGAAGGCTCGATCTAGATTTACCAATATGGAGCTACGCTCGTTTTACGAGGAGTGAGCCCCATGTGATTACAACCCACATTGCTGATTCTCAGCCAGACGCGTTTCGCCTTCTTGATGTGTTCTGACGCTGACTGACGCTCTGTGCATCTCCAGTCTCTCCTCCACGCTCCTCATCACCTCCTTCTTCGTTACCCCACGGTGAGTCGCTGCTCGATGCCTCGAGGTGCCGGTCGGGAAGAGGGACAGGAGGGGGGGGGGGGGAGGCCGCGCGGGATTCCTCGACGATGAAGCCAATTTTCAAGCGCTTGCTTAGCTTCCATCTGCGTCTTCGGATGCAGGTGGAGCATGCAGACACCCATCTTAACGTACTGTGATTCTGAGAGATATCTGCCGTCGAGAATGTCGAGGTCGAGGCCATCGAGAGGCGGCAGAGGCCATCGAAGGGCGGCGAGAGGGCGATGCGCGCAGCTGGACATGCAACTGACGCAGCTCCTACGCGCCGCAGTCACGCTCCCGCTCCATATCCTGTCACCTCGCTTGAATTCCATACCCGTCATATGTTCCTCTTTTTGCCTGAGTTGTGTGAATACACTTGGTCATGCGTCGGCAGCCAGCAAAGCAGAGGCCCGAGAAGGAGGAGGGAGGCGAGGCGGCAAAAAAGACGCGGCGGCGGCTTCACGGCCGAGCGGCAAGCCGGAGCCGCGGTGCGGCGCGGCGGTGCAGCAGCTGCAGCTGGAAGCTCTGCGCGCAGCTGCGGCGCTCGCGCCACCTTCCTTCTGCTCCACACGCTCCTGGGCTAGTCACCCCGTCTAGCTCAGCCCCCTTGTCACCACTCTCGCACCTCCCGCAGCGTTCTGCCCAGCATGTCGGGCAGCCATGGCGGGAGCGGCGACTTTGAGGATCACTTTGCCTCGCTCGACGTCTCGTCCGAGTACGGCGCGCCCGCTGCATCCGACTACTCGCTCTCCTCCCTCTCTCAGCGCAGCGGCACGCCCACCGGCTCGCGCGGCGGCAGCGGTGCTCGCGATGCACCGCCCATGGATCTCGATCTCGACCTCTCGCAGCTCGGCAACCTGTCGCTGAGCGACACGACGCTGGACCAGTCGCATGCGCATCACCATCACGCACGAGGAGGAGATGCGGCGCTGCTCCTGGATGAGGCAGAGGAGGAAGAGGAGAATCTGCCGGAGCATGCGTGTGCTTATTGCGGCATTCACAACACGAGCTGCGTGGTGCGATGCCTGGTCTGCAACAAGTGGTGAGTACTGCTTGCCGCAGTGAAGGAGGAGGGGAGAGCGGCTTGGCTTCCGCGAGCGCCTCGCTCGGCCCATCTCGCCGCCGCTGCCGCGCAAACAGCCCACTGACGCTTCCGCGCAGGTTCTGCAACTCCCGCGGCCTCACCTCCTCCTCGCACATCGTCACGCATCTGGTGCGCGCCAAGCACAAGGAGGTCTCGCTGCACGCAGAGTCGCTGCTCGGCGAGACGACGCCAGAGTGCTACAATTGCGGCGCCAAGAATGTCTTCCTGCTGGGTTTCATCCCGGCCAAGAGCGAGACGGTTGTGGTGCTGCTTTGTCGGTGAGTGCAAGGCAAAAGCGGACGGTGAGGTGGTGCGCTACATGGGGAAGACGCGACTGTTTGGAGGCTTATAGGAAGGGAGCGAAGGCTGCACGGACTAGGGGCAAAGGCGGCAGGCGACATGGATGCGATGAACAGGGCCGGCACAGGGACGCTGAGCGGACTGAGGGGTGGAGCGCGGCCTTGTAGCCCTTGCAGCGACGAGCTGGGCTCACACCTGCACCTACAGGCAACCGTGCGCGGCGATGCCGACGTCCAAGGACATCATCTGGGACACGTCACAGTGGGCGCCGCTCATCGACGACCGCTCCTTCCTGACCTGGCTCGTCAAGATCCCCTCCGAGGCCGAGCAGGCGCGAGCGCGGCCCATCTCCTTCCGGCAGATGAACCGCCTCGAGGAGCTGTGGAAGGAGAACGAGCGTGCGACCCTCGAAGACGTCGACCGGCCAGGCGTGGACGAGGAGCCGCCGAGTGTGCTGCTGCGCTACGACGACGCGTACCAGTACCAAAACATTTTCGGCCCGCTCGTCAAGATCGAGGCAGACTACGATCGCAAGCTCAAGGAGAGCCAGACGCAGAACGACCTCGTCGTGCGCTGGGACCAGGGCCTGAACACCAAGAAGATCGCCTGGATGAACCTGCCGCGCCTCGAGAGCGGAGAGGTGCGCCTGGCGGTGGGCGACGAGCTCAAAATCAAGTACACGGGCGAGCTGGCGCCGCACTGGGAGGGACTGGGACACGTGCTCAAGGTGCCGAACAGTGAGTGGCCACTCGCGGCACGTCCCGCATCACCACACTGACATTTCACAGACGTATCCGACGAGGTGGCGATCGAGCTGCGTCGCTCAGACGGCGTGCCCGACTGGTGCACGCATAATTTCAGCGTCGACTTCGTGTGGAAGAGCACGTCGTTCGACCGCATGCAGTCTGCGATGAAGACGTTTGCCGTCGACGAGCAGAGCGTCAGTGGCTTCATCTACCACAAGCTGCTCGGCCACGAGGTGGAGCCCGTGACGCTGCGCACGGCCATGCCGAAGCGCTTCAGTGCGCCCGGCCTGCCTGAGCTCAACCACAGCCAGGTCGGCGCCGTCAAGTCCGTGCTGCAGAAGCCGCTCAGCCTTATCCAGGGCCCTCCGGGCACCGGCAAGACGGTCACGAGTGCAACGATTGTGTACCAGCTCAGCAAGATGAACCCGGGCCCCGTGCTCGTCTGCGCGCCCTCCAACGTCGCAGTCGACCAGCTGACGGAGAAGATCCATGCCACGGGCCTCAAGGTCGTGCGCCTGACCGCCAAGAGTCGCGAGGCGCTCGAGAGCCACATCAGCTTCCTCACGCTGCACGAGCAGGTGGCGAACAACGACACGCACGTCGAGCTGCAGAAGCTCATCCAGCTCAAGACGGAGCAGGGCGAGCTGAGCTCGAGCGACGAGCGCAAGTACAAGGCACTGACGCGCGCGTGCGAGAAGGAGATCCTCAACACCGCAGACGTCATCTGCTGCACCTGCGTGGGCACAGGCGACCCGCGTCTCGGCAAGCTCAAGTTCCGCACCGTGCTCATCGACGAGGCCACGCAGGCCGCCGAGCCCGAGTGCATGATCCCGCTGGTGCTCGGCTGCAAGCAGGTCGTCTTCGTCGGCGACCACCTGCAGCTTGGGCCTGTGATCATGAACAAGAAGGCCGCGCGCGCCGGTCTGGCGCAGAGCCTCTTCGAGCGCCTCATCGTGCTGGGCAACCGGCCGATCCGCCTCGAGGTGCAGTACCGCATGCACCCCTGCCTCGCCGACTTTCCCTCCAACATGTTCTACGAGGGCACGCTGCAGAACGGTGTTACGGCGCCCGAGCGTCTGCGCAAGCACGTCGACTTTCCCTGGCCCGTACCGACGCTGCCCATGTTCTTCTACCAGAACCTGGGCCAGGAGGAGATCTCGAGCAGCGGCACCTCGTTCCTCAACCGCACCGAGGCGTCCAACGTCGAGAAGATCATCACGGCCTTCTTCAAGGCCGGCGTCACGCCCTCGCAGATCGGCGTCGTGACGCCATACGAGGGACAGCGTAGTTACATCGTCAACCACATGCAGTACCACGGCAAGCTGCGCAAGGAGTTCTACAAGGAAGTCGAAGTGGCGTCCGTCGATGCGTTCCAGGGCCGCGAGAAGGACTACATCATCCTCTCGTGCGTGCGCTCGAACGAGCATCAGGGCATCGGCTTCTTGAGCGATCCGCGTCGTCTCAACGTGGCCCTCACGCGTGCCCGCTACGGTCTCGTCATCCTCGGCAACCCCAAGGTGCTGAGCAAGCATCCGCTCTGGCACTACCTGCTCGTGCACTACAAGGAGAAGGCAACACTTGTCGAAGGCGCCCTCTCGAACTTGCAGCCGTCGATGATCCAGTTCAGCAAGCCGCGCCGGCCGCTGCAGAAGCCCGGCGACCTCACCGCGCGGCACCACCTCGACGCCGACGGCGTGGCGGGCGCCGGACTCAACGGACACAAGAGCAGCAGCAATGGACACGCAGCTGCTGGTGCCGCTTCCGACGTGCCGTTCTACCGCCACGACCACGTCTCGTACATCCCGAGCGACGCGCAGAGCATCGCGAGCCTCGGCACACAGGCGCCCTACCCTTCCGCCCACCTGCCGCCCTTTGCGTCCGCAAGCAGCAGCGTGAGCGGCAGCTCGCGTCTCAACGGCTCGGGCGCTGCCGGCGGAGCTCCAAGCTACGCAAGCAGCATCATGAGTCAGGATGTCGACAACGAGAGCACGGCGGGCAGTCTCATGGCGCCGCCTAGCATCACGTACAGCCAGAGCGATCGGCTGCGTCGTCGTCTTAGCCTGAGCAGCACGGGCGGCTCAAGCGACCTCGCGAGCCTGGCGGGATACAAGAGTCAGGCCTCGACGGCGGACCGCGACGATGACGATGCACGCAGCGACTACTCGGCGGCCCTCTCGCAGGCTAGCGGCCTGTCCAAGGCGAGCTTCACGACCTTCTAGCCGCCTCGCTTCAGTCATTCTTCGCTTGTTGCGGATCGTCAAGAGCCTGTGCGCCGGACACGGCACACTCGATGCCTCGCCGTGTTGTGCTGCACGGCAGAGCGCGCGGATCAAGCGCATTTGAACGGCACGCCGGCGTGACGCGCTGCTTGCCAAGACAGCATGTCTGACAGAGCATGCCCGCTCGTGCTAGGCCAGCAGGTCGCTCACAGGGCGCTTTCGCATCGCCTGGCATCTCATGCCTTGCGGCCTGCTTTCGCTCTGAGACGGTAGCTCTCTTTGCGCGTCACGCGAGGCGCTCGCTGCCCGGCAGGCTGTACACGCCCGCTGCTGTGCTTGAACCAAGCGCTACCCTCCCCATCTCTATCCGCCACTCTCTTGCCTCGCCTCGCTTGCACCACCTCGGCAAGGACGCACGCTGCCTCGTGGTGCCAATCTGCAATGCAGCGCTGAGGCGAAACACGTCTGAGACAAGCGCTGACCTGCGCGAATGATGTGAATTGCCGGCCTACGCGTTGCGGCCGAGCTTCTTCTTGCGCCACTTGACGAGGCCGGGCTGCTGGTTGCTCTTGAGCTGTGATGGGCGTCGGTCAGCAGTGCCCCATTTCTGCGCTGAAGCACCACTCACTGCGCCCTCCTGTGCAAGCTCCTTTGCTGGCCGTGTCTCGCTGCGCGGCAGAAGCCAGAAGCGCACTGAGCAGCTGCACGAGAGCATTCAGCATACAAGCGGACATTGCTGCGATTCTCGTCACGCACTCGATCTTCTCGTAGCCGCGCACGACAAAGTCGAGCAGCTCCCAAAGGTCGCGATTCGGCACCAAGTTGCCCGGCGGCCCCTGTGGACCTTCGGTCGTAAGCATCCAGCCGTTCTTGCGCCAGAGCCAGATGCTGTGCGAACACGATCAGCTTTCGCAGGCAAGGCAGTTCGTCAAACGCAGGCTCACTCGTTCGTGATGCCAGAGACGATCCAGTGCTCGCTCGTGCCGACGACAATGCCCTGGTAGCCCTCTTCTTCCCATCGGCAGTACTCGAGGCCCGCGACGACTGCACGCAGAGCGGCGCGGATGCCACTCGACGTCTGCTCGTGGGCCGCACGCTCTAGCCGTCGGCTGAGATTGAGCTCGACGCGCTTGTCGCCCTCGCCGGCCGGTGGACAAGGCACGAAGAAGGCGCCGAGGCCACAGCGCACATCGCTGCCTTCAGCATCTGCAAAAGACGACAACAGCGCCTGCGTGTCCTCTTCTTGTCCGAAGCCGTCTGCTCGCGCTCGGGCGGCTGTCAGCGACGCGGCATCTGCAGTGGACAGCTCGAGACCGGCACACAACACCAGCATCTGAGATGGATCGATGCGGCGTACGAGCCGCAGTGGTCTCCAAGGGCGCGGATCAGCGATGAACTCGTCCGCCACGCCTGGCCTTCGCGTGGCGCCGGCATCGGTCTTGACGAGCGCAGGTGCACGGCCTGCGCCGCTACGCTCCTCGAACTCAGTCGTGCCGCGCTGCAGCTCGGCTTCCGTGGGCGCATCGAGCTTGCGGTTCGACGTGCGAGTCGTGCTCGCAGCGCCGCCTGTCCGCGAGGCAGGGATGACCGTCGGCGCAATGGCCATGTTCTTCTGCACGACGCGGGGCGCCAGACCCGTCGATGTCATGCCTGCTGCAAGTTGCCTTGCGGTTGCGGTCGTCTGGATCGAAGTCTTCGTAGCAGAGGTGTTGATGGAGGCGCCGTCATCCTCGCCTTCGCCCGGCATGAGCAAGGGCGCCGGCGCTCGCAGCGGAGCGAATTGCTGCGCAATCGACGGCGGCTGCGGCGTCAGGTCGATGGAGTTGGCATACTGCTGCGCTGCGCTCGCCGACGTGTCCTCGACAGTCAGTGAGGCCACGTCTGGCAGGGCCGAACCCGAGCCGCTGGCCTGGCTGCGCTCAGCGATGTCGCGGCGGAAGTCGTACATCTGCTGGCCGCTGCCGTCCTCGCTGTACGGCACAAAGAGACGACGCTGGCTGTTGTGCGGGCCGAGAATGTCCGGCGCATACGAGGCGCCGCCCGGCTGGTCGAGCCGCACATTGAGCTGTTGCACACGAGGTCAGCGTGGAGTGGAGAAGCGGCGACTCGCTGCGTCGCTCACACGCGGCTCCTTGGCCAGCGCGGCCTCCTCCTGCGCCTTCTTCTCCTTGGCGGTCAGGGCGCGCGGTGCCGGCGCCGTGCCTTTCTTCCACGCCTCGAAGTAGTTCTCCGACGAGCTTGCCATTGTGGTGGTTCGGTGGGTCGAGCTGATGCCGGCCCGGCGGCGTGTTGCTCGTGCCGGCGGCAGCGGCTGTCCGGCCTCTCGCTCCCACGCTCGCGCACCCCGGCTGACGTCAGCAAGGCCAGGGCTCCCACGCGCGCCTGCAACGCGTCAAGGCACAGCGCTCGGACGCGTTCATAGGCGCGTCGAGCGCCGCCCAACACAGACAGGCGCTGTGCCCGGCTGACATCTGCCTCCCACCTCCACCACCATCGCCGCCTCGCAGTCACCCGCTCCCACACATCGCATCGCCGCTCGCCGGCACGCAGCGCACCATGCCGTCTGCAGTCCGCCCGAAGCGCCAGTCGGCCGTGGCCGCCGCGCAACGTGAGGCGCCTCGCTCGGGCGATCCGCAGCAGCTCCCTGACGCGTTGCCCCTGCAGATACCCAGCCGCGTGCCACGAAGAAGGCACGCAAGGCCGCCGTTGCTGCTGCTGCGAACGACTCAGGCAGCGATCTGAGTGACGCGCCCGACGAAGACGGCAGCGCCAGCGGCAGCGACGACGCCGAGTCGGACGACCCCAACTCGTCCGACGACGACGACCACACCGAGGTCGACATGGACGAGACGGGCGACTTTGAGGCGCCCGGCGCCAAGAAGAAGAAGGCTGCCGGCGCGCCGCGCAAGCCAAAGGCGGCGCCGAAGAAGAAGGCACCGGCCGCCAAGAAGGCGCCGCGAGCAGCAGCAGCTGGTAGCAGTGCCGCACCTGCAGCGAAGGCCGCCACTGGGCGAAAGGGCGGCACGGCGGGCAAGCGGGCCGCGCCGAAGCGCACGACGGGGAGCAAGGAGGAGCTGTCCATCAATGATGACAACACGCTTTTCAGTGAGTGCTTGTGCGCGTCGAGGGCAGCAGGGTCACGGCTGAGCGCGGCCGTGCAGACTCGGTCAAGGACCCCAACACCGCGCTGCAGTCCACTGCCGAAGACTGGGTGGTGGCGTACCAGGAGACGCCCGGCAAGGCGCTGTCTGAGCTTGTGACGTTCTTCATCCGGGTGAGTCCTTTCGCAGCTGCCACTGTCACGCCGAGAGCTCACGCCGCATGTCAGTCATGCGGGTGCAACAGCACGGTCGACGAGGACGTGGCGCAGGACCTCGACGCGATCGTCGACAACCTCGAGGAGGTGCAGGAGGAGTTCAAGAAGGTACGCGCAGCTGCTCGGCTCTTCGCGCGGTGATCGCTGACCTTCACGCGTCGCAGGAACTCGTGCCGTCCTACCCGCTCATCTCCAAGGCTGCGTCCTACAAGAAGTTCCGCAAGTCGCTGGCAGAGCTGCTCGAGCGCATCTTCACGTCGGCAGCGGAGGCAGATGCGCTTTATGACGAGGCACTGATCGAGACGTTCATCGCCTGGATCTCCGCCATGAGCTCCTCGGCACTGCGTGCCTTCCGCCACACCGCCACCGCCATCGCGCTCTGGACGATCGGTGCTCTGGCGCAGGTCGGCGGCGAGCTGAAGAAGGAGCTGGCGAGCGCCACGAAGAGCCGCGACGCGGAGCGCAAGAAGGCGCGCGCCGACAAGGCGCGCCTGAAGGAGCTGGAGTTCAAGGTCAAGGAGGTGACTGCCGCGAAAAAGCGCATTGACGGCGCCATCGAGGAGCTCATCAGCACGTGAGCAAGCCGCGGTATCCTCATCAGCAGCGGGGGCTGACTGGTCCTGGCGCAGCGTCTTCGTCCATCGCTACCGCGACTCGGACCCGAACATCCGTACCGACTGCATCAACGAGCTGAGCGGCTGGATGAAGGCACAGCCGGAGCAGTTCATGCAGGCGTCCTTCTTCCGCTACCTCGGCTGGGTGCTCTCCGACGCAGTGAGTCGGACGCGGAGTCTGAGCATGAGCACACGCTGACTCCCTCTGCAGCACCCTGACGTGCGCGGCGCCGCGATCAAGGGCCTTGGCGGCTTGTACGGGCGCGGCAGCACCATCCCGAGCAGCGTGCGCCACTTCACCGACATGTTCAAGCAGCGCCTCGTCGAGATGGCCGTCGGCGACGTCGACCTGAGCGTGCGCATCGCGACGATTGGCGTGCTTGTGCAGATCGACAAGCGCGGCCTGCTCGAGGACGAGCAGCGCGACTCGCTGGCCGCGCACATCTACGACGTTGAGCCGCGCGTGCGCGTCGCAGTGGCAGGCTTCGTGACCGGCATGCTCGAGGCGCTCGTTGATGAGCAGAAGGAGCAGCTTGGCGAGGAGCCGTCGAGCAAGCAGACGCAGGCTCTCGAGGCGTACGAGACGGAGCTCGCCAAGCTGCGCCTCAAGTGCTTCGCCGAGCTGCTTGTGCGCTTCGCCGCACGGCTCGACAAGCCGGCGGGCGACGAGAACGGCGACGCGGCAGAGTCCTCGCGCGCCAAGGAGCAGGCCGACGAGCTCTCGTGGTCGCTCGGCGGCCTGGAGGAGGGCCGCGTTGGCCTGGCAGTCAACGCTCTCTGGGACGCAGTCGAGGGCGCGCAGCAGTGGCGCCCGCTCATCGAGCTGCTGCTGTACGACCACTCTGGAGCAGGCGCTTCAGCAGCGCCAGGGCGCGCAAAGGGCAAGAAGGGCAAGAGCGCAGCTGCGTCGGCAGCCGGCTCCAGCTCCAACAGCAGCGCCGACACCGCGGTCACTGGTGTGCAGCTCACGAACCAGGTCTACCGCCTCGAGCCGGAAGAGGAGGCTGTGCTGGTGGAGGCTCTCGTCGCCGTGCTCAGCAAGACGAAGGCACAGGCTGCCAACGCTGGCCCACGGCCTGACCGTCCTGCCCACGGCCCGCTCTCCGACGAGGACGAGGCGGCTGAGGACGACCCGGTCAAGTCGCTCGCCTCCATGACACGCGACCTCATACCGGCGCTGCCCAAGCTCTTCTCCAAGTACCGCACGGACGCGCCACGCATCGCCGATGTGCTGCTGGTGCCGCGCTACATGAACCTCGAGCTGTACCTCGAGGCGCAGCAGAGCACGGCGTACGAGGCGCTGTGGGACGAGATCTCGGACCAGTTCCTGCGCCACGTCGAGCCGGCGCTGCTGGCCAATGCCGTGGCTGCCATCTCGCGGCTCGTCCAGACCGACACACTCGCCAACGTCAACGCCACCAAGCTCACGGCGCTGCACGAGAACCTGACCGCAGCGCTGCGCGAGCCAGTGCAGGGCCGTGACGTCGAGGCCGCTGCGTTCGACGAGAACGAGATCCACCTGCTGATGGCGTGCACGCGGCGCATGCGGCACCTCGCTCGCGCGACGGACATGAGCGCCGCCATCGAGGACGATGAGAAGGGCTCGCAGACAAGCGCCTGGAACATCGTGCTGGGCCTGGCGTCGCGCGGCCGTCTCGGCTACCCGGATGAGTCTCAGGTGAGTGATGCGAAGACCGACTGCCTTTCTTGGCTGACATGCGTGCATCAGCTCATCGAGAACTCGCTCGGCGTTCTCTCGCTCTACATCATGTGGAAGACGCACGCCGTCGTCCAGACTCAGGATCATGCGCAGAAGAATGCGCTCGTCGAGGCGCTCGTTGACAAGCGCGACACGCTGCTTGACCTCATGAACAGCTTCGTCGCGGGCTCGCACGGCAACACGGCATCGGGCGTGCAGCAGGAGGCCTTCCGCCACACGCTCGACGTGTACATCATGCACGGCAACATGGCTGCCGCCTCCGATGCCGCCGAAGCGGCTGCGCAGCAGAACGGTGGCGCGGACGCGGCTGCCGCTGGACGGCCCAAGCTGCCGGCTGCCATGCGCCTCGAGTGTCCCGTCGAGGTCCAGCACCGCTGTGCCGGCTTCATCCAAGCCGAGCTGGAGCGTTACGCCGAGGAGCTGCGTGCGTCATTTCCTTCAGATGCACCAGCTGACGCTGAGAGCGAGCTTAGCGACGCCGAGGAGGAGCAGGACGAGGATGACGACGGCAATTCGCCCGCGCCTGCGCCAAAGAAGGGCAAGAAGGGCAAGAAGGCGGCGCCTGCGACTGCCGCAGCCGCAGACAAGACGCCGGCTCGGCCGACTCAGGAGTTCCTGCAGCGGCAGCAGCAGCTCTGCCAGACGCTGTCGCACTTCATCGCCGCGATCCGCCTCGGCACGTTCGACGTCAAGCACGCGGCGGGTGTGCTGGCATACCACGGGCGGCTGGGCCACATCTTTGACTCGTGCTCCAAGGTGCTCGTCGAGACGCTGCGCGAGGAGGGCGTGTACGCCGGCCGGCCCGACATGGCCTGCAACGTCATCCTCGATGCGCTCAAGCAGGTGAGCATTGCAGCATCTTGCCAGCCTCTCTGTAGCTCACGCATCCCTTCAGTCGGCGGAGCTGTGGGAGCAGGACCCGACAACTCAGGGCGGGGAGTGCTTTGTGGGCCTCGCGCGGGCACTCAGCAGCGCGCTTCTGGTGCGCGGCGCCCATCTGACTGTGCTGCGTGCCATCCCGGCCGCCGCTCTTGTCCGCTTGCACAACAACGGCTGCGTGCACGTCATCAAGCGGCTCACGGCTGCCGAGCGCGCTGGCAACCAGGCCAGTAAGACGCGTGCGATCGCGTTTTGGAAGGGCCTCGCCCTGCTGCTGCCTGCGGCGACCGGCCGTGACGCTGTCAAGATGTGAGTGACGCTCGCACATGCTTGCTCAATGGCTGCTGACCTCGTCTCGTGCAGCAAATCGGCCATGGACCAGGCGCTCAAGGACGCCGAGATCGAGGTGCCGCCGTCCGCCAAGGCCTGGGAGCCGCAGCGCTCGTACGAAAAGCGGCTCGTCAACCTCGCCGCAAAGAGCCAGGATCTGCGCAAGAAGGCCGCGGCTACCAAGCCGGCATCGTCGCGCAAGAAGGCTCCTGCTCCGGCAGACGACCTCATCGACGACGCCGAGCTCAGCGGCGGCGAGTTCGAGGAGCTCGAGCCGGGTGCGGAGGCACCGCGCCGCCCGGCGCTGCGGCCGTCGGCTGCTGCAGGCAACAAGCGACGAGCACGCGACGACGACCCGCTGGACCTGAGCGACGAGGAGCATGTCTCGCCGTCGCCGGGTCTCGGCGGCGACGCCTCCAACGGTGGCCTGCTCGACATCACCAGGGAGGAGCGCAACAGCGACGCCGAGGAGGAGGCATCCATGGCGCGCTCCACTCGTTCGCACAGCGTGGCCGCCAGCGAGGCGAGCTCGGCTGGCGCTCGCAAGCGTCCACGGCACGGCTGAGCAGCCATGCTCCTTTTACTCTGCCCTCTCGCCCATTCGCATCGCGCAAGGACTGGACGGCCTCATCATGGGCTCATCTGCTTGCATCCTTCTTCCTACCCGCTGCTCCGTCTTTCTCGACCGCCTTGCCCTCTTGCCCCTTCCCATTGTCACACTCTTGGCCACACCTGTTGTTCTACTGCCCCGCTTGCACGCCCGCCACGCACTTCTTGACACGCGGCCGCGGCTGGTATCTGATGATGATATTGCAACCCGCTTGAGCCACGCCCGCTGCCGTTCTTGCCTCCTGCGCTTCGCCGCTCACGGCTCGCTCTTGTGTCCGACGGGCGAGTCCTGCGCCTGCGTCGCCGGCGAGTCGAGGAGAGCGCTGGAGTCGCCGCCCTGCAGATCCGCGAGGCTGCGTGCGTGAGAGAGCTTGCTCGGCGTGCTCTGATACTCGCTCTGCTGCAGACGACTGAGGTCCGCAAAGCTCTGGCGGCGCGAAAGACTGCCGCCAGCAGCGACGCCGACCCACTCCCACACGTGCAGCCACTCGCCGCGGCTCTTGGCCTGCCGTGTGCGCACATTGGCGTTGCCCTCGACGACCTTGGAGACCTTCTCCCACAGCCGCTGACGCGCTGCGGGCGAGTGCTCGGCTTGCAGGACGTGGTCGCGAAGCTGCGCGGTGGGCAGGAAAGGGTCGGGCGTGACCACGGGGTCGACGGCGTTGGCGTACTCCTGCGGGCTGTTGTCAGCGAGATTCCGTTGAGCCGCGCGATACGTAACTCACCTGCTCCTGCAGACGCTCGAGCGCCGCGCCGACAAGCTCGCGGACCTTTGCCTTCTCGGCAAGCGCCTGGCGCAGACGCCAGCGCACGTACGCCGCGGCCGTGAGGATGAGGCCGAGGATAGAGAGCCAGAAGCGAATGGCCTTCCACGCGCCGTGTGCCGCGAGCTTGGCCTGGCAGCCAAGGCTGATGCTGGCACTGCGCGCCAGCAAGAGATCCTCGGTGCTAGCCGCTGCAGAGCCTAGCAGCGTCACGGCGTCGCCCTTGCCTGCAGGAATGCGCAGCACGGCTCCGCTGTCCTCGTACGGCGCCATCGCTTGCAGCCAGAGGCTCGAGAGGTAGGCGTCGTCGGCGTGGCGCGGCAGGGCCGCCGAAGTGCGAATGCGGCGCTCAAGGTCTGCGCGCAGCCGCGACTCGGGCAGGGCGAAGCGCACATCGGTTGCAGGCACGGCGGCGGGAAGACCAGCGCCAGTGCGGCCCTTGACGGCAGTGTGCGGCGCGTGGTCGCCGCACATGACTTCGCCGCGCCACTGACGCAGCGCCGCATTTGCCTGCGAGCCGACTTGGCTGGCCAGCCTCGCCTTGCCCGTGTCGGGCGCGCAGTGTGCGCGCGTGGTGCGCAGCGGCAGGTAGACCGACGAGAGCGGCAGGTACGAGACGAGCGGGTGCGAGAGCACGTAGTCGCTGGTGGTGCAGTGCGAGAGCTTGCCGGAGAAGCAGTGTGCGTGCGGCGGGCACTTGGCACATGCCGGGTGCATGAAGTTGGGCAGCAGCTGCACGTCTGGCTCGCCCTCGTTGAAGACGTTTGGCGAGCCGTCGCTCAGCAGCGGCACGTTTGGAGCATGGCTCTGCGCTCTGGCTGCCATGATGGCGTTGGTGCGAGTGCCCGTGTCGCAGTAGCCCAGCGCGTACGAGTCGTGCACGAACCACAGCCACCAGAGCGCGACGAAGCCTGCGGCCGCTGCGAGTGCACCTCGGCGCACGTGGTGCATCAAGCCCAAACCCGGGACTGGAATGCTGAGTTCCTCGCTCTCGCTGCGCTTCACCTTGGTCGAGCTCTTTGGCACGCGCCGGGGCGCGCCGGCAGGACTCGGCGGCGGCGCCAGCTGCGTCGCAAGGATGCGGTAGCGGGGGTCGTGGTCGAGCTCAGAGGCCTCCGACCCGGCCTCCTGCTTGATTGTCGGCGCCCAGTCGCGCAGCCGCGAGCTGGTGCTCGGTGCGATGCGCGATGTGGTAGCAGACTTTGGCAGGCCACCAGTCGAGCCGCGCGGCTTGGCAGCGGGCGCCTTGGCTGCAGACGTAGCAGAGGTGCGGCTGGGTCCCGGCATTGACTGCAGTGCAGGGTAAGTGGTTTGCTGAAATGCGGGTGTCACGCGCGACTCACTTGTCTGCCGCGGCGCTTCGGCACCTCAGGACTCGGGCTCTTCAGGTTGAAGCTCTTCTGCGAGACGGACACGTCATCGCGCTCCTCCTCGAGCTCGTCTGAGCCCGTGGCGTCAGAATCCTCCTCCGACTCGGTGCCATCGGGAATGGAGAACGACACGGAGCGGGCAGGAGACCGCGCAGAGAGGGCAGAGGGGCGGCGAATGGACTGCATAAGGCGTCAGAGAGGCGCCGCAGCACCCGACCTTGTGCCTACTCACCGGCGTGGTGGAGCCCTCCTCCCTGCGGCCGCTGGCCTTGCCGTACGACGGGCTGTCGCGGCTGTCGAAGCTGCTGTCGCCGCCGGCGGCGTCGCGCGCCTGGCGCAGCTGTGCGGCGCGCGGGCGGATGTGCTCCTCGTACGCCTCGATGAGCGCGGGCTTGCGCGCCGACGAGGGCACCTTGATGTTGTGCTCGAGGAGCAGGCTGCGCAGCTGCGGCACGAGGTAGTTGGCGGGGCGGAAGTCGGGCGCCAGCGGGTCGCCGGCGCCGACGGAGGAGACGGAGCTGGCGCGCGACTGGCGTGCCGGCGTGCCCGACGGCGTGACGGAGGGCGTGCGCGACATGCTGCTGCCGGGGGATGGACGTCGGGAGCTGAGATGGCGCTGCGCAGACGGCGCGCGTCTCAGGGAGCGGGCCGCGCCGCGCTTTGTTTCTCGCTGCGCCGCGGGTGTTGCACGGCAAGGCACAGGCAGGCGCTGCGCAGCAGGCACGGCGCGTCACCGGCTCAGCCACGTGATGCAGCGCGTGGGAGCACAGCGCCCACCTCCGCCGGAGCTGGGGCCACCTCCGCGCGCGCTCCGGCCCCGCGCCTCTCCACCTCGCCTGCCCTCGCCTGTCAGCATCCGGCTCCGTCTTTCTCTCCACCGCACCCAGCACAGCCTCGCATCCGCCCGAGGTACAAGAGGCAGGCGACGGCACACCCTACCCTCTCGGCACCCATCATCCACCATGTCGACGGGCGCCGCCATTCCCAAGACCCGGCCCTCGGGCTCGTACGCGCCCGCCTCGCTCGCGCAGCGCAGCTCGCTCCTCGCCGCCGTGCTGTCGCAGGGCCTCAGCATCAACACGCTGCGCCACGTCGTCTTCGTCTACTTTGTCCACTCGCACCTGCTGCGCGCCTGGCGCCATGTGCGCGCGTACGGCGTCACGCCGTCCATCTACCGCCTCTACCTCACCCTCTCGCGCGCCGTCATTGCGCTCATGCTGCGCATCCCCGCGCTCAAGCGCAAGGTCAAGACGGAGCTCGACGCGGCGCAGGCGGGCATCGAGGCCAAGCTCGTCGTGCGCCCGCCGCCGGGCCTGCGCGTGTCCGAGACGAACCACGCGCTGCCGCAGCACGGCAAGGACCGCGACTGGGTCATCGGCGCACTGCAGGAGCTGCAGCGCCTCGAGACGGGCAAGGGCGCCGAGGAGGACGGCGAGCAGGTGTGGCGCAGCGGCCGCATTAGCGGTGCCGTGTATCACGGCGGCGACGAGATGAGCGAGGTCATCACGCAGGCCATCGGCCGCTTCATCCTCACGAACCCGGTGAGTGGCGCGCGATGCGCTGCGAAGGGGCGACCTGTGAGGCGCATGCCAACGTGTCCTGACATTGTCTTTGCAGCTGCACCCAGACGTGTTCCCGGGCGTGCGCCGCATGGAGTCTGAGGTCATCTCGATGGTGCTGCGCATGTACAATGCGCCTCCGACCGCAGCCGGCACGACGACGTCGGGCGGCACCGAGTCGATTCTGATGGCGTGCAAGGCGGCGCGCGACTGGGGCAACGCACGGCGCATCAAGCGGCCCGAGCTGATCTGCTCGCGCTCGGCACACGCGGCGTTCCACAAGGCGGCAGACTACTTTGGCGTCAAGCTGATCGAGGTGGAGGTGGACCGCGTGTCGCGCAAGATCCGTCTCGAGCAGGTGCGCCGCGCCATGAATGGCAACACGGTGCTGCTCGTCGGCTCGGCGCCGAGCTTCGGCGAGGGCATCATCGACGACATTCCGGGCCTGGCGGCACTGGCCAAGCGCGCAGGCATCCTCTGCCACGTCGACTGCTGCCTCGGCAGCTTCCTCGTGCCGTTCCTGGAGCGCGCCGGCCAGCCGAGCGAGCCGTTTGACTTCCGCGTGGACGGCGTGACGAGCATCAGCTGCGACACGCACAAGTACGGCTTCGCCCCGAAGGTGAGCATGCCCCGCGCTACTTCTGCACGGCGCTTGCGCTGACACAGATCTCAGGGCTCGTCGGTCATCATGTACCGCAGCAAGGAGCTGCGACGCTTCCAGTACTACGTGCAGCCCGACTGGACCGGTGAGCAGGGCTGGCCAAGTGTAGCGCCACTGCAGCTGACATGCAACACAGGCGGCGTCTACGCCTCGCCCTCCATCGCCGGCTCGCGGCCTGGCGCACTCATTGCGGGCACATGGGCAGCGCTCATGACGATGGGCGACGACGGCTACACGCAGTCGTGCGCCGGCATCGTCGGTGCGGCGCGGCAGATCGAGTCGGCGATCCGCAACGAGATTCCGCAGCTCATGGTGCTCGGCAAGCCGCTCGTCAGCGTCGTGGCCTTTGCGAGCGCGGGCAAGGTCAACATCTACGAGGTGGGCGACCACATGAGCAAGAAGGGGTGGGTGGTGTGCGGCGAGAAGTGCTGTGCTGCGCTGACGCCGTCACAGATGGCACTTGAACGGCCTCGCCACCGAGCCGCCGGCGATTCACATCGCCTGCACGCGCCTCACCATCCCGGTCGTCGACGACTTCATCTCCGACCTCAAGGCCTCGGTCAAGGAGGCGCGCACACGTGCGGCACAGCCGGGCGCCATGGCGCAGCTGTACGGCCTGGGCCAGACGAGCATTGGCCCGGGCCTCGTGGGCGAGATGGCGGCGCGCTACATCGATGCGCTCACCACCGTCGCCGACTAGACATTCAGCCCTGACCACCAGACTAGACGTGTGCTGCCCCTGTATTCCCCGCCCGTCTCCGCTACGACACGTCTAATGTACGATGCATTGACAGAGAGAGGGTGGGAGACGAGATTACAGACTGCGTGCGAGGCGTCAGCGGGTGCGGTGCAGCATCGAAGCGGGCCACTCACGCTGTGCCTCTCTCGAGATTCTCGCGGATCTCGCGCGTCGAGTCGTCGTAGAACTGCGAGCATGCGTGAGAGGGCTGACTGAAAGACGTGCGGGCGGCTACTCACGCGCTTGACCTTCGCGTTGAAGTGCTTGTTCCGGTCGTTGATGTAGTTGACCTCGGCGTCGGGATCCTCGTCGCGCTTGCGCGAGCGCTTGCCGCGCAGCGATGCCCTGTAGAGAGGCGTCAGAGGAGGCAGCTGCGGCAACGGCAAGAACACGCACTCGAGATTCAGGTTGGAAATGACGCGATCGACGGCCGCCTCGTCCGGCTTGTGGCCGCCGTAGCTGAGCTTGCCGTCGTTGACGTCCAGGTCCGCTCGCCGCACGATCTGGCTCGACGTGCCAGCGTTGCTCCGCACCAGCGCCATGCTGCTGCTCGAGCTGCTGCTGCCTGACCGCGAGGCGCTGTACGATGCCAAGTCGGGCTTGAGCCCTTGCACCTTGCGGCGGTATGCGCGCTCGGCCGCCGAGTTTGGGTCTGCGAGAGCGTCAGTGTTGTGGCGCGAGCGGCTCAGGCTGATGCGACAGGGTCTAGCTCTTCGCCGCTCTTCGGCTGCCACTGCGAGCCGACTGCCTTCACAAGCCTGCCACAAGCCTGAAACGCACGCCGCCTCCATGCCGTCCCTCCACGCGCTCCCTCTGCTTTCTCACTCACCAATGTCGCCCTTGTCTCTCCGCACATCTGTCGCCGCCAGCTTGTCCTCCCACTTCTCATTCTGCTCGATCGAGTAGCCCCAGTTGCGCGCGCGCTCCGGGTCCTCGCCACGCTCGAGCATGTCGCGCTCGTCGAGCGTCTCTGCGGCCTTTTGCAGCTTGCGCGAGTTGCTCGCATCCTTGCGGGCGCTGCTACGCGCCCGCCCGACCTCGGCGGCGACGGCGCGGCGGTTGGCGTGCGTCGAGTCGTTCTAGGACGAGGTCAGCTGGTGCACAGGCGTGTAGCGCTCTGCCTCTCACCATCTTCTTGCGCAGCTCCTTCATCTTGGCCATGCGCTCCGCCATCGAGAGCTTCTCGCTCGGCTCAGCGCTGGCACCCGCCGCAGACGACTCGGCCTGCGCAGCCGGAGCTTCGTCCTGCTCCTCGTCCGCCGCGACTGCGCTCGCTGAGCTCTCTGCTTGCGCGCCAGAGTTGGCGCTGGCGACGTCCTCTGCCGGCTCAGCCGCAGCCGGCGCCTCCTCAGCAGCGGCTGGCGCTGCCTCAGCAGCAGCAGCAGTCGGCTTCGCATCCGCCTCTGCTGCTGCCGGCGCTGCCTCAGCTGCAGCGCTCTTGCGGCCCTTGCCCTTCTTTGGCTTCGCAGCAGCAGGCGGCTCTTCGACGACAGGCGACTCCTCAGCAGCCGCAGCAGTCGCCTTCACATCCTGCTTCGCTGCTGCCGGCGCTGCCTCGGCTTCCTCGGCCGCAGCGGCGCTCTTGCGGCCCTTGCGCGCCTTGGGCTTCGCCTCGGCCGGCGCAGCAGCCTCGGGCTCCTCCTTGGCGGCAGCGACCGCGGCGCGCGTCTTGCGCGGCATGTGTGCGGAGGGCGAGGTGCGCTGCACGAAGAGATGCGTCGCAGGTGCGATGTGGAGTGGTGGTGGGTCGCAGCGTTCAGCGCGCGTCGCGATGCCCCAGACGGCCGCGCGGCGCCGCGCCGAGACGGAGCTTGCTGCGCCGCGCGGCGGGCGCGCCACGCTCGCTTCACACCACGACAGCGACGGCTGTTGGCCTCGCCCTCCCAATCTCGCATCACATCTCACACACTGCTGCCCTCGCACGACCTATCCAGAGATGCATTCCGAGCTACGCAGCGAGAGGTCGAGCGAGAGAGCGAGAGAGACGACGGCCGCCAGCCGCCAGCGGCCCGGCGTGACGCGGCCCAGCGCGTCAGACCGTCGAGTGGAGCAGCTTGGCGCGCGCGATGCGGCGCTCCACCGCCGCCATGGCGGCCCGGCGTGCGCTGCGCGAGAGGCGCGACAGCTCGAGCAGGTAGCGTTGTGCGGCGTGCGAGAGGCGCACGAACTTGCAGCGGTGGCGCGGCCAGGCGTGCGTGAAGGGCAGCAGGCGCCAGGTGCGTACGCCGTGCTGGCGCGACGTCTCAGTAAGCGTACTGAGGCAGAACGAGGGTTGAGGTAGAACGATACTTTGGTCTCGCGGGTATTTTCTCTTTCAGATTGAAGCAGAGAACGTGGTACAAAAGCGGGCGGTGACAGCGTTGGGACGGCAAGAGGAGGTCGAAGGCAGAGGAAAGAACATGGTCGACCATCACGACACCACGATGCGCTCCGTGGTAACATGCACTGTGGAAAGCGGGCCGTAGCGCTCCTCGAAAGTCACCTCTCCATTGGGAGAAGCGTCGTTCCCGGCGACGCTCTGCATGGGGTGGATCGATCCAAATGTGCGCGTCTGGTCAAGGGGCCCGAACGAGACTGCAGAGCCGGGCGAGCTGACAGTGTACTCTGTCATGCCGAACGACGAGCCATCCTTTGGCGTGGGGCCCCAGCTCTTCTCTTCGTCTCCGCCGAAGCTGCGTGGCGTCTGCGGGTCGCGCGAGAGCGACTGCATGTGCGACAAAGCGGAGGATGGCTCGGTGCGTCTGCGTGAAACGAGTGAGCTCGACGCGTATGCTGCCTTGTACGGCGGACTGACCGAGAGGTGATCTGACCCGCCTTCGGAGGACGAGGTCCGCGGCGGAGGCGCATGGTCCGCAAGATTGAGTCGTACCAGGAGGCATAAGATGCACGAGACTGTACAAGATATGAGGATCATATCTTGAGAGGCTTCGGGTCCAGAGCTCACCTCCTTGGTCAGGCCGAAGAATCCGAAGAAGGTGAAAGCTGCAATAATGGCCAACCATCGGCCGAGCTCCACCAGGACGCGCTGGTCGTACGTCAGGTCGGACAGCTGGAAACTGAGCGTCGTGTTGAAGTCCTCGTGCACGTCGCTCCAGCTTGTGTACGGCATGAGAGGATTGTGGATGATCGCAGAGACGAAGACGTAGAGGCAAATTGGGAAGGCGAAGAACAGTTCCGAGACAGCCAGCGCCATCAGACGAACGTACTTGTTCTGCAATGGCACAGCTCAGCTCCAGTCGCGGCGCTCCACGACCCATCTAGCATTCACCTTGTTGAGGCCGCTGCCGCTAGACTGCAGCACAGCGGTGAACTGCTTTCTCCGGATAACGAACCATCGCAGGGTGAGGACTTCGCGCGTGTCAGTAACGAAGCGACAGCAGAAGTCCGCCTGGCACACTCACAGGCGTACACAGCGCAAGCCAAGCTCAGAACGATCTGCCAGATCTGGTAGAGGAAGATGGAAGCAACGCTGTAGTAGACCGGCGATGTGCAGCCGTACTCTTGGACGATGTCTGCAAACATTCATCAGCGAGTGCGTGGCCAAACAGCGTGAGTCATCGACGTACTCATTCGATGACCTTGGACCACGAAGTGCATGGGAATGAGGAGCAACGGAAGACCGATGCCAAGGAGAAGGTCGACGATCAAGTCGCGGCGGCGGCGAACGTCTGAGTAGTTCACGTGGCGAGTGGCTGCGTTCATTTCGTCAAGGTCAGGTCAAGTCAAGGCTTAGCGTGTCCCAAAGTGCGGTGAAGACTCACAAGCGATGGACTCGAGCCGACGCAGAAGGCAAAGTTGCCCAGCGGTGAAGCCGGGAGCGTAAATGTACCCAATCGTTGCGGCTGAAAGGAGCAACGAGTCAGAGTCAACAATATCGTGACAACGGTCAACGACCGAAGCAGAACGACTGACAAATGTCGCACCACACTGGAGCAATATCTTCACTTGTGTTCGCGAAAAGCGCGGCATTGATACCCATGGACGCGTTGCCAAGGGAGAGCCAGAAGATCTGTCGAAAGCGTGAGCATGTAGCAGCGGTCAACTCCATCGTAGCTGCTCACGATCTGTGGACATGGGTATTGGTAAGTAGCTTTCGACGTTGCGTGCGGCCTCTGGCTCCGCAAAGCATTGAGCTCACCAGCAGTGTGCCCGTGTTCCTTACACGCCAATGCCATGGCGTGGTGATGAGAACGAGGATCACGGAGAGGAGGCTGAAGAAGATGTACGCCGCATTGACTGCGGATGTCATGTCGGCAAAGAGTGTGCTTGACGAGGAGGACGAGAAGGGGTCTGGGTGGATGTCAGGGAGCGGAGGAAAGGGTTCGGGCGGCGAAAGATTTCTGCTGACGGCGGCTGTCGAGCTTTAAAGACTCGGCGAGGTATGTCTCCTCGTGCGGTGAGGCATGTAGAGAGACGTTGTGCGCCGGATCGGGAACAAAGTCGGCTCGTGCGTCCACAAAGACTCGCGGTCCGACCTCGACTCCAGACAAAGAAGACCAACGCACGCGTGGTCGCGCAAGCCTGCATGAATTAGGGCTCGGCGCTCGGCATCGAGGGCTATAGGCGCTGAGGTTGAACTAGCGCCAGGACGCACGCAGCGGCAGGACAGCAGCATGGGTGCCAGTCTGGCACACTGCAGGCGCACTGTGTATGCAGTGCGATCACGCGCGGCCACGACAAGGAGAAGTACGCAGCGCTGGTGGCGGACCGAAACGAGAACAAGAGGTGGTGGCCCGACGTGCACAAGGCCGGAGCGCGCGGCGCGCTCGGCCGCCGTTGTTCGCGCGCGGCGGCAGAGCGGGCTGCGTCTGCGCCGCGCCGCGGCGAACAAGCATGAAGAAGGGCGCGGCATGCGCGGCCGCGGCGCGCGCGCAGCGCCAGCTCCTCCACCTTCCTGTTGCCGCAACAAGAAGAGCCATCATCGTGCGGCTCGAGGTGCTGAGGTCACTCCCATCTTCCCGTGAGACACAGCGGTTCAGCAGCTCTTGGCGCCGGTGATGTCTTTCAAAATCAAGCTTGCCCCAAAGCGGCCACATCGATCCTCACCGCGACACTCCTGAACGCGCGCGTTCGCGAGGGCCTGGACCTCTTTCCATCCGTCCGTCAAAGCCTCCATCTCCTTTGCATCCGATCTTCAGAGCAGAAACAGTCTATCAGTACGTGAGGATTGGAGCTGGAGTATGGGATGCTGATCAAGCGTCCAGTATAAAGACGACGAGATCGCCAAATTGCGAGTGTCAGACGCAACATCAAGCCATCGTCGATGTTACCGACGCCTCTGCTGCAGAGGCGGGTCATCTCGGCTCGCGGCTTCTGTCCTTACTTCAGCAAGCTTCGGATGGGATTTTGCAGCTTACCAGAAGCTCTGCTCCAACAAGGTCGTGTTCGGGACAGTCAAGCCATGCTTACAGCCAGCTTCGCAATCCGGTGAGATCTCGCGCAGGCGTCTCCGCTTCGCCAACTTATCCTGTTTCAGAGCTCCAAACCTGCTAGGCCTCGAAGCAAATCAGCGCGTTCTTCTGTTCAGCAGCCGCATGGTGGCGGATGCGAGCAAGAGTGATTCTGCCCGTGCTTTGAGCCGCTTCAGTAAACTCCCCGACGATCGTGAACAGAGCGATTGCCCGGGGCAGGAAGAGACCGACTCGGGCGATGCGAGGACAAGGCCTTCATTTCCGGCTTTGGAGCTCTTTCGTGACAATCTTCGCAAAATCCAGCGGTGGAATCGCTCGCCAGGCGGTTCGAAGGCAGACGGCGAGGAAGAAGGGCACAGCACAGATGACGATGGCAGATCGGGCAAAGGACTGGGGGGAAGCTGAGCGCCAAGCAGCTCGCGGACGATCAGCTCGCTGCATGGAAGCGTTGGCTTGGCAGGGAGTACGTCTAGCGATCCTCTTCGTGAATGCTTATGGATGACCATGTTTTCGCTTGGACTTCGCTTGGACGATGCCAACATGCCGCCTCTTCCCAAAATTCGCAGTATATGCAGCCAAAGGCGCTTACACAGAGGTAGCGTGCGAGATGCGAAGTTGTCTGACCGGTCCTAGGACGGGTGGATAGGACTTTGCTTGCGTCGTGAAGAGAAGGTCACCGTCGTCTAAGCGAGCGAACCTTGACGAATGAACGGCCTCGCTTCGGGCGTCAGCCGTGAGCTTACGAAAGTTGAATTTCCTTGTGTTGCACGGAGCCGTGGGGTGTTCATGACGTACATGCGAGTATCGCTCACGATCTCAGGTAGGACGCTGTGCCACAGGGCTCCGTTTGCCTCGAGCGGCCTGCTCCCCCCCTTCCTCCACCTCAGCCCCCTCCCACGCGCTCTTCAGACGGATCTTCAACTCGTCCACCTTACCGGCTGACTATCGAGCGCTGTCTTGAATGCAGTTCAAGACGAAGTATCGTGTGCTCACAGACCGCAGCGATTCCTCAGACTCTTCCCGCCCATCGACGAGAAGTCGCACAGCGCCGCGCACTGCTCGCGGTCGATCAGAGCGGCGGGCTCGCGCGTCTCGCGTTTCAGAGGACTCTGACTTCTAAGCCTCGGGCCTTCTACAAGATCAATGTCAGCATTGTGCTCGACATATACACGTGCGCCCAGAAGCTGTGGAAGGAAATTGCCTTGGTCCTGGCTTTCGCTGGCGGCGATTTCTGGCGCGCTCGCGTGACGCTCAAGGCGTCGCCACGCAAAAGCTTGGCGGCACTGCGCGCAGCGAGGCAGTCGCGACAGAGCACGACCTCTCTGCGGTCTCCTGGTCCTCATGTCCCACCGTCAGGCCTTTTTCCAGGCCTTGTTCCCAATGTAAAATATAGAAGTCAGTGTCTCTTTGGTGAGGTGGTGCGGCGCGGCGCTCACAGCGCTCTTGTCTGCTCACGCTCTTGTCCCAGGTGCAGACGCAGCCTCTTGTTCTCACACGACCGAGATAGGCCCAAGGCAGGCGCCCGGCGCGGCGACCGCCGCGCGGCGCGAGGCGGCGCTGCGCCCTGAGGCTCAGGGGCGTCTTGTTCGCGTCGCGCGGCCTTGTTCCCGCCGCGCTCAGCGCATGTCGTGTGCGCGCGATCTACAGACACACGGACAAGAGCTGGAGCGGGCATGAAAGCTGGGGCAGGCCGCACGCGCCACAGCGGACGCAGCACGCTGCCGCAAGGGGCACGGCGGCCCAGGCCAGCGCACACATCCGCAACGGGCTCGCCACTGTTTGTTCGCGGCACTCCAGAGTCCGCCGTGCATGTATGCGAGACAAGACGTCCGATGCGACGTGCCATCAGCCTCGGCTTGTCCATCCTTGTTCTTGTTCGGCGGTGAGCTGCGCGGGAACAAGGAGGTGCGCTTGTCCCAAGGCGCTCATGCGTGGCCGCCCTTCTTCGTCGCTCTTGTTCGTCGCGGTCTGTCCCGCGCCACAGCAGCCCCGTCTGTCTTCGAGTCAGTCCAGGGCCTTGTTCGTAACGCCGCAAGCGGCGACACACGCACTGCGCCCCGTATCAAAGCCCGGTTGGGTCTTGTTCCCGATGTGCATCAGCGCGCAGCGCGCAACCGCCACACAACAACGCGCGGCACCCCCATCTGTGGTCGCGAAAGGTTCATAAGGAGAGCCTCGAGCGGTCTTCTCGTCCCTCCCCATCAGCGCTCCATCTCCTTCCACTTCTCACTTCCTCTCTCCCACCTCACCTTAATCTCTCACAATGAACCCTCTCTTCGCCCCCGTCGCCAACACCGTCGCCGCTCCCGAGGAGCAGATGGTCAACCAGGAGCGCAACCCGAAGGGCTCGGGTGCGCCGTACTGCGTCGTCTCCAAGACCGCCGAGGCCCCGAAGGAGCTCGTCGACATGGAGGTGAGTCGATCTGAGGACTACGAGCAGAACGCACGCTGATCGATCGCGTCCACCTGCAGCGCAACCCCGGCAAGCCGGCGGCCTACTGCGTCGTCGCCTAAGCGCGCATCCAAGCTGGCCTTGAGCTGAAGGTGAGCTACCCGGCCTCGTCGCCGCCCGCCGCATCCGATCCTGACGCTTCTGCCCCGTAGCACTTGGCCGACGGAGCAGCATCGGAGGCCGCGCCACCCCCGGCCTCCCCGCACCCGGTTCGCATTTCACCATGTCATCTCCCCTCCTTTTAACCCGGAATGGCCATTCCACCCATAAAAACCCCACCCTCGCGTGTGACGACTGAGTGCGCCGGCTTGAGGATGACTCGAGAGCGGCGTCTGGCTTGTGCGACGGCTCGAGAGCGACGCGCGTCTGCGGCACTGGCTCGTGCAGCTTCTACGACGTCGCCGAGGCCACGTTTGCCACAGCGACTCGCAGCCGCCGCGGTGCTTTGTGCAACGCACGATGCCAGTCGCAGGGCTTGAGGCAGCGCAGCGGTGGCACGGGCCAGCGTCGGCGCAGCCTCAGCTTCGCCACCGTCGGATGCTCGGCCGTGATGCCGCCGGCCCGTGTCGACAATCGAGAGCTTTGACTCATGCCGCCGCTGACCCGCTCGTGGCCGCTCGTGTGCCGTGCTGCGTGGCCTCCGTCCATCCAGCGCCACGCAGAGCGACCGACCCTTTGCCACTTGCCCGGCGCCACGCCGGTCTCTCGCGGCCACTGACGCTGCTCCGTGCCGGCCTCTCTCGCTGTCTCCTCTCGCTAGCACTCACACTGCGCCGCGCCTGCCTCACGCACAGCTCTCACGTGTCCAACTACGACTCGCATTGCTCTACTTCTTCTCCTGCTCGCCCTGCAGACTCATCTCGATGGCGCGCGCAATGGCCTCCTCCTCCGTCATCTCCTCGTCGTCGTCGCCGGGCGCGGCACCAGCGACGGTGGCGCGCGCGCCCGCGTCGGACATCTCGACGTCCTCGCTGCTGTCCTGGCCCTGCGAGAGCGCCAGCGCCTGCCGCAGCATCGCCTCCTCGCTCTCGTCATCAGCCGCAGAGCCGGCGCCGGCGATCGGGTCGGCGCCGGACATGACGAGCGAGCCGGAGCTCGGCAGCGCAGAGGAGGGCGCCGGAGCGAGCTGAGGCGCAGCGGGCGGTGCGGCGGCAGACGAGGCATCTGCAGAGGATGCCTCGGGCACGCTGGGCAGACTCGGTGCTGCGCTGCCCGACGCGCCCTCGGCGGCACGCTGGCGCGCTTGCTCCTCCTCAAGCGACATGCGCAGCGCCTGGGTGCAGTGTCAGAGCGCGCACAGCACGTACGCAGCACACCGGCGGCACTCACCATGGCGAGCTCCGGGTCCATGCTCGGGTCGACGCCAAACTCAAAGCCGCCGCCGCCTCCGCCTGACCCACCGGCGCCGCTCGGGCCCGCGCCGCCGCCCTCCTCCATCAGAATGTCCGACGACAGAATCACGTCCGAGAGCAGCTGCGGCCCCGCGGGAATCGTCAAGAGGTGCCTATGCGAGACACGTCAGCGCTGCCCTGCAGTAAAGCGCCCGTCGAACTCACGAGTTGCTCGAGTTGTCCACGCTGCCCACAAACGTGCCGAGCTTCTCGGCATTCTCGGCGTCCTCGCCAAAGTTGACGACGTCGACGGCGACGTTGTTCTTCTTGAGCTTGCGGCCCAGGCGCTCGAGTGACTCGGCCGAGTCGGCAATTGGCGAGCCGACGAACACGATGATGCGCTGCCGCTGCGACTTGTTCTGGCGGTGCTTCAGGGCGAGCTGCGCGCGGAGTCAGCAGCTGCACGTCTGGCACACTCGCACCGCGCTACCCACAGTCGCCACGTTGATGCCCGTCGCAATGTCCGCATTGCCCATGATCTTGGAGCTGTGCAGCGCCGAGAGAATCTTACCAATGTCCTGCGTGAGCGTGACGAGCACCTCGGGGCTGCGCGGCGTGGCGTGTCAGCCACGCCGTGGCTGAGCACCTCGCCGCACACGCAAGCACTGCACTCACCTTTTGCCGGCCATCGTCATGAGCCCGACCATGTTCTCCGGGTTCGAGTTCGTCTTGGCGTCGAAGAGAATGTTGACGGCGTCGGCCTGCGCCTCCCAGCGCGACGGCGTGTAGTCGCCGTTGCGCATCCACTCCGAGTTGTCGAGCCTGCAGCAAGCGGTCAGCGTGGCGCGCTGGCGGGGCGCAGGCGGCCGAGACGCACACGAGCATCGTGGCCTCGAGCACCATGGCGGGCAGCGGTGTGTGTGTGACGAAGAGAGCGCCTGTGTGTGTGCAGAGTCCGGAGTCGAGGCTGAGCAGAGGGCGAGAGTGAGAGGTGGAGACGTGGTGGAGAGAGGGCGAGCACAGACCATCGGCGTGCCGCGCGTCGCAAGCACCGCGCGCCTTACAAGATGCTCGCTGGCTGATTTGAATCTGGCTTGTATTCGCGCTACAATCCACGGCTGCTGGCGCTCCGCTCGGCACGCCGCCTCGCCCCGCTCGCTGCTCTCCTCTCCTCCACCACGCTCCCACCATGTCCGGCCGTATCCGCGAGGTGTGGGCCTCCAATGTCGAGCTCGAGATGGCGCACCTGCGCGACACCATCGCGCGCTATCCCTACGTCGCCATGGTGTGTGGCGCCGGGCGTCTCACTCGTCCTGCTCTCCGCGCCTGACGCCCCGTAATCCTCCTAGGACACCGAGTTCCCCGGCATCGTCGCACGCCCCATCGGCACATTCAAGGGCTCGAGTGACTACCACTACCAGACGCTGCGCTGCAACGTCGACCTGCTCAAGCTCATCCAGCTCGGCATCACGCTCTGCGACGAGCAGGGCAACCTGCCGCCCGACGTCTGCACATGGCAGTTCAACTTCCGCTTCAGCGTCAAGTGCGTGGCAGCACGCAGCGCGCCGCTGCATGCTCTGTGCTGACCCGCGCCTGCAGCGACGACATGTGCGCGCCCGAGTCGCTCGACCTGCTCCACAAGGCAGGCCTCGACTTTGAGCGGCACGACAAGATGGGCATCGACGTCGAGCACTTTGGCGAGCTGCTCATCACCAGCGGGCTTGCGCTCTTTGACGATGTGCGATGGGTCTCGTTCCACTCGTGAGTAGCTGTGTGTGCAGGCGATACCGCCTTAGAGCGCACTGGGAGCCTTCGATGCAGCGCTGGTCAGACAGATCTCGCGCGCAGTGGGCAGCTCGGCCGAGCAGCGGGGCTGGGACGATGTGCGCTCGTACTCGGGAAGAGTGCCGGTCCAGCGTACGATGATGGCGCATCAGGCGCTCGCTTTGGACAGGCCTTGGGCGTGACAAGGAGGCGAGCCGCGCATGCCTCGCCTTGCGATGCTCGGCGACCCACATCCCGAGTATCCTCGGGTTCAGCGCCAGTATATTGCGGCGATGCTCTGCTAGCATCGTGCAGGCCGTGCTGACATCCTGCGCAGCGGCTACGACTTCGGCTACCTGCTCAAGGTCGTGACGTGCTCTCCGCTGCCGGCGCAAGAAGCCGACTTCTTCGCGCTGCTGCGCATCTGGTTCCCGTGCATCTACGACATCAAGTACCTGATGCGCTCGTGCAAGACGCTCAAGGGCGGCCTGCAGGACGTTGCCGACGACCTGCAGGTCAGCCGCATCGGGCAGCAGCACCAGGCTGGCTCCGATAGCCTGCTCACTGCGAGCACGTTCTTCAAGATGCGTGCGAAGTACTTTGACGGCCTGATCGACGACTCCAAGTACCTGTGAGTGTCCGCAGAGGCGAGGGCAGGCGAAGCATTGCGAGGCGAGAGTAGCCGAAGGAATGCCTTCGCAGCGTGCCGCAAATGCGCTCTGAGAGCTGCCGGCGTGCGGCAAGACGCTCGGCCATCGCACGTGCTGACACCCTTGTGCCGCAGCGGCTGCCTGTACGGCTTCTCGGCGCACGCCAACCGCGCCATCGTCGGCAGCGTCTCTTCTATCCCAGCCACCGCGACGCACACGTCCGAGACGGGCATGACGCCGTCCAAGCCAACAGCGAGCGACCGGCATAGCAACAACACTTTCGCCAAGGCGCCCATCGGCAGCCTCGGCGAGCGGTGACACGTCCGACAGACATCGACTCTCTTGGTTCTCAGGTCGGGCGCGCAGATCGCGGGTCAAAGTGTACTTCTAGCATTCCAGTGTAATTCCAGAGCGCTTCGCAGCAGAGGCTCGGCAGGCGGCATGCACGGCGAGGCGCTCAGCAGACGGGGAAGCTGCCGATGACAGGGTCATGGTCGCTCGCACGGGCAGCGTCCGTCTGGATGGTGTTCGCTGCGGCACAGGCGTCAGCCGCTGGCCATCTGGTACGTTCTGCGACGCATGCTCACCGTGCACGAGCTCAGAGACCGCGCCGGCCACCGCGCGTCCGGCGGCGAAGACGTGGTCGATTTGCTGTGCGTTCTGGCCAAAGATGTAGCTCCAGCGCTGCGAGGAAGCATGAGCGTCAGCGGTGGAAGCAGCACGCGAGGCACGGCGTGCTTACCTCGACACGCTCAGCGACGGCAATCTCGGTGATGGCGCCGCCGCCGGTCAGCTCGTCGAGCGGCTGGACGCCCGAGAACTCTGCAGCAGGCCGCAAGGGTCAGTGCGAAGTCGTGAGGCGCCGGTCGCAGCGACGCACCGTTGAAGTCTCCCGCAAGGATGACGGCGGCGTCGCTCTGCGCAGCAAGCAGCTGCTCGACAAAGTTGCGCAGCACGCTGGCCTGCGCAATGCGCTGCTGCACACCGCCGTTCGTCGGCGGCTGCGTCGGGCCGTACGGGTCTGTGCTGCCGCCCTTGGAAGTGAAGTGCGCGCTGCAGACGAAGGTGAGCGACGAATTCAGGCTTCGAGCGTCGCGAGCACTCACGCGACAACGAAGAATTGAGCGCCGCCGCTGCGAGGAGGTGGTGTCAGCATGAGCCACGATGCCAGCCGAGATGCCACTCACTCGAGCTTCTCGAACTGCGCGACGATCGGCTTGCGCGACGCACGCCACGCCGGGTCGGCAGGAGCGATGCGGCCGGGGTTGAGGCTGAGCTGCGCCGGCGAGCCCGAGACCGACACGGCCTGCGTGGCGTTGCCGGCAGGTGCGTTGCCAGCGAGCTTGACACGGTCCGTGCGGTAGAGGAAGGCAGGGCGGATGTTGCCGCCGGGCGCGCCACTGCAGAGGCTGTCAGCACGAGCATCGGCAGCACCCTCTACGCTACTCACCCGTCGACGTTGCCGGGCTGCGGGTCGATCTGCGTGAAGGCGTACGGCGCGCCCTTGATCGCGGCGATGATGGCCGTGAGCGTGCGGTTGGCATTGACGACGCCGTTATTGGTCGCGCCGCTGTCGTCCTGGATCTCGTTGAGTGCAATGACGTCGGGGTCGCGCAGCAGCTGGTCAATGTGCTGGCCGACCTGTGCGATGCGGTCGCCGTCGCGCTGCGACATGTTCTCGACATTGTAGCCGGCGACCGTGCTGCGAGCGCGTCAGCGCAAAGTCACACCGAGGGCGAGGCGAAGCTACTCACAGCGAGCAAGCGCTCGAGGAGGTCAGGTTCGTGGGCTGAGCCGGCACGACCTCGCGATTGATGACCGCGGGCGCAGTGAGGGGCAGGAACACGGGCGTGCTGAAGTCGTAGGAGACGATGCCCGTCGTGTCTGCAAGCACGATGGACAAGACGAGGTCGAGCGGAAGGAAGGTGCCGTCGAGCGGCTCGCCGACCTCGATGGCCTCGGGATTGGCGTCGAAGCGCGAGTCGCCGGCCGGCACGCCGTCCTTGGCGGCGAGCGTGAGGCCGCCACGAGCGTTGCCCGACGTGGTGGGGATGCCCGCAGGACGCAGGTACGTGTTGTTGAAGCGGTCCAGCGGGCCGAGCACAGTGGGCGTCTGCAGCGTCACGAGCATGCCCTCGAGGCTGGAGGGTTGTCGTCAGCGATGCAATGGGAGATGAGAAACCGCACAGCTCACCTCTCCCAGAAGTCGCTGCCGAAGTTCTCGACGTCGAGGCTGTTGGCACGCGGGCCTGACTCGAGCGTCGACGTGTTGGCCGGCAGCTCGAACTGGTTCTTGACGCCGATCCACTCCGTCGGCGGGCTGCGCTCTTTGCCAATAACCAGCGGCTCGATCTTACGTGCGCGCGGCGTGCCCGCTGCGGCAACGACGACAGCGCCCGTGACGTCCGAGAGTTCCGTCGTGCGCAGGTTCGTGCGGGCGCGCGTGTACTCGGAGACCGTGCCGTTGATGCTCACGAGGTCGCCGACGGCGCCGGCACTGACAAAGGAGCGTCAGAGAGATCATCATGCGGCGCCAAGGCCCGACACTCACCACCTGCCGGTGCCAAAGACGAACAGGCCCTCGCTCGTGCGGTCGTCGCGGTCGCGGCGCTCCTGCGGCGTCTGAATGTAGCAGCCGTTGCTGACGATCGCCGTAATGATGCCCTGGACGTCGGTCACGTTCTGTCCTGCGAGCGGCGAGGTGAAGCCGGGGCCCTGGATGTCGTGCGGGTACAGCGGCTCGGCACGCGCCTGCGGCCGAGGGCGAGGCCCGCCTGGCGGACCAGGCGGGCCAGGAGGGCCGGATGACGGACCAGGCGGGCCAGGAGGGCCGGATGGCGGACCACGACCCTGCGGCGCAGCGAGTGTGACGCCGGCGAGGGCCAGGCTGAGCAGAGAGGGGACGAGCATGCTTGCGTCGATGGTGGGTGAGGCTTGGGAAGAGGCAGGACCTGCTTGCCGTCTTCTTGTAGGCGCTGCGAGGTCACCGGCATGCAGCGCCTCGCTGCGACACTTGGCGCTAAGGTCCAGGAGGCGTGGGCATGGCGAGTGCTCTTGCATCGTCGGAGTTGCCTGTCCCACGTGCAGTGCCACTCCATCAGCGCAGACCCGTGGACCTCAAGGCTTGGCACGCTGAGTGCGGAGAAAAGACCGAGGAGAGTTGGCCGTGTCGGTGCGTGTGCGGTGCGAAGAACGTGCCCGCGGGCATACGGCGGATGGCGCTAAGGCGGACGCGCTTCTAGCGCCTCAGGGCCCGCCACGCACGCTCCGGGCTCCGGCCACAGCCGCCGCCGCCGCCGCTGATGCTCCCGATGGGCCTGTCATGGCATGCAGCAAGTTTGTGTCCGCTTTCACTCGGCTGAGCGAGACGCGAGAGCAGTTGTCGCCGCGAAGACGGACGTACGGCTGAGAGAAGCATATCCGACGCCGACGTTGGCTGCGTGCTGTGATGAGTGCTGGCCGACCACGTTCCTTAGCTGCGCTGCTTCATACGACACCAAGCTCAGCTTGCGGAAGCAGCGGTCCTCGCAGGGATGAGTTCGACGGCGCAGGGGGCGAGCGAAGGGGGTCCTTGAGCGACGGTCCGGCTCGAGGCCCCGCCAGCGGGCCGGGTACGCCGCATGCTAGTCAGGAGCACGCAGACAGATCAGCGCAACGTCAACTGGCCCTCTTCGCGGCTCAGTGCCTCTAACCATCGAATGGAGAAAGGCATTGTGCAGCAGTCGCAGCGACTCGCCGGCGCTGAAGCGGCTGCATGCTTGACGGTGGGGTGCTGGCGGTCGTGAGTCGAGCGGGTCGGCTCGCAACGGCCGCAGCCGCAGCCGCACGGAGCTCGAGCCTTGCCGCGGGAATATCCGCCGCCGCGGCGGCACGTACGCGCCTTGGCGGACAAGACGAGAGAAAGGGAAGGGAGCGGCGCGGCGCGGCTCTCGCATCGCCTGCGCACGAACCACCATCTCCTCCACCCAACCCCCACACATACCCATCCGTGCTCCATGGCGACCTCCGCTCAGGGCGCCGCATCTCTCGCCTCAGCCGGCGCAGAGGCCAGCCAGACTGCCGCCTCTGCCGCAACCGACGCGGCTGCGGCGCCGGCAGCGACTGTGCAGGACGAGGCAGACGACTCGGGCGACGACGACGATGACGACGCCGACGATGCAGACGAGTCGGCGGCCGCAGGCAGCACGCTGAACTCGAAGCAGCGCAAGAAGAAGAAGAGCAAGGCGGCCGCCAAGCTGCGCAAGCGGCTCGGCCTCGGCTCGGGCGATGCAGATGGCGCCGCCGCATCCTCTTCCTCCACCTCGTCGAAGAGCAAGGAGCTGCCGGACGAGGTCGTGGCACAGATCAAGCAGACTGTCGCTGCCGAGCACGGCGAGCGTGCGGCGTCCAAGGTCGACAAGAAGAACCTGGCGGAGATCATGAGCCGCCTCAACCTGGAGCGCGAGGCCATGCTGCGCTCGCAGGAGAGCAAGCAGAAGGGGCAGAAGGCGCTGGCGGACCACAAGTTCTGGAAGACGCAGCCCGTCACGAAGCCTGGTGAGTAACAGATGATACTGGCAGAGAAAACGATGGCGCAGCGGCTGTAGATAGGCAGCGCAGGAGCTGGCGCGTTTGGAGCAGAGTCGTGCCGTGAAGCAGCGCTGGCGAGGCATGGCCACCTGGTACGGGGTGGCCGATGCAGGCGCTGCAAACGAAGTGTGGGCCAATTTGCTGACGGGAGCTCTTCAGACGATGCGCCGCTCCGCTCTGCGGCAGAGGAAGGTCCGATCAAGCCCAATCAGCCGCCGCATGAGGTCCAGCAGGAGCCGTACCCGCTGCCGAAGGACTTCGAGTGGGTGTCGATGGACATCGACGAGCCGGAGCAGGTGGGTTGTGCTGTGCTGCGGCTCGAGAGAAGCTCCTGACGAGTCTTTGCGTGCAGCTCAAGGAGATCTACGAGCTGTTGTCGGCCAACTACGTCGAGGACGACGACGCGAGCCTGCGCTTCAACTACTCGCCAGAGTTCCTGAAGTGGTGCGTGCAGAGCCCGAGCCGCATCAGAGCTCCTTGGCTGACCCTGCTGGCAGGGTCCTGAAGCACCCGGGCTACAACAAGAAGTGGCACATCGGCGTGCGCGTCACGTCGACGCGCAAGCTCGTCGCCTTCATCTCCGGCATCCCGCACGAGCTGCGCGTGCGCGAGCAGTGAGTCGAACACGCTCAGTCAATGCGCTGTGCAGTGCTTACTCCTGCTGGCAGGGCGTTCCACTCGTCGGAGATCAACTTCCTCTGCGTGCACAAGAAGCTGCGCAGCAAGCGGCTGACGCCGGTGCTCATCAAGGAGGTCACGCGGCAGTGCCATCTCACGGGCGTCTTCCAGGCCATCTACACAGCGGGCGCTGTCATCCCGACGCCGATCGCTTGCTCACGGTGAGCAACGCAAAGTCCCTACCTGGCTCATCGCTGACAGTCTGCCAGATACTACCATCGCACGCTGAACGCGGTCAAGCTCCTGGACATTGGCTTCGCCGCCATCCCGCAGAACATGTCGCGCGAGCGCTACCTGCAGCGCTTCGCACTGCCCGCAGACCCGCTGATTCCTGGCCTGCGCGAGATGCGCGAGGGAGATGTGGCCAAGGTGGGCCGCCTGATGCGGCGCTACATGCGGCGCTTCGACATGGCGCCGCGCTTCTCCGACGAGGAGGTGCGGCACGTCATGCTGAGCGGCCGAGGCGTCGACGAGGGCGGCAAGCGCGTGGGCCAAGTGACCTGGACCTATGTCGTCGAGGTGAGTTCAAACGCATCGGCGCCTTCGTACACAGCTGACGCTGCAATGCAGAACCGCGAGACGGGCGCGATCACCGACGTGTGCTCATTCTACAGCCTGCCGTCGTCAGTGCTCGACAACGCCAAGCACAAGGTGCTCAACGCCGCCTACCTCTTCTACTACGCAACGGACGTGCCGTTTACCACGCCCGCGCCGCCAGCCGAGGGCACGTCTGCGTCCGCCTCAGCCACACGCTCGCCCGCTGCAGCCTCAGCCGCGCCGGCACCGCGGCAAAAAGCAGAGGACCTCGAGCCGTGGCAGCGCAGCGGCATCACGGGTCTCAGCGAGGAAGAGGAGGCCGACGAACGCGACGTGCCGCGGTGGGACCAAGAAGACGCGACGCTGAAGCGCCGGCTGTCTGTGCGCCTCAATGCACTGGTGCAGGACCTGCTGATCCTCGCGAAGAAGGTGGGTGGCTCTGGCGTGATTGCCACATTGTCTGGTCCTGACCCTACGCTTCGCAGTTCGACTTCGATGTGGTCAACTGCCTTACGGTGATGGACAACCAGCTCTTCCTCTCGGAGCAGAAGTTCGGGCCCGGCGATGGCTTCCTGCGCTTCTATCTCTTCGTGCGTCTAGCGCTGCCGCTTGCTTTCGCTGTGCTGACCGAGTCCGTGCTTGCAGAACTGGCGTGTGCAGCCAATCGCCGGCGGCATGGGTAACCGTGCCGGCGAGCCGGAGCTCGACCCCGTCGTGGCGCACCTCAAGGCCACCGCGACTGCCTCGTCGCAGTCCAGCGGCGGCAAGGTGTCGGACGAGCAGATGATGCGCATCATGGAGCGGCGTCCGCGCGCCGAGCTCGGCAGCGGCAACGGCATCGTCATGGTCTAGACGTGAGCACCGCTCGCTCCTTCCTAGACCTCCTGCCAGGTGAGCAGGGCCCGGATAACCGTCCGAGGGCACGCCGAGCCAGCAATCAGACAACTAGAGAGAGGTGATGTTGTGCAATGCGTGACAGTGATGCGTGGCGACAGCGCTCAGTCTTGCGTGCCAACGAGCGCAAAGAGCGGTCCCCAGCTGCGCCACATGCGCTCCACGCTGGCGCGTCTGACCATCCAGCCGATGCCCGGCTCGTCGCGCGTGCTGCTCGAGCCTTCGCCACCGCGGGCCGACGAGTCGGCGGCGCTCGCCGCCTCGAGCGCACGCACGTCGTCGAGGAACTGCGTGCGCAGACGCTTGTGCGCCCCACGATGCCCGCGCGCTGGCGCGGAGGTGAGCGACGAGGCGCTGGCACGAAGGAGGGAGAGGTCGAGCAGCAGCAGGCCGTATGTCTTCGGCGAAAGGCCGGGCTGAGACGAAGGAGCGGCAAGGAGGAGCGCGTCGATGCGGCTGAGGCAAGCGTCGCGTCAGCGATGCTCGAGGATCTGCCAGGTCGTGGACACTCACCGCATGGCCTCCCACACCTGCGTGCGCGTCCCGCCCTGCATCTGCTTTCCCTTCCTGCCCGCCCACTCTGCGACCTTCCCCCGCGCCCACGAGACGACGAGATAGACGACGCCCATGGCGGGCGCAACACCGACGGCACCAAAGAGCAGCTGCTGCGACTTGAGCAGCCGGTCAATGCCCGCCATGGCCGTCTCGAGGTCCACCTTGCCCTTCTGGATCTGGATGAGCAGCGAGCGCACCAGCGAGCCAGTCACGGCGGACTTGACGGGAGACTGCGAGGGGTTGTCAGCAAAGAAAGCTGCAGAGCGCACATGCGCGGCCTCTGCTCACCTTGAGCTCCTTCTCGTAGATGCGCAGCACCTCGCTCAGGTCGCCGTCGCGCACGCGGCTGGCCACGAGCTTCAGCTGCTCGTCGTCCATGCCGTACAGCTCCTTTGAGAAGTCGACTACCATACGCTCCAGGCTCTGCGACGGCCAGCGTCAGCCATCGATGAGAAAGTCGCTGGCACATGCGTGTGCTCACCGAGACATCGGAGCGCAAGCTCTCCTTCGTGATGATCATGCCCTCCTGATCGCCATGTCTGACCGTCTCGAGCAGCCCGCGCACCGGCTCCCACACCCAGCCGATGACAAAGCCTCGCACCGTCTCGCGTGCATCGCGAAGGTGGGCGAGCACCGCATCCCAGTTGCGCGCCGCGATGCGCAGTAGCACCACGCTGGCGACGGGCGCAAGCACCAGAGTGGGCCATGCACGCGCCAGGAACGTTGGTGGGCCAAGTCCGACGGGCGCCGGCCGCAGTGCAGGAGAGATGGATAGTGCGCCGCTGTTGCCGCCGCTGTTGACCGCGAGCTTGAGCAACACGGAGCGCAGGGTACTGCGCACGTCGCCGCCCTGCGCAGAGGCAGACTCCGTCTCGATCGCACGCGCCAGGTGCGCCACTTGCTCCTCGAGCGACGTCCGAAGTGCTGGGCTCTTCGAGTCGTCTTTCGCTTGCATCGACGGACTTGAAGGCGTGCGTGGTGACGAAGCGTCGTGTGTAGGCGTGAGTGCCAAAGCCAATGCGCCCAGCTTTGCCGCCAGGGCATCACGCTCCTTGAGCGCATGTTTCCGCTTGGCGCCCGCCTCGTGCGTGGTGAGGCGCAGCGGACTGGCATGCTTGAGCGCCGAGAGGAGCATCTGGCCCGCACGCTTTCCTCCTTTCGCACTGCCTCGCTGGGCCTTCTGAGGTGGAGCGAAGTCGTCGCTCTCCGACAGCTCGTTGAAGGCCTTGCCTGACGAGTGCGGGAACATGGCATGCCGCGCCAGCAGCGGCGAGGAGAGCAGCGTGTGCAGCGCACTGCTCAGCACCTCGCGCGAGAAGACGGACTGCGTAGCTGCGGTGGGGTTGGAGTGCGCCAGCGTGCGGCGCGCCATGTGGGCGCCGAGCTTGCCGAGAGAGGTAAGGCGGCTCGGCAGGGCTGTGCGGGCTCAGCATGTGGAGGGCGCTGCGGCATCACAGCGACGACTCACTCTGCACGAGATAGACAGTCGCACGCCAGTCGTCGCTTGCGATCTCATCCCACGCCCATGCTGCGGCATCGCGGCTGCGAGCATCGCGCAGCAGCGCATCGAGGACGAGTGCGGCAGTGGCGGCTGCGACGCGTGCGAGCTCGACGTCTGCCGGTGCGGCACTGCCGAGTGTGCGGCTCTGCGTTTGCTGCTGGCTGAGCTGATCGAGAATACGAAGCAGGGCGTTGGGCGTCGAGAGCGAAGATGTCGGCAGCGAGGCAGTGAGCGAGCTCTCTGCCTCGTCGTCATCGTCGTCTGCGGTGCTGCTGGATGCAGCAGCAACGCCTTCCTCCCGACGCGAGACGGGCGACGCGAGCTGCAGCTCGACGAGCGGCTGCGAGAGGCGCGCGAGGACGTCGAGCGCAAACGACGAGTCTGCTTCGACGCTGGTGGAGGCGCTGGACGGCATGGCTGGAGGCCTTGCTGCGGTGATGGTGGGACTGCAGCAGCAGCGAGGCGGATGTTGTGGACGGGACCCTGCGCTGTGCCAAATTTAGCCGGCTGCGCACGGACGTCATGGGAGCGGGCTTGGCGGCTGCGTCACGTGCGCGCCACGCCCATTGCCGGACTGTCCTCCTTGCCCTTTCACGGCGCGCCTCCGGCCTGCAGCCCCTAGCTCAGCATCCCCGTCGTGAGCTCAGCAGAGGCTGCGTTTGGCTGCGCAATCCAGCTTGAGACCATCAGATGCCGTCGAGCATGGGCGTGCGCCGTCAGCATGCGGTGCTTCCAGTGCAGAGGACGGCTGCCGGCTTGCGGGAGGCGCAGGAGCATGGATCTCCCCGCATTCAGCTCGCGGGCGACGTGTCAACGGAATGGCAGGTCAGACTTGCAAAATGAAGGCGCCGGTGCTTCGGACGACTGTCCAGCCACAGGGCGCCGAGGACCCGTCCTGCGCTTTGGCAAGCCATATGCTGCGCAGCGTCCGCGTTTCAAAAGTCGGGCGTGCTGCGAATGAGGAGCCGCCGGCCGGAAGGATTGCGGCGGCGCGGCGGCAGCGCGCACCGACACTCGCGGCGCGCCTGCTGCTGTGGAGCAGCGCCGACGTTTCTCGTACGTCACCCTCGCCGAGTCCGCCGGCGCTGCGCTGATGCGCTGCCTGAGCGCTGATCTGATCTGCCGGCGCCGTACGGCGTCGCCGTGCTGAGGCTCCGCCTCGCCGTCCCCGCACTCGCTCCTTCGCTCCGCACCACTTGCATCCCGTGCATGCCCAACAGCGACGCCGCACTTGCCACGCTCTCTGCGCTCCTCTCCTTTTCTCTCTGCCTCGCTGCGCTCCACGCCGCCGCCGCACGCCTTCCGCACATCACGCCTCTCGCCGCCGCCGCATCGGCCACCGCCATCATGGACCCCAACATGATCCTCGCCTTCATCGTCGGCCTCTTTGCCAGTGCCGCCGTGCTGCTCTTCATCACCGCCAACAGTGAGTGTGCGCAGTGGAGGGCCACGTCTGCAGCGAGGCACGCATCCGCAGTGACGCAGATGTGGGCCAGAGAGCAGCACGGGCCTGGCCACTTCCCCTTGGCATGCATGCTGATCCACCGCACCTGCAGAGGACAAGCCGGAGCTCGACCCCACCGAGTGGCGCTCCTTCAAGCTCATGGAGAAGCACGAGTACAGCTCCAACACGGCGCTGTGCGTATGGCTCGGATGCGGCATGCTCAGCAGCAGTGCTGACCCTTGCACCGCAGCTACCGCTTCCGCCTCCCGTCCAGCCGCTCCATCCTCGGCCTGCCCATCGGCCAGCACATCAGCGTGCAGGCCGAGTGCGACGGCAAGAAGGTGCAGCGCTCCTACACGCCCACCAGCTCCGACGACGACAAGGGCTTCTTCGACCTGCTCATCAAGGTGAGCAGCTCGCACGCATCTCCCTGCCGCAATGCTCACCCTCCACCAGACCTACCCCAACGGCAACATCTCCAAGCACGTCTCTACGCTCAAGATCGGCGACTCGCTGCAGGTGCGCGGCCCCAAGGGCCAGATGCGCTACGGCCCCGGCCTCGCGAGCCACATCGGCATGATTGCCGGCGGCACGGGCATCACGCCCATGCTGCAGATCATCCGCGCGGCCATGAAGGACCCCAAGGACACGACCAAGATCGACCTCATCTACGCCAACGTCAAGGAGGAGGACATCCTCTGCCGCAAGGAGCTCGACGAGCTGGCGGAGAAGAACGACAAGTTCGACGTGCACTACTTCCTCAACGAGCCGCCGCAGGGCTGGAAGGGCGGCGAGGGCTTCGTCTCCAAGGAGAAGATCGAGGAGGTCTTTGCCGGCCCCAAGGACGACGCCAAGGTGCTGCTCTGCGGTGAGTCGTGCTGGCAGGCTGCGGCACCGTGCGCGTGCTGACACTACCGCCTGCAGGCCCGCCGCCCATGATCAACGCCATGAAGAAGCACCTCGAGGAGCTCAAGTACCAGAAGCCCAACACCGTGTCGAAGCTGCACGACGTGAGTGCCGCGCGGACGAGGATGTCTGCGTCGCGAGCTGACGAGAGCACACCTTCGCCCCACAGCAAGTCTTCTGCTTCTAAGCATCTCGAGACGCAGACTCCGTTGCGCGCGCAGTGCTGGCCGCGCATCGACAGTGGAGGACGGATACCCGCGCCTGCGTGGAGGCAGCGCGCGCGCGAGAGACATGCGGCGATGCAGCAGCCGACATGGTGCCTGAGAGAAGGCTTGCAACTGCCTCATCTGTGACGCCGATGCCAGGCTCACGCGATAATCAAATGCCATCGACGGGATGCTCGACGGCAGACAGCAGCAGTGTCAAGATGCTTGCGGAGTGTGATAAGTTACAGGCGAATGTGGGGAGACAGTGACAGCGTGACGTGGAGATGAGGCGCAGATGGGAGGAGGAGCAGTGCTGGAGCATGAGGCTAGGCCATCTCGACAGGCAGAGCCTGATAGTCGGCGCGCGACTCGCCGCGACGGCCGCGCAGAGCGTTGATGCGGCGCAGAGCTGCGTCGCTCACGCTTCCCGCAGACGCCGAGAGCCACTCGAGGGCGCCCTCGAGGCGAGCAACGGCCGACTCGGTCGGCTTTGAGCCGTCGGCATACGCTGCGCTCTGATCCTGCAGTGCCGCCGGGCGGCGCCACCAGCGCAGCGTGAGGGAGCTGAGCACGACGGAGACGGAGCTGCACGCCATGGCTGCGCCGGCCGTCATCGGATGCAGGTGGTAGCCCCACGGCAGGAAGAGGCCCATGGCGAGCGGGATGCCGATGATGTTGTAGCACGTCGCCCAGACGAAGTTGAAGCGGATCTGCCGGAAGATGCGGCGTGCCAAATGCAGGCTGGCCGGCACGTCGAGCAGGCTTTGAGGCCGCATGAGCACCACGTCGGCCGCCTCCATGGCAATCTCGCTGCCGGATGCCAGCGCGATGCCCAGCGTCGCCGCCGCCAGCGCCGGCGAGTCGTTGATGCCGTCGCCGACCATGGCGATGCCGCCGCGATCGCGTCGGCCGGCCTTGAGTGCCGCCGCCTCGGCCTCTTGCCGCAGACGCACCACGACGCCGCGCTTGCCGTTCGGACTCATGCCGGCGTGCACGTCGTGCGCCTCGATGCCCAGCTCGCGTGCAATCGCAAGCGCAGTCGCCTCGCTGTCGCCCGTCATGATGCCAACGCTGATGCCCATGGCACGCAGCGCATCCACGCACGGCCGCGCAGAGGGCTTCAGCCGATCAGCCAGCGCAAAGGCCAGAACCAGCGAGCCGTCGAGCGTCGCAAAGACGACGGTGCGGCCCTGCGCCTCTTGTGCGTCGTTGAAGGCCGCCAGACGGGCAGGTGGCCGCGCACCGGCACCCTTGCCTTGCACGTAGGCCAGGTTGCCGATCTTGACCAGATGCGTGCTGCCGCTGGGCAGCGTCGCTCGGCACGAGACGCCGGAGCCCGCGACGTTGAGGAAGTCGCTTGTGGAGGGCGTAGCCGGAACGCCGTGTGCGCCTTGCTCCTCGTGGCTCTTGGACGCCTGAGCACTGCAGAAGTCTGCCACCGCGCGGCCAAGTGGATGCTCGCTGCGCAGCTCGACGGCGCCGACAGCTTCGAGCACGCTGCGTCGTGAGAGGCCGCCCGCTGCGGGTGCGCTCATGTTGCGCAGCGGCGCAGCATCAGCGCTGACCGCCTCCTCCGGCTCGCCATCGGCCCAGCAGAGTGCCGAGACTGTGAGCTTGCCCTCAGTGAGCGTGCCAGTCTTGTCGAAGAGGACGCGCTCGACCGAGTGGCTCGCCTCGAGCGGTCCACCGCCCTTGATGAGGATGCCGTGCTGTGCGCCGACGCCTGTGCCTACCATGACGGCCGTTGGTGTGCTGAGGCCGAGCGCACAGGGGCACGCGACGACGATGACGGAGATGCAGAGCTTGAGGCAGACCATGAGGCGCGTGGCGCCTTCTTGCCGGAAGACATCGGGCAGCGAAGGCGGTGCGAGCAGGTGCGAGATGATCATCCACGCGATGAACGTGAAGCTGCCGAGGCCGACGACGCATGGCACGAAGATGCCGGCCACGCGATCGGCGAAGGCCTGTATCGGTGCCTTACTTGTCTGCGCCTCCGAGACGAGACGCACAATCTGCGCCAGCGACGTGTCCTTGCCGGCGCGCGAGACGAGAAAGTCAAACGAGCCCATGCCGTTGACTGTGCCGCCGATGACGACGCTGCCTTCTTGCTTGGCGACGGGCAGCGCCTCGCCAGTGACCATGCTCTCGTCGACGTTGCTGCTGCCGCGCACCACGACGCCATCAGCCGCGATCTTCTCGCCGGGCACGACCTTGACGTAGTCGCCGCGCTGGATCAGCTCCGACGGCACCTTGTGCTCGACGCTCAGCGCCGCGCCGTCGCGGTAGATCACCGCCGTGCTGGGCGTGAGACCGATGAGCTTCGAGAGCGCCTCGCTCGTCTTGCCCTTGGCCGCATTCTCGAGGTAGCGGCCGAACGTCACGAATGTAATGAGCATGGTGCTCGTGTCGAAGAACGTCGCCGGCTTGGCGCAGTCTTGGCCGCTGCCGCACAGCAGGCCAAATAGCATCGACAGGCTGGAGTAGACAAACGAGGCCGTGGTGCCGAGCACGATGAGCACATCCATCGTCGCGCCGCCGTGGCGCAGTGCGCGGTAGGAGCTGACGTAGAAGCGCTTGCCGATGCCGAACTGCACGGGAATCGTGAGGGCGAGGCAGATGAGATCTTCGAGGAAGAGGTTGGGCAGCGGCTGCCAGCGCAGCACGCTGCGTGCAGCGCCCCACTTTGGCAGCACCATCGATACGAGAAAGACGGGCACGGCGAAGCTGAGGGAGAAGAGAAAGGCAGCGCGCCATTCGGCCACCTCCTTGACGCGCGAGAGGGATTGCAGCTGCGTCGAGTCGCCATCTGCCGCAGCGAGCGTCGCATCGAAGCCGCACTCCTCGACACACTCGACGATGTCGCGCACGCCCACCTTTGCGGGATCGAAGTGCACGCTGGCCGTCTCGAGGGCGAGATTGACACTGGCGTCCAGCACGCCTGCCCGCGCCGCCAGGGCCCGCTCGACGGTGCCTGTGCAGCTGGCACACGTCATGCCGTAGATGCGCAGCGTCACGCTGTCCTCGGCCGCCTCCTCGAGCGGTGTCGCCTCGAAGCCCATGTCGTCGATCTCCTCGGCCAGCGAGGCCGGCGTCCACTTCTCAGCGTCGTACGTGACGACGGCGCGCTCGGCCAGCAGCGCCACGGTGACGGAGTAGATGCCGGCCTGTGTGCGCAGCATGCGCTCGATCGTCTGCGCAGTTGTGATCAGCGACAGGTCAGGTGTGGCACTTGCGGCAGTCCTCCTGCCGCAGTGCCGTGCTGCGATTCGCTGCTCCTTCGCCGCTAGGCCGCACACTCACCTCGACACAGGCGCCGCACGTCATGCCCGAGACCTGCAACGTGGCCGTCACGCCCTGCGGCTGCTTCTCGCCGTCTTCATACGGCTCGGATGAGGCCGCTGCGCCGAGCAGCGGCTCAGCAGCGAGTGCGGCGGACATGGCCGCGGGTGGCGCTCGCGTGCGGGCGTGCGGAGATAAGGCGGTGGGCGCAGAGGGGTCGACGAGCGGCTATGCTGAGCGCATGTAGCGCAGTCGCATGCGAGTATGTGCAGATGTCGTCTCAGTGGTGAACGTTGGAGAAGGTGGGCCTGGCGTGAATGTGGTGAGATGAGAAGATGCGGAAGCAGCAAGCCGCAAGGAGGCCGAGGCGCCTGCTGCGGTGAAGCTTCGGCTTTGCCGCCGCTGCTCGCGTGCCTCGGCGCCGCCGTTAGCGCTGCGCCCTCTCTCCTGCGCCGCTGCCTGTGCCGGCGGCCCGGTGCCAGACAAGTTGCCGAGCTGCGTGGCGCTCTCCGCCGTCCTCGCCTCGGGTGTCGCGCCAGCCGCCGTCCAAGGACCAAGGGCCGCGACATCGCTGCCTCTGTGACGACGACCGGGTCAATGCTCCCAGCACCAGGCAGCCTCGGGCGACATCGAGGTCGCTGCGTCTGCGCTGGCGCCGCGTGTGCCGCTGTGCGCGGCGCTCGCTGCGTGCTGCTTCTCCGCGCCGGCCGTGCTATCAGATCCGGCGTGCTTGGCAGCAAAGTCGAGTGCCCAGAGGGGCGTGCGGAGCCATACTCTCGGATCTCGCTCATAAGCGGAGCTCACAGCTTCGAATAAGCATGTACGATCATGTTCCGGGCTCGCCAAGCAGAAGGGTGCTCATGGACGACCTCTCTGCGCTGAGGCGGCGCACGACCTGGCGCGGGGTCGGGCATGCGGCGTCCTGCCGACGTGCCGGCCGGCATGCGGGAGCTCGCTGCATCTGCGCGCCGCGCCGCGGTGGAGGTTGGCCGCTGCTGCCGCACGCCGATCAGGCCATGCGCTGCGTGCTGCTGACTTGACCGGGGACGCCGCCGCACGCCGCTTCCTCTCGCTTCCCAACCTCCATCACCTGTAGCACCTTCAAACATGGCCACTCCCGCCCCCGACGCCATCTTTCCCTTCGGCGCCGCGCCGCTGCCCATCTCCTCGCTCTGCGCGGGCGGTGCTGATGGGCGTCTGAGCGCCGAGGCGCGCGATGCGCTCGTGCGCCAGGCATTTGCCATGACGCGTGCCTCGCTCGGATGGAGCAAGGGCAAGGTCGTCAAGACCGAGGTGGCCGACGTGCAGGTGTTCAAGGGCCCCAGTGTGCACCAGGGTCGCCTGGCCAAGTGCGCATGGCACGGCAGACACAGCGTGAGTGGAGAGAGATGGACGCAGGTGGAGTAGAGCAGGATGCTTGGAAGAGGCGAGAGAGAGGAGAACGGGCGAGCGCGAGGAGGGCAGGTCTATCGCTCTGGCGCTGGCTGTGGAGCGGCTGTGGCAGCATTGTCAGCTCGTTGCTTCTGCATCAGCTACACGATGCCCTGGCCTCTCATCCTTCTAGCGCCGGCTTGATGCATGCCCTGGCTCTCTCACCGCGCTTTCTGCCCGCTAACGTCTATGTCCGCAGGTCCACCCGCCCGCGCAGACAAAGGGCAACCTGACGTGGGACGACTTCCGCGCCGGCCTCTTCGTCGACCACCCATCGCAGGAGACCGAGTACATCGAGGAGATGACGAGTGCCGTCGAGGTCGACGTGCTGGAGCGCGGCGTCGCCGAGGTGTGGAACAATACTTGTAAGTGTGCTGCCGAGTGGGATGCGCGACATGCGGCCAGTCCGCGTACTTGTTGTCGGACTTGATGAGCAGCTCGCGGATCTGAGAACCGAGGCTGCAGCATTTCGATGCAGTCCGCGCTGCGCTGCTGACATTTGTCTCTTCGCCAGACGCACTGCCGACCCTGACGGCAAACCGCGACTTCCTGCAGCTGCTGCTGACGCTCGAGCTGCCGCGGCACGCCGAGCCGTACAGCGAGGCGCATGAGGCGCAGCTGCTGGCCTCGCTCAAGGGCGAGTCGCTGCCTGAGCCGGGCCCGGATGCGCTGCGCTCTTTCATCGTCATCCAGCTGCCCGTGTCGCATGACAAGTGCCCCGAGCGCGGGCCGGAGGGCTACGTGCGCGCCTACTACGCCAGCGTCGAGGCGATCCACGAGCGCGCAGACGGCACGACCGAGTGGCGGTGAGTTCGCATGCTCTCTCTGAGGCAGCGTAGCACATGCTCATGCGTCAACACAGCATGTTCCTGCAGTCCGACGCCTCGGGCCGCGTGCCGCTCTTCTTCCAGGAGATGGCCATGCCGTCAAAGACGGCGCCCGACGTGCCGTGCTACATCAACTGGAAGGCCAAGAAGAACGAAGAGGCTGGGCGCGTGCCAACGGCCACGAGCACGGCGCCTACTCACACTGCCTCGTGAGGGCACCTTCATCCTCACTAGAGCGTCGAGACGCTCTCTGCACCGCTCGTCGCTGGGCCTTGATACCACCACGTCCTGCCACGGACACGCCAATATCTATACTTCTGTGCTGCGCTCCTCTGCCCCTCTGTGCTCTGTGCTGATGATGACGAGGGCGTGTCCCCATGATGATTGACAGCGCCCTGGCGCGTGTCGCTGCACGCGCACTCCAATACAGAACCTGTCCTGCGCTCCTCCTCTCGCCATGCGGCAGCTATTGCCGTGCGCCCAGCGGCGCGTTGTTGCTGCCCGTCATGAAGCCCGGCGGGCCCATCGGCGGCATGCCCATCGGCGGCGGGCCTGGGTAGCCAGCGGGTGGCGGCGGCACCATGCCGCCTGGTGGTGGGCCGGCGTAGGGGTCAAAGCCCATCGGCGCACCGAACTGCGGCGGGCCTCCAGGCGGCGGCGGTGGTGGGCCACCCGGCATGCCGCCGTCCATCGCTCCCCATCCCGGCGGTGCGCCCGGCGGCGGCTGCGCCCACGAGCCGAGTTGCGGGCGCACAGGCATGGCGTTGTTCTTGCGTGCCTGCGCCGCCAGCAGCCGCTCGGCGGCCGTGCCGTGCCGCTCGCCGCCCTTGCCGTCCTTCTTGAGCGCATAGGCCACCGTGATGGCGCGGTTCAGCAGGAACTGGTTGTTCAGCGCCTCGATGGCTGCATCGGCCGCCTCGAAGGAGTCGTACGAGACGAAGCCGTACGACTTGGAAGCGTTCGTCTCGGGGTCGCGTGCCACCTGGACGGAGGGTGTCAGAGCCGGCATGTGCCACTCACTCTCGGCTGATTCCTTCTCTTGCCACACAGCAGCCTCTGCTGTCATGGCGCTGCAGCCCGTACGCCCACACTCACCTTCGGCAGGCCGACCACCGGGCCAAACGTCTGGAACGTCTCCCACAGCAGGCGCTCGTCGACGCCCGAGTCCAGGTTGCCGACGAACAAGTTGGCGCCAATGTCGATCTGCTTGCGGTCGCTGCTCGCCTTGTTGACGCGCAGCGGCTTGCCGAAGAGCTTGATGCCGTTGAGGATGCGGCAGGCATAGTCGGCGTCGCCCTCGGTGGCGTACTCGGCGAACCCGTAGCCCTGGTGCGCCGACGTGATGCGGTCCTTGGGCAGGTGCACGTTGACGATGGGACCGGCCTGCAGCATCAGCTCCCAGAGCAGCGCATCGCTGGCGCGCTCGTCGAGGTTGCCCACGTAGCACGTGGCATCCTGATTCCGGTCTGACGTGGGGCATGAGCGGGTGCAAGACAGGTGCGGCCGCCTCTGTGACACTCACCCTGCTCGGCAGGCCGCGACATGACGCTCGGAGCAGCGGCGCAGGTAAGAGATGGAGGCGCGGTTCTGCGATACGTGAGAGTGCGAAACTAGCTAGGGTTGCGGAGAGTGAGAGCTGGCGGATGAGGTGATGGTGAAAGGGCAAGAAGGTGCAGCGACACGACGGCGTGGTGCGAGCTTCGGCGGTCCGCGGCGACCGCGGCGGCACTCGGGCGGCGGCTCGGCCTGCCAAAAATTGGCGCGCGGGGGTGCGACCTGGACGCAGGTTCTCTTCTGCCACCATCTCCCTGCCTCTCGCGCACCTCAGCGCCCGACTCTCACACCTCACACTCTTCACGTCCAGCCAGCCATGCCGCGCGCCGTTTCAGCTCGGCCCTCAGGCTCCGTGCGCTCTGCGCCGTACGGCCCCACGGCCGGCAACGTGCGCCCGGGCAGCAGCAAGGATGCCTTCAGCAGCAGCGGCGCCAGCTCGTCGGCGCCCGCACCCAGCACGACGAAGAACCCCATCTTCAATACCGACCGCTTTGGCCAGCACATCCTGAAGAACCCGCTCGTGGCGCAGGGGTGCGTCGTTCCGCTCTCAGGACTGCCGCTTGTATGCTCACACCGCCACTCCCGCGTAGCATCGTCGACAAGGCGGCGCTCAAGTCCACCGACCTCGTGCTGGAGGTCGGCCCAGGTACGGGCAACTTGACAGTGCGCATCCTCGAGGTGGCAAAGAAGACGACCGTCGTCGAAATGGACCCGCGCATGGCGGCTGAGCTCACAAAACGTGTGCAGGGCAAGTGAGTGGGCGAGACTTGAAGAGAGGCGTGGCAGGATTACTGGCCAAGCGGCAGAGGAATGAGGAACGAGCGTGGCTCAGCTGCGCCTTGTGCTGGAGGACTGCCGCATCGCTGCACTCCTCTACTCCGCCTCCGGCGTGCTGCCGTGCCCTTGTGCTGGTGATGGTGCATCCGGCGCTGCGGTCTGTGTCATGCTCTCGCTCGCCACCGGCGCTGATGCACGTTCTTGCCTCTCGCCAGGCCTGCACAGCGCAAGCTCGACATTATGATTGGTGACTTCTGCAAGACGGAGCTGCCGTACTTTGACGTGTGCATCAGCAACACGCCGTACCAGGTGAGCACGCGATGCAGCACAGGGAGCAGGGCGGCGCTTGTGCTCGCGGCCTTACCGGATGCGAGGGCCTCGAGGCTGACACGCCTCTCAGATCTCCTCGCCGCTCGTCTTCAAGCTGCTCTCGCACCGGCCACTCTTCCGCTGTGCCATCCTCATGTTTCAGCGCGAGTTTGCGCTGCGTCTGCTCGCCCGTCCCGGCTCGCCGTTGTGGTGTCGCCTGAGCGCCAACGTGCAGCTCTACGCCAAGGTGGACCACGTGATGAAGGTCTCGCGCAACTCGTTCCGCCCGCCGCCGCAGGTCGAGAGCAGCGTGGTGCGCATCTGCCCCATCAACCCGCCGCCTGCGATTCGCTTCGAGGAGTTCGACGGCCTCGCTCGCATCGTCTTTACACGCCGGAACAAGACGGTGCGCTCGTGCTTCCAGGCCAGCGGCGTGCTGCCCATGCTGGAGGTGAGTGCGGGTCACATCTGCAGAGCGTTGGGCTTGGCTGACGTAGCGTGCGCAGTCCAACTGGAAGACGCTGCATGCCGAGAAGGAGGTGCCGCTGGACACGAGCGTGCCGTTCGCCTCCAAGGTCGACGCCATCCTCACGGGCACAGGCTACTCGGACCAGCGCGCGGCGCAGATGGACATCACCGACCTCCTCGAGCTGCTCAGCGCCTTCCACGACGCCCTCATCCACTTCTCGTAGCCCTGTCTGCTGCTCATAGATCCTCATCACGCTCATTTGTCACCGGCACGGGTAATCTGTAATTGTATGCGATGCACTGGACATGCAAGGGCGGGCGAGGCAGTAGCGTGTGGAGCAGAGAAGCGCGAACATCAGCGCTGATTGAGCATGGCCAGGATGTTGGCCATGCTCTGCTGGCCCGACTGCTGAGCAGCCGTGGGGGCAGGTGCTGCCGCTGCAGCGGGCGCCGCGGCGCTGGCCGGAGTCTGCACCTGCGACAGCAGAGCAGAGAGACCTGCTGGCAGCGCATAGCCGCCGCTCGGCGCAGCAGCTGGCGCGGCTGCTGGTGCGGCGGTAGCCGGAGGAAGAGCGGCAACAGCGCTGCTTCGAGCTGCTGAAGCAGCGCTGTTGCCGCTCTTGAGCGAAGCGAGGAGCTGCTGCACCTTCTGCGCTTGATCGAGACGCTGATTGGTAGATGAGAGCGTCAGCAAAGGTACTTGTGCGCAGAGCGTCGCGCGTAGACTCACGCTCTCCTGTGGCGTGGGTGCTGGCTTGGGCGGCGGTACCACAGCCTGAGGCGGCGGTCCAGCGGATGCCTGACCGTACGGCGGCGAGCCAGCTCCGTACGAGCTTGGCGGTGGCGCGTGCACGGGCGTGGGAGGCTTGACGTCGATGCCCTGAGGCTGGCCCCACCGCCGCATCGGCACCTCTCCGGCGCGATTGGCGCTCGCTGGCGGCGGCAGACCGCCGACTGATGGACCAGCGCCGCCATGAGGGATCGGGCTCTGGGCCGGTGGAGGAGCTGCGGAACCCCAGCCCGTCGGCGGTGGAGCGTTGAAGCCTGGCGGCGGACCCCCGTTGTACTGCGGCGGGCTCTGTGCGCCGTTGGGCGGACCACGAGGCAGCGGAGGCTGACCGTAGCCGCCTGGCGGAGCATTGCTTGGAGGCGCAGCCTGATACGGCGCCGGTGCGGACTGCGGTGGAGGCTGTGCGTATGCAGGAGCAGGTGCGGCTGGTGATGCTAGTCAGCAAGAGGCGCAAATTGACACGCGACAAGAGACTGACGTGTTGGCGCCGGCGGCGGCATTTGCGGGTCCCACTCCATGTTCAGGCGCCACTGGCCGCTCTGGTGCCACCACTGGCCGTTGAGCTTGTCGAAGGCGAGCTGCTGCGCGCGGCTGTCGAAGAAGGTGACGAGCGCCGGACGCGGCGGGCCTCCGTACTGCGGCGGTCCGCTGGGGACGATGCGCATGATCTCGCCATACTCGCCAAACGCCGCATCGAGGGTGGCCTCATCGACTGGCACAGGACGCCCCTGGTTCTCGAGCGTGATGGAGAGCGTGCCCTGCACGCGCACGTGGTCAGCAAATACGACCAAGCGCATAGCGAGGTCTTCCCTGGCGCACCTGGTTCTTCTCGCGGTCGCACGGCTGGTTGATCTCCTTGTCCTTCGGCAGGCTGAAGTGCACGTCCATCTGAGCGTCTGGTCAGCTCGGGTTCTCGGCATAGACAGGTCTCGACCATCTCACATCGCGGCCGGCCAGGTGCAAGCCTTGCAGCGCGCCCTTGGCCGCTTCAGCCGAGCGGAAGTCGTACTGTGAGCAGATGCAGCGGTCAGTTGTGCGCATGTCTGCAGCGGCGGGCTCAGACACTGACGTAGGCTACGAACAGCAGGCCGCGCTTGTGCGGCGGCTCAAAGTAGCTGCGGACCTGGCCGAAGCTCTCGAAGCGGGAACGCAGCCATGCCTGGTCCGCCTCGTAGGCAATGTTGCGGATGAAGAGCGTGCGGCTCGGCGCCTCGAGCAGCGCACGCTGCGGGTTCGTCACGTCGATCTGAGGGATGCGCGGCGGCGGCACGACGGGGCCTGACGCGGCGTAGCCACGATCAGGAGCAGGCGCCGGTACAGACGGTGCAGCGCCATAGGACGCCGGGGGCGCAGCGCGCCAGTCTGGCGGTGCAGAAGAAGGCGGCGGCCCGCCGCTGCCGCTCGCAGTGCGGTTGTACGGGTCACTTGGGTATGGGGCACGCTCAGCTGCGGGAAGACACAGCGCGGTCAAAACGTCAGCCTCTCCTTCGCTCTCGCTCGAGCACGACACATCAAGCAGGACTGCAGCTAGCCGGCGCTCTGCCTTGCAGGCTTCACGCTCAGCACGCTCGTAGCTGCAGAGCGCCAGCCTGCCGGGCGCGGCCAGCCGGCAGCACGTTGCTCAGGTACACTCAGCTGAGCTTAGTTGACGGAGCGCTGCACGCCAAGAGCCGTCTCGAGCAGTGCAGCTTGTCTCGAGGCTGGCGCTCACGGCAGCTGCTTCGCTTCGCGTGCAGCGGCTTCATCGCCTTTTCGTGGCCGACCGTTCGGCGACAACTTGGCTCGGCTCGCGCCAGTCGCTTCGGGGCATCACGAGTGCCAATCTCATCCGGACCGTCGCGGTTCAAGTATGCGGCAGACGCGCACGGAAGGCAGGCCGTTGTGCCTGAGTCGCGGGCGCAGCGGCGAGCTGACCATCGTCCGATCCGCGCGACCTTACTCTCCAGTACTCTGAACACGATACACCAAGACTCATGCGCACCTTGGGACTGAGGCTGACCGTACGCCGCACCGGCGTGACTGGGCGGCTGAGACTGCGCCGAGGAGCCGTAGTTGCCATACTGCGGCGTGCGCGGCGGTGACGCGGCGTGCTCTGCACCGGGGTATCCAGGTCGCTGCTGCTGCTGCTGAAAGTGAGGCGGCGCGCCATAACCTCCAGACGAGGCATGCGGCGGCGATGCGGCGCCTCCTGCGCCATATCCACGCGGCGTCGGCGGTGGAGGTGCACCTCTGTGGCCCGGCGGAGGGCCGTAGCCGTGCTGCTGCGCCGGCGCTGGCTGCTGCTGTTGCGGATACGGCGCATACTCGCGCGACGGGCCCACTCCACCGCCACCTCCTCTGGGTAGCGGCGGGCCGCCGCCGTGCCGCTTACCGCCTCTTCCGGGACCACCGCCACCCGGCGGTCCGCCATTGCCATACGGATGGTGGCGGTTCATGGCCAAGCGCGGATGCAGGCTCAACAGCTGCGCAGCAGGCTGGACGGAGAAAGGGCGAGCAGCAGCGAGACGTGCGGCAGCACAAACGGAGAAGCGGGGCCGACGACGGCGATTCGGAGACGTGCAGGCTCAAGCACAGGCTGGAGTTGCGGCGCGTAGAGGAGGACGGTCGAGGACGATGGCGGTGCGGAGGCAGGGAGCGCGGCCGGCGCCCAGCCGCGTTTGGGCAGAGGAGGTCGGCCGGCCGCAAGCGGTGGCCCCATTTAGACTTCAACTTCAGGAGCGCTTGTTGAAGCTTGGAATATACCTGCATGTCGCGCTGGACTACAAGAGGAGGGATTCGAATAGCACCGGCGCGCTCTCGTTGTATTAGCGAGTACAGTATGCACGTGCGCGCGCCGAGCTGCGCCGAGCCGGCCGTCGCCGCCAGCGCAGCGCGACTCGTCCGCCGGCGGCCTCTCTCGAGTCTTTCGCGCTACACACACCCATTCTCCACCTCTCTCCGTCGCTCGCCATGACGACCATCCCGGCCCGTCTGGCCCAGACCACGCGCATCAGCGGCTCGCTCGCCGAGTCGCACGCCCGGGCGCGCTCGCTCTACCGCAACTACTTCCGCAGCGCACCCGAGCTCTGCGCCCTCTACGCCCTCGACGTGCCGCCGTCCGTCGTGCGCGCCAAGCTGCGGCAGAAGTTCGAGGCGCACCGCCACGTGCGCGACATTGCCGTGCTCGATGTCATGCTCTTCAAGGCGCACATCGAGTACCAGGAGACGATGAATGCGTGGAAGCAGGTGCCGCACATCATGCGCTGGTTCGCCGAGGAGGAGGTGAGTAGCTGGTGCGACACGCGCTTGGCGACGCAGAAGAGGCGCAGGGAGAGCGGCCATGCGCGACGGGAGATGCTGGGCCGAGAGGGTGCTCGACCTCGGTCGCTCGGTGATCTCTGCGGACAGCAGCTTGTTTGCAGGCGCCCGCCGCAGGCAGCAACACATAGCAGCTGGCAGCGACGACGTCTGCGACATGGCGTGCGGCTTCCGATCATCTCGTGGGGCAGATTGCTGCTTAAAGCAGATAGAGGCTTTGCACACAGCTCGTGGAGCTGCTGGACCCCGCACATGTCGCTGCCCGCCGGCCGACGAGACGCACAGATGCTTGCGGCGCATTGCTGCCTTCTCCTGCTCAAGACGTTCCCCATCCCACTTGATGTCGCTGACTCACAAGTCTCTTCTTCTCCGTTCCGTCCATCTATCAGGCTGCACGTAAGTTTGGGCTGTACCCTGCGCCATTTGCGCTGTACCCTGCGCCATTTGCGCCGACCGAGGCTGAACTCGTACTCTCAAACAGCCACGCCGCAGACGTTCCTGGAGAAGTTCTACGCCGGCCGGGACGAGGGCCGGACGCCGACTGGTCAGGGCAACTAGGCGGGACGAGAAGAGGCATTGGAGGAGATGGGCAGGTGGAGAAGGAGAATGATAGCGCGTGTCTAGATCTCCTTGCCGTCCGGCTATCTCGCGTCTGCGTCACGACACCAACTGCCAGTCACGTTCAGGCCAGCCAAGGCATGCGTTCCATCTATCTATTACGCTCACGCCGCCTCGAGCGGGTCGCGATCCGCCACGCTGACGTACACGCTGCAAGGCGAGCCAGCCTTCTCCAGCAGCGCTTCGAGCCGCGTCGCGAGGACGGGCAGGTAAGGCCGCTCCGTGTTGGTGTGGTTCAGCAGGATTACGCTCGAGCCATTCTGCGTGAAGGCAAGGAGCTCGTGCTGCGGCAGATGCGGATGTCAGCAACGTGGCAAAGAGAGAGAGAGAGGGTTACGACGCACGTGAGAGAGCTCGCCGGTGACATCTGCGACACGAAGAGTCAGAGCCGTCGCAGAGATGGTACAGCGAGCTGCTCACAGAGATCGGCCTTGGCAGCGCGGAAAACGGAGCCGCCGGAGCCGGCGCAGACGGCTACTGTATTGATGGGTGCAGCTGTTGGGGCACGCCTTGTGAGCTCAATTGCCATCGCGAGGCAGTGCTCTGAACTCACGCGAGGCGCCGGAGTGCTTCGCCGCACGGGCGATTTGCACTGTGAGGAGGCAGGCCGTCAGTGCAATGCCCGAGCCGGCCAGGCGTGCTACGCACCAACGTCGCCGAGCGGCTTCTTGCCCGAGTCACCGAGCACTCGCTTGAGTCTCGCCGCCACTTCATCGATCGTCTGCGGCTCATTCAGCTCCACCACACGTCCCATGCCCGCCGTCTCATGTCCCGGCTCCTTCGCCTTGCTCGGCGTGGCCGGCGCGATGCTCTTCCACTTGCTCGCGTCGATCTCTTCACGTTCGATCTTAGGGTCGGCAGTGGCGAATGAGGCCAGCCAGTCGTTCATGCCCCCCGCTGCTGCGTCGAGCGAAGTGTGAGGACAGTAGACGCTCACGCCGGCTTGAATGAGCCGGAGCAAGGAGCGCTGCTGAGAGTCGGCCATCGTGAGAGACTTGAGGCCGCGGAAGATGATGCTGTGTGCCGATGCGGTCAGCCAGGCAGAGACAAGTTGATGAGGAGGACGCACGGGTGGTACACCACAGCCACGCCCACGTCGAAGCCGAGGATCTCGTCGACGACCTGCGTCGTCAAGTCGATTGCGACCGAGACATTCGGTGCGTTCTTGCGCGGCTCCGGTGCCTCTGAGGATGGGAGTCAGCGAGTGGCGCATCTTACGCTCGACAGATCAGACGCACCGACGAGCAGTCCGACGTTGTCCCAACTCGAGTCTGCGAGCGAGAGCGGCGCAATGACATGCATGGCACGCATGGTAGCCGCCAGCAGGGTGTTGCTTTCGATGCTCTGCGAGAGCGTCGGCAGCGTAGAGGCTGCGGCGCCCATCCATGCTTGCTGAGATGATCTGCGCGCCGACGTGGAGATACAGGCGAGACGGACGTTGGGCGTCAGCGAGGCGCGAGAGGACGTGGCGGGCCGGCGAGCGCTGCAGCAGCAGGGCGATCTTCGCAAGGAGTGGAGCTGCCGCTGAGGCGAGCTGGGCCCTGCCATAGCGCTGCCACTGCTGATGCTGCCGGCCAAGACGCCGCGTGCAGAGCCACACAAAGAGCCTAGGCGGCATACGAACGACATGTTGGCGTGCTTGCTGCTGCTTGATGCGGTGGGAAAGCAGGCCGTTGTCGCGCGACCTTCTCAGGAAGCAGCTCGAGGCGGCGGCGCGGCCAGCGCCACGTGCGCGTCCCGCGGTGTTGCGGGCGCACGGGCGGCGCTGGCGGCGGGCGGGGGGCGCCAGCGCGCCGCGCGCCTTGTGGGAGCAACAGACGCGACGACGAGCTCGCCTCGCACCACCACCACGCCCATCCTCACGCCCGAACAAGCGCGCACCGCCCGTCCACTGAGCCGCCATGGTGCGTTGTTGCGCCAGCTCTGCGCTGGGCCCGCTTACTGACTATGCACGCCCAGGTGCTCCTCGCCGCCTCCATCTGCACGCGCGGCGGCAAGCGTGAGTCGGCACCGCGCTCGCCGGGCGTACTTAGCATGCTCACACCATCGCAGCCGTCATCTCGCGGCAGTTCCGCGAGATCCCGCGCTCGCGCGTCGAGGCCCTGCTCGCCTCCTTCCCCAAGCTCATCTCGGCCGGCGCGCAGCACACGAGCGTCGAGACGGATGCCGTGCGCTACGTGTACCAGCCGCTGGAGGATCTGTACATGATCCTCATCACCAACAAGAGCAGCAACATCCTGCAGGACATCGACACGCTGCACCTCTTTGCACGCACCGTCGCCGACCTGTGCCGCAGCTGCGACGAGCGCGACATTCTGCGCAACTCGTTTGAGCTGCTCGGCGCCTTCGACGAGATTGTTAGCCTGGGCTACCGCGAGAACGTCAGCCTGGCGCAGATCCGCAGCATCATGGAGATGGAGAGCCACGAGGAGAAGATCCAGGAGATCATCGAGCGCGTGAGTGGTGCAGAGAGACGATGCGCTGGCGGTGCAGGATGAGGGACAGCAGCGCTTGCTTCTGCTGCGCCCCGAGGCTATGAGCTACGCTCTCTGCACTCCACTGACTCTTCTCCGTAGAACAAGGAGCTGGAGGCTAAGGAGGAGCTGAAGCGCCGGGCAAAGCAGCTGGAGATGCAGCGGCGCGAGGCGGCTCGGCGTGGCGCGGCCGGCTTCGGCGGCAACGTGGGCTACCAAGGCGTGTCGGGGCGCGGCTACGATGCCGTGCCGCTGCAGAGCGCACCAGTGGTGCGGGACACGGGCGCAGCGTGAGTAATGAGCGCGCAGAGATGAATGAGCGGGCTGCTGACGCTGTGGTGCAGGCCCGCTGCTCCCGCTGCCAAGCCGTTTAAGTCCAAGGGCATGCAGCTAGGCAAGAAGAGCAAGAACGCAGACCTGCTCGGCGCCATGGGCAGCGACGCCGAGCTGCCCGCCGCCGCACCGTCGCAGCCGCGAGCGGCCGCTGCACCGGCCGCTGCGGCGTCGGCGCCGATCCAGTCCTCCGTCGCGACTGTCGACCCGCTTGAGCTGCTGCCGCCCGTCGCGCAACAAAGGTGAGCTGCGCGTGTGGCGTTTCGTCGAGCACGACATAGCGCTCACACTGTCTCGCAGCATCCACCTCGTCGTCAAGGAGCGCGTCTCGCTGGAGGCCACGCGCGACGGCTCGCTGACGTCGCTCGAGCTCAAGGGTGACCTCGAGCTGCGCATCACCGACCCAACACTGGCCAAGCTGCGTCTCCAGATCGCACCTTCTGTCGCCTCTGCCCTGCTTGCGCCCGACGCGCTCACCTTCAAGACGCACCCGCACGTCGACAAGAAGGCGTGGGCCGACTCGCGCATCATTGCGCTGCGCGACCCCGCCAAGCCGTTCCCCGTGCGGCAAAACCTCGGCGTGCTGCGCTGGAGCGCCACGACCAAGGACGAGACGGCCGTGCCGCTCACGATCAACTGCTGGCCCTCGCCGGCCGGCGACGGCTCGGGCGCGTGCGACGTGACGATCGAGTACGAGCTCGAGGCGAGCCACCTGGAGCTGCTGCACTTCAACCTCTCCATCCCGCTGCCGGCCGGCGTGCAGCCGTCGGTCGTGGAGTGCGCCACGGGCGACTGGAGCGTCGAGGAGGACGAGCAGGGCCTGCCGCGCCTGCAGTGGAGCATTGCCGAGATCTCGGCCGATGCCGACAGCAGTGGACAGCTCGAGTTCAGCGTGCCGAGCGGCGTCGACGATGTCGGCGTACTCTTCCCCGTGCGCGTCGCGTTCGTCTCGAGCCGGACGATGAGCGAGCTGGAGGTGAGTGCTGTATGCGTGGCCGTCGCCCTCGCAGCAGCTGACAATTCGTCCTGCAGGTCGCATCTGTCGTCTCTGCCGAGTCGGGCAGCGCTGTGCCGTATTCGACGCAGGCCGTGCTCAGCGCCGGCAACTACATCATCGCCTGAGGGTCAGACCCACTAGACGAGGCTGGTGCCCGCATGTGGGGGCGACAGCTGCTGCTGGACGGGAGTGCTGAATGTATTTGATCTTGCCAGACTGAGGCTGCTCTGACGAGCCTGCCAGATGTGGCTTTCGGCGCTGTCGTTCGATCCCCTCATCAAGTCGCTCTCAGTGCACGTCCCCTCGCACGCGATGGCCCGAGCTCGAGCTGCTCAACGCGCGCCGAAGTCTGCACCTCTCCCACGGCACAGCTTCTGTCGGCGCCAGCTCGCATCAACGCCTCGCGCTACAGCAGAGGGCTGCCACATGACCAGACGTGCGACCGTAAGCAGTGCAGGGAGAAGCAGTCTTCTGCAACGGGCGGGGAACACGACGCAGCGAGACAGGCGCAGCGCATTGGGAAATAGGCAAGCGTAAGATTTTGATTTCACGAGAGAAGCGCCGTGCCGGCGATGAGCCGGATGCACGCAAGGGATGGGCAGAGCAAGGGCGAGATGTGGATGGGAGTGAAGGAGAGGGCGATGCGACACCGAAGTGCGAGCCAGCATGCAACACTGCTGATTCGACGTTCGGCGCGCGCATCGAAGAGGGAGTGGGATCGAGAGCAGACGAAGGTGCGATGCAGAAGGATGAACGAGTGCGCGCGCGCATGGCGATGCGATTGCAATCTACATGCCCGCTACACATGCGTCTTCTCCTCTGCATGCGAGGTGTCACTCGCTAGGCTCGGCATATTTACTTGCCGGGGCCAGCCTCCTGTAGAACGGGACAGGGCCATGTCAGTGATGCTCGCGGATAGAAGGCAGCTCCAGATCACAGCGCAGCGAGCATTCCAGTCCGCAAGAGGACGATTTAGGACCCAGCCAAGCTCGGACTGGCACCCGGCGTTCCCCTTCCGCTCCTGCGCCGCCAGCCGGCGTCTCTGCATCTCTGCCTGTATCATGCTACGCACCTTGAAGGAGATAGCCTGCTCCTCGCCCATGGCCGAGACGATGGTGACCATCAGGTCCTTGCCGTCCTCGAAGCCCGACTCAATCTGCTCGCCGAGCTCGCCCTGAGAGGTGACGGGGTGAGCGGGTGCACACGACAGCAGCACGACGAAGCCGCAAGCAGACGCACCTCGGGCACCTTGACATCGTCCTTGGACGAGCCGTCACCGGACATGAGGTTGAGGAAGCCGTCGTCTACAGGCAGTGAGAGAGCACATCAGCAGCTGACCAGTGCCCCTGGGGCACGCACGCGACGCACCGATGTTGACAAGCTGGTACTCGTTGCGCGTCACGTTGGGCACATCCATGTTGTGCGTCGAGGGCGAGATGTCCTCGTACTTGCGCTGCGTGAAGATGTCGGTGGCGATCAGGTGGACCTTGGCGTGGCCGTGCTTGCCGGTCTTCGACGTCGACATGTCGATGATCTGCAGACGGGGTGTGAGAAGAGCCGTGGGACAGAAAAGGCGTGCGAGGAAGCGCCGCCGATGCCGGCGCAGGCGACATGGCTCTGCTAGCTACGCCAGCTACAGTGACTGCTATACGCCTCGCACTGCAGACGCAGTAGCCCGGTGCTCTGCCTGGCAGTCGCGAGCTGCTGGCCCGGCGCAGCACGCATACAGCCGCTGCCCATGCCCTTCTCCCGCCGCTCCGCCCCATGCCTCGCCTGCTGCTGCAACGCACCTTGCACGGGCGGCCCTTGATGACGACGTGTCCGCTCTTGCGAAGAGCAGAGCACTGCATCGGGTAGGTGAGCGAGGCACCGGCGTGGGCCGTCTCGAAGTTCTGGTTGTGGACCTCGTCGTCGGACTGCAGCGAGAGTGTCAGTACGGCGGTCCTTACGGGCGGCCCGACGTCGATTGCAGCGCTGCGCCGTGCAGCGACAGACGCGCAGAGCTGGCACGCACCATGATGGGCTAGGTGTGGGGTGGGGAAAGAGGGTGGAAGGGGGGTGGTAGTTGGGAGGCAGCCGCCGCTGGCGCAGGCGCATCGCCGCGCGCGCCGCCGAGCTGGCAGCGCAAGGCCGGCGCAGAGCCACGCTCCGCTCGCCGCCTTCGCCGAATCGCAGAGAGAAGCGACGACGAGCCGCGCCAGCGCCAGCCGTGCGGTTGCGCTGCAAAGCGAAAGCTTCGCGGTGCGGGCGCGGCGCCGAGAGGCAGGCCAAGCGAGCGACTCCCCAGCCGGCGGCCTGGGCGCCGTGCGAGTTCCGCGTCTCTGCCTCTCGCGCCTCGCACTCCATCGCACGTGCGCGCTCCCAACCACCATCTCACGTGCCGCCCAGCCCCCGCCGCCCGCCCAGCCGCTCCTCCACACCGCCGCGCCGCGCCCTGTTCCCACCGCCTCTCGACGCCGAGGTCGCGCACTCGCTGCACCGCACCTGGCTCAGCTGAGCTGCATCTGCTGCACCGAACCCCTTTGGCGCACCACACTGCGCAGTCGTCGCCCGTCGCCGTCGTCCGCGCCCGCCAGGCCTGACCTCCGAAGGCACGCGCGCGCGGCGAGCTCGCACGCGTCCATCCCGCGCCCGCCCGACGCGTCGCGTAGCAGCGCACGCACCTTGAGCACCGCCTCGCCGGCCTCGCACGCCAACACTCAGCAGCACCATGTCGCAGCCCGCCGCGCGCGAGCCGTCGCCGCCGCCGCCCGCACCCATGACCACCGACGACGGCGCCGCTGAGCAGCCCGTGCAGCAGCAGAAGCTCGACGACCTCACCGCCGAGCACGTGCACCACGATGCCGACGCCGAGCAGCAGCAGGAGCAGGCCGGCGCCGACAAGGCACCGCAGCAGCAGCACGACGACGACGGCCTCGGCAATGTGCTTGCTGGCCTGAACCACGAGCAGCTCGCGAGCATCATGTTCGCCGCGGTGAGTCGCGTATGCCATGCCGGTGCCTCGCATCTTGCTCACGCCAGCGCTGCAGCAACGCTCGTCGGACGACTACGCACAGGCGCCGGCCGCGTCGGGCGAGGCGTCTGCTGCGGGCGCGTCGGCGTCGGCTCCGGCGCCGTACGACTCGCCGTCGCGCCTGGGTGTCGCCGCCTCGGCGCTGACGTCGTTCGCCTCGGGCTTCAAGAACGCCGAGGGCGGCGAGCGCCAGGACGGCGGTGAGGCCGTCGGCGCCGAGGGCGAGGCGGAGGACGCGACGACGGCGTACGTTGAGGAGGACAAGGATGATGAGGCACGTGAGGGCGAGGCCATCGCTGCCATGGAGCGCCTGGCCGAGGGCGCCGAGGACGCCGAGCGTCTGCCGTTCCAGCACGGCGAGAACGGCAGCCCGATGGACGCGCAGGCGCAGGAGGCACAGATGGACGTCGGCGACCTTTCCATGGGCGCCACGCCCGGCAAGAAGGGCAAGAAGAACAACGGACCCGAGGCGGAGCGCGTGCGCAAGGACAACCACGTGAGTGGCCCTCGTTGGTGTCCAGATGCATCACTGACAGCCCAATTCACTCACAGAAAGAGGTGGAGCGCCGCCGCCGCGAGCAGATCTCGCTTGGCATCGCCGAGCTGTCGCAGATCGTGCCCGGCTGCGACCCCAAGTCGACGAACAAGTCGGCCATCGTCGGCTCGGCGGTGCGCTACATCCAGGAGCTGCGCAACAACGAGCAGAGCAACATTGAGAAGTGGACGCTCGAGAAGCTGCTGATGGACCAGGCGATGAACGACCTGCAGGCGCAGCTCGAGGCGACGCGCCGCGAGAACGAGCGCTTCCGCGAGCAGCTCGGCCTGCCGCCGGCGCCGGAGCCTGAGCCGGAGCCGGAACCGCAAGAACAGGAGGCGCAGGAGGGCGAGCAGCACGAGGCGCCGCCGGAGGAGTACTACACGCACGAGCAGCACGAGGCGGCACAGCAGGCCGCAGAGGCTCAGCACATGGAGGCCTCGGGCTCGCGCGGCCCCGAGGAGCAGGAGCCGCAGGAGCCGGCGCCGCTCGAGCACCACGACGAGCACGAGGAGCAGCACGCGCACGAGGAGCACGACATGCACGAGGCCGATGCGCCCGGCGAGGAGGACACGCAGCTCGAGGCGCCGCTGCCGCACGACGGCGCAGACTCGATCCGAGAGGCGGCCGAGGAGGTCGCCATGGCCGCCGCCGAGGAGTCCGCCGCCAACGCTGCCGTCGCCGTCGCCGAGGCCGGCGCGCCCTCGCACGACGGCGCCGGCAAGGTGCGCACGCACGACGAGATGCAGGGCCTCGAGCCACTGCAGGCCGTCGGCGCCGCTGCACGCGAGCAGCTGCAGAAGCGCCCGCGCGTGCAGTAGAGACTTCCTCCGTCGAGCACAAAAGTGCCGCTCGCACTTGCGCAGTCGCTGCCACCTTGCAAACGCTCGTCCGCTGCACCGCATCTCCCGATCCCTGGCTCCCCACGTCACGTCTTCCGCCCTCACCCTTCCGTCCGTGCCTCTTCGACCAGCTGTGCGAGAAACACATCGCCGCGCTCGTCTGTCCCTTTTCCGGTCTTGCCCCGCTTGCTCTCCCTGTATAAGGTCTCGGCAGCGCAGCCTCGCGCGCCTCTCTCTGCGCCACGCTCTGTCGTCTCTGTCCTGTAATACCAGCATCCTGTCCTCTCCGTCGACGCTGCTCCGACTGCTGCTAGGGCAAGAATGATTGCACCGCGTCCCCTCTCGCGCATCGTCCTCTAGATGGCGCGCTTTGCCTCCTCGACGACCTGTCCCGGCGTCTTGCCGGCCACCTTGAGGCCCGAGTACTTCTCGACGCCCTGCAGGCCCTCCTCCCACTTGCCCTCGGCCTCGCTCTTGGCCTCCTCGGCAATGCCGCGCACCTTGTTGGCCATGCCGCGCGTGTAGTGCACGAGGTTCTCGCGCTGCTCGCGCACCGCCGGCGCGTGTGCCGCCTCGACGTCGCGGTAGAAGGCGCCCACGTTGGCCGCCGTTTGCGGCAGGAAGTAGTTGAGCGACGCGACGAAGGCCAGCGGCGGGGTGAGCAGCCGCAGCGGGAAGGCACCTGATGGAAGCATGTGAGCCAATCGCTGAGCGCTGGAGCAGCGCATCCACGCACGGTACCGTGTGAAGACGGAGCCGGCGAGTGTTGCGACACCGACGTAGAGCAGGCCGGGCGTCATGTTCTCGTTGGCGGGCACGAGCGACGTGACCTTGCCTGTGGGCGAGATGTGAGCATTTGCGGGTACCAAACGGATCCACTGCAGCATGATGCGCTGCGCTGTCCCACCGATCTGTGCCGCTGTGACGGAGGGATGCCCACGCGAAGCTACACCATCGGCGTGACGCTGCGCTGCTCTGCAGCATGACTCTCTCCCGCCGGCCTTTGACCCGCTCGGGCAAGCTGCCGCCTCTCTGCAAGCGCTCTGGCCTCTGCGCCTGCGCTATGATCGGCCATTCGCAGCGACGAAGATCCGCACAGCCCTCAAGCCTTCCACCATGCATCATCTCCCTGCCCTTCTACCGCACCCGCGTGCCTCGCGCAACTCCGACCCTCACGGCTATCTCCAACCAGCACTCACGCTCCACAGCGCGCTCAACGCCAATCCAGCGCTCCACGAGGCCCTGCACGGTGTGCTGCGCCTGGTACGCCGTGCCCACGACGGCACGGCGTGCGTCGCCGACGTGGCGCTCGAGGGCCGTGTGCGTCTCGACGAGCGTCACGGGCGGTGCGGGCTGCGAGTAGATGGGCAGCTGCGGATCGGGAGCGATGAGTGAGGCGCGGCGATGCGATGTCAGTGGAGAGGCGCACCTTGTGCACGTTCGGCGGCTGCTGCGACTGCGACTGCGACGCCGAGGCCTGGTCGTCGGCGTACACGGGCGCAAAGGCGCCGCTCGAGGCACCGGCAGCCGTGGCGGCGGCGGCGGCAGCGAAGAGCGGCACGGCGCGCGAACGGAGCTGCAGCAGCATGCGTGTCAGCCATGAGGATGCGCAGCCTAGGCAGAGCACGCACGAGAGCAGACATGGCGGGCACGGCGGAACGAGGAGGGAGGAGCCAAGTGGAGAGCGAGCTGCACGCCGCTGTCTAGACGCGGCCGCGCCGCTCGACCTTCCTGAGCGGCTGGGGCTCGGGCCTGCCCGGGCGCGCACACGTGACCTGCCGCCGCCGCGCACGATGACGCGCCGGCGCGCTGCCTCCTCGACCTCAGAGGGCTCGACTTGTCCTCTCGCAGATGTTGACGGGATAAGAGGGTGACAGGGAGACACACAAGTTGACCTGTGATGCAGCCCCGAGCCTTGCAGCGTGTTTTTCGGCCCTTCAGACATGTGAGACGCGCTCTGGCCTGCACAGCTAGCGAAAGCCGCGCGGAGCCACGGCGGCCTCGTGCTCTCGATTGCTGGTGCCGCCGCTGCTGCTGCGGACGCAGAGCTTGGGCGAGCAGATGCATCCTCATGTGGCCGTGTGCTGCAGCCAGAAGATCGAAAGTGACATATCGAGGTCAAAAAAAAGTAGCATCGATCAGCACGGCGTTTTGCAAGACGCAGCTGCGGGCGAGCCGCTCGGCCGTGCAGCGCGAGGCAGTAAGAGTCCTCCGAGCGTGCGTCCGCCCAGACGCGTGGGAGTGAGCCCGAAATCGGCCTCTGCAGCGGCAGATCCGAGCTTGAAGCCGCACATGGAAGCGAAATCTTCGCAGCCTGATGCTCGCCAAAGGCCGCAGCCGTGATTCTGCGAAAGAGCGCTTGTGATGAGGCTTGATGAAGCAACCGCAGCCGCTCAGCTGCCTCGAAAAGGCAGCGATCCGAGCGCGCCAGGGCGTATCAGGGGGGGCGCAGCGCGGCGCAACATCTCCTGCGGACCGGCCTCGTGCAGACGAAGAAGGGAGCGGCGGGCAGAAAGTCGCCGACGAAAGAGCATCTTGGGTGCTCGATGCTGCTGCGTCCTGGCAGGACGCCACGCCGTCTCTTCTTCTGGCTTCCCTTCCCACCGCGTCACGGTTCGGTGAGAGCGCCAACATCTCGCTCAGGTGCAACAAAGCGCTTCCTCGCCATCGCCAGACCTCACACGTGAAACAGTTCCTCTCGAGGTGAGCTCGCAAGGCGTAGCTAGCAGAGCTAGGGATGCATGAGAGCGCGGATGGTGGCGCCAAGACGTAGGTGAGAATGACAAGCTGGCTCGGTAGCCCCGCTCCGGCGGGAAGGCACGCAGGTGCGCATTGCGGGGCTCCGGACGGGCGCACCGACGCCGACCAGTCCGGGCCGTAGCGCTGAGTCTTAGAGCGCCCCTGATGGATAGGTGCGCACGGGAGCACAACAGGCTGCGTGCGCCGTCGCTCTGCACGCAGCGATGGCGCCCCTCACGGGGATGGCCCCTGAGCGCGCGGCACATGAGACGATGATGAGCAGCGCAGCGTGCGTGCTCGCGTCGTGCGGCCACACCATGCCGCGATGGAGCCTCATCTCGCGCTTGGCCACTCTAGCATAAGAGGCGAACGCCGGCGCAGTCGAGCGCCGCTGACCAACGCAAAACCCACAGCAACGCCACCACCACACCATGGCTCCACGCATCGTCGTCGACGAGAGCGAAGACAACCCCGAGCCGCCACCGGCCAGCTTCCCACTCACCTACTATCTCCCCTGCCTGCCCGCTACGCCCGACGACGACTCGCCGTCGCCGCACATGCCGCTCCCACCGACGCCACAGCCGCGCAGCTCCTTCTCTGGCGCGCGCCGCTTTCTGCCGCCGCCGTCGGCGTCCAGCACTGGCGCTGGCGGCGAGGATGAAGAGCCTGTAGGCCGTCGCTGGAGCCTCAGCGCGCAGCTCCGTGCCTTCTCGCGTCCGTCGTTCAGCGAGTCAGACGCGGCAACTCGGCCGGAGCAGTCGCCGCCGCTGGGGCTCGAGAGCACCATCCACGAGTCGCCGCGCCACGGACGCACCAGCAGCAGTCAGACTGGCGGCCAGAGTCGTCGCGCGAGCTGGCACCCAGCGACGTTGATTGCCGAGGTCTCGTCGAAGCGCCGTGCCAAAGAAGTGCTGCCTGAGCCGCCTCAAGAGCCGCTGCGCGCCATGCTCCATCCCTCGACGCACGCCGATGGCTTCTATCGCTCCGGAGAGCCCGTCGCTGGCAGCGTCACAATCCCGCGCATCGACAAGTGCGGAAGAGAAGTCATGAGCGTCAAGGCGTGACTGCATGGCGTGCTGGACCTGTAAGCGCGGCAGTGTGGGCGAGCGGCGGCAGAGCTGACCTGTGGCGTGCAAAGGCACCTGCTGCAGTACGTCGAGGTCGGATCAATCTCGTCCGAAGTACGCACGAAGCCGTACCCGTGGCAGTCATACTTCCTGCACCAGGTGAGCTCAAAGCCTGCGTATCGCATGCAGATCGTGCTTACCTGTTCTTGACCGCCAGGACGAGTGTCTCTTGACTCGCAGCGACGTCCGCGCTGCACCAGCGACCATCACGCTGCCATTCACCTTCATTCTGCCGGCTGCGACCACGACAGTCGGCGCACCCGTGCCTCTGCCTCCGACGCTGCAGGTCGAGCAGTCCGAGGAGCTGCAGGATCCGAAGCGCAAGAAGAAGAAGCGCCGCAGCGGACCCGCCTTCTCGGCTGCAGCGGTGACCAAGGAGCCGCCGCTGCCGGGTGCGCGCGTGGTGTACAGCGTCGAGATCGTCGTGAAGCGCCTTAGCGCCAGACATGCGCTCCGAGGCCTGCTGCCGAGCAAGAAAGAAGTGTGAGTGTCGCCTGCAGCGCGGCAATCGATCATCACTCACTCTGTACCCAGTGCCACGCTCGAGTTCCCCGTCCGCCCGCACGCGCCCATCCGCCAGACGGTGGCCGTGCCGTCGGTCGCGACCGCCGCCAATCCATGCCACTCGCGCCGCAGCCTTACGGTTGATCGACTGTCCGACGGCTCAATGTCGCTGTCCACAGCCCTTCGCAGCTCCGTCACCGAAGCGGCAGCAGACGAGACCCCCGTCTCACCGGGCAGACAGGCGGCGCACGGCACGAGCGGCATCAGTCTCATGCCCACCTCGCGTGGCCTGCAGGGCTGGCAGGCCTACCGCCTCACATCGCAGATCGACAGCGGCAACGGCAACTTTGAGCCCGTCGAGGCAGAGGTGAGAGCGCTTTCCCTCTCACACTCAGTCTGCGACTGACGCCCGTGCACAGCTCTCGTGGCCTGCGCAGCTCTCGCTGGCCGTCTCCGACTGGGTGCCGTTCAAGCTCTCGGTCCGCCTGCCGCCGCACGCCGTGCTCTCTCGCACGCAGTACGCCGAGGCAGTACAGCTCACGCTGCTGCGCAACGTGCAGACGACGTCGACGGCCGGTACGCTCGTGCTGCAAAAGGACGTGCGCGTGCCGCTCGAGGTCGTCATGGATGTGCCTGCCCGCGATGCTGCACCGCCGGCCAGCGAGTACGGCTCCCTCGTGCTCCTCTCGGGTCAGATGCGTGTGTGCGACGGCACTCGCGCCGAGGACCGCGCTTCCGGCCCACCGTTGCCGTCCTTCACCTTCCGCAGACTGACTGTCGACTATCGGCTGCTGCTCGCCATCACGCTACGCGCCATTCCCGCATCGCTGAGCTCGGTCGGACACCTGCATGTGCTGCACCTCGACGCACCCGTGCACGTCGCCTGCGACGCCGCCGTCATCGCAGCGACACACGAGCGGCGCGAGCGTCGTCGTTCGGCCCGCACCTCGATGATGCGCACCGAAGAACGCCGCGCCTCGGTAATGCCGGACCGCAGCGACGACGGCAGCGAGGTTCGTGCCTCGCGCGCTCAGCGCAGAAGCGACGAGGAGGCCGACTCGCGCTCCGTCGCTGAACACCGCGCGGCTGCCGAAGCCAGACTCGAGGGCGCAAGACGCTCTGCCGAGCCTCGTCTGTCACCATCGACGATCACCTCGGCCATCGGTGAATCGCCTCGTCGCAGCGACACCTCGCACCTCGATTCGGGCCTCCGTCGGAGCGGCGCTAGCCGCGTGCCAGTGCCGTACGACGAGGACGTCTCGCCGCACAACCTGCCCAGCATCGACACGGCTGTCGCCACGACGGCGAGTCCGGCCGCATCCGCCTCTGAGCGTCTGCGAGCGCCGTCGCCGCGCGGCTCGCCCATCATGCCCACCAGCTACTCGCTGCTGCAGGAGATCGAGCGCAACCTCGGCAGTCTGGCCGAGGAGCCGCAGCAGCTGCAGAGCTCGCCGATGCAGACTCCGCCGCTGCAGAGCTCCCAGCTGCAGGCTCCTCCGCTGTCCGTCCGGCTCCTGCCAGGCACCAGCAGCCCCAGCCAGTCGCTGCGCAGCAACCCGTCGCGCGCCAACAGCCGCCCGCCGCCGCTGCACCGCCTGCGCCACGCCCTCAGCGGCGACAGCTTCCGCAGCACCGACACGACTGGCACTCTCCTGCCCAGCTACTTTGCTTCCCGCGCCTGACAGCCCGCACCCTCCTTCCTGTACCCTACGTGGCCCAGCCGCGAGACACTGCCAACACACTCACTGCGCTTCATCTCCTTCCAGCCTTCCATCCATCTACGTGTAGATACCCACATTGCCATTTCATCTGTACCCCTCCGCGCCCTCATGACGCCGCGGCCGGCGCGCCGCTCCCGCTTGCCTCGTCCTTGGCCGCGGCGAACGTCCTTGCGCGCTCGGCGCGCACCCGCTTCGCTCGTGCCGCTGCCTGCTGGCGCTTCTTGTGGCCAGCGCCGCGCTCTGCCGAGGCGAGGAGTGAGACGTGCACCGGCGGCGCATTGTGCGGCACACAGCGAGATCGGCCTACTCACTGCTGCCATGGTCCGCCAGACGGATCTTGCCGCCCTGCTCCTCGATGCGCTTGGCGCTCTCCTTGCGCGCCTTGTCGACACGGCGCTCCTTTGCCTTGTCGCGCTTGCGCAGCGATGCCGCGAGCGACGTGCGCAGCACCGTGTCGAGCGCCGTCTGGAACGCGGGCAGAGCAGACGGCTGGACCTGAGGGGCGAGAGCGTCAGCACGCCGGCAGGACAGGCAGAGCCGAGTAGCAGCACAGAGACGGAAGGCACCCAAGAGGCTGCGGTCCACATCGCAGCCAACAAGCGATAGGCTATGGCCTGCTGCATCTGGCAGGCACAACTCCTTTGCGCACTCACCACGGTGCTGAACTGGCTGCGCTTGGCGCCCTCGCGTCCATCGCTGGCGCGAAAGAGCAGGGCATGCTGTGCGCCGCCCGTCACCGGCGTGGCACTCATGGCCTCGTCACCGCGCGTGAGACGCTTGGTGGTGAGGTACACCGAGTGCGCCTCGGTCGCCTCGGCGAAGAGCGTGGCGAGGCGCGTGTGGAACTGCGAGGTGAAGAGCATGAGCTAGACGCCCGGCTGGAGCGTGCAGGCGTGGGACGCACGACGTCGTTTGCGATGTGCGGCATGCTGGGCGGAGTGCAGCAGAGGTGCGCAGAGAGACGAACGCCGAGCTGCAGGCGTGTGTGCCGCGAGAAGTGGGCGCAAAGGCGTTGCCAGGTTGTGTGGAGAGGCGAGTGCGAAGGATGTGGTGTGAGCGTGGGACGCGAGGCGGCGCAGGAGAGCAAGCGCTCGCGCCCGATGGCCGCTGGCGGCGGGGCGGCGCGCCGCCGCGTGACCTGCCTCAGCCCCACATCGTGCCGAGTTGCAGCCTGCGGCAACCTTCGCACCTCAAGATCGCATCCTCCAGCTCGACGGCGAACGAACGACCTTGAAAGATTTCAGCAGCACGTCTCGATGCCCCTCGTTCTGTCCTGTCAGCTGCGTCGCCCGTGGTCGAGGCCCACGCTGGCTGCGGGAGCATGACGGCTCCGCGCGCCGCAGCGGCGAGGAGCACGCCGCGACGATGACAACGGGAAGCAAACGTCCGCGGGACTAAGATGATCTCGACCATCTGTGCAGCCTGGCCGGCGGCATGAAGGGTAAGCGCTGTCTCGCAGAGGCCAGACGAGGCGTGCTTCTAGCGGCAGCACAGGCCAGCGTCGGTGGCGCGCTTCGCTTTTGCTTCCGTTCGCAGCGCGTGCGCAGACGCACGCGTCTTTCGCACACGACGCCCGCTCTCATAGCCATGCCCGCTGCAGCGACATCAGGCAGGTGCAGAGGTACAGCTGCACAGCGCACCCGATGCTGCCGCTCGCACCTGCAGCACCTCACGTCGCCGACGCCGTCTCGGCGATGGGATGAGGTCGACGAAGCGGGCGGGCCGCGCTCATGCGCAGGCAATCTATGCGCCAGCCCCATCTTCCTCCGCTCCGCCGGCAACGAGGCCCGACGCAACCCTGGCGCCTCTACCCCGCACTCGCTGGTGTCCCGCACGAGTCAGCATGTCATGGCTTTTGGCCCGCTGGCGAGACCTGGCGTCGCATCGATGCACGCTGCTGTCCGGGCATTGCGTGAGCTCGACGACCCGTCCGCTCTACCGGCGCGCCGCTGCACCTCGCCTCTATTGCTCCCGTCGCGCTGCCGTGCGACCAGCAGCAGAGAAGCACACCACTGCTACTTCTCACGTTGCCTCTACGGAGTCCGGCGAGTGACGAGCCAGTGCAAACACACCAACGGCGCTGCTGTCTGCTGCCGAGCTGGCGCATGCAGAGCGACGATCATGCCGCTGCTCCTGAGCAATCACGAGAGCAATCACAAACATCTGCACCCCGCATCGACTGCGCCTCTCCCTGCCGACGGCGCTGCGGAATCCCAGCAGCCGTCGGCTGGGGATGCGAGATCGGCAGCCGCTAGAACGCCCTTGGCCCTCGTCTGTGCTGGCCCGCACGACTTGCCGGAGCGCTACACCGCCGTTGATTGCAACCGGCGCCAGTGATGCGTCTAGCCCCGGCTACGGGCCGAGAGGCGTCGGCGAGTACGGCGTAAGCGTGCGGCTTCCCCGCATCTCCGTCGGCCACTCCGCCGGCACGATGCCGTCACGTACCACGTCGCTACGAAGGAGGGCGCACTCCTGGTCGTCACGCCGACGGCATGCCTCACTGCCTGATGAGGTGCGGCAGCGTCTGGGCTTGTTCGAAGCTTCAAAAGACCAATCTGCTCGTGCCACTTCGCGCATCCGCAGGCCACTCCCTCTCTCCCTCCCCTCTTCGTCCCTACAATGAAGGTGCAGGTGTTCCTCTCGCTGGCCGCTGCCGTCATCTCGGCCGTCTCGGCATCGCCGCTGTCTGCGCGTCTCCTCAACCCCAACCCGATCGTCAAGCCAAGCGGCGACCCTTTCTACAAGGTGCCCTCCAACGTCGCCACCTTCACCGAGGGCGAGATCATCCGCGAGCGCGATGTGAGTGTCATCGTCGGCGGCCAGGCTCTCCTTCGTCTGCTCACTGCCGCTCTCTCAGGTCACCTTCCAGATCGGCTCCGGCCTCTCGCCGCTCAACTACGACAAGGCGTACCAGCTGCTGTACCGCACGCAGACGGCACTCGGCAAGCCCGACGCCACGGTGACGACGGTCTTCAAGCCTCGCGTGCCGCTGAGCCCGCCGCAGGTCGTCTCGGTGGCGCTCTTCGAGGACTCTGCGTCGTTCGACTGCGCCACGTCGTACGCGCTCACAACGTTCAGCAGCTCGCAGCAGGCGCTCATCACGACGATCCAGACGTCGACGATTGCTGCGCTGCTCGCCAAGGGCATCTACGTCACGGCGCCCGACTACGAGGGCTCGCAGGCCGCCTTCATTGCCGGCTACGCCGAGGGCCGCGTGCAGCTCGACTCAGCACGCGCCATCCTCAACCACCGCAAGACCATCGCCAACCCGGCGGGCAACCGCATCATCCTCACCGGCTACTCGGGCGGCGGCCACTCGGCCGGCTGGGCATCGCAGCTGTACCCCGAGTACGCGCCCGAGCTCAACATCGTCGGCGCCGCCTTCGGTGGCCTGCCCGTCGACCTGCGCGCCGTGCTCGTGAACCTCAACAAGGGTCTCTTCGCCGGCTTTGCCGCTGCCGGTCTCGCTGGCCAGGCCAACGCCTACCCCGAGGTGCAGCAGTACCTCGACTCGCAGCTGCTGCCCAACGGCACCGAGGCGTTCAAGTTCCTGCGCAGCGACCAGGGCTGCGTCATCGGCGAGCTCGCCGCCTTCGCATTCAAGGACATCTTCTCCTACACACGCAAGGGCATGGCTGTGCTTGACGACCCGGTGCCGGTCAAGGTGCGTAACAGTCTAGCTCGACGAGCATCCCATGCTGACCACCTCCTCCACTCCCAGTACTTTAAGCTCAACCTGCTCGGTGGCCGTGGACAGCAGGATGTGCTCAACAAGTTCCCGCTGTTCATCTATCGTGCGTCGACATCGCCACTCCCTCGCCAGCACCGTTCTGACCCTCTCGCTCCTCACAGACGCTCGTAATGACGAGGTCATTCCGCGCCAGCCCGTCGACCAGTACGTCAAGGAGCAGTGCGCCGCCGGCGCCAGCATCAACTACTCGCTCTCGGACGGCACGGAGCACGTGTCCGAGACGCTCGTCTCGATCCCTGCCGTGCTCGAGTGGGTGTTCAAGCGCTTCGACGGCACGCTCAAGCAGACGGGCTGCACCACGTCGACGCACTCGCCGTTCGGCAACTCGGACCTCGTTGCGCTCATGGGCAAGGACGCTGCGGCGCAGTACCAGAAGTACGCCAGCTTCAATCAGCAGGCTCTCGCCGACAAGGCTGGCGTCAAGTAAGGCGCCGGCTGCGTCTTCGCGTGCGAGCTCCGCACTAGACTCGACACGCCCCCTTCCCTCCCCCTCTTCTCGGCCACACTCTCTCATGATCGTCGCGGTGCTGCAGCTCGCATCGGCCAGTCTGTTCGCACGGAATGCATCCGCTCCCTTGCCTGCTCTGCGCTTGCTTGCTCGGTCAAACGCTTCTCAGTCATCACACGAGCAGGTGGGGCGCCATAAGGTATGGTTGAGAAGCAAAGAGCGTGGGGTGCCGCCGTGAGGCGGTGACGGTGAAGCAAATAGAGGGGCGGACGGCAGTATGGACAGGCGCGGAAGAGCAGCCGACGGTGACAAGGTTCCGAGAAAGCGCAGCAGACCAGCTAAGAAGCGTAGAAGCACACAGAGCGCGCACAGCGCGCGAGGGTAGCTTAGATGCCGCCGAAGAGGCTGCCGAGCGACGAGCCCTTGGTGTTGGAGCCAAGGAGGCTCTGGCCGATCTTGATCGTGGGGTCGACCCTGAGAGCAAGGAGATCAGCGATGTGCGCGTACAGAAGCGCAAGACGCAGCAGCTCACTTGATCTGCGAGCAGCCGAGAATGTCGAGCGAGACGAGGCCGGCCTTCGAGAGCGTGTTGCACACCTGCTCGGACGTCTGGTCGCAGTCGTCGTTGTCATCGCCGCCGCTGGGCGTGTTAGCGCCACCGTTGCCGCCGTCCTTCGGCGGGACGCACTCGGGCGTGTTGCCGCCGCCCGACGGCGGGTTGCTGCCGCCACCGGAGGGCGGGTTGCTGCCGCCGCCGGAGGGCGGGTTGCTGCCGCCGCCCGAAGGAGGGTTGCTACCGCCGCCCGAAGGAGGGTTGCTGCCGCCGCCCGAAGGAGGGTTGCTGCCGCCGCCCGAGGGCGGGTTGCTGCCGCCGCCCGAAGGAGGGTTGCTGCCGCCGCCCGAGGGCGGGTTGCTGCCGCCGCCGCTGGGCGGGTTGCTGCCACCCGAGGGCGGGTTGCTGCCGCCGCTGGTGGGCGGGCACGAGCAGGTCTGGCGACGGGTGAGGTCGTTGAGCTCGAGCAGTGCCTTCTCGGAGCAGCCGAAGAGCGAGAGGTCTGCAAGGCGAACGGGTGATGAGCAAGGACTCATAGACGCGCGAGGCCGAGGCACGACGGTGAACTCACTGATGAGGCCGGCCTGGCTGAGGTCGTTGCACTGGGCATCGCGCAGCTCGTCGTCGACGGCGTTGGCACGGGCGACGAGGCCCTCGCAGCCGAGGTCGCGTGCGTGCAGGCCGTGGCTGGCCATGCGGGCGCAGAGGTCGTTGCGCTTGCGCAGGATGTCGACCGTGGGCGACACCTCCGTCTGCGAGCAGCCGAGGAGCGCGACGTTGGCGAGGCCTGATGCATGAGGTGTCAGAGGTGCGGAGTGTGAAGCGTGGTGATGTGCGACCCACCAGCCTGGGAGAGCGTCTCGCAGAGGGCGTCACGCTTCTCGTGACGACGCTTCAGCACGTCGATGCTGGGCGAGACGTTCGTAGCCGAGCAGCCGAGGCTGAAGGGAGTAGCGCGTCAGCGGCAAGATCCGAGGCAGAGAGACGAGGCGGCACACTCACGCCGACAGGTTGATGAGGCCGGCCTCGCTGAGCGAGTTGCACAGCTCTGTCGTCGTGGCGGCAGCCTGGCGCGTGGCGTTGGCATGGCGGCGGCGCAGGTGGGCGTCGCGGCGCAGCGCCGAGATGTCGGGCGAGATGTCCGTCGACGAGCAGCCGAGCAGGTTGAGGTTGACGAGGCCGCCCTTGGAAAGGCTCTTGCACGCGGTCGTCTTGTCGGCGCCCTTGGGCACGCACGTCTTCTTGCTTGCTGCCTCGACGGCCGGCGCCGCGAGGGCCATGGCGAGCACGACGAGCTGAAGGTAGTTCATGGCGGAAGGAGAAAAGACGGTAGAGGGTGGGCTGAGGAAATACGGAGAACGGAGAGGATGTGGTCCAGCGAGAGCGAGGCATCGGCGGGCCAGATCTTATAGGCGGTGGTGCCATCTTCTTGCCTCACGAGCCGCTCGCAGGCCAGATGCCGCTCGGACGGCGAGCGAGCGGGCGCACGAGGCGAAGCACAGCCGGCCGCCTGAGGTATCGCTTCGCCGCGACATGCCCGACGGCTGGCGCCCCGGTGCCGCTCGAGCGCTTGACTTCTCAGGAGAGGGACCTTCCCAGAATTCCAGGCCGCCGCCCACTCGAGAGCGTGGCTGCGTGCGGGCCGCGTGCGCCTGCGCCCATCGTGTCCTGCACTCCATCGGTCCGTGCCTTGCGCAAGAGCGCTCGTGCCTGCGTAAAGTGAGCTCCTGTGGGTCGCTGGAGCGGCTCCGAGTTGTGTGCAGAGGGCCGCAGAGGAGGTGCCGAGGCGAGTCCAGGCACCAGGACCCGCGGGCGAAGAGCAGGAGGGGCAGGTGGGGAGCTTCACAGTGCACCAGCTGCGGGTTCTCTCAGCCGCTCCTCGCGGCGCAGGGCGCGTGCCCCTCATCAACCGCAGGAGTGCGTCTACCGGCAGAGGAGCACGGCGTGGTTCGCTGCTGCGCTGGCGCTGCTGGCCTTCGCATGATGCCGCCGGCGGCGGCGGCGGGGTGCGGCGGAGGGCGGGGCTCGCCGTATAGAAGAGAGAGCGTGCGCCTGTTGCTGCACCGCAGCAGCTGCGCCCGCGCTCGGACCCCTCAGGCGCGCCAATCAGAGCAGAGGGGCGCAGGGCGATTAGAGCGTTCCCGCCGCCGTCGCCGGGCCGCCACCTTCAGGGGCAGCGGGCCGCTGCAGCCGCAGCATGGCCAGGAGACTGGTGCTGCGGCGACGCTGCGAGCACAGCAAGCGTTGCGCGAAGGCGCGAAGGCAGAGCGCATCGCAGAGGTCGTCGTGGTGGAGAGGCGAAACGCGTCCGCGCCGCACCGGCGTGCTCAGGTGCCATGCGCGGCGCGCCGCAGCAGCGGCGGCATCGGGCGGATGCGGCAGCCGCACCTCTTGGCCTCGCTCTTCACACGTGCAGTCGAGTCCTCGCAGTGTAGGCAGTGTGTTCCGGCTTCTCGCTTCCGGACGGCTCACCTCCTCAGCCTCTTGATCTCGCCCTGTTCTCCGGAAATAGGGCTGGGCATCGAGCCGCTCAAACGCTCTCCTGGCAGGCGGCGCAGCAGCCTTGACAGCCGCCAGCAGGCGCGCAGCACCCAGAAGCGCGGCTCAGAGACGTGTCACGCTGAAGTGCCGTCTGCGGCGCCCCGAGCGTGCCTTCATGGGCGTGGGCGAGGGCGTGCATGACGGGCGATCCCTCATCGGCGGGCGATCGAGACGCCATGCGCCTGCTCTAGCCTACTGCACCCTCCATGCGCGAAGAGACAGATGCAGCGGCTCGCGCGTCCGGGCAGCAGCGACGACTGCGGCTGCTGGGCTCCTGTCCGCGCCACACCTCCTCTCCGGGCAGCCGCCGATCGCCGGTAAAGGGTCTGCAAGGCGCAGAGGGGCTGCACTAGGAGCGCTCCTCCTGCTCCCCTGTCGGCGCAAAGCCGCAGCGGTGCGGCGCAGCAGCCAGGGCCTTAGCCAAGAGGAGCCTTGATTGAGAGTTTCGCTCGAGCAGCCCGCGAGCGGGGCGCAATGTGACACATGGAGGGTGACCCACAGGGGCGCTCGGCATTCGCAAAGAACACATACATCACAGCTTGGCCCCTCCCGGCTGCTTGGCCAGCACCTGCTCCAAGTCCGCGTATTGCCGGTACTGGTCCAGCACATGCTGCGTCAGGGGGTTGGGTCAGCGAGCCATTTCTCACGAAGGTCACCAGCTCCTAGGCGTACCGGATTTGCTGTCGCGGTCGAGGGCTTGAAGGCGACGTTGCCTGGCCGCGAGTATGGTGTGAGCTCCTTTCCCGGCGTTCGAGGCGCAGAGCACCTACCGCAAACGATCTGCTTGACAGCGAGCTCCGTCTTCTTTCCATTGGCCGTGACTCTGCGGATCGCGAGAGGAGGGCATCAGCTTCGGAGCCTTGCACCATGGCTTCAGTCAGCGGCCAGCAGCAACGCACGGAATGCCATCGACCTGAAAGATGTGTGCCGGCACGTGGCGCGGCGAGTAGGCCTTGCGGATCGCCTGGCTGATGTCGCGCTTGAGCGTGTCGCTGAGCTTGGCGCCGTCGACGAGCTGCACGAAGAGCAGCACGCGCTCGTCGTCGTCCTTGTTCGGCCGCCGCTGGCCCACGCAGATGGCATCGAGCACGACCTGCGAGAAGCCTTCAAGCACCTAGAGTCGTGCGAGGTCAGCTGTCGGAGGCCGTGTGCGGCACAATAGACTCACATGATAGATCTCCGCAGAGCCAAAGCGCACGCCAGACGGGTTCAGCACGCCATCGCTGCGTCCGCAGATGTCCAGACAGCCCGTCTTCTTGTCGCGCAGAATGAAGTCCCCCTGCGCCCAGACCTTCCCGGCGATGCTGCCCTCGGGGTAGCGCCGGTAGTAGCTGTCCATGTACTTTTCGTGCAGCTTGGCCCGGTCCTTGGCCTCGCCCCAGAACATCAGCGGCTGCGTCGGGAACGGCTTGCGGCACACTAGCTCGCCCGCCTCGCCGGTAGCCTCGATGTCCTCGCCAGAGATCGGGTCGAGGATTCCAATGTCGAAGCCGAGACCCTTGCCGCAGATCAGGTTGCCATAGACAGGCGTCATGACGGCAGAACCGACGAAGGCAGCTGCGATGTCGGTGCCGCCAGAGATGCTCGAGAGCTGCGCCTTCGGAGCGAAAGAATTATACACAAAGGCGGCGTTGGCAGCGCCGAGCGGAGCGCCGGTCGAGGTGATGATCTTGAGGCTGCTGAGGTCGAGATCGCGGCTCGGCACGAAGCCCTTGGCCTTGCATGTCCGCTCCAGCTCGCTGAGGAAGCGCGGCGAGCAGCCAAAGCCCATGACATCGCCGCGAGCTGCGAGCAAGCGGGGGATGTGCGTAGCATCGGGGTAGAGGAAGGCGCCGTCGTACAGAATCGCGCAGCCGCCGGAGAGCAGCACGGAAAGCTGAAGGACCTGTGCATAACAATGAGACAAGCTGCGTTAGCTGGAAATGATGTGAAACCTCGCAAAATGACGCTGACATGCATGATCCATCCAGTGCTTGTCAGCTGTGCGAAGCGGGATCCCGGCTTGAGGTCGTAGTGCAGCAGCGCTTCGCGCTTCAGCGAAACGATGAGTCCTCCGCTGCCGTGCACGATCGACTTCGGCTCGCCCGTCGTGCCGCTGGAGAAGACGATCAAGGCTGGATCGGCAAAGTCGAGCGGCTCGAAGCGATGCGGCGGCACCTTGGCTCCGGGCCCGGTCTTGAGGCCCGAGGAGGCAACGTACTCGGTGTACGACGTGGCGGCTGTCCGCGCGGTCCACTTGAACGGCTTGGCTGAGGAGCTGCTGCGGAAGACGACCACCTCGACGTCCGGCAGGCGATCTGCGATCTCCTCGACGCGCGCCACAAGGTCCACTCGCTTGCCTGCATAGACGGCATCCTCGTCGGTGAAGAGCAGCTTGGGCCGGATCTGCGAGAGGCGCGAGTAGATAGCGGTGGCACCGGCATCGGTAGCAATCGATGAGAAGATGGCGCCGATGGACAGCACAGCCAGGAGCACGACAATGGGCCGCGAGGTGTTGGCGCTGACGTGTGCTACGCGGTCGCCCTTCTTGATGCCCTTGCGCCGCAGCACCTCGGCCATGACGGCCACACGATCGCGCAGCTCGCCCCAAGTCACGTTTGTGCCGATGCTGCCCTTCTTGCCCGCCTCTGGCTCCGTCGCCTCGCTCATCTCGATGAGCGCCGGCTCGCTCGATGGCGGCCACGAGCGCGGCGACTGCGCATTGCAGCTCGTGGCGTTTTGCGGGTGGATGGGAAAGAGGATGTTCTCGGCGAGGCTCAGACGCGCGCCGGGGAAGAAGCGCGGCAGGTCGCCCGGCTTGGCCTTGGGGTCGGAGAGGGCGCGCTGCGGCTGCTGCGAGCAGCGCACGCCGATGTAGGACCAGAGCAGCATCCAAAAGTCCTCGAATGTGTCGTCGGCCACGCTCCACTGCAGCGGAAAGGTGAGAAGGGGCACAGCAGGGCACACCTGTGCACCACTTACTGCATGCAGCTCGTCGTACGTGTTCAGCTTGAGGCCGAAACGCTGGTTGGCGAGCCGCCGGAACTTGTCGATGTTGGACGCAGCGACATGCTCGGGCGTGGCCTGCCAGTAGAGCGGCGCAGTGGACGAGGACATGGTGCGAAGAGTGCGAGAGATGCGAGTCGTGGCGCGGCTGGCGCGGCTTTATGAGAAGATGCGATGCGGCGCGAAGGACTGGACGAGAGCAGAGATAGCGAGCAGGACAGCAAGTGCGAGGAAAGAGCGGCGGACGAGGTGAGGAGCGGGAAGGCAGCGCTGCCTCGGCGTGGCTTGGCCTTGGCCGGCGCCCTTCTCCACAGCGCTTCCCCGCAACGTCGGTGCCCGACGCTCGCCCGGCGCCCGGCGCGCAACCTGGCCGGCTGCCGTCTCTGCCGGAGAGCGTGGGAGCAGTTGGGGAGCAGCGCCTGCTGACCAAGCACGGCCTGGCCGCCTTGCGCACGGTGCATGCTGACAAAAAGCAGGCTCGGCTCTGAGCTCTCTCACCACCGCCATCTCCCGTCGTCTCCAACGCTCTTGATCACACTACAGGACTCGGAGAGCTACTTCGGACACCGCAAGCGCATCGCACTCCTCTGAGAGCGCGTGACGGCCCCGAGGCATCTCGGACCCGCCTTTGCCACCTCCACTCCGCCCAGCATGCTCGCCGCGGCGGCCCGCAGCGCCCGCCCGACGGCCAGCCGCAGCCTCGTGCTGCGCTCCGCAGGCAGCAGCGGCAGCTTCTCGGCTCGCACGCTGCCCAATGTGCGGTCGCTCAGTACGACACCAGGCGCTCAGCGCAGCTCTCGCGCCCGGCAGGCGGGTCTCGGCGCCGCGACCGGCGCCGTGATGCTGCTGGCCATCTACCACTACAGCAGCCCGGTGTATGCAGACGTGGCGCAGTCGGTCGCGACGGAGGGCGACCTCTCGAGCGGCGACATGACGCAGCAGCAGCAGATGCGTGCACGGGCAGAGCGGCAGGGCGTGTATGCATGGGGCAGCAACCGGTGAGTGGCCGCAGCAGGTGTGCCAGAAGGGGCTCCGACGGCGTGCTGACGAGGAGCGACAGCTACAACGTCGTGGCGCCAGACTCGCCCAACACGACGCTTGTCAAGACGCCGCGCTCCATCCCGTACTTCGACGGCATGTCGCTGCGCGATCTCGTGCTGGAGGAGAAGCACGGCGTGGCTGTCGACGCGAACGGCGATGTGCTGCAGTGGGGCCTCGGCTTCTTCGACCCGTCGTCGCGCGAGATCCAGCAGGGTGCGCTCGACGATGTGCCGCTGGCACGCCGGCGCGAGAAGGCGCGTGCCAACGAGCTGCAGCCGCGTGGCGAGCTGGCAGGCCGCACGCTGCACCCCGTCAAGACGCTGACGGGCAAGAACATCGTGCGCGTCGTGGCCAACGACCAGAAGATCTATGCGCTGGCCAAGAACGGCGACGTCTACATCTTCTCCTCGCTGCAGACGCTGCAGTCGCCGGGCAAGCCCGCTGGCTGGTCACTCAACCCGCTGAAGCTCTTCAACCTCTTCGCTGGTCCCACGATCGACCACGAGCGCATGCAGACGCTGGCACCGCTCAAGAGCGGCGAGACATTCACTAGCCTCGAGGGCGGCAGCAGCCACATCCTGGCGCTGACGTCAAAAGGCCGGACGTTCGCTGCGCCCATCGACGATGCAGGCAACGCCTTTGGCCAGCTCGGTCTCTCGCGCGTGCAGCTGAACTCGTCGCCGGACTCTGACGGCAAGCCGCGGCGGATCGAGACGCTGCTTGAGCCGCGCATGCTCGAGCTCGACGGCCCGCGTGACCCGCACCCACAGCGACGGTTACCAGCCTGGGCTATGCCGCCGGGCATGGAGTCGTTCGGCGAGCCGGCCGTGCCTGTCAAGCGCGACGCAGCGGGGCGCAAGCAGCGGCCAAAGGATCTCGTGGAGGACGTGCTGCGCCCGCGCTACTGCACCACGCTTCACGAGGTGCCGGCGCTGCGTGGTGTCGAGATCGCGCAGATCGCTGCCGGCTCGGAGCACTCTGTCGCGCGCACGCCGTCCGGCCTCGTGCTTGGCTGGGGCCGGCAGACGCACGGCCAGACGGGCCTGAGCAACGCGCTGGGCATGGAGTGCGTGCCCATCCCATCCGAGATTGTGCTCTCCAAGTGCTTCCCCAACACGAGCGTCGACATCCGCTGCACCGACGTCAAGGCCGCCGCGGACAACACGTTCTTCACCATGAGCCGCCGCGAGCCTGGCACCGTCGCTGGCGGCAAGATTGACGTGCTGGCTGTCGGCAAGGGCCAGTGGGGCACGCTCGGCAACGCCATGTGGAGCCAGGTCACGTCTGTGCCGGTCAAGGTCAAGACCGTCTCGGGCCTCATCGAGTGTGAGTCCTTCACGCTGCTGCTGCGCGAGCATAGCTGACACGCAGACTCGCAGACTCGGAGCTGTCTGGCAAGACACATCCCGTCCCGATCCACCACGTGAGTGGCCTCCTGCCTGCTACTTGGCTCTCAGCTGACATGCCGGGCGCAGATCGCCATCGGCAAGCCTGGCCACGTCGCGCTCGTGCTCGACACCGTCGAGACCGACGGCCACGTCGCCTTCGGCCGCGACGTGATGGTGTGGGGCCACAACGCCGCGTACCAGCTCGGCACAGGCAAGCGTAGCAACCTCTGTGTGCCGCAGCACTTGCAGCCTCTGCCCGGTCTGACTGCCTTCCCGGGCGCCGACGCTCCGGTCATGCCTGAGCCCATCTCCGCACGCGGCGCCAAGCTGCTCGAGGCTGACGTGAACAGCGGCGTGCTCACGCACATGCCTGTGAGTCCAGAATGGCGGTCTCGATGGTCAGACAATGGCTGAGCTCCTCTTCTTCCAGCACAAGCGCCTCCAGCTCGCGAGCGCCAGCAAGGGCAGCACGCACCTCGCGCCGTCCGACGACGGCAAGCGCGGCTCCGTCAAGCGCGGCGTGACCGTTGAGGAGCACATCACCGCCGGCGCAGTCTCGATGGCCGTGTTCTGGAAGGTGCAGCCGTGACGTGGCGTGAAGTAGCATACGTAAACGCATCGTCTTCGGTGGTGGTGGATCGATCGTGATTGCTTGCGCAATGCTCTCGAGGCCGTGCGCTTGCGCTGCCGGCGCCGGGGTGAGCACCATCAGCAAACTCGCTCTGAAGCGAACGTGGGGCCGGAGAGGGGCGCAGATCGGAAGCCAGTCGAGTAGTTCACAGGGTAGTGCATAGCATTAGGAGATAAAGGAAAGTGAGGTGCTCGCGAACAAAAACGGCCTGCTTGTCACTCAGTGATGCGCCGGGGGGGGGGGGGGGGGGGGGGGGGGGGGAACTGCCGAGTCCAAATGTGGTCTAATCTAGCAATGAGGGGTCGATACGAAATGCGTCAGGAAACAATGAGGGTGCGGGTGCGGAGATGCAGGTGACGAGTACGGTGCGGAGCGTCTAGGCCGAAGCGGAGGCGGAGGTGGAAGCGGCGACGGCCACCGCAGGTGCGGCCTGCGCCTTGACGAGGGCAGTGCGGAGCGACTCGACGAGGAGAGCCGAGAGCTGGTCCACTGCCTTCTTGTCGACAGCGGGCAGCGTCGGCTTGACGGCCGACTGCTTCTGCACCGCAGCGCCGGCAGCCGGCACGGTGGTGCGGAGGAGGCCGCCGCCGAGGAGACCGCCGCCGCCGCTGAGGAGGCCCGAGAGGAGGTTGTCGAGCACCGAGACGCCGACGTTGATGCCGCCCTGGTTGTTGCTCTGCTGGATCGTGGCCGTGGCGTTGGTGCCGCCGGCATTGCCGCTGTTGACCGTGGCAGGCTCCTGGCGACGCTCCTGGTGGATGGCCGGCGAGAGGAGCTGCAGCAGCGCCGTGATCTGGCTCAGGTCGATGTCCGAGCGCCGGCCGAGGTCGAGACCATCGGCGCCGAGCAGCTCATCGCGCTGCTTGGCAATCATGACGCGCGCGGCCGTGTTGTCGGAGCCGGAAGCAGCAACCGTGGAGTTGGCCACGACGGCGGGCGAGACGGCGGGCGCAGTCATGGCGGGCGACTGCAGGTAGGCGGTGATCTGCTTGATGAGCGAGTTGATGAGCGGCGTCAGGTCGGCCAGCTGCGACACCTCGCGCTCCGAGAGATTGTCGATGACGTCGCGACGCCCGCCGTAGCCGGGGCAGTTGGGCCGCCACATGCCGTCGTTGGGCACCGGCGTGGGGCAGTCCTCGACCTCGGTCGGAGGCGAGACGACAACAGGAGGCGTGACGATGACGGGAACGTCGCCTGTCGACGGCGGCGAGACGACGGGCACCGAGGCGGCAGGCGAGGCGGGGCCGCCGTAGCCGGGGCAGTCGGGACGGTACATGCCGTCGTTGGGCGTCGGGTCCGGGCAGATGACGGCGCCGACGACGGGCGACGTGGGGCCGGTGACGACGGGCGTAGTGGCCGGCGTCTCCTCCTTGGTCGGCTCGGTGGCGGGCACCGTGGCGGGCGTCTCGTCCTCATCGTCGGAGGGCGTGCTGCTCGCCGGCTCCTCCTCGGCAGGCGTGGACTCGGCCGGCGTGCTCGTGGCGGGCGTCGATGAGGCGGGCGTCGAGCTAGCCGGAGTCTCCTCCTTGGCGGGAGCAGACTCCGCCGGCGTCGTCGTGGCGGGCGTGGAGCTGGCGGGTGTCTCGGCCGGCGTGGACGAAGCCGGCGTCTCCTCCTTTGCGGGCGTGGACTCTGCCGGCGTCGAGCTGGCCGGAGTGCTCTCGGCCGGGGTGCTGCTGGCAGGCGTCTCGGCGGGCGTGCTGCTGGCAGGCGTCTCGGCGGGCGTGCTGCTGGCAGGCGTCTCGTCCTTTGCAGGAGTAGACTCGGCGGGCGTCGAGCTAGCCGGCGTCGTCGACTCGCTGCCGGACCCAGCCGCCGGTGTCGTCTCGGAGTCCTTGGGCGTGCTGCTGGAGCCGTTGTTGGCCTCCGAGACGGCATCGGCGACGGGGAAGCTGCCGCTCGTCGTGCTGTCGCTGCTGCTGCTCTCCTTGGTCGAGTCCGTGGAGCCGCTGGCGGGCGCAGCCGAGGACTCGGACGTCGTGCTGCCCGAGGCGGGCGTGGCAGATGAGTCCGTCGTGCTGCCGCTGGCCGGCGTGGAGGAGGAGTCCTTCGTGCTGCCGCTGGCGGGCGTGGCAGAGGAGTCCGTCGTCGAGCCCGATGCCGGAGCGGCAGAGCTCTCTGTCGTCGAGCCGGAGGCAGGAGCAGCCGAGCTCTCCATCGTCGAGCCGGAGGCGGGAGCAGCCGAGCTGTCGCTGGCCGTCGAGCCGCTGTTCGAGGTCTCAGGCGCGGTCGCCGACGGCGCCGTGCCAGAGTGGTCGCCCTGCGACTCGGTCGTGCTCGCGGCGGCCGGCTGGGCGGCCGTCGAGTCGGAAGAAGCAGCGGGCGTGGAGGCGGTGCTGCCGGACTGAGCCGCCTGCGAGTCGGACGAAGCCGCCGGCGTGGAAGCGGCGCTGCCGGACTGGGCGGCCTGCGAGTCCGTGGAAGCGGCGGCGGGCTGAGCGCTCGAGTCGGACGAAGCGGCGGCGGGCTGAGCGGCCGACGAATCGGAGGAGGCAGCAGCCGGCTGGGCGGCGCTCGAGTCCGACGACGAGGCCGCGGCCGGCTGCTGCTGCTGAGCCGTGGCGCCCGAGTCGGTGCTGGACGTCGTCGCCGCATTCGAGTCGGTGCTTGACTCGCTCGCCGTCGTCGCCGACGAGTCGCTGCTGTCCTGCACGGCAAACGAGTGCGGGCCCGTGGGCTTGAGGATGAGGTGCTTTGCCTCGCGCTTATCGGGCAGCGTGTCGCTGAGGCGCTTCAGCACCTCGACGAGGTTCTCGAGGCCGCGCCGCCGGTTGCCGTGCGCCGTGTAGACGGCCTCGACGTGCGCCGCCGGCGCCTGCTCCGACTCCTGCGCCGCAAGCGTGGCGGCCTGCGACTTGGTGAGCGCCGTGCGCGACGTCGTGCCCGTCGTGCCGTTGGTGGGCAGGATGCCGTGCTGAAGCTTGTCAGCAATGCTGTTGAGCACGTTGGCGAGCGGCACGGCACCGGCATGGTCCTTGGTTGTGGCCTTGCCCGTGGCGCTCGGCATGTTGGCCGACGAGATGGCGGCGCAGCCAGCATCCTCGATGCCGAGCAGGTTGTTGAGCAGACAGGTGATGGTGTTGACGAGGCCGGCGATGCCTGCATTGCCCGTCTGGCGACGCCGCAGGCCGCGGCCTTGCGAGTACGAGACGAGCTCCTGCGTCAGGTCGCGCACCGTGTTGGCCAGCTCGTCGATGTCGCCGCGCGCCGCGAGCTCGTCGATGGCCGAGAGACGCTTCTGCTGCTCGGGCGCCAGCGTCTCCATGCGCCGCACCATCTGCTCGGTCTCGCCGGCGCCGACGTCTGCGAGCGAGCGCACGGCAGCTGCGACGGCCTCGGGGCTGTAGCCGCGCGCCACGACGTCCGACGGGGCCTCGTCGAGAGGCTCGCCGCGCGCGATGAGACGGCCGGAGAGCCCGTGGCCGCGCTGGCGGTGACGCACGGGCATGGCACTCGACGTCGTGGCCGTCACCGTGAGGAGAGCGAGGAGAGCGTGGGAGAGCTGCATGGTGGGCGAAAGAGTTGGGTGGTGAAGAGAGGTGAGGTAGGAGTAAGAGTTTCCGAAGACGATGACGTGAGAATAGACCGGCTAAAGATGTAAGGGAGGGCAGAAAGGAGAAGAGAAGTGACCGCCAGGGTACACTTGTGGAGCGAAAGAGGGAGAAGACGAGAAAGGACGAGTTTGGTGGGGTGGAGCAACCTGACGAGACGAGCGAAGGGCGCGGGCACGGCGGGCTACTTATACGTCGGAGAGCGAGCCAAGCAGCGGAGCGGCAGGAGAGGCGAAACGCCAGCGAGGCCAGCACAGCCCTTGTTCGCCGAGTGGCCACGCTGCAAGAGCCCGGGGTGCCGGCTGTGGGCCTCCGAGGCAGCCGCAGCCGACGAGCCGCATCCTCTTGGCTCTCTCGGCATGTACGGCATCTCCAGCTCCGCCTTGCCCTGCGCCGCACGACGATGAGGGCGGAAAGCCGCGCAAGTGAGCCTTTCGCGAGGCTGCGACGGCCAGGAAAGGCAAGGCGGGCGGCTTGATTGAGGAGGAGAGGCGCGGATGCGGCGGAGTGGGATGGGCTGCGTCGCTGCGGCTCATCCGTGGTGCCTAGCCTGCTGCATCTGGCTGCGCTGCTGCTGGCGCTGTGCTGCCTGGATCGACGACCTGCCTCACTCCGGCCCTACAGCGAGCTGGTGCTGAGGTGCAGAGAGTCACACGCTTGGCGTCCTTTCTCCCTCGACTGTCCGACGCGGCACGTCTAAACGATGCCCTTGACGCGGGCGTAGACGCCTCATCCAACGGCCGCCCTGCGTCAAGCCACGCGCAGCAGCATCAGGAGAGAGGCGCAGCAACGGCCGGCCTGCGGCTGCGGCTGATGAGGCACAGGCGCAGCACCCGTCGCGCTGCGCCGCGCGCCGCGCGCGCCGAGAGCAACACACCAACACCTCGCTGCTTCGCCGCCGCTCTCTCTGCCGCATCGTCGAGGCCACGCTGAGCGCAGAGTGCGACAGAGATGGCTTCAAAATCTCGCTGCTGCTGCCATGAGCTCACGGACAGAGATGTGAGGCGCACAGCGGCCAACTGCGGGCGGGGGCAGCATTCGGATCTGCGGCGCGAGGGCAGGACGCGGCCAACATCTACGCGGCGCATCGCACCTCTGCCTTGCTCTCTTGCAGCGGCAGATCTCCGACCTTACGGGCCCTCTTTCGCATGTCGTGGCACCTGCCTCTTCGAGCTCGCTCGTTTCCGCTGCATCACAAAGGCTCAAGCGTCAATGCAGGACCCAACTGCAGTTCAGAGGAATGACGCCGGCATGACAGCGTTGCTCCGCCTGCGACGCGGCAATGCGATGGCCGATTCGGAGGCGCCGACGCTGCTGCGATGTGGAGGAGGCCATGAGCACGCTTCACTAGTCACTGCGCGCTTCATGGTGTAGATGGCTACTGCCGTGTGCCCGCTTGCCCTGCGTTTGGCAGGCCGACATCGGATGCGCCTCTTTGCTCCAGCGAAGCGCACAGCGACTCCATGCGCGTTCCTTGCCAGCCTGCCACTCTACACACGAAGAAGCTCGGCGGCTAGCTTTGCACGCTTGCCCCACCATGCGGCCAAGCGCAACTCAGCACAGGCACGCCACCGCATGTGAACAGCATGTGACTGATGTGGGCGAAGAAGCAGCGAAACGACCAGGGTGTAGCTGCAGGGCACGCGACGCCTTGACATGCGCTCCTCGACGTCGAGCGCAGCGTCTCTTGTTGCGCATCGGCCGGGCTGCAGCAGACAGCTGTTGCACACTGCACGGCGGAGATCGCGAGCGAGAGAGCGAGAGGAGGCACGCCGATGCTTGAGGCATCGCCGGAGCGCGGGGCGGCTTGAAGGTCTTCCTCGCACGTCAGCTGCACTGACGAGCGCACCGAGGCGTCAAGGAGCAGCTCTGTTCGAATGATGGCTCTCCCCCCCCCCCTCTCCCCCCCGCGCCCGAGGGGACGAGCTGGCTGATCGCTACTGCTGCCAGCATGCTGCGTCAGAGTGCGAGGGACGTGCTCAAACGTTCAAGCCTCGCTCGCTAAGAGTCATCTCACGAGGTAAGAGTCGATGGGTCTACTGGTTTCATTTCATCTTGCCCCCCCCCCCCCCCCCCCCCCCCCACCTTCTCGAGGTTTCCCACTTCACCTCACACCCGCTTTGCCGCTCAAGCAATCCACACCTCCGCCCTCGTCCAGTTCGCATACGTCTCGCCCTGCTTGAGCGTCGTGTCGCTGCCTGCAAACGTCCTCAGCGCGTCGTGGTTGAGCGTCGAGTGGGGATGGGCGAACTCGAGGAACGCGGCACTGCAGAATGCATTTGCCTCCGTGCCGTTGCCGCCGTGCGCCAGCTTCTTTGCGCCGCCGGCCTTGAGAGAGGCGGGAGGATGCGGCTGGCCGACTGCGCCGTACAGCTGTTTGCAAAGCAGTAGGGCGTCAGCGAGGGGGCAAGCAGGGTAGAGAGAGGGAGGGGGAAGGAGAGAGGGCGAGAACATACCTGAGTGCCACTTTGATCCGTCTCAAACGACACTGCAATGCCCGTGCTTTCTGCCCTCAGAAGCGCACGCAGTTGGCCTTGCCTCGAGCCAGCGCCCCAGCCATACCAATGATCATGCCCTCCCTGCGGCGCGCTCTCTCCCATCTTGCGTCCGTAGCCCTGCGGACCCTTGGTGGCGAAGTCCGCGCCGGGAGTCTTCGTGCAGTCGAGCAGTTTGCCCGTGGGCACCAGTCGAGAGTCGAGGTCGAGCGTGTGGATCTCCGGTCCGAAGAAGCGCAGGGTGTGGGCATCAATCGTGCCGTCCTCCTGCTCACGCGCCTCGGGAGAAGAGGCAGAGAGGTTGAAGGCCCAGTGATGCGTGAGATTGAGCGGCGTGATGTCGCATTCCTTCTCGCCTGCTTGCGGCGCATGCACGGCACGATAGGCAATCGAGACGCTCCCTGCGCTCTTTCCGAGTGCGGGCACGTCGGAGGGCAGAGAGACGGACGTGGGGCCTTCGACTGCGAAGCGCACCTCAAAGTAGAGGGTGCCTTGAGGCCCATCCTCGCTTGCGCCGTGCAGCAGACCAAACACGACGGCAGAGGCATCGCTCGGCGCAGAGAAGAGCTTGGGAGAGGAGAGGGGCGTCCAGACGAGCGTGTCGAGCGGCCCGCGCTGCAGCGGCGTCGTGTCGGCGGGAATCGAGGGCAGCTCCGCCGCTGCGTTGCCGCCTGGCCCAGCGCCGGGTCCGCCGTGCAGGCAGAGATTCTCGCCTCCTGTCAAGCGTTGCCCATGCCCAACATCAGCCTCTATGCCCATCTTGCTCTGACCACCACTCGCGTGTGCTGCAGCAGACTCACCCCACTCTGGCACGTGCATCTGGCCGCCGACATACTTGCACGTGCCCGCCTCGAGGCGGTTCGCATAGCGGCCAATCACGGGGCCGAAGAAGCAGCGGCCCGTGGCATGGTGGTCTGCGGGATCCTCGGGACCGGCGAGCAGGTCGTGGATGAGGCCGTCTTTGGAGAGGAGCAGACGGTGCGGGATGAGGCCGTAGGGAAGGAGATGGAAGGAGAGAGAGGAGGAGGGAGAAGTGAGCACGAGGGGCTCGAAGGGCGAAATGGTGGACATGGCGCGGAGTGAGGGTGCGTGGTGGTGGTGAGAAAGCAGGCCGAGCTGGAGGAGGAGCGCGCCTTTGAGCGGCGCCTCAGCTGTCCGCTCAGACTGCCGACGATGGCCCATGTGCGGCCTGCGGGCATGACAGGCGGCATGCTTCTTGGCACGCGAAGGTGGAGAATGCCGAGCGCTGCTGCCCCGCACTCGGCGCTTCGGCCATCTCGCCGTGCCGCTCCACTTGAGATGCGCGCCGCACGTGATGCGCCATGCCGATTGCGGCCGTAAGCGGCTGCTGCTCGCCTGCGCGACATGCCCTCGCTCCCTTGCTTGCCCACCACCAACCTGCGCATCCTCGGCCATGGCCTCGCCCTCCACGCTCCCCGACGCCGCCATTGCGCGTCGGCTGGCCGGCGTCAAGACCATCCTCCTCGTCCTCTCCGGCAAGGGCGGCGTGGGCAAGTCCAGCGTCTCCTCTCAGCTCGCCCTCTCCCTCTCCTCCTCCGCCGGCGGCGCGGCTCGCGTGGGCCTGCTCGACATCGACCTCACGGGTCCCTCGATCCCGCGCATGCTGGGCCTCGACGGCTCGCCGGTCCATCAATCCTCCGACGGCTGGGTGCCCGTCTATGCGGATCGCGAACAGCGACTGGCAGTGATGAGCGTCGGCTTTCTGCTGCGCAGCCGCAATGACAGTGTCGTGTGGCGCGGACCCAAGAAGAACGCCATGATCAAGCAGTTTCTCGGCGATGTGAGATGGGGCGAGCTGGACTATCTGATCGTCGATACACCGCCGGGTGAGTTGAGCATGCCCTGCGAGCGCGAGGGCAAGAGGGGCCGAGGTGGGGCGGAGTGCAACGAGCGGCGAGCAGGAGGGAAAGAGCGTAGCGATGTGTGGGCGGAGACTTGCACACAAGCGACGGATGCCCGGCACCGTGTGGCAGCGTCTGGGAGCTGGGGAGTCATCGCAGCGATTGCGTCCAAGAGCAAGAGAGACGCTGTCCGCCATGTATCGTAGGCGCAGGCAGAGAGAGGCACAGTGCGGAAAGAGAGAGAGAGAGCCAAGCATCACAGATGGCGGCCGGCCTGCGCCAAGCGTGCTCTCGTGCTCTCTTCCCACGCATCAAATGGCGCTCGCACTCCTCGATGAAAGAGCAGAGTCATTGGGACAGGTGGAGAAGGACAGGCGCAAAGTCGCCCTGGCCACTGCCAGATCTTTGACTTGCCTTTGCATTGTGCCTCAGACAAGTGGCTGTCTCGAACAATGCGCTCCATGGCGTCCCTCAGGGACAACCGGCGTACACTTCCAAGCGCAATCGCTGGAGGGGGATCCTGTGTAGTGCAGAGCAGGGAAAAACACGGCCTTCGCGCCCTGGGTCTTACCTTGCACCTTCACAGCGAGACAATTCACTGACGCCTTCTCTCTCTCTCTTTTCAGGCACGTCCGACGAGCACATTTCCCTCGTCGAGTATCTCGCTCCCTTTTCTCCCGTGTCTCTCATGGTCACCACCCCTCAAGCTCTCTCTCTCGCCGACAATCTGCGCTCGCTCGACTTTACGCGCAAAGTCTCGCTGCCGCTCTTGGGCGTCATCGAGAACATGTCGGGCTACGTCTGTCCGCACTGTACGGAGTGTACGAATGTGTGGGGCAGAGGCGGCGGCGAGGCGCTGGCGCAACGAGAAGGGCTGGCGTTCTTGGGACGCATCCCGATCGATCCGGGACTTGTGAGGGTGCTGGACGACGCAAAGGAGGAGGCTCAGGTGACGGTGGCGCAGGAACTGGGCGTGGAGAAAGTGTCGCTCGAGGACATCACCAAGCCCCTTCCCGACGCCGACGCCGACGCCGACGCGGCAACGGCAACAGCAAGCGTGGCAAAGGCATCCACTGCATCAACAACAACACCCGCCGGCACTCGCCTCTCGCGCACCATCCTGCAGCGCTACACTGCCTCGCAGACCTTTCCGATCTTCCAGGAGATCACGCAGAGGGTCGTAGAGCAGCTGGCCAAAGTAAGGGAGACGCAGAGAGAGGCCAAGGAGCAAAGGGAGGCGACGCAGTAGGCATGATGGGTAGAGCAATAGACAAGTCACGCGCTTCGGGTCGAGCGTCTTGAGGTAGACGATGAGTGAGGAGCATAGAGAGCGCCGACGCCTGGCCCTCGCAGTCTCGAGATGCGAGTGGGTCTCTCGAGCAATCACGATCGAACGATGCAGCCCGAAGCAGAGCGAAGCTGAAAGGAGAGGCGATGCATTACATTCTCCATCTCTCTGGGGATGGGGGGGGGGGGGGGGGGGGGGGGGGGGGGGGGAAAAAAGGGGGGGGGGGGGGGGGAGAGGGGGCCGAGGCAAGGGCTCGGGAACGCAGGGCGCGGTCAACGACAGCTGCAGTGCTCGAAGTCGAGACAATGGCATCGCGATGGCATTTGCGCTTACAACCTCCATCCCTCACCGCCACATACGCATCGCCTCTCGCCTCTCTTCTCCACCTCTCCACATGCCAGACAGAGCACGTTGCTCTCCTTTGCCTGCCACGCCGCGCCTTCTCCCGCTCTACTCGCGCGCGGCAGCAGCAGCGGCGCCAGTGCCGAGGCTTCGTCGAGCACGTCGTGTGGCGAGATGAGGAGGGGCAGGAGATCGCGAACTACTCCACGACGCGCGGGAGAGGAGGAGTCGATGCTGGCACTGGCACCGAGGAGAGCATGCGCCAGTTGTACTGTTGCCTCGCGCGACGTAGAGCGGAGGCCAGGAAGACAGAACCACATGTCATCTTGAGTGCAGCGTTACTTGTTTCAGCCAAACGCGGAGCAGGATGCACGGCGGGCGCTTGCACACACACACACACACACTCACCGTTTGAGTCTGGCGGTGCCTCAAATGCAGACAAGACATCCAACATCTCCTCTGCCTGCACACAGCGGCCCACACTCGAGGCGCGCACAAGTGCACGCGCCGAGTCGAGCGTGGCGATGAGGCTGGCCATCGAGCCGTTGGCGCCCGCGCCCGCACCTTGGGCACCTGCAGCGGTGGAGGAGGAGGAGGAGGAGGAGGAGACGAAGATGGAGCGTTGAGAGTCGAGCAAAGCTTCACGCCGCGCCTCGTCGGATGTAGAGAGCAAGAGTTGACGAAGAGAGAGGGCATGTTTGAGGGCGTGCTGCAGCAGCAGGCGTGGACGAGAGAGGGCGAAGAGCGAGAGAAGATCGTCTTGCCCGGCAGCGGCGGCAGCGTTTGCGCTTGCACTTGCATGTGAGCCGCGGTCCTGCTCGCCGGAGGAAGACTCGGGCGTGTAGACTTGCTCCTTGGCGTGCACAAGCACTGCTTGGCGCGCGAGCGTCTCGCAGAGATCGAAAGTGTACTCGGAGGCGCGAGTGAGATCGATCAGTCGATCTGTGAAGATGAGGGGTGTCAGCATGGGAGGGGAGAATGCAGCGGGCAATCAGAGTGGCAGGCAGTGGGAGAGAAAGGCGAAACGTACCGAGTCGCCAAGCTGTGCTGCCTCTCCGAGCTGCGCCCAATGTGCGAACGACGTCGGCAAGTCGAAGCACCACATTACAACGCTCCGCTCCTCCCGCCACAGCGCGAGTGTTGCACAGCGCAGCGTTGAGCTGCAACACGCGCAGCGGTTCGGTGACACTTGGCGACGCAGCCAGATGCAGCGCCTGCACTGTGGCGCGCAGAGCTGATGCGATGCGCTCTGTGTTGCAACAGGGACGAAGAACACGTGTGTGTCAGCTGGCGCCTGACGTGAGGAAAAAGATGCAACAAGGCGCCGAGACGTACCAGGCGTGTGAAGCTGATGCACCAACACTACGTCGTTTGCATCTGTGCGATTCAAGAGGCAGAGCGCCAGTGCTTGACCTGCTTGCCTCGAGCGCTCCTGCGAGGTCGTCTCGTCCTTGTCATTCTCCTCCTTGACGCCGACGTCCTCACTCGCCGCTGCTGCTTCCTCTCGTTTGCCTGCCTCCTCCTCGCGCCTCGTGCCGAGCGGGAAGAGGCGCACCTGACTTCGGCGCTGCTGTGCATTGTGGTGCAATCGAGCATCCACTCCCGCCGCACAGACGCCATTGGGCGAAATGGCAACGCCATGCCTCCACATTCCCGGCGGCAGGCTCGTCGTGCTGCTCGTCTCGAACGTTGCGCTTTTTATACCGAATGAAAGAAGAGAGGCGCCAGGAGCGTCAGCTTGCGTTCTCTCCGCAATAAGACTGACTACGGGAAGGGCAAGGGAAGGGGAGCCGGAGGGGGGCACTTACGCGTCGAGACGATGGAGAAGTGAAGCGTTCGTGGTGATCCACACGTCGCCGTCGTTTGCCATCATCGACGCCACTTGCATGTCCTTTTGCCGAGCCTCGACGAAGCTCCAATCCGTCTGCTCTCCCTTTCCCGCACCACTCTCCTTGCCTCCCAGTTGCGCAAACGCCTCACTGAGGCCCCACGTTTCTCTCTTCACGCTCCAGCTGCGCAGACTTGCGCCGTCGGAGGCGAGGAGCAGGAGAGGCAGCGCGCCGGACGAGTCGTGCGAGGGTGAGGGAGAGAGAAGAAGGAGAGAAGAGGGCTGGAAGAGTGAGGTGCTTGGACTGGATGTTGGGTTGAGCGAGAGAGAGGCTAGAGGTCGAGTACTCAGGTCTGTTGTGTGTGCCACCCCTCCAGCGCATCAGTCCAGCTCTGACTATTCTCGCCCCCCGGGAAGGGGGGCGGACGGGCGGGCGCAGGGGGCAAAGTGTTGTAACTCACAGACCTCCTCTGTCTCTTCTCCTCCCAGTGAAATCCTGACTTCACAGAACCTCACTTGTCCCTTTCCCTTCCCCTCATCCCCGTCTCCCGCGAGCGCAGTGCCCGCAGCTCCGCCCAGCGCCGCGGCAAAAGGCGTGCGCGCCGCCGCTGGCGTGGCGGTGCTTTGCGCGACGGCGAGGAGCGCAGCGGCGGCAGAGGCATCGGGCGAAGCGGCGCTGGTCGTCGTGGAGGGGTCGAGTGAGGCGCCGAGATGAGGAGCAGAGGAGAGAGAGGAAGTGGAGACGAGGCTGGGCGCGAGATTGTAGGCGATCAGAAAGGTCGATTCTGGGGGGCCGACAAAGGCGTCAGTAGGTGAGAATACTACCCGCTTTGGCACCCTTCGTCCCCTAGCTGGTCTATTCTCCTGCCTCGCGATTGCTGCGCCAACTCACCTCCCGGGAGCGCACAGATGGACACTTCTCGCACCATTTCCCTGTCTGTCGTAGGCGCAAGAGGCTTCACCTCCTCCTCCTCGCCGCGTCTCACCACGCTCGGCCTCTCCAGGGTCGCCTGCAGCACCTCGAGCGTCGCGCCAGCCGCCGTGCCGCTGGCGCCTTGAGCATCAGGCAGGCGAACGAGGAGGACGTGTCCGGAGTGCAAGACGAGCAGCAGAGCACGGGACGTAGCTGCTTGAGGACCAGAAGGGAGAGTGCGACGGAAGCTGGTGGCGAAAGTACTTGTCGTCGAAGAGGAAGCATGTGCCCACTGACAGCACAGGAACATCAGCCCTCGCCTCGCCTCGAAAAGCAGAGAGAGGCGACAAAAGAACACACACCTTGCCTGGCTCTCCACACCATCTCGCCTCCTTGACGCCGCCGCCGCCGCGCACACTCGAGGTCGGCAGCACATGTTCCGTCCATGCATTGCCGCACTGCGTCGCCGGCGCGCGCGTCCACACTTTGGCGCCCCTCTCGTTCGCGGCAAAGACGGCGTCTGCGCTTGGGGCGACGCAGAAGAAGCGCGGCGCCGCCAGCGGCAGGAGATGTCGTTGTTCGCGGCGCAAGGGATGCACGAGGAGAATGCCGGAGGAGGTGGGGAGGAAGAGAAAGGAGGCGTACCATTGGGGAGAGGGAGAGGAGGAGGCGAGAGCGAGGGAGAAGCTGGAGGAGGCTTGGAGTGCGAGGACGCGAGAGGAGGCGGAGGCGAGACGAGGCCGCTTGGTGGGCGAGGCGGAGGTAGACGAGGCGCGCTTGGATGGACCCGCCGATGCTGAGCCGGATGGATTCGACTGCTGCTCCATGGCGATCCGCGCTGCAGGGAGAAGGAGGGAAGGGATGATGAGGGTGAGAAGGCAAGCTTCGCGGTGCACGTGCATCGGCGGGACGTGCGCCGGCCGCCGCCGCGCGCGCCGCGGCGCGCCGGCTGCTGCAAGCGAAGAGCAGCTCGAGTCGCGCGCGCCGCCTTGGCTTCGCTCCACCACACCCCGCGCCATCCTCGCGCCCATCCATCTCCTCTCTTTTCTCTCAAGCATTGGCCACTCCAGCCCACTCCGTTCGTGCACATTTCGACCACGCCTCTCTCTGCGCCCCACCTGCCACCCTCACCCGCTGGCGGCCTGGCACCTCTTTCGCTCGCACTCCTGCACCTCTTTCGCTGGCACTCCCGCACCCCTTCCTCTCGACGCACGATGCCCGATCCCGCACTGCAGGCCTATCTCGCCTCCAAGTATCTCGACGGTCCCAGGGCCGATGCCATCCTCGCGCATGCCGGTGCCGGCGAGGGCAAGAAGCGCAAGAAGCGCCGTGTGCATGCCGACGAGGGCGCGTCGGGGAGTGGGGCAGGCCTCAAGGTCGTCGAGGAGCAGCAGTGGCCCGAGACACGCGATTCAGAAGAGGAGGAGGCAGAGGCGGTGGTGGTCAAGATGAAGAAGGAGCAGACGCGATGGGCAAAACTCGGCGGCGACGGCGATGGCGGCGGCGGCGGCGGTGGGACTGCGGCGAGCGAAGAGACAGAGAGTGCAGGTGCAGGTGCGGCGGCGCGGCAAGAATCGCAGGAAGCGCAAGCGAAGGAGAAGCAACGAAGCAGCAGCAGCAGCAACAACAAGCCAAAGGCGGGCCTCAAGACGCGCGACGAGATGCGTGCCGAACGCTTGGCGCGCGAAGCAGCAGCTGCTGCTGCTGGCTCGTCTTCCGCCCCTTCCTCCGAGCGAGCACTCGTTCGTGCGCCTTCTGCACCGCTAGAGGAGCAGCAGCAGCAGCAGCAAGAAACCGTCTATCGAGACTCGTCGGGCCGCAAAATCGACGTGGTCAAGGATGAAGAGGAGCGCAAGAGGCGAAAGAAGGAGGAGGAGGCGTTTGAGAGGGAAAAGAAGCGCTGGAATAGAGGAGAGGTGCAGAAGAGGGAGGAGGAGAGGAGGAGGAAAGAGGCGGAGTTGATCAAGGGTGAGGGCTTTAGTCGGTGAGTGTTTCTTTTGCGCACGGAAGCGAAGGTGGATTGGGGAGCAGGGAGGGGTTGAAGGTAGACAGAGCGTCACTCTCTCCTGCCAAGTAGAGCAGGAGCGAAAGGCCCGGGGGGGGGGGGGCAGGTGTCGCGTGGGGGCTTTTTGCGTCCAAAGCGCAAGGCCGAGATGGGGCACAAGTCCTGAGAGTCTTGCGTGTGTGCCGGGCGGGGGCTGCCTTATTTGATGTCGTTCTGACTTTGATCCCATGCCACACTAGATCAGCGAACGACGTGCGCATGAACAGCACTCTGCGGCAAGTCATGCGAGCCGACGACCCGGCTTTGGCGTTCCTCACCAAGTCGCGCGATGCCTCGGCACCTCGCAAGCCCGAATATCGCGGGCCTGCGCCGGCGCCGAACCGCTTTGGCATCAAGCCCGGCTATCGCTGGGACGGCGTGGATCGGGGAAACGGCTTTGAAAAGAAGCGGTTTGCGCGCATTAATAAACGCAAGACGGACGCTGAGGTGGAACAGGGTGAGTTCTTGTTTGCGCTTTGGTGGGCCACAAGTGTGCGGCCGCCGGACAGCCAGGGAGCGAAGAGAGAGAGAGAGAGAGCAGCACTGGGCAAAGAGCGCTGACGACCATGCAAAAAACTCCTCCCCCCC